GAAAAATTGATTAGAACCTTGAGCGTTATATGGCAAGGTTGAGACGGAATGAGCTCATTTTCATTCTATTTATAACGTCCAATAATGCCTTCCATTCCATTGTAGGAATTAATGTGGTTTCAGCCGCACCACGTGCCTTATTTCCTCGTTTTATCTCGGTCAAATCAATTATTTGCTGAACGCTGATAATTTACTAATAGATAGTGCTAACAATTACGGATTTGTTTGCGAAGTGTCCTTTTCTAAACGTCGTATAATTTCGCTTTTTATATAGAGAGAGCATTGATTTTGTGACAAACAGGAAGCTGTTTAACTGCATAAACTAGTTTCGGTATTTTTTTACCAGATTAAAAAACCGTGCTCATTATCAAACCATAGCCTTCAGCACTGAATGGTCGTTTATATATTTGCAATCGAATTATGCGTCGACGGATAACGACCATAAATGTTTACTTTCGGATAAAAGAGCTTTATTGTTAATTGTATCTGATTTTTTTAAAACGAATCCGATAATCAAGAGTGTCGCTTGAATATTCCATATATATTAATATATATATATATTTATATGTATAAATTTATACGGTATATATATATATACATATATATATTTATATATATGGTTTTGCAATTCAAAATGCATTAATTTGTATAAACCTAAAAAATTTTTGGTTTTGCTTTTTTACATTTTACGTACCGTACTCTATAGTGGGTTTTGCTGTGCATCGCATTCCTGTTGTTAAGCTTAATCGGTTTGAAAGGTAATAAACTGCGAGTGGGCTCATCTACGTCCGAATTTTGTGGCCGTTCGCTCTTTAGTGAACTGTTTGATGATCTCCGACCACAAAATACTTCTCTGAGAAGGCTCGCCATCTGACCCATGATAATCCTGAATAACCTTTTTCGCGGCGTTCCGCATTATACATTCGAAAAGGCGTCGATTCTAGAGCGACTCTCCAATATTATATCCTCGTGCGCCGTTAAAAGCATGAAATTTTGAAGAGTTTTGCAGTACGAGTAATGAAACGTGCCCTCAAGTGCTGTTGGCTGTAAAATGAAGGCCTAAACTAGTCTGGCGCTGGTGTATACTGCATGGCGCTACAGTCAATATACAGTTCACCTCATACCGCTAAGTATGACTGTAATGGGATCTTTCTTTTTGCTACTTGTAAACGCTAACTTTGTTGTTTGGTAATTTAAAAAAATTTATCTGCTGCAAAATTTCATTTCCGTTAGTTAGATTCAGGTGTCGACATTTACAACACCTGTGTCAATTTTTTCCTTCATAAAATCACCGACCGTTGTCCATGATTGATAGTGCCGAGGGAAAGGGGAGGCTTAATTGCACTTTCTAAAAAAAAAGTCAATAAATACGTCCATTAATCTTAAAAAGTTCGACTGAATTGCCGTTTTGCAATAGTCTTAACCTGAACTGCTTGGTAACCCTATTCCCTTTACTTTAGAGTCCGACCATAAAACGCACAAGACTTATGCTGAGTCGTCGGCACTGTTCTAACGGTCAATACTGTACTGCGTTTCTGGTAGAATTTAACGTAATTGGAGCGTGAATTGTTGTAAAAATTGCGGTCCGAAGAGAGCAGGTGAATCTATTGATTTCGCACTCATCTTTGCAGCAACGTAATTGGTAAACAAACACGCTGCCGGATTTGGTGTGCTGTCCAATTACTTTGTCACATATTCGTGCAAGTATCGAAAGTTATTCGCAAATATAAAAGAAATTTATAAGCTTCCTTTATGTCACCTTTTCGCAGGGTTACACCATAATGGGTTCTTGAGAAACTTCATCGACCAGATGGCCCTACTGTAGTTTGCACAAACACTAGTGGTTTTACCGTAAACACCTCTGATTAATATAAACATTTTACAAGCTACTAAAGAAAATTGCCAACACGTGTGAATTTGTTGATTCCAATTATTCATTCACTTTCTTAAATCAATTAGGATTGATTCGTTGCCATATTATATACTCATATTATTTTATGTTTAATTGTTTACAAAGCATATTGATAACTTGTAATTGACAGTACTTAGCCTCATTTATACAACTCCGTCACGTGACGCTTAACTGTGTTCTTTGAAAAAAAAAGTACATGCACTAGAGCCGATAAGAAAGACTCTGTTTGTCTCTCGTATAAATCAACTATAATAGCTTTTACGAATCTTCATCTACTGAATGCGATAACGTTCTCCTTCCATCTACAACGAAAAACTTCTAAAGCTGGTAGAGGCTGTGGTATATCTTTTAATAATATCCTTCATGCGCTTATTTCGACTTCCTAGTTTCTTTCGTCTTGCATATTATTCAAAAAGTTATTCCAGGTAGATAATCCTCATTCTTTGCTTGGATTTCAAGTGAGCAAACGAATATCTCTTGAAGTCGGGCTTAATCTAATTTCCATTTGCTGCCTGGGCTCTTTTGCGTCTTATTTTCAGTTCCTGCAGTTCATCTTGCATCTCACGTTAATGTAATTTGAAACTTATAAATTATTTGCAAATAGTGAAAATAATAGTCCCTATTAAGCTAATATGAATAATAAACACTATCTCAGTTATGATAATAATGCTGAGGAACGAAGAAATCAGTATTATTTGTAAAGATTTTCTTCCGCCTAAGGTATTAACATACATTCTAGACTATTTTGCTCATATTTTTGTCTGATTTTCTAATGTATTTCTATCTTTTAGTTTCTTGATTCTCCTTTGCTACGAAGAGAATTCCATAGCATTGTAGTTTTTGTTGCATAGACTAATATCACGAAAATATATTTAAGATAGAAGTCCTCATACAAGGTCGATTTGAATGAAACGCCATGGGTAAATTTGTGAAAAAATGGCTTTCGAAAGATTTGTTTGATGTGTTTATTGTCGTTCATTTGACGAAATTTTGATGAAAGTGAGTATCGATTTTGTAATTCTAACGCCTTTTATTAACTCTATAACCGAATTATTAGAAGTATGAGGCGAAATGAAACTGGAGATATATGACGGAGTAGGAAATAAACGCTCATCTTTCAACCTTTGACAAAATCCCCTACTTAAAGCAAATTGTAAGTAAACTGTCCCGGAAAACAATATAGATTTCGGTTCCTAATAATTTGTACATTTATGTGGCTTTATAAAGATGACCATTGCTTAATATTGATTATCCAACGCAATAAATTTATAAGACTACTTAAGATAGAAAATAAAATAAACTGCGAATGCTCCTTTCCTGTTCAAGTAAAATACTATACAAAACTCGAATCGGAAATTCGTCCGACTCGAAAATCTAATAAACGACTTGACAAACTCTAATCAACGCAATATTCCGTCGGGGATATTGGGGACTTTAAGCAAAGGTTGTTGCGACCTTTTATAAAAGAGACTTTATGGTAGCAGGTTGGAGAATCTGATTAGTAAATTGGCAAAGCGTTAAGTCTATTACATTAACGCAATGCGTACATAATTTACATATATATCGTATGGCATGTAGTAAAATTAATGAGTTGTATAAAACAACTAATTTTCAATTTAAAATGCATTTGATGTATAAAGCATACAACATTCTGACTTCATAATATAATTATAAGATTATCAAACTAATAAATGACCTATTAAAATATTCGCCCGAATTCTTATTCAATTTTCATACATCAACTATTAAAGGAGTTAACTTTCAATGAATCAGTGCATTTTACCATTGTTAGTCACGAAATCATAACAGCGGAAATTCTTAACTGTTTGTCTTCCTATACATCTGTCATATTCTTGCATAAAATACCGATATTTTCATTTCTGTTGACAAACTTACCCAACATTTGCTAGAGTATGCCTTCGACCTCGACGAACTCTTTGTATTACTGGTAATTCTTTTAGATTACCGAATTCTTCTTCGGCCATTCTGCTGAATTTTATCCTTAGTAAATGTTAGTAGTCAAAGACGGCTTTATATATCGGAGCCGTCAGCCGTCACGCTGGCTACTCGCATAATGAAAATCATCTCCGTTGCACAATCCGCTAGAGTTTATTGATTTCGAAAATGCCAGCCAGCGATTGAATTTGGCGTCCTATATTTACATACAGTCTTCACCTGTTTATCAGTAAACTCTTAGCTGTTCCAAAGGAGAAGCTTTGCTTCTACATATACTCAAAAAAAACTACAAGAATTGCCCCAGATTATTAAGAACCACGCTGGGAATTTAATCCTATTAAGTGGGTGTTTGAACTTTTTAAATTCAGTTGTAATCGATATTCAAAATGATACTCATATTAGTCAGGATATTCAAATTTAAATTTTAGAAAAAAAATCTTCATAACGAATCCTACTTCAAGCTAAGTAGCTGCGCCATCTATATCCAAAATAAATATTACACTTTAAGGAATTGCATACAAGGTTGCATTTTAATGCAGTATAATTAAAATGAATAAGAAAAATATTTCCGGGTTTTGCAAAAGTATAAGGTTGTCTTTTCATTATGGGTGTATTTTATGTTTTTCTCTTCTCTAGTAAGTACTTTGAACTAATTGAAGCGTCTAAAATATACATGGGTAAAGCCATGATTATATCTCAATTAGGGTGTGCAATAATGAGTAATATAATTATCCATAGTAGTATTTCTTTAGTTTTTTCAAATACTAAATAACTTCTCTTCTTTGTAATTAACCTGTTCTGATTTATTAAAACACTGTACATGAAGCCCAAAATATTTTTATACAAGCGGTTACCCTCTATATTGATATTGAAATAATTGTGGAAGCCGTATTATTCGTGCTGGGAATCGTGCACAACAAACAATTGCTTTGATAGAATCTGTGAAATTTTGCAAAAAAATTATATGTGCACAACTGGGACGTGACTAGAATTTTCCAGTTGTCGATTAGCCATTAGAGACACTGCGGCAACATATGAAAAAAGAAGGCGACACATTTTTTTTCATGATTAAAGAGTTGCCAGTAGTCATATCTGCCGCAACTCTTATATAAATTAATATCTTATGTTGTAACAGAATAGAACTAATTAGAAGGTAAATTGCCTGAAGGCAGTAAACTAGAATAATCAAATATTTGCCATACGAATTTCTTTTGATTACAATTTTGTTAAGGCCTGATCGATGGCTCCCGGTCAAGACGGGAAGAGTAGCTTTCGACTTTTTCAAAAGCAAAAGCCGAAATTTCTTTCCGTTGTCAACATCAATTGATAGTATTTTTGCCCATGAGCGAAATACATTACAACAGACTGCCTCTAAGTTGAGCATACAGTCCTACTTAGTTCTTGGATTCTATTACATACTTACCGTGATTTGCATTTGCTTTCAGCAGTTCCCGAAGACGGCCATGTACGCCGTATCGACTTTAAAACCAATCTTCTTCGAAAGTGAGACCCAGTAGATTCATCCGAACTCTTACTACGCTGTTCATCTATCAACTTTGAATGAAGAGGTCCTAGACTCTTTGGTGGCATTAAGCGAGTTCCTCGCCTTGACCAAAGATGTCCAGAATCGGCACTGGTAGGAGATATTCTATTATTCAAATCCTCATCATCTACAGATGTGGTGTGAACTGCTGGGATTAAAGGTAAACGGAGAGAAGATTTTTCACTCATATCCGTATCTGTATTTTGAATATGCGATAATAACTTAAGGCTAAACGAAGCTTAAGCGTTTTAGCGTTAAGTTACGAAGTCGATACGGTCCATCTGCGCCTATTTGTTTCTCTTTATGATGCCGAGAATGCATTAATTTAGCTTTAGCGTCCGGGAAACGCCTGATGTTCTTGAGATAAAACCCATAAGGCTTTATCTTTCGAGCTAGTACACATTATTTATAGGTGATTTTTCAAACTATTGTGCCTAGAGAATCAGTTGATTTTTAGTTCTGATTTTATATAGAATATGATATCTATCATTACATAATAAGATGATGACTATTCAATGATGTTACAGAATGTTAGCGGTAAATTTAGAGTTCTGAGTTTTTGTATCAAAACACCCGATATGTAAAATTTGCTTGACACTCTTCATTGTGTTCTAATTTTATACCTTAATTTCTATTGATGTGTTATTAATATGTAATTGATTAAAATCGATATTCAATACGCTGTTGTATTAGGCTATGAGAAGCACTGAAAAGTGCTTGAAAGAAAGGTGAAAGTAGTTTCGATGGAATCGGTTTCGCTTGACTTAAAGATATTAGCTACTCCATTCCCGTCTTAAGATGAACCATAATGAATGTTTATAAATTATAGCTAACTTTAACAACTAACCAGTTTGTTTTTTATCTATAATACCAAGAAAAAATCTCTTTCTAAATATGTATCCTAAATAAAGCAGATGATATAATACTTATAGACAACTATATTTTTAAATGACAAGATAATGCCGTAAAGGTCGAATAGTTTTTTATACATTTAAATAAGAAGTTTTAAATTTATAAAACTAAATGAGTTTAAATTATTTAGCTAAGCTCAGCATTACATACCCCAAACCTATTTGAAAAAAAACAAAAAGAAAACTTACCTCTAAGCAGTAGTTTTAAAATTCCAAAAAATAAAAATGAAAAGAAAAATAGTTGTTTATCCAGATGCACAATTTCACTAACACGTGAAACTATAAAGGGAATACTTTGTCAAACGCCGTATACGTCAATAGGCGTTACACTGGAAAAAAAGAACCGACTCAACGCATTTTTTCGCTCGCGCTTCCACCTACCAGATTTCAAAGAATTTAACGCAATTTACAAGTAAACATGTTCGACTTAAATTCAAATAAAATACTTTAAACAACGCTTTCCGATTTCCTTGAGCAAAATTTATGTTTCACCGCACAATATTTCATAAGTTACGATCTTTCTAATCATATTTAACAGATGGCAACACTTATAAGAAGGGATTTTGTAAAACTAACGGTAGATGGTGTTTGAAAATAAAAGAAGATTGACAGCTAATAAAATTAAAAGAAAATTCTAAATGCTTTATTACAATCTGCTTACCTCTTTCTCCTTAAATTTGTAAGCAATGGTGACTTCAAGTAGATGCACCTTTCACTTTGACGTCGGTGTTGTAATATAGGCTGTTGCTCAGACGCTTTTTTCATGAAACTGCTTTCACTTTCTTCTCCGTCTTCAGTTGTAATAGTAACTTTAACTGACGCTTGCATGACTTCTTCTAGAAACTGTGAAACAGTTGTTAGAAATAAAATGTATATTTAAAATGTATTTCTGATACCCACTTATTTTTACCTATTGACTTGATAAAATGTGATAGTTATAGCAAACTATCGCGTTGGAAGCAGTTAAAGTGAAACAACTGAAATTTTACTCTCTACTTCTTCCTGGTAATTACGTCTATTTCAAATATTTCATGTTGATTAACATAAAATATAATCGACAAAAATAGATACCATTAAATAATCCACAGGCCCTTTTTTCTTGTGACAAATAGTAGGTCCTCTGAATTTTAGGGTTGAATGGTAAAGCATTGAGTTACAATTTTTAATATTTTAATGTTAGGTAGAAAGAAATAATAATAAAATTTAACACTTTTGAAAAGCTTTCATATCGCTGTCTTCGTCGTTGTCGAATCAAATGCAATTTTTATAAAGAATACCCTCCAACGAACAAACGTGAAAAGATAAATGCTACTTACAGTGTTCCCTTGTCATATCAAAAGAAACGCTTTTCCAAAATTGAGAATTATTTGTTATATCAAGGAGGGAATTATCTACGAACTCCAATGTTTACCCTCATATCAAACCATATTTATACATAAAAGGGCAGCGATGTAGAAAATTACTTAATTATCAATATACAATGCTTGTCGAGAGTTAATATCAAAGTCAACTGTGAGGCTTATTTTGTAGTTCATGATTTAAAGCACAAATATAATGTAAATATCAGAAATGAGCTATTTCTGCAACATAAAAATAATAAAAGAACTACAAGCTAACATGTGGAATGCTGGCTTGCTGCAATGTGTCTTTTTCTGAAATTTTGCAGTCGAGAAGACTTTTCTTCTCGATATACAGATTTCTAATTTTCTCATATGTATACTCTTTAAAGCGTCGTTTGCAGCGAATAATACTATCATGCTCATAAGAAATAGAGGATTCTAAAGAAAGTACTCAGTCATATTCTCTTTTTTGCAAAAAATAACAAACTTTGTAAATAATTTATTTAAAGATAAAATTGAAAAGTTCAATTATCAAAGATAAGAGAAGATTTCATACCGTTAGCTTTCCAAGTAAGCACAATAATCAGTTTCTTAATCATAGAAATGCAGAGTGGAGCTTGTAAAACAGTAAACGTCTTCAGCAAATATGCAAAACCCTTGGAAAAACTTGAGAAAATTAGTACGCCATCTGCCGAAAATGTGTTCGATGCGACATCAACGTTGAAAGTTAAGTTGGAAAGTTAAACGAAAATTTGAAAACGGAAAATTATTAATAAAGATAAAGATTTTGGAGTGTTCATGAAAAATAAGTCAATTTTGAGAACTCTCAACACAAAGAGAAGAAAATATGAAAATGAGACGATGAGATCTTTAAACTGTATATTTAGAGGAAAAGAAAAATCCACAAATTTCAATTTTTCGTCTGAAATTGTGTTGTAACAATACCTATTTAAATGAACTTTTATATACAGTTTAGCAAAATGATTTTTCGTAATAATGTGAATTTATATCTGGAAGATATTAAAGATCGTTACAGATTAAACTCTTTTAAGAAAACTTAAATGAGTATATTTTATTAAAGATATACATACTGTACTTTCACTGCGCCATCTACTGGCATCTTTTAATAAAAATAACGTTTTAGAGCAAAGTTTCGAAATAGACAGAACAATGTCATTAATTTTCCAATACAAAAGTCTCAATCTGTCCATATAACTAAAAATAATTGCATGTTTAATTATTTTATTACAAGTGTATGCTTTCATCAATTGCAGAAGGAGTAACGGCAGCGTTAGGTAACGAGATTGTTGGAGAAATAACCGATGGTGTTATGGGAGACAGCATCGACAATATGGGAGAACCTTTTTCATCCCGTGTATTGCTAAATGCCTTTAATGGAAGAGGCTCCAGATTAATACGCAAAGATTTTGGATCTGTTGATGAACTACAATGTCCACATGATTTACATTTTGAAGTCTGTAAACTGTCATAACTAGGTGGATCTTCATTAGGTCTACATTCATTATCAGAATCTATATCAGAACTTCCAGAAAGTAATGTAGAAAAAGCATAATAATGTTTGTTTAACAATCGAAGTAGTCGAAGGCGTTTGTCTTCTTGTCGGAATTCGGATGCTGTATCCGTAGCACTATCATCTGAGGTTTCGTGGATTATTGCTGAGTACTTTTCTAGAATACTTGGATTTTGGGAAAGAGAGCGTCTAGAGAGTAAGCATTTTCTGGAAGGTGATTCAGTAACATCAGGAAAGCTAAGAGCTGATGAAGTGATGTTCTGCAATGGATTGATCTCCACCATTGGTGAACCAGGAACCTGAGTTATTTGATTTTCACATGAAACTGTTCCATCTGTATCAGAATCTGTGTTAATATCGTCTAACTCATATTCAGCTTCATCTTCCTGTTCAGCTTTTTGGAGAGCGAAAACTGCATTACGTTTCTTGCAGAACACAATAACAGCGGCCGTAATGCTAATTGTAACGAATAATAAAACGGATGCAACAACTATAACCATTGTTAGACTATGACTCTCTGTTCCTTTACGAACAAGAGAGGTTAGAATGTTACTCTTATGAAAAAAGTCATTGACTGCCCTTACACGAGCTCTCCTCGATGTAAAGTTCAACGTACTATTCATATCAACGTCCCTTCTCCAGTATTGTGGCTTAGATACACGTCTCGTTGAGTTTCGAGGAGTTCCTATTCTGCCAGCTATACCCTTGTGTTGCAGAGTTCTCTCCCAATGAAGAGCGTCGACTAGCATTCCAGCTAGGCGTCTGCAAATCAAATAACGAGCTGGTAGATTACTCTATATACATTTATTTATATAGGAAACGCTTAACGAACAGCAGCTGTAGTTGTCAGCCAAACTGTAAATGCAATTTGCGAAGTTTCATAAGATTACGGATCGATGATCACAAGTGTATAGGCCTATAATATAGAGCAAATTGAAGCGGGACCGAATGAAGTCCGAGAGCGCGTATATATTAGCACAATATATGGAAATGGAGGCCTAGCTGATTAGCTTTATAAGGCGATAATTTCGCTTGTTTGCTTGCGCTCCGGTTCTTTTATCAAGACAAGTCATCTTGCTATTCTTTATACGAGCCTTTTAAGACTGCGTTGTTTTTATTAGACACGATTTATGAGAGAGGCAAACGATAAAAAGCCAAAAAAAAGCGAAACTGAGTGTTGTTTTTTCCTAAAGTAAGCAAGAAATATGATTATTATATTGGACAAATACTTTTCTTTTCTTTGCCTATTCTATTTCTTTTTCTCACTTTCAGTTTGTAATCAGAACGAAATTGAATAATTCAAACTTGGTAATCTTTATTTTCGGCATCAAGTCACATGTCAACAAGATGTCACGCTCCAACAAAGTTATCTTGCCTTTGGCATCTGACGCAAAATATTCAACATTTCTTATTCTTTATTTTGCTCCAATATCTCGTTTATATTTTAGTAGTATCCAAGTTTTAAAGATAATGAAGATGCAAGAGTATTTAACCAAACGAATCGTTTTGGGATTTTAAGTAAGAATTCGATTAGGACAAAACTCTCAATGGAATTTCCATCGTCTCTCTCCACATTCACTCTTTTATCGATCTTTTTTTGTAAGTCCAATATAATGTACAAGTAAGTCAAGTAACTTATATTTAAGTATAATCATTAAACAGTAATAGAGATTTCCTTTGAATGAAGCTTGTGATTAAATACGGCAGAAACGGCTAGTAATGCTCTGAGCGTACAGATTATAATAACTAATAGGCTTAGACAGAATGGAGCAAGGTAAAAGAAAAAAAGGAAAGAAAATATACAGGCGTATTGCATTCTAATGACCTGATGGGACGTTTCCTGCCCAACTTCCGCTTATTTAGAATACATTTCATGACCTATTTCTTATCGGTCGGTGATTATAAGTCGGATAGTTTTCAACTCTCTCACCTAAAAACATCAACAAATATAAATAAGTATATCACTAAACGATTCTCTAGGAAGTTGTAATTGTTAGTTTAGTATTAAAATAAAATGATCAAAGAGGAGCAAGAGAAGGCGATTTCTATATTCTTGGACTATCTGACTTCTGAATTGATATGAATAAGCTTCATTAGAAGTCCCCAGTTGGTAACACAGTCAATTGACAAACGTTAGCTTGCCCTAGCGGTGGAAGCATCCGGTGATGTTATTTACATATAGTTAGTATATGTTTGCCCTACTGTTTCTGTGAAACTATCACATTTTACGACAGCAACTTAATATGTCTATTGCCCGAACTAATGCATGATTCATGTTCTATCCAGATAAAACTAATATCTCTAATCTTGCCCGCGATTAGCATAGAAATCGACAAAGAGAAAAATACAAGCTGAAAAACTATGCTAGCGATTGTACGCAAGAAACGAATTACTGAATTATACCGCAATTCAGTCATGCATAAAGTGACAAACTACTCCGAAATGACAAAAAGTGGGAGAAATCAAGCTTTCATCACTCCATACAGAAATAATACACAGCACGCAAAAGGAGTCCAATTTGATAACTGACGTCTCTTTTGCACGTACACTTTTCGTGGTGATTTAGTGGATGACGTCACAATCAAATACCGCCACCAAGTTCATTTTGTATTAAATTGGGTCATCAGGTTGACCTAGACAGTGACTTTTAAAGTGTTGTTAGTCCAAAAGTACATATTTCCAAAAATTGCGGGAGCGTTCATTATTTACACGTCATCTAATAAACTTGATACTTGTCAATTATGAGCTCATTGCTGCTTGCCTAACTCACAGTTTGTAATGTTTGTCACGCTATCAAATCATGGTACATGTATATATCAAAATACCTACCAAACGCCGTCAAAGTTTTACAAGCAGAAAAGCCAAGCAATGCGACAATCAGGGAATGAGCAGAGAAACGCCCCACTGGCGCCCGCAGCGTCTACTGTAGTAAAGAGAGAGGGAAGGGGGGAGAGGAGAGGGAAAAGACAGCGTCTTTTATTGCTTATCCTTATATATTGTGGCAACAGACAGCTGGCTCTTCTCAGCGTCGCCACCCTTTGCCACCTTTTTTAATTAAATTTTCCTATACGGATGCGGATTGACAGACTAGTATTATATATATTTTTTTCGATTTGAATAGTAGGATTAGCATCTCTAGGGAACAGCTGGAAAAGGCGTAATTTTATACGCCGAACCGTCTCTTTATCGATTTTAGTCGGCGTCGGCCAAACCAGCTTTTTCATTTTGTCGAATGTACAGTAATACGACCGTAATTAACACCCCGTTTGTTCGGCCGTACAAAAGGCGGGCTTCATCTTTCAAGTTAACTATAAAAGTGTACGCCGCCGGAATATTACTGCAGATGAAATGTCAACGTTTCGCAATTTATCATTGTTCGCCCGAGATAAAACGTACATCGAAAACGAGATCGGACGTCTGAGAGAGGCCTACATTCTAGGGGCAAATACGCCTATGTTATAAGGTGACGAGCCGAAATCGAATGATTGATAGCAATTAGATTAGAGGCTTTTACTAACTGGATTTAGTTGCTACGAGTTTTGGCCAAAGTTTGTCACTTCAATCCGTTTAGTGGTTTGTCTTTAGAAGTATAAACGAGCGACGAAATGTGCACGCTCATTATGTTAAAAGGTCTTAAGACCTAAGGAGTCACGAAAGCGGATATCCGGCTGAAGGAGAACGAGTAATTTCTAATTGTCAGCCACCGTACGACTGGCGAATGATAAATAGATGAATATCACAAAGGTCGAAGGCGAAGGCTTTTTTACGTTTCGTTTTTCAAGCATGTCACGTTACCAAGTTCAATTTAAAACGCCGATTTGTGATTACAGGGTGCCATTGATTATTTACTATAAAACGTTTACAGAATATTTATCAACCTTCTTTGCTGCCCATTACGCCATCTACTGAAGTAGTGACATAATAAGCCGCATATTTTATTTTGGTGAAAATTGCAGGAAAAAGACAACCTGTATGATTTTTTTCTTTTGTTAAATCTTTAAAATATTTACAGATATATTTACACAAAAGGACTGAAGGAACAATACAGTGCGAAACCAGTGTAAACTTAAGCAAAATATCAAAAAAGAATATACGAAAACGTACAACAAATAGAAGCAGAAAAAAATTAAAGAGCTTACTACGAAACAAGGTAACAGAAGACAGCGAATTTTTAATTTCTCTCATGTTTTTCGCGGATAAATTCTACTTATGTAAAATTGTGAATAATTTCAGTAAACGAAAATTTGCTATTTCTCTCTATTTCTGTTGCTTTAGTAAATGCATTTCAAGTATACCATCTATATCAATTAATTAACGTGAAAGACGTTGAACAATAGATTCTTTCCTTGGGATTGACACCTACAAAAGTTTCTTAAAAGGAATAAAAGAGATTTTCACTAAACAGTATGTGTGTAATATACTGTGTACATAAACATTATATACAATTATTTGGTACGCCTTCTAATTACTAGTTACTAGTTGTCTTGGGTGGCATAGAAAGTCGATGATGTCGAGTGCGACTGGAATTAGGATGCAACAAATCAGGAGATAATGTTCTACGAAGCAGGGGAGAGGCTCCGGGTGAATTAGTACTCGATTCGTTAATTACAGATTTCGGTCTTGTTGATGAAGTTCCACTACTCTTTCTTCTGAAAGTGGGCATACTAACTCCACTCTGACCTTGACCTTGAGGAGAAGGTGAGTAAGTTTGAGGGCAATTGGATATTCCAGGGGGTGGTCCATGAGGAATTGTCAGAGGAGATGTAGATCTAGTAGGTGACACAGAAGAATTTAATGCTGGTGAAGATGGTCTAGCTAAGGGGCTGAGAGGGATATTATGAACACTTTGCCTTCTAGGACTCTTTCCAGTGCCACTCCCATGGATTCTTTGGTGTTTAACTACAGATAGTGATGAAGGACGAGAGAAACTCGCTGGCGATGACGGACTTGAACTTGTTGGAGATGAGCTACTTGCTGAGCTGTCGTTTAATTCTTCTGATCCTCTGGAAGATTTACTAAGCTTTTTGAGAAAACTGTGACTCCTGCTACTACCTCCCGATCGCCTTCCTTTTGTACTTGCAGATGAAGAAGTTCTAACCAATTTGTGTCTTCTTCGGATCATTTTACTCTGTAGTGGTCCGTGTCTTCGTTTTCCAACTTTTATATGAGTTTGTTCGATAGGTACTGTTCTCAGGGTCACTTTTGAACGACAAGATAGCAGAATAGCAATTACATCTGTGTTTTGCTTTCCGATCACTTCTTTTTCATTAACATGTGTAATAACATGATTTACTCTTAATCCCGACTCAAATGCAGGACTTTCTCCTTCAACAGATCCCACTAAATGCTGCATAATGTAATGACCAGAGTCACCATAGTACACTCTAACACTCTTTAGTGAAAAGCCAAATCCTCTTGGTCCCTTTTCGATTACTAAGGGAGGCCGTAGAAAAGCTAAAAGACCCATATCTGTTGACCGACTGGGTGAACCATCCCGCGAACTATTGCTTGAAGCACCTGGTGATTGTAACTGAATTGGTGCTGTCATAATACCTTCCGATGACTGTGTATTTGGAATAGATAAGGAGAGGCGAGAGCTTTTACTCTTCTGAGAATTTCCACTAGTACTCTTTGAGCGCGGTCTACCGGGCGATGTGCTACCAATGACAGGAACATGTCTGAGCTTAGGAGAATTCTTCTTGCCGTGATCATTTAGATCATTAACTTCACATTGTTCTGATTTTCTCCTTTCATGAACTGGTGATAATTCTTAAGAAGAAAAGTATTATAAAGTTATCATTAAGAATATTAGTAATATACCTTTTGTTTGCCTCTTCTTTATTGAAGACTGTCTTTCCGTCCCTCTATTTAATACTTCAGATTCTTCTTTTTTTTCCAAAATCGGTTTTCCTTTAACGTTCTTTTTTTCATCTTCCAAATGTATATTAACTTCAGGAATCGTCCCTTTCTTAACGGAATTGGTGGTGTTCGTTTGCTCTCCTTCTATCCTGTAAATAAGGATGTTACTTTTAATCAGCCAAAAAGTAAAAATAACTTACTTCAAAGAGGCGAAACCCGAATTTAAAGACGAATTGAGAGACGATCCACTTGCCGAGTTATCAGAAAAGTCTTCTTTAGATATTGGTGTCTGTCGCACAAATCGGTGATGGTCTTCCTTTGAGTTCGATCGAGAGACAAATGGGGAAAAATTGGAACTATCTACAGATGATGTGTCAGAAAATGAGCTAACATTTGAGTTTTTTCGCTCAATTTCCTCTTTACAAACGGAATTACATTTTGGAGATGATTCTAAGCCATCTTCTGATCGAGGAGGAGTAGCAGAAATTGATGATGTTGAAGATACCGAATCGCAATGAATCCTTGTATAGCTAGTAGATAAACTTGAGTATGAATCATAGAGAGGATCATTGGCTTCTTCTTCACTTTCACCATCATCATCGTGACAGTATCTTTTTTCCCGGGCTAAAAAACATCAGATTGCAACTTGACCAAGTAAAGGATTCTTAACTTACTATCAAAATAGCTTGTGTCATCTATGCCTTCTAGTTCAGGAACAAATTCAGCTTTTTGTTTTAGCAAATCATGCCAATCAAGAGTGTAAAAGAAAGTATGCTGTTTTACTTCAAAAGCTCCTGCTGTCCCTAGTCTTTCAACCGGATTCCTTATTAACAACTTCTCCACTAAGTCTATGGCATCTTCAGGTGGCCTTTCATCTTCATCTGGCCAATCTAGTTTATCTTTAGAGGAAATATATTGAGAATTTTATAACATTTGAATATGATTAAAACACATACCAGAAACAACTTGAACAAATAATTCCTCAGGTGTTCTTCCGAAAAATGGCACACAACCTATAAGAAATTCATAAAGAATTATACCCATAGACCACCAATCAACAGGTTTTCCATAGCCTTGTCTCAGTATAACCTCTGGCGCAATATATTCTGGAGTTCCAAATACTTGTTTGTCTTTAAACATCTGTGTTTCTGCATCTAAACTTCCTTCGTACATGTTCGTTGTTACTGAAAGATAAAAAATCATATTGAGCTGTAAATATCATTCGAAATATTCTCACAATTCATTAATCCAACTTTTGAAAGACCGAAATCAGTTAGCTTTATATGTCCCGTTGCCGTTATGAGTAAACTGCACAGAGTAACAATTGTCTTTAAAATTAAATGAAAAAACTCTATTCCACCAAACATACTTATCTGGCTTCAAGTCCCTGTGTACTATCCCATAATTATGAAGATATTCGAGGGCAAGAACAGTTTCTGCGAAATATAATTTTGCTATATCTACTGGCAAAGGCCCACCAATATTTTTCAGCAAAGATGCACAGTCACCTCCCTCAACATATTCCAAGACTAAGCACAAGTGCTTCTATAAGATAAAGAATTACATACTGATTTTTGTAGTGATGTCTTTTATGGGCTACTGGCTACCTACCTTTGTATTAAAACTGCAGTAAAAGGATACAACAAACGGATTGTCCGTAAATGAGAGTATGTCCCTTTCTGTAAAAGCATTTAAAGCTTGATTTCTTAAAGCTAAATGCGTTTTGAGCAATTTCTTCATGGCAAATCGATGACCAGTATCCTTTTCACGGACCAAATATACAGCCCTAAATAAATATTCTCATTTTGTAACATCAACTAATGAAACAACAAAGCTTTTAATTTACCCGTAAGCACCGTTACTAATTAGTTTAACTGTTTCAAAATCATCCTCTGATGGTCCTTTTAACTGTCCAGATGCTTTTCGGCTTCTAACACCATCATCAAGCTAAAAAGATACAATCTTTATAAAAATTCAGATTCCTGTCAAAAACTTATGTTGTACTTTATCTTCGATTTGTACGAAGTCTGCGTTTACTAATTCAGGGTCATCGGTGGAAAGTGGATCTTTATTCAGTCCTAATTGTGAAATAATGTATTGAGGAATATCATTTTTTCTCTGAAGCTTTGCTTTACGGTCTGCCACCTCTAATAGCTGAATGAAGTATTCCGGATCGAATTCCTGAAAAAACAGTAAGAATTCAGATAGATTCAAAAACATATTATTAAATCTTACTTACCAGGCACTCTCGTAATCTGGCGCACCTTGATATGATCATTAAAATTTTTTGCACTAATTTTCCTATATAGGGGGCACTAAGAGGAGACTTTTCTTTACACTACAAGGGATGAAAGGTAGATCAGATTGTTTGATGCAAGAACTCTTATTCTTATAAATCAATGAGTTATATACTACCTCTTTCAACAATGTTTCCATGTTTTCGCTTAACTCATAAAAGTAATTACTGGATAAGTTATTTTCTCTTGATTTATCTAAGCAATTTTGAGTCAGCTCTATTAGTTGTCTATGAACAAAACTGATTACACCATCACATTCAAATTCGCTATGAGGTTCAAATTCCCTATTTTGTTCTATAAAATTCTGCAGGTTCTCTTCCATTTGCTTAACAGCCTTAGAAAATTAAAATTTTTAAAAATAATAAGAAGTATTTTGATAAATTAGTACCTTAGGGAATCGTTCCCTATACATGTTATTTAGCAAAAGATTTTCATTTTCAAAACATGGAGATCGAGCTGGACTACTGCAAATAAGAAAGACAGTTACTCTATGAGACTATTAATTAATATCTAATCATTTGGAAGAGAATCTAATTTTAAATAATAGCAAGTGAACATTTTCTAGTAAAATAACTTTCATGTAACACAGTATTTGTACATTTTACAATAATAAAATAAAATTTTATAAAATGAAACTGTTAAACAAAAACATCCAATTCACTCCTCACTATTTCACAATGCCTACCTGAGACTTCTTGATCTAGGTCGACAGAATGGAGAGCAACGGCCACTGAGTTCATCAGAGGTTTGTGCATGATCCTGGCATAAGCTTGGGTTACTTTCATTGCTACTAAATCGTTGCTGTGCAGAAAAATTATGTGAATCATCCTGTATTTGGTGAGCTATTGGCTGGTGCAAGCGTTCATGAGACGAGTATTGAGACTGTTTGAAAAATCAGATTTAAAATGTTTCCATTTTTTGTTTTTAGCAAAAAAATTTTTGAAGAATATAATCATGCCCACGTATTGAATATCTTAAAATATTCACTATCCTACTGCGACATTCTGTCAAAAATACGAATCAAATACAACGAAAATTATTACCATTTGCTTCAATAAAAATAAGTCAGGTATCTGAAATTTTCATGCACCATGTATTGTCTTTCTCTGAGAATTACTAGATATGGAAAAAGCAACGAGATAGACTTACCGAAACATTAGAGCTGGCAGGAGTATTAGTGCCATATCCAGATGAAGGTAAAGACGCTACAGACCATCTTCGGCCATCGAGCCTAAAATCGTTATAAAATCGGTTAGGTGTAATATGAATTTAGCAACTCACTTTTTAGGTGGCAAGAAAGAGAAATGAGGCTGTTGGTGAGGAGATGCATTTCTTGGACTCTCTAGCGGACTTCCTATTAAAAAATATCCATTTTAGAAATATTATCAAAAATAGCAGTAATATCATCAGAATAGATAAATGACAAAATGTCAATTAAAAGATCATGAATTTGTAATTCAGTTTAGCATTATTTCTATTAATGACAAAAAATCCGTTTATATCCTCCATAATAAACACCTGTTAATTTTCGATATCTAGATGTAATGATAGGTAAACTAAGCGTTTGAGGTCGATGAGTTTTACTATCGTCTTTCGGTAGCATAGTTAGTGACGGAGCCTCACTACCAACTGATGTAGTGACGCATGCAAAACTCCTAGGCCTAATGCACCTTGATATGAGACGAAACGCTGTTAGCGCACTCTTTCATCAAGAAAGTAAATCAGATATTTCTATTTTGTTTTACAAATAGTTTTTGAATGCAGAAAAATTGTGATTGAAGTTTTAAAGATTTCAACACAGAAAAGTACAAATATCAAAAGATATAAACAGTGACGTACAAGTCTGTATTGAAATACCAAATCGATCACTTCCCTTATCGATTTGTAGCTTCAGTAAAATAGTTTAAATGTAGTCAACGAATAGTTATCATTTCACAATTAATAATTCCAAGTCATTGTATCAATAAATATTTAAATCCCTTTGCGGATTAAATTTCATTTATCTTTATTCCAGATGTACTCATACTTAGTGTCAATTTTTTGCGATTAATATTAAACATATTCTAGTGTTTTGAGAAGTAATTTTTTGTACCATTAAATTAAGTCTATGTGAGAAGTTACAGTATATAGCTTAAATATTAGATATTTTTTAAATCAAACTTAATCGAAAATATGATTAAATAACTTGTCTTATTTCTTATTCCTTTATAGTATGGCAAGTTATTATAATGTGCCATAACAAAACAAATACTTGTTTCTTTTAAAACCTAATAAATTATTTTTATCTCTGAAATAATCATTAAGAAATCCATCTTACAAACTATTGTGCTATATCGTGTTTTTGACTTCGTTACTAAGAATTTGAATCTAAATGTTATAGTAGACTGGATATTTCGATCAGCAATTAGCTTGAGTCTTTTATGATTAAAAAATACGATCAGAACAAACCAATAAGCGATCTGCACTTTTGAAGCCTGTGATGAGTTGGTGTTAGGTGAGTCGGAGTAGTCGGCACGATGGGCGAGTTTAATGACGATGACTGATTTACTGATGAATCGTCTTTAGACAGACGAAGGAACAGAGAAGAGTTCGCCTTCTTCAAGGCGTTCATTTGCAATAGATGTCTTCAAATTCCCACATTTAGTTGTCGACTATTCCCGTGTATATTTTCACGATCGACCCAATCAGATTGAACGACGTTTTCTAGATTGATCGATTCAATACATACAATTTCAGCTTCTGTAATGTTTTCTCAGCATGGTTACCGGTTCCTCGATCTTTTAGTTGAACAATTCATAACACGGAGTAGAGAGAGTAGAATCTTATTCTATCAAAAGCTGTTCCTATAGACAGTTTTGCAATGTCCACTTTTCTAAACAATCAGTGTAACTGCCTGCTGCCCTACAGCCATATGATCGATCGAAAAGCGAAACTCTGACTTAGTTTTATAAATATCTTATTAAAGTCCATTGAATCCTCAAAATACCTAAGTCACCGATAATTGATTAATTTTTCTATGTACAATATATCTTTGTTTGAGTGAAAAATGAGACGTCATGAAAATTGGCAATAGGACTTTCACTGAAAATTATGCGCAATAGCTTTCAGTATTGATCGTGGCTTGCCCTGCATTTCGTGACAAATTGGGTCAATGACCCACACAAAACAGAAATTTCATTGACTAGAGATGAGGGTTCTGCTTAAAATATAGCTATCCATTTATTGTTTGAAGGTTTTTCCTGAAAGTAACTTTCTATAGACAAATTTTCCATGAAAGTAATAATGATTGAACTGAACTAGTTTCAAATATATAAATTATAAGTAATTAAACTGAAACAAGCAATTATTACGTATAAATTCAACTCTAAAAATGAAAACTCATATGTTTGACATAGATTTGAAACATTTAGTCCTCTTTAGGATTCAATTTCGTAGACGAACACAATAGATGGCGTTAAAGTAATCTTACGATAGAAAACTAGGGCTTGGTGTATTCGAAAACATTTTTCTGGCTTTCTGATTTATATAGCATGCAGTCATTACTGCAGTCCCAAAAATTAAAAATAAGTTAAGATACCAAACATGATTGAAAGAATAGATTATGGAAGTATTACAATATACAAAGCAGCAAATGCGAAATCATAGAAATGTAAGAAAAATTTTCCTGCATTTAGGCATAAAATAGCAGCTGAAAAGATTTTATGCTTTTGTTGTTGCTCGGGTTAACGGCCGTGCTCCTGCATTATTACTATCAGTTTTTATACACTGATGAATTAGGTTCTTATACACATTCTTTCAGTCTATACCATAATATTAGTATTAACATAAACCTCACTATTTAATAAAAAATTTATCTTTCACCTCTATTGGAGGTTTTCGTAATTCGCTAATGATTGTATTTGATACTATGAAAAATTGATTGACAAATAGTGTCTTTTCGTGTTAATATAAATGTCAGATTAAATTTGTAAACAAGAGATATTATATACGAAGATAATCTTGTCATCTATAGCGTTTTGCTAAAATTGCCGAATAATTCGTCAACGTTTGCAACACAATGTTTATACTTAATTAGCTCTCTTAGTTTGATATATTTGCTCTATCTGAGTTCCTATCACTAAGAATAAATTGCTGTGAAAAGTCAAAAGGTCAGCCATAATCCCCAATATTATTTGATATCAGGATATCTAGGGGGAATATGAGAGGCAAACTTATAAAAGTTTGAAGAAATAGCAAGTGATATCAAAAAATGAGAACACCATTACTAGTAGTTTCGTATAGATATTTTAGATGCAAATACTAATAGTAAGAGAATGAGGCCGACATTGATTATAAGTTAAATAACTAATGGCCTACAACTGTTTATAATTTACGTAATAGGACTTACCATGTTGAGGCGATCCGCTTCTGTGTAACAGTGTAGGAGACATCCGGCCAACAAGAGATTTTCGAACTCGACTATTGTTCATATGTGAGGAGAAATGAATAAAGTTAGACGAGATATCAAAGCCAATATTGCCCTATAATGTTAATACGCTATTTATAGTAATTGCTTTTGGTTCAAATTTATGTACTTAGTCATATCTGTTAGGTATAAAAGTATATATTATTAAGAAAGAGAACAAGAGTGCGTTAATAACTTCAATTTATGCATAAGTGTTGTAGCTTGAGAAGATGATTTTGAAAGCCCTGTTTCCTTGCGAAGACGAGGAGAAAGAGGACTCCGCGGACTCGATGGATCGGATTTAGAGACATTTAGTTCATCTTTATTGTATTTACACTTCGAATACAAACTCTGCTCCAAGGACATACTCCGTATATGATATTTATCCTGACGTTCGGGGATGATCACCCATTCTACTTTATTCACATACGGCAAACATTAGTACGCTAGCGCCTCCTACTGTGAGTTTTCAATTCTTTTTAATTCTTTGATCGAATTAGATTTAAATAAAATGTCTCATATGATAACAATAATTTACAAGTCAATCCTCAAAGAAATTATCTTTTGAAAGCATAATAATAAGATCAAAGTCAGAAAAAATACAGGCAATAACAGAATAAGAAAAAAAAGCAAGGAAAACGACTTGTTTGACAACAATTCAACGATATGGAACGACTTCCGCGAAACGGAACGATCAATGACTCTCTCTTATGTAGGAGAGGTAATAGCTTACGAAGTTATACGGAGATAAAAATTAAAATCTGAGAGAAAAACTAGACTCAAATAATTCTAATACCAGCATTAAAAATGATTTTTTGCAATAAATTTACGATATCCCTCCTAACAGTAGAGATGGCGCCATATTCGAAGTATCTCAAACTAGATATGTTTCTCTACCTCCCTCCTTCCCTCTCTCGCTCTCTCTCTCGCATTCTATTTTTGTCTCTTGGCCTAACACAATGGAAAACGTGTTTCCTGAAATGAGAACAAAATGTACAAACCTTGGCCTTTGGGTTGGGGCACCTAATTCTCTCTGCAGGAAAAAAAATGGAATATTCAGAAACTTATTTAACAAAGATTATAGCAAGGTCGAAGATGAGCACTGCTTGAAGATCATCTTGTATAGTGACATTAGACTCTCTAATATTTTTTATAAAAGTATATATTATGAGATAAAACGTTGCAAGCGTGTACTTCTAATTATTTTCCCCAGTGTGCAATATACAAAACCTGAAATTTGTGAAGAAAGGAGTAGTTTATATTTGAATCACCAGAGCAACTATTATGACACATCTTGTTTCTTAAGGCAGGAGAGGAACAAGAATTTGACAAAGACTTATGTCGTAAAATAGGCGACGATGGTAAAGAGCTAGTCGACAATACGTTTCTTGTATTGATTTTCAGAACTTTTTCATTTCTTAGTGTCCTTATTGTGGGGGATTTAAGTATAGGTATTCCATATGATGTTGAATTTTCACTTCCCAAATCATCATCACTACTAGAGAATAGTTTTTCTAGTTTAAAGTGCTGTTCATCGGGATCTTCTGGTCGGCTATTCGTAATTGAACGAGTATCATTTTGCTGGAGAATAGTCAATAAGCCTGATTTCCTACTTCTCTTTGGCTCTTCATATCTCTTTTGGTTTTCTTCCTCACTAGATTGGCCGTAAAATATAACATCTTCTGTACTTATACATGCTTCGGTATCTGTTTCGTCTTCCTCAGTAATACTGTCTACTTGAATTCTTGAATTAATCATTCCAAGGTTTAGATGGTAAATAAATTAGCTAATCAATCTTGCTATAAGTTTGATTAGATACGTAAAAGCCTTGTGAAAGATAAATTATTCTATATATCTTATCGATCTTTTAGAAGCTTGATTTTTTTCGAATAATGACAGGCCATAGACGATACTAATATTTTGGACGAAAATATTTTTAATCTCTTGCAGTCCTGAATTACATTTTATTCGCTTTCACTCTTTCTCCGCCTTTAACGATCGTAACTTTAACCTTTCATTGTATAAACATATCCTTTCATATATCTTAGCTAAGCTTATAGAAAGGGTTATTAATGACAATTCCGATTGGTAAAAATAATTGTTTACATTTATTTCGTAAACGTTGTTGCACTTTTAATCGCTAAATAGATAAGCTAGCATGGCAGATATTCATAGGCAGTCTGCTAAATATCAATTGGCCTAAAGATAATTTTGGCCTTTACGTTTCTCCTTTCTTTCGGTTCTTTCCGTAAACGGTTGACGATTTAACCTAAAAATTATTACAAGTAGCCTTCTGTCCTCAGAGTGTGCATTAAGCGGTGAATTTTTAAGATGAACTAAAATAGTTCCTTTTATGATTGTATTCATCTCAGTGAATAAATTTTAATATGCTTAAAAGTTTATTTCCCAATTTATAAATAATTCCGAGTTTCACAAAGCTAACTTATTCTCTATATTAAAATTTTTATAACAAAACTTTAAGATTATGGACAAATTCCACCAATAACAGGTAATAAGTGGCAAGACAATAAACTTAATAATCAAACAGCTCTCATATCTTAATTTCAATATAGTATGTCTGTAAGAACAAGTATATGTGGCTTTTCTAACTCAATTTAATGATATCAGCTTTTATGGCTTCTATATTGTGACTGAAGTAAATTAATAACCCTGAGAAATAAACTCAATGAATAGTTTACGTCGTCTAATTGATAACATCATAGAAGAGAAAAACCCTTACTCCATGTCCGTTCAAAACTGGAGCCGACTGTCCGTAGGAATTTCGTAAGATTGGTAAGTTACTATGTGTTTCTATATGATGTAAATAAAATATGTTTACGATTTATATTGATATAAAAGATCAAATACTTTCTGACTTACCAAAGAAGGTTAATTGTTGACATACTGGCATGCTTCCCCGCCGTCTTGAAGAATCATCGGCTATAGACAACATATACTGAACTCGATCGCATCTTAATGGCAGGTGCATATGGAGACCGTCCTTTACATTTGAAACGGCCAATATTCCAGGGGATGAGCAAGACTACAAAACATAAAATATCGAATAAAATTATTTCAGAGCGGGAGTGGAAGTAGTATATGTTATATGATAAATTGGAGAATTTTACAAATAGCGGTTCATACAGGTATTCATAAGCTTACTATTCAATAAATAGGCTCTATAAACGCTTATGAATCATTGAACTCCAATTAAATAACAAACGAGAGAAACTAAATTGGAAAACACTAAGCTTTGTAAGTTTTACATACATGAGAAAAACAATCTTCTTCTATGCTGCTTATTTTGATATTCATTCTACAACTTCTCCGCCAAGTCACTTTTGGCAAATAGTCGCAATAATGTGGAGCAGATTTACTACGTTGTCTCTTCATTGCTTATAAGAATTTGAACTTATTCTTGTTAGGTCCATAATCAATTCTTTGAATAATATGTTGTTACTTAATGGTTAAAAAGATTCTATTTTCCAGTCACTTTCAAGGAACACAATTATTGAATAATTCACATAAAACTGCTGCCGGCCATCACTCATGAAAAAACTGCTTAGATTAATAAATGGTATAGCGCGTCTTTCTACTGACGTCACAGACTAATTGCAGTGACGCTGACATGATCGAGTGATGATTCGATTTGAAAGAGAGAATTCCTAGCAGTTTGACTAATGATTCAAACTTCATTATAATATTATACCACTTTCAACATAATCTAGCTGAATATAAATTTAAGAGTTCTTACACTTCCTATTTTCATTTTTTTTTTTATCCCTCAGCGATTCATATTTCTTTCATATGCCTCTATTAACATCTAATCTGAGTAACATAAAATTAAATGTTTCTTAAATTAACAAAAATATTCTTTTACAAAAACGTGCTATAAATTACAGTTGCATAAAATTAGTTTATCGATAATTATCTATTGAAGATGTTTGCTTGCAAACGCCATCTTGTAGATACAGAAAAAACTTGGCTTGGAATTTTTAATTTTCTTCGAATGAACTCAAGTAATCTTTTTAAAACTTTTGAAATTTGAAGCATTTTAATAATAGTATATGGCTAAAAATAGTATATCAGGTGGTTATGAAAACATGTGTTTTTAGCTTTCAGGTCATAAAATGGATTACTTTATGTCCAATCGTTCTGTTTTTCGAATTTCATTACTTTACATGTTAGCTATACAAAGTTATTTTCAGCAAAAAAATTTAAAATTTCATTTTTTTATGCAATGATTTTCAAATCTATAAAAAAATTCACTAACTAGACCATAGCATTTCCTATAAGTATAAAAAAATTAATAATGTACTGATAACACTTTCTCAGACATCCAACACAACAAGGAGGAAAATCCGCAGTTAAGAACAATATCTACATTACAGTATGATTGCATTGTATCGTTCAAAGCTTAAGCGAGAATCGCCTGAATCAACAAACTAATTATCAAAATTTGGTGAGCCTCTAATAAATATTCTTAGATTATTGATTGTTAACGTTCCTATAACACTCAACAACGATAGATTCGATCGCTATCATCAATATTTATTTAAAAACATTTTTTACTACTCCAATACGTAAGAATGATCAGAAATCGGCTTCTAGTCGTAAAAGACAATCTAGAATTGTCAGTTTTGCAGATTATAAACCTGGTAGTGTACCTGCCGCGCAACATATTATAAACAGTGCTATATACGGTTACACGCGTTCGTTTTTAATAGTGTAAAAGCAGCGTTTATTCTAGATGTTATTGTCTTCCTAAGTAAAATATTTTTTTAAGTGAGATTAATTTAGACATAAATTTTACGTGAAGATAGCAATGAAAGCTATGGCTAGTTTTTGTTTCTATTAAATAACAATGGGCAGAGAAAAATATTCTCAGGTTAGAAAACAAAGAGAGAAGAACCAACCTACCATATTGGGTACACTTAAGCGATTTTCCCTTTGAAATTTGTTACTCTCGACTTCGGCACTGGATCTTCTTGAACTAGGAGCACTCTGAACACTGAGATATCCACCAATTGCTGGGCTTGTATTGATTTCGGCACATTTCGATTGATCAGGCTCGTCACATAAAGTTTCTCTGATGTCCGGCACACTTCTTTTTCCTATTATACTAGGTCGTAGGGATGTGCTATTCTTTCGGACACGGATATCCGGAGCACTCTTTCGAATAGCGCTCATATTTTATGCTGCTATAATAATCGAGCAGAATGCAAACCTATAAGTGCAAAATTTGTCGAACAGAATACCACCTATAAAAGGCTTACGAGTCAACCGTCACCTGTCATCCAGTGCAAAGTCACGCTGTGGCGTTACCGTCGTTGCGCGCGCAGCATGGAATTTATTCTTTATCTCTGATAATTATATTGTCGAAATAAGAAAACTGTATAGAAAATATCAATTTTTCAAATCACTACGGCTGTATTCGTATAACAAAGTAAGGCAATATACAATGCAAAATTGTAAAAATAAAAATGAACTGAGTATGAAATCTTAATGGGTTGTGCACATCGTAAAAAGAGGATGCTTAATTAAATCTTTTGCAGCCGATCGGTCGCCCTTGACTATTTCAAGGCAACGTAAACACAAATCTTTTAGTGGAGGACTCTCGATTGTTGGTAACGGAGGTCCTTCGGTGGCACAACCGATTCGAAATATTAAGGCATAGTGCTTTTCATAATGTCGATCAGACCAAGGCGGTTTTGCTGTAAGCATTTGTATAATTATACACCCCACTGACCATACATCTGCTGATCTTCCATAGCTTTCCCCTTTCAAAACCTCAGGTGCCATGAAAGGTATGGTACCCATTAACTCATTTCTGAATTCGTCTAATCCAGTCATATCTCCTTGTAAAGTTGCTGAAGCTCCAAAGTCAGCAATTCTTATTCTTTGCCCACTACTGTCAACTACCAAATTAGCACCTGTAAGTAAAGGAGGCCAATCATAAATAGGTTTCTGTATCATTTAAAGTAATCTAGTACCTTTTAAATCCCTGTGTAAAATCCTATTTTCATGCAAATATGCTAATCCAAGAATGACTTGTCTAATATATTTTATGGTTACATTTTCAGTGAAGCAACCGTAGGTTTCCAGCAAATTTGCTATTGACCCACCAGGCATCCATTCGGTGAACATAAAAAAATGAGACCCGTGTCTCGTCGCTCCTAATAATCGAAGAATATTCGGATGGGAAAGTTTACCAACTAGTCGTATTTCTGCTTCAATTTTTGCTATTTCTACTTCTTCATCTTTTTGATTATTTCTGACCAAACATATCTGTTTGCAAGCCATAAGAGTACCAGTACGTTTATCTCTAGCAAGATAGCAAGTACAAAATCCTCCTGTACCAATAGTAGGACCTTTCACCCAATGAAGATTTTCAATATATGGTTCAACATTATGTGTTTCGGCTTGATCAGTTACATGCGAATCTAGTGGTAAACATTTTAACCCTGGAACATTTGGTAGTTTACTTTGCTGCTCAGATCGCAGAAGAGCCTCAACAAGGGCCTTATCCTCTTCAATTTCAACTTCTTCTTTACATTTGCACTCATCTGAATTTTTTGTTGGAGAAGTTGCAACTTCAATCGTAAATACGTCTTTATCTTCATCCAGTTCTGAAAATCTATCATCTGTTGATTCACTGGTCAAATCAGTAATTAAGCTGTTTGATATATCTGATTCTATTGCAAGTTTTTGAGTTTCTGATGAAGAGTCATCGTCTATGAATCCTAATCTTGATTCTGGTCGGAAATATTCACCATTTTCTGGAATAGCATCTATTGTAGTAGATAATTTATCATCTGTATGGCTAATTTTGAGAATATTTTGCATACAAGAATGATGTAATTGGTTTTCATTCAAAGTAGAATTTTCTAATGATATATTTCGTAAAGAATTTACTACTTCTTGATTTGATAGGGTTTCTGATAGATGAATTGACTTAATGCTACACTTGCCATGATCAATTGTGAAACATTGACAGCAAGATGGTGCTGAACAGTTCTGGGTCAGGGGTAAACCTTCTGTGGTGAGTGAAGTATTGTCACTTCCCCACACTCCATCTGTTAATTTTTCAGGCGCTGTAAGAGGTCTGTCATCTTCTTTGGGTACTGGAACAGAAGGAGGAGCAATAGCATCACTTTGCAAAGGTTGACAATGGTAGTATGTGCCCGCCGTAGAATCTCTCTCGTAACTATTAGTTTGCACCTGATGTACATGGGTAGTGTAATTACTATCTGCTAATAATTCTCTTTGTGGAGGTTCATTCTTTATTGGCCATATTCTTTCAAAGCTATTAGCTAGTTTTTTTCTTATATAGTCTGCAATAGAAAAGTCAGAATTTTCATATTGAGTTAAAATCCACTTGATGCCATGATCGTCTTGAATTTTAATGATGTTAAAAAGTAGCTTTTTCGATAGTGTTGCTACTTTCACGTGGTTAAAAAAAAATGTCTTTTTTAGAAAATATAGTGTCATGTTAATCTTGTGTAAATTCGAACATTTTCGAGAATTCTTCTCTCCAATACATTCATTCAACAGAAAAAACGATTTGTATCTGTCCAAAAGTAGCTCTAAAGCAAATAAGCGACCTAAGAAATGCTGAAAAGGAGTAGAGTCCCTTGTCTCATCAACGCCAGATATGCACTCCAACACTAAGGTAAGCTCATCAACGCCTGTAGGTGAAAATCCATCTAATTCTTTTCCTATAGATAATTCACCTTCCTGGCCTTTGATAAAGCCGAGAATAGCCGAAAGGGATATGACTTTCGTTTTTCTGTTATAATTAATATTACATGGGTACGATGTTTTTAAATACAAACTACTTACCTGTTTGAGTTGGCGCACTTATTTAATAAGCTATCTAAAACAGGTTTTAACAGTGTTTCTAGTCTATTTCGTTCTGAATCATTTCGGCATGGTGTGAAAGCTAAAATGTTCCTTAGCGTTTTCTGTAAAGTTAGTTTCAAATAACGTCTACTGTAGTTTTTAATATATATATATATTTACAAACCAGACTCTGAATGAAAACTTTGTAAACAGGATCATTTAAAGTAAAAGCAATTATTTTCATGCTACATTGTAGTATATTTGTTTGGATGCTGACATCATGTGCCGATATTGAAAGCGTTTGAGATGCTGTCTTAGACAACTCTTTAAGACCTGTTTCTCTGAAATTCCAGTTTGTTGAAAGTAGACAGGAGGATAAATTTTCTCCAATAACGGTACCCCACTCCACAAGATATGGTTGTAAATCGGCTGAAACTGGAATAGTGTGAGGCAACTCGGATGTATTCAATCCGGGGGATACAGATGGTAGAAGGAGACTATCAGAATTAGCTGTAACTTCATTATGGGCTATGTTAGTATGCCATTTTTCATCACAAAGTGGGCATGTTAATCTTCTCTCAGATTTTTGACATTCAGCAAACCCTTAAAAATATAAGACTATTACCACAGGAAAGTATACAGAAAATTTTGGGTATACATCTGTCAAGGCAGTGATGGTGATATTTGTTTATACATTTATCACAATTGTTTAAGCTTTCTCCATCCAGGATTTCGCTTAAGCAAATTGGACAGCTTTCCTCCTCATCCTCTAGTCTTAAACTTTTATAAAAACACGGTTAACTTACGTTTCTCTATTTTTTTATCTTAACAACTCACCCGTCTTGAGAGTCTTCACTTAATGAGCCATCCGTTGTTGTGCAGCTCTCTGTCTTCGAATGGATGGATTCGCTCATTCTTCTTTTCATATCGGCTATTCTCTGCTCTCGTCGCTGATAGTATTTCCTAAACAAGGCTTCCACTTCAAAATTTTTAAGTTGGACGCTCCATAAAGAAGGATCGTTTCTCTCAACCTTAAATACTCGAAGCATGACGAATAAAATGTGAAGACACTGCTTTCTAGTGCAACTGCAACTTTGAGGACCAATTACAACTTTATATTTATGATCTGGAGCGTCTCCACCAATCAAAAAAGAATTGGGACCTCGCTGTTGCAAGAGATAAAATCTAACTTTTAAAGCTTTTTCAACTTTTTTCTTTAAATTTGGATCTTCAGCCATAACATTTGGTGAAGGAGTTCGACGATTAGCAAATGCCTGTAATGCAGCTTGCTTTCTGTCCTCCTGAACAAATACAGAATTTGATAGATCTATTCATTTCATATCGTAACAAAAATACCATAGTTGAGCTCTGTATGCGAGCAGATTTTGAACGGATGACTTTTGAAGAAATTATTGTAGATTTAGACTCAACCACTTGCCGAGCAAAAGCAGTATCTACGGTCGTTCCCGAATGCCTCCTCTTCAGCTTTGTTTCCGACAAGCATGGCTTTAATTATCAAACACACTCTTTAGCGACAAATTTTTAAGAAAATCTTTGTTTAACTTACAATGCTACTACTTTGTGTTCTACTTAAATTTTTTGCTATAACCGGTTTATTTCGTGGTTTATCGGATGGATCTCGTTTCAATTTCGCATTTTTCGTTGAATTATCCCTTTTAATTCTCAAATTTTCCTTAATCTGATCCAAATCGAGACATTTATTCATTTTTCTTATTGGAATATTAGATTCCCTTGAATTTAAGCTAGAAAATGAATAATAAATTCTTGTATAATAAAACTTTATATTGAAGTTTAAATAATTGGCTGCATTAGTGTTATATAAAACTGGTTACAGAATTCTCTGAAAGGGTTAAAACTAATTACATAAGAAATGAAAGTATATATATATAATATTCACAGTTGGTTCATTTTGCCATCCTTACCTGTTTGATTCATTAGGTTGATCGCAATGCGCCTCTTGATTATCGTCATTGTGACACAATCTTCCAAACTTTTTATCGATAAATTTAGATATCTTACATGTCTTCATAATGTCTATTCCTTCTCTCTGCTTTTCCATGACCACTAATTAGTATAAATAAGTTAGTAATTAGTCACCTAATACCCGCGTTGTTTACATTTAACCAAAATTTTAACAGATAGCTATGGTTAACAATGTCATAAAGTATACGTAAGTAAATTTTTTTAAAATAAGTTAACTCACAACATTTAGAACGATCTTTGAAACAGATTATATTATGAGAAGTTCTCAGCTTTAAATCATTGATATAAAACAAATTTCAAATTGGAATTTCCGAAGGAAATGCCTCAAACTGAGCCTCGTTTTGGAAATCATAAGTAATTTTCGTAGTATTCAGTATATTTACTATCTGTAAAAAATAAAAATTCCTCTGCATTTAACACTGAAAAATCTGCGCAAATTAGAGTTTTTACGAAACTGCTGATATTACCTCTTTATTAACTAATTCAAAAGTCGAAAAGTTTATAATGTTGTGGTTCAATCAAAATATTACTTAGAGTAAGATAAACTATCCGTAATCATTGTAAAGATAAAAAGAAATTTCTGGAGAATTTAAAATATAACAAAATAGACAAAACATTACCACAATAACATTTCACATAATATCAATATTTCTTATAGTATTTTTTTTTCAATGCTTATTTATTGAAAAACCTGAGAAAATTTTAGAATTGACAAAGTTCATTTAAAAATCTGTATCATAGACTGAAAATAGAGCATATTATCTTGCTTTCTCCAGTAAGCCAATATTTTTCAACAGTTTATTTGAATACCAATAAAATATTGATTTTCCTTGGCGGCCAACATTCGCTTGGTGACAAGTGTATTTTGCTGAACAACACGGTTGGGTTTAATATAATTTGCCATTGGAGTGAATTTGAACTTTCTTGAAGTATTTCAGTGACAAAATCGAATCTGACTAAGAAATATACCAATTCCTTCAAAACATCATAAGATGGACTTATGTACTGATTAACTTGCCAGTGAGTATAGAGTAGTTTATAACCCTTCATTAATCGATCTGCTTTAGTTCCCACCTGTCTCACCAAAGTAAATCTTCCGAAAATTTATTCCAAAGGATGGCACAAAAATATGCGAAGGCTATCGCTTTTTCTGATAAAAAATCGAAAATAATAATAAAGAAGCATTTACAAGTAAATTGATAGATTTAATACATATCTTCTTATTTTTTAACGAAAATATCTTTTAAAGAAGCGGCCTTTAGGTAAAATTGAGGCTGAAAATGACTTTATTCCTCCCCAACCACAGCTTAGCAGTACATCTGTTAATCTTGATGTGAACTCAAGTCAAAGACTATACCAATCTAAAAGCAGCGAGGATATTATCGAAGAGCAACATAAAGTTATTCATCAAGCGTATAAATTGGCTAGGTCAGTCGTAGTTGTTAAGATATTAAAATAAAATAGCCCGATTCATTTAAATAGAGATCGGAGATCAAAATCAGCAGTTATCGGAATTAAGAGACCACGATTTCTCATGCGTTCAAGTAGTAAGGCTTTACAATCTTTGAGTGGTAATAATTAAAATGGTGAACTATTTTCAATCATTCATAATTATTTCTATTTAGTCTATGGCTCACGTCCAGGATCTTGTCCAATCGGTATAAACGAATCCAGACGGTCTGGCTCTCCTCGATTTGCGACAAGAAAAAGGCCTAAAACAACAAGTTTGTACTATGAGATAGTGACATTATTTTTTAAAAAGTAATGCAATTAATTTCAGATTTTAAGCGAAACAATAAGGTACATCCAGTTACAGAAACTCATTGGGACATTGAAGAAGTAAAATGCACGAGTTTTAATCGCCAATTAAAAGTTTGTAAATTTAAAATTGAAAGGTTTCACTAAATTTAGTGTACTTGTTAAAAGTCTGCTAAGGATGCTGTAAGAGAGAGGTTTGAGGACAAAAATCACAATATTACCCAAGGTTATTATACCAGGGGTCACAGAAAGGAAGACGAATTATCAAAATCAGAAAGTTTTTTTGGAAAAAAAATGGTAGATATGACTTTTCTAGAAACCTTCTCCTCAAAGAAACGAAAAGATGAGGACTTGTTTACTATTAACTGCGAGACCGGCAGCAAAGTAGCGAAGCAACTAACTATAGGAGATTGTATTAGAATAGGAATGAATGGCATTCAAGCCACAAACAAACAGTCATGCTCGTATGTATATATTATTACATTATATTTACAGACTTTCTTTTACCTGACTTGATTATTTTGTTTTAAAGAATTCAAATCGGTGAGGATAATATAACAAACTTATCTGAAGAGATCATTACTGCAGAAAAAGTTCCACTCTGTTGGGAAGACCAACTAGTAGATCCCCACTCAAAAGTGATGAAGGCCAAAGCGCCCAAAGCAAAAATATGCCAACCTGTAAGAATTAGTAGCCAGTAATGAATGATAATTTTATAAAACTAAATTCGTTTGACAGAATCTATGTGAATCCCATCCTGTAATATTTAGAAAATTGGTTAAGGAAGAAGACTATAACGAGGAAGAAAATGTATTTTTTCGATCAAAATCAAAAGTGGCTACAAATCGCTCCGCAGTTAAATTCAAATCCAGACCAAAATCAGTAACATGTTCCCAAGTAACAGATTTAGCAGAAAATCTTCAAAAGTCGAACAGTCGAATTTCTGAGCTATCTTTTGACAATGAACCGTTAACAAGTCCAAATATCGTATATGATGATATTGTTAAAAGTAAAGTAGAATCAGTTTCTAATCGAACAAAATCAAAGATTGCTGATGCTTCAGTGACATCGGTTGCTTTTACATTTAATTCAATGGATGTTGAGGCAGCATCCAGACCAGAGAGTGGAGTTAAAGCTGACGTGTATACCGAAGAACAATGCACATTTTTAACGGGATCTCAATACTATGGATCCCTCCTACCAAAGCCTCCACCTACTGCTCCATCTACAGCAGTCCATTCCGATCTAGACTTACAAGATGTAATAGTCAATACTAGAAGCGGAAGGTCCATAGTAGATAAAAGAAGAACATATGGTAAAGGAGCTGCAAACTTCAGACCACTCATATCTAGATCTTTGTCAAAAACTACTAACGAACCTGTAAACGATAAGTCTTATATTCAAATAGCTTCGACAATAAAAGCTCCTGAAAAGAATGTCGCAAGGATCACTATGAAACCTAAAATACAATCCGATGCAAAACAAAATATGAAGCCCCATTCAAATGCCCTACAAGTAGTGACTAACAACAACAGTAAAGGAATAAAGAATCGTATATCTCCAGTTGATCTTATTATTCCAGAAGATAGAAGAGACAAAAGTTGTAAAGAGATCCAGTCATCAGGAACACGGTTTGCTGTTAGTATTCCTACAGGACGTGAAGTTGACACTGGGTCTCGGACAGATGATCAGTCAAGTATGAAGACTGATACTTTGAAACGCAACAATCTGATCAAACACTCGAAACAGACTTATATTTAAGTATGTGCTTTGTGTGTACTTTTTAAAGTGTGCCAAATTAATATGTGAATTTTTACAATTAAACGTTATATATGATCTTTCTGAAATTAAAATTACTAAATTGCAAAAGAAATGACACTACGCGCCTAAACTATCACGTGGTCATGGAATCAGCCAATCAGTATGATTTTTACAAGAAGTAAGCGTGAGTCTCGTTTTCAATTATCGTAGAAATTACCCAATATGGCGGAGGTTGGTTTGTTTCCATGTTTCGTTAGAATTATTATTTTCAGAAATCTTAGGCTGTAGAATACAAATTTACATTTAATTTTTTTACCTATAAAGTGTGTAGTGTTTAATTTTATTATTTTTTCAAATGTTTTCATTCTATAAGCATAATTTTCGTTAATTTTATTATTTCGTAAGGGTTGCAGTACTAATTAATCGCTTTAGTTCTATTTTGATATCCCATTATGATTACTATATTGATAAAAAGGACAGGTTATAATTTAGACAATATATTTCAGATCGCCGGTTCTGATGGTCCCTCAGTCAAAGGTAAAATAGTCTTATAATCTTCTATTTTTCTTTGTTAAGTCGCTAAATAAGTCTTACAAAGAGTTTATATTAAATTTTGCAATTTATGTACTTATTTTCAGATTCTGATCGAGATTTTGATCCTGGAGCGGATATATACAAGAACGATGATGACGATGAAAGAACCTTAGAGGAGGAGGAAGCAATGAGTGCGACCAGTAGCTGTGCCAATGAATTGGATGATTTACAAAATGTAGATTTTAATTTAATTAACAGAATTATATATTTTTAGATAATTTTTTCTTACTTTAGGAGAGTGATATACCTATTGAAAAACTGATGGCAATGTATAGCTATCCCGCTTCATCAGATTTCCCTGACAGAAGATCTAGTAGTGACGAAGAATTACTCAGTAATTTAAGCAATCAAGATTTAACTCTTGATAAGGAAGTTATTGCTCGAGATCTTCTGAAAAATAATAATGACGCTGATGAAGCTGGAACAAGTGTTGATGAACTGCTTGATACTGTTTCAGAAACAAAAAAGCTACTAGAGGGTGGGTAGTTAATTCTGTAGTATATTCGTAACGATATTTTTTCAACTCCAGAGAATGCTGAAGAGTCAGAAGATGACGTAGATTACGAACCAGAACGAAATGAAGAATGGAAAAAGGTAATGTTGAATAGCCATATTTGTTTAGTTAACTAATGTATTGGTAATCATAGACTATATGTATTGGGGTATCATATCAAGCTGTGGTACCTGACGGCCTAGCTCATTATGGTGACACTCCACCATATGAAAATGATGACAAACTTCTCTGGAATCCGGAAGCTACTAATGCCGATGAAGGTACTATCATTTAGTCCCTGTCAATTATTTACTCTTTATTTTTGAACAGTTGATCAGTATCTGAGAGATGTTCAATTGTTAAGACTCAAAGTAGAATCAGATTCGATAAGTAGCCTTCCCATCGGAAGTCATTTACATGACGACGAGGAGGCTTTGCAGGTTCTATTAGAAAGCAGCTATTCAACTGAGGAAGCTTTGCGTCGGACAAAGATGAAATTACCGCACGCTACTTCACAAGTCTTCACCTTATGGTCTGAAGAAGAGTGCCGCAACTTTGAAAATGGTCTCAGACATTATGGAAAAAATTTCAATTTAATTCATCAGCACAAAGTTAAAACCAGAAGCGTCAAAGAACTGGTAAATTTTTATTACTTGTGGAAGAAAACTGAACGACATGATGCTTTTGCTCAAAAAGCTCGTTTGGAAAAGAGAAAATATGGTTTAAATCCTGGTATAACAGACTATCAGGATCGCTTTTTAGATGAGGCAGAAACAGCAGTCAGTAGCAATTGTCAGGTTCCCCCAACTCATAGATCCGCCTCTCCTTTGGTAAATTCATTAATTTACGGAGATCCCAAAAGACAGCAGCATCATAGTCCATATCACCACCTAAAATCGGCGGAGGAAGTTATTGCTGATATGCTTGAACCATTTGCAGAAAAGATATCATCAAGTTTGGAGAAATTAGAAAACGATGCTGTTGTCCAACCTTCCTCATCCAATTGCAATGGCACACCACACGTCACTGCTGTTTTGACGAGCGCCGTTGCTCAATAGATTGTTAACTTTGTTCATGAATTTTTGTGATCTCAACCACTTTTTGTGCTTGCGAGAAAAATGTAGCTTACAAATATTTCTTATCAGTAACTATGCAAAAAGAAGCATTTTGAAAACACTAATTGTAAACTAAACGATAAGATTACCAGTTTCGATTTTCTTCTATATATAAAATGTAAAATCTCAGATTAGGAAAATTTGTTCTTTTCCTTCCCAAACAAGTTTGATTTGAAAAGAAAGCAAGTACTTTTATAAAATTATATTTTTCACGTCTATATAATATGACATTGAGTTTCGGCTATCAACATGTATTTTTAACTTGTAAATAAACAACATTGTATATATAAATGAACATTAACTTATCCTAAACGCTAATATTTTATAAAATTCTGTTTGAACAATCCATGTTATTATCGAAGTAATCATATACTGAAAGAGAGAAAAAGTTATTTTTGTAAATCTGTGCTGAAATTTTAAACATGAATATTTATTCAATATCCTTAAATATATGATCTCTTGCGGACACAGAAATTTGGAAATCGGCTGGTTTTCTTGTTAATCCTCCCTGAATTGGATGACATGATGACAATGGAGAAGCATTTATTGTATGAAAGCTAAATTTTTTCATAATCGAAGCGAAAATGAGGAATATTTGCACTAAACTCGTTTGCTGCCAAGCACAGCTCCTTTCCCCTACATATACATTTAAAATAATTCTTAAAAAAAGCCCACTATTTAGATACAAACCTATACCGAAAGGTACCCAATATTCTGGTATCGTCACTCGGCGAACATCATTTAAAAATCTCTCTGGTACAAATTCTTCTGGCTCTTCCCAAAGCTTAGGATCTCTTGAAGTTGCAAAGAGATTTAACCACACTTCAGTCCCTCTTTTTATTGAACGCCCATCTATTGTAACACGAGAGAGAGTAGCATGTGGAATAGCAATTGGATAGATACAACCCAGACGAAGAGATTCCAATACACTAGCTTCAGTAAAAGGTAACTTGTGACGATCTTTTAAAGAAGGTAATTTCTCCTCGGGTATTATGCTATCTAACTCCTCCTGAACTTTCAGCTGAACGGAAGGATTATCAATCATATAATAAATGCACCACGATAAAGCACTACTTATAGGCTCTACGCCACTTATTATTAAATCTTCAACAATATCATCCAACCAATCTTCATTTGGCTTGAAGCTTCTTGGAGTGTTAAAGATAGGGAAAAATAAATCTTGAAAGTATGTTTGAACAAAATCTTTCGGTTTTTGTTTATAAGCAAAGTCACTAACTGTTGTTTTGTGCTCAATGTTACGTTGTTCTAAGAAGTGTCTAAGGAGCTTTAAACATCGTTCATACTCCTTCCATTTACCTTTATAATTTGGATGATAATACAAAAGTGGATTATATTTAATTGAATCCACTTCACTTATCTTTTCAAAGAGATCATATAACATATAATATATTTGCTCCCCGCTTGTGTCTGTCAAAGGAAATCTTTCGTTGTAGAGAGTCTTAAGTAACAAATTCGTGGAGGTTTTCATAAATAATTTTCGAATTGGTACCGTAGAATCTTTCTTGATGGCTAATGTTTTATATAGATCTGTTATTTCTGTTTGGATGTCTGATTCAAGGGTACTATTCATCCTTTCGAGTAGGGCACAAAAATAAGAGCATGATTTTTTTTGACGTCTCCACTCCTCTGAATAGTTTGAATGAGACAGCCCCCTTGTTAAAATTTTTTGCTTCTCATCATCCGTCTCGAAATATTTCGGTCGTCCACAGAATGCTAACCCATTGTTAACAAGAAATTTCTTCATATCAGGAAAGTCACAGACAACAATGATGAATCTAAAGTTATACAATTTGATTAAATAGATTTGTAGCATACTTCATTTTTTCTTTTTACCTGTTTCCTTTTGAGATTGAAAAGACGTTACCGTACGTTCTTGACAGACGAGATAAATCCACCAAAGCATTTGGATCGTGTCTAGATATTATAGGTGTTGTACCATAGAAAGGTAAATGCCATGGCCCTTTAGGGAAATTTTTGGGTCTCTTGTAATTAAACAGCAAGTACAAAAGGCCAGTAAGAATGAAGATAAAGAAGAGGAATAGTCTATTTAGTTCCATGTAATACAGAGCTTTAATATCAATAGTTGAGCCAACTATCCTATCTTTCGATGACATTTTTAACCGTCTACAAACGTTTTACAGTATTCTTTTGATAGAATCCCTGCACATACAGACACCGCCTAAACAGCATAGTCTTCCACTTGCTTAGCAACGTAGTAGTCAATTCGGTTGCTAGGTGACGAGTAAGGTTTCTTCTTAGGTTTAAACATTGAGCCAAATTAAACTTAGCAACAGTGCAATTACAAAGTTGGTTCCATCGAAAGTTATATTGCAATAAAAAGCGAAAAAGATAATGATATATTGTGTATAAGTACAAATAACTAGAAACAAGTATATTAATCAAAACAAAAATACCGTAACATAAATCGTTAGTAAAATAACTCCTCCGTTAAGTACGCTTACCGGCAAGGAGACGACTTAGTATTTGAGATTTGAAAATTACTTATACGTGTCAAATAGTTTCTTATGAATATATGATCTATAGGAAAAGCTAATAAACAGATCAGATAATAATTTCGTATTGTGAGATATGAAACTATTGAAAGTATGCAAACTCTTCCGAAAGTGTTAGCTTTAGAATTTCCTGCTAAATATTATAAACAAACGTGCATTTAACTTTCATATCATATGCTTAGTACTGTATTTATTGTCATTATACGTGTACATATAGTCAGTATATACTGCATGAATATCATAGGATAGCATTCTATTTTAAATTTTCATTTTTGTAAAGGAAATGTTATCTTTGAAGTTTATGTGAGTGTCATTAGATTAATTTGTCTTATAGGTGTTCCTCTGTTCATTCGAAAATTTGATAAAGAATCCTTTTGATTCCACTGAGTACCAATTGTTCTTTCAATACTAATCGGTTTTCTGGAAAGTAAAATAAATCATGTATAAAGTGTATATTTGTGAGGTAAATTTTTTTTGTTTTGTACTACTTTGAGACAGGATCTGGAGAAGGAGAGTTTTTGCTAGCTGTCTTCGACTCGGATGCGAACTGATAAACTATCAAGAGGCAGTCCCGACATAGCTGTACCACTCTTCTACAACAAAGCATTTCTATAGGAGTAATAACGTCGGATGATTTACTAAAAATTGTTTCCCATGATTGGCTTGCTGCTTGAAAGCAATTCCATAAACCTTGTCCATGACTCCACAGTAACCGATTAAATACTCTGGAAAATATGCGATTTATTCGGATATTTTCAATATCAGCACTCTTCCAAACTTTCACCAAAAGAGCTTTGACGTTACTTCGAACGATATCTAAAACTTTCCTTCTTTTGATTGAATCAAGTTTAACTAGCCAATAAGAAGCTATTCGGGGTTTATGAAACTTCCAGTTTTCATTCATCTAAAGTTAACATATAAGAGATAATAGCTACTAAAAAAATAAATGTCTAACCTTGTCTAAAATAAACTCGGCCTCTTCGTCTGTTTTGCCAGGAAATTTAATACGCATATCATTTAATGCACTGAGAGTTCGCTTTAAATTCTCTTCTTCTTGTTTAGCTTGACATCCAAAGCGCTCTTCACTTGTTGTACGTCCGATTTTATGTGTTTTACTGCTAGGTCTACTAAGCTTTCGACGCTGAGTTGAGCACTCAGAACGGGATCGCCTTGTACCGTTCCGAAATGCAAAAGGTTCTTCCATATTATCGCTCTCGCAATCTTCACCGCCATCAGGATCATCATGATCATAATCATCATCACTATCTTCATCGAATTCTTCTGTAGATTTCTTAAATCCTGGAAAACCTCTTGAATGCCTCAAATCGTGAGAAAACTTATTTTTGGAAAGATTTTTATCAGTTAATTTTTCATCAGCTTCACATTGAGCTAAAAGATCTAATATATCTTCTTCCTTCAAAGGATTATTGTATGTTCTGAGAATTTCCTGGCTAAATGCTCCTGAAGCCTTTCCCAAACCTTCCATAGATATCTGGAATACAAAAAAACTGATTTTCAAACACACTTGATCTATATTTGTTTAACCTTATGAACTTCGCTCATTAATTTAGCATATCTCTCTCTTGCATGTCTATCTGGAGGGGGAAAGATTTTTTGGAATCCCCCGCAATTTTGGGTTTCGTAATAATCCCGAGCAGCGTCTTTCTTTACTTTTTGAAGAAGATCTTTCAATTCATCTTTCTTTTTAGAGAGAGAAATTTTCTTCTTTTGAATGTCAGTTATATCTAATTCCTTTTTAACGCGACCTTGAAATAGTCGTTTTTGAGCTTGAGCTTTTTGCTCAGCCATATTGCGTCGTTTGTCGCTTGCGCGGATGTTTAGTAATTTGAAAGTATCGTACAGTAGGGTCGATTTTATATCATAATCTAGCTGCTCATCAGTTCCGAAACTGGGTGATCTGTTAATCTATTTAAATAACGTTATTAATGGAAACTTCTACATGTCAAAATAACCTCTAACAACCAAGGTTTCAGCTTCTTATCTAACATTATGTCAAATCCTAAAATTTCGAAACAAACTGAATCTTTTCCAGTAGAAACACCTGGACGGCACATTCTATATGCATGAAGAACATGTGGGTGAGCAACGATCATAGTCTGTTTACATGCAGAAATTAAAATTCTGATTCTAAAAGGGGAAAAATACTTTAATTATCAAATCAATGATATGTCGCCAAAGCAGCTTGTCGTCAATGTCGCGTTTTCTGATGTACTCTCGGAAGTATTGTAATGTTCTTTTGCTTCCAGTGTCAATTTTACCACTCTTTTCATAATTTTCAGAGTGTTTATTCACGGAATAATTTGTTAGATGCATAAACAACTTTTCCTATTTTAACATTAATATAAGAAATTTGATATACAGTAAAAATGTAAATTTAAATACAAACTATATTCCCTTCATTTGGTGGAGTGTATTTCTCGGTGCTCATTCTTATCAATCCATCATCAAATAAAAACAGTTTTAAGGGATCGCAAGATGTCATTAGCACGTAGATTCTCATATCACACTTGAATCCTTCAAGGAGCAATGGTTTTTCTAAATATTCTTGAACAACAGTTTGCTCGCTTTGAGCAATTTTTTCAGCATTTCTGTACAAGATAATTCTGAAAGGTATACGAAATAAAGAGACCTGAATTCTTGAAAATTTAAAGCTAAAGCCAAACCCATTTCCCATAGCACCATTTGATGGCTTCAAAATAAAAGTTTTTTTTTTACTTCTTCTTTTTAAGTCTTTGTAATAGGATTGTAATTCACTATATTCAGATGGTAAAATCCATGTTTTTGGAACAAAATTATAGTCATTTTCTAGATAACGGCTCGCCCTGTTGATTTAGGTAAATAGACATTTTTTCTCTTTCAAAAGCAGTTGTTTACCTTCTCATATTTCTCGCAAGACAATCTTTCCTACAAATTTCGCCCATACCTGGAAAATGATTGATTTTTTGATAGTCTTTCAATGAAGTAATTACATCAGATGCCACAAAACTATCACTCCAAATTAAGTAGCTGTTATAGAATGTGTTATTAAGTAAACAGTTTGTTACATCTCTTCAAAAATTATCAAACCAAGAAGAGTCATCCTCCTTCTGTATTGTTAGTCCAGCTCGTTGGGCCATATGCCTTACTAAAGATTTCAAAGTAGTTATTAAAGTTGAAACTTTATTGCAAATTAATATACAAACCGACTTCATATCTTGTACCGAACAAATTAGCGGTAATGGGAATTTTCTTCCTTTTCTTTTTTGTGCTTGAAATTGGAGATAAAGGTTCAGATTCTAATTCTCTTTTCTCCCTCTCACTGATTCTTCTCCGTGACTGATAACCTACCAGATTTTCCAAGACTGATCCTATTCAAGTATAAAAGTTAGCATATAATCTCATGGTTCTTGCATGAAAGATATTTTTTCATGTTTATAGATGTGTTTTCAATTTGTTCATAACTCTTCAAATGCGTTAGTTTTAGTAATATTTAGCTGGTCGATTTTTGTTGATCTAGGATGTGTTCGTAGAGTGCTTTCAGTAAAAAGCTTTCTAAATCCAGTTTTTGATGGAGCAAACTATTAATTTACCAATTTAACCACTATTTAAAGAAATATTAATCTTAAAATTCTAACATTTCCCTGTTTCAAAAACTTTTAGAATAATTTAATTTTAATAATCAATAAAATATTCTAAACAAATTTGAATAAAAATATAAAACCCTGAGGTTAAGTGTAAGCAAATGATACTACTAACCCCTTCGTGAGTCTACTGCTCTGTCTGGAGTAGGGCTGTCCAAATTTTGAGATATTCCTTCTGACATATTATCAAAATGACTAAAAGGACGATATTTTGATCGAAGAGACTCTCGACGATGATCCGATCCAAAATTATATTCTAAATTTAAACCACTTCTATGATCCATAGATAATATTCTGATTTTAGTGATCCCAATACAAAAACTTTCAATAGAGTTCAATATAAATTGAATGTGATTAAAACTTTTTCATAAATCTTTGTACTTGTTTTCAATTAAGAAATTAAGAAATTTCTGTTAGTTGCTATCCACCTTATAATTTAAACTGTAAGAGCTTCTGAATAATTCAAATTAATTACTTGTATAATAACATCGCCATTCTGTTTTGGCGCCACGTGACTTGTTGTTATGGAAGTGAACAAACATAATAAAAGATATATTATGATTTGTTAGCCTCGTTTGCGTTAACCCAATCACAAACCGGTTTTCTTATAGCTAAAAATGGAAGATGGCGTGAATGTAAATTCAGCAACGCCAGAAAAATTACGAAAATATGACGATCAAGCCACAAGCCAAGAAACCATAAATAAATTTGCTAATGATGGATCTTTTATGGCCATGTATATGGCTATGATGAAAGATAAAAAGAGCTCCAATGCAGAAAAAACAGATGCCTACGAAGAATCCTCTCACAAAAATACTGAAGAGGACAGAATGAAATTTGTAATACACCCGAAACATGAACCATCGAAAGCATTTCTTAAAGAACAGGGCACGGAAAATGCTCCCCGACTATTTGTAAGGATCATCATTTACGTTTAAATTGGTTATAAATTTTCGTAGTACTTTAATAAATCGAGAAAGTTAGCTTAGGTATAATAGCACTTTGCAGAAAAGGAAGACTGCTAGATTGAAAACCGGTTTGGTAGCCAAAAATGTTAAAGAAACTTCGTCCGTAAGTACATTCATCTTGAATTTCGATAAGGTAATTTTTACAGTCGTTCTAGGATGAAGACAAGAAAGATGCTTGGTCACAATACATGACTGCTGTCCAAAAATATAAAGAGAAATCGTGTGATGACAGCGACAAGAACAGACCATTGGTAAAATGAACTATATGCATGTCTTCAAAATTGACTTGTCTGGTTAATTTTTACGAGTATTTCTAACATTAAGCTTCTCAACTTTCACAGAAAATAAGAATAAATATTGAATTATTATCTAAATTTTCATTGACATGTAGAGAATATGAGTTACCGGAAATTATGAAATTTATTTTAAATAGTTTCACTCCGAAAAAGACATAAAACAAATTTTAAAAAGCTACTAAAATGTATATAGTTTATAAAAACTTGAGCAAAGAAGGAGAATGTTTAAGAAGCTGAGATTTCATTACTTGTCCAAGTAACATGAACTAATTATTATATATAAGCACACTTAAAAAATGGCAAAGGAAAACGAATATGAAAAGCAATAGGAAGAAAAGGCAGAAAAGTTTCTGTATCTATGAAAATTTTATCTTTGAATCGACACTAGAGTTAGATCCCACTGTCAGATTCGCTGGTGTCGACTCCATTGTGTTGTGCGAATTTGAATAGTTCATGTTGCGGAGAGAGACATTTAGACTAGGATTCACTTGCGTCTTATTTAAATCATTCTGCCCAGATTTCACATTATCGAACTCGTTTGATTTAGCAGGACAGCCAATATTACTCTCTTGGAGTGTAGTCTTATCCAAGAGGATATATTTATTTACATCAATTATGTTTTCTTCAATTTCGCTTTCTATAAATGAATCTTCTTGACTGGTATCCGGCATTTTTTCATATATAGGATCGCATGTTTTGTTCAAATCCAATTCAGAACTAGAAATAGGGGTTATTTTATGATCTGATACTGAAGAAATATCCAAGGTATCTTGAGAACATGATAGACAATTATGAATATTTCCTGGATCCTTTTTACATGAATTACACATTTCAGGTGATAAGTATCCATCACCAGAAGCTTGTACTGATGTTGAATTTCTTTCCGTAACTATTTAGTTTAAAATATAAATTTAAAAGTGTTGATTATGAAACAATATTGTATCTTACTGTTACTTGGCAGTAGAAATTTCTTTGAATGTTGCTGCAAGATTCCCTTATTAAATTTTTTAAAAAAATAAATCAACACTTACATAAGACGAGTATGAATTCGACTTAGAATGGGAAAGCTTGTCTCGTACTTCTTGTGATATCCACTCCTGTCTGCGTAACCAATTTCTAAAACTGTCTTGAATTGTCTTTTCCATTGCACAATGAAATATAAATATGCCTGCACCCTGGCAACTATTTAAAGCAGTAAACACGTATGCGGCCCAAACAAAATCACGAGAGATGTATAAAAATCCAAACACCCATCCTAAACCGAAAACAAATAGGAGCGAAATAGTCGCTTTACCCATTGATCTTAGATTGAAAATTTTACTTTCTTAAAATTTGCAAAAAAGTATAATTAGAAAATACATTACAGGTATCGCTTCTTTTGAACTTTATCATCCACACGTTTGGTATTAGATCCTTTACTGACGCCATAGATTTTAGAGAGGACGATGAACAACATCACAAAATTTATCTAAAATTAAAAAATGATAAATGAAAAGTGTATAATTTTCATATGGCTTACAATTATAACTGTCAAGACAGGAACTATAAAAGCCCAAATCATTCGATCATTTAACCAACAACTGAAATGCAAGATAAAATAGTTACCAACATATTTTTAATTTGAAAAACTTACTATTTATCGGACTTAAAAGCTGTGTGATCAAATCCTGCGGTGACTCCAATAATGACAATAGGGAAACCTGCCAAATTTCCAATTAGTTTGAAATACAAAAGTCAAATTTACCAACCATATCCAATTAATAGAAATATATATTTTAAGCACGATGACGTTGTGTCAAAAACACTCACAGCAACAATATACATAGCTACACCTTGAAGACCCATCCATGTGAAACTAGACAATAAAAAGTAAAACAAAAGCCCTCCCATGATGATACATGGTACCTATTTCAATAAATGTCGAAATTACACAGGAAATAAACAATAAAAAGAAAATTTCACCTGATCATTTGTTCGTGAGATTCCTGTTAAAAAAATTAGTTGAGCTATCATTATAGTAAATGTAAGATTTATTCTAATGAGATTTGTTGTTGATCCTAAAGATGGTTTGCTCAAATTTCGTCTGTAGTCAAATAATAAGTCAAAATTATATTATCCTGGCACGATGGATCTTACCTGAAAGCTACAAAGCATACAAATGAGAGAAATAAGCAAACTATAGAAATTGAACATCCAACATAAGTTATTATCATTAAATTTAATCGATGAGTTTCGGAGAGCTAAGAGAAATGTTTCAAACATTATAAAATAACAATCATTAGATTAAAACCTTTGAATCAACATCCGAAATATCTAATAAAACTGCGAAATTGGTGAGATGATTGCATCTACACTTTGTATGAGTTTTATTGCTACTTTTGTGATCTTGATAGCATCCATATTCGGACCAACTTCCTCCAGAATTTCTGTTTTAAACACTTGAAACTGAGTCATAGATAGTACGTATGCTACTTACGATGTTGAATAATTCCAAAAAGAGCACAACATTTTCCCACTTTCTGAAGTCTAATAACGAAAATAAGAATGAATGTAAAACAAATGAAAACCAACATACATTTTTATTTTGCATAATGTAGAAAATATCGCTCTCTAAACTTGTCGAATCCTTTGAGGAATTTTTTGGAAGTGCAGCTCCTATAACTTTACTATTAACAAATATCTTGGATGCATCCCTCTCTCCAGATGATGGTGAGAGATAAGATTCTACATTCGAATATTCAGTAAAGACAATGGGAAAAGTGTCGTCTTGTATACTAGCAACTAAAAAAAACTCATCAAAATAATTGACAAAACTTCAACTTCATAAGAACTTACCAGGTATTGCTTTTCGAGGAACGATTATTTCATTAATATCCTTGCTGTTAATCGAATCATCTTTTAAAGTAGAAGGAAAAAACTTATATTCTTCAATAAATGAATTTTTTTGGACGATATTAATCTCTAAAACTGATAAGTAAACTTTATGAAAAATCATCTTATGATTTAAATTCAAACCTAAATTGACAGTAACAATAGGATTAATCTTTTTAGATTGATCTACAAACTTTCCTCTTTTCATTGCAGAATTTTCAACGCTAAGCATTAAATTACTAGCAATTTGATTTTTCATGTTCTTAGACAGTTCCATCCAAGTATTCTTCTTATCTTCGTCAAGCAAATTGCTGACAGATTGTGTAACTGCCTGAAATTGGATAAATGATTGTTATTTATTTTAAAGACTTAAAACAAACTATACAATTGTGATCTGTTCAACAATTGATTGGTTGGAAGAATCTTGAACATCCGAAGATATTCGCTCAAGAATTTCCGATAAGACCTCAATATCACCAGCATATTGAACATTATCCGTTTGTTTCGTAATTTCCAATGCAGCCTCATCAGCTTGAATATTTTCTTTTTTTAACTGTATAAATAAAAATGAAGATATCTCTGTCATAACAATTTTCTATTTACTTGATCTAATAGGCGTGAAGTGGCTGGTGAAATACATTTTGAAGTGTTTGGGTTTTTCCAACCTTCATTATAAACGCAGAGCCGTTCTGCTTCTGATATAGACAAAATAAACATATTCACAAAGATTATAATAAAACTACATTTAAAAATAATTACGATTTTTCTTATCTGGACAGATGGCTTTGATAATTTTGAATTTTTCCGACAAAGAAACGTTGACACCTCCCCAAAATAAATCATGACTTCTAATTGATAGACATTCGGTATAAGACTCTTTCACCGTTATGTGATGTTTAGTGGTCGGTGTATCGGTAGTTTTAACAGTTGAGAGTTTCTCTGATGTGTTTTTCGTTGCGGATAGTGGTGCTAACAAAGACAAAAGTTTTGAAACTATTAGGGAAAACAATTACTTACTAGTAGGTTTTGATTCGTCTGCTTCAGCCGTAGTTTGGGAAGAAATAGGTCTTATTTTTGTTGATCTATTGTCTTCTGAAAAGTATAAGATTTAAAATTTGAATACACATCTTCAAGAAGAAAAAAAGTTAATTTTTATCAGGAAGTTTGATCAGAACATCAAGAAAGCACAGCAGAATAGACTGGAAATATCCCGATAAAAGCTTAAATATATCTCACAGCATAATAAGTTTGAAATTATAGCTATTTTTATTTCTTGAGAGATTATGTAACAGTTGATGGTGTTATAGAACTCACTCGTTCTGTGATTAGGTAGCTGCCGACTGCTAACTGTGTTTGAGCTTGTAAAAGTTGAATTATTAGACGTTGGTGAAAAGGTTGAGATTTTATTTAACAACGACGATGGGTTAGAACTTATATTTTTCAAGTTAGTGGGTATATAAGTAGTATTTAACGGGATTTTGTTAGATTTGTCGGATATTTTAGTAAAAGGCTTCAAGCTAAGGTGCTCATAACCTTCAGTTGTAAATAGTGATGGGCTTCCAGAAACATTGTTAAATTCTTGAGAGCTCATATTTGCAGTTGTTTTTAAATTTACAAATTTTGTAGTTTTAAAAGTTGTTGGAATGGTGGTTTCGACTGAAAATTGAGTTTTTTGATACAAAATTATAAGTTTAAAATAATTCAACTCATGTCTGAGATAATTAGGTATAAATTGCGTAACTCTTTTGATATCATAAGACCTTACCGTAGCCAGGTATACATGTGTAGAAAACCATAATATAAGTATAAGGAGGATATTCAGTGTTAGAAAATGTTTTCTTTTTATACTCTAAAGCACATGTTTCTTTCATACGACACCTATAATAATAATTTTTAGGATTTCAACACTGATTAAAAATGCACCTACATTTCTAGGACATATTCTTTGGCGGAATGATCTCTTAACCTTAATTCCTTGTTTTCTTTAGGTTGAGCAGAGCACACAACTTTTTCTCTAGGGTCATATCCATGGAAGACAAAATCTATTCGAAGTACGAAGTTTTTAAGGCACTTCACTTCCACCCTGTGACCGAAGCATAAAATCGTATTTCGGCCATCTGCACGATTTAAGAACGCAATGATGAATATAGTTTGAAGAATATATTCAATTTTCATTTTTCGGTAGAAAGGTTGAAATAGCCCTGTCTGAAAATTCAAAGTATATAATCATTCAAAAAACTATACCAATCATTTGTGATAAATCTTCAAGATTCTAACCAAGCACACTTTTCTTATTTTATCTAATGACTAATGTAAAGCTAATCTTGAAAATCTGGTACCATATTTTCTACATCTGTATAGCAAATTTAAGAGTATTTTCTTTGTATGTTGTAGTAGATTTAAGGGTAAACTAATGTGAGCTCAAATAGTATATGTAAAACGTTTATAAAATTTTAGAAAATTAGACTTTGAAGAAAGCTTACTGGTATTGAGTTTAATTAGAAACAAAAGAAAGTTTCTATTCTAAAATTAATCCAAATAATTGAAGTCTAGATGCTTCTTCAATATATATTTATAATATGACGACAAATAACAAAGCGGAAGAGGGGGGAGGAGACGAAAGGAAAAAGCGGGGAGGGAGAGGTCACTGGGCTAATATTTACATTAAATCTCCTTTAGCAATAAATGACTCGGTCATCTCTAGATGCTCTACATAGGGTTTTTGCTATTTTGATGAAATTATGTCAATACTTCACAACTTCAAAAAGAAAAAAAGACCATTTATATTTAATTTTATGCAGGATGACTACAACAACTAAGGACGATCCCATTACATTACAAATAAAATAAATTCTACCCTTTTCATTAATAAGTTAGAGTAATAGGAAAATGAATGGCAAAAATAGATAATAAAGAATTTTAGCTAACTATTTCTTTATATATCTCAATACTTTGCAAAAGTGCAAAAAATTTGAAATACTTAGACGTATGGCAGGAACAAATATCCTTGTATAAGTAAGCAATGACACTCCCAACCTTTCATAAGTACTGTTTATAAGCCCGAAGGATATAAATGAATTAGTAAATGATATAGTTATTTCTTAAAATGATGGATATAGGGAAGTAGACTTTTTAGCAATTCTCATTTCGTGCCGCTGCATGCTTGAATAAGATGAAAGTGACAAATAAATGCGACAGGCGCGTAACTAATCGCCAAACTGCTTTAGGGAAAGTAATATACATATATTTGTTATATTGGATAAATGTTGAGTAAAATTATTAATTTAGTTCCATTCCTAAAGTCTCCCAAAAAAAAACTTTTCGGTATAAAGTTTTCTGGACTTTACAGAAAACATTTAGTCGAAAAGCAAATCCTGTAAGAATTTGCCAGTAAACGAAAATGATTAACGTATTCCTATTTTAGCTGTAGCTAAAAATGAAGTTTAGAAATATTTTGTTTAGATACCTGCAGGCAAGGTGTCTCCATTGTGTTAGTCATGCCCTTTCAAATTTGATATACTTTTCCTATTAGTTGTATTAATATTATATAGTTAAATGAAACAACTCATTCACAATGACATATATTTTCACTGTTCAAAAATACATGATTTGACAGTTATCAAACATATAATTTTCGATTTCAGAAACAATGGCGCGAAAACTGGGTTTCTAGTTTAACAATTCCTACAAAAAATAGGTACCAACCTTTTGAAATTTTAACAGAAAGTAAACATGAAAGATATCACCATTGTGATGAAGAATTCAAACTCAATAACAACGATAATATTCAACTAAAATGAAAACTCCTGATCGCCTCTGTTCAAAGACTGAGGAAGAAGTGAAACAGAGCCACAGTCCATTTACTATATTTCTGATAACTGGGAAAATCAAAATGTCTGCCATATTAAACCCTTTTGAAATATCTTCGATAAAAAGTTAAAAACTATCTTAAGCAAAGAAATTTTTCTTGCCTTAAAAATTTAGGAAAGATTTACAAAAAGCTTTGATACGACAATATTTTTACGAAAATATCATCCACTTCTGTTTCCTGGTTGTTAGCCGTTGCATTTACGGAGAAGTTAACTGGTAACTAACCCGTGTAAAGCTCTATATCTTTAAGGTATTTCTTTTAAAAACTCGTCTATTTCAGAAATATTGTTTTGTGTGTTATATATAGTTTTGACTAAAGTCAGTCATTCTAAAAGCGTAACTTATACGTTACATATATGGATGACATTCATATATGATATGGTGTACACAAATGTCCTTGAAACATCAAATGTAGGTGATTGGTATTAAAATTGTTTTATTCTGAAAATTACTAATTTATTAACACTGATTATATTTGAACTTCTAAGAATTAGAGAATTTAATAAACTTCAGAATTTGGTCTTTTAAAGCCTTGAGATGGCGCTACAAAGTTCAAAACTATTTTTAAGTCCGTTAATCTTCTGTTTTATCATTATAGGTGTTATTCGACATGGCGTGCAAAAAAGTTGAGGTAATAACTTTTTTAAATACTTTTTATGTTCTATTAAGTTGCTATACAAATATGCAAGTCATCATTAACAAAAAAAATTCACCTTAATTATGGAAACATATTATGAAATATGCGTCTCCAGTAATGTAAGCGCACCTGGTTGCCGTGGTAACATTTGCTATTCTACCACTAGCTATGTCATCCAAAGCACCAGCGAAAATTTCTAAATCTGTGAATTACAAAAAATCAGCCAAAATGCTGACAAAGCATGCGACAGAATCATCTTTAACAAATATTGAAATCAGTGATAAATTGAATTCCACGGATTTATTGTTTTTATTGAAGCAATCATTGAGAGATAATTCATGCGTGAGTCTATGTGCACATTCTTTTAATTTTGAAACATTTGTAACATCAGTTATAAACTCATGTTACATTTGAACAGATTGCATGATTAATTAAAATTAAATTCATTGTGTTAATAGAAAAATGATGTTCCGTTAATTTAAACGATAACGAGATTGTAGGAATCTGCTGATCCTAATCAGCAGAATTTATGCGCACGGGGAGCTTTTTAATGCCGCTGATAGGTCAAGATTTTCAAGAAACATAGGTCAACCACAACACAGCTTCACTAATCAATAAATCCTAATCAAAGAAATATATTATTAGATGCTAGTCATTGAGAAATTTTTTTCAGATTTTTCTCTTAGCACTGCTAACCCATTTTATTTACAACAGAATGAAGTTATGCCAACATCCAAGTTGGAACTAACGAAACCCGCTCCTGACTTTGGAGGTCAAGCTGTGGTTAAAGGCGAATTTAAAGAAATAAAATTAAGCGATTATAAAGGAAAAGTAAATATTAATAAAATACATTTCAAAAATAAGAAAATTTTATTTTAGTACCTGGTTTTCTTCTTTTATCCACTCGATTTCACTTTTGTATGTCCGACTGAAATTATTGCATTCAGTGATCGTGTTGATGAATTCCAAGCCATCAATTGCGAAGTTGTCGCGTGCTCGACGGACTCACACTTTTCCCATTTGGCTTGGATCAATACTCCAAGAAAGCAAGGAGGTTTGGGTGAAATGAAAATACCCATTCTTGCAGATAAAAACTGCGAAATTGCGAAAGCATATGGCGTTTATAAGAGTGAAGATGGAATTGCTTTTCGGTTAGTGTTCATTTTCGTATTGCACAATAGCTCATAAATTTTCGCCCCTCAGTGGATTATTTATAATCGACAATAAAGGGAATTTGAGACAAATTACCATTAATGATCTGCCAGTAGGGCGATCTGTCGATGAGACGCTTAGATTGGTCCAAGCCTTTCAGTTTACTGATAAACATGGAGAAGGTATGACTAAAATTTCTATCTATATAGATAGCTGATTAAATTGTTTCAGTTTGCCCCGCTGGTTGGAAGCCAGGTGCTGACACTATGAAGCCAGATCCAAAGGGAAGTAAAGTATATTTCTCGAAGCAGTAGATGGTATTCATTAGATGATGTTTTAACATGAAAATATCTAATAGTTTATGTCTACGTAGTAGAATCGATGTAATTCGATAAAATAAACTTTTAAATCAAAAGAAAACAACTACATTTTTAAGATGTATTCAATTAGGGACATATATTTTCTATCAACCAATCTCCCTCACCATTTGATGTAATAAGTTCATTAATATCTTCTCCTTCAATTTGCTTCCTATATAAAACTCTCTCGTTTCCAAATAAACCATCCGGCTTAAAAATCTCAACTGAGTCTGCTTCTAATGCATATGACCGCCTATTGTATTAAAACACAAAAATATAGTATGTATATAAACCAACTATATGACAACGCCTACACATGAAAAGGGCATGGTAATTCGTGAACAATACCCAAGAACTTCTCATGCTTCTCTTGCAAATCCTTAAAAATAGTCGGAATTATTATTTATAATTATACCATTGAACACATACAGATACAGATTGCACGGCTTGCCCCTGCTGAGTGATATGATAGTACGCTTTATAGTCATCAGAAAGCTTACTATAGTCTTTTAAAGTTTCAGACTCGCTTAACTTATTAACCCTGCCTTCTACACGAATCTAAAAACAATAATTTATATTAAAAAAATATGTGTTAGATCTGAAACTGAATACCTGGTTTAAAACTCCATTAATAGTCCAAAGAAAAATTGCAGTTGCATAATTGTTCTCTTCCTAAAAAAAAGAGACAGGTCGTACTCTACCTTGAGAATGACATTTTAACTTACGAGCTCTTCGGCTTTTCGACTTGTTGTCATTGCAAAGAAGTGAAAACTAGTCTGCTCTTTACTTGTCTTCGTGAGGACCATCGTCCTTGCTGAAGGTTTGTTGTCATTTCCAGAGGTGCAGAGGATAAACTGATTCACTTTGATAAACTTTTCGTATTCTGTTTGCATTTTGTTGAATTGATCCATCGGGTGTCGCTCTACAGAACTTTTCGAAAATCTAACCATGTCGAATTTCTGTTGCTGTAGTCCATCATTCTTCTCAATAAGATCGGAGAGTGTTCTATTGCAGGTATCAGACATGTTCATAAAAGGATCTTTTATACAATTTTTCGCTCTTAGAATCATTCACTGTAACTGCGGGCCAATTTTTGATAGATTGTGTTTTGCGTCTATTATTCAACAGCTGTGCATGTTAGCTTTTATTTGTTTCGGAAAATTTAAACGAACATAGATAGATAATAGCCTTAACCAAAAAACACACTAAGCAAACTTAAAAATTTTTAAGAACACAAATTTTCGATAACCCAACCATCGTCTCCCTTTCGTGAAAGGCTTTCCTCAACTACCTCGTTCTCTTTCAGTTTCCTGTATTGAACAGTATCGTTCAATTTTCGTCCTGATTCGATACTGTTATAAAATTGGTAATTTTCCGCAATAAGGCTATAAGCTTGTCTGAAATTAAAGAAAAACAATTTTACTTAAGCATACATACTCTGTCAATAGATGGCGTAACAGATTTTTAAAAAAGTAGGCCGATATTGGCTTTCATATTAACCAGGTTGATTTTTTGCGACAAGCTCTCTAATTTGTTTTGGCACAAATAATACCTACTGAACGGTAAACATCTAATATAAAGAATAATTTATTTGTAGCTGACATTTGTGAAAGACGAGTGATATTCCACGAAACCTTGAATAAGTTGGAAAAAAATTTTGCTTCAGCTGAATAAATAATAATATAGGAAGATATTTTTTAACTATTAGTAAATTCTTTACAACTATTTAGAGTTGGACGAATATTCAAGCAGCTACTAAGTATAAAACCCAATAGCATACAGGTAGATTTTGATTAGCATAAAAAGTGGCACGCATTCTATTTCTTGAATTTCAGAATCATGTCGAATGAAGTGATCGAAGCTCAAAAGAAATTAGTAGAGCAGCTGAAGATTGAAAGTCAAGTCGATAGATATCCGGTATCGAAAACAAGTGAAGAACTTGTAAAATACATTCGGGAGTCACAAGAATATGATCCATTTCTAATCGGAATTGACAAGAAACAAAATCCGTTCAAGGAAAAATCTAGCTGCGTTGTCTTGTGAAAATTCCCTTAGCGAACAAGTCCATACATGCTTTTTATTTGACTAAAACTGTTGAATAGAATAATTCGGCAAGTATTCGCAATATGATCGTAAAGTGTCTTAATTTAATGCAGAAATACTCATCAAATTACCACTCTTTTAATATATATCTTTTTTTGCAATAAACGAATTGATATGGGCTCCATTCTGCATCGTTGAATAAAAATTCCCGTCAATTTTGCATATTATTTATTGATAATATCGACTGCTTTTGAATTGTGGATGACAAACTAATCGCGTCAGAAGCTTATGAGCTTGAAAGCATGGTGTCGGATGTTATCAAGAATATAGTGAAGAAAAGTGTCAGCATCTATCCCTTTGAAAGAGTATACGATTCATTCGTTTCATTCTTTATAGGCAATCATATGAATAATTACAAAAGAGCTATGCAATTGATCATTAATACTGGAAATAAGGAAATAAAGTCAAAAACATACTAGTTTAAAATCAGTTGTCGATAACTTTACCATTCAAAATTTCTAAACTTCCATATCAACTTAGAATAATTATACTAACCGTCTTTATTACGGTTTGTTGACTAAATAAACAACACAATATGGCAGTATGTGGTCACGCATAAAAAATGTATGATTCTGCATACATTGGTATATCTAATTCGGAGAATGACACACAAATAGGGAATGATTCCCTAAGCTTAAAAAATCTAAAACCTATATATTTGAAGAGAAGGAGGAAAAAGTCCATTTATATTGCCTTCAGCCAGCGTCGCTTAGATCGTACATTTACATGACGGTCGGCCATTAGGTGCTTTGTGTTGATGGCTTCTGGAAGATCTGGTAGGTCGAACTCGAAATCGACAGTTATGCATGAAATGCAGGTAGGATCTATTTTGTTGTCTTTGATTACGAATTAATATTTAATATAATGGTTTGAAACAAAGTCACAAACTTTTAATTGCATTGTTGTAGTGTTTCTATGACTATATAAGTATATTTCATCAAAACTTAAATTCTAATATTAAAGAGTTTCTGATAGAGAGTACACTAAGCCATCTATCTCATAAAAAAGAACTCCAGTCATAACTTTCCCTTACAAGTATATGACTTGACTTGGTGATTAAAAACCGTTATTTCCTGTATTGAAACAATAATGGCTTGGGTGGAATGTTATTAAACATAGCTCGGGGCACTTTTACCTGTGTAATGCTTATAAATATATGACGAAATGATTATAAATAAATATGCTTAAATTGTCTTAAGAGAAAACATGAGAAATTTTAAATGAAAAATTGCTGTATATTAGGAGAAAGGAAATTAAGCATAAAAAGCGAGTAAAGATTGAAATTTTCCTATATAAAGATATAAAGATAAAATATCTATGCTAATTATCAATTTTCTACGAAAAATTAATGAGAAAAAACATTATTATCGATCGCTTCAGAGCTATGAGAAACTGTTTAGTTTTTTAACGGAAGGGACTCAGAGATATGTAGTTAATTATGCAATATAAGATTCTTTTAATCAGACCCATCAGTGAAATTGGTATAAAATATTTACAACCAGTAGCTGGTATCTAGATTTTAAATTCCCTGCAAAGAAACTCACTCTTATACCAACATAAAAATATTTCAAATATTTCATGAAAGATTGCTTGTGTAATCAATAATCCGAGGTTTCTTTCTATTCACTTGATCATTGATTCCACGAATTTTAGAAACAATTATTACAATATATCCTAGGAAATTTACCGTACATCATTTCAGTTAATGAGAAAATATTTAATATATGATATTCGACTTATATAAATCAACTACATTCTCAATTGGAAAATAAAAAAACGCAGGCGAGATCTGTTTTGGATTGACAGTGTGAATCATCAGCAAAGCAGATTTGTGCTCTTTCCATCGAAAATGCATATAGAACTGTATAGAAAAGTATAGCTCTCCCCCTGTGTTCATAATACACATATCGTATTCGACAAACCATAGCAAATTTACACAAGATAGCCGAAACAATAGAAATGAATCGTCTGCCGGAAATGACGGTGAAAGCGTAAAAGGGATTTCCTAGACGCGAACCTATTACTATTTTTACGATTAACTTTAATTGCTGGCGTCATCATTTGTAGAATAAATTGATTGAAATCATTTTACTCGAAACCAGTCGATTTTCAAGTCGAGTGCCCCCTCTGTGATGCGGTAGGACGTCCAAAGTAGAAGCGTCTATTGATCGCGCATTATGCAGACGGCGTCACACAGAGACGCTCAGCGCGCGCGTTCTGGTCATTCTGCTTGGTTACTAGTCTCTTTTGCTAGGAGATTTTTCTCTCGTTAATGTGGAAATTAATCGATCGCTGTGGCTAAGGTATTTCTTTATTATTGACGAACCGTCGATCTTAAAAATTGTCATATGTGTACCATTATTTATGTTGAATTTTTTAAAACAGTTTTATGTATACATAGGCGATAATGTCATAATCTTTTTCATTACTTTAAGCTTTCTGATTATTAAGGTACCTTGACAAAGATACATTTTTGAAGACGTAATTTTAGATAAACGTCCAAAGGCATTGGCAAATTCTAGCGTCAATTGGCGTTATTAGAGATAGAAAACCTCAGGCTATCACGATAAATTCAGTATCTATACAAAAATCCTTAGCTACGTAACAAATAATGCAATAAAAACTCTTGCTACAGTTATGTAAATAATACATTTTATGTATGATCATATATTTATGTACCATTAAGAATAGTACAGATATTCGACATTCAAAAATGTTTTAAATAATCTTTTTATGACTTCCATGAAAGAAACGGAAAATGATTAAGAAATCAGGAACCCTTTATTCAAGTACTAACAAAGATTCACATTTCGGATCGTATATCAACGACAAAAGAGCCAGCGGCTAAGCCAGGCAAATTTCGTTTATATCTATAAGAAATTAGCCATAGCTCGAAACCTTAACTTTTCGTATCTCATTCTGCATTTATAAGCTATTTCCTCTATTTTAGCTTGCAGGACAATTAGCTGCACAAATTTAACATACTCGAACAATTTATGTATGACATTAGAGATATTTTAACATCTTATGTTATGGAGATAGAGAGCGTGGGTGTATAATGTTATTGAAAAAATCTGGTTTTTAACCATTTTATAAATGATATATCCTTCAAAATGTTTAATATTATACAAAAACAAAAAGATTGGAAAGAAATATGTATAATCGTCGAAGACTGATAAATAGTGATTGCAAAAGCATATCTCTGTAAAATATACAAAAAAGCAACTAGAAAATATAGAACGATACAATGCATTAAGGAGAAATTAGTCACGCAGCTTGTATAATTGTGCAGTTTTTTTGCCATCTCAGAAAAAAGAACAGAAACAAAGACACAGAAATACAAGAAAAATAAAGAAGCCAGCACTGCTAATGTGAAAGTCGATATTGTGAGATAAATATATCCGCAAGCCATGAATCAATCATTTTAGGACGAGCAAAAACATTCTATATATATATATATACATAAAACATGCATATACTTTTATATTTATTTATATATATACATAAGTATATATAGTATAAATAGTAGATATACAAAGTGCATATATGTAGCGCCGCCTGAGATTGGAAAGCAAAACTTGCTATTACCTAGCAAGATGTAAATTTTAATATATAGTCACTTATCGATATTTAGATAAAGATAAAAATTTTGGATACGAATTTTGCCTCTAAAACTTCATTGCTTTATTGAAAGATATATTTTCATTTTTTTCCGATAGGGACAAATTTCTTTTTTGGACATTTGGTAGGAAAACATTCACATTTACGATCAATAAGGTTTCCTTTGACGTCACTAGTTTTATAGACTCTAAATGAAACGTTGACTATATATATATATATATATATACAGTTCACTTATACAACAAACTATACAATTTTAAAATTACTGTTAAATTTTCATAAACGATTTTTGCTAATAAATAGAAACATTTAAAAATAAATACATATTCATTTACTCTATTTTTTAGTTACAGAAAGATAGATCAGTTCGACTGCGGGTAAATCCCGAACAGTCTAACGATTATAGAGTGGTTGTGTTTGGAGCGGGTGGTGTTGGTACGTACATCAAAATAAGAAATTAATGAGCAGACACTCTGGCCTTAATCGAACAAAGCGTTTTAACAGATAATCAATAGTTCTTTTAATTTAACTTTATAGTAAAAAACATTGCTTTTTTTAAAAATCTTTTCAAATTTGAATACAAATCATTTTTATAGATCTGTTCCATAAATTCTGTCTTTCTTTAAGATAGATATTTTTGTCAAAAATATTACTATTTGAATAATGAGAGGTCCGGCTGTTCATTTTTTTTATACAAAAAAGATAATTATATCAAACTAATACATTACTATTTTAGGAAAGTCATCACTAGTTTTAAGATTTGTCAGAGGAACTTTCCAAGAGTCTTATGTTCCTACAATTGAAGATACATATAGACAAGTAATATCGTGCAATAAGCAAGTATGCACACTTCAAATAACAGACACGACTGGTTCACATCAGTTTCCCGCAATGCAAAGATTAAGTATTTCGAAAGGACATGCTTTCATTTTGGTCTTCTCTGTTACCTCAAGACAATCCTTAGAAGAATTAAAGCCAATTTATAATGAAATTAGGGGATTAAAAGAAGATGTAGAGTGTATTCCAATAATGTTAGTTGGTAATAAAATTGACGATACTGCCAGTAGACAAGTTACAGAAAAAGTGGCATCTCAACTAGCTAAAAGTTGGACGTGCTCATACATTGAGACATCAGCAAAAATGAATACAAATGTAAAAGAGCTATTCCAGGAGCTACTTCAACAAGAAAAAAGACGAAACGTGAGTTTAAATGTGGATGGAAAAAAGTCAAGGGCTCGAAAATCAAGAGAAAAGCTTAAAGGAAAATGTGAAATCATGTGACTGTAATTAAAATTTTGTTTGGTAGAAATACACTAATTCTGTTGATAATATATGCAACTTTTAACTTGATAAATTAAAAGCCTGATGTATATATGTAAATATACAGAACTTTTTCAGAATTGTGATTTTTGTAGACAAAAATAAATATATGTTAATGTATATATCTAAAATTAAACTTACATGTTCGGAGAAAAGCTTTTGTCTTGAAGAACACGTTCGATATCTTCTTCCATGGCCTGTAAAAAATATTTTATCATTCTAAAACATTTACTTGAACATATATATACCTTAACTGAAGAAACCATTTCACTGGTCTTGGCCACAGTAAAAAAAGCCTTGTTATAATCGGATAAAGAACTAATGTACCTTTCTACCTCCGAAAAAGAAAGCGTAATAATTCTTCCTTCAATTCGAACCTAACAGAGCACAGAACATATAGGAAGGAAAGATAACCCAGATACAAACTTGTCTTAAAAACTTTTTTGTATACCACTGAAAAAGTGCAGAAACATGTGGATTTTCAATCTAAAATAAATTCAAAAGCGACAGTTATAAAAAACACGTTGTTCAAATCACCCACAATATCCTTTGATTTTCTGCTCATTGAAGGTGAAATAAAATTGAAGCAGTTTTTTTCCGCATTATCGTCAATTAAAAATACTGCCCTTGATGATGGTTTTTTATCACTAGTAGGATACACATTAAAATAATAAAATGAAACGTTCAAAATTATAATACAAACTCGCCGCAGGTAGATAATGTGAAAACCTGACGATAATGAATATCAATATCTTCATTTTTCCATTTTATATATAACTCAAAAGGATTTGAAGGAACAGTTTCCTTGTCAATGCGATAAACTTCGTGATATCTCGGCATTCTAGATGAAAATATCAGAAAATATTAATTATTTTTATAGAATAACTTAATTTTATGTTTAAAAAAAGGGTTTTTAAAATTCATATTATTAAAATTATATTGACTAAAGCCTTTTTTTAGCACGCAATAACGGCTTTTTCTGTTTCGTAGCTCATCTTCTAAACAGTGCTGCTATCTGCTTTATTTCGCGGTGCTATTCATTAATAATGTAAAACAATACAGAATTTCATCAATCAATTGGAGATGCAGAAAGTTGATAGAGAAATAAATTTCTCTGAGGAATTGAGGATCTATATCGTTGAAATAGCAAGTTTTCAATGTTTGGAAAAAACAATCTGTAGAAAACAATGAAAGGAATCACTAAATTTAAAGTAACTATAGAAATTTGTATCATAGAAATGATGTTGTTCGTTTCATGTAAAGAAATATTTTTGGATAAAACTGCAATATTTTTTACTTTTCCGATGAAAAGAAAAGTAACTGTAACAGATATAAAGACAGCAACACAGACTAAAAAAGGGCATTTGGTATCTCAATGTTACTTTTTCTGTGTGTTTGATTCAAAATGTGTAGCTTTCTATTTTAATGACACATCAGTGGAATGCTTTTTATCAAATCTAAAGATAACCTCAAAATTCTATAAAAGAGACGAAATTTCAGAAAATGACAAAATAGAAAAAGTTAGGTCAATATATATATATGTAAGTCAGACTTTTTAAATAAAAAATTTTACAGGAGTTCAATGACTGCAACAAGCATAAGTGTCATGATTTCTGTGAATTCGAAAAATTGAAATTGAAAGATTATAGATGTTGTCAATTAGATAGAAAACCCTGTTTTTCTAAATGGAATTCATGGACAGAATGGACGGAATGCGATGGATTGTGTGGACGAGGTATAAGAAAAAGGAAAAGATTTTGTAGAAAAGGAAATTGTTCAGGAAAAAAACTAGTTTATGAACAATGCTTAATAAAATGTTCAGGTTAGACTATTGTCGAATCCTCTTTTTAACTCATAAAATTTTTGTTTGTTAGAAGACAGTTGGGGTGTGTGGTCTATATGCTCTGAAACAACTTGCAGAAAAGATTATTCAATTAGAAAAAAGACTTTGACCAATGTTACAAATTTTCGTCAATGCCCAAAACTTTCTTGTAAACGTAAGTTAACATAATGTAAATAAATGCATTATATATATAAATAATAATATAAATATCTTTGACTTACTAAAAAGCGCCATTACGTATACTTCAACCTTCGCACACTGACTATGGCATCCCACTATTCTATAATAATATTAAAAAAGTGTGGAACATATTTTCTTCTGATAACACCATTATTTTGGACCTCTTATGTAAAAATCTTGGGTATTCTGGCATTTTTGATCACGGTACTTTTTTCTAGATAACAGTGCAAAAGACTATCGATATATTTTCAGAGTTACAAGAATCAAACAAATCAGTACAATCGATAAAATTAAATGAAGCTTGCTTTCAAAAAAAACAGAATTTGTTTTTTTGCATAGAAATGTCATATAATCTGGAAAAAAAATTTTCAAAAATACAATGCAAAGGTATTATTTTTTTAAGTCTAAGAGTTAAAGTGCACAATTCACAAAACATGTAGGAGCAGCAATTTAATTAAGTTTTTTGATTAAATTAGAATATTTATGAATCAGTTGTGAATTGTAGTCAAGGCAATATTTAATTATGTCTGATTGAAAAAACTAACAAAATATTCAACAATCTACACGTGTGTAGATAGCTTCAACAGTAATTGCTGAAAATTTGTTTTTAAAAACGAAGAATATTCTTTAACTTAAAAGTCGTTACATTTTTGTTAAAGGGCTCATTTTTTTAAAAAATAATCACTTTTTGTTAGATCTTAGATAACAATATATTTGTAATGCTTTAAATATAGTTGACGGATTTTACAAAATGTGGACGGACTGGACCATCTGTAATGTCACTTGTGGAGTAGGAATAAAAATAAGAAGTCGAGAATGCAGTTTACCTAAATATGGTGGAAAAAATTGTAAAGGACCTGGAATAGATCAAAAAATTTGCAATAACTTTTCTTGCCCAGGTAATTTTCTTTTCTCAATGATTTACTCAACAAATTCTTTAAAGTTGATGGAAGGTTCAAGGAGTGGTCAAATTGGACTTCATGTTCGGTATCTTGCAATGGTGGCATAAGTAACAGGTATAGAACATGCGACGGTCCTTTTTTTGGTGGAAAAAATTGTTCTGCTGATTACAATGAAAAAAGAACTTGTAACATTCAGAGTTGTCCTGGTAAAATTTTTTTGGAAATTCCAGTTATCTGTAACTTTAAAACGTTACAGATTGTTTAACCAAAAACAAATTTTCAGTCTTTTATTTACTTTAATTCACTCCAACACCTGTCCTTCCTAGTAGTTAATTTAGCAGCATGAAAAAACCTATCCGTGAAATTGGTTTTATTCCGATTAATTTTTTTGTTTTCAGTCGATGGACAATGGACAATATGGTCTAAATGGGGAAGCTGTAACACAACATGCGGAAATGGTTTACAACAACGCTTTCGAAATTGCAGTACACCGAAATTTGGAGGTAGGCCTTGTAATGGATCAGGCATTGAAGCCAAAGATTGCTTTTTAGGACCTTGTATTGGTAAGAAAAAGATATGTTGACTCCATTTTCTACAAAGTATTTATTCAGTTGAAGGAAAATGGGGGGATTGGTCAGGTTGGTCACTTTGTTCGGTGACATGTGGTGGTGGAGTAAGAAGTAGAAGCCGTAAATGTGTTGGTGAAAAAGCTGCATTGCCTGTTGTTTGTGATGGTAAAGACAGAATTACGAAGATTTGTCATGATAGAATTTCTTGTGATGAGCGTTAGCTTTTTCGTTTTTTCAAGAATATTCAATGAATATTTATATATTTCAGTTCAACCAACGTGTACGGAATACAAAGATTTGGGCTTAGAAGATTCAGTTGCAGTTCAAATAAGACCTTTAATATCTCCCTATACAGAATTTTGGGTGAAATGCAATCTAGAAGACATGAATGGGATCGGAATTACTGAAATACGTAATTTACTATAGACACTAACTATTCTCTCTATAAGATAAAATTTTAGCTCACAACCAAATGAACGAAACAATTGTACAAGGACAAGAAAACCCTGGACAATATGTTGCCGTACTAAAATATAACACTTCAAGCGTAGACTACACAAGGTTAATCAAAGCCAGTAAAAAGTGTAGACAATATTTGCAATGGAAATGTAAATCTGCTTCCATAGTGAATCCACAAAACGAGAATGACTTTATGACGTTTTGGATGAATAGGTCGGTTAGTTTTTTTAAAAATTGAAAAACAAATAAAAACTATTTTATAGGAATAATGACCATAAATTTTATTGGTTTGGAGACGGTAGTAAAGAAGTTGGATGCAAATGTATGGAAAACAAGTCATGTGGTGATAAAACTAATCCTGAACATCTACAATTAAAGTTACTAATTTCTTAACTGTTCCTTCTTTTAACTCAATAAAACATTTTTGTAGATGTAACTGTGATGCAAATGATGTAGTTTATAGGGAAGACAGTGGATTTATCGAACAGAAAGATGATTTGCCAATTACACGTTTCAGAGCAGGAGATACAGGTATTCAGAAAGCTGATGTTTCAAATGTATTTTTTTCTGGAATTTTTTATATATTTTGAAAAACTAGGTGGGACAAACGAAGAAGCCAAACATAAAATTGGGCCTTTAGAATGTTGGGGAACTTTGAACCTTTTTAACTAGACAGTAATTTTCTTTTGCATTAAAAAAAAATTTTTTTTTTCAAAAGAGCCTTAAAAAAAATTTAAAAAAAAAATGAATATATATCTTAATAAGTTCAAATTTCAGGTGGAAAAAGCGAGGAAGGATACCACATCATAGGACCACTTCAATGTTGGGGAATTATCTTTCAATCTTAGAAATTATCTGACAAATCACAAAAATTTAATTCAACGACTGTTTTCAATAAACAAGATTAAATGAAGCAATTTCAATTTTTATTGTGTATAAATAAATACAACAATAATTAATTTATTGTATTAGAATTAATTTCCCTGCGGTATCTCTTTTACATTGTTGTAGTTTAATTATTGGAAAAAATTTCCTTTGAAGATTAATTTTCTTCTATATCGATCTTTTTCACTCAATATTCAACTTCACTCTCTTTTGAAAAAGCATGATGCGTATATATATAATTTTCCTTCTATTTGTATCTCCTGTCCACTTTTTATCGATAAATCAAGATTTTTATACGTAAGTTTTGTAATAAATTTCTAGTTTCGATCACAACTGAATATATCCATTTTAGATGGAGTTATAACGTAAAAAGTAATCTTAGCTACTTTTCTGCGAAAATAGACAAAAACATTTTCAAAAAAGTAGAAAACACTCTTTTCAACCAGTGTGCTTTTTTATGTAAATTATCAGAAAAATGTCATTCATTTAATCATGGAAAAATATTTAATACTTGTGAACTTCTAAATATAACAATAAATGAAAAGGATTTGGAAAAAGATAAGAATTATTCTATTGCACAGAATTCATACTTGCAGATAAATAATGTAAGAAAAAACTTTAAAAAATAAAATCTATTAAATATAAAGAATTTTTAGAAAAGTTTAGGAGATTGCTTTCCGAATCCATGCAAAAATGGAAAATGTTTGATTTCTGAAAAAAGCAAAAGCATTTGTTTTTGTTATTTTGGATGGGAAGGAAAGCTTTGTAATAAAAAGAGAGAAACGTTTTCTGTAACTGATTGGAGTGAATGGTCTTTTTGTTCAAGAACTTGTTCTCTTGGTTTTCAGTCAAGAACAAGAAGCTGTGTCAAGTTTCAAAACAATCAATCTATTTCATTGTGTTTGATTCCTGATAAGAGGATTGAAAAAAGGACGTGCTTTTTACGTAACTGTCCTTCCTTTTCTTCTTGGACCGAATGGACTACTTGCTCCTCTAAACTATATTGTGGTTATGGTTTTCAAGTATCCGAGAGATTTTGTGGAGGAATCAGCGATTTTAAGGAAGTGTATGATAACCCAGGTTGTTTTGGTCTAAAACAACGAACTAAACGCTGTGAGCAAGGAGATTGCAAAGGTATCAATTGCTTAAACATATTTCTTTCGCGTAATATCACTTTTTCAGCCCCGGTGAAATTAGTATCATCCGAATTCGGTAGTGGAATTATCGAACTATATAACACATTTACCAAACAGTGGTTAGATATTTGTTATAAAGAATTTGATTTAAAGGAAGCCTCTCTATTATGTAAATACATGGGATATAACGAATCTGAAAAAGGTAGTGAAGTCCTTAAAGTGTAATATTTTTATACTCTCTCTTGACAGTTTCCATATTGGATGTTAAAACGGAAAACGGTTTAAAGAATATTTTTTGTACTGGCAAAGAAAGATTTTTGCCAAAATGTACCCATTCGGATTGGTCTAAAAAAGTAGCCTGCTCTTCACTTGCGAAAATACAATGTGTGGGTGAGTAAAAAAGTTTTGAAAGTTCCTCACTTTTACAGTAAAAATCAATTTAGTTGATGGTGGGTGGTCTAATTGGCAACCGTGGCAGGATTGTTCAGTAACTTGTGCTAACGGTACAAGAAAAAGATATCGAGCATGCTCTTATCCAAAGCCTAAGAATAATGGAAAAACGTGTGCAGGGCCTAAAGAAGAAACGATTTTTTGTGAAAAGGCAGCATGCCCCAGTAAATTTCTGTAGTAAAATTTCACTGTTCTCTTAAATTTTTTGTATGTGTTTACATCTAGTTGATGGAACTTGGCAAACTTGGTCGTCGTGGAGTGTCTGTGATCAGTCTTGTGCGTCTGGCAAAAGTAGCAGGACACGAATTTGTAGAAAGCCGATGAACGGCGGTGTTATATGCAACGGAAGTTCAAAAGAAACAAAACAGTGTAATATTCATCCTTGTCCAGGTATTGTTCTGTTTACATATAACTTAAAAAAGAGTTCTTATTACTAGTTTCCTTTTTCAGTAAATGGTTATTTCAAAGATTGGTCAAATTGGTCAAACTGTACCCGTACATGCAACGGTGGAAGTCAAAAAAGAACAAGAGAATGTGTTCCTCCGAAGCATAAGGGAGAGAAATGCATCGGAGATGACACAGCAATAAGAAACTGTTCTTATAACCCATGTCCCGGTAAATTACTGTTCTAAAAAAAGATTTATGTATTAAACAAAACTTTGACTTTCTTATCAAGTTGACGGATACTTCAACACTTGGAGTATTTGGTCAACTTGTAATTTAAGCTGCGGCGGGGGTGAACGAAAACGAGGAAGAACTTGCGTTCAGCCATTACATGGAGGAAAAAACTGCACTGGTCTATCTGAAGAATATCAAATATGCAACGATAAGAATTGCCCAGGTATTTAGACACTTTAAAGTAAAAACTATCACAATTCACTCCACACAATGACTGACCAAAAAGCTCACGATTTATAGTTGAAGGAGAATGGAAACCTTGGTCTTCTTGGACAACATGTTCTGTTTCTTGTTCTAATGGGACCCAAATCAGAAAACGTATCTGTTTATATGGAAAATTTGGTGGAAATAATTGTACAGGAACTGATAAAGAAGAAAGAACTTGTCATTTAAGACATTGCCCTGGTAATAATAATTCCTGTTTTATTAAGCGTTTTTTTTTATATACATAGTTAAAATCAGTTGATGGGTTTTGGGAGAAATGGTCAATGTGGACAATATGTAGCCAATCTTGTGGCAATGGTTCTACTCGAAGATATAGAGTTTGTCATGAGCCTCTTTTTGGAGGTATAAATTGCAGTGGAACAAACATGGAAACAGAGATGTGTTTCCTTCGAGAATGCCCAGGTAACAGTCTCTTTTGTTTAGAAAAAGTCACATTTCACAAAAAGTTATGAAAAATGAGCTCTTTATTTTGTGTATATACATTTTAGCAGGTAAGTGTAATATATTTTATATATATATATATATATCTGGTAAAAAATTCTCTTTTGAAAAGAAAGGTTTCCAGGTAAGTTACTACATTTTTTAAAACTTAAATACATATCATTTACTTATTTAATATAGTAATTCAAGCGGAAAAAACAAGTTAATAGATCTCCAAAAGAAAATTAAAATATATGGTAAATATTATCAAGGAAATTTGTTACGTGCAGAATGAAATGTAATTAACAGTTCACGCAAAAAAACAATTCATTTGAGGTTTAAAAACTATAAAAAAACTAATAACTTAAATTGATTGACTTAATTTATAATAAATTAAATTATAAATTTATAATTCTTGTTAAAGATTTTTTTTAAGGTTATAACATAGTTTAACTTCACCTTTTGTTAAAGTCACACCTTCTCATTCTTTATTTTCTTTGATAATAATTTTATATTTTTCAGTTAATGGTGTTTGGTCAGAATGGAATTTTTGGTCCACCTGTAACGTTACTTGTGGAAATGGCGTAAGAGAACGTTCAAGATATTGTAAAAAACCAAAATATGGAGGATTTAACTGTTCTGGTGATAGTTGGACATTTGAAAACTGTAATAATTTTCCATGTCCCGGTAAGTCATTTTTCGACATTGAAAAAAATATATTTTTTCTCTATGATAGTAAATGGTACATTTTCGGAGTGGGCTAGATGGAGTCTATGTAATGTTTCATGCGGAGGTGGGAGTAGAACGAGGGAAAGAATATGTCTTAAACCAAAACACGGAGGAATGAATTGTACCGGTGAGAAGATAGAAATAGAATCTTGCAATTTTGCTAAATGTTCAAGTAAAACATTTTTCTTAAAAATTACTCCGTATTCATTTTTCTAATTAATTTAAGTTGACGGAACATTAACTGAATGGAGTAATTGGTCTTCATGCAGTAAAACTTGTGGTACAGGAACCAGTAAACGCCTAAGACAATGTATTGGACCTTTTTTCGGTGGAAAAAATTGTTCTGAAAAACTAACAGATACGTTGGTGTGTGAAATAGCGAAGTGTCCCATAAATGGCGTTTTTGGACAGTGGTCCACATGGGGAGATTGTACAACTACGTGTAATTTTGGCTATAAATACCGAAATAGAAAATGTCACGGGCCTTTTTACAATGGTAAAAATTGTACAGGGCTTTGGAATGAGAAAGAAAAATGTTTTCTGAGACATTGTCCTATTAACGGTGTGTTCGAAAATTGGACAAATTGGACACTTTGCAGTAGCTCGTGTGGATCTGGTATACGTGTGAGAGAACGAAAGTGCATAGGTCCTTTACATGGTGGAAGTTTTTGCACTGGTGAATTATTTGAGAAAGAAATCTGTAATACTGAACCTTGTCCAGGTAGGTACTCATGCCTAGGTAAACGTTTAATTTCTCGAAGTTATCATTTAATCTCTAAATAGTTGACTGTGAGTGGAAGGAATGGTCAGCGTGGTCAAGCTGTGATATTTCTTGTGGTAAAGGAACACAGAAAAGGAAACGTGAGACAATAAAAGAAAAATTTGGAGGTAAACCCTGCTACGGAGAACCTGAAAGCAACAAAATCTGTGTCTTGGAGCCTTGTCTAGGTATGGGCATTTTAGGATTAACTCGTCTTATTGATAATTTTTTTAGTACCTGGCTTGTGGATGAATTGGGGATCATGGAGTAGATGCTCAGAGCCTTGTGGTACAGGCGTAAGCTATAGACAGAGAAATTGCAATAAGACATCTTTTGGAAGTCTAACCGATGAATGTGTCGGTATTTCAAAGGCAAATAAATCATGCCATAATTTTGGTTGCAAACCGTATCGTAAGTGTTCATTACCTACATCTCAAGCTATTTAAACCAAACTTCAATTTATAGCAATATCATGTGCTGCTTGGATTGAAAGGGGTTTAACTGACAGTTACGAAGTATATATAGATATAGATGGAGATGGTAATAATAGAAACAACTTGCCACCATTTCTAATATTTTGTGATGTTACAAAAATGGGAGGAGTAGGATTAACTGAAATTCGTTGTGTATTATTATTTACCGTTTAACAGCTAATATAGTTTTCGATTTAGATCATGACCACGAAAATTTAACTAAAGTTGAAGGATTTGAAGGTGAAGGAGAATTTGAAGCAACCATAACCTATTTAGACAAGGCAGGAAGAGTTATTAGCTCCAGCTACTTAAATCGACTTATTGACTCATCTAGTCACTGCCGTCAGTTTATTCAATGGAAATGTCGCTCAGCTGGAATTCATCATCCATTCCATAAAAATAGAACAATAACTTACTGGAAAGGAAGGGAGAACAAAAAACACTTGTATTTCGGAGGTGCTTCATATAAAAGTCAAAAGTAAGGAAAGTACAAAAGCAGAACGCTTCTAATTAATATTTTCTAAAAAGCTGCGCCTGCGGAGAGGATAAATCCTGTTTAAACGGTACGAATAAAGAATTAAGGTGTAACTGCGACGCTAATGATTGGAAATGGAGAGAGGTTTTGAGCTGTACGTTATAATATATATTACAAATTTAGATAATTTTTAGGATTCTGGATACTTAAGTTATAAAGATCATTTGCCAGTAACAAGTTTTCAAGCTGGTGATACAGGTACAAAGATATTTCTTCAGAAATGTGTTGTTTGAAAAATTTAATATTTTTTGAAAATTTTTAAATTTTATCTAGGGGAACATTTTCAAGAAAGGGGTTTCTTTATGATTGGACAACTTGAATGTTGGGGGATACAGAAATTTTAATGTAACAACATTTTTAACGATTTTTATAATTGTGCTTTTAATATTCTGATATTACCAAACAAAGTTCGATCATTTAATGTTTTTCAGGACAAAAAAATTATGATCTCAACAAACATGAAACTGGTTATTTTTTGATCGGTCCTTTGGAATGCTGGAATTGAAATATTCACAATAATTCACTTAGTAATCTTTGATTATCTTCTCCAAAAAAAAAAATATTCACTTAAAGAGTAGTATTGTCTAAAAATATCTCGTAAATATAATAAAAAGAAACATGAGACAAGAAGAACATATTGACTAATTAGTATTGTTGTTGCACCAAAAGGTGTCAAACTCATGTATGAAATACCTCTTTTTTTACAATCTTTTACCAAAACTCGAGAGACACACTGAAATTCACCTTTTGAGAAGATGTCTTTTTCAATCACTGGTCTTTTTGTCCATTCTATTAGGGAACTCATAGGCACTATCCATATTTTCTTTTTAGATAAATATTTTAAAATATCTCTTATTGAATCTCTCAGCGCGGCAGAATGAAGAATTGTTTCCCCAAAATTCAAAAAAATTGGTTCATCTTCCTTAAGTTTCATTTCAATTTCCTTAATCAAAAATTTTGTAATCTGTTTGCTTGTTTTCTCTGTGAAAAGCAAATCGTCCAAAACATATTGTCCGCCTTGTGTAAATGGTATAAGTGGAACTTCCCATAGACCAGGAAACGTTTCGTTAGGACATATTCCGCTAATACATTTTCGGCTATATTTCTCCCAAGGAAAATCTAATGTTATGGGCCAAAGAATATTCTCTGTCTTTATCGATGAATCATATAAAAATCCTGTTTTTTCTAAAGCTTTATAATGGTTATTACCTCCTGGTGTTACACGAGATGAACGAACTCCTCTTATACTTTGAACAGGTATGGAAGTTTGCTTACTTAAAGTATCACGAATCCATCCTGTTTCTTTAGTCCACTGCTCCTCTGTTGCACGATACCACCAATTATTCGAGTACTTTGGGTTAAGTCCTATTCCTATCTCATGACCATGTATGAAAAGCCTTTGAACAATACAGCTTTGCTCATTCTCAGTAACAAATATTGTTGCCGAAGCTGTGCAACCATTTGGATTTTTTATTCGTTCTGTGAAAAATGTGGACATAAACCATTCTAATCTTTCATTAACAATTCCAGAATACGCTAAAACCGCAAACTTTGGAGCGATACCCGTGACCTGTACTCTTCTAAGAGGATTCTTGTTATAATGACAATAACAAAAAGGTAGTTTGCAGTCTAAATCACAACAGTAATGTATTTTTACTAAAGAAAAAACAATGAAAATATATAAGGAAAATTCCATTGCAAAAATTTTATATATAACTGTTGCATTCAATATATATACCATTTTTAAACCAATACACTTTGAATTGTTGAATACATTCTAAAACTCACCGCTTTGAAGGAGATATCTTTATAAATATTAAGTTTAACATAGTAGTATTATTTTGTGACATTTATTGAAGTTTTTCTAAATGTGTAGAATTTTAAGAATTCTATTTTTTAAAATTTCTTTAGTTATACACATTCATTACATTATTTTCCTCATTCTATAATTGAATAATACCTGCCGTTATCGTTGAAACGGCGCCACTGTTGATTGACGTTTAGATAGCATTATCTCTTGTAGCATTACAGTTTGGATTGGCGTTCATCATGAGATTTTCGTTTTATAAATTTGTTTTAAGAATTTTTTGCTATGGAGCTTCACTTTTACACATTGAATGTCGTCATGAAAGAAGATATTTAGAAGGGTACCTTCCACCGAGATTTAGTACGTTTTCCTTTTTTCATTTGCTGTACTATATTTCACCATTCCTTAATATGATTTAAATTAGAGAATACTCTTGTATCAGTCAAATTAAATGTAGAAATTTAGTACGTTTTTTAAGAGATAGGCACATTTTGTATTTTTTTGTCTGCCTAAAAAAACATAAGCTGTAAAGTGTAGAGACATGTGGTAAGATAAAACGAAATTCGTTCGTCCATTTACTCTTTACTGGCTTCCAAATTCGTTTTTTCTTTTGTCTTTAAAGATTGCAGCTGAAGAGGTTTCAGGATAACTAGCTTAAGGCAAACTTTTATTCCACACTAAAAAACATTATCCCACTTAGCTCATCCTTGTGAGTTGGGCAGTATGTATTCGAAATTCTTCTATTAAAATCTAAAACATTAACGTAATTGTTCTTTTTTATTGCTTTTTGGACAGTAAAATTTATGCCATTCATTTTGCCCTGAATCCCTTTTTCGCATCCATTCTATCTGATAGAGAAAACCAGATGCTTTACCTCGCAAACAAAATCCTTACTTTTCTAATTATTACTTCTAACTATGCAAATATATTTTTCACCAGATGGCGTTTTCTGTCAAAACCCTTGTCTAAAAACAAAGCTCCATTTAAAGGATGTGGCTGTTTAAATTTATAGCAGGAGTATTATCATCTTTTATTACATATGCAGGTCCTCTTAACTTTGAGAATATTCTAATGGCGGATTTATTCAAGGATTATAATAGAGATGCTAGACCTATTGCGAACGTTTCACAGCCAGTTGAAGTGTCGGTAGCATTCTATCTCACAAAAATTCTCAATTTGGTGAGTAATTCACAAAACATACATTGAGTAAATAGTATTCCTAATTGCCACTTGTTCTTAAATAACGATTCTACAATCTGCTTTAATTGCATATATTCGTAAAAAATGATTATTATTTTGACGAACGAAGATGTTTAAATAAAGCCATTAAACTTTAATTATTAAAAAGTTACAAAGAGAAACAATTCGATGTTATTTTGGTTTAATATCTCTAATAAACAGTGAAACCTTTCTTCAACTCGAGAAAGGGTTCTATAGGCTAATGAAAATTCTCAGAAAGAGGGGGCTTTTCAGATTTCCTCCATTTTGGAGTTTTTTCGAGAATTTAGGCAAGAGATATACTGATAAAAAGGTACTCTGATAAGGCATCTTTTAATAATATATGTTTAGGGATTGTCTAATGGCTTTAAACAGCCATTGCATGTGAATGTTCGTCGGTTAAGTTGATAGTTTATATTATAAATTGTAAGTAGCAATTTAACATAAAACTTTCAAGTATCCAATTTAACGGGGTATAATGCAATAAAAGAAGGCTTAGTTGACAATGATTCCTTATAATTCTTTTGTTATAATGTTTTTGAACAATATCTAATTCCTGTAATTTTATCCATAGCATATATTACACGAAATTTCTTAATTCACTTGCATATCGCTTTAAATAAAGCGTTAGCTTTCCTATTTTTAGCATTAGATATTTTTAGGATGAAAAAAATCAAGTTTTGACAACGTTTGGATGGCTGGAAGTAGTAAGTTTATATCTTGTTTCTCGTAATTGTTTTAGTACTTTACCTATTAAATATATATAGCACTGGAAAGACGAATTCTTGACATGGAACTCTTCGGATTACGGCGGCCTTATGAGGATTATAGTTCCTCCAAGAGTAATATGGTTACCAGATTTTGGTTTAGAAAACAGCGCTGAAACTATCTATGACGAACAAGCAGACAAAAAATTTCGGGCAGGAATTGATTTTGATGGTGGAGTTCAATGGGTTCCGGGAGGAAAATTCGTAACTTCCTGTGAATTAGATATCACCCTTTATCCCTTCGACAGTCAGAAATGTGAAATGGATTTCGTTGACTGGACTTATGATGGAAGATTTGTTTCATTGACAAATGGTACTTCTTCCGTGAGTTTAGGTGTGTATAAAAAGCACGGAGAATGGGATATCCTAAAAACTGAGGCAAAATCGACAAAGCAATATTTTGATTCTGACCCTGGAATACCTTTTCCTACTGTTAAATTCATCCTTCACTTAAGAAGAAAACCAAAGTTTTATATGATCAATGTTGTTGCCCCTTGCCTTCTTATGTCTATTCTAGCTTTGCTGGTTTTTTATTTACCACCGGATAGTGGTGAAAAGGTTTCTCTGGGAATAACAGTACTTCTAAGCTTCAGTGTTTTTCTTCTTCTGATAGCAGAGAATGTTCCAAAAACTTCTGACTATGTGCCTTTAATTGGTAAGAGAAAAACTTTCTTGTTTGGAAAATTTAAGACCTACGTTATGAAACTATAATATAAAAATATTTTTTTGTAATAATGAAATAGTTTATAAAATAGGTAATTGTGACTTCTCTCATAGGTGTTTATCTTACAATGGTTATGGTAATGACAGCACTATCAATAGTAATAAGCGTCGTCATTCTTGACTTGCATCATCACGAACCCAATAGACCCGTTCCTAGCTGGTTAAGAAGAATAGTTTTTGGAATGCTATCGAGGCTGATGTTTATTGAAACTCCATATAAAAACGAGCCCACATCGTCGTTTTTTAGGCAAAAAGTAAAAAATGGATCAAAAAAGGCTATTAAAATAGAAATAGAGGAAGACCGTATGTTGACAGACATGAATCTTCAAAGAAATAGTTCCTATACAGATGATTGTTTAGAAGTTTCTGCTCTTCAAAAGAAGAAGCATTATGTATTTGATGAAATTTTGCTTCACCTGAGAGAGATAACCGCAAAGATGAAAAAAAACATAAGGCGGGAGCAACTAAACGAAGAATGGAAAATGGTTGCAAAAGTTATTGACAGATTTCTACTTTTAATATTTCTTCTTGCCATAATTGGCTTGACATTATCTATATTGTATATATATCCCAAATTAAATCATGCATTTGATAATCCCAAATGAAAATAAATAGAATATAGGTCTTTTCAGAACTATGTAAGCTAGAGGGCGTTATTGCAGCTGATATTTTTGGATAAATAGAACACTTTTCATCAGCTAGTGACTACATTCGCCAACTAGTTGACTTAATGTAAAACAGGGTAACTGTGAAAGAAATATGTCTTTGGAGCGTTTGAAAATTTTTTTATGTTTGTTGCTTTGTCTGAGTCTAACAAGAGGAGCTTTACATAAAGGTAATTTAATTTGCTCAGCTTATTTAGCATTTGCAAAATACATAATCAGCTGAGATCAAAAATACTGAACAGTGGCAAAAAGAAGTGTTTCTATTTCCTTATATAGAAATCAATTTTTTTCGTTTGTCGTTTTACTTTTTGAAGAAATGACTTCAAGCTATAATAAAGATAAAAAAGCCATTGTTCTTAAATCAATGAATCAATTCTCTATTGTATATGTGAAACGTTCTAAACAGAGAGAACAGGTCAGGGTATTGAAAACATTCTTATAAACAATCTATTAAAGAATTATAGTAAGTATGGGAGACCAACGAAAAATGTTTCGGAGCCTGTTTTACTGTCTATTGCTTTCTATCTGACACAGCTAATGAGTCTAGTAAGTACCAAACTAATCAAAATTTCTACTTATTTGTAAATGGACAAGGCTCAGCTAGTTCATTATATTATACAGTAATGATATATTTCCACATAGGAAGAAAAAAATCAAATATTAACAACTTTTGGGTGGCTAGAGACGGTAGGTTATAAACCATAAAAATGAGACTTTAGATCGAAAGTTTCAGTTTTGGATGGACGACTTTCTCGTTTGGAATCCGGAAGAATATGAAAATCTTACCCAAATCGTTTTAACTCCAGATCTCATTTGGCTTCCGGATTTTGGTATTGAAAATAGGTTTATAAATAGATGCTAAAAAAACTACTTACCTAAATTTGATATCTCTTCCAGTGCTAAATCCATATATGACGAATTGCACTTTAAAAGATTTAGAGTTAGTATTCTTCATAACGGATTATTAAATTGGGTTCCCGGCGGAAAATTTTTAACTTCATGCAAACTTGATATCACATTTTATCCTTTTGACGATCAGGAATGCAATATTGATTTTGTTGACTGGGCTTATCATGGATTACAGGTGTTATAATATAATATTAGACATACAAAATGTCACTGGGATAAATAATAATAAATTTCCCTAGGTAAATCTTATTAATGGATCGTCAGAAATTGGGCTAGATGCTTATACAGAATCAGGAGAATGGAAAATTATAGGGACTAAAGCAGTCAGTGAGGATCAATTTTATGAAAGTGACCCCGGAGTACCTTTTCCCCGTGTCAGATTTACACTCTTTTTGAGAAGGAAACCTATGTTTTATTTGATAAATATTATAACACCATGTATGACTATGTCCTTACTGGCTTTGTTGGTATTCTATCTACCTCCTGACAGTGGGGAAAAAGTTTCTTTAGGGATTACTGTCCTTTTAAGTTTTAGTGTCTTCCTTTTATTGGTTGCGGAAAATGTTCCAAAAACATCAGAGTTCATTCCCCTTCTTGGTAAATAAGTTATATTTTAGAAACGACAGATATCGGTTACCTGTAACATTATAATTTCCAAATGCGTTTAGAAATTATCACTTTTTTCGAAGTTGTCAAATAATAATCAAGTGCAAAGTTTGAACATATAGTCAAGTATAGAATATAGTTGATATAACAGATTGTGTAAGGAAGAATACTTTTTAATACGAAAATATAGAAAAGCTTAACAATGGAGGGAGCAAAATTATCTTTAAAAACTTTTAATTTTGAACTTACCCTCTCAGATTATTATTATTATTAAACTTTATTTTATTAACTTTAATTTTAAGTAAAATTGTGTCTTAAATACTCACACTGACCAAAGAGCATCGTATTGTTAATTTTTTTTACAGTTGTGTTTACTAGAAATCGTTATCATATTATAGGCAATTCTAACTTAAGATATCTGGCGAATCTTTAGTTAGATTTTCGCTTCTAAATTAATATGGTTTACCTACAGGAATTTACTTGACTCTTGTTATGGCGACAACAGCGGCTTCTATTCTTATCTGCGTTATAGTATTAAATTTACACCATCGAGATTCAAAAATACCGGTTCCTAAATGGTTACGAAATTTCTCGAGATTAACTGGAAGCTGTCGTTGTGCTTTTCTGGATGAAAGTGATAATCAGTTGGACAGGAAAATAACAACTATTAACAAATGTACGGCTCCACAATTTTCTGAAAAAGCTGACCTTTTAGAGGAAATATTAAATCATGTAACATCTTTATCACAAAAGTTGCAAGAAAAAGACGATCAAAAACGCATTAAATCTGAATGGAAAGCAGTTGCCAAAGCGATGGACCGATTTTTTCTTACGATATTCTTATTAATTATAGTCTTTTCATCCATCTTCTTGCTCTTTGTATATCCACTAGTTGCCAGAAAAGGGAAATAATATGCATATCAGAATTAAAAAGTAAATTTTAACTATCTTTAAGCAAATTCTATCTCTACTAGGTGCAAACATTTAATGATCTTTTTTAAGCATTATTATCAATATCTTGCGAAAGATTGTTACTATAGCAGAAACTATATTATGAGATGCTATGCGCTTTTATGAACAAGAAATACAGAATCATTAACATAGCGTTCTGATTTTTTGTATATTCCAATTATTAAATATAATTTTATGGTCAAGTGAAACTGCTAAAGCTAACTTATTTCAGTATGATTTGCTAAAATTTGAGAAAATGCTACTCTAAATGAATTCTTCTTATAAAAAGACGTTAGACGTCACTAGAAACGCCTCAGGCCTCGTTTTCACTACATCTAGCGTCGAAAGCATCATGTGGCATTGGGAAACCAGTCTAGACACGGCGTTTTTTCGCTACAGTATCACCAGTCTTCGCCAATAGCTGTCACAGTATAGACGCCTTTAAAAACCCTCTTGACACCTGAAAATATCGGATTTAATTAATCTCCTTTTATTCCGTTCCATTCGTAAGTACATGCAACATGCTGATTTCCTTTACAAGAAAAAGAAACACTGTTAATGAATCATTTTCCTCGGAAAAAATCGAAATGACTCGTCTTTCGAGCGTCTATCGATCGAGCCGTCACTGACGTTATTTTTTCGTTTACGATTTAAGCAAAGAATAATTTGTATATATATGAAGGAAGGGATGAATTTAATGTTTCTTGAAGTTGAAAGATTAAATAGTCTACGAAATAGATGAAATTTATTCGTGATAAATTATTAATAGCAGTTTAATTATGATAAAATTCCCTCAATTTCACAAATGTTCAATGAAATTAGTAAAACGTACATTTAACAAGAATAATCTCTTTTAGAAAAATTAGTTGACTCTTATTTTCTGTTACAGAATAGCAAAAAACATGCAAGCCAACGATCCAATGTATGCTGGCTATGGCGGTGAGGTGGAAGATGTTCAACCCAACTTAAAAGCTGAGCGCCCCGATAGCTTACCAACTCGTAAAAATGAAAAGCATCGAGACTTTCTCGATTCCCTTTTCACAAATGTTAACTATGACCTTCTTCTATCCAAAGTCTTCTACTTTTTTTTCTTTGGAGCTTTCGGTTGTCTTTTCCCACTCATGGCCGTGTACTTCAAGCAATTAGGAATGAATGCAAGCCAGGCAGGATTTTTGATCGGTGTAAGACCTTTCATTGAGTTTTTCTCGGCACCTTTTTGGGGAGGAATAGCAGATAAATGGCAGAAAGGCAAGAAATTGCTATTATTTAGCCTTTTCTCCTGGGTCGCTTTCATGATGGGATTAGGATTTGTGACAACTCCTGCAAGTGCTTGTTTACTTTCCAATGGATCAAAAATTATGCTAGTTGATCCATGGTCAGAGACAGTATCAAAAGAACCATCAAGAATAAAGAGAGAGATTCAATATGTTGGCGACTCCAAACAGTATTATCTACCATATCCCTATCCAAGAGGACATTTTGGGCAATCTCCATTGCCTCTAGAAAAAAATGAAATTGTCAACTCAAAAAATTTTGATTTATCAGAACTTGTTTCACCTCCGTTTTCAAGCGTTGTATACAAAACGAGGGACATACAACGAGTGTTTCTTCTAGTTATCATATTAGTAATCATAGGTGAATTCTTCAGTAGTCCAGCAGCAACGCTAGCAGATTCGGCTGTACTCGGTTATCTTGGTGATGACCTAGAAAACTACGGAAGACAGAGGCTATTTGGTAGTTTTGGCTGGGCTTTAGCAATGTTTTTTGTTGCAATAGCTCTAGATCATTCTCACATTTTTCCAGATCATCCTTGTGGTAGTCAACAAATAGGAGAGCGAAACTACACAGTTTGTTTTGCTGTGTTTAGTGTGTTGATGGCTTGTGCCTTTTTGGCGGCAACTCAATTGAGATTCATGTAATCTTTAAAAACAAATTTCTTACTAAAATTAATCATAATATTTTTATTCTAGATATGAGGGAGAGCCTCAAGAACCGATTCCTCTCACTATAATCAGAAATAAACTGTTTGGAAGAAATGATCCCATCCCTCAGACACAGACCGCTTCCATAGATCCAGAAAAGGATGATGGACAAATGTCTGCTCCAACCTCCTCAACATTTATACCAAGAGGAAAACCGGGTCAAAGTGGGACTTTGAAAAATTGGCTGATAGTACTTAGGGAATGGGGAGAAACTGCGTATGCTGCAATGCTATTTCAAGCTTGGTTTATGGGTTTTGGAGTTGGTTTAGTCTTTGCTTTCCTGTTTTGGCATTTGCAAGTGAGCTGATACAACACATTTTAAATTTACCAAACATGTATACCATAAGAACAAGATAATTTTTCTAGTGACTCATAATTAAACTTTTTCAACAGTTAATACTTTAATAAGTCTTCATTCTATCAGGGTCTTGGAGGAGCTCCATCGCTTTTTGGCGTGGCATCTGTAATTAATCATGTTTCAGAGGTGGTAGCTTACTTTTTCAGCAAGAAAATTTTGTTTAGCATAGGTAAGATTTCGCGGCCTTTCAATTAAAATCTGTACTAAGCCAGAATACTTATACTGTAGATTAAAACTTTTACTTTTGAAAAAAAACAAATTATTAGCACAGACTTTCAGAAAGTAATATTAATTTTCACTGAAGCTAAACAGTTACAAGTCTAATGAACGTTTTCTTATCAGAAGAGGAAAACTTTCTTGTGTGTTGAATGATATGCATCTGTTAGTTATTCTTCAATTTTAAGTTGTCTTATCTAATAATATGACAATCTACGAATTTTACTATTGTAATTTTGAATCAACTTTAAATAAGTTTAACTCGTCAAATATCTTGCATACTTCTATAGTCATAAGGATCCTCAACATAGCAACTGAGAACAGTTGAAAGATCATAGCTAATCGATATTTTAGTGAGCTGTACGACATACCTGATCTGTAACTGTTGTAACAAAATGGTTGAGTGATTGATAATTATTCACGTTCCTTAGATTTATTTCCTAATGGGAAGATATTATTTCATCTTTCGACTTCTCACAGAAACTTTTTATAGTTTGAAAATCTCAGATTGTGTTTTATTTCATAAAAATAAATAGGCTTTAAAAAAATTTAGAAGTTAAAGAACATATTGTTCATTTAGTATTTTACTCTGTAAACTCTTGTATTATCTGTCTTAGGATATTTGAATAAGTAATTTGTAAATATTTAACAATGAAAAATATTTTTATGCGACTAATTAACGAATATGAGACCCTATGAGACTATTCTTTCAAAATAGGTCATGTTAAGGTTCTCTATTTGGGATTATTTGGCAACGCCTGCCGTTTTTTGTATGTCAGCTGGTTGTCTAATCCTTGGTGGGTTCTCCCATTCGAATTCGTCCAGGGATTAACACATGCTCTAGTTTGGGCTTCTGCCTGTTCGTATCTGACACAAGGAATCGAGACAAAGAATAGATCGACTGCACAGGGCATTCTACAATTAATTCATCATGGACTAGGCAGAGGAAGCGGAGCAATTATTGGTGGAGCTTTGGTTCAATATTTTGGTCAGTATCTATATAATAACAAAGTTGATTTCATCTTAAAATGAAACAGGCACGGAATATACATTTAGAGGCTACGGAATAGCATGCATCGTCGTTCTTTTAGGATATATTTTTATCAATTGGTATTTTGGTGGCCGACCACGGCAAATGGAAGACATACCAGGAGCCGAGAAACCTGATGAAGTTATGGAGGAAACTTCTCATTTAGCTCCATGTGGTGTTCCAATGAATCCAATGTCTCGAAATTTAAGTAGCAGCCGACTCTCCGATCTAGCTAATCAGGACAAAAACAATCAACAGGGGAGATATGGCACAACTTCTGATTCTAATGGGTACGCCGGAGGCAGAGAGGAATTGCCAAGATATCCGGAAGGCTATGGACCTGACACTGGTTATGGTTATGCGTTGAGCCCCACTGGAAATAACAATCTTCGACCCCTAAAAGAAGTAAGGTTCTTTTAAAAAGTGAATAAAATGTTGAATCATTTTTTTAAGGTTATGGAGAAAAGTAAAGATGTCACAACGTTGTTGATAACTGGCCAACCGACTGTTTTAACGAAAGCGTATCTACAGCAACCAGAACCTCTCTTTGGTCGGGATTCGGAGGAAGAAAATGAATGGAACTGAACAGAAATTGCTCTTTATAAGTAGAAGTTGTTAAAGACATTTAGGTCAGAAAAACTGTAGAGAAAATGATTATATTGTTTAAAATAATTTCCTTTCAAATCTGTCGTCAAAGCTAATTTTAGATCACTTAGAGAATTGTAGTTTGTACTGTTTCATTATTAAAGGGAAAAATAAAATTTATGATAGTATATTCAAAGTGTAATATTGACGTTTTACGCTGGGTCTATTTTTAATAATTAAAAGTAAAAGATGGCGTTTTAGCAAAAATATGTTTGTTGTTACAGTATAGATGGCAGTACTGAATATTAAGCCTACCTATATGACAATAATGATTGTCAATAAAGAGATCAATTGAAGGTTCTTGGTGACTATCAACAAGTTTATATCATGAAGTATGACATTTGCTCCACGTAATTCTCAATTTAAACTGCCTTCTAAAACAAGGTAGTATCTTTAACATGAATCGTTAGTATAGGTAAATTTTTTAATTCGTAATAGAAAGTCGATAAATACGACCAATTATAGTCAAAAAGTTGATATATTCTCTGGTTGGAAGACTGAAACTGATCTAACAGAATTCTGTTACTGGGCGGAACAGCGCCAGCAAACCAAAACTAAATATGGTAAGTTTAAACAGAGATATGATAAATAGCTCTTTGGATGTTGGCTAGATTCTTAATTTCCTTAAATATGTGGAATTTCTAACTTTTGTTGGGCAATGTAGTTGATAAATAAACTAGTTAACTATAGTTCCTAAATTTAACTTCAGAAACGAAGAGATTGTCCAAATTATGCGTACATTATGAATTACTTTGTAACTTTGGGCCTATTTGCGAATCTCTTATCGATCGTAGTGATAGAATAATACAGCAGTATAAGACTGAAAAGCAGACTGATAATAAGACTAATAAATCCAATACGTTGCTTAAAACGAAGGAAGTAAAAAGCAGAGTCATAGATGAAGACTGGATTGATTGCGGAATACCTCACAGAGAGGATAAAACTACAGATGACTTTGGTATGAAGAAAGGAATTTCAACTACTTCATTTGATGAGTTATCTCAAACTGTTCAGCGTGGTGAGAACAACTTGTTGCATGATCAAAACCGCACCACCCCTCCTTTGGATTCTCAAATTGAAGAAAAAGAGGTAATTTTATTTTATAACGGTTCCTAAATTTTCAATTTTAGTTAAAACATCTTTTTCAGTGCTTGAATAACTCAAAATCTACGCGCTTAACTCCAGATAAAGTGTCAGTAGTTGGAGAAAATGGTAAGCCTAGTAGTGTTACAGAGTTGGAAAGAAATCTTTCAAAAACTAAAAGACTGTTGTCCCTCCATCGTTCAAATCCTAATGAACAGAGCAAATCGAACGTTATTGATGTGATATCAAAACCATCTATTAAATACAGTTATACTCAATCGAAAATAGAACTGAACCCGAATAACATAACAAAATTAGAACGTGTTCCAGAAAATTTGAGAAATTTGTTATCCAAGACCAAAACAAAACCTCAGTCTGCTCCCTCTGCATACCATGGTATTTGTTGTATGAAAATAGAGAAGAAACAACCTAATTCACTTCCAGAACAAATAGAAAAGAGAGTATTTCCAAAAAAAACTATCTCTTTGAAAAAAGTGACATTACGAGGAAATCTTGGAGATGAAGAGAATGAAGAAGTCATAACAACATTTCCTTTTTTTTCAGCATCAAGACCATTGAAAGATACAGATAATTTAGATAACTCGAAGAAATCTGTATTTCCGATTGTGCATCTACTGCAGGAAGATTTGGAGAGTGTTGAACCTTTTAGTTGTAAACTGGGTCCGCCTGGCTTTAGGCCAGGTATAGGAGGTAAAAACGTTTTACATAGAGCAAGAGATGTTGCAAATAAGAGAATGATGAACACAATTGGATTATTTAACAATTCGACTAGTTCTGCATCGTCCTTTAGACGGACCTCGAGTGCATCAAGAAAATTAGGTAGATTACAATGTTCAAGTGGTACAAAGTAAGCTAGTATTGTACATCTGTTTTTATATTTCTAAAAGACATTTTGCTCTTTGCAGAATTAGGACAAGTGAGGAACTAATTACTAATTTAATTCATGATAATGATTTAAGCTAATCTTCCTTCTACTTAACAATCAACTTATCTGCAACAAAACTGTTGATATTTTTCCCGATTGCCAACATTAGCTTTAATCTTCCATTTTCTTTCTTTAGAATATAAGAAAAAAGTAAATGACGCAAACAAACTAATTTATTGTAATCATTATTTATTCGGAATGTTTAGAATAAAACTTACATTGAAACCCAACATGTTACGTTGACCTTTATGGTATTTCTCTCTTAGAAAAGACTTGTTACTGAGTAAACATACTTTATTTCACGAATAACGCGAATAAATATATATTCTTTATTGAAAAAGAAGTGATTTAAGACGGACAAATCAAAGATTGCAAAGGTTTTATCGGCCATAACTTTCTACTTAGAAAAAACAACTTAAAATCTTACAAAACAGCTTAAAGTTGCATTTAAAAACCGAGAATATACCAACAGTGCTATAATTAATAGATAACTACTCAGCTTTGAATTTTAGAAATATGCACAAACTAAGAGTTTAAATCTACTAGTATTTAAGATTACTTCTAATATTTTCAATTTTATCTTGTTCAAGCCTGCAAATAACCAGTGTAGTGATATACTTTACCTGAAGGAAAAATAGAAGGCATATAATTTGTGCAAATACATTGAATAGCTAACCTTAGCGTAAAGTGCTGTTACTGATCTAGTACTACGTTCAACAGCGTCTATATTAATCTCATTTATCAAATCCATTGCTTCGATAGCATTTTCAATTTTGACATTTCTGGTTAGTTCCGAATGTGAATCTGTAATAAGAGATGCTGATTTTCTGGCGAATATATTTCCAATATTCTCTGAGCTTCTCAGATTTTGTCTTGGTTCATTTAAAATTAGAAGTGATGCCTTAACTGTCTTCAGAAGAACGTCTCTAGGATTCGATCTTAAAATGAATTTAATTTCTTCAATGGATGAGTTATTTAGTGGGATGATATGTCTGTGTTGCATAAAATTTTTGATTTCCAAGATTTTTTGTGCTGCTTGGAGTTGACTTTCTAGTTCTCTATTAGGTAAGTGCCTTTTAACTCGTTTAATAATATTTTGAAGTGTTGAAGCGTCAGTGTCACTGGAGACTGACTGTTCTAGATCTGAAATTTTTCAACCAAGTAACAAAGAAATGTGTAAAAGCTGAATGTTTTTAAATACTTAATTTTATACGTTGAATGAGTTTGTTAATGCAGTTTTTAGCTAAATTTCTTAAATGTTGAAAATTTTTAAGGGTGTTTTCATCATAAAACCATTCCTCAACAATATATTCAAGGGCGGTAACTTGATCGGATATTATTTTTTCTAAGCTTTTAATATTTTCACTTTCAACACATTCCTGTATTTCTGTTAAAAAGATATTGCTAAAGTCTTTATTTCGAATATTTAAACTAAACTACCTGTACTAATTTTCTGTTGAAGGTGTGTTAGTTCATTTTTGACAGTAGTTTCAAAGCTTGCATTGGAAGAAAAATGTATTTCAGTTTTAGTATATCCTTCAAAAATAGACTTTATGTCATTTGCCGATCTCATTTTATCAACTGCGACTCTAAAACTGATAGTTTCTCTGCCTTCTAGAATTTCTTTCAGCTCTGCTTGTATCGAGAATAATCAAGGAATATTTAATTTAAAATACAATCTAACCCTTCTTTATAGATTCAAAGACATCATTTAACAAAAGGCTAGCTTTCTTGTGGATGCTTTCAAATTCCCTAGTTTGAATTTCACCATATATTTTTTGTAATAATTTGACTTGATTGTGTAGTTTTTCATCATTTTTTATTGCAAGTTTAAACTTGGATAGATCATTATCCTTAATAGCAGATAAAATTTCTGAGAAAGAGTAAATAGATACACTAGCCTGAGAAAAAGTTAAATACTACCTTCTTCATTTCGTAAATGCTTATTTACTAGGCTTTTTTTTAATTCTGAAGGAAGTATTGTAATATGTGTATCACATAATTCTTCTTCAAAAAGATTTTCAAGCAACTTAGATATTTTTATCAAGTCTGTACTTTCACATACAATTTTCTCAAGGGTTGTTTCGTTTGTTTCCTTCCTGCTTTTGAGACAATCAATAATAGCTGTTTTTATAACACACATTTATTATTATTCCTGTCAATTATTAAACTTTTACATACTTTTGCGATTATTTTCACTTTGACGACGTAACATATTTTCGGCCACCTCAATAAGAAATTTAAATTTAAATATAGAGACATTTTCATTTTTCAATTCTTCTATCAATGACTCAAAGGTTGTTAGCTGTTTTTCTATAAGGGCATTTCTTAATTTCTCGGTATATGTTTCGAGTTTTTCATAATTTATTTCTACTTTCTCCTGTTCTGTTAAGTCAATTTCTCGAAAAGAGTTTCTAATAGGAATCTTAGATTTTTTCTATTAAAATTAATCGTTGAACTTGTTTAGAATTTTAATAATTAAAAAGCAAACCTTTAAATTTTCTTCAGACACATAGTCTATTTCGTGTATATAAAGTAGGAAAACTAATCCATCTTTAGGTATTTTCTTATAGATAAAAATTTTATACTTTCCAAATATACTTTTGAAGTTAACCTGAATTGTTTGATATTCGTTCATTATAAATTGAATATTTTCTTTCGCAATCTCCTCTTCCAAATAATTCTTAACTACAATAAGATTTGGTGTATCTCGAAGGACCATTTCTATTTTCATGCTAGGAGCAGACGTCACACTTCTAAAAACCGGGATCTCAAAGATTGTCAATGGCAATGATTCAGTAGTTTTATCCATTACTATAAGAATTCCAGATAAAACATGTTGTAATAAATATCGCCTCTTATTCTCTTTGTTTGTCTTTGTCATAAATAAATTGAATCCATATTCTTTAGGAATAGTATTACTTAGCGTAATTTTTGTTGAATTAATAGTTTTTACGCAAGTTAAGTCCTTGGATTTAGATAAAATTCCACTCTGCATTGAATTAGTTGTTAATTCTGCAAATAGTTCTATATCTTTATGATGCTTGAACTCCATTTCGATATTTTCATCAGTTTTAAAAATCCAATCAGTTACTCTAGATTTCGCTTCTATTCTAATCTGAAGAGAAGGTATAGACATAATTTTACCAATGCAACCTTCAACAGTTCGTGGGAAGGGATTTATTGCACAGTCTTCTTCTAATATTATCAGATAATTGCAAATGTTACGACGATTCCCTCTCCATATAGCAAATAACTGAAAGCCATACTCTCCTTTCTTATGTAGTCTGAAAAAAAATGAACTTTGTCCTTCTCTGACTTCTTGTTTCAATCTAGACTGCAAAGTTGTCTCCTCAACGCCTTTTCTTACTAATTTTCCAATGATTTTTAGATCATTTTTGTTGGCAATGGTTATTTCCAAGTCTCCCCTAGCTATTCTAATGACAGCTTCCTCATATCGAGGGATCGCCAAGCCGAAGTCTTTCATACTCAAATTAGGACCCCAACCAAAATCAGATAAAATTGGCAATTTATTGTAACTTCTCTGTATATTATTTAATATGACATACGAACATATGAGATCAATTTCTAATTGTTTCTCCTTGTCAATACCAAATAAGTCTAGTCGGTATTTACCCCTACTTGGAAATCTTACAAAAAAGGTTAACTTTTCGCTTGTTAATTGAAATAGTACAGAATCAGAAATTTTTTCAGTGGGTAAGTTACATTTGTATAAAACAAAAGTAAACAAATGACTTGCACTAAAAGTTTTTAAAGAAGAAAATTCAAATTTCATTCCCAAATCGCTTTCTACTCTATCTGCTATGATTACAGCTTCTTTATAGCTTCCTTCGCTGAAAGTCATGTTCATCTCAAAAAATCGTTCTCTAACGTAGGGTAGGTTCTCAAATAATTTTCTTGATATAGCTGTTGGTAGCAGTTGCCATCTAAAGTCCTTAGGTAAATGAGTACAAACGAATAAATCAGGATCTGTTAGAAAATAAAAATCTCTGATTCTCTGGCCAGAGTGAGTGTTCTTTTTTTTTACAAGCCCCACTGAATCCATAAAATTCAGACTACCGTTTCCAATAGGGCTTGATTGAGTGTGTGACAATGCACTTGACGCCCATCCGGCATCTAAAAACAAGATATTATAAATATATAAAACAAATATAAACAAGTTTTTTAACCTATTAGGAAGTATTGCTCATTGACATATACAGCATTCCATTCACAACATAAAGAATTCCAATCAATGGATGATCCATAATGATAATTGATATTTTTACTATGGCCTTTTATGATGACACATGGAATTCCAATTGCTCTATATAGATATTCGTAAATCGTAAATACACAAAAGATGGCGTAATCTTATACAAACCTGCACAGGAGAGCAAATATCCGAGCATGATTATTTAATCCTTCGCCAATTTGCAGAAGGTGATAAATTGGTGAGTTATAGTCTTCCTCCAAAGCGGGCTTTTTCAACTCATTACTTAAGTTTTTTACAGCTGTTGAATCAATTTGAACCAGCCAAGAAAAGAGGCAACTTAATTTCTCGAAATCATTGTGAGCTGATTTCGCTAGAAACTTTGCTAAAACCTCAAAACTTTTTGTAAAATATATACTGGGAACTGAATTTATGTCAAATTTTCTTAGTCTCTGTACTTTCAATTGTTTCTTTCTCCTTTTTGGAACTTTTGGGGAAGGGTAATTCGATGGAAAGTCCTATAAAAACTTAAGTTATATTAAAATCATTAAATGAAACGAACACTGAGCTACTTCAAGATTAATTCCTTGAAAACTGGGATACTCTTTCACTGATTCTCGGCTTAGGCAATTCCCCATACCGAATTCTTATTATAAATAATAAAGTAAACAGAAATATTCGAAATATCCAAATTTTTGATCAAGTGAACTAAAGCCTTCAGTAGGTATTAGATTTTTTCTGCATAGTGCCAGTATTTAAAGTTTATTGATTTCAACTGATCATGTAATCTCAGTATATAATCCGTTGAATAAGATTAATATTGCAATGATAAATATCTGACAAAGGACACTTAATAATTATAAGTATGAAATTTTCAGTAATAGGGCTCTTTTGACGGATTTTAAATTTCAAAACTTGAAGTAGTTACAAAGACAGTTATTTATTTATGTAAAAGGGTGAATAAATATAATTATTTATAACCCGTAGAAAAGGAAGTGAGCTAAGACTTTGTGATTGAAAGATTATGGTACGAAATTGAATTGTAAATGTATTTGTTTAATATTTAAACTTTGTTTGTTAGTACAATGTCTAGATTTATCCGGCCATTACGGAATTAGTGAGATAATTTTTGTATTTCAATTAGGACTATCACTATTTTAGCCGTAATAAAGAATTTTTTGTGGAGTATCGTTAAAGTGCCATTTTTCTTTTTACCGCTTTAAAGTTGTCAGTGATGTATGATGTCTTAAGTAGTCGGAAAGGGAAAATGGTTAGTGCAAATCAAATAGAAGACAGACCCGATAAGAGACATATTCTATAAACAATGTACGATACCGCGTAAAGCGTATGTATGCGAATAAGTTTACTTATTTAGGTATACAATCATAATATATAGGTTTATATCTTTTTTATAAATGTCTATGCATAAAAAGGAATTGATAGAAATGTGACACAATTGTAAAACTAAAATAGGGTTAAATTAAATGGTAGGGAGCAAAGGTATTGAGGAAGATGAGACACAGACATGTTTACGCCTGGACGCTGGTCAGCAAGTGGTGTACAAATAAGCGCATTTACTTATATAAATAAGCATGAAACGCTTAGGAGATTTCCACTGAGAATTCTGATAGGGCTAGTATTCTCTGAAAAAGCATATTTTATCTAAGAATATTGTCATCGCTTATGGTTTCAAACATCAAAGTCACACTTTCTAAACTTTAATTGACACGGCGCAAAGAGGTGTCAATCTAACGGATAGAAATCAAAGCGTCCTGTTTGCTTTCCGAATCCTGGAAAGGCAAACAAAATTGTCAGAGCAGGGCAAGGATGAAAGAAAAGGGAACAGCTAAAAAACTCAAAGAGGGCAAGGCGACCAACGTCGATTACAAACATCTTTTAAGAGCTAACAATTCACACAATTAAATGCAGCAAAAAAACTGCACTCAAATTACAGCCCACAAGGGCAACATTTTTAGACAAGCTAGGCCTGGGAAACCACCAACTTTAAAGGTTCACCAGAAAAATTTAGTACTTTTTTACAGCTTGTCCGGAAATTTATGATCCTCGTTCCATTTTCTTTTAAATTCATTACATATGTAACTGTCGTTCATAATTATAAGAATTCTGTTACAAACTGTAATAAAATTTTTATGTAAACTGTCTGGACAATTAAGAAGACATTAAAGGAATATATGATACATATTAAATCGCGTTTTCACCCCACAAATACATAGTCCATAGATTTTTGATATGTTTATATTATTTACTTCATTTTGACGTTTGACATCTGTTAACAGGAAGATAATTTGATATCTAAACGTCCAATCGAAACTACGCGTCACCTTCAGAGTGAAGACAAACGTAATTTCCAGATTTAATTCGCTGCGACAGAATGTTAGCTAGATCTTGAGAATACTCCCATTGTATTTTATTTAGTTCATGCTAGAGCAAAAATAAGCCTACGTTTAACGTGTACAGTTTGGCCGATATTAAAGTAATAATCTTTTCTTATGTAAGCTTTCTCATAAAGCATCTACATTTTCGTGATCATTTTTTGCGTTGAAACAGAACGTACAAGGCTAAAATCGCAAGGTCGAGATAAATCTGAGTATTGTACCCTCTAGTGATGCCGTTTTCGTATACTTTAAAGAAAAAAACTCAGCCGAGAGCGACTCCTATTATCAGCCTTATCGGATAAGTTTGCCGGTAGCCTCCGCCCCTTTAGCCAATTCTGATTGGTTGGTAAAATGATAACGTATAAGGTCTACTTGCCCGACATTTTTCAGAATACTTTCGAATATGATAGAGAGTAGAGTGAACGCTCAATCAAATATGAATGCACGAATCGACTGCTCTCAACTGAATTCTGCTGCTCAAGCTTCAAACCAGGGTCATTGTCCACGTTTAACAAACTCTCTTTTTGGAGAAAATAGCTTAGAAGCTTTATTGGGAGAGAAGGAGGAGAGTAGAGTGCAAACTTCTTGGAGTGATTCTGGAAGAACAAGTAAATCTTATGAGTCGAAAGATGCAAGAATCAAGAGACCAATGAATCCATTTATGGTCTGGGCCAAAACAGAGAGAAAGAATATGGCCAGCAGGAATCCTGATATTCACAACGCTGAATTAAGCAAGCTTTTAGGTATGTGAGATATTCTATAACCATCAGCTGTGAGTGATTAGGCCGAAATTCAATTCGTTTTCTCTTATTCGTAATTTTGAAAAACGAATATATGTCTTTAAATGTTCTATAATTTAAAAAAATTTAGGATTCGAAAAGTTGTCTATTTTTAACGGTGTAAAGAGGATTTCCAAACAACTTAGATGATTAATCTGTTCTAGATTTTGTTATCACTTTGGGGCGGAGGCGTGCAAATATATAATTTTAAAAATCATTATCATATTTTATTTCATTATTAAAAAGTATAAAATAAAATGAATTTTATTGGAGAAAAACATTAACAGTTGGAGAAAAAGAGAACAAGTTTGAGACTTGCGTACTTGTCGCACGCGCGTCCAAGAGTTTACGAAAACATTTACCCGCAGTGTTTCCCAGCTTGATAATTTACGAAAAAAAAGTGTTAGCCCTGTTATCTTCTATTCATCGTGTTCATTTCGTTGACTCTAAAAGTTGAACGACCATTTCTTAGGGAGTGAAAGAATTGAAAGCAGTAAGGAGAAATATACCAGAATTTAAACTTAGGGCCATTTAATATGTGTCAGGGTTACAATGTTAAATCCCGCCTGGAACATTTCAGAACCAACTGTGAACTTTTCCTGAAACAGAACTTTTCATTGCTAACCTTATCTTTCGCCTTACGCACGACGCAGAAGCGGTCTGAGGCACTTTAAAGTGGACACTAGCTATTTGTTTGCAAAAACTTTCTGTTTCCGCTAGACAAGACTATGTGAATTTTTTATAGTTACTCTACTTGCATCTATAAGGGCAGTAGCGTTATCGGTCTAGTAGATCCAGATTGCTCAGATCAGGTGGCGTGTCATACTGCTATCATTACGCCTATGTCATGTCTGTTCACGTGTTCTAATTTGCTCAGCTTGCGTCTTTAACACTGACATCGCAGATTGAAAACAATATTTCTAAAAAAGTCATTTTTATGTTACCAGAATAGAAAATTCTTAATGTTAACACAAAGATATTATAATAGATATGTTCGTGGATAAACTGTATATACGACGTATTTTCAGTGATTTACAGCTGCTTTTAGACCGCTTTTTTTATTTTTCTGGCCTATGGTGATGAAGAGCGTATGCTGCTATAAACTTATACGCATGCATACGCTCGTGCACATATATACACATGTGAACAAACATATTATATTCATACACATTTACTTTCTTTAAATATAGAGAATTCCCTCTTTTTTACGAAGAAAATGTATAATTTTTTCAACTAAAATTATGAAAAGTTTTGTATTGTTTCTCATAAAGTATATTTGCGTTTTTAAGACAACAGAAGACCTGTTAAAATAAAAATGAAATTTTTTGGTTAAAATTTATTTATTTGCTATGTGCTCGCATTATTATAGAATCTCGCTTTCATTAAATAATGTTTAGTAGGAGTCAATAATTGATAAAATAAATGATAATCGTACATCTTAATAACGTAAGATGATATTATGTTTGCCTTATCGCTATCTTATCGGTTGAAAGAACTTGTCTGATTAGGAGGCTGACACGTCCAGTCTAAAATTGTCTTTCGAGCTTGCCTCTGTATCAAATAAGCAATCCATTACATAATTATATTTTTAAATGTTCTCAGTAAAAAGGTAACGCTAAAAGTTAGGCATCTTTTTATCTTGTAATGTGCCACGCGTTTCGTTAAGGTTTGGTGAATCCGTTTTTGGGTGGTTTGTTTGTGTTACTTTGCGCGCTTCCCGATTATTTATTTACAAAAGTTTTTTATTAGTCGTAAAGAACATTTATTAAATAAATTATCGTCGCCTATTTCCTTCAGATATTGCAATATGCATTATGTGTAGATCGTACTTTCAAATCCCCCGATTATCTGTAGATTTGTAAAATTACTCATAATTGTGTTGATGTTAACGCACGTCGAATAGAAATTCAGATGATTTAAATGATGGTAACTTTTTCTAACTACCAGAGATTTGAATTTTCGTTGTAAACATGAAAATTCTTAAAAACTCATAAGAGCAAAGTTTGTCTTCGACGAGGTCGTAGAGGTTGTACACCACCGTCGAGTGATGTCTTGCAAAGTTCGTGCATCTGTTTGTCAAATGATTAATGCATTTCAACGACCCCTCGTGGCTTTTTCTCCGTGGGCGTTGTCTTTGTATTCGATTTCAGGTTTTCGTCTTCTTGTTAGGCCTACAAGACAGTTACGTCATTTAATGCTCAGTTCAATTAAGATAAATTTTCGAACCATTCTTGACATAATTAGAACATTTTTAAAGTTGTAAAGGATCAAAAAATTTCAGTCTCCGTTCTTGACCTAGTTCACTTTATTTCAGGCCAGAAGTGGAAAAGTATGACACAAGACGAAAAAAAACCTTATATGGATGAAGCAGAGAGGTTAAGAGTGCAGTTGATGCAACGTCATCCTGATTACAAATACCGTCCAAAACGACGAAAGCAAGGAAAGCGACGAAGCAAAAGCAAAAAGGCGACTGATAGTAAAGTAAAAGCTCCAACAACTCTCGTAACTCCTGAGTCCACACCGAATACTTCTCCCTCTTTCAATCGTCACGAACAGTCAATTGCCAGACATTCAACAGAATTAAAAAAGATGCTGTCCTCAACACCTACCAGCTTTCTCACCCCGGAACCGTCTCCAATAAAACACAACGATGAATCCTTTCAATACAGGCCAAACGGAACGATTTTTCCTACCTGTGGTTCTTTTAATGAGCAGCTTGGAAGTTACGCTGGGTTTACAAATCAAAATATGGACATCAACAATAATTTAGACTATGGTACTTCACCACAATATAATGCTATAATGAATGAAATTCAAGAATTAGGAGAAATGTATGGTTCATCCGACTCAAGCTCTCCTCGAAATTCTCAAACTTCACCCATTTCAAGTATACATTCTTATATAAAGCAAGAGGGTCCTTCAGGATCTTTACGACCATCAATTAATTATCACCAGGAACAATTTGAGCATTATCCAGTGAAGAATGAGCCAAGGTACGTTCTAGATTTGCAATCACCTCCACCCGAAGCTTTGAAATTTGAGACTTATGCGAATGATTCTTGTTCTTACTAAAATATTTTAGAGATGAGAATTGAAAATTCCTTTATAGTTTTTTACTCATTCTTTGTATAGTTCAGTGAATTATTCATATGATTTAATTTACACTATAGATCTTTTGATACTGTATGGTGTTGAATATGTAAATATACTTGGACGGTTCATTGCTTTTCTTGATATAAATAGTATGAGGTAATGCCACCTGAATGTTATAAGAAAGAGATGAGAAATTCTATTTTTATTATAGACGTTAGCTTACAAGAAAACGTATGCATGCAATATGGTGCTACTTTATTACTTAAGTTTAGATAGTTTTTCTATTAAAAAGTTGTAAAAGTACACTATTTAGACTCAAAAGAATGTAATTTCTTGTTTAAAAATTTGTTTAATTTCTGTCTCTTCAGGACAAAATAATCTGTGTCTGTCTTAGTTTGTCAATAGAGACCTGTCTTCGTGTCGTCATCACTTTTTCATTTTTTTAATGTTTTCTCTTTTTTACATAAACATTCGTTATAATAATTAAGAATTATCAATAAATTACAAATGTTTAGAATAATATTGCTTGAATATTTTTATTTTTTAAGACGAGCGATAAAGATCTCTTCCACCTTTTACATAAGTACTTAGCAACATGGACGAAGTTGCCAATGAATCGGTGTTGTCAGTAAATGTTTATTAACGACCACTCGATAAGATTTATACAATTATCAAACTACCGTTTTTTTGTGGAAAATCTGAAGCAGACAATATTCGGATTTCACGTCAAGAATAGTTTATTGCCATTTTATATTGAACAATTAGTAACGCATGAGAAAAAAATCATCATTTTTTTTATCAAAATTTTAATTTAAATTACATATTCTTTCTGTCATCTAAACATATGTTATCACAATTTAATCAATTCTGTATATGACGTAGTGTTTACCTTACATACCGATTAAAAAGATAAGTAGTTGCCGCCTACCAGACTTTATAGACTAAGAAAGTGATGTAAAAAGTGGTAATGAGCTGTTTTTTCTTTAATTATAAAAACATCGTGCTGTACATAATTGCCTATAACAAAGATACGCCATCTGTAGGCTTTTTTAGTTAACAGCTACCAAAAGTTTCACTCTCTTGGTCTAAATTTTAGAGCCTGAATTCCAAGACAAATATATTTTAAATGATTTTTACACTTTTCAAATAAGAAAGGAGATGTTGACATTCTCTTTTTCAAGAAATGAATTCTGATCAAGTTATTGGGAGGCTTAACAAAACACTAACGAGATGAACTTAAGTTACCTCTAGATAAGAACCAATTTTCCTAAATATCTTTTTTGCGTCAGAAGCATTAATAAACATAAAAAATGCCTACATTGGGAAACGGAAAACTCACTAAACCGTTCTCGCGAAGGCGCCATGATACTGTGAAAATCAAGCGTTATCAGAGCATTCATCTCTTCCTTAGTGGTATCACTATGACTTTCCCTTGAATTGTATTTGTTCTGCGGGATCATTTAGCAAATCTTGTAAGTATTTTACGTGCTCTTTATTATTTAACTGTTACATTATTATGGAACAATGAGTCTATGAATATGTAATTAATAGAACATGTCTACATTAGAGATTGGGTCTTAATTAGTAGTTTTATACTTTCTTGTTTTGTTTAATTATTTATTGGCAAACATATCACCTCGGGTAAGAACTATGCAAACGAAATCGGCTGATTGCTGTATTGACAATAAATTGCTTCAACCGAAACCAGTTGTATTACTAAAAAAGCGACTACTTATATTGATGATTTGTTCAAAATAAGATTGCTTTGCTAACTAACTAGTGGTGAAGCATTTACTTTTGGTGAAGCAGTTTCTTCGTATTTAAGCTATTTTATATTATTTTTTTACCCCTAGGAAAACTCATGCTATATGAGACGTTAACTGGTAAGTTAAAGAGGTAAAAGGCAACGACATGACTTGTAAATGGTTCGATAAGCTCTTCATCCTTTCTAAGCTAATTTCGCTGTCTTACTCCGAAAGTTATCCGCCTGGTTATTGCCAGATTTTTAGCTATAACATACAGCATCTTGGCTTAAATGATAAGGACAGTCATTTCTTCGTTTGTTGTAACAATTTGAAAACGAATTGTGAGAGGAACACTTATCAGAAGCCTTCGTTTTCCGAAAGTAAGTACTAAGTGTTGATTAGAAACAGATGTGAGAAGTCAGTAAGCTAGATTTCTATATACAGGGATTTAAGAATGAGACTAATGGTAGATACCTAACTCAAAAGACTTATAAACTTCAAATTTTTTGAACATTTTATAATTAATCTTAAATTCTTAGTATTTTATTATTAAGTAGTATATTTTTATACGCTTGAAAATTTCCGAGTTTTCATGGAAGTCTTAAATTATTAGCTTTATAGAAGTCACTATTTTCATGACAGAAGTATTTATTGTAAAGACTTTCGGTTCCGAAACTTGCCATATCAAGCTGTTAAAATAAACTGCGCGATTTTAACAATTAGGTCAGTAAACATAGTCTGTGCACTGTGTTTTTGGAATAAAGAAGAAAAATATCGACTGACAAACAAATCGTAGTTTATGTCTCTCTTCTATAGCTTTGCGATTCTCCCAATGTGTATGTCATTACAATCTTATTATCTAGAGACCAGTTTATCTTTGCGTTCATATTTGATGCTTGAGTCAGATGTTTCATTTTTTTCCTTTTAATTAATTCATAAAATGCTTTTTTTTAACGGGTTCGATGAAATCCTGCTTTATTTTCCTTAAATTTGATATCAATTTTATACTTTCAAATTTTGCGATTCAGATTTCTGTATTGGCCAATTCTTACCTAAAGCTGGTAGTCACTGGACAGAAATTGAAAAATCAAGCTTCCTTCAAAATGGTAGATTCTACTGTGGAGATTGTTGTGGACAAAATCTGGCAAAAGAAATCTGTAACTTAAAATATCTTCGGGCCGTTGACAAGGCGTGTTTCAATTGGGTCGAATGCTTCCAAACGGAGTGCAAAGTTTGTTACTATATCCATAAATTAATTCCATTGATTGTTCTTGAATAAAATCATATATATAATATATATATATATATATATATATATATATATATATATATATATATATATATATATATATATATATATAAAATTGTCAACTTTCATTAGAAATCTGTGGAAATCCTACTAACTCAAAAGGCTTTAGGATGTAATCTTCAGACCGGTAAACCGTTTCCGCCTGCTCCACCATTAACTAAGATGGGACATCACCATCATCATTACAACATAAATAAGAGATCAAGTCAGATTAGTAATTGTGGAGAGCGACATTGCCTTGGCTTAAGTTTGAAACGACGTTGCAAGTTGAAATGCTGTGGCCTATACTGCTGTTTGACAGTAAGATTAATTTATTTTATACTCGATAGAGGGAGCTCGTATATATGTATTCATTTCATAACTGGTCCTTTTAGTTCGTTTTAGTAGTCCATGGTCTAAATGAAATAAGTTTTAGTTTGATATGTGAGATTAAAACTATAAGAAGTAGAGGAAAATTCTAAAGAATTTTTTCCTGGCTAAGGTCATAGGAGGTTAATTATGTTTCAAAGTCTCATCGTTTGTTGATACTATATCAGTTTAAATCAAATAAAAAAATTCCCCATAATCAAATTCCATAGCTATGGCTTAACTTATTTTAATATTCTAATGTGTAAGGAAATTTCAGACCTAATCATCATTTTTTATTATGGAAAACATTGAATTCTCACACATTTTTTGTTAGGCGTATTTTTTGTCAATACCTACTTTTTTTATAGGCTAGTTGTCCAACAGTAAAATTTCAAGCATGTTATAGTGCTCAGTGATATTTAGCCATCTTTTCCTAGGTAAGATAAAATCTTAAGATATGATTCTTTGGCAGAAAATTTTTTCTGTTCCATTTTATTTAAAAGTTTAGTATGAAATTCGGTTTAGGAATTGCAGGGAGTTTCTTGAGAACACGTAACCATACTGACGTCAGAGCTTTTTGTTTCCAAACGATGTTTTTAGAGGTTGCGCTTCGTATTTCATAGCAAGGTTACGAATTTTGCTCTAATGAAATGGATTTATCTCGACACATGTCAATGTCGGTAGGTATTGTTGGGTACTCTAAATATCAAATCTGCTTTTTGACAATGTATTTAAATTATGCTAACTTCTAAAATTCCAATATTTCTTGTCAAGAAACGAAAAGAAATTTAATTATAGTTACTGAGTTGTTTTATATAATAACTGGATTTGAAGGAGCAAATTCCTGACATTGATTATCTTTATTCGAAACAAAAATTCGTGAATATACCGTAGCTTTCCAAAAAGAAGCATATAATTTTTTTTATCCACATCAAGAAAACTTTGCTGTTTTGAGCTACTGAATATATTTTAAACGGTATAAAATTTAATTTTATCCTATACGCTGCTTAATGAGTAATATTGTATGTTCTTCAAAAGCAATAGTAATTACTATGTGAAAATTTATTTTTATTTATGTTTTTAAGAGAATTATTTCCTTATAGAATAAAATATCACCAAGAGAAGAGAAGCATAATCGATTCTGGGGATTGTCATCAGTTCAGGTATTCAATCATGAATTTTATAGTATCAACTTTTGGACCATATCTTAGAAAAAAACAATATTATAAACTGAGCAGTTAATGTATGGCCAACTTTCTCTCCTAAGAAATGGAGAAGGACATTGGTGTAGTATTGAGAGATTTCCTAACTTCAAGAAATATTACATTTTAATTATGAAAAAGGGATGACTTAAGGAAATTTCTTATATAAAGTATACTACATTGTTTAAAGTTATTAGAAGGATATGATTCACGAGTCATATGGTGTCTCATGTTATTCGAATTTAAGACACCTCTCATTGGGACTTAAGACGAATGCATTGAAATGTATAATTGATGCGAACTGTAGGGTATTATGCTTATGATGTTTTACAATATTTATCCCCAATATTTGTTCTAATATTTACCACATAATAATTCATTAAATAACCACAGGTAGTCGCCGTTACGATTGGAGCTGTAGCATTTTTCGTTGCTATAGTTGGACTTACTCTTTTAATAATGAAGAGATGCTCACCTGGCTGTCGGTATCTTAAAACTAACAACAGAAATGACACTCAGATTTTAGTTATTGAAGGACCGGATGGTTCTGATGACAGTGATTTTGACAGTCCTTAATAAATCATATGCTAGTATGTGAGTTAAAATGTTAAATTTGATTTTTTTACCATCTGAAAATCTTTTATAATCTTGTTTCTATTGCATAGATTTTCTAAAGACAGAAATGTGTGAACTTATGTTTCCAACTAAGTCACTTTGTCATGTGTGCAACATTTAGCACGAACGCTTTATCGGTAGTCTTTACCATTATTCAAACAAATGTATAAATTTTTGCTGTATGTTTCGATCTAGTTACTTTTATTAATATTTGATGTTTGTATTATTTAAGAAGTTTGAAGCAAAATAACGGGATTGATACGAAGAATGGTTGTTATATTACAAAATAATCAAATACATATAGAAAATATACAAATAACGTTAGGAGTATTTATTTCAACTGCATAATAATTTCATTGACTGACAACAAAACGTCGTTCTCATAGTTTTATTATGCTTTGATGATCGTTTAATTTACTATTCATTCTCCGAATAAACAGATCGACTGTGGTCATTGATGACAATTATTTATTTAAAGATGAAAGGTATCTATAAATGACATAATTTTAATAAATACTAAATTATCTAAGCTAGAAGTATAAAGACTTTTAATTACATTAATGAAACATGATTTAAAATCTTTAGACTTAGAGTTAGAATGCTTTTCCGTGGAAAACTACCTCATTTTCGGAAAAAGTCGTAGCGTTGTCCAACATAATAGGCATACTCTTTGGCCTCTGGCGCTTCTTTTGAAGTACGTATTCACATCCTTATTCACGTCTTCAGAATAGAGTAAGCACCAGTCCTCCACAATTTTTTTTACATATTTTTGTAGATGATTTTTCACATAAAATATTTAACTACCTTGTAGCTATAAATGCCTTAGTGGTAACTAAAAATAATGATAATAATTAGGACGAAGAATAATTCTTAAATAGAATGATCTTTATGAAAATAAAGGAAATATTACAAATTCTAAAATTAAATTGTTAAATACAATTTTTTCAGAATAGAAATTTTCAAGAATTTTCATCATATATTGTTAATCGCTTTGGGAAAAACATCAGCAAAACAAACGTTTCGAGAATAATTTGTTAATGATTTATCTCCAACAATAAAAAGCAAATTGGAAAACTAGCGAGCTGCATTATCATAATTTAGTCAGTGAATCTTCTTCATAAATTTTTTATTAGCCCCAAAGGAAAATAGCAAATTAGCTCTGGAGTAAAATGGACAAAAATCTTAGAATCATGACTGATAATGAGTTTTGTAAACGCCAAAATAGATTATAGGTGGCAAACTTTAGTAATGACATCTATATTCTAAACTCTATTTCATAATGTCAAAAAACATTCAAGTTGGAAAAAAAATTAAGATATTTAATAATTATCAGATAGTAAGGATTATAGCTTAACAATTAAGAATTAAATACGTCTTAACGTTGCAGTAGAAGATAATTTATGTTATTTAAACAGACCAAATTCACTCGGACCTCATTAAAAAAATTTAATAATCAAAATCATTCAATTACAAGCCCATTTCGTTCTCATTAGCTTTGTTAGCAGGTCGACTTTGATAGTTGTTTCAGGAAAAGGGATGTCGAGCTTGGGAGAACATTAATATATTTTACAATTTCAGTATGGTACTGCACTTTTTAAGTGCGAGAAAAAAGGCGCACCCAAATCAAATATACATTGAGTATAATAGCTCTCACCTATGATTTAATATTTTGATCAGATGTTCTTTATCAATAAAATGAAATGTCTGTGTTTTTGCTTATGATAAGATATATTCTTCATTTAGAACTTTTCTGTAATATATTATATAGCGCAAATACTGTGGCAACACAAAAATATTCAGAAAAACGATCAGCTTGGAAAAAATGCTTCATATATTTAGCTTATTAAAAAAAACACCTTTAGCAAACTCTCTGCTTTCCTATATGGCATATGACATTTTATTAGAAGCTGCGTCACCTAGCTTTTACTCATAGGATTAGTTTATGCACAATACATCTACACCTTGCAATCGTCTAAGGCAGATGCACAGAATCAGGTAAATACTTTCTGCATGCTTATATTACATATTTACCCCAATTTATAATTTTTAATCAACGTATAAATCTAAAACAAATCCTAAAAATCAAACAAAACTCGTTTCTTGCTTGAGCTTTACTTATTTGTGTATGATGCTCTATGGATAGGCTTTTCAAGTTGTAAAAATCATACTAAGCTATTAAGCTTTTCCAATTAATATTTGTAGGTTATACAGTATATCAATACATTATAATATTTAGCATTTCTCAAAGAGAATCAAAATTGCCTATATGCTGTCAGATGTACATTAGTGCATACAGCCAAGTTATATATAACGAAGATGACGTAATCGGTGTCGATATTAATTTTCTGAGGAAAGCAAAAAGCTTCAATTAAAAACATTTTTTCTTGAACCGAAATGTACAAGTTTTGACTTAAAAATTGCTTTGAAAATACTTATATTGTTCATTCTCAAAATTTAATAAGAGTATTAATTAGTTATTTATCAAATGTAAGTAAAATATCATTGCTAGGAGTATCACCAAAGAACAGTTGTACAATTAAGTGCAACAGATTTACAATACGCAATTTTACTTTGACATGAAGAAAGTTTACAAGCTGTAAACTATTGTGAATTTCACGATATGAGACATGAACACAAATTTTTAAAAATTTGATTTTGTAGGAATCGGTTCTTAGGTATATGTAATGTTTTGTGCTATTTGTCTTTTTTACTTAAGAGTAGAAGTTTCAGGCTCATTCAATTCATATGGCTTCCACGTTTCGTTTACTTAATTAAATAAATCATTCTCAGGTAGAAAATTATACACTATGCTTTCATCAATTTATGGGGGTACATTTCTATTTCAGTCACGATTTTCGTGGGTTACAGTCCTCGATGCTCAAATTTAGGATAGAAGCGTCTGGAAATTCTTCATTCGTCGCAAAATTTGTCAACAACAATAAGGATCCTAGAGATGATAACTTAGGAGCTCTTTATTATGTAGTTGTTGTGATACTGATATATGCGTGTTCTATAGTTATGATGATTGCCTCTCATATTCGCAAAAATAAGATGGATAGGAGATTGAATGCTTATTTGAAAGAGATGGCATATGTAAGAAAAAAAGAGAGACAAATGCAGCTTGTAAGGCCATATATATATATTTGTATAAACTCTTTATTTATTATAATATATTAAATTCAGCTTAATGCTACTGCGAAATTTGCTGCGTGTCGAGGAACTGATGAAAAGATCATAGATGATGCGAAAGCGTTTGTCAGCATTCAATGCTCTGAATTAAGTGAAGAATCAAAAACAGATGAAGCGTCATGTGACCATCATGGTTGTTCTACAGAAAAAATGTATACTTTTGTTACCTTTGATAAGACAAGTCGACTCACTCCAGAAATTTGTTGCAAATCTCCTATGAGAAAGCACGGAGATGAATTTAAAAATTTCATAGATTCTGACTCGAGTAGTGTAGTCATAGATTTTAATAGCAAAAATTCAGACACGGAAGTAGAAGGTTCTGATCATTCTCACTCTTAGGAATAAAGATAGCGCTTTATATGAAAAGTTAATGGGCTTTACTCGTATGTGTGTATTTGAGAGAATTCCTCTTATCAAATTTAAGACTGAGAAATATAATCAGTTATCTTTATAACAGAATGATTTAATAAATTTATCAACAATAAAATTGCACTATTTCTTATTGCGACAATATCTTTTTAGAAACTTTTTATACACTAAGACATGCGTTCAAACGAATATTTTACTCTTTATAATTTAATTTAGCACATTCTCGCAACAGTTCTCATCCTCTAGGTTAATTATATTAGGTTGACTTGAACTTTGTTCGATTAGGTGTTTCGTTTTAGAATATTTTTGTCCAGTTTTTTCTGAGATAAACTTTACATTGTCATTTTCAAAATTTTCTTCTTTCGTTATTTTCATTGATTTAATATGTAGAGAATGAAACGGAATTTTCTTATTTTGAATAAATAGTCGAGTTTTAAATTTCTCCTGCCTTCTTTCTAATCTTCTGACTTTGTCCAAATCTGACATATACTTATAGATAGACTTGTCATGCTTTCCCTTATTTATAACGGATCCTATCATCAAAATAATACCAAAACCATAAATGACAATAACAATGCAGACATAATATAAGGCGCCAACAGAATCTTCGTTCCTCCTATAGATACTATTTGTTGAGTTAGTATCAGTTTGAAAAGACGCCAAAAATGTTTCGTTCCCAATGCTTCGAAAGTTTAGTTCAAAATTGTGTCCTCTGTCTATTCCTCTCAAGCCCGTCTAGCAAAAGAAAAAGCCATACTATGGTAGAGAATAAGATTACAAACTGATCTATATTGCTAAACTAAAGTCAGGCACTTAGAGACAAAAAAGACAGATCTTTCAAAATTTCTCTTAAATATGGTGAATAAATCGGTACAAAATAAGTATTATCCTACTCAGTCTCTGTTGTGTACGACACTTTCAAAATTATATCTTACAAATTAAAAAATTGTTAGAGAATTCATTTGTTTTTGATTGATTTTTGCATCATACCTGAATCAATATCTTTTGTAGCTTGTGGCTCCGCCTTCCCATTTTCTCCAGATTCTCTAAAACAACACCAGATATTCGTCTAATAGAATCTTAGAGTTTAAATCAACTAGCTGCGAAGCATAAATAATTCTGCTCAAGATAAATAGTACTAAGCAACTAGGAGGCGTTCGAATAGCCTTTACACTAAAATATTATAATGACGGCCTTATTAGTTTTTATCAATTATCATATCGTCGTGTTATTCGACCAATCACAAATTTTAATATAATGTTAATAAAAAGGTCTTAATCATTACATTATGAAATTTAATATTAAAATAGCGATGGAATTATATAAATGTTGAATATTCATTCATTTTCAGATATTATGTGATTAATATTAGCGCTTTATCACTTGCTTCAATACAAGTATAAAGAATATTTACCCAGAATAGAATGCGTTGGGATTTTAAATGAGTATACTTTCGACATAACTCCGAAACCTGAAAAGGTTTTTAAAATTTACCTAATCTCTTATAGTTTCTTTTAAGGAAAAGAGGGGATAAAACATAGAACGCAGAAAGCCATGAAAGTGCATCGAGGTAATGGTATGCTGAATCTTAAATTGTGGAGTGCTGTTACTCATTTGGATGTATAATATATAATCGGTAACTGCTTCTACTAAGGATTGCTTTTTAGAAGAGATTTTTATATGCTTTTTAGTTTTTATAATATTTTTTAAGGTCAAAAATTTTTATAGATGTTCAGTCTAAATTTGAAAGCTACAGTTTAAACATTCGCTAAAGTAAGAATTTTAAATTCTATATAAATTATCAATTCTTAGAAAGAAAGAGAATTGCTTACATGAATTATCTGTAAAGAAAGATCAAATGTGCCCGCTTACAGCGTGAGTCTATGCACGGGCAAAGATATTACAATAAAAATTCATGTCAATATTTCTTCTGATATCTCTATAGCTTCAAAATAATTGGCCTTGTTTTTAACAATAAAAATAAAATTCTTTGTCGTTAAATTTATATAAGCTAAAACCAATACTTTAAATGATACTCTTGTGTAGAAAACTATGAAGCTTATAAAATCAGATAACTCTTCCTTAGATATTATATTTTTCATATAAATTTAGTTTTTTTAGATGTAATTGGCAATCGAATCCTAAATACTAAAAGACCCTAATATAAATAATAATCTGTAAGAAAAATTTAAAAAACAGTAAATATAATATTATATCCTTCAATAGTCACTATTTATCTGTATAAGAAACTTTGAAGTAACATTTCGAAATTTAATGAGAATCTGATCATAAGTGCACTTATCTGAAAATAAGTTGACCATAATTGTATTTAAGAAAGTAGTTATTAAAGTAAGCAATATATCAATAGTAGGTCAAGTTTTGAAACATGCTTAGTTGAATCGCAAAAAGGTGAATATGAAACTTCGAAGAGTGGAATTGCTCGCTTTGACTGATAAAAATGTTCTCTTAACCATTTATATATGAATAGCAGTTTATGAACCAGTAGCACACAATCACCGTATTATGTACGAATAATAGTGTAAATCCTATCAGTTAAATAGACAGAAATAAGCCACTGTTTAGGCCAATCAAGTTCAATACACTGGATTATACTGAAACTCTCATAGCAACGTCTTGTTCTTACTTCTTTGCTTTATTCATAAGTGCGGATACGAATTGTCTTATGTGAATTCGATTTCATATACATCTTTTTCTAATATTCACTTAAAATTATGTCATCATTTCTAGAGTGAGATCACCTTATGAAGATTATACCAATATGGAAACATCAGTTAATCGCGCCATCAAAAAAGGATTGTTCAAGCAAGTGCGATATCTTATTGAATTTGGTGTGAACGTTAACGAAAGGGATGAAAGCGGACGAACTCCTCTCATAAATCTAGCATTTGTGGCAGATAACTCTTGGGCAGTTGGATTAGCTCGTAATTTACTAGAAAAAAATGCTTCAATTAGAATGGCTGACGTTCGTGGAATGAACGCTTTTCATTACGCTTGCTTATTTAAAAAATTATGTCTTATTGAGATTTATTTAAAAGCTCAAGACTTTGATGTTAATCAGGCTGATAAGCAAGGAAATACAGCCTTACACTATGCTGCTTGTATTGGTGACAGGTCCTTGTTAATGATTCTTGTCAATAACATGAACAAATACAGCTTAAACATGAACAGACCAAACTTAGAGGGCTGTACCCCCGTTAGCCAAGCATTAAAGTATGAAAATTTTGAGAGCGCAAATTTTCTGCTAGAGAGAGGTGCCAGTGAATCAGTCATTGAAAGCAAAGACAAATCAGTGCCAGAATGGAAGAAAGTCTATGTAGATTCAAGGTCAGTTGATAGGTCTTCAGTCGTAAAAGAAAATTATAAAAAAAGGGAGATGGAGAACGTCCATAAGAATAACATTAAATCTGCACGACAAGATCATTATTCTTCAAGGCGAATTAAATCAGCACCTGGTACAAGAAGAAATGATACTGTTGAACAGGAAGCTATAAGTGCATTAGAATATTTGAAAGACAAGCGGATAGAAAATGCCGGTTCTTCTGCTCTAAGAAATAACCCCTACAAAGTGTTCGAATTGACAGGCATTAAGGGCGACCAAGATCTACCGTTCAAACTTCAACCTCATCGAATTCAATCGGCTAGAACTTCAATATCAAGTTCTTGGCGCTCAAATTATAGAAAATTATTGACTGGTTTCGATTATCAATTTAGTAGGTCTTATGTAGCTTTTGTGAAATATCCCGAAGAAGATTGGAATTTGGATGAAGAAGGTATTAGAAATTTTGCCTCACGCAGACCATCCGCTACACCAAACCAGATTTTGGCGGAACCTGTAATACGCAAAAAAGGCAAAGACTTAAGAAGAAAAAGTGTAGTTTTAAAAGTAGAAGCAATTACTTCCTTCCAAGAAAAGATTGATCGAAACAACGAAAAAAGAAAAAGTATAAAAAATTCTAAGGAAGACTCTTCTGAAACAAGTTCCGATAAAAGAAATTCCGCTGGAAAAAGTAAAAATGTTGAAGCAAGCCCTAGAGCGAGAAAAGTTTCCATGGAATCTAATGAAAAACTAAACCCAATAGCGGAATGAGCCTAAGCAGCATTGAGGCTGTAAATCAATATCTTGAAGTGTAAATACAAAATGATTAAGTATTAGTACCATTTTTTAATTTTGATAAAAAAGGCAAGGTATATCTAATATTCTATGCCGACTACCTCATTTCTATTAAATCAAATAAATGTCTATTGTTTATGGTGATCATCGTAATTTTGATAAATGTGATATATTTAGAAAAATTTTTATAATGAAATATTATTGTGCATGTAAATTTTCTGTTGTGTATATTCTACTTTTCTCGGAAAACATCAGTGCAAAGGTCTAAGAAAAGGAAAGTATAAGATAAGCATTAGGAAAAATAATGTTTATCTTGTTGAAGTCGATAGATGGCAGTGTGAGAAGTACAGGTACTAGGAAAGCAAGAGAAGGCGAAATCTTTTACTTATATTTATCTAATAGCTCTTTCAATCTGTCTTTATTAGCTCCAGATATTTCATCAATCTGATAAAAATTTAATTTTAGATATACGCAAATAATTACAAATATTGTAAAAGCACCTTTTCGCCATTTTTGAAAAACATAAACGTGGGCATGCACTGGATTCCAAATTCCTCTGCCAACTCCTGAGAATTAAAAATTTTTGTAATATTCCATATAAAGGTGCTGTGATCAACTTACTCCAACTTCATCGACATCTACTTTGACAAATTTAATGGATTCATATTCAGCTTCCTTAGCCCAATTCTAATTAGATTTGTATACCATAGCTACATGATTAAATATTCCTGAAAGATATACTCACATCAAAATGAGGGCCTATCATTCGACAGGGACCACACCAAGAAGCCCAAAAATCGATTACTATTACTTGATCTTTTACGTCATTAATTAATGATCGAACTCCCTCCTATTATGAAAACAACTTTAGTTACATTGATCGCCTGCCTGACGGATTACGAATTGTTCTAATAATTCCAAATAATAACTAGAAGAGAATTCAGTTGCTATGGTATTTCTCTGAATAACGTCATACACAGCATATTAATCTTCTTTTCAGGTAGATATAAGCATAAAAAACTACTGATAAGCCTACACAAATTCCATTAATGTTGTTTTTAAAAATTCTTTATTTTTATAAAATACTTCAGTTTGAAATAAACATATCTTTTTCATGAAATAATACAAACCTCTGTATCAATCTCTGTTACAGGCATGTTTTTTTTACAAGCAGGTAAATGAAACGTTCGTAGAATGACGCCACAAAGACGACTAACGCTACCCAAGTAATCAATATCCATCAGTCTGATATCTCGGTCATTAATATGTCTTTGATAAATAAAAGAAATCCCGTGAACTGATGTTTTGTGTATTCATTAATCTATTAATAAATAGATACATAGCTAAAAACCTCCCTTAATTGGATTGCCTTTACACAGAATGCCTGGATCCATACTCGATGTCGGATCCTGAGTGACTTTTGAGGAAAAAGGCACTCCTTCAGTTTTCTGTTGCGGACATAGCAATTTTCTCAAAGACTTTTTTATCGCATTTGAATAGAAAGTAAATATGAAGACGTTAACTCCAAAAGACAAGTGCGAAACAGCTACTGTATACTTTATACTATTTTTGTCATTAATTGCGTGAGAGACAAAAATTAATGAGACTGTGTAGGGTACAGTGAACAAAAAATGTAGGAATAGAGTCAATATAACAGTAATAAATAAATTTCTTTCTTTCTGTAATCTTGGGAGCTCAAAAGTATTGCCAACATCAACTAGAATTTTTTCCTGTCGCTTAGCCATACGATTAGTAAAGAAGATAATATAAGCATTGACTAATATCCAAACAAGATAAATATAACACAAAACTTGAAGAAATATATTGTTAGGGTCATCAATTTTGTTACAAATATTTGATATTGGTGTCATAAGAAATGTGAAGTATATTGAGGTTGGGATAAGCCATGTCGAAGGCATAATTATGTATTTCCACCTTTGAATACTGCACCATTTTTCGTGTTGTAGACTATATGCAAAAATGATAAGTCGATCAGAAGCCAAGGCTGTCAGGTGAGACAAACTCAACATATTAGTATAAAACATGCTTGTCATATTAATTGTGCAAAATTTTTCGTTATTTTCTAGTATTTCAAATGCATAAGGGGTTCTTAAGCAAGGTATTGTAATAGAAGCTAGAATATGTAAAACTGATAAGCTGATGATGCAACAGTATGTTCCATATTTAGTCTTTCCCGCCTTAATCACAGACGTAATCATTAGAATATTAGCCACAATCATCCATATTGAACAGGCAAACATAAAGACAGTCGAAGCTTGTGAAAAGTGTTTGGTAATATCCTCCATTAAATTCTTCTCTCTCAGGGTATTTGAGCAGTTGCAGGATTTCATCTGACCAAATATCGTCTAGCAGATACAGATACGTTAAACACAAATATTTCTGCCGAGATTCAATGAATTATCCTCCAAAAATTTAATAAATGAGCAAAATTGCAATAATATACGAATGATACAAACCTTTTTCATCGAAAAAACTGATGCGGCTATTAGTAAGTTAAATAATACCGACAAAAACGCCTTCTGTTATCAAGTTAATATTGTTGATAATTTCACCATTATTTCTCATTAATGTCCCTTTTTGGTATTAAAGTACTACTATAACTTTTATCAAGAAAAGTTATTGAACAAAGTGAGAGAGGGGCAGAGGGAGAGAGAAAGAAAGAGAGCTATTTTGTAGCTACGTGCACATTTACACGAAGCACAAATCGATGAGAGCAACACTAGCTTTTTTCACGGATGAAGCAGGTATAGCATGACACAAAACAGCGCTCTCTTTATCTAAATTATTTTTTTTTATAAATAATGCATTCTTTGCTAATCTCACCATATAAGTATATTTCATTAATATATCACTTATTAATCAGATCAGAAGGTATCCAACTGCATATAAATACAAGTATAGAAGGATTTTTCTTTGTATTCTATCTCTTGAAATTTATACGTGCAATTATAATAAATATAATATACATGTGGGAATATTGACTGCTAAAAGTGCAACAAGCGGTCCTGTTTACTGGTTATTTAAATTTTTTGGAGTATGTTCTAATCTACTCATGTCACTCAAAGGCTCTTTTTCATCACTCTCTTCTTGCACTGTTGTGAGATTTCTATCTCCATCTCTCGATCCTAACTCAGTACTCATGGAGCTACTACTACTCGCTGAAGGGTGGTCTTCCGGATGATAAGGCAACATGCGATTTTCAAATGGATCTTGAAATTTTCTCTCTTGTAAAGGAGAAATGATTCCGCATGATTCAGCATAACTAGATGAAGACGAATATGCTCTATATTCCTTTTTAGCCCATATACCTTCGCAGAGCTCTTCCGAAATTTTCCCATTTTTGTTTTCACTAAGAAGTAATTCCTTATCCTTTATATGAATTAACTCTTCTCCTTCGGGGGGTACATTACAATCCTTATTATTTTCGTTATTGGGATATTTCGTAAGAAGATTTTCTAGCTCTAAGCAATTTGTCTCTATAAAATTCTTTGTAATCTCTTCACTGACTGAAATTTTGTCATCAATGTTTTCTAATTGTTCTTTTGTTGCCCTTTTACTGGATATCATTGACATTGTGTCTTCACTCTTGTTATCTTTGAAAGAAGTACACCATAAACTAGAACCCTCAGGTGTCAAGTGTCCTGGAGAATAAGTATGGTCATCTCCTTCCAGTTCTTCATCCTGTACTTTTTCGATAGCAATCGGACATTTTTGTAAAAACATCTGTTCTACTTTTTTAGGATTTTCACAAATGGTCATTTTCAAATTAAGAAGCTCTACTCTTAAAGTGGAGAGTTTATCTTCCTCGACATGGGCTAGCATATTTATTCTTTTGTCCAGAAAGAGAGGTAAATTTCCGGAAGCGACAAAAAAGATCATGTAGTCTAAAAATAACATGAACCAAACAGCTAATGAGAAATTAGCATTTGCATGTTGTCGGCAAATTTTTAAGGTGATGTTACAAATGATATCTTGTTGTAGAATCTTTAAAGTATTTTTGGTAAGACTTAAATTTTCAAACAGTTTTATTGCCTTTTGTAGTTGAGTTAAATGAGGTATACGAAATATCTCATGAACATACAACTTCAAAACAGGTAAAAAATTTATGGACCAATAGCCAGGAAACGTTTTTTCCAATAAAAGTTTTTTATACTGCTTCAATGAAGCGCTTGGGAAAACTTGTAAAATCTCGTCAGTTACTTGACCTTCTAAACTCCACAAAATATTTCCGAAATCAATTTGATTTTTTATTTTATGCAAAATCCTGGTACCTTCGAAACACATAGGTGGTTTTTTGGGCATTGGATTATTGACGCTTGCCCCTGCTGGCCATCCTTTACCTCTAATAACCGGAATTATATTTACTGTAACGTAATTGCTTTTTGCATCTAGATTTTTATCATCATTACCAACACTCTTATTTTGGGAACAAGCCAAAGAAACTTGCAAGATTGGAACTTTCGAAATTATTTCAATTTTGAACGTGGCCCGTTTAATAACTTCCTGTACTCCTGAAAAGTAATACATTTATTGTAAAAATGGGTATATGAGGTTTTTAGATCAATTCAATACCTTTAATTAAGTAAAAGTACACATAAGCTGAACTTATTTGTTTAGTATCTTCATTCAACAGATGGCCCCACTTTCTTAGCTCTGCTCTACTTTCTTCAGCTGTCAATTTATCAGAAAATCGGTAAACGGCTCTTCCTGAAGATATTCCTTTATGGATTCCAGACAAAATCTAATAAAGAATAGTAAAAGCAAATTTAGGTAATTACTGTGCTCACAATATGAGTAAAATTACCTGAAAAGCATCTTGATGAATTGATCTACTCATTGGAATTCTCAGATTAAATTCATAAAAATTTAATTGTTGAACTATGCCGCCTAGTTCAAATTCTTCATCGATACATTTCGAAAAGTGAATGCTCAGCTTCTGAAATGATTTGTATAAAGATGAAGTGAAGCATTTTACTCTATTCCAATTTTTTGTGAGTAATTCTCTACTGCCTTTAGTTTCGCCATACTTTTTGACCTTTATCTTCCGGAAAGCAAACTCTAAAGACGCCTCTAACTGTTTTTCAAAGCATTCCTCCTTAGACATTCCCGCCTGAAATTTACCTGCCATTCGATGTTCTTTGCTTTACAGCAGGCAATCAAATAGAAATACAACAAAGATTTATACAAAAGCTCTCTTATGATTAGACTTTAATAAATGACGGGGATTAGTGGATAATATAGGAACTAACTAAATATTAAATATTCTATTCAAAAAACTTATTTATATGCCTGACGTCATGAGAGTTTTCCTATTCATATCGATTTCATCAGTATTCTTGACATATTCATGCAATGTGAACAGGAATGCTCTTTCATTTAGTTTTTTAACAACACACTGAAAACATTTTCTCGAAAATATTCATTATAACTGCATTGCTAAATACAATGAAATTAAATTCTACATTCAAGAAAACTTAAACGTCTACTAACATTGAAATGAATTTTAGAGGAGTTATTATATTTGTGATAGGTCAGCAGCTGATTGAGATGCACTCTGTACGGTTCTTTGTTGATTGTCATCTGTTGACAATCGAAAACAACTACAGGAAAGTACTTGGTAGGTGAGAACGAAAACCGACGAATTTATGTAGCACAGTATATTTGCTGTGAGAATAGCAGCGAGTGAAGTTTGAACTTCGTATCTTGTTAAAAATCCAATGAAATATCTTGGTGAGACACAAATAAAGGTAAACGCAGCGCAAATTTTCAGTTTGTTATGCAAGTCAGTGATTGCCTGATTTTGTATATTGACCATCTTTATCGCATTATACATTAAAAAACAGAGAGGAGCTAAAATTCCAGTGCAGAGAACAACAAACACGAAAGACCGAGAATTTCTATTAACTGTTGTATAATCGAGATTGCAGATGTTTCCATCTAATGGGATTAGATAATTGGGGGAAATAACATTAAATTGAATGTTAATTGAGCTGTTACCTTGAAATGGCAAATAAACATTTTGGTAAATTTTAGTATTTAACAGAAGGGCATCGACAGAAACTGATTCATTAGGAAATATGGAATCAGATAAAGCTTTGTTTAATTCTCCAGTTATCCAAGAAGTTAACAAGCACTTCCAAGACGAAGACTCGCTAACCCGTCCAACCAGCTGAATTAAAGGAAAAGCATCTATATTGTCGACAGCAAAAGAATAGGGTATAATTCCAGCGGATTTTAAGCCATAGTCAATTTTATGCGAAAGAGAACTGTTGGACATCTTTTGATTCATATAAACTGAGGTAGAATTTCGAATTGTAAGAGTAAGAGGAAAATGACCTTTAAGGAAATTTATTTCACCCCATCCATAAATTGGAGCAACGGAAACTAACAATAACATCAATTCTATACCCCAAAATATTATTTTTATGTTTAAATTTGAAAATATTCCCACATGTTCTTGTTTATTAGTTGTAAACATTTTTCTGCAAGTAAAAGATGATTAATATTAGATCATAACTACAAGATATATGTACCGTTCCATAAAAATGATAGCAATCAACCAAGTTGTTGTAGATGAGAGCAACATATCAAGAACACCAACCACTTGACATAATATATTACCTGCTTTATAATTTTCTAAAAGCGAAAAAAGTATAAAACTAGATGATAATTAAAGGTATATAATATTAACAGGGTTTTCTGAGCAATTGTTTATCACGTTTTGAAAATAATAGTAAATACGTCCAAATTTAATCTGATGAATTGAGTTTCTTAAATTGATAAACTATTGAAAATTAAGCAGTCTCGCTCAGCTGTGTTTCTACTAATATACTTGTATAAAAATCTTTTTAGAAAATATTTTTCTTTTAATACAGTTTCTAGTTCTATTTGAGAGCAAATAATTAGGTATCGGGTTTTTTTCGCATGACTGCTATAGTCTATTGAAAATTTTTTCGTGTAATGAATTTCGTTAACAATTTCTTATTACGACAAAATGATGACAGAAAACGTGAACTTGTTACAATATTAATTAACTCTATAAGAAAGATAAAATTAGTTTAAAAATATTTCTATTTTTCTACCGACTATCTATTTAAATGATAACTATCTCTTTTATTCTATTACAAGAAAATTGACTTACGAAATGTTAGATATGAGATGTGAATTAGCAGTAAACTTATCGTATTAAACAAGCAGGCTTTTGATAAACTTCTCATTAAGCAGATCAATGACTTTGATAAAACTAAAGAATTTTGAGTCTGAAATCTGAAAAGATGTTTTTAAATTTCCTCTTAATATTGTATCATAATAGTACCTCTTTAAAAAAAGAGCATGGCTCATGATAACACTGAGTAGGCATGTCACAACAGTTGCGTTTTTTATCCTTTCGAAAGGATTTTCTTCTTTTTTTGCTCGACAAATTTCCATTTCTTGATCAAACCCTGTCTCAGTTAGTAAGAGATTTTCTCTCATTTGATCTAGCGCCATCTACATTGAAAGTGTTCTATGAACAAAACCCTCAAAAATATTTCTGGTAATCACAGAAGTAATTTTTTTTTGTCTTTGGACCACTTATAAATTATTAAACTTGCATTTGCTATATATTTAATAAGTTCCTTTTTTCAATCGTTCTCTAAAGATTTATCGACTACGAAAGATAAAACAAAAGGCTTTGGGTGATTTCTCACAGCCTTTGAGAGAATAAATAATAAAATAATCAGCATTATTGATCGTTAATTTGTCTAGGGAATATTGTAGTGTACAATTACCGCTATTTAAACTCAAACTTGTCAGTTTTAGATCATACTATGAAACTTCTCTTATTCTATAAAACCTTTTTGAAATTAATTTAAGATACGAAAACATTTTTCATTTATTAATAATTCTTTATAGTATATATTGAATTGAAATAAGCCAAAGCAAATAGTTATAGTCAATAGTGATAGAACTGAACTGTTCAGAACCTTTGTCAAAGGATTACCTTTGAATTATAGTCCTATCACTGGTGCTTAACTACAATTTTACACTATGGCTCACATGCAAGAGAGACTATTGCAGCTAATTTCTAAAGATTTTACCAAGAGAAATCATCAAGAAATCCTAGGTTTACTGCCCTGGCTACGAAAAAGAAGTCCATTATTCTTGAATTTACATACAGGTTTTTTTAGAATTATTTGACTATCTCTTACAATTCTTAATTTTGTTCAGATTTAATTGTTGACATTATCAAAGAGTGTGAATATGAAAGAATTGAGCGTGATGAAGTCGTTATAAAACAGGGTGAAATAGGAGATTGGTAAGTGCTCACTTTCGTGGAAAAAGAAGCTTTTCTTAAATCAGTACACAAATTTTAGCTTTTTTATTATCCTTACTGGAACTGTCAGTATCTATATTGACACTGCCAAAAGTGAAGAAGATAGTAATTTTTCTCCAACTAGGAGAACAAATGTTGTGAAAAGAAGATCAGCGAGAGCAGATACAGGTCATAGTGAGGTTTTTGACGATGAAAAGGAAGACGATTGGGATAATTCAATAACAGAATCAAGGAGTTCGCCTGTTTCACCAGATAAACAGAAATCACCAACGAGAAGAAGAGCAACTAAACAGCAACTTAGGCAGCGAAAATATTCTCTTGACAGATCTAAATATGGAAATTTCATTTTACAATTAGGTAAGTGAAAATATTCAATTTTAGAGAAATATAATAGTTTCGTGCGACAAAAAAAGATGCAGGAAAGAGCTTTGGTGAACTAGCTCTAATTAACGAAGATTCATCAAGAAATGCCACAGTTATTACGGATGAAACCTGTGACTTTTTGGTAGTGGATAGAAGTCTTTACGAAAGAACTTTAAAAGTAAATATTAATCATATCTTATACTGAATATACATAACTTACTATTACTATATCGTATGCTGTAGTATTTTTACAAAAACACCGTATTCAATGTTGAAATGTAACTTTCACTAGAATCATCAAGAGGCTGAACTAAATGATCGCAAAAATTTTGTGAATCACCACATTCTCTTTAAAAAATGGCCTCCTAGACTGAAAAATCTCCTAATTATGTCCTTAATAAAGGAAATGTATCAATTTGATTCCCTCTTGGTTCAACAAGGACAAAAAATAAATGGGTTGATATTCTTAAGGAGGTAGATATATTATATTAAGAGTTATACAATCATTTAACTAATTAATTTTTATACTATAGAGGAAAAGCATTAATAGAATGCGAGCCTTTAAAGCACGAGATTCAATATCCGAATCAAATTCCTTTTATAACTACTGAAAAAGAAGCTATATTACAGCTAGACATGAGGAGAAAAGTTAAAAATAATTGTAGCAAGTCTATTAGGAACAAAAGAGTAGAAACTCGCAGGTTTGGAGGATATGCATCAGCTGAACAACAAGAGCGAGAAAAAAATGTCTGCCTATGCCACGTAGGGGAAGGGGAGATAATTGGAGATTTGGAAATGGCATGCGATTTGTCAACTTATGCTGTAACTGTGAAGAGCAATGCCGCGACTGATGCATATATCCTAACAAAAAATAATGTTGAGAGGCTGTTTAACCGTAAAGCAGCATCCGATACTTTAAAAATATTAAGAGAACTTTTTTTTAAAAAACTAACTTCCCGATTAAAAGGACCTAAAGCTGGAGATATTCCACTTTTGTCTCATTTGTACTTTGTTCTCCAAACTCCTCCACCAAAGAGCCATTCTCTTCCTGAGTTTGCATTAGGCCAAAAGGCAAAAGCTAAATTACCAGACGACGAAATGCTTTTTTCTCATCAGCTGCAACAATACAGCAAAGGTCGAGCGGAATTGTGCTTACCTATTCTACACGAGTCGTATTACTTAAAACATTCTATGCAAGAGCGAGCAAGAATACGTAAGAGTGTACAAAAACATAACTCGCAAGAAATAAGAGCTAAAAGGCATCGGAGAACTATGCAGCCTCCCAAAGCTAGAAGTTTAAAAGCATTAAGAATGGCTTTAAATGAGCATGAAGAAAAGGCAATTAAAAAACAGAGAGAAGAAATAGTTGCTGAAATTAAGCGTCAACGAGATGAGGAATTGAAATACTTGTTCGAAAACGCAATAAAGCAGAAAGAAAATTTACCAAAATTGCCAAAATTTTATAGACGACTTGAAGAGAATATAGACAACTTGATAAAGAAAGAACCATTACCCAGTATACCAATAGAGCCTAAAATTGATCAAGATTTATCAGCATGTATTGAAAATTCAGATACAAGCTTTCAGAGTGAATCTATGATATCGAAATCAGAGATAAGTGAGTTAAAGACTGGTGATACACAAATTATTATGAGAAAAGGTCCTCCTTACCTTATGCCTATTAAAGAAAAAACTGTAATTTCGGAGTTTAAAGAGAATGATGAGATAAAAAGCGAAGAAGAATCTGAAAAAGACATAGAGATTCAAGAGCAACAAGAATATCAGAAATTGAACAATGACAAGCAAAATATTGAAAGACCTCTGTCCAATGTTTTCCTTTGGAAGAAGTATCGTAGTGTAGCCTCTCGACACCCTTCTTACAGAGACTGGGAAACAAGTGACAAAACATTATCATTCTTGGAAGATCGACTTCGGCAATTTAGGACCCCAAAACAGAAAGTAACTTTCCTCCCAAAACTTAAAAGATTCGAAACTAATGACCACTTAACTGAAGATCAGCCCAAACCTGGTGGAAGAGTACTTGTCAAGTCAACCAGATGCCCAGAAGGAAAGTCTGAGCGAACTTTTGCTAATCATGAGCATGTACGATACAGCCTTGTTGAAACTCTTCCTAATTATCAAAATTTGCATAAAAACAAACTTTTACAACACATGTTCATGGATAAAGCTATAGAATCGTACAAAAAAACTACTACGGGTGAAACTTCTAACCAAGTAGTGCTTCCTTAAACATTTACACTTTCATAAAACTTTGTTCAACAATTAATCATAAATAAAATAAATATTTGACTCTGTAAAACTTTTTATTTTAAAAAACAGATATATGAAGTTTGTTTCAAATAAGTTCTTTCTGTAGCTGAAAATTTGCTTCATATATTACAATATGTATTTAACATTCTCACTTGAATATATTAAATTTCGATTTTCCTATATAGAATTTCGATTTAGTGACTGTTGAGTTTACTTTGGAGAGAATATCCTCTTCTCTTATTGGCAAAATAATGCACCATCCCATTTGAAAGGCAAATAAACTCTATTGATAGTAAGTTCTGTATATATAGAGTGGAATAGTCTATGGCTATCTTGCAGATTAACTTCTCCAGTGAAAAATGAGTAATTTTTTCTCGATTTATGTTCTCTTTATTCCTCTTATTTACTCGAGTCCTTGTCCCAACTATGTAAAATCATCAGCTTGGTTCAAGTCAGGTGGAATATGTTACTTTTCTAGTTATAAAGCTTCTCTTCCTGAAAAATCCGCTGTGGCAGCTGAGATTTCATGTTGGATGCATCATTCCTCTATGAGAATAGCTTCTTTTAAAAATCAATTCGAGTTGAATGCAATTTTGTCAAATCTTCCAAGTGGGACAGAACATTTCATAGGACTATACAGATGGGGACTATTTGCTGATAGGGATAATTGGAAATGGTCGAATCCTTTTTATGAGTACACTTTAGCTGCTTTTGAATCTTCCTGGAGCGTTAATGAACCAAATAATGGAGGAAATTATACTTTGTATGGAGTCCTCTATTCAGAGTGGATTCCATCATTATGTGACAAGCCGACCTATGTTAAGCTACCATATTTATGTATGAAATATAATTTTAATCCTAGACCATGTTCAACTGTCAATGGAAACACTTGGAATATTTATGAAATATATACACTACAAGATCGTTGGACAATGAGTTTGCAACCATTTTTAAAGATTAAAACTTCAAAGATAAGATGCATGATTTTATGCTCCGACATAAAATGTACAGTAGGCATCTATAAAAGTACGGGAAATTGTCTTCTATGGACTTGGCAATCAGGCCCATTATCATTATTCAGATTGTTTCCAGGGCGAGTTTTTTCTAATATTCTAGACTTTTCTTTCCTACCTAGATGTGTGGGTATTTGTAAATATAATTTGAATAAAATCATCTGTATATGACTGATATAAGTTATTGTAGCTCAAATACGGTGATCATACGATAGTATATCACATAGTTTGATAACATGACTTCATTAAATAATATGTAAACACCATGAAAATTTAGTATTTCTTTAGTATTCCACTGGTATTAATATCAAGATACTACGATGACCTTCACCTTCATATCATACATATTCCAAACGTGGTATAGACTGGTGCGCTCCGAATATAACAACGTCTAGAATACAACCGATAAATTTACACAATGATATCAAGTGTTTATCATGACATCTAGGACTACGAAGAACCCAGATGTCCGATTAAATTTAACAGTTCAAGATTGGATGCAAGCTATTCGTAAACCTACCCCATACCGAGTTGGTAGCAGTGTTACTCTAAATACAAATATGATACGTCTAGGAATTGTCATTGCCATTGCTTTTGTGATATTTTTCGTTGTATTGCCTGTGTACACAAATGATTCTTGTGGTATAGATAAGTATTCGAAGGACTTAAAATACAATAATACCTATCCCTTGTCCAAAACTATTACATTAGCTGATGGGTCTTTCAGATTCCGTATAGCTGTTGTTACCGATTTAGATACAGAGTCTAAAAGTATAAACGAAAAGAGTACGTGGTATAGTTATTACAGAAAAGGCTATTTAATTTGGAACCCGTCAAAAAATACTGCTAAAATTGAATGGGATCAAGAAACAAAAAAATTGATATCAAATGTTGCAGCCAAGGGCCGTTCCATGGAATTATCTGAGCTAATTGTTTTCAATGGCAAACTCTATACTGTGGATGACCGAACGGGAATTGTTTATCAAATTTCAGAAGAAAACCAAGTTATACCTTGGGTTATTCTGAGTAACGGTGATGGAAAACAGGTCCAAGGTTTCAAGAGCGAATGGGCAACAGTAAAAGATGAAAGACTATATATTGGGGGTTTAGGAAAGGAGTGGACAACACAAACAGGTCAATTTGTTAACACTTATCCTCAATGGATTAAATCAATAGGGCCTAATGGAGATATAAAACATTTGGATTGGTCCGAGAACTATAACAAGCTAAGAGAAGTTGCAGGCTTTGAAAGTCCTGGCTATATGATTCATGAATCAGCTTATTGGAGTGATATTCATAAAAAATGGATATTTCTACCAAGGAGAGCAAGTAAAGAGAAATATGATGAAACCTTAGATGAGAATAGGGGTACTAACCTTCTATTTCTAGCTGACGAAGAGTTTAAGAATATTCATTACCAAAGAGTAGGACCTCTGAATCCGTCTAGGGGATTTTCTTCTTTCAAATTTATCCCAGGAACAAATAACAGAGTCATTGTAGCTTTGAAAAGTGAAGAGCGAAATGAGAAACCTGTGGCTTCTTACATAACTATATTTACTATAACTGGTAATGTACTCTTGGCAGAAGAACCTTTAGAGGGAGCTTTTAAGTTTGAAGGAATCGAATTTATTTAAATTTAAATCGTGTTGATTTGTTGCTTTCACTTCTCAGTTTCTTTCTCTTTTTGTACTTCTCGTACATATCAGTAAATACACATTTTGACTTTAACAATATACAACTGATACATCATAAAAGTGTAAGCTATTGATGCATGTTTATTAATGAATTATGTGAAAGTAGCAATATCAATGACAGAGAAAACTAGTTAAATCATAAATCGCATAAGTTTACATTGTTTGTTCCATTGTTCAAAGGCGAATTTTTTAATCTTAAATCTATTTCATCAATCTCAGTATCATTCTCAAACTCTTTTCCCTGCAAATTCATAACAATCAAGAAGAAATAAGCCTCAATATTCTTAAAACTCACTGTTAACGAGAGAATATGTTTCTTAGCTGAGTGACAGCGGAAATGTAATCTATTTTCAAGGGTGAAACCTTTCTTTTGCCTATAATATAAGTTAAATATACTGTATATATATATAAATATATATATATATATATATATGAATTTATATATATATATATATGAATTTATATATATATATATATGAATTTATATATATATATATGAATTTATATATGTATACTGTATATATATACAGTATACATATTTAGTCAAATATATATTTATAAATTCTATATACAGGATATACATATATTCCACTTTCTAGAGAGATTATTGTAATAAACTGATTAAACGTACTTGGCTAACTCTATGAATTTCAAAGCTCTGTCATAGCTTTTCATTTCACAATATATTAAAGCTATTTCAAGATGAGAATATGGAATAAGATAAGTATCTTGTTTTATATCTTTCTCTCTGTTAGTAGGAAATGAGGATAAACAAAAAATATAGAAGTAAACGAAAAACACGAACTTTTCTTGAAGTTGTTTTAGAATAGATAAAGCTTCCTTTAGCTGTCCTAAATGACGAAGACAGGCACCCTTTAATAAGAGTAACAAACCTAGGTCGTCATAAAAAGAATCTGAAATAAAAATTGATATAAGACATACTAATATATTGTATAAGATTTATTCACAAAGATTACCAGGTTTTTCAGGCGATTCCAACAAAAGTAAATTATTATCTATTTCTGCCAATATTGGTTGCAATAAGCCGGCAGATTTGCTCATAATGCTAAAATGATTCCACAAGTATTGCAATTCCTAAATAGTAAATGAAGCAAATTTGTATATTATTTTATTATAGACGAAAAACAAACATATGCAGGAACAAGGAGGCGCCTTTTCTGTGCAAAATATCTTTCGCACTTTTTGATCGCAAATTTTTCCATAGGTAATGATTTTCCAGCAATTTTTTGTTTAAATATAGGAGCTTTTCTAAATTAATTGTTCAATGAAGGTTTTAAATGATAATTATTTAAAATTACTCAAGTAGGTCAGTCACATGTTCCCTTAAATCATCTGACTGCTCTTCTATCATCAGGAGAAATGCTGCTTTTTGATATAAATACATCACCTTGCTCCATTTACTTTCTTCAGATAGCATCTCAGCATATTTCATTGCAAATGTCCACTCCCTTTTAAATCTTAAAATTTAAAAGAGTAATATGATTTCAGTATACGCCATTAAGTTAAAACGTACGAATGGCACCACATTAATTCCCAATAACAAATATGTTTAAACTGAGTTAATTCATCTTGGCAATCTCTACACTCTTCTAGTTTTTCGATTGCTTCATCAATTTCGCCGCTAACTTCTCTTAGTCTACCAGCGAAGAAGAGAAAGAAAACGCCCTATATGAAAAAATATAGAATTATGACTAAAAAAATACTTGGATTTCACCTTTGGGTACTTTGCTTCATATATTTTAATAATTCTCTGTGCCAGATGCAAATCTCCATCTTCTGATCCTAGTTTTGTATTTCATTTATATTGGACTATTTTTCTTTAAGAAATCAATGTATTTGACACATACCAATGAAGAAGCAAATTACGGTATGGTAAGCCAAAAGTGCCAAAGCACAGAGAGGAGATCTCAATGCCTTATCTAGACTAACGCCAGATTGCAGCTCGGTTAGTCCTTTATTCTGTAAATAAATAGCATATCTGCTATCGTAAGTGAACTCAGATACACTAACACCTATATCAAATATTTTCAGAGATTGAATAAATTATTGAGATCTAATGTATTTAGTTTGGCAATTATTTTGATGTACAACATACATTAATAAGTTAGTCTTTTTAATGATTCTATTGTTTGTATCAAAATATTATTACTCGATATGAATAAACCCTTATAATACTCGCAACTAGCCTTTCAAGGGCTATAGCCACAGTGGCAGAATTTACCTCTGGGTAATATTCTGACAGATAAAGTTTTAAGATCATCTTTATTTTTAGTATGTTTGCCGAATACATTAAAAACACTCCACAATTCCATCACTACTTTTGGCTAATTTGCATTTGTTCAGATTTTATATTGTCTCTTGCTTTGGCTACAGCCTTTCTATAAAATTTACATACTATTTTATGTGAATTATTAAAGAGCCTAAACATTGGGTAAAAATATATATAAAACTATTTTTCAAAAAATGTAAATAAAACTACTTTTCAATCCCTTCCCACAAACCTTATCGCCTGAAAATCCTACAAACTCCAAAAGTTTTAAAATTTTGGCTGGCATTAAAGATATCATCTGAAAGCAACATGCCAATTATTAGCTGTCAATTTGTGGGATTTTATATAATACCAGATTAAATAAACCTATACCAAAACGAACTCCGCTTTCAAAATCAATTTTGGACATATTAGAATCATTTTTAAAGTTTCTTTTTTCTATTATAGTGTAGCATGCTCTGATATAAAAACAGATATATAATTAGAAATCACAAAGATACAAATACTTGTAGGCACTAAAAGAATTTCTTATCTTCAGTCCAGCTTTAATAAATGCCATAAGACTCTCATCTTGTATGATCGTCAACATCGCTCTGAAGCATAAGAGTTCAGCATAGCATAACTCTGCATGGACCTCCTCTAGAAGTGAATCAAGCACTTGATTAGATACTATATTTAAATACTCTAATGTGTAGGTTAAGATATACAGTATATACAGTACATATAATTAAAACTTAAAAAACTTTCTCTAATTGCTATTGATGCTAAATTTCAAATCGAGTGTATTATCAACCTGAAATTCATTCACTGACGTTTTGAAACTTTTAATTAAGGTCATTAGAGATATTAGACTAATACAGTAAATAAATAGACCATTTTTAGCTTAATTAAAGAGCAGTATAAAAAATATTTTTATGGATTCGAATGTGAAAACAAAAGGTCATAAAGAACCATATATTTCAGAGAAAATACTAACCATTACTGAAGCTATTATAATTTTGAATAGTTATCATGTTCGTAACACTCTCTATTAATCCATTTTTTTTTCGTTTCTTGCTAATAACCTTTAGTGCTGATTTAACTGCTCCAGAGGCTATCTCGATATCTGCCTGAAAATTGAAGTATAGCTTCTTTTTAAATTCTCTACAATATTCTTTTGTATAAAAACATACAGCTTCAAATGTCATTGCTGCCTGCATATATAGAATAACAGCATATCCCAGAGCATGATACATATCTTTATCAGCACTGAATGAAATGAACACTTTAAAAATTATCTGTCAAGTTCATTATTTTAATGTACCCCTTTCGCATTCGCCGCTTTGATTCTTCGAAGTGATTGTTTAAAAAAAGGTTAAGAGCTATTCTCATCTCTTCCAAAGTTTCGAGAAATTCCATGGAAAATGACCTTTATTTTTTAAAGTTTGAACTCTGAAAAGTATATTTGGCGAAAACATACGTGTCAACACTTTCAACAGCATCTTGGAAGCACTGAAAAAATACAATATAGTTTTTTTATTGTATTTAAAAAAATATGTTCAAGATTATCAAACCTCATCATCACTGCAGTTTTCATAAGCTGCCATAGCATTCACAGGGAATAGTGTATTAATATCAAATTCTTTCAAAAGCAATGCTAGGAAAATTAAATTTATATATATATATATATATATATATATAAATTTAACATTTTAGTCAATGATAAACGTACTTTATTAGTTGAAACTGAGTATATCATCTAACAACCTTCGGACTCCTTTTCTTCGATCTGAGTAAATACGCACTAAGTATTCATATTTACCATATCTTGGAACTATAGCCAATGAAATAAATAAATATACCTTTTTCTGAATTATCAGTTCTAATTCTTTCTTGGTTTATGGATTATTAAAGAACTAAAATATTAGACTTAAATTAAGCTCTGCTTTATTATTCGTGAACCTTTGGAGCTTCAGTCCTCTTTGAATTTCTTCCATAAATATTACTCCAAACGTTTTTTGATGTAATTCTTTTTGTCTTGAAAAAATCAATATTCGTATCTCTTTAACATATCTGTAATTGTGATAAAAAATTTGGGTAAAAATATTATCGTCTTACTTTTCAAAATATAATTTTACTCTAATGTATTTGTATATATTCATAGAAAATACACTAATTATGCTAGCTGCTCTTCATTCAAGCATTGTCTCTAATATTTTAAGGGACTTTTCGGTTGAGATATTATTAGAGATGCATTACGATGAGAAATAAGATTATTATTGACGCACTTAATGCTTGCTTTCAAAAAAGAATTGATAGCCTTCATTATATTTTGCATGAAAATTAAAGCAGTCTCTTTAGTTGTTTCTCCATTTCTTTATAAAGTGAAACTTAAAGAAGTAAATATGTTTTGGTTGTAATATAGAGGTCGTAATTATGGCAGTCAAGAAATTAGAATATCAGCAATAACATCTTAGTGTGATGATGCAATATTCCATGTTCTATCGATTCATAGGCTATATATAGTTCTAGCTTCTTATTTATGAGAAAAACTGAGCGTTTCTAGGATCGTGATTAATTTACTAAATGCATATTTGATGAGCTCAAGCCGATTTAATCATATAATATCAGAAGATATTTTTTATCAATTCTATTCGTAAAAGAAATCACGAATTTATCCCTTCAACACTTTTTATGCTGATTTTATTTTATGGGATTGCTAATGAATCATAATAAAACATTTCTCTAGAATATTATCGTTTCTTAGATTTTGTTGGCGTTACCTGATTTCTCAAAGATTAATTTAGATATAAAAATGAATAGCGTCTAGTCCACAAAATACTTTCAACACTTTTTATAAACTTTTATATGCGTAGAAACATTATCTCACTCTAGATGGCGTTTGAAGTTCTAGTAAAAAATTTTTGGTAGTATTTTAGCTACGTCAAAAATATAGTTTAATCAGGGAACGCAAACTTAGTTAATTAGCTTATTTAACCAAATACGAGTGCTATTTAAGCAATTTAGACTTGATGATAGTTGGATATGATAACTAGTGGCCAAAGGTGATGAAACGGCGGTACACTCTCTTTTCTGTTTCTATATACCTAATAAAGAGGTTTTTTCAGCATAGAGCGAATAACGTCACATCTTATTGAGATTTATATTCGTTTCTCGTTGTTTACTGAGGTAGCCTTTTCTGAACGATAATCGATATAATTTGGCCTAATAGATAGATGTATGGAAATTTGCTTTGTAGATCTCTTTCTTTCTTCTACAGTTAACTATAGACTAAAATTTTGTTAGAGAATAAACAAAATCTTATATTGTCATATAAGCAAGCTGGCTTCGGTTGTGCAAATCTCCTTAACTGATAAATGGAAACGTTGAATTTCACATTAGTCAGATTGCAGTTTCCACTTAAAGTATAATTTTTTACACCATTTATCATTTTCCCTCTTATTTTAAATAATACCTTGCTATATATAATTAAATTTGGGATTGAGAAAAGTTAACGCTCGTTGGTATTTCTTTTATTTATACATTGTTCTACACCAGAGCTCTCATCAGTATATGAATGAGTCAAATACAAAACCATTCCGGTGCTCATCAACAATGCAAAAATTATTTGTTTTCATTCCGAATAGTCAATATGTACACAGAAGAGTCATCCGGCCGGATGAGCCACAATATGCAGTCACGAGTCGTGGCTGTTCTGACTAAGATTCGCCGTGCCTGCTTTCTTAAGCGTCTTTCCTTTATTTCCTCTATTCTCATATTTTGATATTCGAAATATACCCCCTCATAAAAATATATAGTATTTCCTCCTGTCTGACATTACTATTAGAAATTAAGTAAGCATGACACATTGATATATGAACACACACATTGGTCTCGCAACATACCCATTTTCGCTATACAAAATGTTTAACCGAAATCATCTATGTACTTTGCAAATAGCGTTCTTTTTGAATTTTTTTATTATTATTTAATCCATAATATTCTTACATTTATAATGGGAGAGTAAATTGCTTTTTCTGAAATTGCTCTTAGGCCTATAGGTGGTCATGAATGCATAAAGCTAGATCGATGTAATAAAAGTAGTCAAATATTCTCTTCCGGGGTGGACAAACTGAAAAAAAAACAATTTCTTTATAATATAGTCGGGCCGTCGTCACAATATCTTGTTTGCCAATTTCTTTGCCCTTCTCTTTTGGACATAAATTGCATTTGATTTATACACTGGCCGAGACCGCATTAAATCTATAATAAGCCCAAGTTTAAATCAGTGAAAGAATTAGAAAACCTAACAGAAAAATTCAATTGATATAAAATAATATATACCTATCATTTGGTCCAAGAGCTTCTCCCTATTAAGTTTTTTTAAGTCTTTCATCTTATTGCTACTCAAATTGCGTATAATTGTTTGTAAAGAACGTAAATTATAGACAATGATGTAAACGTTTGATCGATTACCACTTTCCAGTTAATACACCGGTATGAAAAATAAATTAGAAAACATTTACGAAAAATTTCTTGACTTATTTCTACCTAACCCCTATTAACCTTTTTCATCTCTAACGTGACTATGACAATGGACTCTGAAAATTGTGTGGAGTTCTCTGGATTGAGCAAACAGTTTTACGACTTTCTTAGCTTACATATTGTCTCCGACATACTGGCCTGTTGAGCCTTTTAGCCGACTGTCACATCTTATTGCTTTTACCCTCTCCCGGGAACAATGTGGTCACTATACTGTAATTAATTAATGACTCTTGCTGTAAATGTCCTTATAGGTTTACTCACGGTTTTATACGGCTGCTTTGCGTTTATTAATTATGCACATATTCAATTTATCCGTACATTGCGTATACTGTAAATGGATTTCAGACACATGTACACGGTATATGTGGATTTTTACTATTTTTAATAATATAGCTAATAAAAAGATTTGTAGTACAATGATCCATATAGAGTTGTTAAAGGGAAACGGAAGTGAGCTAAGAGCGATGAAGCTCGTCCATCCATGTTCTTTGCAGATTCGGGCCAATCGAATTCTTCATCATGGATCACTTGTCTTCTAGAAAACTGTTTAAGTTTTGTCGAGTTTTGCATACTAAAGTGCTTTAACTTATCATGGCATAGCTCGAACGGTAACTGGACAAATCCCTCTGTCAAATTCGATTCTGATGAGTAGAATACGAAACATGTAAAAGTCTTGCTTTCACGATTCACTACGACAATATAGCGTCCTGGTATTTCACTTTGCTTCATATCCCAGGCTTCTATACAGTCATATGTGCTGATGAAGGGCTGTGAACACTTACTTCTATCTCTTATCAATCGAAAATATTCCCTATTTTCATTATAACTCAATTTAACAGGGCATTTCATTGCTGGACTTATTGAAAAAGTTTGATTAAGAAATGATTTGTTGAATGGCCTGCACGCGACAAAAGAAGTAACTTTTGCCTCTTTTTTCTTGGCTGGTAACCAATGAGACTTCGTAAATGGATGAAACGAATCGCCATAAGAATCGAATGGAAAACTTTTGCAATCTACACGGAAATTTTCTGTTGGTGGTGGCCATTTATATGCTTGAGATAACCTAAATCTAATAACGAGAATGTCTTAATAAAAAAATACAATCTAATGAAATACTTGACTTACTTTAAGATAAATGGACTCTTCATTAACAATTTCAAACACAAATAACGGTTACTACAGCCATTTTTAAACTGTCTAACAAGCATTAAATGAAATTCTCCCTTTGCGACATCAATACATTTGTCACCTCTTTTTCCTATATCCCATTTAATACTTTGATAGATTTGATCATTCAAAAAGATCTTCCCGTTCCTTTCAATTTTAAGAGATACTCTTATATCATTTGAAGTCGTTGTCCACTCTCCGATTAACAAATCAGGAGGGGTACATAAGAAAGGCTTTTCATCAGAGCAGACTCCACTTTGTCTCGGACAATTTTCGTAGTAATATGTATCCAAATGTTTGGATTTAGATTTATTTTGGGGGCAGATATGCTAAACAACGACGAATAAAAAATTTATTTAGAGAAAAATAGGGTTTGTATATATTCTAACCGGTGATTCTCGAGGACAAAATTCATAATTTTTTCTAGATTCATAGCTCCATAAATATAAATCAATGAATTTGCCAGTGGAATCGACCGTCAAATCTCTGAATAGCTTAGCTCTGATTAAGCCACCATGACTTTTTGGCATCCTTTTTAAGAGTGGTGTTAATGATGGAAACTCTTGAAGAAAGATAACTCACCGCAGATTCCAAAAAAACTCTTGATTATCTCGTTTTAAAATTATATTATAATTTTTCTTGTCATGTTTCCAAAATGCAATACAATGCAGTCTCTGATTTAAAGACATATTAATTTTAGGTATGCATTGCGGCTTTCCCCACCTTTCAAAGTGAACAAAAATTTTGTTAGGAATATTTTGTCGAAAGGAATTCTTCTCTTAGATACTTACTGAAAAATTAATCCTTCCCCAGTCTCACATTCACTCTCTATTCTCTGTAGATGTAATCTTTCACATAAATTTCCTGTCACTGTTTTGCCCACGAAAAATCGGTAAACACCGTGAAACGGGCATTTGGAGAACTCAAATTTTGGACTGCTTGTTATCCAAATCCATGGATCAAGAATTAAATTTTCTTTTGAACACAAATATCTAGCTAACTCTAGCTTTCTCGTACCTTTTGATTTTTCCATCTGAACAACGTTTAAACTTCTTTTTATAAAATGAACACACCTGTAGCTCGATTTTGAATTTATTTTCGATTGATAAAGAATTATAAACTTCCTTTCATGCAATAATTCCAAGCATTTCATCAAATAAACGAATTTATATAACTTTTTCTGATCATTCCTGTGAAAAACTTTAACAATACCTCCTTTAACCATATAGTCTGTTGTATAATTCGAATATCTCTTTTCCACAATATGACTCTTCCAAAAACGATGTGTAATCGATAGCCATCCATCTCTTGTATAAGATTGTAAAAATTCAGGAAATTTACACTTAGATGTATATGCAATACAAAAATATTGCAATACCAGAATGAAAATGTACAGTCGAGGGACACCGTTCATTCTCTTAATTTCATCTCCTCGGGTAAGGCAAACGAGGGCGACATCTAGCAGTCATAAGTGACTATCTAATTAAAATCTTTGGCCCTTAAAGTGAATATAAGTAACCAATTTTTGTCCTATCAACAGATTACTTGCTATTTCAGTCGGACAATCGATATACATAATAATACTGCATAAGTCTTATATTTTACTCATCATTGTACAACTTGTAACGGAATAGTAAATGCTTGCAATGTAAATCTTATTGTAAACATAATCATATCCTTTAATTTTTCATAGATTGTTTATACATTAGAAGACTTTTAGTTTGTCTGAGATGCTTCAGCATTTTATGAACAAAAGATGGCGCCGTGGCATATCATCATCAGATTTAATTGAGTATTCAATAGAAATTTAATTGAAAGTATGATCATTAACATAATATTGTTTGTCAAAATTAATTTCTGAATGACACATTGAATTTTTCAATCCCTATCTCATTTTAATAACAAGTTTTAAAGAAGAACAACTATTAGTATGCTCTTCTAGTTGCATAACAATTATATTTCCAAAAGATTCTTTTGCCGATTTTTATGCAACAGAGGAAAATCATACTGTTTTACTATATTATAATCATTCATCAAATATTCTTCAACAATAAATATACTATTTTCATAATTTATTAGATTTTTCCAATAAAAGTAAGATCAATGACTGCTGACGTTTTTTTATTATCGCAAATTGCAAGTAATTATCACAGCTACGGTTTCAATCTGTCAGAGTATTTTAAATGTCTTACACGTATACATTGTATATTAACTTTGTAATATACAGCATATAGTTTGTTTTAAAGTATAACTGACTGTTCTTTTCAAATATATACTATTACTTATACTATATTTTGTACACTATTAAAGGTATATGTTTGGAGCTTTGTTATCAATATTTGCTTCTAACATTGTTAGAAGGTTTTATTTATAAACAAAGCTAGACTGTAACTCCAGTTTAGTGACATACGTCACCAACCATTGATCTCAACGGTTGCTGGAATACATCCTATTGACCAGCCTGTAAATTAACACACCAACAATACCTAAACTCCTTTTATCGCTCAGAAAAGTTTTAACTTTAACTTTCTATTATTCATTAGAAAATAGATAGAAATTTTAATTCATTTATGTGTTAAATTATCTTTGTAACTTTCTTAACATCATCAGAGTAGATAATACAATTTCAAAAGTGCGCTTAAAATTGTTGAAAAACTAATCACTCTACTGTTGCTGTCCTCTAAGATTTAGAAATTTTATTTCAGTGGCCCAAGAGAATCGATGGTGGAATTTTATTACAACAGCTTTTAATTTTCTGCCTTCTTTCTCCAATAATACAAGGTAATGAAGATAAAAAGTACTTATATTTATGTGTATCCATTATCTGGATCCCTTTCACATACAATAAACTAGAGAGTTATATAATTTTGAATATAATTTATACTATTGTAGATGTAAAAGAAATTATTAACAAAGAGGACCTAGTTTGTTAGTACAGAAGTTACCAGCTAACAAATAATTGAATTTTGTAATATTTCTCTGAGCAGCACAAACATAGGTTAATCAATCTCTAATTAGCTCACATGTTAATTTTCTTTCCAAGACCAGCCCTTATTGTTAAAAATTGTTTCATAATTATTAACGATGAACTATTAAGTTCAACAGTTTGTTCAATATTTTATGATAGAATACTAATTACGCATGTACATATATGATTAGAAAACTGCCAGAGTGTTGTAAAATTTATCACTTTTTAGAATAGCCAATGGCAGTTACATCTGCTAAAAGATTGGATCATTGGATTATTAGGAACACAGGTAAACATAGAGCTCCTGGAATATGTGCAGCCCTCTTCGGATTTTTATTAATGTTTACTGGAATTTTGGTTTTAACTGTTGGCAAATCGGTATCCAAAAAAGGAAAAGTTAACAAAAGTATTTCAGACTTGGAAGACGCTGGGCCTGCGTTTCTTTCTATAGGAATTTTGTTGATATTAATAGGATTCACTTATCAGTATATAAGGCACAAAAGATTCAAAAAAGCCTTAACTGAAAAACGAAAGCGGAAACTTGAAGGACGAGCAAATGACTATGTAATGACGGACGATGAACATTTTGAGGGTATCGATTCTTTAGATCCTGTTGAAGAATTCCAAATGGACGAACCATCTACTTCGACTGGTATAGTTTTAAATGTTGTTTCACTTCCCAATAATTCTGTTCAGAGCGAAAACTTTTTACCTGAGATTGTAACTGAAACTGTTCCTAAGAATGATCATTCAAATGAAATTATTCCTCCACGACCTCCTCGTAGCCATTCCGCAAGAAGCCTGAGACGACCTTCTTTGCAACCTAATCAAAGATCGCTTTCTCAAACTAATATTCAACAAGCGAGTGAAGAAATAGAACAAATCGAACAAATCGAACAAATCGAAGACCTCAGTTTGAATGAAAAGTCACCCCAAAAAACTAAAAAACACCTAGGAAAGCAGAAAGGTACGGGCAATAACATTCTTACAGTTGACTGCATCCCGTCTCTCCGAGACTCTCCTTCTCAAGACTATATACCTAAAGCAGTTTCTAAAGGGTTCTCTAATTTCTATAGTTCGACAAAAAGCGAATCAGGTTGTTAAAATATGTTTAAATGAATTCTGCTTGACAGAAACCATTTATGTAATGGTTAATACTATTTATTTTTATGAATATGATATAACAGTCACTTAAGAAAGTCTTCAAAGTTGAAATTTAGTAAGTCAAACATGGCTGCCCTCATAAACATTGTTATCAATGCATAATGAAATATTTTTTTAATCATTGTTCTTGTTTATACATTCTTGTGCTCCTCTGCGCCAATGACTAACTCACTGTTGAACAAAAAAAATATTATCAATTTTAATTAGCAATTCTCCTATAAAGTGTCTTATTAAACCATCAACAAAAAGTCAGAACATTTTATGTTAAAAGTTTTCAATGTAACAAATACTTTGGTTATACTGTAAAATTAATAACAAAAAGTATACTTTGTTAGTCTCAAAGATTTGTGCATTAAATTTTGACTTTTTATAGTAATACCTGATCCATTTACTATTTCTATTTAGCCCACATTTTAGTTGCTAGTTCACTGAATTTTCAAAGGAATAGTAAGAAAGAAATTTTGAAAAAATATGAAAAGTATTGGATAGCCCAAAAGTATGTAGATAGGACTTCTTTTAGAATTATAGGCTTATTGAAAAATATTACCTAAAATCGATTTCACCGTCTCCGTCTTGATCTAAAGCTTTAATCAGTTGCTCTATTTGCTCAGACGACAATGGTATTTTTGCTTCCTGTTTTAATAGCAATATTTTAACTATAAGAAAGAATTTTATTTATCGTCCTACTTTTAGACCCTGTTTAAATTCATCATATGTGACGCTCATTGAGCCATCTTCATCAAATTTTGAAAATAATTCAGCTAAATTTAAATTATTTTCAGCCATGTACTCTTTCATTGCGTTCATAGCCTCTTCAACGACGTCATATTCTTTTAATTTTCTTTGACCGTAGGAATCTGAATATCCATGCTTGATAGTTAAATCTGGATATTTTTCCTGGAGATTTGTAAGAGAAGCTACAAATTCCTTTGTCCTAAATACAAGCTCCTGAAAGCAGAAAAGTTATGACTGAATTTTTTTAAAGCAGTTAACTAGTTTAAACGTAAATATTTTACAACCGATAAGTCTAGTAATTCCAGTGTCAAATCATCTAGTTTATACACCATATTTAACATCAAAATTGCTGTTTCTTCATTCAGATTATTTCTGCCCAGCTATTATTAATTACAAATTGAATATCTATAATAAATATTTTAAAGGTAGTATTTTTACTTTTAATATTTTTAAATCATTGTTATTTTTCAGAGATGCAATAATTTTCAAAGCTCCTTCAGCTGAAATTCTATTAGCAGACAAATCTAATTCTTGAAGTACACAGTTCTTAAGAGCATCGGCCAAACCTAAAGCGCCTTTATCTTCAAATCCATTCCAAGACAAGTCTAATATTTTCAATGTTACATTATCCTGAGCAAAGTTTATATAAACTAATATGACTTCATACTTTATGAAAGAAATGTTTAACAAAATATAAAAATATCCTAATCTTACTTGCATGCCTTGAGCAAGTTTAAAAGCTCCTGGCATTCTTATTTTGTTCCATCTTAAATGCAATTCTTGGAGCACTTCATTTTCAGCTAAATATTAGTAAAAATGGAAGTATAAGGCATGGAAAGTAATTTAAATATTATTCATAAATGATCTCGATTGGTTAAATTAACCTAAAACTTTTTTAAATACGTATCCCGAAGGTGATCCAAATTCATTACGACTTAAATTTAAGTGTCGTAAAACTGCATGCTCTGTAATTGATTCGCAAAGCATTTCAGCATCAGCATCAGTTAAACCATTATCTGTTGTTTGAGAAAGATTAGAATTTTTTGGAATAAGTATCCAATGACTGACCTTCCAGATTTAAGCTTACTAAATTACTATTATCAACTAGCATTCGACTGACTAATCGACTTCCATTAAAAGCATGAATTTTGTTTTCAGAAATGTCCTGTTTTAAAATCATTCAATAATGTTTAATTTTATTTAATTTTAATATATACCAAATCGGCTACAGATGTATTTTCTGACATCATTTGACAAACGTATTTTAAACCTTCTTCTCTGAGGTCATTTCCACGCAAGTTCAGCTTGACTATTTTTGTATTGAACTGAAAAAAATATAATATACGTCTTTAACAGCTAAACCTAAAGCAAAACATACAACAAGAGGAATAGCTAAAGCCATAGCTTCTTTCGGCCCAAGTCCATAATTTTGAAAATCAATTTCAGTCGCATTAGCAAGTTTTTTTTGGAGAGAATTTGAGGGCAGAGCTTTAAATTTTCGACAAGCGCTACCATAAATTTTCAACCCTGTTTCATCATATTCAGAAGGTTCTTCTGTTAAATCAAGAATTGTCTCTAAATCTTCCTCTTTAGCAGCTTCATATTCTTCTGGTACTGTTTTTTCTGTGCAGGAACTGCTTCTTGACTTCATTTCGTTTGGGTCTACCAATGTGTTCCTAGATCCAGTCGAAACTTTCTTGATCTTTTGTCTATAAGTTTATAAAATTTTTATATGATCCCCAATTCCTCTGAAAATAATTTAACCGATTATTGTTAGAAGTTGAAATTTTTCCTGAATGACGATCATTCAAGTAGAAATTTTCGATAAATTCATTTGTTGGTATTTTTGATAATGCAGGTGGTTTGTAATCCGGATCGTTTGAGTTCTTTGAAAGAATATTAAATGGATTTATTTCAGTTAACTTTTTAAGCAATTAAAACCCTAAACCTTCAATATTTCGATCCACTTTTCTTGATCCATAAAAATTTTAAGTTCCTAAACCCTAATTTTAAAGCGTAAAAGTGCTATTATATAAATGTCTCAGTTTGGTCGTAACCAACGAAAACACTTAGTAAAATAATTTGAGATTGTTGGAAATTTTGTGTTTGATTACCTGCTGAATTGTAAATACCCTTTGATTTGTGAATAGCTAGAAATATTCTTTTAGCTATTTACCTAATGTGGTATTAAACGGCTCTTTCACTAAAAAGCTTAATTATAGAGCTATTTTATAGGAGTTCCTTTATAAACTAAAAATATTCGTAATACTTGCTGTTTAAAGAAATTATAGAAAAAAATATCTTCCAATGAACTTACCTTGTTTTCAGTCCTAGTGTCTTTGAAATGATTATAAATTAACTCTCATTTCATACGCGCTTTCAATATGGAATCTTTTGTGAAAAACACTTAAATGCAGTTTTCGTCCTGAATACTTCAACGCAACGCCATAAAAGAAATGTGCGTTCGATTATTTGGCGGTCTATTTCAATGGAGCGTTATTAAACATAATAATCAAGGGGCGCAGTTCTAATCGAATTGAAAGAGGTCATTTTAATTAGTTATTGCTGAAGCTTAGAAGCTATAGAGATTGTTTCTAATATCTCTATTGTTTACATAGTATTGTAATAAAACAAATTGAAAAGTGATTCGTCTTGGCATGATATTTTAAAAGAAATATAAATTTTATCGATAAATTATGGAAGTAGTCCCAAGTAAGATTAATCTTACCCTATACGCCGTAACGATTGACTGCTTTTGTAAAAGCAGAGCACATCATATGCTATATGACATCTGCACCAGTAAAGTACTTTCTTTATCTTTCGGAGGCAAATTTAATACAATATAAGTAATTTAAAAATGAGCTGTCATGCCATTATTATTCATATCATACAATAAATACATCAGAATTGTGTACTTTTATAATCATAAAAAATAATACAGCTATTCGGATATATAGTTTACACTAATTAAAAATTAGTACTGAGAAGCAAAAGATATTTATAATACCATCTCTTCCTGACTAACAAAAAAAAACAAATTAATTCTATTATATCAAGCTGCTAGAGCTGCAGCATAGGTACTTATATCCACCTAATAATAACACTGTCTATGATAACAACAGCTTTCATTCATAACAATTAATCCAACAGGAGTATTAAAAGAATAATCATAAAATCGTTTTTAACAGCATTTTTTTCTAAGAGCCTATATTAAAAAACTTACTTAAACAGTTTGATAAGTTCTTAAGATTACTATCCTCCATTATATGTTATATAAGATCATTACATATAAAAATATATGTTTAAAATACCCTTTCACTGATTTCTCATGCTCTGTTTGAAACACGTTTAAGTATTTGATTCAATGAGATTAGTTATCCAATTAAACTCTGTATCTCCTAAAACTCTAAAGCTTAAATAAGTACATGTTTCATCTCTTATTTTATCAACTACAGGTAAAGAGGTTTACAGAAAATTTGGAACATACAGTTTCGGCATCTTTAACACTTGTTCCAGTTCTTGAGAATGTTGGTTTCGTTCGCTCACTATGAACAAGCTTTGAAACTTTTGAACGATCTTTCTTCTATTAATTACAAATAAGAAAATTTGTTTTGATTGCGTATCAAATTATTAGGAGTTACCAAGGAAGTCTGTTTTCTTGCTGGCAAGTTATCTTTTGCAACTCGATCAATTTCATCGTTTACATCCTCGTTGTTCATTATTTACTTCGAAAGCCTAATGAATGACTGAAAAGTTGAATATTTTTGTTTTCTTCTTGTACAGTAGCAAATTTTTTGCGTAGTGAGTACGTGCAAGGCATTGAACAGAAGTCAAAAAATAGTTTGCAGAGTAAATATTGAATATAAACAGTTGAAAAGATACAATACGGTTATAGGAATACTTTAGGGTAATGAATTCGGTCTCATTGTATTTGGCTTAAAAAAGTCATTAAAAAATTCCTTTTCTATGATTTGATTGGTAATATATTGTTTATATATCTATAAGGAATTGAATAGTTATTGTGAATCGGAATTTAACATATTTTAGATAACACAATTTACGAAATTATTTTTGTTGATAATATGGTTCTCATCTCCTGTTGTCTTTCTAGATCTTTGATAGGACATTTAGGACAATTATCTTGACCTCTAAGTTTTACTATAAAAACAATATTTTTTCTAACGATTTCGTATTTTTTAACATAAATTAAAGTACGTGTATATAAGATGCAGTAGTTATGTCGTTTTCGTGTATGATGGAAAGAAGCTGAATAGTGGTGTTTTAAATATTTGAATCAATGAATACGTATGAAAATATCGCTTCTATAAGACTGCTTACGTTTGTAGCCTTCGTATAAAAGCCTCTTTTGAAAAAGCTACAAATGAATATAGGACCGCGGTTGGCTGCTATTCAGTTTTTCTCCTACCTTCCGTATTCACTTGTTTATGGCCTTAATAAAACCGCTATGAAGGAAATATGTCCTTTTACCTGAGTTTGCTGATCTTTTTTCTAATTTACAATGTTAAACTTCAAGAAGTTGTTATTGATTCGTGCAAAAGAGGAGTAGTTGTAATAGATCTTACTTCAGGGCCCTGTTCTAAGATCACTTTGAAAGGATTGAATAATTCATGCGAATTTCGCTTATTACGTAACGACACTGTGCAATTAGAAGTATCCGCAATTAATGTAAACGGAAGTGCTTTGACTTCGTTTTTGAACGAAATAAGTGATAATGTCATTATATCAAATTTGGAGTTGAAAAGAATTCATTTGGAGGAATTCGATATCAGATGGGCTTTTGGAAAATCTGATAATTTTTCATTGGCTACGAATGTGAAAATTGAAGAGGCGAGCATAAAAAAGTTGATGTGTTCATTAAACAAAATTGAAAATAGGTTACTTAACCGATTTGAATGCTCTCGGTGTAATATATTGGAGTTTTCTCAACCTTTTACATATGTCACGTTGGATTTGGTTAGTTTTCAAGTCGTTGAAATAGATATTCTTAGTCAACAGTCTCTTGCCAAAGTCGATTGTAACATTGATTTATTAGTTTTTGACTCGTGGACTATTCCTTCATTGCAAAAAAATGCATTTGAAATGTGTCGAATGAAAACTGTCCGATTCGAAAATTACTATCGTTCAAAGGAAACAGATCGGAATGATTATGGTTTCTTTATATATAATTTAACATCCTCAAGATCCATACAGCATTATACTGAAAAAATGGCAATTTCCAGTCCTCATATTAACTCTGATAGTCTTTTATTTTATAACAGTAGTTTCAAAGTATTAAATGATATTGATCTAGGGAGCTCTCGAATTCAATTTATCTTCCAAGAAGCCTTCCCTTTCTCTAAAGTTACTCTTACAGTCGCTCTCATTGAGCTCTCTACAGATCAATTCATTTATCCATCGTTTAAGCACACTAAAATTCTGTTCAAGCTCATATCTACTCAGACTGATACTTACTCTTTCATCTCTATAAGGAAAGATGAAGGTATGGATATAAACAGAATATCAAGCAAAGTAAAGGGAATAATGTCAATAATTAAATATTCTACCCATCTCCAAATAACTTGTACTCAAAGGATATCAGAAAAAGAATTCGCGCCAACTGAATTATTAATAATATCCAATAATTCTTATTGGATGACTCTTGTTATTAATGATAAAAATAGAACTGTATTAGAAATGCCTTATGCAGGAAGAGAATGGCCGATTGCTGGAAAGTGCCAAGGATTTCCAGCTTTTAATTTATCGGCTATATTGCACTTAAATATTATTGAGACAGATAAAGAAACAACAAATGTAGCCATTACTTCTTCAATGCCATCATCTAGCCAAACATACAATCATTTTTCTACATATTCTGATTATAACACTTCTAGTCATATGACGGAAGAGAAAACAACCTCTGCAAAATTAATCAATCCTTCTATTACAACTCTGGAGAGCATTAAAAAAAATGATGATAAAAACAGAACAACAGCTATAGTAGGAATATGTATAGGAATCGTGTTCTTTTGTTTAATTATATTTTTCTTTATAATGAGAAGTATTCGAGATAGAAAAAAAAAATCAACAAGAATCATAACTCCCTATGGAAAGAGCAATTTTCTAAGAAAGTTTTGTTTGGGCGAAGTCTCTAATCACAGAACAATAGAAACTCAAATATAAAACGCCATCTTTTGGTAATAGTAATTGTTACGATTTCAATACAAAGAAACTTATTTCTTTTAAAGTTTTCTAAATTTAAATATCAGTATGTAAAAATTTGTAATTTATTTGTATTGCTTTTACAAAAAATTATACATTCAAATTTAAAAATTTTTTCTTTGGGATTATATCCACTGAACACCAAAGGGGCTCCAGACGAGGTCACACTTGAATGGCTTCCTTTAGAAGAGAGTATTTGAAAAAGATTTTTCAATGCTACAAAATTGAATCAAGCGGGATTTTTCTTTTTGAAACAACAAACGTTCCAAATTTGTGAAGGAACATCACTAAATTCGTATCAGACGACTAAGAGGAAAATATAAAGCATAATTTTTAAGAGCTCGTCAATCAAATGCCATTAAAATTAATTAAATAAAACGGAAACCCATATTAAGTATTAGGTTGGTCACTTAAAAATAGGCTAGCTACCTATTCCTACCTTCGTGGATCAGCGTTAAGAGGTAGCCTTCTGTTGAGAATATGACTAGGTATGTATCTAAATAAAGAATATTCGCTTCAATGGTTGCAGCGTCCAGTTTCTTGTCTTTAGTTATATTTAGAAACAATATTCCTCTTCCATATCAAATCAGTTAAACTTTTAGACTCGTTGTCTTTACAATTCAGATATAATCTCGTAAATTTTTTCGGAGTAATTTACGGCCTAAATTAAGGTTAGAGAAGTTGTTTAATGAAATTATATAATTATATGAGTTTTATTTGTATAAAATTGCTATATTTCACTTAGATTGTTAATAAAATATACTTTGTACACCTGTGTATGTATGAGTGTGTGTAAATTATTAACTTCTCATTTTATATACGCTGTTTTTCTCAAGCAATTCCCAAATTTAAGATTATGTTTAAAAGTTTTAATAAGAAAAAAGAGAATTTGGTTCATAATTTGTTTTTCTATTACGAACTAATTTCTTTAACGAAAATGCCCAACAGTCTTTTATTACAGTTACACTTTTCTTTAAACTGGTTGATACTTTTGTGTATCGAATTTTTACTTTTATAATAATTTTATAAGGTTTATTGAAATTATATCTCGCTCGTAAAATTTGCTTTCTGAAGGACAGCATTTCAAATAAGTAGGACAGTATTGAGTGAATCATTAATTTAAATCTTTTTATTTAAAATCTTACAATAAACTAACTTCTATTGATTAGGTTATACATTAAATATACTGAGTAAGATAAGTAGTTTTTGTCAGATTATATTGTTTGAATAGAAGGAAAAAATCTCTTTCCGTTCAGTAGGTTAAAAAGAAATTTTTTTGAAGAGAATACTGTATATGGTAAACACTAATGATTTCTATACACGGGATTAAATCATTCATTTGGCTTCAAAATGACTTAACTAGCGGACAACAATATCTCCCACAACATAACAACCCTACCTTATAATCGTGGGTGTTAAGTACATTTTGGACAAATTTTGGGAGAATAAAACGCTATTTTCCTGATCAGAATTCTTTAAGATGAATAACAGGCATTGTTTGACTTTTCTAAAAAAACATATAAAAATTGGAGGCCTATTCTTATATATTTTTTATTCATTCAATTCAATCATGTGGCCTTGAGCCTGCCCACGTATCGAAAAACTTTATTTAAATTGAATTTCAAATAGTAAAGCCGTCTATTGAATGTCTGAAGGGCATAGATGGTACTTTATCGGAGAGAAATTTGATGTAGAACTCGCTAATAAAATTTGTAAACCATGGATTATAATCAAAAATTCACATCCGATTTGGATGACATCAATGTCGATGAATTATTGAAATTCTGCAGGTATATAATTAAAGGTTCCAAAATTTTTAACATCGGATATATCATATTTGTTTTTGTATTATAAGTTGCGGAAAATTTGTATCTAAAATCATATTGCAATATACTAACTTACATGGGCTTGGTAATAAGTTTATATTACAAATTTTAATTTAAAGTTACCTCTCCTTGAAAAGTTTGTTTTTCAACTGATTAATGTATAACTTACTTATGTGTTTTTTTTTAATTTACAGTCCTTTTATTAAACAGACAATGGGTCGGGAATTAGTCTCAATATTTAATTAATTGATGGATTAATTTCAGCACTAAGTAATATAGAGTCAGTAAGAATTGGTGCTAAACTTTCTTGCTCTTAAATCTTCAAGATTCAGCATAGGCAATAAAAGGGTGACACTTTTGTGCAAAACTGTTTCAATACCAGAAGAAATTGAAAGAGCCGCCCGTAGCTATAGTACTTAATAGGTCGGTTAGAACCAAGTCTCTTTTCTGATGTCTGAGTGAATAATATCCCTGTCTGAATACAACTTGCAAGTTTAATAAATAATAAACTATCCTTGTTTATTTACAGGAAGTTACACAGCGAAAATGATATTGATAAGAACGATAAGCCATCCTGTTCGGGTAATGAAGAAGTTCCAGGAGACCTAAAGAGCTTTTTTGAACATCCTCTGACTACCAATAGGCAAGAGAGCGGGAATGCACTTTTACATGAATATCAAAATTTCGGAAAAATTAGAGAAGAGGAAGCGTCATCGAGCTCTTTTGATAGGTGATTTTACAATATCAATCTAAATATTACATCAAGCATACTTTCAAAAAAGCTTTTGTTATACAAATAACTAGAAAGCGCTTTCAATCTCCCACTTTTGTAAAGTAGAATATAATAGCGTTTACAATATGCATATTTTTCAGTTTAAGCAAAGGAAATTTTGAAAAGAACAAGAACTGCTTGGTTCTATTAACTGACCAATTCCTCAATAAAGATGAACGATTAGCATCGCCAATCAGCTCACCTCAAACTGTACATGATGATGAATTTGCTGAAGTGAAGCAGGAAAATGAAAAAGAATATCTTGACTTTTGCATGGAAAGAATGGATTGTCCAACAACTGAAATTCCTGTGTCTCTTTCTGTAGACATACCGCCAACATCAGATGTATGCTGCACGACTGCAAATAGCATTCAATCTTTAATTAATAGTTCTGGAATGGCAGGTTCCAGGCAGACACTTCAAAGCGTTATTGAAGCTATTACCCAAAGACGTATCAACAAGGCAGAAAATATCAGTTTAAGAGAAGCTCTTGAGATGACAAACAATAATGAACAGCTTTCGCTTGTTTGCCCGGCAGAAGCAGAGGGTAAGCCGCAAAATACGCTCATAAAAAGAAGACCGGGTCATAAAGGTAGAAAAATAGCAAAGAAAGGAAAATCATTGAATAATTTAACCCGAAATCAGAATGGCAATTATCCTCTGCCAGAAAATGAATCGTCTTTGGTATATCCTGATATGTTTTATCCCTACCCTGGAGTGTCACCAGTTTTAGTTTTGCCAGATAAATTCTTAATAAAGTCTGAGGCCCCTCCTTCTCCAGTAGCAAATCAAACCATCAATACATACTCAGAACAACCGTCGTATGTGTATACGACATCGCCAAATCCTGTATTTAATTTCGAAGAGCAGAGAAGAACTTCTATGACAAGCACTAGCAGTCTTTCTATCGATAATTTTCTGTCAGATTTCAGTGAAAAAATTCTATCTCCTGAATCAGACACATCGATGGATTTTACTTTTAAAGCAGGCAATAGAACAATAGAAGCTCTTTCAAATAAAATTCGCAAAAGACAGCAATCACGAACTGAGAGTGAGAGTGGTGAAGAAATTGGGAAGAGAATTTGCTTACGAGCACTGTCTAATGATGAAGGAATTAGTATGAAAAGTCCTGACTCAGGTTATAATGAAGCCTGTTCATCTCCAACAGACTCAGTCAGTTTTTTTATAATTTTCTAAATATTAATTGTAATTCGTGCATGCACAGGTGACTTATGACGACTACGAGAAACATAGAAACCCTTTCTCACATGTTATGCCAAATAGCCCTATCTACAAAGAGAATAGCAGCTTCACTCATATTGCTAAATTGTCAGTACCCTTCTTAGACATAACTTTTAAACATTTCATTTTATTACTTTGCTTAAAGGGAAAATGATATGAGTGGCTACCAGTTTTTTCTGGAGGCCCCTATTTCGACAAGTCAAAAATTAGATGAAGATCGGATGACTTATTTAAATAAAGGAGCTTTTTATGATTTATCCTTAGAGTTACACCAAAACTTAACGAATAGACCAATTCCTATACACGATGTCAAGGTAAAAACTCCTACTAAAGTATTATTTTAACTTCTGTAGTCCTAACTACCTTTGAACTGTCTAAAAGATTTTGTTTTTCAGTCAATTGTTCAAGTTGTTTTTCGGCAAGGAATAAAAGGTGTTCTCAACGAAGACGAAGCGTGGAAGTTTTGGCATTCAAGACAACACAGTAGTAAAACAAGGGTATTGGATGTTGATATTAATAACAGTAAAGGATTTAGTATCAAGTCTATTGAAGAGATCGCCAATAATGGAATAGCCGTCAGATGGAACCCGAAAGCTGGAAAAGCCATGGTAATCCTTGCATAGCAAAATCTTTGAATTAACTTTTATTTTCTAGATTCACATTGCTATCAATTGCCTCAGTACGGACTTCAGCTATCAAAAAGGCATAAAGGGACTACCTCTTCACATTTTAATTGATACTTTTGAGGACGAAAAATCCGACTTTCCCTTCCACCGAGCGTATTGTCAAGTGAAAACATTTTGTGACAAAGGAGCAGAGAGAAAAGCTAGAGATGAAGAAAGGAGGAGATTGGCTAGAAATAAGGCACCAGCAGGTTTAAAAAATTAATTTAAGTTATCGTTTGACAGCTACATCAACAATCAATTTTAGGCTCAAGGCATAAACCGAAAATAGAAGACTCAAAGATTTGTCATCCATATTGTGAAAGATCTTTCTTCTACAGTATGAGAAACTTATACTTTAAACCTATACTCTTTAAACCCAATTTATCAACCAACTTAACAAATGAAGTAAATATACTTAATGAGTCCTGTTACAACCTAATCCTTGTATGAAATTGCAGTACGTTAAAGATATGGATATAGGATTAGACTCATTCCACAATTTAGATGTCTACAATGGTGCGACATTACTAACTGAGGATAGTAGCAGAGGTCTGCTTAAGTAATTTATGTGATATTATATTAAACCTCCATTCTCTTTCAGTGCTATTATACGTTCGAGAAAGGCAAGAAACTGTTTTTACACCGCTCCATCTAGCAGACTCCTCTGTAAACTCCTTGAAGGAAGCAGTAATTTCGATATTTTTATTTAGTTATAATATTTTAAAAAAATTTTATTCTCAGATAGAAAAAAAATACTCAATTTCGTCCACCAAGGTTCATAATATATACAGACGATCTAGAAAAGGGTTTGTAGTATTGTTAAGAATTCAATTTCCAAACTCAATAATTGTAAACAGTATCATAGCGAAAATGGATGATGATCTCCTCAAACATTATTGTAATGAGTCTACATTCCTGATAAGCCTCATTCGCTTGACTGAAGAACAGAATCCCGACTTTTGCTATTATAATGTTACCCTAACCGAAATCGATGAGTAAACAATTACAGCTTATGAAGAATCATTTTCATTGCTGAAAGATGTCGTTGACCGTTTCAACAGTATTAAAAAATTTGTGGAAAAGGAATAGTTGAGATTCAATAGAAAATCTAACATCTAGTTACAATATTTTTATTAGATTTTTAAATGAACAATAACAAATAAAGAAATTAGAAATTAGTTAGAAATGTTTTGTTTCAAAAAGAATTGCAATAAGTTTTGTTTACAATACTCCAATCACGTGAATAATAATAACAAGTGGATTTTAATTATTAATGAATACTAAAATCAATATATTAAAAACTACATTCTTTTCGTTTTGCTTTGACTTAAGATGTTCTTAATCTTTGCCTTAGGAAAGAAAAACTGAATATCTATTAAACTTAAGATAAAATTTTAAACTTCTTTCATATATATTTTGTCGTAATTATGACAATAAATTAAAAGCTCGATTAAGACATATTATTAATGGATTGTAGAAAATGCTTTTGATTGTTGAAGGTAAATATTGGCGGATCAAAGATAAATAAATATGCAGTATGTTTACTTGTAGGAAATTGCTCTTAAACGAATTTTTATTACCGACATTTTTTTGCAATAAGAAGTTGCCAAAAAAACTACGATCACCATAAAAGAATCGCTTAATAGATTTTATAACAAGAAAAATTACAAATCTCTATTCTGTCGAGCATAATATATAATATTTTGTGCCATTTTTCGCTCTCTGCTGGTTTCAAGTTATGCCGATTGGTATTCGACAGGGTCATGTGACCACTTGTGCTTGTTTGCTTGCCAAAAGACTGCAAAAGCCTGAGCATAATGTCAAATTTTTTTTTCTTTCGATTTTTTCCTTCACCGTATCGTTTTTCAGCTATATAGGTAAGAATACTTTTTGTTAGTCCTTTTTAGACCACTCTTAAATATATTTGTGGTAAAAGAAAAATTACTCGACGACACACAAAATTTCTAAGTTTTCTCTAGCTTTCCTTTTGAATAGACGTAATCAGTAAAACCGATTTTTCTTACAAGGTATTAGTCGGAATTAGGTTATAACATTAAGCAGTCTCCTTACCGGAAGCGAGATATGCATGTCACTGAAGAAGGAAACCAACTGTAATCGGCTACAAATGTAATCAAAAATTTCTAACGAAGTCAAAATTTGCACTATAGGGTAAGAATAATAAAGACAACTATTTAGTCTCGGATCTTCAAAATATCAAGTGAAAAATTTAAACAATTGTATTTCTGCTAAAGCTTCTAATGCATGATATCAAAGAAAATGATTTGATGGCATCGTAATGAAGCAAAGACGGTCTAAAAACGATATTCGTCGGAAAGCTGAAATATTTTGTCGGACTACCTCGGCCCACGGCTTAGCTCAATTTATTCGGGAATCTTCGTGTCCCAAAAGAATTTTTTGGATGGTTATCTTTATCGTAGCGGTAATAGGCAATATGACCCATTCCCTTTTGCTATTTGTACAATATTTTAAATATGAGGCAACGGAATCAAGCACAATAGTTAATGAGAATGCCGAGTTTCCGCATATAACTATATGTAACATTGATCCTATGTCTTCGACGAATATCATTGAACTATTAAGCAATAAAAGTTCACGAACATACAAATATGACGTTTTCCAAAGGGAACAGTTTGATACTTTGGCTAAAACTTATAATAAATCTCATCTAACTGCTCGTGTACAAAGTTGGCATGCATTCTACGAAAATATTGGTGAAGAAGAAATCAGGCGAGCAGGTCACTCTCTTCCTGACTTCGTTGTTCATTGCCAATTTGGAGCTAGCAGAAAAGAATGTAACTTAAAGGAAGATTTTGTCGCGTTTACAAACCCCTCCTATTTTAATTGTTATATATATCGACCGAAGCAACCATTGCGTGTCACAAGATCGGGAGCACAATATGGCCTATCATTGATCCTTTTTCTCGAAGCAACGAATGGAAGTGTGCATCCCGAAGTTTACAATGCGTTCAGCACTATTGGTAATTCAGCCGGTGCAAGAGTTTCGATACATGCACCATCTGAAGTAGCCGATCCAACAGGTGATGGTTTCGATGTGCTACCTGGGCATTCTACTACGATAAGTCTTGAGCAAGAATTTATCACTCGTTTATCAAATCCCCATGGTAACTGTACTGAAGAAATAAAAACTACAATGTTTGGCTATCAAGTTCCGTTTACAATGTGCCTAGACTATTGTATTCAAATGATATATGTTAAGAAGTGCGGTTGCAAAACTCCTTTTCTGCCGATCACTAATACCGAGAAGGAAATTCCGTTTTGTGGACAATATGATCCAAACGAGTCAACTGAAAATTATTTTCATCGGCTTGAATGTGAAACAGAGGTATCTAAGAGGATTGATGCATTTTTCGATAGGTCCAGATGCTCATGCGCTCCCTCTTGTGAAAGTGTAGAATACTTTCCAATAATTAGTCAAAGCAAATGGCCTTTGGCTAAAACAGAGGCCTCTTTTTACGAAAAATACGTAAAAGAACGTCGCGACAAAAGTCAAATAAAATCTTTCACTACCTTAAGGAGTATCGATTTTAAAAATCGTTTGTTACGTAGTAACGTGATTAGAAGTAACTTCCTTAGATTAAATATTAATTATAGAAAACTGACTGCTCGAAAGAGAGCTCAAGTCCCATCTTACGCATTGGCAAACTTATGGTCAGATGTTGGCGGAACATTTGGATTATGGGCTGGTGTTAGTGTGATAACAATAACAGAGGTCACAGTTCTCACATTGGGAGTGTGTTCTAGCTTATGCTCGAGAAGGAGAAAGCAAATCAGGGAAAAAGACCATGCTAGGCAAATTAATTCATTAAATGGCTATATACCAGTCTATAAAACGCAAACGGAAATATATGATATATCAATATAAAGCTTAAAAGCACTTTAAAATAAAAGAGAAAATTTTTTTAAAATACAGCAGTATTTTCATTAAATGTAACTGACTTCTTTTCTATCTTATTTCTTGCCGAGTATGGTGAACTTGAAAAACCTGCTGAGGAATGAGAGCTTGCACTGGGTGTAGGCAGAGAACTCATTTTTGACAAATTCCAAGAGTTTCCTTCAAAAAAACTAATGTTTCCCGGATCTGTGTACAAAAAAGTGTAAAGTTAATATTCTTATTCTTCTGAATAAAGTTACGGACCCGGAGGAGTTGTCCATTTACTTGTGGTTGAAGTCGGAGAATCTAAATGTGCCATTTCGTCCTCAGAACTTTTCTCTTCTTCATTTTTTTTTGTTTTGCACCTTTCCTTATGTTTTAACAATGACGTAGATCGAGTAAAAGTTAGAAAGCAATTTTCACATTCAAAAGTAATTCCGTATCTTCTACCTCCGGATCCTCCCAACGGTCGTCGACTTGTTTTACGTACTCCAGCTCTAATGGTAGAACTTAGATTTTTTACCGGAAAAGGTGATAAATCTTTGTCCTCTTGATCATGCTTTTCGTCTACGTTTTGCTCATCAAATTCAACTTCGTCAGACGAGATTGCGTTATCATTAATTGTATATCCATCACAAACCTCTTTTTCTGGATGACTTTGCAAACCCTTTGAAACCAAAGCATATTTTGTTTTTTGGTATGACATACTTCTTGGTTGACAATACAAACCATCTTCATAGGGATTCATAGATACATACGCGTAGTTGTCGAGTGTATTTTCAACATTTCGAGGACAAGTTTGTGTTTTTCCTTCATTATAAATTACTCTATCCGCTAAATGGATCACATTCGTTTTCTGGTCTGTCGAAATAAATATCGCACCATGTATATTAAGTTGGGTACTACATTTCGTCTTCTTGATTATAACATCTATAATTTCTTTGCGGATTTCTCCTGAATCACTTATAATTTCCATATTGAGGACTAATAGACAAACACTGTTAGTTAATGTTAAATTGAAAACAAAAGCTTAAGCTGTGTGAGTATTAACCTGAAATAACTCAAGTTATTTATTAGTCTTTATTTCATTATATACTATTATTTTTTTTATATTAAATATAGATTAATAGAAAAAAACATTATATATTAGTATATAGTATTTTTATTAAAGCTTGGTATGAATTGATAGCTAAAAAGTAATATTTTAGCATGTGTACTGTGAATTATCAGATATGAAAATTTTTACCTTTGCCGTTAATGTAATCTTCCTTTTGTCGATTAAAAATATGCACTCAAATGACAAGAGTATTTTCATCAAATGAATCATTAAATAACTTTTACGTCTGTAAGTTATCAACCATAAGCATAGGTATAATAAAGTACAAACTTTTACAGCTTAAATTTATCAGTCGTTTCTTATCTATCTCCTTACGCCAACTCTTTACTCATTTGGGTGGTAATATGACTTACAATGTAAATATAGGCATGTTAAAGAATGAAACGAATAGAAATAATATATAAAATGCTAATGCTTCGTGGCTTTATAACAGCTATTAGTATATATACACCTATGTACGTTGTAATTTTCTAAAATGGTTATGCCTAAACATTGTTATGATAAAAATTTGAAATAAACAAGTTAAATGAGGCTAAATCGCTAATTACAGTGAAGAATATGTTTGTGAGGAAAGATCTGCGACAGTCTAAAAAAGAAAATTAAGTATGATATGGCAAAATCAATATTTCACAGTTGTACACCATGAAGAAATTTCGAAGTCAGAAAGATATGAGTTTTACTAAAATAGCCAGCCTAACTATTTATGTTTGATAAATGAAGAACTGGTTGTATATAAATTATTCACATACTTATAAAATATCATTAATGCATCCTCTAAAATAAAGTTTCAAATAAATCTTCGTGACAACAAATATTATAATTGAAATTTTTAAAACTTAAATAAATTCCCTATGGAAAATTTCAACCAGGGCCCGATAAATTGATATAGTACTTTTTTAAAAAATATTAAAAATTTCTGTCTTTTGAAAAGATCTCTAACAAAGAGAATCCGCTGTGTAGGAATGACATCAAAGAAAAAAAAGGTTCACTTGTTACATTTCAATAATATCGTATAACCATGTTTAAACAATGTAACAGAGTATTACTATCTCGGTACTTCCTTTAAAATTGAACGATTTCAAGGATGAATGTCGAATGGGTATAGTAAGGAGAGAAGATGCCTCATATTTAGTAGTGGCTAAAGAACGTAAAAAACTTTTTCGAGAAAAAGTAATGGATATAAAGCACATTAAAGTAAATGAAAAGTTATACTTTATTTGGAATGAGGTTAGAAACTCTTAATAAATATATAAATATCTCACTAAAATTCGTAAGCAGAATTCATATATTTTTGTGAAATTATCGAACAAGAAGAAAGAAGAATTTTTGAAACAATTACTACTGAAAAATTTAAAACCGTTAACAAGCAAGAACTCCTTGCAACAGGTTGAGACTAATGAAAAGCGTCTTGATAACTTTATACCGCAAGCTCCTCCACTGGCAAGCTCTATTATTCCAAAGGCTCCACCTGTTAACCTTGACGACTTAACAGGTCCAGCTCATAAAATTTCTAAGGAAGTTAATAATGAACAGAAAAAAGAAAATCTTACACAAGCGTTTGCAAATGCTATAGAAGGTTTTGAATTAACAAAATTGAAAAAAGTAGATAGTGAGAAAGCACACAAACCACCTGCTTTCGATCCTGCTAGAGACATAGTTGGATTTGATAAAGGAAAGTTAAAAAAAGTAATACTACAAGTTCGAAGCAGAGATCAATGGAATGGTAGTAAACTTGCAGGAGTAATGGTAAAAACACTATCTCATAATAAAAACGATATATATTTCAAATATTAAATTAGTAATTTGCTTACCAATAACAATTGTAGCTTTAAATCTTAAAAAAATTTTACCAGTTCCACGGAATCATTTTTTAGGCCACGATAATTTAAATTTCAATAGCTCATTGATGAAGTATTCATATTACTGCAGGGGGACCTGATGGATAAACTTCAACATCGTAGGAAACATTTAGGAGGTAAGAGATAATGGCAAGTTTTCAGGTTACTAATGACTTTAAAAATGTAGATGATAGTGAATCAGATAAAAGCGCCTGGAGTGACAGTGGTAAGACAATTTTTTTACGTGTTACCCCCAATAAATTAATAAATCAACAGCCACCAAAGATGGAAAGCAAATATTCTTCGTCGGAAAATCTTCAGCAGATGCATCATGAAGTGAAAGAGAGTTTAGTTTTTTAGAATAAATCATAAAACACTACCCTAGCATAGTTAAACAACCTTCACATGAAAATAAACTCATATTTATATGAAAATTTGAAAATTCAAAAGACTTTTAAAATATAACAACCTTGAATCATATTTAATAATCTAGTTTAACTATATACTTGAAAAGCGCTCGAATAACAATTTCCAATATGTTCATTTAAGTGAATCATATTTCATAAAACGAATAATGAGGGAAACATATACTTTAACTAAATACAATATCTGTCAATTAAGTCTTAGTTAAAATTATTTAGTATAAAAAGTTAGGTGACAATGGACAATGGAGAAGTTGAAATAGAAGGAAGATCGGATAGAGCAAAGTTTTACAAGGGTATGAATATTTAATAGGTCTGGTTTTCATAAAAAACATGTTCATTTAGCTGAAAGTGGCGATACCGGATCACAGACTTCCCTTGTGGATTTAGCTACCATTCCAGAAAGACGAAATAGTCTCTGCCCACCACCATTTCCTGGCTATAAACCTAGAGCGAGTTTTCAGGTGTTTGTTATTAGCGTTATTAATTTTTATATATCAATTTCTTGATTTGTTTCTGTATATATTTAATAGCTTGATCAGCCTATTGTAATGGATGACACAAAATTAAAAGATAAAAGAAAGAAATCAACATCGTCTGTTAAAAGTATATCATTTGAAGAAAACTCAGAACCCACTTGCTCTTGTCTGGGATCTAGAAAGCGAAAGAGCACTAAAGTAGAACCTGCATAAACGCCTTAGTAACGTTCACTATTAAGTTAATTAAATTTGTCTTTTTTTTGGCTTATGGAGATTTACACATTTTGTGGAATAAATATATAAACATATCAAATATTTTTAAAGGTACAAATAACTGAGTAGCAAAACATTCTAGTTTCTACAGTTCCGTTGACTGTATTTTCGCCCTCCACTCAGTGATATTTAGTTGTCAATTCTTTGAGTTTTGGATTTTATAAGCAGTTTCTAAGATGAAACCGCATGAGAAGGAAAAAAAGTTTAAACCATTGACTGCTCGTATTCTTGATATCGATGATTTAATCAGAAGCTATGTTAAGAAGTATGATTTTAGTCCAGAACACAGGAAACTAGCAAATCTAGAGGTATACTATCAAATGTCCAGCTAATTAAGAATGCTAAAATTGTCATTATATATTACAAACAACAAGCACTATTTAATTATAATTTCGAAAATGTTGTTGATTTAGGTAAAGAAAGAAGATGTTAGCTTCAAGTACTTTAGGCTGGTTCATGACAAAATCTGCTATCCGGACAAAGATGATATAACACAAAAGAGTGGCTTCAAAGTTTTGCCTGATAAAGTAACTCTTTGCACCGCTTCTTTTAAAAATGATACTGGCAGCCCCCAAGTAAGATTACGTTAATAAATGTCAGATTAATCCATCCATTTTCATGGCAGATTTTCCACTTTAACGCTGAGAGGAAGACTAAATCAATAACAAAAGTTTCTACAGATGAAATGTACAAATTCGAAATGCACTCGGAATTAAAATTTCCAATTCTTCCAGGCATGGGAATGGAGGCTAATGTTGGAATGAGAGGGGAATGGAACTTAACAGAGAACTATGAAGAAACTGTTGAAGAGGAATTTACATGGTCTGTAAATAGCGATGTAAAAGTTCCAGAGAATACAGAAACAATTGCCTCACTAGAAATTGTTGAAAATCAGTTTGAGGGTCAGTGGAAATTGAAAACTTACTTCAAGGGGAGAATTAGTATCGCAGTGAAGAATAAAAACAAACCTGATGAGGTTGTAACAACAATCACTTTTCCTGTTGCTCATTTTGTTCAACTAGGTGGAAAGTATTTTCAGGAAGATGACAAAGGGATCTACTTTACAAGCACTGGGTGGTGTAAAAGTCGTTTTGCGACTGATCAACAAGTTAACTTGAAACAGTCTAAACTACCGGCGACATCTGCAGTGCAAATGTAAACCTTCTCCCAAGATTATATCAAACTCATTTAATTTCAGTTATTAGTCTAAAATAAGTTGTAGGTTTTCCAATTTGATATGATTAAATTAATTTTGCTGTTAATTGGAGACGATAAATAAATTTTTCTCTAGTGGTGCTATCTATATAGTTATATGTGCAAGTGCAACAATAAAAATTTGATTATCCTTCTTAGTGCAATGCAATGTATTAAGAATAGAGAAAAAATGTTGAATGTCATAGACTTGACATTGCTGTCTAAAATTTCTTTGTATCTACTGAATATAGCAGCCACCATACCTACTGTTATTATTTCAATTCTGTCATTAATTCTGGATCCTCTGTTTCTAAGCCGTCTTTTAGTGAATCTTTCCAGCAAAGATGCCCATTTAGTTTCTTCAAACGTAGTATTATAACTCCGTCTTGTTCCTAAACTTAAAACGTTTTACTTAAAGCTTAATAAATAAAAAGAAATTTACTTTATCGATAAGATCTGGATCTGGTACAATGAAATCAAATAATTTAAGAATTTCCAATTGATATCTGCTGTCTAAGGGAGACGATGATTCTTCGTACGGGTCTATTGTTAGTTTGAATGACCTAATTTGTGTGGAAAGTTGTTTATACAAGTTTACTTTAGGATGTTATCTAGAGTAGCTTCTATTACATCAAACAATTATTCTATTATACAATGACGAATTAAAACCAAAAAATTGTATAGCTAACAAGTACAAACCTTTCATTTGGGAAAGTTAGACGTGAAATTGCGTTTGGGCATTTTGTTCCTTTTAGCTTACAGCAAGTTCTAGAATCATATCTATAATTCGGTACTATCACTCTAACTTGAATGCAATCTCCAATATCTTTTGAGTCTAAAAATTGTGAAACATTATTGAAATATCGTTTTGTCACTTTTTTGAAAAGCAAACATTGTTAGGTAATAAGAAAGAAGTCTATATGCATTATTTGTACAAGAAAAGGTAGGCCTTATAATTTTCTTTAAACTATCCGTCAAAATTAATATTAAGCGACTCAGATTTTTCACTAAAACATCATTTCTGAAGTTCAAAATCATACAAACCGAAAGCTGGTTCTTTATATCCTTTTTTTTTCATTTCAATCTTTTCCGACATTTTGAATGGCGTAATGAACCAGTTATAAAATTTTGTCAAAACAGAAAAAACTTCTTGTAAGAAAAGTGTATTAAATAGTCCGTTTGAGTTTTCTAAATTCTTTGGTTAGTCGGTCTTAGTGCGATAAAGCGAATGTTTCTTAGATAAAACTGTATAAATTAGAAACATATGCGATCAACCTGCGCGCCACCCAGCAACTGACATGTCTACTCGCTGATGATTGCATGATATTCTCTCTTTATATATAGATACATCTTAGACGGATTAAGGATAGCCGACAGCTAACTATTGTTTCCAAAGATTACAGAATACACAGGCTTGGGCGCATAATTGATAGAGCCTTTAATTAACAATTGCTTAATCAACTTCCAAAACATGATATTTGGCTTAGCAATTGTTAAAATTCACTCTTCTTATCTCTTAAATTTTATACTAGGTATTTCTCTAATTCTTGATTTGGGGAAGCTAGAATTTCATTGCCATTTTGTTTTCTACTTGTGGAATTCTAACACTCATCTCCGGAAATCAATAATTACAAAAATGATCCATTAATATTTATTGTTATAAATTTTTATGAGCAATATTAACTGTAGAAAATGTGCGGGCTACCAGTATAATTTTCATTGGGTGTTAATGATTATTTTCACAAATATTTAAACTGGGTCAGCTAATAGCATTGGCATCCGAGGAGTAATTAGACTCTTCACAAATAAATATGTAATAGAAGATTTTTATTATGAAAAAAAATGAATTAATTTTATAGAAGCGAGCAAAGTTCACAGTAAAAAGAAAATATTGCCGAATATTAGCAACAATGATTATTTGATATCTTAGCAATATAGCAAATTACTTTTTAATTTTAAAACCTTTCCATTAAGAAGTTACAATAGAATTGATATCTCTATTTGTACAACATATAGATTATCTTAGATAATAAGCGTATTTAAAATTTATTTAGTATGCAGAAATAAATAACTAATGTCATTAAAGTAGTAAGTTTTAAGATATCGTTATCACTAGCATTAAGGAGTTCTAGATACTTTATTGTATAATTTACCAAATTTATATCAAAGTTATATTCTTTAGAAAGTGAATTTATTCACGTGGGTTTCTAAACTTAAATATCTTATCTAAGCCAATAGAATATAACAAAAACAAAAGAATCAGAAACCTTTGAGAAAACTATGTCTTGCTTATTCATAAACACGCTACAAGTGAAACACTAAAAATGTTGTATGCATTCTAGGGCCTAAAGCAACCAATATATATATATATATATATATGCTGGTCAGGTCAGACATCGGCACTATCACGAAAAAATTTGGCCTTCGTTCTGTCTATATGCGATAGAATGTTTGACAAAGCTTTGCAAGCTTTAATAAAATTTGGTACAGCCGCTGATACCTTTTCAGATCGACTAAATTCAAAATACACTTCAGCATTACTAGTTTTATTTTGTGTGCTAGTTTCGACGAAACAATATGTGGGTATGTATGCGATATTCATATTGTTTACTAAGATAAATTTCTTTGTGCTTACAAGAATCTCAAAAAAGTATTGATCATTACGTTTCGGGTCTAATATTCCTCTGAGATAATTTAATGTCCTAGAATAAGAAATTTCGTTAATTACTTATTTCATTAGATTGAAACTTAATGTTAAGAATTTACTATTTAAAATTGTGTTTAAATCGATAAAGATTTATCGTTTCTTATTACCCATAACTCAATTTTTGTGTGCTATACAGGAGAGCCTATTAGCTGCTGGTGCCCAGCAAATTATGCCAGTACTCATATAGATTTTGCAAATAAAGTTTGTTGGGTTACAAATACGTATTATTTTTCCTTCAATGATACAAAACTGCTGACGAGAAAATCAAAACCCCTTAAATATATAAATTATTATCAATGGGTTCCTCTTATTTTAATTGCTCAAGCAATCTTATTCATCGTACCTCGAGTATTTTGGAAATCTTTAAATACAAGAAAAGGCATTTCTATTATGTCACTTGTTGACTCTATTTACGAACTTCAAAAGCCTGGAGCTATTGATCCCGTTAAAAGGAGAGAAGTTATGAACTATGCTGTCAAGCATTTTACAAGATTTTTAATTGACGTAGATAGGAAAAAACAAATAGCTGCAATAAGAAATTCTTTCTCGGTTTGCCTAAAATTTACATTCAATTTTTAAATTTATCAATTTTTATACAATATATAATAGGTCTCTGCAAGATCATGCTACTTGTCGATCTTATTTATAACAACAAAGATTATGTACTTTACAAATGCTTTTGGTCAACTGTTTCTTTTAAATTTACTTTTCACGATGAAAACCAGATATAAAGTATTCGGTATACAAGTATGGAGAGAATTGGACGAAGATATATGGACAACAGCTATATATTTCCCTCGGGTTACAATGTGTGATTTTAAAGTAAGGCGTTTGGGATCTGTTCATAAAGAAACCCTTCAATGCGCTTTAACAGTTAACCTCTTTAATGAAAAGGTATATATATTTATATGGTTTTGGTTTGTTATAGTCTCTACTGTTAGTTTCCTAAGCTTGTTAAAATGGATTATGCTTATCGCTATTGAAAGATTTAGTGTGCGATACGTTGGTGACCGTCTGATGGCAATGAAATTAATTTGGAACCTAGACTATGACCATTCGTCTAATAATGTTAACATAACTGAAGAGAATTTTGAACAACAACTTGACAATATTCCTGAGGAGACACTTGTCAGGAATTTCGTAGTAAATTTTTTGAGAAGAGATGGTATTCTAATTTTACGGCTATTAAGCGAGCACGCGACAGATTTAATAGCTAGTGAAGCAATAGTCTCTTTGTTTGAGTTATACAAGCAAACTAGAAGTCTGTACAGACTATCTACTGAGGAACAGTCGACCATTAGTCGACTTCGAAAATATGAAAAAGGGTCAAAGAAGAAATTGAAAGTTTGACGTTTTCTTGTTTATACTTTTTAATTTTACAAACAAATATATTTCTTATATTTAGATAGTTACTTCTAGAACTGTTTAAATGCTTGTACTTCTCACTTGTAACATAATTAGACATAATTCATACTTTAAGAGAATTACGTAATAATTTAGAAGTATCTTTTAAATATTTTACGAGATTTATTTTAATTGCCAAATTTTTTAATTTTAAAAACTAATTAGAAATTATTTTGCCCGTTACGAATTACTGAATTACTTAAATGAGTAAGGTCATTACCATTGATTATTGTTTATAGTTTTATTATGAGAGCCATTTACAACTACATAATTACACTAATCTTATTTACATAGTTAGTGTTTTCATTTGGCTAAACATTTCGATAGACTGTTAGAAAAAAGTTTGAAAAAGTCTTCGTTTTACCTATAAGATATTCAACTTATTTTATCAAGCTCTCTCTTTGTCTATTTCACGCTACTTTCTAAATCGATTTCTAAATCTAATAGTATCCTAAAATCAGAATAAATCTCGCAATAATCTAGAAACCCAATGAAAGTAACTCTCAATTTATATGTTTATCATTTTATTTGAGAAATTTAGCTTTCAATAATATGTTCTCCAAAGATATATCAGGATCAACGTATGCTACCAATTGTGAATCTAAGTTAAATGATTTTAAATACTGCTTTCGTCCAAAGTCTATCAATAGCTTGCATCGTTTTCCAATTTGACTTCTTTCTTCAAGAGTTAATTTTCCTTCTTTTATTTCGATATCCTTTGTTCCACATGTATACCAGCTGCTTAACGTGCTTATAAGGTGAAAATCTCTGGCTGAAAATCCAGCTTCTTCAAAAAATTTCTTTCCCACGTATGACTTCCAATCACATCTATGATGGCAACAAAGAGCGAGAACTAATCCACGGAATCTGTTTTGAAAATACTTCTTAGATATAATTTACATTCATACAATATATTACTGATTCCCTGTTCCAGATAACCAATTTTCCATTAAGCAGCGTAGCATCATATCTGTAGCTGAGCCACAGAGATGCTTACCTATAGCCACTTTCTTTTTTGGATTTTTTAAAGACTCTACTTTATCTGAGAAAAGATTTCGATAGTAATTGAAGTTCGCTGAGCTTAATAGCTATTTACCTAATGCTAAATGCTCTATATCAACTCTTAATCTTTCAAATATAGGTCCTTGGTTTTCTTCTTTATGATAGTTGTCTTTCTAACAATGAAACAAATGAACTTAATTGTAAAAATCCCAATAAAATTCGCAATCAACCTTGTATCTGACTGCTCCTCTTTCGATTAAAATGAATTGAACACTATTGAGTTCTTTAGAAGCTTTTTCTAGTATGTGAGATAATCCACCTATGAACAATAAATTTTTTAAATCAAATGATGCACCTTTCGCTAATTACCTTTTCCAGCGCCAAACTCAATAAAGCAAGTATCGTCTTGAAGCAACTCCAACCTGTTGATATGTTCTATGATTGAACCCTGGGCAAATAAACGCATAAGTTTTTATAGGCAAGTAAATTACAATTTGAATCGTAGGATTTACCTGTTGTTTAAGATGCTTGACGGCTGATTTCCCGGTTTTTGGATCCGAAATATCTTTTTCAACAGAATCATGACATAAATACTCATTTAAAGTATCAGTCTGATAATATTCTGGAAAAAAATCTTTGTTATAAAGACTCGGGAAAACTTGAAATGGGAGTTAAGTATCATTCCCTAAATATAGTTTAGATGTTAAAAAACAACTAAAAACAGGAGTAAACTAGTATAATAAAAGAGAGATTTTCTTATACTTTCATAGTAGAAATTTATTCTCTCGATCAGGCCAATAAGTTCAGGAAGTTCTATGTCGCGAATGGTCTTTCTATATTCATTCGGATTCAATGGGGAATATCCAGAGTTCAAGTTTTCTTGGTAATAAACCTGAATTGGAAGACAATATAGACTTTAGCCGATCTATTGATGAAAAGACACACCTACCGGATAAAGCTCCTTTCGGGAGTTACATTTTTTCAAATGCTTGTCTATTTTATCGGCGTAGCAAGAGCTACAAATACATTATTATTATTTAAAAACGGAAATATTTGTTAAAATATACTGTTTAGGATCCAGAGGACAAAGCATACGCTTCCTTGAAAATTCAGTCTAAAACGAGGCCTTTTTAAAAATTGGAATGAAGTCTAAAATTCTTACCTCAGAGTCATTTGAAAGATATCCATGTTCAACACAGAAGTTTGAATCATATCTTGAAGTTGCTTTACAGAATCTCTTCTTTCTGTCAAGAAAAAATTTACATCTAGTCGTAGAATTTACATTCTCGTCAGTTTTTTGGTAATCAGAGTTATTTTCCATTGAAAAACCAGAAATTATAACAGAAAGTTTTAAATTAATGTAAACGAAATAAAGATCCGCTCGAATAAGAGATCTGACAGATGTAAAATAATTCTTGAGCTAAACTTCGAATTAAATTTTCGTATGAAAGCTATTAAACTTTAAAAATTATCATTGAAATATTATTTGGAAGATCTCTATTATAAAAAAAAAACACGAAATAAAATAAAAACCGGAAGTCAGCCATTTTCTTGCACCGAAACGGTGGAAACTAATGTAAAACTTAAATATTTTTAACAGTTAGTCGTTCATTGGGAAGTCAAAACTTTGTTAGAAATGTTGATTACAATTAAAACATTGCAACAGCATACATGGAAGGTCGAAGTTGTTGGGGAGACGAAAGTGAGTAACTTTTTAAGAGCTACGCTGAATCATGTTAACGGAATATCGGTACTAAAAACAGATAAAAGATCTTAAAGAACAAATCGAACAATTGAAGGGAAAAGAGTACTCAGCAGCATGTCAGAAATTAATATTCGCTGGTAAAGTTATGGAAGATGAAAAGACTGTGGCTGATTATAAGATTGAAGAAAAGGGATTCGTCGTTCTGATGATGACCAAAGTAGTAGTGACAATTGTTACTAGTCATATGTTTTACTAACATTTACATTCTAGGTACGACCTTCACCTGCTTCTGCTAAACCAGCCGAAGATGAAGCTAGCACCTCCGCGGCAGTTGAAGAGGCCGAAACGAAACAAGAAGAAAAACCGAAAGAAACTGAGACACCGCCAGTATCAACTGTACCTACAGCAGCAACAGAGACATTATCATCCTCTGCGAGAACTGAAACAGAGCCAGAGGCGTCACCTGGTAATTTACAAAATAAAATATTTCCGTTGTTAAAAGTTTGAATTTCAGGACAAATAACCAGCGGAGCGAATTTGCTGGTAACCGGATCAGATTTTGAAAGAATGGTAACAGAAATCATGGGTATGGGATTTGAAAGAGATCAAGTAGAAAGAGCTATGCGAGCCAGTTTCAATAACCCCGATAGAGCTGTTGAATATTTATTTAACGTTGGTTATTTTCTTATTTAAGGCTTTTTAGAATAAAAATATGTCTATTCTAGGGAATACCTGATGTTGGTTCCACTGAGGCAGCTCCGACTCTACCCTCGCAAAGTTCTTCCAGCACAGCTCAAGAAACTCCTGCGACCCCAAGTCAGCCAGCTGATGGACCCACTGCACCTTCTGATGCTTTACAGTTCCTTCGAAGTCAGCCGCAGTTTCGTCAGATGAGACATGTAATCCGCGTAAGTACCAAAATTTATTGGAAAATTTTAATATTACTATTATAATTCTTATACATTTTAGGACAATCCGAATTTATTGCAACCATTACTTCAACAAATACGACAAACAAATCCAGATTTGTTTCGAATGATACAGGAAAATCAGGAGGAATTTGTAGCTATGCTCAACAGTGAAGATGAAGCCGGTGCGGGTGCAGGAGGGACTGGTAATGTGAGTGGCAATAGTTCTGATCAACCTGGATACATACAAGTGTCCCAGGAAGATAAACAAGCCATTGATAGGGTAATAATCATAAGTAAATTTGAATAATTGTGAATATTTTTTATGATCCCTCACAGTTAAAGGCGCTTGGTTTTCCTGAAAGTCTTGTTGTACAAGCTTATTTTGCTTGTGAAAAAAATGAGCAACTAGCTGCGAACTTTCTTCTTAGTCAAAACGATGGTGACGACGATATGCAAAGTTGAAGCATTCTGATATTGCATTAATCAGACTTGAAGATATGTTTGCTTTAAGTTGCATGGTAAATATATAAATATAACGTATAAGTAAGTTTCGGAGCAAAACATTTGTCTTTGTAAAGTATTTGCAATATGTGTTATGAAATAATTGTTTTAAAAATTCCAACAAAGAAGAGTTTATGAGAAATTTCTTTCTGATATGTCACATTGAAGTCTTATATTTTCAAACTTGACTAAATAGACTCAACTTTGATTTAAGTCAAACCCCGAGTCAGTAAGGAAAAGATGAAATGTTTACTTTATACATTTCTTCCAAAGAGTAGTATTTTCAAGAAGTTTTGTACAACAAAGATGGAAAACTAGTAAAAAAACTTTATTGAAGTATCAAATAGGAAGCAAATGGTCATCTCTTTCAATATCTTCGCTTTTTTCTAATTGTTCATCACCAATACCTCTGTAATAGTTACTTTGTGGCTGTTTTCGTCGACAGATTAGATTACAACCATCCGCTTGCAAATTACCAAAATCTGTCCAAAACTCATAATTTGGCATTTGATCCCATCCCTTAGCTCCAGCAATACAACGTCGATATAAAACGCCACACAAAATATAGAGTATACCAAGTGAAAACAGAATAAGTACTAAAATGAGTCCAACACTGAAACTTTTAGCTGAGCATAATGATTGATGCTGGAATTCAAATAGAAAGTAACAACGATTAGTGTTCTCACGAACTTCTCGAATCATCTTAACACGACCCTGAAAATTCGAAATATTAATTTAAACTATTTTTTTTTACCAAATATACCTCTTTTTCATTTTCATTGCAAATAAACATAATGATAGAACGCTTTCTTCCCTCTGAACAGACATCCGAAAGGTGTTCATCTCCATTTTGATATTCCAAGTAAGCCCAATTATCTAATTGAAAGGAAATGTTGAAAATTTTTCAAATGAGGTAATTACAATAAGACCTCCATAGATAAAAATTGAACTGTTAATTTTTCCAAGATCGATCGTATTTATTCCTTTTGTTTGCAAAATTCCTGTGTCATCTGCATTTACACTTTTACATATTCCTACTTGATATGTATATCCTTTGTCAGTGGTTTTGTATCTAAGTATAAAGTATATATAAAATTAGTTGAAAAGATGTTAGGTAACTATACATTTCATTAAATTGACCCAGTTTGTTGAAAAACTTAGAATGGTGGTTTTCATCAGCAAACTGACACTTTGAAAAAACGATTGGAATCAAAACACAGCAAGTGATAATTTTCAAATGAAACATGTTAGGGGTGTTTGAGTATTGAAAGATTTTCACCATCTACCGGAAGCTTCACGAGACAGGAAATGGAAAAAATATATAATTTTTTCGTATTTTATAATAAATAGTATGCGAATTTTCTGCTTTAATCTACTTTTAAAAATATTTATTTCATTGGTACGAAAAAACATATCGTCATTGCAAAAATATTCTTTGTTGAGAGCCCACTTTTGCTTTCAAAACACTTTAACAATAACCCCTTAATATTCTATAACCAAAATTTATGTTAAGTTCGTCTAACTTAGAGTTACTGTATTAAAAAACAAGCTTCAAGCCATGATATTGCGAATCTAGTTTATTTAATTCCTTAGTTTACTTTGTTGAAGGCGTGATTTGAAGTACTTTTTCCTTTATTACACACTTTTAAATAGGTTGTAAAACGACAAAAAATAACAAGTTATTAGATTTCAAATTTTAAAATTGACCTAAAGAGAAATCACTCGGTAATATAATTTATAAAATTCCTTTAAGTCATCTACACCATTTAGCTATGTCGGAAGATGCGTTTAATCCAGATCTATGTTCGCAATTCTTTAAAGTTTGTCTGGAGCAAGATATCAGTTTGAAAGAATATTGCCAAGGCTATGAGTTGTTGTGTCGGTAAGTTTCTCTTATATGATTTAATTGTAAATAACAGATATATTCTATAAATCCCTTATTTTCGCCCAGATTGATAAATCAATTAGGATCTATTTTCAAGTTTGTAACATCTGACATAACTGATAAAATGGATATTTTGAAAAACTATTTAGCCGGTCCTGATGCAACACACTATTGTAATTTGCAATCATTCATTCATTACGAGGTTGAAAATGATAAAGTGGATTTCAAGAAGCGAAATGACTCAGGCTGTAGAACCTTTTTACGCCTTCATCGAGCTCTACTATTTGTCTCAGAATTCCTTAAAGAGCTACAAAATCATGATGATGCCGGTAATCTCTCCGGAATGACTTGGAAAGTTTATGAAAAAACTCTTGGCAAATACCACAATTGGGGAATAAGAAAGCTAGTTGGTGTGGCTCTGTATACTCTTCCTACAAAGAGGCAATTGATTTTAAAAATGCTACGTCCGGGTTTGACTGAGGAAGAACTTATAGGGTTTAATACACAGTTAATTGAGGTCCTTGAAACGATATACAGCAAGTGTCAAGAAATTCTAGAGGAACATAAGCTGTTAGAATTACCCTAAATAATTCATTTAAAAATTTCAGAGTAGCTCCAAATTTTAAAAGATTTTTATGATATAAAAGTAAAATATATACTCTATTGTCAATATAAACATTTAAAAGTTATAAGAAATGTAAATATAAAAATAGCATTTCCATGAATTTATTTAAAAATTTTTAGTGACTTGCACCTTAGATTTTATTCTTTACATATTGCTTGTAATTCCGCCACTTCTTGTTTCAAGTCCCTAGCCAAAAAAAAATTAATTCGTTACTTAATTACCCACATTATTGAAGGTAACTTACCTCCAGGCTTGCGATGAGGACTGAACTTTGAGTAAGTGGCCATTTACTTGAGATTGTAAAGTTGTTATTTGACTCCTTAAACCATTTAAACAAGATTGAAGAACTCCAAGTGAAGAATTTGACTGATTTGTTGGTGTTTTTATATTCTCTGAATATTTTTCTAAAATATCTTCCACTTGAGAATAATTGAAATTAGCTTTCGTATCTTTCGACATATTTAAAGCATTAAGGACTTCAGTTAATTTAGCTACTCTACTCTTAAGTTGCTTGTTATATTCTCTACTCTGAAGAAGATCATTTCTGTATTGGTCCAGATCTGCATGATTTTGACGCAAGGAAGAATTGACAGAACTTTGAGATGTGGTAAAACGTTCTTCAACACATTTAATATGTTCTTCTTGAGCTAATATTTGTTTTTCTTTTGAAATCAGTAATGATTCATAATCGGAGATTTGCTGTTCTAATATAGGAATTCTAGTTTCGTAAATTTCTAAGTCAGTTGAAAGACGATGTATTTCAGCTCTCATGTGCCTAATAGTGTTTTCATTTTCATTACATTCTTTTCTAGCATCAAGTTCACTTTGACGTAAGTCTTTCAGCATTACCAGATTCGTGCTATGCATAGTTGCCGCACATTCTAACTCATGTTGAAGATCTCGAATTTTGTTCTCTAATTTCAGCTTTTCAGACTTGGCCAAGCAATTTTCGTGTGAGACTTCAAAATTAATGGCCTTACTTGATAGCTGTTTCGAATCATTAACGATTAATTCGATTAGTTGTTGATAGGTTTTTATCAGAGCTGTCAAAGAAATATTTTCTTCACACGCTGCTTTAGCTGCTTGAGATAAATCAGGAAGAGTGACAATACTGGAGACATTATCTTCTATTCCAGAGTCTCCATTTGCTGTTTCTTGCATTTTAACAGTTTGCTTAAAATTTTGTAGCTTACAGATTAAGTCAACTAGGCAAGATTCTTTGGTTTCAGTTTGACATCCATTATCACAAACTGGCCTGAAATTTTCTTCTTTTTCATTTAATAATCGTTCTGCCTCTGATCGTAGTTCTGCCTGCTCTCGATAGTTTTTTTGCAGCTCAGCAACAAGCTCTTGTAAACGTTCGAAATCCCTAACTTTGTCGTTTAGTATATTATATTTGTGCTCAAGTTCTTCATTTTTTAATTTTAAACTCAGTTCTCGATTGGTACAGTCAGCTTGCCATTCTTTCATTCGTAATTCATATATTTCTTCCATTTCATGAATTCTTTGCTCTGAATCTGCATGACGTTTTCCCAAAAGCTCCTCTAATTGAGCACTCAGCGACTGATTTTCTTTCTTAACTATTTGGGAATGAATTATATCAGCCTCCCTCTCATGAAGCAACTCTCGCAATTTCATTTGTAAAGTTTTTCTTTCAGTCAACAAGTTTTCTTTTTCAGTACTCACAAATTTGAGTTTTTCATCCAAATCGTCGGAAAAATGCTTAATGTCTAAGTCTAGATTTGACTCAACTGTGTGAATTGACTTGACCTCTTCCTGCAATCGATTTTCAAGCTTAGTAATATGTTGCTTTAGATCATGTTCGTTCCTCTGGAACATAATTAATTTGGAAGCAGTTGCCGTCCTCTCAGCCACGGCATTATCCAAATTTGCTTGCAGGTTGCTTCTTTCAATTTGAAGCTCCTTCACTCTATCCGATAACTGTTTTAATCGAATCTCGTATGCGTCTCTCTCTTTTTCAAACATTTCTCTTTGTCTACTCTTCACTTTGGCTTTTGTTCGGATATAACTATAATTTTTTTTATTAGGTTCTAAGTCTACAGGCTCTGGAGTGATCTTCAAAGTCACAGTTTTTGATAGTATTTTCGAAATGCACAACTGAACATCGTCATAATTATCTTCAACAAGTTCCACAGCTGTCTTTAAATCTTTCACTACATCAGTTATTAAATTTAAAATTTCCTTGTTTTTATTTTCAGAAGTGCTGGATTTGATAATGGCTATTTTGTGAGATAAGAGTGGAGGGTCTTTGCCTTGAAATACTCCTCCCATTTGATCACGAACAAATATTAAATCACTTTGAACTTTTTCCAATGCTTTTTCCAATGCAGAAACTTGTCTTTCGGATTGCTTTCGAATTTCGTTTGAGATTTTCATTTGTTCCTGCATATCTCTTTGAAGCTTTTCATTATCCACCAGTGTATCATTTAAGCGGGTAATACGCCTATCCCTTTCAACAGTCATCTCGTGAGCTAAAGCCAGTCGATGAGCGAATTCGGCTTTTAGAATTTGTTCTTGCTCCAACTGCTCGACGGATACCTTTAAGGAAGTACGAAGATTTTCTAATTCTTGTTGCATATCTATATATAAGGAAGAGTGAACACTTTCGAACTTATCTTTTAGAGACACTGAGCGTTCTAATTTGGCTTGAGTTAGTTCAACTTCTTTTTGGACTATATCAGCCTCTATGGTCTCAAGATGCAAAGCAAGTAGTTGTTTCTCTCGAAGTGCTTGTTGCTGGGCAGTCACAAGAGCCTGATTCGCTCTCTCCTTTTCAGCCCTCATTCTTTCAATAGCACTTGCGCTTTCGATGCTCTTTGCTTGTGCGGATGTCAACTTGCTTTGAAGATTGGCTCGACTAGCAGTAGCAGAATCCAGCTGCTTCTGCAGCCATTTTTTAGCCTCTATAACTGTTTCCATTTCGGATTTTAAAGTTTTTATTTCCTGCTCAGATACAGAGGATCGTTGCATTGCGCTTTCATAATCAACATATACAGATGCTAATTTATTCTTCAATCCCTCTATAATGCTTTCTTTTTCTACAAGAGTATCTCTCGTCCGCTCCAACTTGCAATATAGCTCTGCGTTAGAATCTCCGACATCACTTTGTAATTTAGCAACAAAAGATCTCAGATTTTGAATTTCATCATGCTGAGTTTTAATGACCTGCTCGAAACGCTTAACTAAATCTTCGCTTTCGATCAGTTTATCTAAAATTTCTTTATGAGGGTCATTGACTTTTTCTTCTTGAACTGTTATTGGTGAAGTTGACTTGGTAGATGTGAAGATATTATGGGTACAAACTCCTACATTTACATTTTTGGCTTTAACAGTAACATGTGATTGTACACTATTCTGAGATAAAATCCTCTCTAAAACTGGCTTGGTTGTTCCTTCCATGTCTCTATTTGCTGTAGGATATAGAATCTTCTCCGGTGCAAGCTGATTTTCATTTTGGATGTTCGACGAGAATGAGCCACTGGTTAAGTTATTCTTCATGTAAGCTTGATGAACATTAGCTCGACTTGGAGGTCTGTCTTGAAAAGGCTCATCTAAAGTCTCAAGAGCACAACCCGATGGTAAGCTAACTTCTCTACGCTTAACTATCTTTAAGTTTTGAGAATTCGATTTACTATGGCAAAAGTCTTTTTTAACTTTCAAATTCAAATCAGCAGTTGGTTGATTATCCAATGGTAATTGATTGACAGTTGAAGATACTCTCTGTTCTTCATCCATTTTTGTCCGATGAAATTTGTTGAGATTTTTCAATGGTTTGTGTTCTTCCGCTTTAGGTTTATCACTTCTATCGCCTGAAAGAGACTAGTTTAAAAAAGTATCAATCAGACATGCTATATAATTACCGTGTGATACAACCTCCTGAGTAACAATAGGTAAATCTCCCACATCTTTATGGACTAGTTCTTGTTCGTATGATACTAAATTACTAAAAGCATTTATTGAAATTGAAGATTGTATATCTGATTCGTCGAAATTAACTTGATGCTGTGTTAAATTTATAGGCTCCATATTCTGTGATATTTCTAATAAAAGTTTTCATATGAAAATACTATGAACAACAAGATTGATCCTGATACATCTCTAATATAGGAAATGATTTAGCGGAGCGATAAAGTGAGAACTAACGTGGCTGATGCGAAACATTTTGTAGACATAAACTTCCGGGCGTAAAAACTGGTGAGTTCTCGCCAACTTGTCCACAAACATGGCAATTGGATTATATTCATTACTTGAGGCCATTCTATTATGTTTAAACGCTGTGTGTATACTACATGAAAAAAGATTTCTATCAAAATGTTGGTATCATTTTAAATATATGTATATTTATCTTATTTTATTCATTCAAATTTTTAGTTGGATGGAGAAATAATCAACATAGAGGTTTCGATGAAAATCCTGATGGCATGATAGATCGTGTGAAAAATCTTATATCATCTATTAGAACTGTTATGAGATTTCCACTAATTGGACTAAATATTTTTGTAATTGTATTTAAACTTGTATTTGGATAGAAGGAAAAGATAGAACGAGAAACTTTGCGTTAAGTTATTACAGTTGGTTTATCTCGCCCAGTGAAGCTTGTTAGCTTACTTATTCGAAGTCCAAGTAAAACCAAAGGTTTTAGGACGATCTGAGCATCATCAAAGAACAAAGAAGAATCCCAAACGTAGCTGTCAGCATACAATCGAACAGTTGCTCCAGAACTTCCTGTACCGCTAAGACGGAAGATCAAACGAGATCCATCCTCAAATATAATGCGAAGTCCTTGATTAGTCGATAAGCTCCCATCTATAGGATCTGTATATTCAAAATTATCGCACTTCGCGACTGTATATGCTTTGGCTCCATCAAATTTTTTCCCTATAAATGAGGGATTTATTATCAAGTCCTCTAAGTTCTTCATCATTTCTCTTGCTTTCGTAGCATCACAATTTTCGTAGTCATATCTGAAAAAAGTCACTTTAAAAATAGATTTTGCTACAGTACAGCGAAATTTGCCTGGTAAAGAAGTTTCTTCCATATGTTGCCCAATGCTCTTTAAGAATTGCTTCCACACTCTTTTGTTTTTTAGCTAAGATCGATAACCAAGCAAGCATGGCCCACAAGCCATCTTTTTCTCTAATATGGTCAGAGCCGGTGCCGAAACTTTCCTCTCCACATAAAGATAGTTTATTTGCATCCATTAAGTTCCCGAAAAATTTCCAACCTGTAGGAACTTCATAAATTGGCACTTTTAGTCGTTCAGCTACTCTGTCTAATGCCCCGCTGGTTGGCATACTTCTTGCTACTCCTTTAATTCCTGTCTTTTGGAAATAAGGAATTAAACTCATATTAGCAGCTATGACGGCTAAAGAGTCGCAAGGTGAAACAAAGAATCCATTTTTTCCGATTATCATATTTCTATCCTAAAATTGAAAAAAAAATTGACAGTGCTGAAAAATTTTTAAGACAAAATCATTTTTACCCCATCTCCGTCGAAAGCAGCACCTATGTCAAATTTCCCTTTCTTCATTTCATCCATTAGTTCACTTGCATAAGTAAGATTTGGGTCTGGATGAGCACCCCCAAAATCTTCCTTTGGATCTGCGTTGACGGCACTATTTAGATCCATTCCGAGGTCTTCAACTAATATTCTTTTTGCGTAAGGTCCAACAACCCCATGTAAACAGTTAACTAAGACTTTGATATCTGTTTTCATGGCAGATCGAATTAAATCAAAATCAAATATTTCTTTCATGTACATATGATATTCATGAACAGAATCAATAATATCAATGTGAAAGCAATTTCCATCAACTTCAAAAGATTGTCGTCCTATCTGAGAAATGTCGCAATTTACATGTTTACATATTTTGTATTCTTTTATAGCTTTTGTCAAGTCATATATAGCATCAGTAACACTGGCTGGTGCAGGACCTCCGTTACCAATATTATACTTCATTCCAAAGTCAGCATCAAGTCCGCCGGGATTGTGAGAAGCTGTTAATATAATACCACCATCGGCTTTGAAATATCGTATAGCACGAGAAACAGCAGGGGTTGACAAAATGCCATTTTGACCTATGTACAGCTGTTGTACCCCATTAGCTGCGCAAACTTGAATTATTTTTTTAATAGCTTCTTTTCCAAAGAAGCGTCCGTCACCAGACACAACCAAACTCGACCCCCTCCTTTTGGCACCCAAAGCAGCCTCCAGTGTACACTGAGTGAAATTTTCAACATAGTGTTCTTGCATAAACACTTTAGTTGCCTTCCGGAGTCCACTGGTTCCTGGCTTCATTCCATCATAAATTTTTGTTGCAATACTTTCAGAGTTCATCTTTGAATCGACTTTGCCGAACGAAATTCAGGTCAAGGTGAATTTGTCTTTTTCTGCCAGCACTAATAACAAAAAATTTATATTTTGGCTGTTTAAATTTCAACAAATACACTTTTTGATCAATGGTTTTTTAAAATGAATATACTGAATACGAGCATAACCATGTTCACTTCCGGTATCGGGAGTCGTCTGCTAACTATATTTTCATATAATCAAATGCAAAGGAGATCTCTCAAAAGATAATGAAATAAGGTTCAAGCGAAATTTTTAAAGCAATTTATATTACAAATTATTTAAAAACAAAAAAAAAACAATGCATTCACAGTGAAATAGAATTGGTCATCTTGCTTTATCTATTAAGTTATTCAATGATGTTGGTACCCAAACTCCCCCTTCATTTACAAATAGAACATTACGGTCAAAGTAGATGAATAATCGCCCAAATTGATATATTTGCTTTGATTCGTGTGTTTTATTGGGTACGGGCAAAAAGACGATGTCATTTTCCTCGGCTCTTTTTCCTATAATGTCTTTGTAACTAAGTGATGCTGTAGAGGTGGAAAATTTTGGTTGATTTGCTTTGCCAGGTGGCTTTTGAATACTATAAGAAGGCGAAGGCTGAACTTTTTCACCACTTACAGCTCTGTTCATGAAATCCAAAGCATTATTGAATTGATCCCTTACAGCTGAAATCTCGAGAAGAACTCTGGGAAAAATATTTTTCCAACCCATATACCATCTACTAACTTCGTCATAATTAGGATGTTGATTTAACCAATGGCACAATGTCTGTAACCAGCGAGGAAAAAAGTGTCTCTCAAGAAGGGGAACCATGCTATTGATGGGCATAAGGTCTATCCAAGTCATAACAGAATTAAATAAATCCAACTTTAAATGGTTAGGAGATAGATCCATTTCGGCTAAGCACTGACCTAGTTTTGGAGCAACATTTCTTACCAAAAAAGCTTGCATATGGCCTTTTAAGAAGACGTTATTCCAGGGCTCAAGCATAAACTTGGCTGATGGATCAGAGGGATGCCAAGCGACTAAAGCATTAGCAAACTTGTGACGAATAGCTTCGTAAAGAGGACTAAGCTTATCTCCCATCATCGGAGACCACTGTAGTAACCAATTATGAATTGGAATTCTATCGCTTAAGGGATCCCATTCATTTACGGCGTTTTGTAGTTTGGGTAAGATTAAATGATCCAATACGTCATTGAGTATCCAGTCTGGCAAGTTATGTTGCCACCGATCTAAAAGAGCTAAGGCTTCAACATCTCTACCATTCCAGTGAGATGTTATGGCTGTCCTTACAGATGGTATCCAGGTATCCCATACAAGTCTTTCGTAGGGACTCATAAAACTCTCGGAATTTTTTCCTTTTTCTGTTAAAATCTTTTTCCAATTAGCATACATGGCTACACCTTCCCGAAATGGATCAATAAGGGGTTGCCAACTAGAAAGTGCTGCTTTGAATAAAGGCAAAATCAAAGCTAAGATAAAAACTCCTAAATCATAAGCAGCATATTCATTGGGGTATTCATCTTGAAGCCGCTCGGCAACAATTGCACAGTCTTTTAGAGTATTAGGATCCATCGGATCTCTTGATCTGTCAATAGCTGTATCGATTATATGTAATACATCTTTGAGTTTTTCAATGAATTGCTCTTCCCTCTCACAAAGTATCCTTTTTTTATCAAACTCATGCTCTAAATTAGATAAAAGATCTGAGTTATTTCGTTTTTTTCTGTCACTTGATACAATTTCGTCTTCTATTGTGTCACACAAAACATTAAGATTATTTTTCAATTCTGGTAGATCAAATCCTCGAGATTTTGTATGTATATCTTCTTGCTCAGACTTATGAGCTAGAGCTCCGTATCCTGACAATACCCTTTGCTCTTTACCCGTCATATCAATAACCTTTACTTTCACGTCAGTCTTAAAATGCATTCTTTGCGAGCCCTCAGCTATAGCATCATCAATTGTTTTCAATTGGAATTTTTTTCCTTTCTTTTTTTCTCTCTGAGGGTCTTTTTTCCAATTTTTAGTCTCAATTTTTGTCTTTTCACCTGCAATAACTTCTTTCAGATTGTCTTTATTCGCTTCTGGGATCTCTGAGCCATAAAACCCAAGAGCTCCTTTTCCTCTTCGTTGATATACTTCGACAGGTGCTTTAATACCTTGTTCATTTTTACCTAATCCTTGGCCATGTTTATACCCCATTTTTGATATTAAGGCCCAGCCTATACCCTTTGTGTGTTTCTCCCAATTACCAAATCCCGAAGTATCTTTTCTAGGAACTTTGAATTTAGTTTGCTTTGGTTTAAACTGTGTATCTTCGTCAAAACATATATTTTCATCCTTCTCTTCCTCATGGTTGGAAGTTTCTTTTTTAATACCCCCACTTATAAAGTTTATCGGACCATTCCTATCTCCCGATTTACCTAATCCTGGTCGTTCATCATCGCTATCCACCATGTCACCAAGGAAAACTCCATAAGTTGCATGATTTTTCGACCACTTCCCTCTGTTTCTATTCAAACCAAATCCTGTAAGATCTTCATCAGTTATTTCAAACGCCTCCATTTCCGGAGAAGACATGTTTCTCTGTTTCTACAATAGACGTAATAGGATCGTTGTCGATTGTTATTTAACTCTTAAATGCTTGTATTATCACTCTCTCATCTTCGTACATTTTACGAAAAACGGGAAGTTGTTAATATATATATATATAATATATAGATATATATATTAATATTTATAATTTAACATAAAATTTAGAACTAATTAAAATCTATCAAAATGTTTAAGGATAAAGAAAAACCAGGGTAAGAAGATTACACTTCCGGTCAATGATGTGAAATTGGGAAGTTTAATGAAGTAGCTATATAGCTATACACTCGTTTTAAGTTTTTTTTATGAAATTAATAATATCTTCCTTATTACTTTGCCCGAAAGTTTCGATTTTTAAAACTAGCTTATCAACTATGAGCAACTGAATCAAAACAATCCAAAGGTTTTAGCATGGTTTGTATTCGCGATGGACAAAATTCCATTGCTAAAACTTGACCTAAATGAATCAAATATTCCTTTAAAACCAGATTATGCGGTTTTAGAAATCACAGCTGATAAGTTATAAAAAATGAGTACATCCAGTTTTACAAATTCTCCTACTCAAAGTACGTCGGAGAAGGACCCTCTCTTAAGTAAAGGGCGGAGCAGCAATGGAACTCAAAGGTTATTAATTTCCAATGATAATGAATTTATTTAAAAAAATATAATTCTGATGAGGCAGCATGGTGCATCTGTCTTAAAAAGTCTTTCTATCAAAGTATTAAATTTCCTTTTTTAGTACATGTAACTTGACATTCTTTAAACAATTAACTTTTGTAGTGAAAGAATCAGGCACTATTCCACTCATGCGATCGTTCAAGAAGGAGAAGAAAGTGTTACTATAAGGTTGATTTTATCAAGTTTATTAGCAAGTAAACCTTTATAATATATAGCAAACATTTGAAGGCGTCCACTGGACTATAGAAGTGTTGCGGAACAGAGTTCTAGTACAAAGGCTAGCTTGTCTCGTTACAAATATTACAGTAAATTGCAAAGTCATAGTGCTGCTCTATTAAACTTGGTTGGTTTTTGTTTCCGTGATGCAGAACGTTATAAGCCGTTTAATTTCAGCTGATGCCCACTCATGTTGTTCCTCCTGAATTTTACTTAGTTATTCCATTCAAGCCAGAGGGTGGGAAACAAAACAGTATTGTAACTATGTATGTACAACAGACACATTGTTATCTTTCCTACATTTAAACAACGTTTTTTCATAGTTTTTCAATTTGGAATACTATGGTAGGTACTTCGTTATTAAGTATCCCTTGGGCTATGCAGCAAGCTGGTTTTGGATTAAGTTTAGGCTTAATATTTTTGATGGTTTGTCTTTGTTTGTACACGTCATATAGAGTTGTTAAGTCTGTTTATTACATCGGTAAATTTTTTAATTTTATAACCAATAAAAATATATTCTCTAACTTCTGCAAAAATTAAAGACCCCACAGGTGATGTGTCTGACTTTTCTGAGGTTTGCAGATATTACTTTGGACGATGGGGAGATTACTTGACGGTCATTTTTTCATGCATCACAAATCTTGGGGCTGCAGTTATATATTGGGTTTTAATGTCAAATTTTTTATTCCATACGGGAAATTTTATCTACGGTATAAATTTTGAAATATCTAGAAGATCATTAAAATTTTATTTTTCAGAGCACATTTACCCCGTTAATAATTCTTCAACTATTATTCATAATGGCTCATATTCTGATGGTGTTTGTTTTCATAAGATGAAATTAAATATCTGATCGTAAATTCTCCCATAGCCGTTTGTCCTGTGAAAACTGCTTTGCGTAACGAATCTTCTAAATTTCCAGCGGATTCGATTTTTCCGAAAGTTTGGCATCAAACACATACTGTGCCTTTTTTTCTTCTCATACTATTTGCGCCGTTAATTAATTTTAAATCTCCTACATTTTTCACAAAATTTAATGCTTTAGGTTGAGATCTACATCATATATACAAGTTTTTAAAATCATTTAAAAATTGACATTTCAGGAACAGTTTCTATCCTTTATATTGTTACATTTGTTATTATTAAGGCAGCAAACTGGGGCATTCATGTGGATTTTAACAATCCAAAGAACAAATCCTACGTTGCAGGTAATATTCATAAGTCACTCACGTCATTATTTTTTCTCCTATTCAATTTAAGAATTTCACTCATCATTTCCTGCGTTAACTGGAATACTTGCTCTGGCATTATTCATTCATAATTGCTTAATATCTATTGTTCGAACACAAAAAAATCCGGAAAACAATGTGAGTTTACAATATTAAATAATATTAATACATGTCAATTTAATTTATCAATTTAAATATTAGGTAAGAGACATTTCCATAGCTTATATCTGCGTTGCCTTGACCTATGTTATTATTGGAGCAGTTTTTTATTTGAGTTTTCCATTACCAAAGTTTTGCATTGAGGATGTTCGTGTAAATTTACAATATAGACTTCTTCCAATCCTGTCTTAATATTTCAGAATTTGTTGAATAACTTCGAAAGCACTGATTTACTCTCTTTTGTTGCTCGTCTTTTTCTATTATTCCAAATGTGTACAGTATTTCCTCTTATCACATTTGTTATGCGTGCTCAGGTTTTGCATACTTTATTTGGGAATGCCTATCCAAGGTTTGCTTTAGTACATTTAATTCTCATATTAAAAAAGTGTCTTAACAGTGTGCGGCATGTCATTGGTTTCAATACTTTAGTTGTAATAATATGCCTATTGTTTGCCGTGTTCATGCCTAAAATAGGAATAATAATAAGGTTTGTTTTTTTGTTTTCAATATTTCAGTTTTCTAATGTCGAACCATACAGATTCTCAGGAGCTCTCTGTGGATTCTCATATGTTTTTACTCTTCCTTGTGCTGTATACTTATGTTGGCTCAAATCTCAAAATCAATTGACATGGAGAACTACGATATTACATTGCATAATTATTTTAATTGGTTTAAGCAATTTTATTGGTCAATTTCTAGTTAAAGTTTGATAATAGATAATCAAAATGTTTTATTTTATGAAATTACAACAGATTAAATGTATAAATAAACATTTTATATTGCTTTAAAATATACACATTCTTGTCTAGGCACCTAAGACATTTAGTTGTTTGATAAAGGCAATTTCAGTAGTGTATTACTCTTATCAAAGCTAATTTAAGCGAGCTTTTTGAACTGCCTCCAAGAGATTTTTCGAATCGAAGGCAAGACACCGAGCAGCTTTGAGCATCCGTTTTCTATATTGATCATCGATTGCTGTCAGGTGATTTTCTTGTGCTAGTCTTAAAGCTTGAATTAGCTGTGCCATATCAGAATTGAGCGATTGTTGCGCAAGAACAATTTTCTCATGAGTATACATAGGTAAATCTCTCATTGAATCTTCAGCTCCCTTCATTAAATCTTTTAGACGATGGCCAACATTCTTAGGAATACGATAACGTCGTTTACATTTTATCACATTTCAGGTTATAGCTATTAAATTAGCAACTTACTGCGACAAGTTCTTTGTATTGTTCTGCAGGAACTTGGTCAATTTTTTTGCATAAATCAACTACAGAACGAACAACAGCCGTAGTAGCTACAGAGACTGGATCCTCTGTGTTATCCACTACGATCATTCGAGCTGTAGCCATGGACTGAAATAGTCATGCATATGTTTTTATCCATTTTTATAACACTTTTTTAATTATTTTACCTCATTGTCGGAATTTGAATGATCTGATGTACTTTCAGTCCAACTGTTTATATTTGAATCTCGAAAGCTTCCAGATGGCTGAAATATAGGACTCAGACAAATGTTGCCACTATCATTATGACTCATGTTTTGATTAACATGATGACTTGACTTGTCTGCAGTTTTCTAAAAAAAAAACTAAATATAATCAATTCAGCATAAAAATTTTGTGGTTTGAAAAAGAGCGGGGGATTTTAACAATCATGCAGGATAAAGAACAGAATAAACAACACTGACAAACACCAGATTGCTTTCAGCCGAGTTTAGCCATTCCGCATCCATTTTACTTTTCAGCTTTTGTTTTTCAAGCTTTTTAACCAACTCTGCTTCTTCAGTAGACGATTCATCCTGACACAATTAAATTTAATTATTTGCTCCTCTGCATTGAAAAACTTACGACTGCATTTCTCTTTGGACTTCCATTTGAAAAAAATGTAGATTCTCTCTCTTCGCCAGGAACGCAGCCAAATGATTGTTGTAAGTTGGGCATTTGAGTTGGATCAGGTGAGAGATGATTTAGTTTTTTCGGTTGTGAATAAATTTGATTCCTGCGAACGTTAGGATTATTCAAGTTGGGCGTGCTTGAAATGACACTTGTTGGCCTATCAATTCGACTTGGTGTCTAGAAACAGTCAGAAAACAATGTTGTTAGTGTCATGAAACTATTCATATAAATAAACATAATAATAAATAATAAATTTAATAAATCTCCACAAACACTTACATTAATTTCATACTCTGAAGAGCCGTTCGAACCTGTTCGTAAACAAAATTATTAGAAATCAGAGCAAAGACAAAAGACTCATACTCCAAGATCTTCCTAGCTCTTGTCTGGAACCTCTTGCTAATTCCTCTTGTCGAACTTTTTCATCACAGAGTATCTCTCTGTATATTTTAAAAATTATTCTCAAATTTTAATCAATAACAAGTGCTTACAAAAGCCTTTTCTTAATGAAACTGAAGTGTGGACGTCCTGAAGGTTCATAAGTCCAACAGCTGCACATAAGTTCGTATAGCGAACCTGAACAATTTTCAGGTTTTAATAGTCTTTCTCCGGCCTCGATTTTTCTAATTACGTCATTGTTTTTAATGCCTTGCAGAGGTTTCACACCAAACATCAAAATTTCCCACATACAAACACCTAAAGAGAACAAATATATGTTAAGATTATACTGTAAAAGTAGCGAAATGAGTATTACCGAACATCCACACATCGGAAGCACAAGTAAATCGACGGAAATTAATTGACTCCGGTGCCATCCATTTAATTGGCAGCTTTCCCTTTGAAGCCTTGTAGTAGTCATGGTCTTGAACCCAGCGACTTAATCCAAAATCGGCTAATTTGACACAGTCCTCGCTTGACATTAATACATTTCTTGCTGCAATATCTCGATGGACGAATTTTTTACTCTCCAAGTAAGATAATGCGGTACTCAATTGGTAACAATAGAGCACTAAACGATCCGGAAATAGCTTTCCTTTATTAGCTTGAAGAAAGAGACGAAGCTACGGTTTTTCAGAATTAATAGTAATATTGTAAATTAAGAAAAAGAGCTCACTTCTCCATGTTTTGCTAGCTCCATTATAATCATACAAGGAGGTTGTTGAGAACATATACCTATCAATTTTATAATATGCTGATGGTCGAATTGCTGCATAATGACTAAAATAAAACAGAATTAGTTATTGTTCAAGAAGAATTTGTATACTAACAAGCTTCCTCCAAAAATTTCTCTGATTTTTCACCAGTGGTATCCAACTTGCAAGTTTTGACAGCTACAGGGAGATTTCTGTCAGGCTGTTAGTTTAAAAGAAATATAAATAAGTGGGTAAAAGTTAGAAATTTGTTCAAATCATACCGAGTCAGAAAAAGTACCCTTGTAAACATCCGCAAACTGACCTTCACCCAAAATATCTCCCAATTTAATTTTGTTTCGATCAATTTCGTAATCTTTGTCTGTCGAGACGAAAGGCTAACTCTTTTCTCTATATAATCGATGCTACTTACTACAAGGCATAGAATAATCTCCATCTTCTTCAGTTATTTCTGCATAATCGGATATATCTATTACATATTAATACAATTCATAAAATAAATATGTGACTATTAAAAACTTACGACTAGACATATGTTGAGGACTTGTTGAGTTGCTACTTTGATCTGTTGAGCCGGAGGAACGATTGTACATACTCTCTCTTGGAGTAATCGGAAGACTTTCACCTGTGTTCAAGAAGCTAAAATGAAATTATCTTTGCATTTTACAACTTTTTAGCATTAAAAAATTGGTTAATACATGTGTATATTAAAAACTTTTTAAACTTGACTACTGAAATAAATAAAATCTGATAAAGCTTCGAAAAAATTTTTAAACAAATAATATCTATACTAAATAAGGCCATTTTATTAGAAAATAGTTTGGGTACTCGTAATTAGAATATTATCATCTGAGGTGTTTAAGGGTAATTGCATAAATAAACTATACAAAATACCTGCAGAGTCGACGGAAAGATGTCTCTTTTTAATACATTCTGAATAATATTTCTAAGTTAATTGCCTGATAGATATAATTAATGTTTTTTACCATTTCTACACCAAACTGTTTGGCCTGCCCATAATTGGCAATAGCCATCGATAAGAGAAGCAATATTTTCGGCCTCATGGAGAGAATTACAGATAACATTTACAGGCTCATTTGTTCCAGCAACCTGAATTACTAAACACCCCCGATTTTCCTCTTCCAAAGTGCGAATTTTCTGAACATTCTTGAAGCTTCCTATCTTCTTGGGTTTATCTGCTTTCTCAGTCATATAACTTATTCCAATAGAAGGCCCAATCAATAAAGTAAGAGATATATACAAAGGGCTACCAAAACTACAATCGAATTTTTCTTCATCAAACTTCCACACCCTTCGCAGAAGGTCAAAAAATCGAAAAACACATTGCTCTTCTGATAAACAATGATTTTGTTTGAAAAATTTTTGTAGCATTTTTCTCATTTCTTTCGGTTTTGTACTTTCCAAAACTGTTCTGGGGAAAAACCTATTTAGTCCAATATCTTTTTCCAAGTATTCGATATTTGATTTTTTTTCCAAAGCTGAATCATGCAAATCTTTAAAAAATCGCCTGATTTCCAAACATCCCAGGTGAACAGCAATGTCCCTATCAATTTGCTCAGCTGCCAACCTCATGTAATCATCTCTAACCTAATTAATATCAGTAAGTAAATAAAAAAACTTTTACTTATCATCATACCTGATCATAAAAGAAGTAAAATGTGACAGGATCCTTGACAAGTAATTCTTTATAGCAATTAGGAAGGTATCGGAGACGAAGTTCATACCTGAAGATTTTTATTTTTTGTTAGTATCATAAAAGAAACAAACAAGTTAGAATTGCCTGCAATGGTTTGAAATTTCACGAAACCGCTGCTGAATTTCAAGTACAGTTAAGTCGTGTGGCAACCAAAAAATCTCAGCAACATTAATTCGCCGAAGTCTAAGAGTATAACAGCCACGAAATAATCTTGTTCCAGCAGCTATTTTCGGCAGAACCAAATTAATAACATCCTGGGAATGTGAAAAGATATAATAATCGAACAACCAGTATGATTTATGGAATACATACAAGAACAGTGTTCTGCTCAAAGCATGGGACTGAAAAGAAACAACCATTTGGGCAGTATACTTTAAATAGGCACTTATTTTCGGGATTTGAATGCAAATACATATTATCCATAATATCCACAATTCGAACACCAAATTTATCTCCACAAGGTGGCATTCCAGAAGGCACTATAGGTGGCGATACGGGTACAGCTCGGGATGGAGGAGGTTTCGTACTCCATAAGTTGGGCCATGCGGACAACTAGAAGAAGTAAATGATGAGTTTTTGCTTCAGAGCCTAATAAGCCTAACCCTGAGAAATTTAACTCAGTGCATTTATTTGGATACTATTGAAGCTGTTTCCTTAACTTGAGACGATCTCTTTCATACAAGGAAACACAATTTTAATTGTAGAAGTATACAAAATAAACCAAGTTACAACAATGACTATAAAATAAGAATACTTATATAAATTTCCTATGAAATAGCCTAAAAATAAAACTTTCAAGAGAGCAAAGATAGATAATCAAAAGGAATTAAGTTGCAGTGGGTTATTGATACTTCTCATCACCCGCATAATGTAGGAACCGAAAAATGAAATTGTAACATAAATTTAATTATTTCCAATTATAGTGACTTTGCTGATGACTGCTGATGACTCAATGACCTTTAGAAACAATTACCATCGCTACAATTGATAAACTCGGGTTTTCTCATTTCGCTTGGTAGCTCGTTCAAATTAAAGGTGCTCGTAAAGAAAACAAGAATTAAACAAGGGCATTTAACAAAAACAATATGGCTGTATGAAGAAACAGGTGCAGATATTTCAGCTTATTTCCTGTTTCATCCGCAAACCTTTAGTGAAGATTTGCATTGGTATAAGTACGTTTACTACACCTACGTCTGTGGTTGCATGTGATATATTTATTAAAAATAATTTTTAAGTGACATAGAGCAAAATTTTATCGTTCGAGAGACAGAAGCAATATTCTTTAACAATACCCCTACAAATATACACTGCACTCTTAATAGCGATGATTTGTCATCACGAATTAATGCCATTAATAGCTTATGAGATATACGAAGAGAACTTTAGTATCTTTTTTTATAGAAAAGCCCCCTGAGACCAAGGCTTTCAGGAGAAAATTTCTAATTTCTTTAGGATAAATAAGTAAAAACCTCTATAAGTCTCTGTTATTATATTAAGCGATACAAAACCTCATGCACTTGAAGAGACTAACGAATAAAAATATTACTTAGAAATCAGCAGCAAGTTTCGCGATGGCATAAATAGATAGCTAGCTGATGCAGAGTTAGATGCAAGCCCTTAGGCTACTATTAATACAGCTTACATGGTTTCATTTATTGTGCATTTCATTTAATAAAGAATATTTTATCAATGAAATTTACAGATAATTTAAGTTACAATAACAATAACTAAAGTTTAAGGGAGCTCAAAAACCCTACTATATAAGAAAATTACGTAATTAAGGTAGTTAGACCAAATAGCACATAATTTTATTGATTTATTTATATTTTACTCTGAGGTAGTCAGCAAAATTATCTTTGAAGGAATTTTAATGTAATCGATTTTTTCTGAGCATCAGAGTTGAAAGAGCACTTAAAATTTTACACTGTTAAATGGAGTAGAGCAGTGATTGTAACAAGGAAAGGATGAATAAGGAGCAATAAGTTGTAAATAATGACTATAGTGAATTTGCGTGCACAATACAGCTCAATCATGTCTTTGAAAACGGCTTATCCAAGTGGTTGTCTAAAAAAACAATTTTATTGCGAGTATGATTCTAGACAGCAAATAACAAATATGTACAATATAGCATAAGGATTCAAGGCAATTATGACGGGTTTATTTTATCGTTGTATGCCATCGCCGAATCATAATGCCCTTAATACAAATGGTCTGCACATTGTAAAGGACGTTTTTGCTTTAACTCTCTGGACTAGAAAAGCATCATCATCTAAATTTTTGTGGGAAGCTGGAAGCAATTACTATTCCTGGGAATGTAATGAACAAATGGGCAAAACACGAGCGTCAGCTCCTGACAGACTATACGCCTATAATGAAATAAACAACTGATGGATGATGTGCAAGTTTTGTAGCGTTCATCGACTCGTTTCTAGGCTAGTGCTTAGTCGAATAACCCACTTTAATGCTATGACTCAATAATAGACAAGCGATTAGGACACATCGTGGGATATTAATAACGATAGATTCTACATCACCTCATAATGATTGGTGTTGTAATGATGACATATTTCCTAAAGATTCCTAGTCAGATTCACCGCAAATCAATAACTACCGTAAACAAAGAAGCCAACAATATTTCGAGGAAAAAACAAACCTTGTCTTCCTTATGTTAAAATAAGATTCATTGTATGTAAATTGTGTTCAGTTTAGGTCTTCTCCAAGAAAATTTTTCTTGTCAATCAGAAAATTTAGTCAGAAAATCTTCAGTCAATTTTAAAAGAGAGAAATTTAATAGGAATCTAAAATCTTTATTATCGCTCGCTTAGTATATTTATCCTCTCTTCGCTGCTGAAGATTTCCTTTTATAATGATTGATTACTAGAGATGTTAGGAACATCATATTTTCATTTTAGTATGATTAGAATAAATTTTATTATAGGAGACTTTAAAACTAAATTATATTATAGTGTCAAAATATTAATTAATTTTTAATCCTTCTCAATATATCATGTTAACACTAGTTCAATCAGAATATGGTATGGATAACTTTGGAGAATGGTTTCAAAAGAATTGAGTATTATTTGCAATTCATGATCTAAAACATATGGGAGCTAAATAGATAAATTTGATAATAAACCTTTTATCGGAAGGACGACGGTCAATCATTTACACAATTTTCTCATTGTTCTATTTCGGAGTTAGTTATTAAAAATTCATAACCAGTAGCATCTGTTTTCTATCGGTTACAAAATAGGGCTATCTTTATATCTTAATGAGTCAAATTAAGAGATAAATAACCTGCTAGGTCAAATATATTTGCAAGTGTTTTCGGTATCTATGATATATGGATATATGATATATGTAATAAAACAGTATTATTTTTTGTATTTGAAACAGCGATCTCAATGCATGTCTTCCACTCGTCTAGTATCCTATCATATGCTTCACGATAGAATAGAATAGTGCTAGAGATCATATATATTAATTTAACAACGTAAACTTTTCCTTAATGACCCTGTTAATTTACATATACACAAATATATATTATCAAAAGAATATTTCTCTTAATATAAGACTAAAAACTTAAATGCAAAATTTAATACTCACTCTGCGACTATTTTTTCTTCTGGATGAGCCTTGAGAACAAGTGGATGCAGAAGATATACTGTCCTCGCTTGTCGAGCTTCTTCTCATTGTTAAAACCGCTTTCGTTAATCAAGAAAAAAAGAAGACGTCAGACTCATTAAGCCTTTACTTCTTTCAAGACGTCATGGTAATTTCGCCTTGCTTGACGTCTCAATCTTTCAACAAAAACACTAGGGCTAGTTACGTTTTCATTTAAAAGTATACTCGGCGGATGCTATAACTCTTTCGGAACTCTTTTATCCAAAAATTCAATAATAAACTGTAAAAAATCATCCGGACAGAGTTTACACAACGTCTTACGACGGATTTCCCGAGCGAATAGTCCTGTTAAGTGTCTTATTACTCAGTATGTAAATCAATATTTATATGAAGTGTCCAAATGCCGTTGAAATCAGTTTTATAATATAAAACTCCAAAAATCTTGTTGTGATTAAATAAACCAGTCTGAATTTACACAAGGCTACCAATAAAACTTTAACAAAAATTTGCAAATATCCAATATTATAAAGTACATAAAAATGGGCTCAATTCCTGTGTATATAAAAGATAGCAGGTAAAAAGTATATCCGAGGTTGTAAAATTGCTGTATATTTTCCAAATCCTACTGCAATGTGCGGCGCACGTGCTAGAATGTTTATTTCATCGACAAAGTCGCCCTCTACCGAGAATGAATCAATTGTGAAAGATTGATCAATGAAGTTTCATGTAACTCTTTGCTTCTTGCTAATTTCCATAAATGCTTCAACTTCAGAAAAATTACTTTAATGATGAGTCTAAATCCTTTCTGTTCAACTATGAATGTACTTGTAAAAATTTTTGCATATGAAACTGCCTGGTTCAATTGCAAAGCGGTAGGAAAACAAACTCAGTGAACTTTAACTGTTTGAGACTTGATAATCAATGACTCCCTGCATCTAATTTCGGCATAGAGTAGAAAATAATATGTGTGTACAAACTAAGTTCCTTTTATGTGTACGCATTGTCACCGCAGAGTATCTCTCAAGCAAATATTCGAACGACACTGCGCATATTTTAAGAGTCACACAGCTGATGAAAATGCATTTAACAAGAGCACGAATGTTTGCTCAAGTATTAATTTAAGGGATTATAGCGTTATGAAAGATAAACACAAAGCTTAGCTATTCCAATCTAATATCCATAACTATTTATCAACTTATTCTTGGAAAAGAAACAACATGCATGATTCTGGCTAATAATTTATGCAAATTGTATCGTACACACCCTTTAAATTTTTTATAACGTGCAAATTAACGTCTGATACTTACCAATCTTCTAAAATCTTTACAATCATATATTTCTGTAATTTCCCTACAAGGTATTACTTAACATTCATATTTGCATTGTAACAGTCGCTAGATGTCCACAGTTGCAGAAATGTTTGATACACTCCATTATGACAACGAAGTTTATAGTTATATCCCTGGAGATGGCGCTGTATTACCTTTTCCACCTTCGATATTCAATCGAACTATTGGCACTTGAGTATTCCATTTATAATAGATAAACGCAAAAAGTGATTAAATTTTATCCTGATAAATAGGTGTGTTTGAGAGCGAATTGATATTTCAATGGAAGAAAGACAATAATCATCTCTAATACCATATACTGTATATTAGGAATATTAATTACATTTGATAAATATTTAGAGTTTTCTATCTTGTAATTCCTATAATCATATTTTCTATTATTGAGATTTATTATAATTAACGATTGTTGTATATACCTAAATTGTTATTATGAATAATTTATGAACTCGTATATATATATGTCTTTTTGCCATATGTTCAGAAGTTTTTATTTATTAATTTGGCATTATTTGTCATTTTAATAATTCTTAACACTTGTTACTAGAAAAATATATGTAAAAGTTAATCTGTTCAAAGTAACTCATGAAACTTGAACATTTTTCTTCTCAATTAATTTAAAGTTAGTCGTTCTTATTAATAAAAATATGGTCTTTGAAAACATGTCTCTTTTAGCTATGTAGAAGTAGTTTTAAGTCCTACTTTCTTGAATATAAAAAGTTTAAAATAAACTAAAAAATATGTTAAAAAAGTACATAAATAATTCATATGTCGTGATTATATTCAGACTGCTATTATTTCTATACATTTCTATGAGCTTTGAATTCTATCTATAGTTATGAAGTGCAAATATGATTAACAAGAGTAAATCAAATAAATAAATTCAATCTTTGATCAAAAGTTATGCTAAATTTATTTCTGATTCCTATTATTTAGTATAGGATACTATTCTTTTTAGTATAATAGATATATTGAATTCACAAACATTTTGCAGTTACCATTCAACTGATTATTGGAATATAAAACGGAAATTTTATGCTTTATTACTTAAATTATTTATGAATGTATAAGTCTAATTTAAATTAAATTAATTCATTTATCCTTTTAAGTAGTTAAACTATTCAAATAAAAAATAATTTCAAAACAAAGATAGATTTATTACACTCACACAGTCAATCCTTGTTGACAGGTGCATGTTTTCTCTTGATACTTTAAAGGAAATATATTCTAGAAACATAAGAAATATTCTCAAGACTCTATATTTGTCGTTTCTAATATATTCTGTGGTCTTGGGAGACTATACCAATCAACAAACTAGTCGTTGCTTTGCATAGTCATAGCAACAACTTTGCTTAACCAGCAAAAAAAAGTAAAGTCGTTTTTGTTTTAAAGTAGAAGACATTTAATAGACTTTCTACTAATATCTGAATTTATTTAAATAACTCGCACTAACTTCAGCTATCTTTCTGCCGAATTGAATGATCTAAATTATGCAAACACATCTTTAGTGTATCATTTTCACTTGATTCAAGCTTCATTAAATAAATCATTTCTTTTTAGCAAGTTTGCTCTTTTTGTGAAAATTTTTGCATTTGTGTAACTTTAGCAATACCTGTACAAACCTTACCTAATTAACCATTTCTATATATTGATTATAAGTCTAAGCATCTCCAGCTCTTACGGTGTTTTTCTTTAGCAAATATAATTTGAGCGGTTCCTGTCAATATATTGAATATACTTCATGAACCGTCTTTGTGACCTTTGGAAATAAAAAATGAAAGCTGTAAAAAATTTTAAGAAATAAAATATATGATGTTGATAAAAAATATTTCAACAAGAAGAACAATTTTATTAAGAAATTTTATATGTAAATGTTATTAACATTTTTCAGAACTGATTTTTATTTACACAAACGTACATGAAAAAGATGAACTGAAAATATTGTAAATATTGCACTAAATTAGTATCTTCTATAACTTTTTGTTCGTCTTTCTACTGTTTGACCTTCGTCCGAGCTAGAATCTCTTACATTTTGCTGGTTCTTCTTTACAAAAGTGTAAGTAATAAAATTAAACAAGCCACCCAAATTACTGAAAGTCGATACAACGGCTACCCAAAATACTGGTTGAACTTCCACAAACCCATGGATGGCGTACCCTATGTACGCCCACCACTGAGCTAAATGAATGGTAAGAAGTTAGTTTTGAAGATGTAATAGACGATCAAATATTACCGATATAAACAGCAACGAATAGCATCATAACTTTGGCCGTCCTGTGGTATTTTGCTTGAGAAGTAGTGGTAGCCATAGAAGCGCTAACTCTTTTAATTTTCATCCATACCAAACCATAATTGATAATATTGGAAAAGAAGACTGTAATAAAGGCGGCAGCAACAATTATACTGAGTACCTTTTCACCGGGTTTTCTTTTATCCAAGAAACACCTATTCGTACAGTTATTTATTTAGTATAGTATTCACAAGTCTTTCTTATAACGTTTAATTAGTAATGATATGTTGACTGAATCTGCATTGCTGCATTTCGCAGGTAAACAGTAACTCTAGTTAAGTTTGTTATAAATTCTACACAATAAATTAAGCCTACCATGCTCCACTAGGGCCCCAATGATTTGAAATCGCAACTCCTAGACTTATTGAGAATGGGATTCCATAGGCGTATAGTAGAAGCTTCCAGTCGTATTTTCCAAGCTCTACTTTTATTTCTTTAACAACCATCATGAAGGCGTTGAAGGCGGTAAAAACGACAATCAAACTCTGAGAAAAGACAAAGAGATTGAGAATAGAAGCAAAAATAGCGCAAGGTATATCTGGAGGATGATACGAAATAGCCAACATCCATGTATGATCTATTATGTGATTTAAGCAATATCCTAAATCAGAAATTGTCAAATAGAACACTAGTCTCTCTCCGATTGGTCGGGTGAAAACGGTCCTTTCCTTTTTCATTAAACTTACTTGAGTAAAAATACTAAGTGACAGTGATAGACCTAAGCTGCAATATTTTTAAACTTTAAGCATGAAATAATAAGACGATCAAGGGTTTATAAATTGAGTTCTTTACAATAAAAATTAAATAAATAAGAGAAATCTTTTTATCAAACCTTACAAGACCAATAATATGCAGTACATAAAATTCGGCTCCAGGATACCCCATAACGGGAACAGTTGGATCATTTGAGGCCGTAGTGGTTGATTGCATGACTAGAGAAGCGTCGAATGAAATAAAGCGCGAGGCAGTGTTGCGCCTGTTCGATTATGATAACATGTATATTCTTGTTCCGCAGTTAAATGTTATCTAGTTACTTCTTCTTAAGTTGTAGAAAGTAAGTGCTAATTGTTTTTTTTATTTATCGTCTTAAATATAGCACTGTACATACTAAAACATTCGATTAATATTCTTTGTAAACTTATGTATGGTAGGTTTTCGACATCGCTTTCATTATTTTTATTATAAACAGTGTGCAGTCAATAAAATATTTTCATGTTGACTATTTGCTTATCCTTTCCTTTAATTTGATTCAAACGATTAACGATGAGATCTCTTTATCAAACATATTTTATCACCTATTCATAATTGATTTGTATTTTCAAAGAGTGAAAATTGATGGCAAGATCAATGAAGAGAATTCCGGAAGATATTTTAATAAATACAACTTGTTGTTAGGCTTTAGTTTGTTTATTAATGTTTTTTCTATTTTTACCTTTAAAAAAGTGTTTCTTAACATAGAAAGACATGAATCATTTAGTTAATGGAATAGTTTTATTTCTAAAAATCAATTTTTAAACTTTTATATAAATTGAAAATGGTCATCTACGATATATTTACAATTTAGCTAAAATGAGAAGTGGTTACGAAACTGCAAGAGCGTCATTTTTTTATAGAAAGTAATAGAATTTCACTTGTAGCTAATACAAAAGTAAGTCAACGTTTTAATAAATGTAATTTTGACAAATCAAAACTTCTTTAGCAACTACCCAATTTATTTATATTCCGGAACAAACTTTTAATTTCCTTTCTGACTTAATTATAACATCAAGTAAATATTACACAGAAAAATAGTTATTTCTTTAAAATGAGAATTAATGCTCCTTATATCAGTTTAAAGCCTGTCAAAATTTTTAAGAGCTCTTAACTCTTCAAGGAAAACTGAATAGACTAATATTCCTGCTTAAAAAAATAAATATTGTTGTAATGTTAGCCATGAAAAAATATAGATGATAAATTTTGATACTTCTAACAAATTTTTCAGATTAATAAAGCAAAAAAAGTAAAGTTAATCCTGCTTGTAGGAAGTCAATATTATCTATTTATTTAAAATTAGAAACATTTAAAGAATATTAACGATTTTGAAGCGCCATCTAAAGACGTATGCAGTAACAATTTGCGATTACTGTTTCTATCCTCTGAATGAATTTAACGATTCCTGAGAAAAGTATGTTATTGTGCGCCATCTTCTGGTTAAAAAACAAAATAATTAAAATTCCTAAACAGAATTATTTTGCAGCTCAATATTTTTAGCTAATTTAACAATGTTTTTCTTCATAACATCATCAGTATTACAATAAATAAAACGACCTTGAATCTTAACAAAGAAAGTTAAGAAAAGAGCGTTACGTTTTAAAGAAGCTATTAAATGCTGTTAGTGAGAGTCCTTCTGCTTTTTTAAAGGACCGTACAGGATTGTTATGCTGCTCGGCGTTGTGTTGTATTGCAACAGCTAATGTGCTTTCTCGGTCTTCATTTATTAACAGCACTTAGAGAGAGCAACGTTGAGCTTTTCTTAAAATATATATTTCTCTCATAGAACAGCAGACGGCCTAATGAAATGTTACTGTTGATGCATCTGATGCTAATTTTTTAAAACGCTTTCAGCTTAATGCGTTTATTATGTGATGCGTATACGAAATGTGCGTATGTAATAATATTTCTATTGTTATCTGATTCGACAGATTCCTTTTTTTATGCAATTAATATAACCGGCGTGTGCGAATATGAGCTGATGGTATTTTTATTATATTATAGTGATTTCCTGAATTTTATTACATATGCGAAAAGGATTCTTACAAATAGATGAAAAGTAAATTAATACATAAATAGGGTCTAGTCAGCCAATTGGTAAATATCCAAATTAAAAGCTCTTTGTTTGGGATTGTATTTGTGTTTAACGCTTATATTAATATAGAATATTAAAAACAGATGGAATGTTCAGTAGTATCATCTTCAACACAAGGATTCAATTCTATAATATTTATGCTTGCAAATGTAATAAATATACAATTTAATATAATAAATATAATGTAATACATATACACTTTAATGAAAAAGAAGTGAAGTGTATCAAGGCGGCGGCGTGTCATTGTTCAAATAAAATTAATTGCACGAGCCAGTAGATTATGTTTGCAAGGCGTTTTCCTATACAAATGGTTGTTTGCAGTCGTAATTAGATGTTTGTTTTCAATTTATTAAATGCCAGTATCGTGAGTGGCGGCTGCTTTTTGCTTAGACAAGCCATTATTTGAGGCCTATTCTGACATCTACGCATGAACTGAGAGTTAACTGTCTTGAGTGATTACATAAAGTTTAAATAAATAATTTTGAATCAAGTCAAAAGAAGATAAATTAAAATGTAGAAATTATTTTTTGAAATGTATATGTGGAGACGTTTATTGAATCAAATAGCTATTAAAATATGCAAGAGATATTGTTCATGCTGAATTACGTTTGTTTCCTATATTTTCTCATACTAATAAATAATTTGCAGTTGGGCAAGAAAAGAAAATTTTAGTTATTTTATGCAATGTATATGTATATCTCAAATAGCTTCTCTGTTATTCATTGCGGTTCCGTAAGTATCTATCATTCTAGAGGATTCTGGGGAAAAGTAAGAAAAAGTTTGTAAATATTTCATTCATTTATATTTACAAGTAGAATTAATATCGATTAGGCAGATCAATATCAGCGCAAATTGTCAGACTAATGAAATTGTGACATTCATGAATATAGAATTTCGTCAGTCGTTTCTCCTGTTTATACGCTTAAACTGGCAGTTAATGTATAATGTATATAGAAAGTTGAGAAACTTGAGATAGAGAAAAGAGAGCCTATTACGGTGGCAGACATTTAGCAAGTGGAATAGAGCATTAATGGCTCTGTCAATCACGGCTGCTATATACGAATCCGAATTTCTTTGTTATGCAATATTCCTCAGCAATAAAAAGCGCGGCGTGATAGAGCGTTTCAATTATCCTAAAATGACTGTAGCACAATTTAAATTGACACATAAGGCGAAAGCAATCATTTGCTAAGTATACTATTTCAGAGAACGCACTTATGTTAATTCTTTATTCGCTTTTTCTTCTCCAGATTTAGCACTTAGTGTCATCTGTGAGAATGCACCTTTTGTGGATTGTTGCCGAAGAAAGCATTTGCGAGCTTTGATGTTTGCTTGGCTTAATTCACTCAGTCAAACCGACGTTTTTGCGTGCACTGTGTGGCTGGAGGCTAGTAAAATTACGCTGAAACACAACTCCGCATCCTCAGGTCAATAGATGATTGCGGGAATATTTTTTTATGTTAGTCTTTGAAAATAGAAGATTTTCCTGTTTTTATAATGCGTGCACCGCTATACATGTTTTGCTTACGATAAACGCCAGTGATACCCGTTTTTCCATATCTCTGTTTATTATGCCGTGCATATATATACGTAATATTATAGCTTTTTGCAAAGGTGTTTTTTGCTCTAAAGTATGTTTGATTATAGGTGAAAATAAATTTACATTGTATATGCTATATTTTACATAAAAATTATAAATATTTTTATATACAGACAGAAATATATATATATATATATATATATATATATATATATACAATATATATGCATATATATATATATATACATGTATATACAAATATATATATATATATATATATATATATATACAAATATATATATATATATATATATACTGTATATACATTTATTTATTTATTTATAACAGACAATAGGATATTAGTAGATAGTCGCATATATTTTACTCTTTGAGATATATGCTCTTGGTTACATAGACTATACATGTGTATGTATAGCCTGTATTATTAGAGGGACAGTGATTGTTATGTACAATGCGTCCTACCATTATGGGCGCAAATCCTCAATGCAACTGTGCAGCGGGTACAGTAATTGTTGTAGTAGTCGTCGTATTGTGATTAGTGGTGGCTATACTATTCGGACTAGGACTTCCGTATCCGCTTGACGCGTCGTCTGCATTGATATTCTGAGTTTGGCGTTTCATCTGTGCAAGGGCATTGTAGTTATAATTAGGCGGTGGAACGGCACTGGGAGGCATCGACGCATAGACCATCCTTTCCTCATAGTCCATTTCGCAAAGAATCTTATTGTCACATAAGTAAAAGCGGTCCCCCACGCAGAATCTGTGACTGCACTGTTGGCACGCGAAACATTCTAGATGATAGACGTTGCCTTTAGCTCTCATCACCATTTCGAAAGCAGGAATCGTTTTGGAGCAGGCGGCGCAATGGCCGGTTGTGCCGAACAATCTGCGTTGAAAAGGCGAATTGATTAGCTTGAAGAGGCTCGCGTAATATATGGAGATCGTATTAGGTGACTGCGCGCCGCATTAACGATTATCGCCGCGCATATAAAGAGGCTTCATTTCAGAGAGTATATATAAATTTATACTAGGCGTAGGCCTAAGCGTTATATATACTCTTAATTAAGGCGGCTGACATGCGAGAAAAAGTAGAATGTCAAGATTAATTACTCCAAGAAACGGGGCGCGGCGCACGAAAAGCTCGTTTCTTTTGCTGCGTCATTAACCTTTTCAATTAATTCAACCGTTGTTAATTAAAAAAGGCGAGCGCCAACTTACTTTCATTATATACGTACTTATACCTATACGCTGTATTTCTATATGCCATATATATATTATAAGTAACATAAATTTACATGAAAGGTTCTAAGCATATGTCTATAAAGACAAATATGTTAAAAATTTTTTTTCTAATCTTATTATTTTTTCCTATAATGTATAATATAATATTGGATAAAGATTTATTACAATTTATATATAGACCGGAGTAGTTTTTTTCCATGATAATTGTCTAATCAAGCATCCTTCAGAAAGAAATTTAAATTTATTTAGCATAAAGTACTAGAGCCTTATATATTTTAAAAGTGATAAGTTGATTTTTTAAGTAATGTACTTTGATCTTTCAAGTCCTAAGATTTGATGAATTATTTGAGCATTATATTTCATATTAAAATTAGGATTTCACAACCTTTTTCTCAAATATTAATAATTTTTATGAAAAATAAATCCTATAAAGCGAATTATCATATACTATATTAATATTATATTAATTAGTTATTGTATTTATTGAATTTTCATGCTGACCATTCTTGAATAGATATAATAATTTTGATTTCAATTCAAAATACCTAAATGATAAAAGTATAAATAATGCACTACTGTACTGTGGATGAGTAATAGCAGTGTAGTATGTACTAGAAATTTAATTACTATTTAATGTGTCAATACTGTATACAGTTGTAAGTATATATTTACAGTATGTACTATTTAGAGCACATACACATATAAATATATTTATGTTATGCTACAAAAGTTATAAGATCTACACTCTCTACATATATAGTGATTCTCGATACATTCACACTAATTATTGCGCTAGCATCATTTTCTGCATCAGTACAAATGCACAATGCCGCGCCTGATTATTTTCAATACTTCCTATTCGATGCGTGCGCGCCAACCTTAAATAATCTCTCCTGCACAGCAGTAGTTGGGCTCGACTAAAGAGTGTCGATCCGACTTCTCCAAGTCGACAGTCACAACAGGAACACTTGAGGCAATCTTCATGCCAATACTGATCGAGTGCCTTGAGCAGATAGCGTTCGGTGATCTTCTTCTGACAACCAGAGCATTGTTGACCTTCACTGACGGTTTCCAGGGATGTAGGAGCTGGATAAAGCGACCACCATTAAATTTCAATTAAATTTAAATCAATTAATTAACTTAAATCAAACCAGAGGAAATATAGAATTCATACAGGTGACAATTCGTAATTCTTGAATAGCATTATTATATCTGTCTATGTTATAATGCATCCTATATACATATTTATATATACATATATATATATATATATATATATATAAATGGAAAAACAAAAACGAGTTGCGTTTTCTGCTTTTAAGCTAATGGGCCGATAAGCGTATTTGATTTTTTTTCGACTAGAGCCACCTAATCCGCGTATATAGCTTATATATGGGAAAAAAGTATATATTTTCTTTCAGCCATATCAAATCGCGTCTGACTTGATGTCACTTAGTGGATTGTGAGCTCTTTCAAATCAGGAAATGAACTTGCACAATCGATCAACGCGGTCGCCGATGCGAAACTAAGCGCGCGTGAGAGTGTGTTTATATATATGTGGGAACTGTATTAGACACTATTATTCCTCTAACAGTACATAAATGCTTATACACTTTACAAAGTGCATTTTATTTTATTTAAATACACCAAGTAGCATCTAAGCCGTCTGTTATATTAAAGTAGATAAAATATTAGATATATTGTATAGTCATATATAAAATGTTATCATGTAGTAAGCACGTTAGCTCGAAGCGTTTTTCATTAAGGCGCGCGCACTACCGCGTACGAAATCAAACGTTAACAGATTGGCGAAATGAAAACGTAATTAGGTTTGAATGTAACGGCGAATCGGGGCAATGCTCGGCAGCTTTGCGCTAATGGCGCTTTTAAAAAGGCGATATTCGACTGCTAATGCGGGTTCGGTGTCGATGGGCGCCATAGCTAGTAAGAGTCGCAGATGCGCCTTTTCGCCGCCGGCTTTTAAGGGCGAAAACTCGACAAACAAGCACTAAGATGGAAATTAACGACAGGGACGCACTAGCCGCGTCTAATACCGTATATAGCGGCAGCTATTTAGCGCTATTTGTTGCGGCCTTCTCCCGACACAACTGCACCAATTAGCTATGTGAATGCTTACAATCAACTTGCGGCGGCAACTTTAGCGTTCGAATTTCAACGACTCTTCTTCTCTCCTTAATTCCTATTCAATAATCATGTGCTTGCCTCGGAGATTCTATATATACCACCCCAATTCGCTCTCTCGTAATGAATAATAAATTGCTTTACGCTGCAGATACTTTACAAGAATTATTTTTGTATATAAGGCTGCACAGTTTATAGGCTTATACAGAGTATTTACGTATTTATACAAACCATACACATAAAAAACAGTATTTGGTACAAAGAGAAGATACTGACAGGTTTTTTGTAGATAAAATGAATAATCATTTCACTAGAATGGGATATACCTAGTCAAACAAATAAATTATTATTTAAGAGAGAACGAGGTATAATATACATAGCAATGAAATAAAACGCGCACTCGGTGTGGCGGTCGTCTAGAGGGACAGCGAGGCAGATTGGCGGCGTCCAGTGGCTAGATTGGACCGCCTGTCCCAAGGTGCGGTTCGGCCCAATCGGCTCCGTTCAATCAATGCCGCCCAATTACGAAGCCCTATTGTATGCACGGATACATACAAAATATAGAACGCATCTGAGTTACAGTCAATGCACGTCGCAGAAATTGAATGTGGAACAATCAAACCTTTAGTTGTCTGACAAAAACTTAGAGTTTGGCACATATCTACACAAATATTTTAAACGCCCTAACTAAATTCGCTTCTACCGCCAATACCATTAGCCACGCGCGCGTTTCGCCTCGCCCTTAATTAGATTGATTCCTAATGAGCGATTAGGCCTAGGTCATAAACGGATTGGTATTAGCAATAATACGAAGATGAAAGGCGCACGTAAAACATTGGTAATCAGTATAATGAAAAAGTAAATGGTATTGCAATAATCATATTGACCGCAAAGCATATAAATGCGATGGCGAGGAAATTAATTCTCTTTGCACGTTCCTCATTTGGATGAAAGCAACGACTTTTCTAAATTCGAAAATACCGCACGTGCCCTCGCCAAAAGAAAAAGTCAAAGGTCGAAACAAATGGTGGCACGCATCGCCTTTCGAGCGAAAAGACGAAACGGAAAGGGCGCCGATTCGGCGGCCAGGCGGAGGCGAGCGAATTTATAGGCGGCTTTGTCTCATTTCCTGTGTGCTTTGGTCAATTTCCTTTTGCCGCCTGTATGGCGAGCAGCATTTCGATCGCTTTTAGCGCACGTGCGGGCAACGTCATTTATCTTCTTTCTCTCTCCTCACCACATGCCGATTCGATTTGGAAAAGGGGTGAGAGGAAAAATTCTCTTTCTCTTGTACTCTTTGTGCGTTTAGTTTTTCGTCAACTGTGCGCACGTCTAGCGCGACAGTTACAGGCGTCGTGGCAGTAAGTGGCGTAATTTACGAAGGAAATTGGAAAACATGTCCAGAATATATATATATATATATATATTTAGATATATATGCTGTATATATATATATATATATATATATATATATATATATATATATTTTAATTAGCGTAAGCCGATATAGTCTGGGTGCGGTCATCAAACATAATGATATAGCACCGAGCCGAGTGGTGCTTGTCGGCAGCGTACTGATTAGCTAAATTAGGAGTGCCTAGCAGCCAACGATGATATACGCCCGCAGCTTTGTTATATAGCACGGAGAGAGAGTGTGCGCCGCTCATTAACGCCTAACTATAACAAAAAAGGCGGTATACGCGTCAGGTGATTTGCACACTTAATTACAGCCAGGCCTCTTTCTCTCTTCCAATTAATTCGAGACATATTCAGTTGGTAAAATGAAAAGATGTTTAAAAATTCAATTTATATTGGATAATATCTCTATAATAGCTAACAATTTTACCTTCTATTTCTCATATGCACTTTTAGATATTAATTAAACCAATTATTACACCTCATCATTTGTGTCTCACTCTTTATAATATATAGTGTAAAGCTCAAGCAAAAGATAGATTATGTATATTCTATTCATACATAAAGAACGTACTAACGATATATCGTACATATATACAGTATAAACACGCTTGTAAAAACGTGCGCCGCAACTGCAATTTTACGCTTTGGCGCACATCAAACGCACCGTGTCCAGACTCGGGCTTTGCACAGTTGCCGTCGACTAATGACAGACTGCAGCAATAATTAGCGCACAAACGATATCGAATGACGGATTCGCGTGCGCTCCCGATTTTCAGGCGCGTGATTAATTCATCATAAAAGCCGGCTAATTGCCCAATCAATACTTTATATGTATCAGAGAGCGCACGTGCGAAAACTAGAACTAGAAACTTACCGCTGACCAGATGTTGATTAGATGAACGGCTGGGAGCGTCTGCCCCTTCCAGAGGTTGTAAACTGGAATCCCTGGAAGATGTCGAACTCGGACATGAGACTGCCGTAGCCGCTAGCGAATCTCGTTTCTCCATCGACCACACTGAATGGCGCGCAACGCCTGCACGCTTTTATATCAAGTACAATAGCGCCCTCTAGTGTTTGTGGAATAGTTTGGTTAATTAAGGACGGAATTCGAGAAGGCTAAAGCGTGTTTGCGTAGGATTCCGTAACTGGCGCGGGATGGCTAACGGCTGCTGACCATATTCCAAGTGTAAACGATGCTCGCGTCAAAGTCGCGCCAATATACTCCATTAAGGGGTACTCAGCTAAGAGTGTAGACTTTCCACGTTGACGACTGTAATGACAGTAGAACAGCTGCGTCCCGTAAAAAGTCATTTAATAAAATAAAGATGCAAAATATAGTCAATGCGTAGTACCGGTATACGAAACCTTACTAATTATATATAAACGCTAATCTTTTCTCATCACGACAGACAATGCGATTAGGCGAAGCACGCGCGCTAATGAAAAAATTCCACCAAAACGACGCTTTCGGCGAGCGTCGGTTTACCAACTATAAACGGCATCCGTAATGGAGAAAATAAGTTTTAGAAAGAAAGAGCGAGAAGATTCATTAGCGAAGGCAAACAAAGCAAATGACGCTATGCGGATCGCATTGCAACACGATGAGCGTCTCTGGCGGCGGCGGCAACGGCGGTGGTGGCGGAGAGACTTAAAAAAGCTAAAAATTGAACCAATTTCCCAACTTCTGGCTCTGGACGTGATGCCCGCGTCAATCAAGCGCTCATTAGGCCTTTTTACGGATCTCATTAGTGTGTAAGCAACGCGCCTCTAGCTGACAAACGCAGTGCAAAATTGTGCCAGACATCTGCTGCCCTTAACAAGCACATTATAGGCTTCGGCACCGGTTTCAATCAATTTCTCGCGGCGTCCTTCAAACACTGAAAGGCACTCTGCGGCACATCGATTATCAAGCCTATAATGCTTACGGACATCGTCGACCGCCGTCGAATTAAAGCCGGTCGACATCGTCGCGCCCTCGACGCTCGTTATCGAAACGCTCTCAAAAATCGAACGATGTCTATACGCTTAACCGACCTTTCATCTACTTTAACCCAATTACAGCGTTTACAAACAAGACGTTTTTAGAATACAAGGAGAACGTCTTCTCTTTCACATGCTCTTTACTATAACCAATATATTCCAATAACATGTGCACACAAGTTACTCATAAGGCATTGTATTATGCTTTATGTATGTTATTAGCCTTGTAATCTAAAGACGAACATGCCGAACTAGCAACATCTCGACACGCGTTCGAACGCATCCGAGCTTGCCTTTAAACAAACCGTGAATAGAAGCGGCACGTATTCAGTTTTGCAGTTTTACGCGCGTCGACGATCAGATCATATCTGCTTGCTTACGACAGTCTGCTGCAAACTGATAAGCAACTGAATAAAGCGTCGTGTATCGTTTATACTTTCTTTTTAACAACTTTTTCTATTACTTTTCGTTTACGCATTATTTCCGCCCGTCAGAATCGTGCTGGATATAGGAAATGAAAAATCGTGTTTCTACATTATGCCAATTGTATATTTAAAAAAGAGCAAATAGGAATGTCACGGTGGGGTATGTAAAACAGCAGATGATAATAGTTAACTTATGAAAGCTTCATTTTAAATTCACTTAAATGATTATTATACTTTCAACAAATTACATAGTCAACTGTATATTATTTTGATAACATAGATATTATTATAGATTTTATAATAAGAATACTCATAAGAAATAAGATGTCAGACTTTTATGGTATTTATAATTAAATAAGATAATTATTACTTATAATAACTCTGCTAACCTCATTCTTAGATGGCAATTTCCCTCCGCTTTGTGAACGCATTATTTTTTGGCGACATCTCTTGGACTTTTTTAATAAATATCATTGTATAAAAGAATATTTCAGCATGAATTCAATGTCTTAAAGATGGTTTCCTTTTACGACTTTTCCTAATCTGATTAGTATGATAATATGTCTACTCTGTTGGGTGCATTAGCTTCAGAATCGAGGTCAGTTCTGACATACCCGTAAGCGTTTTGATCAACTGAACTATGGTGACATTATCTACATTGGATAGATCGCAAACGTTGATTTTTTTATCATATATTTAAAATTACGATGACTATTTTCGAGCAGGAATTCGATTCTACTACCAGTCACAATGCCTAAGGGGAAAAACGATACCTAAGCTAGTTTTGAATATTACTGTTTTTGAGTGCCAATCTAACTCTGAACTACAACATTAAATTTTTCTATAATTCTACAGTGAACTATTTACTGACTGATACTCCGAGAGATCCGAGATCAAAGTCAAATTATGCGGTACATACTGTAAGTTGCGGCTCTATTCTTGTTATTTGCTTAGATATGCTTCGATTGTGTGCAAGTCACTAGAGTTCTATTCGTTCGCGAGAACGGGAAGCCAACATCGAGAGTGTATTCCAATTTACTTCGCTGTTAAAAGCTTAATACCAATAAAAATTTTTTATCATTTCAAGTTCTAATGCTACTATTCTTACAGATTTATTAATTAAAAAATTGATAGTTAAAATTTTTTAATAGCATTACGGTAAAGTGTGTTTTTTTAAACGGAAAATATCTTTAGGTCAATAAAAAAATTACAATTTTGGAGGAAAATGTACATAATAATCTGTAGGATTGATAAACATTGGTTTGTTAAAATAGCTTTTTGCGGAAAACGTTAAGTTTTAATTTAAATTGCTATCACAAACGTAACATTTGTAATTCTTTCTTGTTTTGATAGACTGTTGTTACTTTCCAAAATTGATTATTATTTTGGGCTAATTCATTCTCTCTACTTTCGCTTAAAGAATAAACAATTTTGCATTTAATACTTATTTTTTAGCTGAACTATTTCATTTCCAGCAAGATATTGCTTATATATATATATATATATATATACAGACTGTTTAAATTCACTTTAGCTAACTATTCTACTACTGCTTGCATTTGAATTAGGTAATTTCGTTGTATTCGCTATATGACAACACTCATCGGTTTTTCTCTTTAAGTCTTCTAATTCACTTCGTATAGTACATGTAGTACAACCTAATACTCTAAACAATTTTCCGTTCCTTTAAATAACCAGCAGCCGAAGATCGCAATTGAGATAATGTTTTCTAGTTGTCTTATGGTGAATAGTTTAAGCGTTTTTTTTTGTTTTAAATTTAACATGTTATTTAAATATTTCTATCTAACTACAATTTAGCATAGTAAAGTGTCAATAATAAATACAATAAAAACAAAATTTGGTGAACACTAAAGTAGAGATATTAAACTATAATCACTTTAAACTTATGTTTGGAGAAATACATCTCATTTTACAATCTTATATTATTATCTTATGCTTACTATTTTTAGATTACGAAATTGATTTCCATTCATCAAAGAAAGCTAAGTGGAAAATTTAATTACCTCGATTTACCCTGACATCTCTATTCTTATAATTGTTTATAAAACATGAAATTGATTACCTTATAATTTATAAAGGTTTTAAGATGAATTAAATTTAATTTTATGACGCAATATGAATGTTAGGAGCAAAATTGAAATTAATTGAAAACACCTTTACAATTTATTTGTTAAGGCTATTTGAAAACAAGCAGTATTTTGATTGAATTGATCATATCCGATCAAATTTTTTTTACTCGACACAAGTGTATAAGCTCTTTAATTTTTTCTGCACCAATACTAAGATAGTTGATCAATTTATTAATTCTTATATATAAATATTTAATTTATAAATTAGGTACAATAAATGTCTATATGGTATATTTTAATATGTTTACACTGTATTTCAAAACTTCGCTTTGAACTATTGATTTCAAATTATTTCTTCATAATACTCTATGCATTCGGTCAGATAGAGAAAATTCTGCTTCTAAGAAGAATTAAACCTTCCTTCAGGCTATTATCTTACTGTTTTCCAAGGCAACTCCAAAGGAATGAATAGATAAGACAAATAAGTTTTTCTAAATTTTGTTTTATAAACTAGTACTTTTTACAGAAGGGTTCAGAAATTTACAACTTTTTTAACAGTGTCGAAAACAAATTAACATAGCTTTTGAAATTTTTTTGGTAGTAAATATCAAGAGTTTTCAAGTAGTGCCCTTGCCATCTTAGCACCCAATTCCTCCTCAGACTCCTCATCTTCCTTGTCTGTGTTATCAGATAGCATACTATCACTTGAAGATTCATCAATGTTATCATAACGAGGTTTCTTACATTTAGGCCTTCGTAGTTTAATCTTTCTTTTCCATCCTTTTGGATATTCTCCACTTAAAGATTCATCAGAAGAAGAGTCAGTTACACTTGGACTCGAGAGTACTTTTCGTTTAAGTTCAATTTCTTCAGGTGTTGGGGCCTCTTCATCATCAGATTCACTAGAAGATGCTCCATCTATGAGATCATCGACTTCTTTGTCCATATTCGACAGCTCTTGTTTTGAAAGTTTGCATAGATTAAATATTGGGTCAGTCTTGGATTCAGATTCTTTTCGTTTTCGTTCCGCTTCCTTTTTCTTCTCCTCTTCTATTTGTTGTTTAATAGTTTCGGCTTTTTTCTTAGCTAAGCGAGTTGCTTCTAAATTCTCCCGATTTGCATCCGATGATGTTTGTTCATTCAATGGGAAAAGTTCCTCATCACAGTGCTGCCATCTATCAGCACATTGATATAACCAATTAGGATTAACGGTTTTTATCTTTCCCGATTTCATTGCATCGCTAACCTTCTTCGTTCCTAATTTGGAAGCAACTAGATGCGTTGTAGGTTCATCTCCATGCAATATAATATCATTATGTACAACACTCCCCAACGAAACAGCACTCTGATATGCATAAGAAAGACCTGGTTTAACACATCTCGAAAATACTCCTGAAAAACATATACGTGTTCCACGTAAAGTTTCAGCCCGAATACTTTGGACAATATTTTTTGTCAATGGTATTGGATCATTTTTCAGGTTGTACTGGTCATAATAGCGCTTATGTATTCGATGTAATATATCTTCTAGATGTGATAGATAATCATCTTTATCTTCCCATTCAATCATATCTTCTTCTACTTCTGTTGTTTTTCCATCCTTATTTATTACCTTTTTCACCTTTGTTATTCTTTCTGATCTAGTAGATTGCTTGCTTGGGTCTAAATATCCCTGTTCCACTTCACCTTCCCTTGGAACGTGTACTGGTGCATTTATATCTGCAGTACCAAGAAAGAATCTATAAGCTGGCACTTTAACAACGTTTTTATTAAAGCTCCAAACGTCTTCTCTATCATCAATGATGACAACCAAGGAATCACCACAAGGAAAGAGAGCGCTAGATATTTAAAAAAATTCGAATAATTTAAACTGGCTAATTTAACTTGTACAAATACCTTAGGTTCGCTGTCTTGGCATTTTGAGAAAGACATTCATCTCTTGATAAAATTCTATGAGAAAAGTATTTCGATTCTGGATCTAGAAGATTAGCTATAGTATGAGCATAACGTCTTACGCCGAATGTTGCGATATGCATTTCATATTTTGCAGACATATTTTCCAAAAAATGTTCAGTCCCTGGTCTAAATTTTGAATGAAACCACTGCATTTTACCACCAGCTTGACGAGACGGCAGTTCAAAGTGTTGTACATCTTTCAGATTTCGAGGAACGTCGTCATTGGTAGTATGAATTAAAGTTTGATCAAGGTCAACAAGTAAAACCAGCTGACGATTTTTTAACAATCTTTTTTCATCCTTCCGTCCCAAAATCTCAGCTCTCTGAAAGTATCTTGCTTAAAAATTTGTCGACATATTTAAATAGCTTACATTTTGAGAAACTTTTAACTCAGGTATACTGTTAACCATGCAGACAGTTGCTGTTTCAGTTGAAGTTGTAGGATTATCACTAGAACTATTTAATAGAGTATTATTAGTTTTAAAAATAGCACAAATAAACTCACTTTAAAAGATCAATTCCACAATCTGCACATAATCCCTTCATAATCGTTTGATGAAGACATCGAATGGTAGTATCAATTGTCAGCAACGTTTGGCTGTTAAAATATTTATAATGGACGATATGTTAAATGTAATAGCTTACTCTTGCTCGACGTTGTCTTCTGCCATTACTAAGATGCTGGCTATGCCTCCAGAGATCTTGCTTTTCAGTGTATATTTTGCTGTATCTCCTTCAATTTTGTAATAGCCAAGTACAGTTCCTGGATTGACAATTTCGCCATTTTTAACGTTCCACCTTTTCCAGATAACTGGATGAGGTAACTGAATATTCTCAACAGGTTGTGCCATTCTGTACTAACTATTAGTAAGTCGTTTTTATCACTCTTATCTTCCTCCCTACATAATATATTTGACACCAAGGAAAGGAATAATATTTTGCATTAGTTACTACCAGTTTCTTTTAAGCGATCCTTAAACTGCTTGAAGAGAATTATTTTAAAAAACGGTTAAACTTTTTGCATACAGCTGCCGAAAATTACTAAGAAACTCTATTTTGGGAAATGTTCATAAAAAATTGCTCAATATTAACCTTTATATCAATTATTTGCATTATTAAAAGATGGCGCCACTTATACGAACGCCCGTATTCCGCAGACAAAAACATAAATTCTTTATTGGCAATTGTAGGGTACCCGTCTCAAAATATGTTGAAAATATTAATAGACATTAATAACAGAAATAAAAAATAACTGTTTGAAGTCGAATATATAATGTTGTTTTGCATTTGGTTGTTAGAAAATTATCTATATGGTTGAATGCAAAAATTTTTTGATTGAGAAAAAAATATTCTACGCGAGCCTAACTGGAATGTTCAATTCGTAAAATGGCGGACCGCGAATCACTCGTGGAGAAGTCTGAGAATGAAGGACGGGACTCTGTTGGTTCCGAAGCTGACGTTGAAGAAGAAAAATTACCAGAAGTAAAGTTAGTTTAAGGCTTTGTTGTAAACTTTTTTTGGATAGTGAATAGGCTGTTATTTACGTCCAACAATTGTTTGTCGGCTAATTCTGTAATAAAATTCAATCAAATTATACTTAAGCAGTCTACGATTTCAAAATATCGGAATTTTAGCATTAATATTTATTGGTCGTTCTAGAGCTTTACACGAATTAACATTTACCAAAAATCTCATGTTAACTAATTTTAAGTAAAAAAAAACGTGTAGGTCATTTTGAACTCGAGCTATTCGATATTAAGAGATTAATGTCTATACTTATTAATTATACTAGCGCTCCAAAGAAAAAAACGAAAACGAAGAAGAAGAAGAAGAAACAGGTCGAAATAGCAACTACTAGTGACTCTGATGCTGCTCCTTCCCTAGCTGCTGACTCCCTCACCGAAAGAGACTTGAACTCTGAACAAATTTCAGGCGTTGGGGAGCTTTTGGATCGCTTAAACCTAGAAACTAACGCTCCTAAATCCATTGAGGATGCTCGAAAGAAAAATTATAAATTTTGGGGAACCCAACCAGTTCCAAAATTAAGTAATACAGTAAAAACACTTTTATGTAATACTTACATTCAATCCGTTTGTAGCTGAAAATACCAGGGGTAAAAATGCACCTATAGAACATGATAAAAGCGTTGAAGAAATTAGAGCAGAGCCATTAACACTTCCTGACGGTTTTATTTGGGATGATGTTGATATCAATGATGCAAATCAGGTATTGAGACAACAATTTAAGTGTTCTGCCACCGTAGTTTTTCATCTATCAGTTAACAGAATTATATACTCTACTAAATGAAAATTATGTGGAGGATGATGACAATATGTTTAGGTTTGATTATTCCCCCGAATTTCTTCACTGGGCTCTTCTTCCACCTGAGTGGAGAAAGGATTGGCATGTTGGAGTTAGAGCGAGCAAAAGTAGAAAACTTTTAGGTTTTATTTCTGCAATACCTATTAGAATTAATATTTATGATAAGTACGTTCGGTTTAATAGCAATATGTGGAAAATAATTATATATTCGTAGGATTCAGAAAATGGTCGAAATAAATTTTTTATGTGTCCATAAGAAGTTACGAACCAAAAGAGTCGCACCCGTTCTCATACGCGAAATTACAAGACGAGTAAATATAACTGGCCTCTTTCAAGCAGTCTACACAGCAGGAGTTGTTCTCCCTAAGCCAGTGTCTACTTGCAGGTAATTATATCCATATGGTGGGCATCTTGAAATATATAAAAAATGTGATCGTATTTCAATAGATATTGGCATAGATCCCTTAATCCTAAGAAATTGATAGAGGTGCGATTTTCTCATCTCAGTCGGAATATGACCATGCAGCGCACTATTAGACTTTATCGGCTACCACAGGTTTGAATATATTTTTTTTAATTTTTAACAACTTCATGTTCGGCTTTTCATAGGAAACAAAGACACGTGGATTTAGGGAATTAACTGAGGCAGACGTCAGAAATGCATTCACCTTACTACAAACAGTAAGCGGTCTTCAAACGAAGAAAATTTTAATTAGAGATCTCTTTTACAGTATTTAAACACTTTCAATTTGTCGCCTCGATTCAACGCTGACGAGTTTAGGCATTGGTTTCTGCCACGAAAAGGAATTATAAATAGCTATGTGGTTGAGGTATTAAATAATTTGTCTATCAATTAAAATGTAAAGATGCCTTTTCATTTTGATTACAGCAAAATGGAAAGTTAACCGATTTTGTTAGCTTTTATACTCTCCCATCGACTGTTATGCAACATCCTAACCATAAGTCCTTGAAAGCAGCATATTCATTTTACAATGTCAGCACCGTTACGCCATGGGTAGATTTAATGCAAGATGCCCTTGTGACGGCCAAAAATGTGAGCATGTTGATTAAACTCTCCTTGTCATTGCTATACCTTAATTTATATAGATGGATTTTGACGTTTTTAATGCCTTGGACCTTATGGAAAACAAAAAATTCTTAGAAGAATTAAAGTTCGGTGTGGGTGATGGAAATCTTCAATACTATTTATACAATTGGGCGTGTCCGGAAATGCGACCAGACGAAGTAAATTGATTTTATACCTATATAATACATATATGACAATCGCTATGAACTTTCAGGTTGGACTCGTCTTGCAGTGACAAGAAAGCGTCTTATTATGGTTGAAATTTTTTACTTATAGTTATTTCTCCGAACGTATGAATAAATTGTATGAAAATTCGACTAAATAACTAATTTGATTGTCTATTCAATAATTATTCAACAATACTTTTCCTTCAAAGCACTACATTCATTTATTCATTAATTGTAAACAAAATGTAGTCATTGTATTATATAAATTATAGTAAATATTTCAAAGTAGAAGACTTCTCAGAAAGAATGCTGCAGAAAGCTTTGACAACATGAATCAATGACAAATTAATAGAAACCATATTGATGACTACAGAAATATTCTGAAATATTACTCTCTCGCCATGGATTCGGCTTGAGCACTACCACCTTCGACTTCCTGGGCTTCCTGTACCAAAGAGCAGATAGCGCAAAACCAATGCATAACGCAATCATTAATGAACGAGCCCTGAAACAAAATATTTACTTAGTAGTCTCGTTGCTAAGATGCAATAGTTCCAAGCTATTGAAAACTATTGATGATTTTCCTATACCTCAATTCCCTTAGAATCTCTAATTTGACCTCGGATTTTAGCTCTTGACCAAATACCAATTGGTCCTAAAATTGATAGACAGCCGTACAAGATACAACTTTCTCCGACTGCTTCAGCGTTCTTTCCAGCTGTCAAGCAGGGTACGAAATACGTAATGATACAAATTCCACAGTTGTCAAAACAACCAAACAGTCCGTGTTGAAATTCTCCCATTTTTAAAAGTAGTATTAAAAGTTTTTTCACAACCTGATCGAATGAAACGCGGCAGGCAAGTGGCGCGGGCTAACACTCGATGTTTTTACGTAGTGATAGGAGACCGTTGCTACGTTAAGTTGATTTGAGTTTTTCCTAAGCTTCCATGGCACCCACGATTATCGACTCTAGAGACTGAAAGTGACGTCAGCGGTTTATGTAAATATATTTTTAAAATATTCCTGTAGTATAATGGGGTTAATGCCTAGTTTTCCTTTTATCTATGAGCCAGTTTGTTTCGTCGAGGAGTCTTTCTTAGATTTAAACGGAAATTGGACAACAGAATTTATTCATTATCAAACTGTGAATATACCAAATGACAAAGAAGTTTATGAAAACGCCTTTAGGCACCCAAGAGATTGGGAAGAGAATGCCTGTGACTTATATCGAAAAATTTTGCCAGAACGGCAAAGAATTCAGAATGCGCGTTTAAAGTTTCATGATTGCAGTGTTCAAGAAATGATACGAAAATGGCCTCAAACGACCTTAGATACTTTACTGGATTTACGATCTTTTTTTTTGTCCTTTGACGTAAATGGGGATTGTTTGATTGACTTTAAAGAATTTTGTATGGTATTAGACGAATTAGGAGATCGTACCCCGCTATGTTCAAGAAAGTCTTTTTTTAAGCAGAAAGACTCAGATAAGTCCGGTGCTCTTGACTTCGAAGAATTTTTAGAATTATTTTCAAGGTTCATGGAAGTTCCATCCACTTCAATAACAAATAATAAGAAGTTAACCCTTTTAAAAAGTCATGGTCTCCTTTCGGAAGACTCTAATTCAGATTTACACACTTTTTCTGACATCAGTGATCCTCGGCAAGATGTTAATGTAACATATAGTAAATTAGAGGCCCAAACGACCATTGACTTGGAAAAATTGTGCGAGAAAGCCCGTGATGCTGCTCGTATCCTACGGCAGCTGAACGTAAAGCAGCAAATAATTCATGGCTTATTCTAAAAATTCAAAGTATTATACGAGTTTATATATAGTAATTAAAGTTTATTAAGTAAAGATACAAGTTGAGCAACAATTTGCACCAAGTATCAAAAGTTAAATCTATAATTTAGCAAAATTATACATAAACTTTCATTCTTCATCACTTTTTCTCTTTGGTATACATTTCTAAGTAAACAGCTACTTGGTCGATTTTTGAAAATATAAACAGAAAAGTTAAACATAACGTGCTCGAAATAAATTTTTAAAGCAAAACGAAACAATAGAATTAAAGAAATAAGTGCGCAAAAAATTTGAACAAAATTTACTGATAACCAAATATGTTCACAGCACACTGTACTGATATTTATGAACACTGTACGCACTGAGTCAGTTTCTTGATATGAGTTACTTTGACATGTCGGGGGATTTTACTTTTCTATATTGATCACTTGAGACTGGTCGAGAAACAGCTCCCTTTGATGTTTTTGGGGTACTAGTATGTAAGGGTGATGCCGATTGCTTTGGTGACGGAGTTGACGGATTTCGACTCCTAGTGGCTGACGGTGTACGTCTTTTAGTAGAACTTGTCGGCGTTGTTACTATTCCCCGTTCAGATTGCGTTGCCGGTAAATTTACCGTCCTTGTCTTTGTGTGATGTGTCTGATATGTTACTGTACTCGTGGTTCTACCACCAGCATGCGTGGTATCTTTTCTATAAGTTGTGTAAACTTCTGGTTCTGACAAGTCTGATCCCTCGCTAGCTCGAGACGATGCTCTTGAGGAAGCTCGTGAAGCAGTTCTTGTGGGGATCTTCAAGCGACTGGGAGTTGACCCAGGCTTTGACATAATTTGGCGAACTTCTGTGTCTGGGCTAATCCTGGATTTTTGAGGAGTTTGCCTCCATGGTGTGCCATATTGTGTTTTTTCTCGAATCTATTAAATGGTAATAATAATCTTTATTCATTTGAAAGCTAGAGACTAACAGCAGTTCACCTGAACCCAAAATGTACTAAGAAATATTAATAATTTTTTGGATAGGAATGAGTCGATGATTACAACAAGGCATAACAGCACTAAACACAAATCCACAACATTACATAGCGCAGAAATCGCTATTTTAGACAATGACTGCATATTTGCTTCTAACCGTTTCTTTTGAATATAATGAATAGTGTTTTACATAAATGGCGAAACAAAAATAAATTTTTAATGCGCTGGGGGGTTTTTTGTTAGAAAATTTTGGTTTGTTAGCAATATTCGGAAAAAATTACTTAGTAAGCAAATAATGCGAATAACAGTACCAGGATACGACATGCTGTGACTTGCATAGCGGCTAAGTCGCACAACGGTAAACGACACCCTCAATTAAATATTATTCTCGCTAGTCAGGGTGTTGAACATGTGGCGAGCAAAAATCGATATAATATAATATTTTTAAAACGGGATTTTTAAAGTAGCGTCTGTATCAAACTAAATAAACAACAAGGGGTATTTTCAATTCTATACCTCTGACCAGTTGACATGACGAACTGGTATTCGACTGTGATATTTTTGCTGACACTAAATGTGGTTAATATAAATACTCATTTGCTTAACAGTAGGGAATTTTGACTGAAAAAAAACTATTGTACCTTTATTATTGGTCCTGAAGCAGTAGACGTTGATTTACTACTCCAGGTCGACGTTGAACCAACAGATGGTGCAGAATGACCAGAATGGGTTAAAGGACTCTTGGACTTGAATGGTGCCATGGATTGAGCCACTCCTGTGGCTAAGATAAACCTCTCTCGTAATTCAACATTTGTACGACCCTTTGCTGTTAGGAAGAATAAATATAGTTAAAATTCTATTTTAAATCTAAGAGACCATTTCACTTTCACGACATGCTTAAACAAGGATTTTCAAGACGACAAAAAGAGCAAATATCATGCTTTCAAAATAAGTTTTCGGTCTGTTGCACTCATATTAATCTCTTTTACTATAGACTAAAATAATTCTATTTTTTTCGTCTAGAAAAGTTCATATCAAAACCTATAATAACGGGTAATGGTTTGCTAAATGTTAATATAAATAATGATGCCAATGCACTTATTTGGCTTTTAGGCTTTTTACCCCAAATCTTTTGCTTCCGAAGTAATTTTCTTTTAAAAATCAGTCTTCTTCGCCTTAGTAGTGCAGCTGTTTTATTTTACACAACAAATAAAGAAACAACAACTAAAGAATAAAATAATATCATAAACAGTAAACTGTCCCAACTAAATAAATATCCCGAAATGAGACAACGAAAATACGCCTTAATATTATTCTACCTTGTTGTCTGTGTTTTCTATGAGGACATGTATTTGATAATACATAATCATATTTGGTTAAAAAGTTACCAAAATCCGTATCTGATTAGGCAAGTTTGTAAAATATTGAAAAAGGTGTGTTGAAATCGAAAGTATTTTATAAAGTATATCGGAATATTTTAATATCAATTTTGTTTTTTTTTACCTCTACAAGGATCATTTTTCACAAGAAATTCGTCGAGAGCAACCCATCCTCCTCCAACTCTCACCATTACTGTTGAGCGTAGTATTCTTACAAGTCGTAGCTTTTGAGATTCTCCAAACTGTATGAAAGAATATCACTTTTCCTTAGATATTTATTTATTACTTGAAAGTAAATCTAACCCTATATTTCCCTTCACCGATTTTATGAATTCGGTATTGTCTTGAACATGTGCATCTGTTTGCTTGCTTTCTCACTTCGTCTTGAATTCTTTCTCCTTCAGAGAGACGTTGTCTCTGTTTATAAATGTATTAGAAATTGTCTATTATCTTTAAAAAACAATATTTACATCTTTTTCCGGTTTAAGTGCATTGACAAATTCTTTATAGTCGATGAAACCGTCTTTGTTTGTATCAAAGACGTCAGCGACAGCCTCCATCTCAAGACGACTGGTAGGAAAATCTGAAAATGGTAAAAAGTTACTTTCTTTTTGTATTTTTGGGAAATAAAGAAATGGACAAACGAAGAAACAAATAGGGTGGGGTATAAAAAGTGCGAACAATATTTCCTATACAAGCGATTGAAAGAAATAGTTCAACTCCGAGCATGCATTTTTTACCTTTACGCGCCCAATTAGCCATACGACCTAAGAATAATACATTAATATTTTTAAAAATGACCGTCACCCAAGTTTACCAGCGTAGAGAAATAATAGTTAGTGCCTTGTTAATATATATATATATATATTTATATGTTGATTTATGCAAACTTACTCGAACTTATGACTCCTTCGATAAATTCATCTCTTGTAATTTTTCCATCTCGATCTTTGTCTTGCCTCCTAAATAAGTCCATTACTCTGGCTTTATTATGATTCATCCAATCCATATATCTTTGTCTCCAATCGTCAAAGCTGAAATTTTGCATACGATCTAGTTCCTTTTGCTGTTGCAAAGCATCTAGCAATTCCTGCTTCCTATTCATGGCCATAAGCCATACAGACCTCCATGTGTTGAATAATTCTGCCGCTCTAGGATCAGTGAAATCAGCTGGTTCAGGTGTCCTATCACGTTTTTGTCGAAATCCTCGACCAGCTGGAGTCCTTATTGCTGATGGAGGCGGTTTCTTATATTTTTTGGTAACTCTATCTACTAAGGGTCTTCTAGCAGAAATATCATCTTCCATGGTTTCATGGGCATGCAGTAGTTGTTCCAATATTGGTTCATTATTGGCTAATGGCTCACTTTCAAGCTTTAGAAGTTCTCCATAAGTTTCCACAAGCCATCCCTGTAGCTCGGCCATTTGATCATTTGTTTCTTTCGCTTCATTCAAAGCAGAGGTCAGCTTTTGAAGCCTGGATTCAGCCGCATCTTTTAGTTCTTTCCATCGATTATCCAGAACCCGCAAGTGATTTTTGAGAGTTGGTTTTGCATCATCGTGAGCTTTCTTTTCAATTTCTTTACCAAGTTGAACCACGCTGTCAAATTCAGGTTGTTTTTGGTCGATTGTATTCATTAATTTATTGTGCGTATCCAATTGTTTATTTAGAGACTGAATGTCTTCCGGTACATTGCCGTGATATTGACAACGTTGAATAGCATCAGTTAACCATCTCGTTAGCTCATAACTTCGCCTCTGAAGATCATCAGCGTCAAATTTGGCTTTGGCCAAATTCTTTCGACGATCTGCACTTAATTTTGACACGACGTCCCATTTGTTATTAAGTTCCAACAGATCATTCTCTAACTTTGCAGCGTCGCTCGCATCTGCTTTACTAATAGCATCTTGCACACGACCTACTGTAGTGTCCAGTAAAAGATGTTTTGATGACAGTTCTTGTTCAAATGTTTCATGCTTTGTTAATAAGCTACGGACAGTATCGATATCGCCATCGACAGCAAGAGTATCACTTAGCCTATCAAGAGATGTGTCCAACCAATCATTTAATTCATTTATAGCTCTAGTTAAATCTCCTGCATCGATCAAAGCGCTATCAAGCTTTTGTTGTTTTCTTTCTTTTTGTTCACTGAGCATTTTCCATTTATCAGATAAATTCTTTAACATGTTATGCAATATTTTTTCATCAGAACTTTCTGGCTCCGATTCATTTTTTAGTTGATGTCCTAATCTAATTATTTTATCATATTGAGGTTGTTTAGCATTTATAGTTTGCGCCCAGTTTTTATGTTTTTGCAATTGTTCTGCAATTTTTTGAGGATCTTTGCTAATTTGGTGAGTTGAAGTAAGAGATTCAAGTTGTTCTTCCAACCAGCCAACTAGTTCTTTTTCTCCTTCATCAAATTGTCTTGCACTTCGGTGAACATTATCAATTGCCCTTGTACGTTCTGCTGCTTTTGTTAACAGTTTTTGCCACCTTTTGCCTGTGTCTTCTATGACATTTCGAATGAGCGGTTCATCTGGATGATTTTTTGAACTGGACATAAGTTTCATTGCTAAGTTTTCCAAATGATGTTGATCGTCACGTTTAGCAGATATATCTCTTTGGTACTCTTGATGAGCCTTTGCTTGTTCAATTACTCTTGGAAGAACTCGTGAAACAAGTTCAGCTTTGCCAAGTTTTCTTTCCGCATTCGTTAACCAGTCGATAAACGATTTAAGCTCACTATGGAAATTTGCTGCTTCATTTGCAGCTTCTTCCAATTTTTGTTTCTTCCTAGCTGCAGAAAGTTTTATGTTATCCCATCGGGATTTTATTTCTTCAAGAGGTTTTTGTACTCTTGGAACTAAACGTTCCGGCATCTTAGCAATAAGTTCATCTCCTTCCATTTCAAGCTGTTCAACCCTTGGTGAAAGTTGATCAATCTTTAATTCAACATTCGTGACGAAAGATTCCAACTTATCGTGTGTAGAATCTGGAAGGGCTCCGACACTCACAGCAGTGGTCATATAAGCATCTAGTTCTCCCAATTCTATCTGAACCTGGTTCATGTTCTCGTGAAAATTCTTCGCTTCCTCAAATGCATTCATCAGCTGAGTTTGTTTACGATAGAGCTTGTCGGATACTCTTGGCCAAGCTTCTCTTAATTTCATAATTTGTTGTCTTGTTTTTGAATGTTCTCCGTCTGCACTAGCAATAACATCGTGAGCAGCACTCATGATATTTTCGTACGAATGTTGATGACTTTCTAAGTCCGATGATAAATATTTTAATTTTCCAAGTTCGGCTTCTACAACAGTTAGATCCCCTCTAACTTCCTCACTAGAGTCGATTTTGTCTTCCATTTTACTTAACCAATTTAAAAATTCACTAAGAGTGGCTTGGAGTTGACCAAGACTGAGTAGAGCATCGCTTAAGTTTTGTCGTCTGTCTTTAATTTTGGAGCAAAGGTTTTCAAATTGAACTACCAAGTCCCTTAGTGGATCTTTAATTACTTGACCTTCTGAAACCGATCGCCCTTCGCACAACTGCTTTCCTTGAGCTACTAAACGATCTATTTGTTCTTGTTGCGGTTCCAATTCTTTAACAATACCACTTAGTAAGTCAAGTTGTGTATTGATTTTGTCAGTATCAGTTGCTATTGGGCCTTGCTTTCGAAGCTCTTCTTCAATACCTTTTTGCCAATCGAGCATAGCTGTCAAATCATCCCAAAACAAAGTGGTTTTTCTTAGGGCGTCGTCTAATTGTTTTTGCCTATCGGCCCATGCTTTGTTCAGATTTTTCCATTGAAAGTCAACATCTTGAATGTTTGCATGTACTTCAGGTTTATTGGGTTGTCCAACAAGCTCCAATAGCTGATCTCCTTCATCTTTAACATTATCTAAAACAGAAGCAACTGCTTGAAGTTGCGGTTTCAATCTTTCGAATTCTTCTTGCTGCATCTGAACTTCTTGTGGATCCAGTGCTGGTTGTTTCTCAATGTCCAACTTCCTTTGTAATTCACTAATATCTTCATTCACTGTGTATACATGGTCATGAAATTTTTCACTAATGTTCAATGTTTTGGCTATTTTTTCTGTGCGTTTATCATTTTCATGTTTAGCTGTTTCATATTGGCCCCACAGATCATTCAACTTTTCTCGAACAACGGTAGCTTGAGGATTATTTGCTCTTTCTAGCTCTTCTGCTCGAGCTTCTAAGGATTTTAATAGATTTTTCTTCTCCTCCAGCTGTTCTTCTATTTCTTTGGCGGATTCTAGTTGATCTTTCAGAGAGTTTGGATTAGCTGCTATAGGTTCAGGTCTTTCAACCGTTTCTTCTATTGCTTTTGCTACAGTAGACCGAACTTTTTCTAGGTTTTCTGTCATTTCAATAGCTTTGGGGAGGGCTTCTTGTACCTGTCTTAATCTTTCGCGAACTCTTTCAGATGAGTTTCCATAACGATCTTTGTCTTGTCTTTGAATTTCACTAATAGAGTCAGATGCTGGCTCTTTAACGGTTTGTTTTAATTGTTCGCCAATTTTTTCTATTTTATTAACTAGGGGTTTGTAATTATCCAATTCGACTTGTAAAAATTTTAAGCTGGATTCTTGGTCATGTAATCCATCAACTGTTGTTGTAGGAGACTCATCGGTTAACGATTTTGTTTCAAAAGTATCCAACCACATGTTTAGATCTTCGTGTACATCATTGAAAGTTACTGCTAATGGTAATGCTCTCTCTATTGATCTTAATCTCTCTCTACTAGCTATTTTTACTCTATCACTGGTCTCTTTAAGTTCACAGGCTTTCTCATTAAGAGGATCATCTTCCTCCAAAGAATTTTCTCGCGATATTCTTTTACTGGCAGCTAAAACGTCTCTTGCTCGAGCTTCCTGACTCGTAACTTCTTCATGTAGAATTTTTTGATCAACTAATAGTCTTTCCAATTCAAAAGGCTCAGCTGAGAGAGGTCCTGAAGTCTTCATTGAATCATGAGCGTTATTAAACCAGTCACATAACTCATCCATTTTCGAAAGCATTTCTTGACTTTGGGCAGTTCTTAGAGCTAACTTTTCACCTTGCTTTTCTATTCGATCAGCAACGGCATCTAATTTCTTACTATCGTTAACAACAATTTCATCAATTGGAGAAGAATCTGAGAGGACATCAGCAAGCTTTCTTCCATTTTCAGACAATTGATCGACTAGCATTTTACCTTTTTCCAATTGATTCTGTAACCGTTCTAAATGAGCTAATGCTTTTGGTCCTGAAATTTCTTCAGATGAAAGTTCTGGTTCTAGATTTGAAGATACGAAATGAAGAATCTGCTCATGAGTTTCTTTGAAAAGTTCGGCTGCTGGTAAAGCTTCATCCAGCTTATTTATACGATTTTCAACTTTTTCCTCCAAATTTTTATAACGGTCTTTTATATTTGAAAGAGTTTCATTTAGTTTATTGGCCTCATCATCTGGAGCACACTGAATTAAATCAGAACCAAGAATGATAACGTTATCAAGATCTTCCTTCTTGTGTCTTATGTCATCTCTCAAAATTTGATTGTCGTTTAAGAAAGCAATTAAAGCATTTGGTTGGGAGGAATTTGGACAAGATGTTAACGAGTCATTTTTTTCTGTGTTATCCAACCAGGTAAGGAGAGGTTCCAATTTGTCTCTAAATATTCTTGCAGCTTCTTCATTCTTATTCAGCTCCTCTTGACGATTTTCAGCAGTTTCTTTCATAGACTGCCAGCGATCGACAACTTTATCTACCATTTGCTTCCACTTTTCTGAATCAGAACCAGAGATTACCTCATCAGCAGCATCTTTTGCCTTTCTGATTTCTTTTTCTCTTTCATCTAGCATATTTTGCAGAAATTTCTGTTCATGTTGTTGAACAGCTAAGACATTTATATCAACAGAAGGTGCTTGCTGATCAATAATTAATTTTTCAGCATCGGTAGCCCATTTTAAGAGAGGTTCGACTGCTTCTTTAACCTTTCCTCGCCTAGCAAGGTCGCTTGTTACTTGACATTCGCGTCTTACAATGTCTTCTATCACTCCGCTTAATTTTTGCTCGACTGATTCTATTTGATCTTGAAGACTTTCCAGGTCCACTCCAGGAGAAGCAGATTTCTTCAAATCGATTCCGTCTTTACGAATTTCAGTCATCTTATTTTTAATTGGTTGAGTTTTATTTTGAAGAATCTATAAAAAAATTATAAATGAAAAAATAAATAAGAATATATTTCAAACTTAATACCCTCAATTCATTCTGCAGAGAAAGTAAAGATTCTTCATCATCAATATTTTTAGGGAGATCAGAAACGTAATCTACCAATTCCTCTATGTAAGTTTTCGCTTCCATCAAATCAGAATCAATAGTATTTAATTTTTCATTGACATCGTTTAAATTACGCAAACGAGCATCAATCTTATCAGCCAATGAATTTCTTCTTTCTCGTATCTTCTTTATCTGTGAGAAGTAAATTAGAAAAATAATATTTCGGCAGATATAGGTGAAACAACCTTTGAACGAAGAGGATCCGATTCAGACAAATATCCCTCTTCGCTTAAGTCATCGCTTGTTTGGAGGACATTCATAATTTCCGATTCAAGAGCATCAATTTTTTCTTGCAGTTCCTATAAATATTTTTTCACTTAAAAAAACTTGTAAAATTCAAAGAAAAAGTTTATTAACCTCTGTTGCATCTAATTGGTCTCTAATATTATCCAAGTCCCTCGCAGGTGGAGGCATGGTCTGTAGGTTATCTTCTAGGTCCTTTAACTTTTCAGTAACATTATTTATTTCAGCCTGTAAAAAAATAAATTTTAAAAATTAAGGACTAGAAAATTCAGCATTAAGAAAACCTTAAGATCCTCAATTTTTTGGGAACCCTCTTGCATAATCAACAGTTGATTTTTAATTTTCTCCTCAATATTTTCTCTCATATCATTTAATTCTCTTAACTCCATTGAGTGTCTCTGATCTTTTGAATTTCCCATCATTTCTAAATCGATAACTATTTCATCGATTGCTTGCAATTTTTCTTTTACAACTAAAGTATCATCAAGCAATGCTTCCAATCGGGATACTAGTTTCGAGTCCCTTGCTGCTAAACCTGGTTGACAAAGAGAATCATATCTGTCATTTATTTTTTCAATTCCTGATTTTGCGTCTCTTATTGCTTCATCAGTTTCGTGCAACTTTTGAACAATATTTTCCAAGTGATCAATGCGATTGGCAATTGCTTTTTCAAGCGACGACCATCTTTCTTGTAGATTATTCACCTTCGATTGAATATCATCTGGTTGATCGACATATTTAGTCAACTCTACTGCATTCATTTGCAGGTTGTCATGGTCTAATGACTTTCTGAACATTTCGTTTTGCCAGGATTGAACTTCTTTCTGTTTTGCACTGATCAATTCTTTTTCTAGGAGTATTGGATCAACTTTCTCTAGTTTTTTCTCCATCATGTCAAGCCAAGCTGTAAGCAATTCAAACGGTCTTTCAATTTTCTCAGACAAACTAGCTGCATAATTTAATTTATTCTTTTTATCATGTAAGCTGGTTTTCAGAGCTTTAAGCTGTCTGTCTACTGCTTCTCTTGTCTCCCCCACTTCAGGGAAATCCTTAGAATTTGAACTACTCTCTAACAGCTTCTTCCCCTTCTCAATAGCTAATCTTATTTGAGGTTCTCTGTCACTTAAATCTCTAGACCAATTTTCCATTTGGAGGACATGGCCTTTCAAATCTTCACTATTGGATGAAGTTGGTTCTAAACTTATCATAGCATTATCCAATTCTTTTAGATATTCATCATAATTATTTAATTCTTCTTTAAGTTTATTGGTTTCTACCGTTGCACCTTCTATGGCCTTTTCTTTTTCGTTTAGGAGTTTTTCGATGCTTTTTAAAGGCCTTTCAACGGCTGCTACTTTGGTTCTCAATTCAAATTTTGTACTTGGATCTTTGGCTCTTTCTAGAAGCTTGTCAACAATACTTCGAGTGTTTTCTAACAGCGGTCGTTGTTCATTTAATTCTCCTTTTAAAGTTGCTATTTCTTCTATAAGAATATTCGGTTGCATGGAAGCGGACGGCAGACATTCTAATTTTTCATTGGCTCCTGTTGTCCATTCATCAAGTTTTTGGAGTTTCTCATACATCTGAGAACTAAGATCATTAGCATCTTGTAGTTGATTATATCTCTCTTGAAGACTGTCTTTAAGATTGTCCCACTTCATAACTATTCCATCAAGTTGTTTCGAAACATGCTTATTTTCATCTTCAGCATCAGCTTTATCTAAAATAGCAAATCCCTTCAATTTAATTTTGTCAATTTGTACTTCATAATCTGTCATTTCCCCTTGCAATAATTCAACTTGTTGAATTTGAGAATTCAGAATGACAGGATCAAGAGTTACGGCACCTAAAGTTTGAGCCATTCTCTCCTTTTGATTAAGCCAATTACCTACAAGTTGACAAGAACTATCAAAATCTTTTAGTTCAATCAGTTCTCCTCTCAATTCTTCAAGGGAGTTCATTCTCTCTTTAGATTTGGATTTTAAATTTTGCCAGCGATCCTCTGAAAATATAATTATTAATTCTTGTTTTTATATTTCATATGACTTTCTCACCTAAGTCTTTCCACTGTTTCTTTACATCTCGCAGGCCAGGCACACGGTCACGATTTCCGATTAAGTCTTGGGCGCAATTTCTAACCGAGTCCATTAATCCTTCCTTCTTTTCAAGTTCTTTCTGGAATTCTTCTAAAGATAACAATCCTGCAGTAACTTCCTGCTGCGTCTTTGGATGAGAAGACAGAGAAGGTGCAGGATCTGAGTCCAACCATTCAATCAAGGCTTGAACATGCTCCAAAAATGAACGCATTTTAGCAATTGTTAAATGCAGATCTCTTTCTCTTTCAGCCAGTCTATCTCCAATAACTTCGTATCTATCGTTCAAATCAATAAGTTCTTTTTCGATAGACGAGCTCTCTTCTAAAAATGGACAATTATAAAACAGATAACAATATTAAAGAAAAGTAATTCATGGAGCTATTGCAGGTATAAAAGCCCTGAAAATTTGGAGAACCTTACCATCAATAGCTGAATGAAGGTTATCATGAGAAGCATGTTTACTGCTGACACCACTAGATTCACTAGTAACAGGACTGACTAAGCCCCTACTTGGAGGTGATGGGGATTTTGTTGGAGAGCGAGATCGTAACCGGGAAGAAATAGGTCCTGTGGGCGTAAGCATAGCAAAGAAAAGAAAAAAGAAAGGTTTTAAAAGCTGGGTTTTAACCAAATCCTTGAATAATAAAATAACGACTTACGTTTTGGCTTAATAAGAGAGAGCGAGTCATCTCTTTCAGAAGAATCGTATGCAAGACCTGTTTCATAAAGTTTGTCCATTGTTTGTACAAAGTCTGTATGATCCTTCAAAAGTGGTTGAATTGCATCAACCTGCAATGTTAATTTATCCATATCTATTGCAACAGGTCCAAGAGATTGAACCTTTTCCTCCATATCCTTCAACCACAATTCTGAAATATTTTTCAATTTCAGATATTCTACTTCTTTTTCTAATCTGGCTTTGACTGAGCGTTCCTTTTCAGTCAGGAGCTCACAGAAGGAGTGCCATGATCTTTCCAAAGACTGAAGCTTGCCTTTTACACAATGAGAATCTGCTGAATTCTTATCTGCTAGGAGCTCTTGTGCTAATCTTTTTATATGCTCCAAATTTTCTACTCTCTTTTCTTTTTCAATTATAATCTTATCTACAAATTCTTTGAAATTAGTTGGGTTTCTCTGACATTCTCTAGAAGTCAGCTGGTCGGTAGTCGGGGTGATCCAAGATTCTTGTTCTCTAATCGCTCCGTTAAGCCTATCAAGTTTTTCACTCGTTTTAAGAAGAGCTTTTTCCCTGTCTGTGGCTTTTTGTGCAATCGTATCGTATTTCTCGCATAATACAACAGCTCTGTCTGATGAACTATTTCTTTTAATTGAGTCAACAGCAGGCTGGTGAGCATTTACATCTGCTTTTAAGGCTTGGCATTCTTGTTTCTGAAGGGCCAAGCTTTCTTCGTTTAGGCTACAGCCTCTCATCATAGAAAGGATTGTGTTTGTTTCCCTTATCCACAGAGCCAAGTCGTCTAAAGTTTGACTAACTTCTTGGGCAGCCACAAGAGTCGTTTGAATGTCGTGGGCAGTATTATTCACAAAATTCGTTAGTGCACAGTGGCGTGATTCTATATCTTTTACGCAATTTTCCACTGTTTTCAATGAATTGCGATCAGCATTCATGTCAGTTAGACTATCAGTTAACAGTTTTCCTGCCTTCTTTAAGTCGTCAACCTGTCTATTATGTGCCACTATCTCGGCATTCATACTTTTTATTCTTTCTAGTTTATTATGAGCATCCCCACTCTCAGTACGAAAATTTTCTGCTCTTTCTTCTGCATTCTTCAGCCATGCAACAAGACTATCTGCATTATCGTAGAAATATTTTGAGCATTCTTTCGTAGTGCTTAGTTTATTAAATAGATTATCGTATTTTAATTTTAGTTCAATATAGCTCTCTTCCATATCCTTGTACTGTTGCTTTATTCCGTCGCATTCAAATACACTACTTTGCCGTTTCTTTAATTTTGTTGTCTTTTCAACAGCTACAATAAAATTTTCAGCCAACTTTTGAACTGACTTTGCTTCTTCAATAAATCTTTGTTGAGTCAAATCCATGTAACGAAGGTCTCCTTTCTTAGCTAAAACGTCTCCAGTACATTCTTTTAGGCGACGAAGTACGTTATCAAGCATAACTAGGTCTTGGCTATCTTTTTCTATTTCTGCTATTTTAACTGTAGCCTCATCCAACCAATTAGAAAATCGCAAAGATTCAGTGTTAAATTTTGAGAGCTCTTCTTTGGCAGAGGCAGCAGCTTTGAATCTATTCTCCGTTTCGCATTTTAGCTGCAAAAACATCTATTATTCAGAGTACATTTACACGAGTAATACAAACTCTCTCAAACTTCTCCTTTACAATCGGCATTAAAGTTTCGAGCTCAAGGACTTGTTCATTGATAAGTTCATCACGATTACTATGCAGAAATTCATCGCATTGATCTAAAAGATTCATGGCGATAGGAAAGTATGTATTGGTCTCATCTTTCAAAGCCTGGAAAGAAACAAATAACAAAAAAGAAGCATGTGTCATAAAAATCAAACCTCTATAGAGGAAATTAACTCTTTAATATCTTGAACATTTTCAGTAATATTTTGAAATGTCAGAGATATCATAGCTTCTTCAGCATCCTTTGCTTTGTGTTTCAATTTTCTTAATTCATGAATCAGCCTATCGTATATCTCATCAGTCGAAACCTATAATAAAATTTAAATTTAAGCCAACAAAACACAAGAAGCACAGCGATCATTCACTCAATATAAATTAGTAAAACACTCATACACCAAAATATTTAATATATCATAATCGTTGGTTATGAAGCATGTTAACGCTGTAGATCATCAATTCAAAAAAGCGCTGAAAAAGTCAAAAAGTAATATCAACATTTCAAGAAATATACGAAATGTCAAAGAAAGAAATTAACTTACCGTCAAGCTCAAAGCATTTGAATCTCAACTAATCACAGTTGGGATCAAGCAAAACTCAAACATTACGAAAATCAAATATTAGATGTTACAAAAAAGAATAAAAAGAGATTGAACAAAACATGAAACAAACCTTCGAAGAATGAAATATACTAAAAGGATCTTCGCTTGTATAACCAGCATGCATTGGTTCATTAGAAATAGACCTATCATTTGACTTACTATCAATGTTGGAATTTTTGGGGTCTGCAGATTCAAGAAAAACAACATTCTCTTTGGGAGAAACCTCACGTAACACATTATCGGATTTGACATTAACATTAAAACACTCAGATTGCTTCTTTAATGGATCATCTGGAAGACTGAAATTTTCATGGCTATTTTTAACCTTACTTTCAGTTCCATGCAATACAAGTGGTTTTATATCATCACAAACAATCACATTATTTTCAATAGCATCAGGTATCGAAACAACAATTCCCGTTGTTGGATCTAGAAATTTGTTATTTTTTCCATCAATAATCCCTTTTTCTATTGCCTTGTATAAAGATATCAAGGACTCAGTTGTAGGATCTCGGACTAACGATTTTTTATTATCCAGAAGACCGCAGTTTAATGCTTCATTCAAATTTAAAAACTTTCCAGTAGCATCATCGCGAAACATTCCAGTTACAGGGTCAATAAGACCTTTATCATATGCTTCATTAAGAGTTAATGGTCTTGATATTAAACCACTATTTATAGCTTCATTTAGACTTATCATTTCATTAGTATGCGGATCTTTCATTTTTCCACTATCACCATCAATTAAACCTCTCTCAATCGCCTCCGTAAGTGAACAATTTTCGCCAGTCTTGTTATCAACTATCAGTGAAGCATTCGGATCTAAAATTCCTTTTTCAATTGCTTCTTTTAGTGAAAGCTTTTCTCCGGTTTGTGGATCGATGATTTTTCCTGATTCTTTATCATACAGATTGTTTTCAATTAACGAATCTAATGACATCAAGGGTTTAGTGTCCTTCTCTAAAAGTTTCTTCGAATTTATTGCTTCTAGTAACTCTTGAGGTGTTGTTATCAATTTTTCGCTTAATGCTTTATCCAATGGGATGACTTCTCCCGTCATTGGGTGAACCATAGTGGATTTTGATGGGTCGATTAAACCACGTTTAATGGCTTCTTCTAATGTTAGTACTTCACCAGTATTTGGATCAATGACATTTGCAGTTTGTGGATTGAATAATCCTCTTTTAATGGCATCTTGAAGACTTAGCTTATCTATTCTTTCCAAAGGAGTAACAAGTCCAGTATTGATGGCTTCAAAAATATCCATATTATCATCATTCAAGCCCTTAAATTTTCCAGTTTCACCATCAATAATACCAGCTTTTATAGCATCTTCTAAAGTCATCATTTTACCGGAAGTGTTATCATTAATAGTTTGTTTTCCGTCAATTATTCCACGTTTAATAGCGTCAGATAATGATAAAAGTTCATTCGTGTTTGGATCTTTTACAAGACCAGTATTTTTATCAAAAATACCTTTCTGTAGTGCTTCATTTAGAGAACAACCGCTGTCTTTCTTCTTAACGTCGACCGGATGATCTATCCATTCCATTGTTTCAGTTAAAGGCGTCTTTCTATTGGTCAAATGATTAATAAGTTCTGCATTTTCAACAATTCCTAACTTAAAAGCTTTATCCAAAGGTAATAGTTCACCAGTACTGTGATCAGTGATTTTAGTAGTTGTTGGATCAATTAAACCACTTTCAATAGCTTCTTTGAGTGAATATTTTTCTCCAGTATTTGGGTCTGTTATTTCACCTGTTTTTTCATTTATCAGACCATTTTGTAGAATTTCATCGAGTGTTAACGGTCTATTTGCCGTATTAACAGTTATACCAGTCTTAATTGCTTCTTTTAACGGCACTTTCTTACCAGTTATTGGGTCACAAAACATGTTCATCTCACCATCAATTATACCTCTCTCAATTGCAGTTTTTAAAGGTATAAGTGCGCCTGTAGACGGATCTCTGACCAGTGATTTTTCAGTATCAATAAGACCTGCCTTAATAGCATCATTCAAAGTCATCAACTTTCCTGTTCCCTCATCTCGATACATTCCAGTTGAAGGATCAAAAAGTCCCTTCTCATATGCATCTTTAAGAGTTAATGGTCTTGATATTAAACCACTATTTATAGCTTCATTTAGACTTATCATTTCATTAGTATGCGGATCTTTCATTTTTCCACTATCACCATCAATTAAACCTCTCTCAATCGCCTCCGTAAGTGAACAATTATCGCCAGTCTTGTTATCAACTATCAGTGAAGCGTTCGGATCTAAAATTCCTTTTTCAATTGCTTCTTTTAGTGAAAGCTTTTCTCCGGTTTGTGGATCGATGATTTTTCCTGATTCTTTATCATACAGATTGTTTTCAATTAACGAATCTAATGACATCAAGGGTTTAGTGTCCTTCTCTAAAAGTTTCTTCGAATTTATTGCTTCAATTAACTCTTGAGGTGTTGATATCAATTTTTCGCTTAATGCTTTATCCAAGGGGATGACTTCTCCCGTCATTGGGTGAACCATAGTGGATTTTGATGGGTCGATTAAACCACGTTTAATGGCTTCTTCTAATGTTAATACTTCACCAGTATTTGGATCAATGACATTTGCAGTTTGTGGATTGAATAATCCTCTTTTAATGGCATCTTGAAGACTTAGATTACGTACTTTTTCTGATGGTCTAATAAGTCCGCTATTGATTGCTTCCAAAATATCTATATTATCATCATTCAAGCCCTTAAATTTTCCAGTTTCTCCATCGATAATACCAGCATTAATTGCATCTTCTAAAGTCATTTCTTTACCGGAAGTGTTATCAGTTATTGTTTGTGTTCCATCAATTATTCCACATTTAATAGCGTCAGATAATGATAAAAGTTCATTCGTGTTCGGATCTTTTACAAGACCAGTATTTTTATCAAAAATTCCTTGCTCCAAGGCATCATTCAGCAAACAACCTTGATCTGACTTTTTAAGATCTTCAAACTGATCTTTGCATTTTATTGAATCAAATAGAGGAGTTTTAGTGTTTGTCAAAGGATCTACAAATTCTCCATTAATAATAAGTCCCATATTTACAGCTTCATCCAATGATAAAACTTTGCCAGTTGTAGGATTTGTAATTGTACCAGTTGTCGGGTCAATTAAACCAATTGCTAAAGCTTCTCTAAGTGAAAGTTGTTTTCCAGTATTTGGGTCTATGATTTCACCTGTCTTATCATTTAAAAGACCTCTTTTGTTAATTTCATCCAGTGTTAACGGTCTATTTTCCGCATTAACAATCATACCGGTTTCAATTGCCTCTCTCAATGGGATTTTCTTACCAGTAATTGGATCACAAAACATGTTCATCTCACCATCAATTATACCTCTCTCAATTGCACTGTTTAAAGGTAAAAGAGCGCCAGTAGATGGATCTCTAACCAATGATTTTTCAGTATCAATAAGACCTGCCTTAATAGCATCATTCAAAGTCATCAACTTTCCTGTTCCCTCATCTCGATACATTCCAGTTGAAGTGTCAAAAAGGCCCTTTTCATATGCATCTTTAAGAGTTAATGGTCTTGATATTAAACCACTATTTATAGCTTCATTTAAACCAATCATTTCATTAGTATGCGGATCTTTCATTTTGCCACTCCCACCATCAATCAAACCTCTCTCAATCGCCTCCGTAAGTGAACAATTATCGCCAGTCTTGTTATCAACTATCAGTGAAGCGTTCGGATCTAAAATTCCTTTTTCAATTGCTTCTTTTAGTGAAAGCTTTTCTCCGGTTTGTGGATCGATGATTTTTCCTGATTCTTTATCATACAGATTGTTTTCAATTAACGAATCTAATGACATCAAGGGTTTAGTGTCCTTCTCTAAAAGTTTCTTCGAATTTATTGCTTCTAGTAACTCTTGAGGTGTTGATATCAATTTTTCGCTTAATGCTTTATCCAATGGGATGACTTCTCCCGTCATTGGGTGAACCATAGTGGATTTTGATGGGTCGATTAAACCACGTTTAATGGCTTCTTCTAATGTTAGTACTTCACCAGTATTTGGATCAATGACATTTGCAGTTTGTGGATTGAATAATCCTCTTTTAATGGCATCTTGAAGACTTAGATTACGTACTTTTTCTGAGGGCGTAAGAAGTCCGCTAGTGATCGCTTCCAAAATATCTATATTATCATCATTCATGCCCTTAAATTTTCCAGTTTCTCCATCAATAATACCAGCATTAATTGCATCTTCTAAAGTCATTTCTTTACCGGAAGTGTTATCACTTATTGTTTGTGTTCCATCAATTATTCCACATTTAATAGCGTCAGATAATGATAAAAGTTCATTCGTGTTTGGATCTTTTACAAGACCAGTATTTTTATCAAAAATTCCCTGATCCAATGCTTCATTTAGTGAACGACTCTCCTTTTTCTTTTCTATGAGTTTTGAAAAACCTTCGCCGTTTTCCATTATTTGTGCTATAGGCCTTGCCCTCTTGGTTATAGGGTCGATAATTTCTCCATTATCGATGAGACCTGTTCTTACCGCTTCATCGATTGATAACATTTCACCACTAACAGGATCATTAATTTTTATGGATGTTGCATTAATTAAACCAGTTTCTAAAGCTTCATTAAGTGAACATTTTTTCCCAGTATTTGGGTCTGTAATCTCTCCCGTAGCTTCATTTAGGAGACCTCTATCTTTGATTTCTTCAAATGTTAACGGCTTTGTTTCTGCTTTGACCACCAGTCCGCTTTTAATTGCTTCTTTTAAGGGAACTTTTTCACCAGCTATTGGGTCACAAAACATGTTCATCTCACCATCAATTATACCTCTCTCAATTGCAGTTTTTAAAGGTATAAGTGCGCCAGTAGATGGATCTCTAACCAATGATTTTTCAGTATCAATAAGACCTGCCTTAATAGCATCATTCAAAGTCATCAACTTTCCTGTTCCCTCATCTCGATACATTCCAGTTGAAGGATCAAAAAGTCCCTTCTCATATGCATCTTTAAGAGTTAATGGTCTTGATATTAAACCACTATTTATAGCTTCATTTAGACTTATCATTTCATTAGTATGCGGATCTTTCATTTTTCCACTATCACCATCAATTAAACCTCTCTCAATCGCCTCCGTAAGTGAACAATTTTCGCCAGTCTTGTTATCAACTATCAGTGAAGCATTCGGATCTAAAATTCCTTTTTCAATTGCTTCTTTTAGTGAAAGCTTTTCTCCGGTTTGTGGATCGATGATTTTTCCTGATTCTTTATCATACAGATTGTTTTCAATTAACGAATCTAATGACATCAAGGGTTTAGTGTCCTTCTCTAAAAGTTTCTTCGAATTTATTGCTTCAATTAACTCTTGAGGTGTTGTTATCAATTTTTCGCTTAATGCTTTATCCAATGGGATGACTTCTCCCTTCATTGGGTGAACCATAGTGGATTTTGAAGGATCGATTAAACCACGCTTAATGGCTTCTTCTAATGTTAGTACTTCACCAGTATTTGGATCAATGACATTTGCAGTTTGTGGATTGAATAATCCTCTTTTAATGGCATCTTGAAGACTTAGATTACATACTTTTTCTGATGGTGTAATAAGTCCGCTGTTGATTGCTTCAAGAATATCTATATCGTCATCAGTAATACTCTTTATTTTTCCAGTTTCCCCGTCAATTAAACCAGCATTAATTGCATCTTCTAAAGTCATCATTTTACCTGAAGTGTTATCAGTTATTGTTTGTGTTCCATCAATTATTCCACATTTAATAGCGTCAGATAATGATAAAAGTTCATTCGTGTTGGGATCTTTTACAAGACTGGTATTTTTATCAAAAATACCTTTCTTTATGGCTTCATTTAGTGAACAAGAATTGTCTTTGTCCTTACTGCCCACAGTTTGGTCCTTTAATTTCATTACTTCAGATAAAAGCATCTTCTTGTTGGTCAAAGGATTCACAACTTCTACATTTTCGATAATTCCTAACTTTACAGCTTTATCCAAAGGTAACATTTCACCAGTGGCTGGATCAGCAACTGTAGCGGTTGTTGGATCAATTAAACCAATTTCAAAAGCTTCCTTAAGTGAATGTTTTTCACCGGTAAATGGATCTATGATTTCACCGGTCTCTTCGTTTAAGAGACCTTGCCCTATAATTTCATCAAGGTTTAGAGGTATATTTTCAGCATTAACTGAAATTCCACTATCAATTGCTTCAAGTAAAGGTATCTCTCTTCCATTAACAGGATCATAAAACAAATTCTTATCACCATCTATTATACCTCTTTCTATTGCACGGTGTAAAGGTATAAGTGCGCCAGTAGATGGATCTCTGACCAAAGATTTTTCAGAATCTATAAGACCTGCCTTAATAGCATCATTCAAAGTCATCAACTTTCCTGTTCCCTCATCTCGATACATTCCAGTTGAAGGATCAAAAAGTCCCTTCTCATATGCATCTTTAAGAGTTAATGGTCTTGATATTAAACCACTATTTATAGCTTCATTTAGACTTATCATTTCATTAGTATGCGGATCTTTCATTTTTCCACTATCACCATCAATTAAACCTCTCTCAATCGCCTCCGTAAGTGAACAATTTTCGCCAGTCTTGTTATCAACTATCAGTGAAGCATTCGGATCTAAAATTCCTTTTTCAATTGCTTCTTTTAGTGAAAGCTTTTCTCCGGTTTGTGGATCGATGATTTTTCCTGATTCTTTATCATACAGATTGTTTTCAATTAACGAATCTAATGACATCAAGGGTTTAGTGTCCTTCTCTAAAAGTTTCTTCGAATTTATTGCTTCTAGTAACTCTTGAGGTGTTGTTATCAATTTTTCGCTTAATGCTTTATCCAATGGGATGACTTCTCCCGTCATTGGGTGAACCATAGTGGATTTTGATGGGTCGATTAAACCACGTTTAATGGCTTCTTCTAATGTTAGTACTTCACCAGTATTTGGATCAATGACATTTGCAGTTTGTGGATTGAATAATCCTCTTTTAATGGCATCTTGAAGACTTAGCTTATCTATTCTTTCCAAAGGAGTAACAAGTCCAGTATTGATGGCTTCAAAAATATCCATATTATCATCATTCAAGCCCTTAAATTTTCCAGTTTCACCATCAATAATACCAGCTTTTATAGCATCTTCTAAAGTCATCATTTTACCGGAAGTGTTATCATTAATAGTTTGTTTTCCGTCAATTATTCCACGTTTAATAGCGTCAGATAATGATAAAAGTTCATTCGTGTTTGGATCTTTTACAAGACCAGTATTTTTATCAAAAATACCTTTCTGTAGTGCTTCATTTAGAGAACAACCGCTGTCTTTCTTCTTAACGTCGACCGGATGATCTATCCATTCCATTGTTTCAGTTAAAGGCGTCTTTCTATTGGTCAAATGATTAATAAGTTCTGCATTTTCAACAATTCCTAACTTAAAAGCTTTATCCAAAGGTAATAGTTCACCAGTACTGTGATCAGTGATTTTAGTAGTTGTTGGATCAATTAAACCACTTTCAATAGCTTCTTTGAGTGAATATTTTTCTCCAGTATTTGGGTCTGTTATTTCACCTGTTTTTTCATTTATCAGACCATTTTGTAGAATTTCATCGAGTGTTAACGGTCTATTTGCCGTATTAACAGTTATACCAGTCTTAATTGCTTCTTTTAACGGCACTTTCTTACCAGTTATTGGGTCACAAAACATGTTCATCTCACCATCAATTATACCTCTCTCAATTGCAGTTTTTAAAGGTATAAGTGCGCCTGTAGACGGATCTCTGACCAGTGATTTTTCAGTATCAATAAGACCTGCCTTAATAGCATCATTCAAAGTCATCAACTTTCCTGTTCCCTCATCTCGATACATTCCAGTTGAAGGATCAAAAAGTCCCTTCTCATATGCATCTTTAAGAGTTAATGGTCTTGATATTAAACCACTATTTATAGCTTCATTTAGACTTATCATTTCATTAGTATGCGGATCTTTCATTTTTCCACTATCACCATCAATTAAACCTCTCTCAATCGCCTCCGTAAGTGAACAATTATCGCCAGTCTTGTTATCAACTATCAGTGAAGCGTTCGGATCTAAAATTCCTTTTTCAATTGCTTCTTTTAGTGAAAGCTTTTCTCCGGTTTGTGGATCGATGATTTTTCCTGATTCTTTATCATACAGATTGTTTTCAATTAACGAATCTAATGACATCAAGGGTTTAGTGTCCTTCTCTAAAAGTTTCTTCGAATTTATTGCTTCAATTAACTCTTGAGGTGTTGATATCAATTTTTCGCTTAATGCTTTATCCAAGGGGATGACTTCTCCCGTCATTGGGTGAACCATAGTGGATTTTGATGGGTCGATTAAACCACGTTTAATGGCTTCTTCTAATGTTAATACTTCACCAGTATTTGGATCAATGACATTTGCAGTTTGTGGATTGAATAATCCTCTTTTAATGGCATCTTGAAGACTTAGATTACGTACTTTTTCTGATGGTCTAATAAGTCCGCTATTGATTGCTTCCAAAATATCTATATTATCATCATTCAAGCCCTTAAATTTTCCAGTTTCTCCATCGATAATACCAGCATTAATTGCATCTTCTAAAGTCATTTCTTTACCGGAAGTGTTATCAGTTATTGTTTGTGTTCCATCAATTATTCCACATTTAATAGCGTCAGATAATGATAAAAGTTCATTCGTGTTCGGATCTTTTACAAGACCAGTATTTTTATCAAAAATTCCTTGCTCCAAGGCATCATTCAGCAAACAACCTTGATCTGACTTTTTAAGATCTTCAAACTGATCTTTGCATTTTATTGAATCAAATAGAGGAGTTTTAGTGTTTGTCAAAGGATCTACAAATTCTCCATTAATAATAAGTCCCATATTTACAGCTTCATCCAATGATAAAACTTTGCCAGTTGTAGGATTTGTAATTGTACCAGTTGTCGGGTCAATTAAACCAATTGCTAAAGCTTCTCTAAGTGAAAGTTGTTTTCCAGTATTTGGGTCTATGATTTCACCTGTCTTATCATTTAAAAGACCTCTTTTGTTAATTTCATCCAGTGTTAACGGTCTATTTTCCGCATTAACAATCATACCGGTTTCAATTGCCTCTCTCAATGGGATTTTCTTACCAGTAATTGGATCACAAAACATGTTCATCTCACCATCAATTATACCTCTCTCAATTGCACTGTTTAAAGGTAAAAGAGCGCCAGTAGATGGATCTCTAACCAATGATTTTTCAGTATCAATAAGACCTGCCTTAATAGCATCATTCAAAGTCATCAACTTTCCTGTTCCCTCATCTCGATACATTCCAGTTGAAGTGTCAAAAAGGCCCTTTTCATATGCATCTTTAAGAGTTAATGGTCTTGATATTAAACCACTATTTATAGCTTCATTTAAACCAATCATTTCATTAGTATGCGGATCTTTCATTTTGCCACTCCCACCATCAATCAAACCTCTCTCAATCGCCTCCGTAAGTGAACAATTATCGCCAGTCTTGTTATCAACTATCAGTGAAGCGTTCGGATCTAAAATTCCTTTTTCAATTGCTTCTTTTAGTGAAAGCTTTTCTCCGGTTTGTGGATCGATGATTTTTCCTGATTCTTTATCATACAGATTGTTTTCAATTAACGAATCTAATGACATCAAGGGTTTAGTGTCCTTCTCTAAAAGTTTCTTCGAATTTATTGCTTCTAGTAACTCTTGAGGTGTTGATATCAATTTTTCGCTTAATGCTTTATCCAATGGGATGACTTCTCCCGTCATTGGGTGAACCATAGTGGATTTTGATGGGTCGATTAAACCACGTTTAATGGCTTCTTCTAATGTTAGTACTTCACCAGTATTTGGATCAATGACATTTGCAGTTTGTGGATTGAATAATCCTCTTTTAATGGCATCTTGAAGACTTAGATTACGTACTTTTTCTGAGGGCGTAAGAAGTCCGCTAGTGATCGCTTCCAAAATATCTATATTATCATCATTCATGCCCTTAAATTTTCCAGTTTCTCCATCAATAATACCAGCATTAATTGCATCTTCTAAAGTCATTTCTTTACCGGAAGTGTTATCACTTATTGTTTGTGTTCCATCAATTATTCCACATTTAATAGCGTCAGATAATGATAAAAGTTCATTCGTGTTTGGATCTTTTACAAGACCAGTATTTTTATCAAAAATTCCCTGATCCAATGCTTCATTTAGTGAACGACTCTCCTTTTTCTTTTCTATGAGTTTTGAAAAACCTTCGCCGTTTTCCATTATTTGTGCTATAGGCCTTGCCCTCTTGGTTATAGGGTCGATAATTTCTCCATTATCGATGAGACCTGTTCTTACCGCTTCATCGATTGATAACATTTCACCACTAACAGGATCATTAATTTTTATGGATGTTGCATTAATTAAACCAGTTTCTAAAGCTTCATTAAGTGAACATTTTTTCCCAGTATTTGGGTCTGTAATCTCTCCCGTAGCTTCATTTAGGAGACCTCTATCTTTGATTTCTTCAAATGTTAACGGCTTTGTTTCTGCTTTGACCACCAGTCCGCTTTTAATTGCTTCTTTTAAGGGAACTTTTTCACCAGCTATTGGGTCACAAAACATGTTCATCTCACCATCAATTATACCTCTCTCAATTGCAGTTTTTAAAGGTATAAGTGCGCCAGTAGATGGATCTCTAACCAATGATTTTTCAGTATCAATAAGACCTGCCTTAATAGCATCATTCAAAGTCATCAACTTTCCTGTTCCCTCATCTCGATACATTCCAGTTGAAGGATCAAAAAGTCCCTTCTCATATGCATCTTTAAGAGTTAATGGTCTTGATATTAAACCACTATTTATAGCTTCATTTAGACTTATCATTTCATTAGTATGCGGATCTTTCATTTTTCCACTATCACCATCAATTAAACCTCTCTCAATCGCCTCCGTAAGTGAACAATTTTCGCCAGTCTTGTTATCAACTATCAGTGAAGCATTCGGATCTAAAATTCCTTTTTCAATTGCTTCTTTTAGTGAAAGCTTTTCTCCGGTTTGTGGATCGATGATTTTTCCTGATTCTTTATCATACAGATTGTTTTCAATTAACGAATCTAATGACATCAAGGGTTTAGTGTCCTTCTCTAAAAGTTTCTTCGAATTTATTGCTTCAATTAACTCTTGAGGTGTTGTTATCAATTTTTCGCTTAATGCTTTATCCAATGGGATGACTTCTCCCTTCATTGGGTGAACCATAGTGGATTTTGAAGGATCGATTAAACCACGCTTAATGGCTTCTTCTAATGTTAGTACTTCACCAGTATTTGGATCAATGACATTTGCAGTTTGTGGATTGAATAATCCTCTTTTAATGGCATCTTGAAGACTTAGATTACATACTTTTTCTGATGGTGTAATAAGTCCGCTGTTGATTGCTTCAAGAATATCTATATCGTCATCAGTAATACTCTTTATTTTTCCAGTTTCCCCGTCAATTAAACCAGCATTAATTGCATCTTCTAAAGTCATCATTTTACCTGAAGTGTTATCAGTTATTGTTTGTGTTCCATCAATTATTCCACATTTAATAGCGTCAGATAATGATAAAAGTTCATTCGTGTTGGGATCTTTTACAAGACTGGTATTTTTATCAAAAATACCTTTCTTTATGGCTTCATTTAGTGAACAAGAATTGTCTTTGTCCTTACTGCCCACAGTTTGGTCCTTTAATTTCATTACTTCAGATAAAAGCATCTTCTTGTTGGTCAAAGGATTCACAACTTCTACATTTTCGATAATTCCTAACTTTACAGCTTTATCCAAAGGTAACATTTCACCAGTGGCTGGATCAGCAACTGTAGCGGTTGTTGGATCAATTAAACCAATTTCAAAAGCTTCCTTAAGTGAATGTTTTTCACCGGTAAATGGATCTATGATTTCACCGGTCTCTTCGTTTAAGAGACCTTGCCCTATAATTTCATCAAGGTTTAGAGGTATATTTTCAGCATTAACTGAAATTCCACTATCAATTGCTTCAAGTAAAGGTATCTCTCTTCCATTAACAGGATCATAAAACAAATTCTTATCACCATCTATTATACCTCTTTCTATTGCACGGTGTAAAGGTATAAGTGCGCCAGTAGATGGATCTCTGACCAAAGATTTTTCAGAATCTATAAGACCTGCCTTAATAGCATCATTCAAAGTCATCAACTTTCCTGTTCCCTCATCTCGATACATTCCAGTTGAAGGATCAAAAAGTCCCTTCTCATATGCATCTTTAAGAGTTAATGGTCTTGATATTAAACCACTATTTATAGCTTCATTTAGACTTATCATTTCATTAGTATGCGGATCTTTCATTTTTCCACTATCACCATCAATTAAACCTCTCTCAATCGCCTCCGTAAGTGAACAATTTTCGCCAGTCTTGTTATCAACTATCAGTGAAGCATTCGGATCTAAAATTCCTTTTTCAATTGCTTCTTTTAGTGAAAGCTTTTCTCCGGTTTGTGGATCGATGATTTTTCCTGATTCTTTATCATACAGATTGTTTTCAATTAACGAATCTAATGACATCAAGGGTTTAGTGTCCTTCTCTAAAAGTTTCTTCGAATTTATTGCTTCTAGTAACTCTTGAGGTGTTGTTATCAATTTTTCGCTTAATGCTTTATCCAATGGGATGACTTCTCCCGTCATTGGGTGAACCATAGTGGATTTTGATGGGTCGATTAAACCACGTTTAATGGCTTCTTCTAATGTTAGTACTTCACCAGTATTTGGATCAATGACATTTGCAGTTTGTGGATTGAATAATCCTCTTTTAATGGCATCTTGAAGACTTAGCTTATCTATTCTTTCCAAAGGAGTAACAAGTCCAGTATTGATGGCTTCAAAAATATCCATATTATCATCATTCAAGCCCTTAAATTTTCCAGTTTCACCATCAATAATACCAGCTTTTATAGCATCTTCTAAAGTCATCATTTTACCGGAAGTGTTATCATTAATAGTTTGTTTTCCGTCAATTATTCCACGTTTAATAGCGTCAGATAATGATAAAAGTTCATTCGTGTTTGGATCTTTTACAAGACCAGTATTTTTATCAAAAATACCTTTCTGTAGTGCTTCATTTAGAGAACAACCGCTGTCTTTCTTCTTAACGTCGACCGGATGATCTATCCATTCCATTGTTTCAGTTAAAGGCGTCTTTCTATTGGTCAAATGATTAATAAGTTCTGCATTTTCAACAATTCCTAACTTAAAAGCTTTATCCAAAGGTAATAGTTCACCAGTACTGTGATCAGTGATTTTAGTAGTTGTTGGATCAATTAAACCACTTTCAATAGCTTCTTTGAGTGAATATTTTTCTCCAGTATTTGGGTCTGTTATTTCACCTGTTTTTTCATTTATCAGACCATTTTGTAGAATTTCATCGAGTGTTAACGGTCTATTTGCCGTATTAACAGTTATACCAGTCTTAATTGCTTCTTTTAACGGCACTTTCTTACCAGTTATTGGGTCACAAAACATGTTCATCTCACCATCAATTATACCTCTCTCAATTGCAGTTTTTAAAGGTATAAGTGCGCCTGTAGACGGATCTCTGACCAGTGATTTTTCAGTATCAATAAGACCTGCCTTAATAGCATCATTCAAAGTCATCAACTTTCCTGTTCCCTCATCTCGATACATTCCAGTTGAAGGATCAAAAAGTCCCTTCTCATATGCATCTTTAAGAGTTAATGGTCTTGATATTAAACCACTATTTATAGCTTCATTTAGACTTATCATTTCATTAGTATGCGGATCTTTCATTTTTCCACTATCACCATCAATTAAACCTCTCTCAATCGCCTCCGTAAGTGAACAATTATCGCCAGTCTTGTTATCAACTATCAGTGAAGCGTTCGGATCTAAAATTCCTTTTTCAATTGCTTCTTTTAGTGAAAGCTTTTCTCCGGTTTGTGGATCGATGATTTTTCCTGATTCTTTATCATACAGATTGTTTTCAATTAACGAATCTAATGACATCAAGGTTTAGTGTCCTTCTCTAAAAGTTTCTTCGAATTTATTGCTTCAATTAACTCTTGAGGTGTTGATATCAATTTTTCGCTTAATGCTTTATCCAAGGGGATGACTTCTCCCGTCATTGGGTGAACCATAGTGGATTTTGATGGGTCGATTAAACCACGTTTAATGGCTTCTTCTAATGTTAATACTTCACCAGTATTTGGATCAATGACATTTGCAGTTTGTGGATTGAATAATCCTCTTTTAATGGCATCTTGAAGACTTAGATTACGTACTTTTTCTGATGGTCTAATAAGTCCGCTATTGATTGCTTCCAAAATATCTATATTATCATCATTCAAGCCCTTAAATTTTCCAGTTTCTCCATCGATAATACCAGCATTAATTGCATCTTCTAAAGTCATTTCTTTACCGGAAGTGTTATCAGTTATTGTTTGTGTTCCATCAATTATTCCACATTTAATAGCGTCAGATAATGATAAAAGTTCATTCGTGTTCGGATCTTTTACAAGACCAGTATTTTTATCAAAAATTCCTTGCTCCAAGGCATCATTCAGCAAACAACCTTGATCTGACTTTTTAAGATCTTCAAACTGATCTTTGCATTTTATTGAATCAAATAGAGGAGTTTTAGTGTTTGTCAAAGGATCTACAAATTCTCCATTAATAATAAGTCCCATATTTACAGCTTCATCCAATGATAAAACTTTGCCAGTTGTAGGATTTGTAATTGTACCAGTTGTCGGGTCAATTAAACCAATTGCTAAAGCTTCTCTAAGTGAAAGTTGTTTTCCAGTATTTGGGTCTATGATTTCACCTGTCTTATCATTTAAAAGACCTCTTTTGTTAATTTCATCCAGTGTTAACGGTCTATTTTCCGCATTAACAATCATACCGGTTTCAATTGCCTCTCTCAATGGGATTTTCTTACCAGTAATTGGATCACAAAACATGTTCATCTCACCATCAATTATACCTCTCTCAATTGCACTGTTTAAAGGTAAAAGAGCGCCAGTAGATGGATCTCTAACCAATGATTTTTCAGTATCAATAAGACCTGCCTTAATAGCATCATTCAAAGTCATCAACTTTCCTGTTCCCTCATCTCGATACATTCCAGTTGAAGTGTCAAAAAGGCCCTTTTCATATGCATCTTTAAGAGTTAATGGTCTTGATATTAAACCACTATTTATAGCTTCATTTAAACCAATCATTTCATTAGTATGCGGATCTTTCATTTTGCCACTCCCACCATCAATCAAACCTCTCTCAATCGCCTCCGTAAGTGAACAATTTTCGCCAGTCTTGTTATCAACTATCAGTGAAGCGTTCGTATCTAAAATTCCTTTTTCAATTGCTTCTTTTAGTGAAAGCTTTTCTCCGGTTTGTGGATCGACGATTTTTCCTGATTCTTTATCATACAGATTGTTTTCAATTAACGAATCTAATGACATCAAGGGTTTAGTGTCCTTCTCTAAAAGTTTCTTCGAATTTATTGCTTCTAGTAACTCTTGAGGTGTTGTTATCAATTTTTCGCTTAATGCTTTATCCAAGGGGATGACTTCTCCCGTCATTGGGTGAACCATAGTTGATTTTGAAGGATCGATTAAACCACGCTTAATGGCTTCTTCTAATGTTAATACTTCACCAGTATTTGGATCAATGACATTTGCAGTTTGAGAATCTAATATTCTTGTTTCTAATGTACCTTCTGTACTCAAATTTTTTTCGAGGTCTTTTTCTCCTAAGAGTCGTTGTTTAAATGCTTCTGTTAAAGGCACTACTTTTCCTGTTGTTTTATCAAGATAATTATTTTCGTTGATATCAATGATACCCTTTTCTATTGCTTTGGATAGTGGAATTAGTGCTCCTGTGTGATTATCTTTCACTAAAGAACGTTCTCCGTCTATTAAGCCAAGTTTGAGAGCTTCTCTCATTGTTAATTTTTGTCCATTGAGCTCATCGATAAAAATGCCGGTTGAAGGATCAAAAAGCGATTTCTTAAATGCTTCTTTAAGAGTCAGCATTGGCTTTATTTCTGATAATTTTGTTGTTATTGGAACAAGTCGATTGGTTTTAGGCAAACAAATCCATATTTTTTCGAAATTTATACGCGCATGAGGGTTTTGGATCTTAGTGTAAGGTATTTCTTTCATGTTATCAGTTATTACAGAATTTACTATCTTTGGATCTTGGGAGATATTTTGGTATTTTTGTACTAGTTCTGATATTTTTATCTTTCCACTTTCGGTGCAGACGATTGATCTAGGATCTATTACTGTAAGTCTAATCGCTGTTGCAAAATCCATTTCATTATTAAAAATATGTATATTTTTTTCCAATATGCGATTCTTAATGTTAAGTTGAGCCAATGTTAGTGGCTCTATAACAATACTCTCTGATAAAGGAATTTTTATATTTCTCTCCTGGTCAAGGAGAAATTCGCCATTGTTCATGAAAAGTCCTTGTTTTTGTGCGTCTTGTAAAGAAATTACATCAGCTTGAGTTCTCGGGTCAAGAACTTTCGATTCAGGATCAATCAAATTTTTTTCCAAGGCTTTTTGAAGATTCATGGGCTGATTTGTTGAATCAGTAAATAAACAAGTATCTAAGTCATAATAGTTGTTTAAAATAGCTTCAAATAAAGTCGTAGATGAATTCGTGGGCAAAATTTTCATTGAAGTCTTTGTATCTTTTATTGTTGACGTCTCTCCCGTTTTAGTATTAACAACTAAGCCTTCATCTGAAAGCAATATACCTAATGCTAAACATTTGTTTAATGGCAGTAATCTTTGGGAAACAGGATCTCTAATTTTGCTCGATGGACATATTAACCCGTTAACTACAGATTCTTCTATTGTACAAAATGCCCCAGTTCTTGGATCTAACAATTTCTTGATGTTTTCATTGTACATTCCATACTCCACAGAAGTCATAAGTGGCATGGGTAAGGTAATAATTAGCCCACTCAAGACAGCTTCTAGAGGACTGTAACAACAATTACTGTGTTGTAACATTCCTGTGCTGGCGTTAAAAATATGATTATTCATCGCTTTAGAGTAGGAAAGAACGTCTTTATGATCGATTATGAGAAAAGAGTTCTCATCAAGCACACCATCATCTATTATTTCACATATATTGGCTGCTTCAAATGTTATCGGATTGGTAAAAAGATGACTTGACATGATATAGAAATTTGAGAGCATATCTTCCAATGAAAGCTTCTTTAGCGATTTTAAGTCAATTAGGATTCCACATTCGATAGCTTCCCGAATTGTAATCTTTTCAGAATGCAAGTAGAAATATCCTTCACGTAAATTAAGAAGACCACTACCAATCCAGGCGTCTAATTTCAAGAATTTTTTAATAATTGGATCTCTGATGAAAACATGGTTGATACTTATATAACCAGAATCGATAGCTTCATCTATTGGTATTTTTGTACCCGTATTGGGGTCTTCGATTAAACCAGACTCCGGATCGTAAATGCCTGATTTAATAGCATCAACAAAAGATAATAATAATCTTTTATGGGGTCTTATCTTTTCAACCAATTTATCTTGATTTTGCACTATCAATCCAGTTTTGAGAGCCTCCGAAAGACGTCGATATGCATTTCCTTCTTTTATTTGACCTTTTTTAGAATCTACAATACCGGCTGCTATAGCTTCAGCCAGAGTGAGCATTTTTCCCGAAGATGGATCCCAAATTTCAGGTATATCGGATGCAATAACATTACTATTAATGCAGTCTTCTAAAGTAAGTGATCGGTTTGTTCCAGGTTCTATAAAGACATTGTTTTCGTCGTCGAATGTTCCAGAGCGTAAAGCATCAGTTAAAGATATTGGTCCTCGCCGAAATAAAATACCTCTCTCTCTCGCTAACATAAGTGGTATATGTTCACAATGTTGCTTGTCATATACAGTTTGTTTTTCGGGATCAAAGAAATTTTTTTCCATTGCAGTTTCCAAATCCAAAACTTGATCATCACATTCACCAATAATTGCATCATCAATATGAATTAATCCTCGTTTGTATAGCTCTAGTAAAGCATGCGTCTGCTTCTTAGAATCTTTAATTACATCTAACATTTCTGATGAACTTTTCTTCTGATTTTGTTTCAAAGCCAAGTTCACTGCTTCATTCAACTTTATAAATTTACCATCAGAGCCATAATCTCCAGACTCCGCATCCAAGATATCCTTATCGACGGCTTCTTCTAAAGTCAAACGATTATGAGATATAGGATCAAGAACGCATATTGAAGAACGATCGACTATTCCTTTTTCAATAGCATCTAACAGAGAATAAACTTCTCCTGTTTTCTTATCGCGTACTACTCCCTCTTTCGGATCATAAAGTCCCTGTTGTAAAAGCTGGTCGATTGTTGGCGGAGAAGTCTCAGAAATTTCCTTTTCTTTATCAGATACATTTATGGCGAGAAGAATTCCTTGTTCCAACGCTTCCGATAACCTAAGATACCTACCGCTGGCTTTATCTAAAACTAATTCTGAAACTGGATCATAATAGCTGTTTTTTGATGCCTCTTTTAGAGAACAAACTTCCCCTGACTGAGGATCTTTATACAACAGCTGACCCTTATTTAGGTTACAGTTTTCATACAATTGAAGAGCTTCAGATACAGGTAAAACGCTCACTCTCTCACTCACTCCTAGTTCACTTTTTACAACAACATCTACAACACTTACCTGTTCATTATTCGAGCCTATAGATTGAATATCTCCAATTGTTTCCTCCCCTTCTAATGCATCTCGATAGAAAGAGCTATCATCTGTATCTGCTGCAAGACTGCTGCCAATAGCAGTCACAGCTTCACCAGTAGTCGAAGTTGAAGGTATAGTTTCAGTTCTCGTTACTAAAAGCACCGTGATAAGTAAAACTATGCATTTTAATATGCACTTTAATTGGTGGAAACTTACTATAGTTATCGTTTACTTCAGGATCAAATGATAAATCTGACTTTTTATCCTCGCTAGATGTAGATCGTTTGTGATCCTTTTCTGGTCCTATAGCGTCGCTGATAGCTGACTTATAATCAGATCTGCTATCAGATCCACCCGATAAGGGAGCTTCGTAAATAGAACTAGAATCCGACTCTTTTAGATGTAAATCGCCACAATCGGGATCATTAATGTGACTACTACGATCTTCTACCTTCGCAGGAAAGATAGATGAAGCGATAGCAGCTCCCTTAGTTGGGCTCTCTGGCGATTTTTTAGTTTCGCTTTCATTTCGAATATTCTGAATTGTTTCACTATAGTCTTCTACAGACTTTACAGTTTCTGTTGTAGAAGTTGAAGTTAAAACGAAATGAGGCTGATCAGGAATAATTAAGCCTGCAGAGATGGCAATATCTAATGGTATAGCCTTTCCAGTTGCAGGATCTAACCATATTTTCTTTTCTGTATCTACAAGTCCACTTTTAATAGCAGCACTTAGCAACATTGGTGTTGACGATGATTCCAAAATATGATCTGTCTTTGAGCTGCTCACTTTCGGAAGTTCATGTCTCTTTACACTTTCATCTGTACTTTGTACAGTTACAGTTTGCTTAGTTTCTATCGTTAGCTGAGGCTCGTTGAACTCATTGCCAAATTTATTCCCAGATTCTGTTATTAATAGATTTAACTCAGCTGCTTTGGATAGATCTATATCCCCAAGTTGGGGATGATGAAAGGTACCAGTTGCAGGGTCTATAAGTCCTCTTTGATTACCTTCTTCTAGGGATATTATTTCATTAGTATTGGGATCAATTATTTTTTCAATAGCCTCTATTCTGTTTTGATCTTTGAAGGGTTGTAATCTAACAGGTCTCCTTATAAATCCTTCATCATAGGCTTGTTTTATGCTTTGTATCTCACCAGTTTTTGTGTTACAAAAAGTTTGTTTATCTAGATCCAGTATTTTGCGATTTAAAGCTTCTTGAATAGACAACATTTCATTATCTGCTACATCGTAGACGACACTTATCTCAATTGGTTCTTCTTGAATATGTGCTTCAACCGTTACATAGGTTGCCTCATCTCTCGGTAAATCGTCGTAATCTCCATCGTCTGTTTCCTCTTCAGCTTTTATATAACCTCTTTCTATTGCCTCCAAAATAGACATTTGCTCTCCAGTATAAGTATTCATATATCTACCAGCAATTCTATTAGTAATACCTCGTCTTTCTGCTTCTTCGGCATCATACCATTTGTCATCGTAATTAGGATCTCGAACTCTTTTAATTCGATAAACTTTAGCTGTTGGCTTATGACAAATAAATATTCCAGTTTTGTCTGCTCTCTTAGTTACTTCTTCCGTTCTGATAAGACCTAAATTTTCAGCTTCAGCAAGAGGAATTTCTTCATTAGTATTTGGGTCTATATATACTAATCGATTTCTGTCAAATATTTTATGTCTGATGGCATCAAATATAGGTATTTCTTCTCCTGTTTTGGAATCTATAACTGATTTTATTCTATGAGAAATTTCTGATCGCACCCCAGGTGTCATCATTCCCTCATCAGCATTTATAAGCTTTTTGTTAATTGCTTCCTCTATAGTCATTTTTTGTCCTGTCTTGGTATTAAAGAAATATTTTAAATTTCCATCTAATATACCACGTTCTAATGCTTCAGCTACTGTTAAATTACACCCTGTATCTGCATCTTTCACGGCTTTAATTGTAAAAGACTTTTCTTTGGGCAATGGTATTACTTTTACAACTTCTTCGTCATTACCTGTGTCTAGAATCAATAACCCTCTATCGACAGCGTCGGAGAAAGTCAGCCTTTCCCCTGTCGAAGGGTCTTGAAAAGAATTATTCTGCAAATCAAGTAGTCCTCTTGAGATAGCTTCTTCGGGGTCTATTGATCTTCCTGTTGTAGGATCAATAACACTTCCAATATTATAGGAGAATTTTGTATGAGAGTCTAATGTTTCAACTTTTTCAAGCTTCTCCAAACCAAGAACACCCGATAATTGCTCACCTTTGCGCTCTTCTGGAGGACCAACAATGACGAGACCTCTATCAATTGCGTGATGTAGTGCTAACTTTTCTCCCGTAATTGGATTTATATACAAAGATGAGGAGCGATCAAAAACTCCAATCTCCATTGCTTCTCTTATAGTTAATTCTTCTCCAGTCTTTGGATGCTTAAAGGCTTTAAGCTGAACAAAATCTGATGCATTGGAATCTTTTATTTCTACTTGTCTCTTTGTTTCCCGAATGAACAAAGCGGATGACGTTTTAACGAGATTTAAACTAGCCGCTTCTTCAATAGTTTTTCTTTTCCCATTAGGATAGCAATAATCTCCAGTAACCTTATTAATTATTCCTTTTTGCACGGCCTCTTCAACGGATATCTCCGACTTTGAGACAGGATCGACGACAGAAATAACATTGACAGATCTCCCGTCAGCATTCAAGGTAAATTTTACATGGCCGCTTTTTGTAACAAGTTCTTTACTGGCATTTCGATCTATTACTTGACCTTCAATATAATGGTGTTCGAAAGCTTTAAACAAAGTTTGAGATTCTCCCGTTGATGTGTTTATGAAGCAATCTGCGTTTACGTTAATAATTTCTTGTTCTAGAGCAGAAGAAAGGGATATGTGTTCATGTGTAACAGGATGTTCAATATAATCCACATTGACAACAATTGTTTCTTTAATTTTTGATGTGATTATATCTGGATGGATAACAACCCTTAAGGCAATGATGAAATTATCATCCAGAGCTTGTTTCAGTGGTATTAACCGCTTTTGTTTCGTTCTATAATGACCTGTGTCCGTTAATAAATTTCTTTCCATTGCTTCAAGCAAATTTACAGTTGTTTGAGAGATATTGTCGAAAATTTCAGCTGATCTTGCATCAATAAATCCTTTGACAACAGCTTCTCTCAAAGAGACACTATAGTTGAGAGTTTCGTCTGTAAACAGTCCCGTAGAAGCGTCAAACCGCCCACTGCTTATTGCATCTGCAAGAGGAAGAGCTGTGGTAGGTATCTCAGCCTCACCCATTTTTTCAATCGTTATGTTTGTTATCTTCAGAGTCTTCTCGTCTAATAACCTAGGTGGATGTTCAATATTTGGCGTCATTAGCCTGTATGTGTCTTCCTGAATGGAGGGATTAACGCAAATTGGAGATTTTTCTGCGACTTCCACAGTTGATTCTTTGGGAAGTATATATCCCAAAGCAACTGCATGTTTTAGAGGTATCTTTATAGAAGTAGTTGGATTTTTGTACATTCCGCTATTTGTATCTATTAAACCATGTTTTACGGCCTCGGTAAATGGAATAGTATTTCGCTGTTCAAGATCTGGAATGAGGGCCTCGAAAATCATATCAGTTAAAGCAAGCCATTTTCCATCCGCTCTGTTTAGTACCAAACCTTGCTGAGGATTCAAAATACCTTTCCTAATGGCTTCATTAATTGTTACAGTAACCCCTGTGGAAGGATCAACTATAATAGATTTTTCAGGACAAATAACCCTTTGGAGAATTGCATCTTGTATATTAAGTAATTCTTCGCTTTCAGGATGTATAATGTACGAAGGAGCTTTGATCAGTCCCCTTGCTACTATTTCATTTAATGATATCGGTAAGGATATGCCTTTATCGACACTCATAGGTTTTTGATCGACCATCAGATGCTGTTTTTCAGAAATAGTTGTTTTTTCAATAACTTTCTTTAATACAGAAGTCTTTTCTGGTTTAGTAGTAGTTTGAATATCAGGAATTGACTGTACTGTCTCTAGATTTTCAAACGGTTTTTCCTGTGAAGGTTCCCACATATGCCAGGATATTTTGTTATCTTCAGTTTGTTTATCATCTGTACTCCACTCTTCTTTCTGTAATGCTTTTCTATCTTTTAACGAGACAGCAGCCTTATCATATTTTACTGCATGTTTCCAATTTTTCTCCAAAGATGAATGGTCTAAAACAGCAGCTCCTGGAACAAGAATCAACTCTCTTTTTGCTGCGTCATTTAAATAATATTTTCTCTTTTTCTTAATATCAATATAACTTTTTCGATCTATTATTCCTTGCGTTTTACCGTCAATTATTGAATGTCGAAAATTGGTTACAGGATGAATGACTAGAGGAAAACTTTTCGAAATTTTATCTTGATCGAAAGCTTCCGAAACCGAACAACTAGTCCCAGTTTCTCCGAAAATTAAAGTCTCCTTTTTATCATAGGCATCCTGGATTAACCCTGAAGAAAACGTTTCTGAGAATGACAAAATCATTTTTCCTGATTCCGGATCATGCAAATTTCCCGATTTCGAATTTAAAAGACCTGTTCTTATTGCTTCATCTAAGTAGACTTTTTTATTATTTAATGGATTAATCACAATGGCACTTTTGCCTTCGATAACATTTTTGGAAACTGCTCTACCCAAAGAAAGCATTTCACTCGTTCTAGGATGAACAAACGTACCCGAATCCAAAGATAACAGTCTAACAAGAACAGCATCAATAAAATTCAACGGTAAAAGTTCATCTTCCAGGAAAGCTGGGTGTATAAGCCAACCCAATTTTTTAACTTTGTTCTCATTTACTCTTCCTGTTTTAGAGCTAATAATCCCACTTTCTATAGCAAGCAGTAAAGATTTTTTCTCTTGACTTCTAAGATCAGTAATAGCTGTTTCGTTAGGACTTATGAATCCTCCGTGTACAGCCTCTTGAAGAGTTATAATATTTCCAGTAGTAATATCTCTATACTGACCTCTTTTAGGGTCATATATGCCCAATTTCGAAGCATCTTCATATGACAAAGCATGGCGATTACTCATAGGAATTTCTTGGGTCGTCTCTAGTTCAAATACATCTGGTCGTACAACTTTGGACGATTTTATGGTCATAACAACGGAGTCTTCTTGTTCGACAGGCAATGATTTTTTTTCGTTATCGACAGTATTAACAAAACCCAAACTTATTGCCTCATCAATTGGTATCCTAATATCGGTTTCTGGATTATAGTAATACCGGTTATCTCCAGATAAGAATCCAAGTTTATTGGCTTGTTTTGGGCTAATATTCGATTTTGAAATTGGGTCATAGACATTTGCAATAGTTTCGCCAGTTCCGGGAATTTTTGAAGCCACAACGGCACTCCTAAAAATTTCTTGCTCATCCGTACGAACGACACTGCCTGTTTGGATGAGATTATCTGATATTGCCCTTTCCAGAGATATTTCTGTCATATTTTTAGAATCTACGAATGTTCCTTTCGCTTCGTTGACTATTCCTAATTCAATAGCGTCTTCTAATGAAATGTTTTCTCCAGTTTGAGGGTTTGTGACGCTCTTGATTCTAAAAGTCTTCTTTTCTTCAGATATTCTTTCTTGAGCCATCTCTTCTAGGGCCTCAATTTCGTCATCAATATGAATACTCTCAATATCTTCTCTATTTGAAGATGGTTTTACAGGTGTTTCACACATTTCAACAAGACCAAGCTTTTCTGCTTCGTCTAAAGAGAGTACCTTTCGATTTTTAAGGTCTTTATATTCTCCAGTTGTGGTATCAATAAGGCCTCTATTAACAGCTTCTTGGGCCGAAATCACTTCACCAGTTCTAGAATCTGTAACAGAGTTCATTGTATACATTGTTTTCTTGGCTGTAGTTATACCAGTTGTCGATGCCTCCAATGTATCAGCTTTCTTCCTATCTACCTTTACATCTGCTTGAATTAACCCTTCTGTAACGGCTTCATCAACTGGAATTCTCTCATGAGTTGTTGGATCAACGTATACCGCATGAGTTTGGTCAATTAATCCCGATTTAACCGCATTAGCTACTGATACAAATTCGCCAGACTGTGGATCAAAAACAGACTTCAAAGTTAAGGTTTTTGTCTCTTTTTCGGCTGACTTCTGTATATTTTTATTCGCTGTAGATCCCTCACAGAGAACAAGTTTTTTATCAATAGCCAAAGCTAAAGGTATTCTATGCTCTCTCCCTAAAGAATCAAACTCTACATATTCTTTTGAAACTTTATCAATAATTCCGTTTTTAATAGCCGTATTAATATCAACTACTTCACCAGTGGCAGGATCAATAGCTGCAGATATACTAAACTGTTTCGTTTCTTTTATGGCAGTTGATGTGTAATAATCTCCATCTTCATCAGCATTTGCACTTTTCAATAAACCTCTTTCAAAAGCTTTCGCGATTAACATAACTTCTCCGGTCAGTGGATTTTTGTAAATACCATCTTGTAAATTCAAAATCCCTTTCCTGATTGCATTTTCAGTATCTATTTCTAATCCAGTGATTGGATCAGTGACACTCTTCACAACCATCCTCTTACTTTCAGAAATATCCGCTTTTGATGGTTTTAATATTATAATTTCTTTTTCTAGGGAACGCTGCAAAGTTAAACTATTTTGAGAATATGAATCAAAGTATTTTCCCGTTTCGTCAATCATGTTTTTATCAATTGCCTCAATCAAATTATATTGTTGTCTAGAGTGAGGTTCAACAAACATTGCAGAATTCACTTCGAGTAATTTATTTTTTAAAGCGTATTCCAAAGTGCAAGGCTTTCTCGTAATGGGGTCAACAAATTTTCCCGTTGTCGTATTGAGTAATCCTTGCGAAATAGCATCAGCCATATCGAGGGATTCGAAGTCGTCACCTTCGTTCTTTGAGGATGACACCATTTTAATTTCTCTTTTTTCAGCTGTGTGAGTACGAGTAGATAAATTGTCTTTTTTGATAGTTTCTGTTGTTAGCTGCTCTTTTGAAATAATTTTTCCATAAGCATCTGGGCGACTTTCTTCCATTTCAACGTCGACCTGACTTTGTTCATATTCCATGTCATAGGACTTGGATTGTGACAGTACTCTAACTTCAGATACACTTGTGTCGTGAGACACGATAGGAGAGATAACTTTAAGTAAATTTTCTAAATTATTGACGTTTATTAAGTCGGCTGACACAGCTTCCTGTAAAGAGTATTCACGCCCTGTTTGAGCTACAATAACATGGCCTCTGGACGGTTCAAAAAAGCCGCGGTGTAGTGCATCTAGTAGAGTCATGTTCTTTCCATCCGGTAAACAGAGTCCTGAGTCTGAATTTAAAATTTTCATCATCTTTTCAGAAATATATTTCCTTTTATATGCATCTTGAAGACTCAATTGTTTTCTTGATCTTTTATCAATAAATAACGATTGTTTGGGATCAAATATTTTGCTTCTTATAGCAATAGGTAAAGATACAAAAGAGCTTCTTTCTGTATCTTTAAAACCTTTAATTGCAAATAGTGTAGATTGTTCAATAACTTGTATTAATTGAAGATTGATAGCATCTTCAACAGTAATTCTCTCTTTTGAAAAAGGATTAATAAAATAACCAGATGGTGATATTAAACCATTTTCTCTAGCTTCGTTGAGTGATAACAATTCTTTATTTCGCATGTCCCTCAAGCATTTTTTGTTAGTATCAATCATATTCATTTCTATTGCCTTTGTTATCGATAAACTTTGATCACTTAATTTATTGCTTGGAATTAAAATTTCTTGAAGCGTCGTCTTGAGTCGCAATAAACCACGTTCCAATGCTGATACCAGAGTTAATGTTTTCCGGGATTTAAAGTCTGTTAATTTACCAGTCGATGGGTCTAAAATCTTTTTTTCGATAGCTTCTCTTACGTTTATAAGAGTATTATTTTCAGTATTGAGAACTTCAACACTATTTTCATCTATGAATCCTCGAGATATCGCCATACCTAAATCAAGCTGTTCATCAGATATTGGATCAATGAATTTTCCAGTTTTTTCTATAAAAAAACCATTTTCTACTGCTTCCTTGAGAGATAATTTACAGTGATTAGCATTTTCAGCAGACAATTTTGCATCAAATCTTTGAGTCACTTTAATTCTGAGAGGAGTTTTGGCAAATTTTTTAACAGCCGCTCCACCAACAAAATTTCTTTCCTGTGCTTCTTCTAACGATATGTAAACATTTTGAAACCGATCCTTTATATTTCCAGTTCTATAATCAATCAAATCTGATTGCAATACCTCCTTGACTGAGAGCTCAAACCCTGTTTTCGGATCATAAACACCCGATTGAGACTTTAAATTTTGAGCAGTATTTTTGGTTATTATGCCTTGGTTGATAGCATTCTCAAAAGATAATCGTTTACCACTTTTTAAATCGACGAATTTGGCCAAGTTTTTGTCATATAAACCACGTGAAATAGATTCACACAAAGAAATTTTATCACCGGTTAAAGGATCTTTTACAGACTCTGTAAATAGGATCTGGTCAGGGGGATAGATTATTTTGGAAAGAGTTTTCGTGACGATTTGACTTGTGGAAGACGTTGATAGAATATCGCCAGCTGGACTCATTGTTTCAATAGCTGCCTGATGTTTTTCAAAAGTCTTACTTGGTGATGAATATTTAAGAGCAGACTTCAGTTCCTTCAGAGGTTGACCCCTGTGTGTTTCATGACTTAAACGAGAATCCAGAGACAACAGGTTTTCTTTGATTTCGTGCTGAAATTTAAATATTTTTATTAAGTAACAATATATGTACTGACAGTCTTACAGGAAAGAATTTGTTATGTTTTTCAAAAATGGTCCTGTAGTTCATCAATAGTTGGGCTAATCTTGTTCGTATTTTATCATATCCATTATTTGTTAATTCTAATTCTGTCCTAATATTATCAACACGAGGTCGCTTGCTAGAAGTTGCACCAAAACGTTGTTGGTCACTTCCAAGTGAATCCATATATCTTTCAATATTGGAATCATAGTCCTGTAAAAAATTTGGTATAAAAGTGCATCAAGTGAAATGAATAAAAAAAAATACGTGATGACGCATTTTGAAACGTTAACAAAAAGATCCAGAAAAACTTACATTAACTTCCTGTAAAAATTTTTCCCCACTTTGATTCATCAATGAGAATGTAGTACTCAGTCCCTCGCTTTCAGACAGGAATCGCTAAAAATAATAATATTGAAATTACCTTAACAACAATACCAGACGATTCAAAACTCACTGATACTTTGCCAGCTGCTCTTTCAGCCTCTGCCAAAGACATATTATATTGGAAGGGCATTGTAGCTACTTCCTTTTCAGTTTTTAGTAGCCAAGCTGACATTTCTTTATAGTTTTTTCGATATTCTCCGAGAAATATTAAAGCCTGTTCAACGTTATATTTTCGATCAAATTCTTCTTGCTGCAATCGGATAAGTCTTTTGGATAAAATGTCATTATCACTCTCAAAGATTTTTATATCTCCACGATTTCTTGCTTCTACACCAGATATTTGTTCTCTAAGGTTTAATATTTCTCTCGTATTTTGCTTTATCAATTGCCCGGCCGATTTAGACTTTGTCTTAATTTTCTGCAGTTTTTAAAATATATTAAAAAAATTTATAAAAAAAATAATAGTCTATTTACAGCAAAATTAATTATAACTTCTCTTAACACAGAAGAATCAGCAGGTAGTGTATCATACGCTGTGATTTCAGCTTCTCCTTCCGAGAGTATGAGATCACTTCGCTCCATACCTATTAAGATATTTTCCGCGACTTTCAATAACATAGCGTATGAATTACTTAATTTCCAAGCATTAGTCCATTTATCTATAAGAAGGTTTTTCTGATTTTTTACTTCTTGTGTTCTATCTCTTTTAGGAAGTTGGTCAATGCTCGATTCTAAAGATTTAATACTTGATTCCAAATTTCTTAGCTCTCCTTCAGAGTTCTTTTAACAAAAACGTCTAATTAAATGATCATGAACAATTATATTATTAATATTGCTACCTTGTGATAAGCTACATGAGAATCAAGAATTTTACTGTCATTTGGTAGGGGTTGAGCTATTAATCGATTAAATAAACTCTCCTTTTCTTCTAATTGATTAAGTAAACTATTCAGTTTTTGCATCAATGTCTGATTTTGAAAGCTGGAAACAGCTGTTCCTTGTCGAGATACGGATCGCTCATATAACTCTCTACATTTTCTTTTTTCTTCTATGAGTTTCTTGACGTCCACATCATCAGCGCCATATTCAGCCACTATTTTTTCTATATCATTATTGAGGCCTTTCATAATATTTTTCCATTTTTCTCTAGTTGAAGGCTGTTGAAATTATTGAAATTACGAATGTAAATTACTGTGATTAGTTATTAAAGAATTAATTCACCTGATCCCAGTCTGAATTTCGAATAATTTCGAAGGACTTTAAAAGTGTATTTATTTTCAAATTTTTATTTTTTTCTCTAAATTCTTGACAAAGAAGATTAAATTTGCTGCGCACAGAACTCGAGTATTCAACAGAAAAAATATCCGGTGGAAGAATTTGAAAAATTACAGACGGAGCTTTGAACTCCTTTCCTGATTTTGATCGCAGTCGCCATTGAGTTGATGAAGCGTTATCAACTAAATTATACTTTTGGTTAATATCTACTCTAACATGTTGCTTTTCATAGTTTAGCAAAGGTTTTACAGCAACGGGATCTATAATGTTTTCCTTTCTTGTTGACAATGGTATTATATTTTTGGAAGCATCAATCCAGTCATTCAATATACTTTCGTACGAAAAAATGGTTTCTCTAAGTCTCTGATAGGAAAAAATGTTTGTGAAAGAATTAAAATTTTGGTATTTAACAAGGATTACATCTAATTCCCTAAAGCGTTTGTTTCCATCGTCGCTTTTTAGGCTGGTTGAAGCTTGAACACGTGACATATGTTTTTCAATCCAGTCCTCATGAGCCCGACCACTTTGCAAAAACTGTAAAAAATTAGTATTATTTAAAAATATTATATCAGTCGAAATTTGTCCATATGTTTTTTATATACCTCGCGTTGATCAATCGCTGTTTGCAGGTGGTGTTTAGAACAATTAATTATTTGCAACAGCCAAGACCATTGATTATGCAAAAGTTCCATGTATACCTATTAAAACCAATATTACTCACTATAAAAAAATGTATTTTTTATTTGATTCAAACCCCAATTTGTTCTAAAGCTGGGTGTTTTTGCTGACTTAGTGACTCTCCTTTCGCGTATATTTTTTTGAGTCTACGTTCCCTATCTTGTAGTTCTCTTGTCAAACTCTGAAACAAAACATGAGATACTTCAAATGAGTCAAGTTTTAAGTAAGAATATATGACAATATTCATATACAAGGCCTTACATCAATATAGCGCTTTGGAACGCTAATATTTGACAAAACTGAGCTCCAATCACGAGTGAGCTCTTCCTCCTCTTTTTGATTTAGCCACGTTAATTCATTAGCGGCTTTTTCTACAAAAGCTAAAAGAGATTCCAAGTTGTTCAGTCGATTGGAAGACGAGGTCTGGGTCACAAAAAATGTTATACTAGAGATTTAAGAACAACGAATAACTTACACATAGTCGCCTATAAGATGAATCAAGCTGAGACAGTAGCATTTGATATTCGGCCATTTCTTGAGCAAGTACGGAATGCTAAGAATAAAAAGTTATAAATAGAAGTCATTATTTCTATCTGCTTACTTTTCTAGCAAAGCATTGTTCAACTTTCATTCGTAAATCTCTAATTGAGTCTTGTAGCTGACGATGCTCATTCAAATCCCTTCGAATTTCTTCTACATTAGAACCGTATGACGACGTATCAATCGCCATCTGTTTCTCTTTCACGAGTTTTAAACAATGAGATATGAATTGGATGGCATCATCTCCTGTTGGTTGACTAACTGATCCTGTTTGAGCTGCAGAAGCCATTTGATTTTGGCTTCTTCTTTGAGACAAAAATCTATTTGATCTAGTTCGAAGAGAATTCCATCTCAGATCTATCCTATGAACTCTAGATTGTAAGTGTTCGGTGTCTTGAAACCTTTCACTTCTCAAGGTGTCCATATCTAATTTACACTGACTTAATCTTGCATCGATGTTTGAAAGATTTTGTTCGATTTCTTCCTCAATATTTTTTATATCTACAGTGGCATCTGATTTTTGGTATCGACTTTCTCCCTATATAATATGGAATATACAATGAAAATTTTTACTTTTTAATTTAAAACTAGTTTTACTTGAAATATTTTCCTCTCTACACTTTCCAATAGCTGTTCACTAACTTGACATTCTCTTGATACTTTGTCGGCAAGATTTTGCAAGCGGTTGAGTCTTACATAAAAAAGAATATTAATTTCTAAAACGAGATAAATTTTTATTTACCGGTTGCAAGACGAGTCTAAAATTTGTTCTTTTTCTCTCTGAGAAGACATTAAGTGATTCCATAATCTATTTATATTTTCAGGGTGAACATTTTCTTCCACTGGAAATTGAGGAGTAGCATCACTTGATAACTCCTATTGGAAAATAATTTACATTAAAAATATGTAATTATGAATTAAATAACATCAGATTGATAACATTATAAATTCAACTGCTTTATGAATAAAATATGCCACAACAAGTTCAGTCATAAAGTTCACAAAAGATTGTTTGTAAAGAAGTCTTCGTATGAATTGAATACGAATGATGTATAGAGAAATAATTTCAAATAACCCACACAATACAAATTGACGTTTATCCATTTTGGAATTCAAAGAATATGTGAAAATAATGATTAATCAATTTGTAAACTTGCAAAACAATTGAATATTGTCAAAAGCATTTTTTGCAGATTAGATAACTTGAGTAAGACTTAAAAGTATAAAGAATAACCCGCTCAAGCAAAAAACTTCGAAACTAGTTTCTATTAAAGAATTTTTTTATAGCCATTATACAATTATAAATGTAATTCTTGAATGAAATTTTATAAATCTTCACAATTTCTATAGAAAGAATAATTTAATATTCACCAGAAATCCGAAGACTTTATAAATATTTTCCATATTGAACACAAAGGGTTCGTCGTCAGTCAAAAATAAATACTCATCGCAATTAATTACCCAATCACCATTCATTCAACGTTTCTATTACCTTTACTTAGTGAAACTAGCATTGCTCATATCAGCAGGCTTAGTTCAATATGATTATAGGCTAATCATTTTCACAATATATACAAAGTATAAAATAAATAAATATATATATATATATATATAAATTTATATACTGTATATATAGACTGTATATGCTTTAATATTACTTTTTCAATTATTACTATTTTTTAGAGCACCTAACGGTATTCAATTTCATGAAAAAAACATAAGGGGCAAAAGCAACTCACCGAAATATAACATTGAAAGAGTATCAAGACAACTATAAGGAGTATGAGAAATAGCATTAATAATTTTGCTGATATTGGTATGAAATCCACTGGCAAATAATCCGTACAAGACATGAGAAAACAGTATAAACATTTCGTTATCCATGTTGCAAGGTAATAGAACATGATGAACGATTTAATCAAGAGGCTACTATTTGTAGTCTCCTTGCATATGATAAAACAATGCGTACTAGATATGGATAGGCGATTTCTTTAAAAATAGAACCGACTATATTAATCCTACTAGCTGAAATAGGCCTTTCTGAATCGATATAAACATCCACGTGTTGGTTATCAGCCGCTTTATTTTCTTTGCAATACCATTAGACTAGCTGGCTGCAAACTTTTGTGAAAATTCCAAAGACAAAATTCAACGGTTTGGCAAATGCGAAACACTAAGCATGAAATCAAATAACTTGTAACTCTCAATAAACTTTTAAAGCCAATGTAAACTTAACAATATAAGAAAAATGATTTCTTCGATTATTCAATCTTGTTTTGTAAACCTAAAGAGCGCTACAAATGGCGCGCAAGCTCTAAGTTTCACCTTACGATAGGCCGAAAAATGCAAAGTAAGCGGCCTTCTAAGTCTAACCAGTCTTCCTTTAATATTGCCGTCGCACATTGTCACGTAGGCTCAAAATTACAAAGACTTTTTTGTTAATTAAAAACATTATCAGTTAGTCTCATATCAATCTTGTGTCAAACGACCTTCTTTTGACCATAATTCCACAAGAAATTCTCTAACAAAACTAATAAAAGAAGATTTATATTACCTGAAACTCTTGAAATAGCTTTGAGAGCCGGTTGCGCTCTTGTAGTTTTGGCGGGATATCTTCTCTTACAAATCGATCTAATTCATTTTTTTCAGACTGATTTTGCGAAAGACTATCATAGAATAGTAAGATATATGAATTCTAATATTTACTCGTGCATCGATGCTCCGAGACATATAGTTAAGGCCATTAATAAAGTCTATCCCTTTCTTTAGCCAGGATACGTGAGTAGAAGCCAATTTAAAATATTCGTCCCATTTAAGTTGACGTTCCTGAAAAACCTTGCCATGAAATATAAAATATAAGAGCAAATTAACTAACATTATCTCGAATTGATTGTTCGACGCTTGGTACGTCTGGGAAGACATCGTACAGAGATGATACATAAGTCATGAGAGTTCTCTCGTCGGGATGATCCATATCAACATCTGAAAAAAATTTAACTTTTTCATTTGTTTCCCTAAATAACTTGACAAACCTTCTGGATCGAGAATTTTGGTAACACCAAATTCTTTCTCAGCTAGATCAAAAGCCATTTTAAGGTTTTCTCTTGCGCTATTTTTCCTGATACTACGGAAATCTATGAGGTCAGGTCTGGAAAATTTTCATGTAAATCAACCAAACGGCAAAAAGTGGTTTTAATTTGTACATTCACACTTGACAAAATTGTCTAGAGATGTAAGTATAGCTAAAAAAAACTCTTACCTATGTCTGTGAATAATTGATAGAAATGCTTTTCCATCTCTCCAAGATGAAGAGAAGTCTTTAACATTCACACCTGGATAACCGTGAACTATTCTTCTACTCCAAAGAAGAAGAGCTTCTCTGGCTGAAACGTCAGTTGTAGGACCAGAAACAACGTCTGCAATCTGATAATAAAATCTCTAAGTAATACAATTTTGCAGGAAATCCAAATATAAGTGTTTAATCTTGACATACACAGTAAGCTTACGATCAGAGCTTTGTAACTTTGAAAAATTTCATTCGAAATCAAACACAGGTCGATATACAGGCCTAAATTTACTTTTATTTTCCTATCAGATCAAAGGTTGTAAACTATTTCAAAAAAATAATACCCGGTTAGACGAATAAATCAATTTTATATTGAAAAACTACCTTTCCCATATCTATCCTATTAATATATTTACTCTAACTGATATAATTAGTATGTTATCTATCGTTATGAATCAACTTACACATAAATTGGTCTTAATCTACTTTAAAAACAATAAAACTTTGACTGAATATTTGTGGGAGCAATTCTGAAATTTCTTTAATATCATTTATTATGAATTATATATTCGCTAGATAACGGTGTGATAATTTGTTTAATAAAGTTATTTATCTTTACCAAAAATATTTAGTCCTATTTTAAATTAGCAATTAAAACATATATTGTGCTATTACACAGGCAGCCAACCAGCAGTTGTTTATCATCAATAAAATAAGTCACTGCTTGACATATAATCATTAAATTTAATAATATAATATTAAAATAAAACAATAAAGTATCCCCGAAAATTAAAATGATAGCTCCTGTTTTTATTCCGGAAAAAGAATAATACGAAAATTTTTACAGATCATAGTGTTCTCTCGGCTATACTGTCAAACAGACTGTGTTCAAAAATCAATAATATTTTTCGAAAAAGAGCCCAGTAGTAAAGTATGAAATCTTAGAAATTATTCTAGAAACTAAACCTTTTTCAATCAAAAAAGCGAAATATGCCTCTCAGGAAATTCCTAGGAAAATTGACAAAACATACAGGAAAACAAACTACCAGATATCACTAAAAATTCACAATTCAGAAATGAGTAGCACAAATTTCACCCAACATGCATTTTGATCAATAAAATGGCCTACGAGCTATATCTATGAGTTGCATTTGTTCAATCTCTTAGTTTTAGATTTTTGTCAATATGAATTTTACTTCTCGTAAATGAAGCGAATAAGTGACTTTTTTAGCCGACTTGATAATCCTTGTAAAAGTTATGCTTTGGCTATTGGTTTATTTCAATGTATAAAATACCTTTGCATTCTCTGTTACAGGAGCATTTTCGTTTGTAGAGCTAACCAAGCTACATAAACTGGAATATTTTCTAGCAAAAAATCTACTGGTTGTTCTCAAAGACGTAAATGGCGGTGTTCTAGGCGCACTCAACTTTGAAACGTTCTTCAAACTAATTTTATCCTTCTTTTTCTTACGCTTTCCTCCACAACCGCAAAATAAACTAGCCATTTGTTGCACGATAAGTTAAAAGTTGTCCGGCACGCGGTCTAATTTTACCACAGGTATTATATGCTATCCAATTCTTATCGGTATATTTTATCAGTTTGGCAAGTACAATGTTTGTACATATGCCGAATACCTTATCAAACGACGAGCAAATGTCAATTTGATTCTTTGATATTTCGTCAATAGCTGGATAAAACAATGATAATGTAGGATATTTGGTAGCAAACCAGCTGTTTGCTTCCTACAGAGAAGAAGGCCAGGAAAATACCTATACCGATAGTGACTCACAGAGGGATTTATTTTGGAGATTTACAATTTCTTGTACAGCTTTTAAAATTCCAAACCATACTACTGTTATATATGTTTTAGAACCAGTTTCTGCAGCAAAATCAGCTTGTAATATTCCAATGGGGAGAATTAAAACAAGATAAATTATCTTCGCTTTCTATATTTTGATTCTGTTACATTCAGGACAGGGCCTGTAAGATTGACAATTGCTTTTTTTCACGCAGTTTTTACAATCATTATACGAACTTATTCAAGTAACCTTACAAAGCCGTCTAGGTAAAACTTTCATTGTATATGGTTCGTCTACTATCTAGGTTAGCATTCAAGTAAAAGGCAAAAATTTAATACGAGTTACCTTATTTTTACGAGTAGCCTAGTAAATTCATTTATAAAATAGTCGATTAACAGACAAAAAAAAATATAATGGAAACGCATTTTTATATGTCGATCAAGACCGTCTGGTGCCAAACAAACTATAATTACTCTGCCGACCTTAACAAAAGGAGTAATATTTTTAATATTATTTGCTTATTCGCTGATGTTTTTTACCTTAGTTTCATTATCTCTAATTGGGTCATTGGATTCACTCGAAGATGAATCAATCTCTACTCCTATACGGATGAGATCATGAGACCGGTTGCTATTTTTAAAATCCTCTTCGCCACCTAGCGGGCTATTGGGGGACGAATCGTAAGCCCCTACTTTTCTATATCTTCTTGCACCGCAAAAACATCCCATAAAGGATGAGCAACTACATGGCTTTGCTATGCTATTTTTGTCGGAGACATTCAGTTCAGCAACGTCTTCAAAGTTTGTCGAACCAGTTAACCATCGATCCTCTTTCCAGTTTTCTTTTTTCCAAATTGTATCAGCAGATGATGAAGCAGACAATGGTCGTCGAAATCTTTGGGGTAATTTTGAAAATTTCACTCTTCGTTTTGTTCTGGTAGGGTTAACTGGCGTCGGTGACTTTCGACCAGACATCACTCTCCTGATATATCAGCTATATAATCACAATTACAGCGAGATATTCCCTAAGATTTTATGATTTGAACAAAACAGTCAGAAACTGAAACAGCAAATGTAGATAACTTTGTGAGTCAGTCGACATATGTAAAATAACGTCTCCAGGCCTACTATGAACACAGAGTAAATCAATACATAATGCCAGGCATGCGTTTACTGCAGCACGTGGAACCGAAATGTCCAACTTTGCTTATTGCAGGCCCGATCATGTGACTCAAAATATTTGAGCAGACCAATTAACAATGAAAAGTAAATAAGAACAGTAACACAGAACTCAATAAAAGAACCTACACGTTTGAAGAAAAAACGAAACACTGATGTACTTCGACGACGTAGCATTTTCTTTTAAAAATTCAATTTTTAAATTTGGATCTATCTGAGAAGTTTGAAAGCATTTGGTAGTATCTATATGTTGATTTGACCACCTTCGTATATTATAACCTAAAGTTATTTTCTTTCCTAAACGTAAGGTATATATTCATGCAATCACCAGACTTTTTCTCGACTATATTGCAAGTATTTTTGGCAGGCGATCCTGTTATACTCTCAACTGAAAAGCTTTTTTAGGTACTGTGGCAACATAGAAGAGTCTATTTGAGCTCGCAGCAGGCCAGATGATATAAGCCAGTACACGTTGATTTTTCGATTTCAATAGCAACATTCCTCCGTAGGCCATTTTATTTTCGATTACTTTGAATTCCGTACCGGAAATATTGTTTCAGTGAATCACAATAAGATATCAAATAACACCTGAAAATGATTAAAAATTGGCACTCCTCCTTATATCACTTATTGGTGAAGAGGCGCTAAATTTCTTGACGCCTACGCATTCAACAAATCTATATTAGTTTAGCACATTGGAAAATATTAGCAATTCCTGAAGGCATTATTTTATAAAAAAAAAAAAAGGATATACTTGATGCACTTTAAGTAAAACTTTTGACTACGTATTGCATATATTTTTCACATATTCAACTTTATAGTATATTTGCAATATATTTCTTTTACTTCTGTAACAAAAATTATTTTATCTTGAATCACGAAATATTTTTGCAAAATTTTTTAATTTTCTTGTCTGATTTCTCTTTTGACTAATATTTTTTTATAATACACTATAATATACTATTCAGCATTGAGCATAAAAGGTTATGTTGTTCACGTTGTTTACTCACGTGACCTCTGGTCACACAAAAATTCACATAAACTCACGCAACAATTGACGAACACTTGTTTGTACAATCATTACTCAATGATAAGTATGAATTACAGAAAACATAATATCGATTTCATTTAAAGAGAATATGATTGATAAAGTAATTCTAAAGACTAGATTAATGAAACCTGAAAACTAACGATTAAAAAATAAACAGCAGCAAAAAAATTACATTGATACCTGCAACATACCGTTTTTTTTTAAAGTTATCTGGTAATGAAAATAAAATGTAAATCGATATTTCTGCAATTTAATCAATAACTATAATTTTTTTCAGCAGTCAACACGTTTCGAACCCCATTAAATAGTTATGAATATAAATGTTGCTTATAAAAGCTGCCATGACTAGCATACAAAATGGAAAATTTTACTTCAACTAAAGAAATTTTTGTCAAGTTTAAACGTGTTCCATTTATTTATACCCCTAAGAAGTGGTATGAAAGAATACTCGATTTTCTACCCTATATTCGTATCCTAATTTTTCAAGATAAAAATTAAACAGATATCTGCTAACACTTACCCTTCGTCGAGTCACTATTTCAGCTTTCTTAGATAAAAATGAGTAAATATATTCCCGAAATATCCCTCTTTTATAACGATAGCGAGCATAAGTGAACACACTCCCAACATCTTCGGGAGCCAAATGTCTTTCACTGGACCAAAGCGAATGCAATGAATTGGTCCTCATCAAACTAAAGTTATCAGAATTCGTTGCATTTAAGTCACATACAGACTTCCATTTTTGTTTATACATTCTTAAATCAGTGGGTATTGAGGTGGGTCTCTGACCACTTGTATTTAAAACATTTGAAAAAGAAGAACTTCTATTTAAATTTGCTGGCTTTATTTGTATGTTATCAGCAGTCAGATCAGTTGCAGATGTTGTTCGAGGTAAAGATAGTGCTAGGGATGATTTACCCACATTAGCTAAATCTTGAAGAGAGGGTTCCCTTTCTGGCTTGTACATAATAGGTTGAGTGTTTCGTCGCTGTCTTTCCTGTCGAATCCTTCTTACTCGTCTCTCCATGATTTCATTTACTTAGTACCAAAATCAACACTAAAAAGTATCCGTTCGTGGAATACCCACCACAACGCATTTACACAATTTTAAAATGTATAATCAGTAAAATGACAAAATAATTATATGTCAATAGAAGTAAAATGCACAAGATATATATAGCCTATCCGAATGAAAGAAGTGCTTACAGGCAAGAGCGCAAACATGAATGGTGACTTCAACGTAGAGAAAACTATATTTAGATTCTTAAGTAGGTGGCGCTTAGGGCCAAGGTATTATTATTGACAATCGCCGAGTGTTGAATGATATTATTATGAAATTTGACCTAAAGTTATGCATACCTAAGCAACGTAACAATGAAAAATTTTAAAGATTTTTTCATTTTTCTTAGACAGTTAGTTAGATGCAAAAAAAATAAACACCAATACAACAAATAACATCAAATAAACATGAGATATTGGTCTGCTGTCTTTAAGTTGTAATAAAATAACGATCGAAAAATCCTTTTCGAAAATAATATATATGTATATACAGCATATAACTATGCGATCAACTTTAGCACTGTAGCCTGCCTTTATTCCTTTAAATTAATCATACCTTACTTGAATAAAGCAAGATTGATATGGAAAAGGCTTAAATATTTGAATGCAAATTGTTTTTCCATCCAACTAGGCATTTCATTTTAAACCTTACAATTCAATTCAATTTAAAATGGAACTAGTACAACCTTTGATCATTAAAACATCATCTCATTTGCTTAAAAACTACTGGATTCAATAAGGATAATTGTAAAATATCTATATCAATATTAAATAGTTACAATTATAGGCAAATATATGATTTATTTGAGTATTTTCTTAGTACGTGGGAATCTTTTGTCGCTCTAATCATATATTTTGATGAAGAGATCTTGAAAACTTAAAATATCTTCTTCTCGTATATTATATTACACTCGATAAAATACCAAAAAAAAAATTCTTAAAAACTTACTTGATAATGAAGAATAATTGTCCAAATTAAACCCAACGTTAATTTTGGATTTCCGTCTACTATTTCGTCCGCTCTTATATTCACCAATTTTATCTGTAAAACAGAGATCTTTAGAGTAATGGACTATGAATAGTAGTGAACGATTAAATCGAACTGCACAACGTGCCTTTCGTGTTTACATTGCCCTTTATTTTATACAGCGGAATATTTGTTTCATCGCCGACTTAAAGACCAGTATAAGAGAGCAAGCAAAACAAATAGCATACCTGTCTTTTTACTTGCAAGTACCTAAGAACGATCTGCACGTTCTGCTGCTTATGAAAGCGCATATTTCCCCTTTCTCGAGGCTATGGAGATCAGATCAATAATAAAGAGCATTAAAGAATTGAATGAGAAAAAGTTACAAACCAAAACATCGCGAGATAGTACTTCAATTAAGGCTATTAGGTTATGGCCGTCGCGTAAGTCGTCAAATAAATCTCGTACCACCTTATGTCGCTTTAAAAATGAAATAAATATTATTAATACTTCCAAGTTCTAGGACCATTTTAAACACAACAGTTGACAAGTTTTTCTAAAATTGAAACATAGATAACAAAATAATATAAATGAATAAGTAATACAGTTAAAACTTAAATGTTTGGTAAGTTTACATGCTTGAAATGAATAAAATGTAAAATTTTCAAAGGAATATACTCAAAATGTTTAATATAAATCTCTAATACACAACCTTGTAGAACCTCCAGTGCTGTGTGTATAAGGAGGGAATGATTAAGAAACTTCAAAATTTTTATAAGGATAAGTTGTTAAATACTACAGCAAAAACCGAATATCTTTAGCTCCATCAGAGGTTTATTCTATTAATTTAACTTTAAAGAACCACTAAGTCACACCTAAAAACCGCCTAATCTTATAATTTCAGAACAGAAATGCCCTATTTTCTCTAAAATAATTTAAATAATATTTGTTGTTAAACAATAAATTATAATTAGTTACTATACTGTACACTCTAAAGGAATTAAGAAGCGATATTGAGTTACTATTTTTTTTATAAAGCTGTAGTGCCATCTCTTATGCATTTAAATTTTATCCAATAAAAATTTTCATACCACTCGTAATCACTTCCTAAACAATTCTTCTTTGTTTGAAATTATGCATACGCTCTGAGCTAATCTCAATTCACATTAATATTAAATTTTTTAAATTATCGCCTTAACAGAAAACTGTATTTAAAGCATAACTGATAACCTCTGCTTTATATTATTAAACAATTATCAATATTTGTTCGCTTTATTAGTAATTTTAACAGATAGGGCTTGAATTTCTCACTGTATCTTAAGTCTGATCAAAAAAAGCTAAAGATAAACTTGAAATTTTACAGATCTCTACCCTATTCACATATTATCGATTAACTGCAAAGAAAAAAAGGCGATGGTACTATAAAAGAATTAGATAAATCAAATACAAGCCAATGCGAATATGTCTAAATAGGGCACGCAGTATAAATAAAATTCTGCGGTATATTCTGTGAAGCCGTTTTGTGCCTACTGAATAATATAAAAATTTAAACAAAGTTTGATATTTCAATTAGTAGAGAATAATTACACATTTGAAGTCAGCGGGAGAGACAATAAAATAACAATATTTTATCATGAGGCACGGTTAAAGAAAGTTTCTTGTTGGACGAGAAATATTAAATCTATTTGTTACTATAAGTCATCAGTCTTGACAAAACTAATCATTTATCTTACCTTAATCAAATGTTTGTTTACCCATTTAGTGAAAGCTTTCTTTTGAACTGTATCACGCTCATCTGAAACAAATATTTTTTGTTTTCGAAAGTTTTCTTATAGAAGAATTAAATTAAACATAGCAAAAATTCTTGCGAGCGCTACATTTGATTGACATTTTTGTTTTCAATCTGACTAATATATTGACTAACCGGCATCTTTTCGGCGATTATCCTCATAACATTCACTCGGATTCAACAACAAACGATACATTACTTTCTCGCCCTTTAAAAACTACTTTGATTCACAGCACAGTTGTAGCGGCCTGAAACCGGCCTACTAAGACAGTCTATTCAGAGGCGTTTCAAGAATATTGAAAAATATATATTCCCCTTACTGATAAAGGTTTGTTGTAGATGAATATTAGGCCGATTCAAGATGGCTGAATTGCCAGGTGTTAACATTCGTTAACAGATGGAACAGACAAAATATTGACTATCAAATGCAGCTATGATGTCGCTTTCATTCTGAATAATACATTTTGAATTACTTTTACCTGCTATTTGCAACACAGCTCGATCTACAGGATCAAGTTGTAGGATGGATAAAGGTAGAGGACTATCTCGACCATATTTATCTTTAAACCAGTGAAAAGATTTATCCATTTTTTTCATAAATTAATTGCATTTCTTTGCTTCTTTTTCTGTAGAGAAATAGAAAATGTATTTTACAATTACGGTACAGTAATATAGTCTTTATAACATATTTCAATACCAATTAAATATGAAACATAAATCAGATATGATTTAATAAAAGTAAAACTAAATGGCGCGAAATAAAAGTACCCAATAAAAACGGTGAGCATTCGATACATAACAACCTAAAAACTCATGTCCTATTAATCAAAAAATGTTCGAGGATATAATAATGATTACTTTTCTTAATCATCAAGTTTTAGCGTTCAATTATAATAAAATTCTTGTTAGCACCTGCATGGCGTTTTCTTTTGTTGAAACAAAGAGCTTTATCCTAGCGAAAACAGCCGGGTTGGGTTGTAACAGTAATTTTATCAGCAAGTTTTATTTTATTTCATTAAGTTAACAATAAATACTCTGATAAAGAAAATCATGGCTATTATTCATTAAAGATAATACAACCCTTTTGGATAAATACACCCACGATTCAAATTACTATAATGTTATATTGGGTTAAAATAAATATAGATTTACGGAAGTAAGTGATATAATTGAAAATACCAGGCAAGCAATCTTTCCTTAAAAGCAAGTATTATAGTCATGATTTATCGCAGTTTAATGAGGCAGTTATTTTACATTGAAGAAATAATTTGTAATTTTATTACTATTTTCTCATAAAGAAAAGTCTTTAAATGTGACTTCAAATAATAAGTACAAAACCGTTTATTAATATTTACCATGAGTAAGACACATATTTAAATTTTCAATAGACATACTGCAACACATAACACATACTCCTTTTCACATCACTTGCGTGTTCACAAAAACTGAACCAAGACAGTCTTCCCTTAGCAAAAAGCACATTGGAAGGCTCAATGAGTAGGTAAAAACTCAGACATGTTTTATTTTTCTCACGTTATTTATAGACAGACATAAAACCTATAAAACTGTTGTCTATCATTGACTAACATTCTATCGTATAGACTAAAACTTTTATAGCCGTAAGTTGTCCATATATAATATTATTGTAAAAGTTCAAGAAATTGGAAAAGTAATAAACAACAGAAACTAACATCACCACCGAAAACCGACACCTCTAAAAAATCTCTTTGAAGTTCTAATGAAATAACCATTACCAACAGTTTCATACTTGTAATCAACAAATTTAATACATACGATATATTTTAGTAATAAATATCCTTCAACAGAGTGAATATAACAAATACTCTTGCTTAGACAGTCTTCGTTTCGGTCAATGCATTTTCAAGTACATATTGCGCCACCTAGTTTGGTAGGCAATCTCAATACCTCAGTGTAAATATAATCCTAGTTGGTATCCAATTATTTCGTTATTTGACCCATTTAATGCTTCAATAACTTTGTGATTTACCGTTACAGTATATTTATATTATGACGGATACTATTAAAAGGTTCATGAGCATTATTTTACCACTATTTAAATTTACTCTCAGCATTGTGACTGGTTATATGTAAAAAGTTCGTAAATTATCCTTTTAGTTTAACCAACCAAGTGTAGAGTATACAATTTCGTATCTTGATCCCAATTTAGCAGATGCAATTATTCTGCATTTATTATGAAATTGTAAATCATAAACAAGATATATGTTATGTTAAATCAGGTCTCATATGCAAATTCAATCATAAAAGTTAATTTTGATTAGTCTGATCAAAGTTTTGCTTGAGCTTCTGATTGAAATTCCTTCAATTTCATTGCTAATCCCATGTTTCCTTTAATTTTTAGCTTTCCCTGAAAGAAAGCCTGTTGGGAATTTAACTGACCAAGCATTAGTTTTACTAAATCATTGTCGGATATGCTTATTGTAATATCTCCAGCTCCTGTAATGAAACAAATTTGTAAAACGTCGTAGAATTTAGTAAAAGTAACCTTTGTTCGTATAGTTCACAGAGCCTTTACCATTTTTGACATCCACTATCCATATTCCCTCTTTTCCCTGCTCATTTTTAACTTTAAAGCAATAGATTCCGTTAATCTTTTTAACATATTCTGCTCCGTTCTGAAATTTAGGCGAGAAGTGTTACAGTGAATAGATATTTATTCTACAACCGACTTTATTTAATTTTTCTTGTATTCTTTGAAATATTGCACGACTTTTGAAGTCAAAACCAGGTTCACTTGAAGATGTACCTGATGCCATTTGATTCTTTCTGTAAAATAAAATAAAAAATTCTTGTTACTTAATTAAGCAATTGCGTAGATAACCAAAAGGTAAATCATCAGGCACTGATAAAACTATTTTGAATTTCCTAGCCATTCTACTTTATTATATAATATACTGGCAACTGTTTTATACAGTATATCATATCTTCTTATTTGGAAGCTATTTATTAAATTTTTTGATAAACACTTCAAATGTGTAGATAATATTAGAATAAAGTTTACTACTTGACACTTACGATAGATTTGGAAATCCGTGACGATAAAGAGAAAGTACTGCTGCTCCGCCCAATCCCAAATTATGTTGTAAAGCCAAGCGAGCGTTTTTCACTTGTCTTTTTCCTGCATCTCCTCTTAATTGCCAACAGAGTTCTGCGCACTGAGCCAGTCCTTAAAGAATAATTTGAATTGGATTTTTTATATTTTGACATAATTTATACCTGTAGCTCCTAGTGGATGACCCTTCGAAATTAATCCACCACTTGGATTTATGACGAATTTTCCACCATATGTATTATCTCCTTTGTCGATGAATTCTCCTGCTTTTCCCTCGGGGCATAAGCCCAATGCTTCGTAAGTTATCAATTCGTTCGCACTGAAGCAATCGTGAAGTTCAATCACATCAATATCATCAGGTTGAATTTTAGCAATTTCATATATTTGTTCTGCAGCCTTCTTCGTTAAATCATAACCTATCTGAAACATACCTCATGAACTTTGCTTAATTCTGCAATATATAAATTTATATAGATCAATAAACTAACTAGTTTCATGGAACTTTTATCTTTAAATGTACTTGGCATATCTGTTACCATAGTTTGAGCCACTATTTCTATTGCCTGATTTTGTAAATTGTGAGCTTTTACAAAGTCTTCACTTGCAAGTACCGCAGCAGCACTTCCATCAGATGTTGGACTATTGACATATACATCTAAAAAATATCCCTGATGAAACAAAAAGATATATTTACCAGCATTGTAATTTTGTAAGAGGTCCATGCATTTTTTGGGAATCAACGATTTGCTGTAGTGAATACTCTTCCCGAAATTGTGAGTAAGGATTGTTAACAGAATGTTTATGATTTTTATGGGCGACTTTCGAAAAATGAATTGGCTTTGTACCTAAATTATAGGACTACTTTAATTACAATTAAATTAAGTTTATAAATCACCATATTTTCTCATATGTTCTATTCCAGCATTACCAAACATTTGGCAAGTAATAGGTGCTGATGTCATATCTTCTAACTCGCACATCAACTCTACGTGTTTATCCATTGGATTTACTCGATCTGTGTGCTAAATATTAAAAATTTATTTTAACTATTACAAAATTTATTATATATCTACCCCAATTTTAAGAGGACCTCTTTGCATCTTTTCGAAACCAATAGCAAGAACGCAGTCATTGAGTCCTACTTAGAAACTGTTAGAAATATTTTAACAATACACTATTTTTCATACCTCCTTCGATAAACTGTCTAGCCATCATCAATGCTGTTGATCCAGTGGAGCATGCATTATTTACCTATATTAAAGAAATTTATGAATAAATATAAGAATAACAGACAAACTAACGTTATAAACAGGTATTCCAGTAAGTCCAAGTTGGTAAACTGCCCTTTGTCCACTGGTTGTATCACCATATACATAGCCAGCAACTGCTTGTTGAACTTTGTCATAAGGAATTTTAGCATCTTGAAGTGCTTTCTGACCTTAAGTTTCAAAGAATTTAATGATTATAGTACATGATATAATACGATTAAACGAAATAGTTACCAGCTTCTAAGGCCATATCTGGATAATCAAAGTTATCTCTTCTCCCTGGTTTTTCAAACTGAAAAAAATGAACTATATATTGAACTCTTGTTTAGATTGATATATTCTAAATGATACAATGACAGAGTTTGCAAAATACAGTATACATCTAAAAAACTTTTATTTAGAAGATTTTTCTTGAAATATAATTGCTTACTTTAGTCATTCCAACTCCGATCACGTAAACCTTTCTTCTTTCAGTCATTGTTGTAGAGTTTGCCGCCATATTATCTTTAATGACTCCGCACACACTTTTCTTGTCTAATAAACGCGAAAGAGAACTACTTTTATACTGCGAAAGTATTACTGCGCCAGTTAATTTCCTTACAAATTAGTCCAGTAACTATTCTACTTTTTGAAACTGAATTCTATTGATTTTAAGGATATTGAGCCCTTTCAAGAATTTTAAAAGATATTGTGTGAAATATCTATTTCAATTATCCAGCAGGTTATATTGGCTTTTACGTTAAGAACAGTGAACGATTGGTGGCCATTTTAAATGGAGTAAGATTCTCGGACGAATGGAGTAAATTGTTCTGAATTTAGTCGAATTTCTTTATTCTATAGAATAATTCGCTAAAACGGAATAATGATTGAAAGTGAAATTAATATATAACATCGAGACTATTACAGCTTATGATAAAATAAAATTATATCAACGGGGATTCCCTGAGGTGTGTAATACTCATTGTAAGAATCAGAATTTTATAAAAAATATTCTAGATAACTATTGCATTTAGATTAGCAGTAACTTATCTTTTGCAATGTATTGACTTAAATATACTTAGTCTAAAATATTTTGTAAATGAATTATCAATTTTGACCGTATGTCTACCTTAATTTGATACAGATCTGGCAGTATGAATGGGGACATTCCTGGAGTACCTATTATAACTTTGACCGGTACACAAAGTTTATCAGATCGTAAGTTGCTTAATATAATTGTTATCCGAGATGGAAATCATTTTTTTTTGACATTACAGCAGTCAAAGAAGTAAATATTGCTCAACCCTTACCAGCAACGGAACAGTCTCAAAGCTTATTCCCTAATCAAGCTGTTTCGGACTATACCAGGCATAGTATGTTCAATCCGACCCCGGAGACTGTTCATCATGTTGCTAATGCGCTTTTTTCACGAAATGCCACAGATATGTAAGTAACATTTGCTTTTGTAGTATACACTTATGTGAAGTAAGAATGATTATTGAAATAGTGAGTTGAAATCAAGCGTCTTCAATAACACAACTATTGAGGACAATTCGATGAACGAACCCCTCTTTCAACTGTTACTTCAACAGAATTCAAACTTATTCTCTCAAACAGGTATTAAAAATTTTTACTTAAAAACATATTCATAACCAAATTTTCTCCCGCATTAGTTGCGTCACCCAACAGCGGATATGCCTTGCCGCAATCGACAAATCGACTTCATAATCAAGTCACATGTTCTGAAAATTTTTCAATGTACTCGTAAGCAATCTTTTTCAAGAATAAGAATATATTCAAAGTAAACGTTTCGATAGGCCACTACCACCGTTTGCTCCCGAACAACCTCTTTATTCTCAGCCCAATCATATACATAAAGGACCTCCTTTAATGTCAAGTAAGGAGTTACTAAAATCTTTAGCAATATGAAATATGTAATACATTCCAGACTCTTCGCCCATGAACGGGGATGGAAGTCATACGGTTGCTCAAAATAGCAATAAAACCACAAGTATATTAAACATACTCATTCTTATTATTTTTTAACGAACCCAAACCTTTAGTGTCTTCACCTGCTCAAGGTTTTTCTGCACCGTCGAGTGTAGAAATGCTGACTAGATCGGAAGATGGTCTTCAAAATGCCTCAAGTACGTCAAGCTGCAGCAATCATCAACCCTCATCTGTAATAGAACATAAACCTCATGGAAAAGTTGTTATTTAGTTTTTTTATGCAAAGTCTTAATGTTTTCTTTTCAGGAAATACCAAGAGGTGCAAACGTAAAATGTATGTAAACAAAACATATTAATACTATTCAAAGTCTAAAAATAAAAATATTTTAGTGGACCGTATGGATGGAAACGAGTACTCAACCGGCCCTAAAATGCACAACAGCGTTAAAGAAGAGTTTTCTAATTCTTCCCTTTCTGATCGTATTAAAAGAACACAACGCAAGCGACAAGTATCTTCTTATGCAGAATATGAAGAGGATGAAGAGCATTATATTAACAAGAAAACCAAATTTGAATCAAATTGGGATGCTCCTGATCGAGAGTCCTCTGATATATTCATACCAAACACCGTAGAAGAAATGCTAGATAGCATGTCCTACAAAAAATTTGGAAAAGCTTTAGACAAAGTTATACTGAAAACGGAAGACCTTGACATAAAATCTCTAGGTAAGCGAAGATTTTTCTTAACAGTTATTATTTAAAACTCAAATAAAACAGATACATGCGAGGATGTCACTGCCTATGATACGATAGTCAATAGGATAGTATTAGCTGACCTATGCAACGAATCTGCAAAGTTAAAAGGTATGGGTGCAACGAAACAGGTAACACCAGGAAAACTAATAAAAGTGTTAACTATTCTACTACTACCATTGAAAATGGGATCTAAATTACAACCCATTAAGTATACGGGTCAAGACGACGAAAGAGAAGAAGCATTATGGCGAGATTTATTAACAGATAAAGTACTTATGGCAGTTGATGCGGCTCTAACTGCTACACATGTTATGACATCTGACGACATGCCTAAAGGAGTTTATATTGAAGATGTGATTGAAAGAATAGTTTCGTTACTAAAAGTTCAGCTTACAAATACTATCTATCCTGAGTATGATCCAGTATACAGAGTAACAGGTATAATTTCAAACATGAAACAAAGAAGAGCTAGAGCAGGCTCTGTAACGCATCGTGGTACCCTATCATTGTACAACAAACTGGCGGAACTGATAAGTGACCTGGCCGAATTAGTGAACATTCAAGATCTTCCGGACACTATTATCTTGCATATCGCCTCTGTGGCTGTTTCTCCCTTTTTTGTTGAGAATATTGGTGATCTTCAGCTGGCTGCTCTAAAACTTGTCACCTCAGTATTTGCAAAGTACGAATCATTACGACATGTTGTGATAGAGGAGATCCTAGCATCGTTAGCAAGACTGCCATCATCGAAGAAAAATATAAGAAATTATGTTGTGCAGGGAGAGGATCGTATACAAATGGTGACTGCTCTTGTTTTAGAACTCATTCAGAGTGTAGTTACTCTTCCTAAGATTCCTGATGGACGATCGTCACCAAACCATAATAAATGTTCATTGCCAGATAAGGAACTACAAATAAAGACATCTTACGAAAAATCAAAGATAACAGCTAGTCAATTTCTACAAGTCTTCCTTCAGAAATGCACAACTAAAGGCAACGAGGACCAGGATTATCGTCCACTATTTGAAAATTTTATTCAAGATTTACTTCTAGTTGTAAATAAGCCTCAATGGCCTGCTGCAGAAATGATGCTTTGCATATTGGGGAATATTCTTGTGAATCATTTCAGTAACAAATCTATTGATATGACCATGCGAACAGCTAGTTTGGATTATCTTGGAACAGTAGCAGCCAGATTGCGAAGAGATGCTGTTAATGCTCAATCTCGAGAGGAAACACTTGATTCCATACTTCAACGGTTACAAGATACAGACGAAGATACGCCCTCTCCCTTGGTTTACCCTCAGGAAGACACTCGAGATGATGCTGAAACTGTCTCTGCAAAGAAGAAAAAGAAGAAAAAGAAAAAGAAAAAACACAGAATTGAAAGTGTAAGTTTTCCTGTTCTAAAAGTCATATTTTTTATGTTATCTTTGTAGGACGATGAAAATGACGAGGAAGCCGACTCTGGACACACAAAGAAATATGAAGCTGATCGTACTCAAGAATTGCAAAAGGCTCTGTTAGATTTCCTCGTCTGTAATATGCAATTGAAACCAGCTCTCAAAGTAATCAATAATTTCCAAAATTTTAAACTTTAAGTTTACTTTTTTTTAAATATTTAAGTTTGCACGCCAATTTTATGTCGCTCAATGGATAAACGACGCAGCTGTTAATATGAAGAAAAATGTAGACGAGCTTGAAAAACAGCAAAAGCATGCATCGGAAGACGTTAATTTCGATTCGTCAGTTATGGATCGAATTTCCAATGTGATTCAACAATGTGAACAAAGAAAAAGCTATTTATTGGATGAAGTTGACAAAAAAATAGATTTACCTGGAACTATTGGGTTTGTTAAAAACTTTTCATCAATTAGTATACCCTAATGTCGTCTAATAATTTTAATACAGGCGCAAACAAACTAAGTTAGACTACTCATCAGCTTGCTTGGTTACCCGATATTTAGCATCTAACCGACCATTCTCACAATCTTTTGATAAATATCTCTTCAACATAATAACGGTCGCCCAAGAATCGGCTGTTGCAGTGAGAACTAAGGCTATAAAGTGTCTTGGTTCTGTTGTTGAAGCGGATCCAAATGTACTCGCACGGGTAAAAGTTTTACAAATATCATTTCTCTAGAGTTTTTATTAAAATGTTCAATTTTTATACAAAAGCCTGAAGTTCACAATCTTGTCAAAGCACGCTTACTCGATCAATCTACTTCCGTGCGAGAAGCTGTTGTCGACCTGTTGGGTCGGTTTATTCTAGTTCGACCTCATCTAATTCCTCAGTATTATCCAGTTCTGAGTGACAGAATTTTGGATACAGGTGTATCCGTAAGGAAAAGAGTCATTAAAATATTTCGAGATATTTGTTTGGAACATCCAGAATTCGAAAAAATACCTGAAATTTGTGTTAAAATGATTCGAAGGGTTAACGATGAAGATGGAATTAAAGTAAGATATTTAATATTCTTATTATTGTATTAAAAATTCTTTTATTAGAAACTGGTGAATGAAGTGTTTCAAAATATGTGGTTGACACCAACGGATCGGAGAGATCATTCAAGAATGGTGCAAAAAGTCGTAAACATCGTTGACGTTGTTGCAGCTTGTAATGCAACAGGATTTGAGTGGTTTGAACAACTATTAGTTAATGTAACTATTTTTTTCATACGCATAGATGCACTATCATCATATTTTATTCTTCAGTTGCTTAAAAAAGAAGAGTCGAAACAAGCTGAATTAGCGTGTGTTCAAATTGTTGATTCTTTAGTTGAGAATGTAATTAATTTGCAAGCTGAAAAAGGTAAATAACTGCTATTATCACACACATTATTCTCATAATTTTAATATTACAGAAAGTAATCAGCGTAAACTAACTGCAACTTTTCAAACTCTTCATTTAATTTGTAAAGCAAATCCTGAGCTTCTAGTCAATCATATTACAAGCATAGCCTATTATTTAAGCTCCGATCTAACGGTAAATATAATATTAAATTTTTGAAAGCGATTAATACTCTTAAATACAACAGCCTGATGACCAAACCATGTTGATGTCAGTTATACGAATAATTGAACAAGTAGTACCCTTATTAAAACATCCAAATCCAAATTTTTTGGCAACGATAGAAGAAAATCTAGTCAAACTTTTGAGCAGTGGATCAACTTCTATAATGCAGGCCTGTTCAGCTTGTCTTGCGAGCTGTGTGAAAAATGTTACTCATAATTATGCATTAGTTAAGGATCTTTTTGAGCGATATTACGGTATGTTGATGAGAATGCAAAATGCTCACAAACAATTGGCATTCAAGGATATCTTCAAATTATATCGACCCATTTGCGCTGTTGGCGCAATTTGTCAACATTTTGACATGACCAAAGAACCTCTCTCCAGTGACTCTCAATTGCATAGAAAAGTATTTGACTTGCTGTTCTTCTTTGTTCAGAATGTTCATGATGACAGAGAAGAAGTAAATTGTCGAGCGCTTAGCAGCATCGGATGGCTATGTGTTCGACACGCTGAGTTTATGAGAGAGAGTGCATTAAAAACGTTTTATCTTACAAATTTGAGTTCCAATTCAAGAAGTGATCGGCTTAGAGTAAGAATTCTGAACAACTTGTTTACCTATCTGCAAGAAGAGGAAAATCGCATGTACAAAGAACAAGCAATCTGGAAAAACGAAGATCTAAAAGAGTTAGGAGACGTTCAATCCGGAATGGCATCAGCAATTGTACAATTGTTCATTAAGGATATTCTATCTTCCCTTTTATCTTTATCTCCTCACGTCAGATCTCAAGCCTTAAAAGTTGTCGTGAAAATTCTTAAGCAAGGTCTAATACATCCAGCCCAATGCATACCTTTCCTCGTTGCAATGGGAACAGATCAAGAGCAAATAAATAGGGCTATGTCCGAAAATTATTTGAAAGAATTTGAAAGTAATCATCCGCAATTATTTCATATGAAAGTAAAAGATGGATTCAAGCTCTCATATAAATTGCAAAAAATTGTCAATGGTGCTCGAACCATTAGGGGCGTCTATAAAGATTCCCATGGCATGTGCACAGCAAGGAATCATTTTCTATACAATCTCGTAAAGAGCAGTCGACAATCAAGAAGAGCGTTCATCAGTAACATATTGAAACACTTTGACGATAGTAATACTGCAGATCTATCGGAATTAGTGTACTTCGCAGATAATCTTGCTCATTTTCCTTATCAAGTGCTAGACGAACCCCTATTTATAATGCATAACATCGACATGACAGTTTCTGTTGTTGGCTCAAGCTTACTTCAGTGCTTTAGAGAGGTATTTATGACGAAATAAAATTTAAAAAATACTTAGTTATACCTTCATTTCAGGTTTTCAAGATGTCAGAAACAGAAGAAGTAGATTTGGAGGCCGAAGACTTATTTGCCAAGTTGCCTGAGAATTGTCTATCTCTTCAACAGGTATATATGGCCTGTCAAGGGTGTTTACTTTTGTTAGTTTTAAAACAACATCTGAAGGATATGTATGGATTAACCGATGCGTAAGTATTACTTATTACATTAATTTAGACCATTTTTAATAATTTTCTTTAACAGCAAAATACAAAGATATTCACCAAATGAAAATGCTAAAGTCTACGATAAACCTTTCACAAAGAAAACAGAAGTTGTATTTAATCCAGTTCAGGCTCTAAAATTAGTTCAATCCGGCCCCCCTAAATGTGATGACGAAGAATCAAGAAAGTCACTTCTACTGGCCTATATAAATGTTTGAATATTAATTTTCGTGAGTTTCAATTTTAATCCTATCATTTGAATTACAGTTTAAACAACTTATGATGAGTATTGATGCTGAGGAAGATATCTCTGATAGTACGGGAACCAAGCCTACAACTGCAACATTATTAAATGCCTCTTACACTTCGACAAATGTCGTAGACGAATCAGTGAACAGTGCCATAATCAATGTTTCCAATTTTCCTGTAAGTATCTCACATTTTCAAACAGAAATATTTAAATAGACTTTTAAACAACCAAAAACAGAACACTCCTTCAGCTTCTAAATCTAATACCCCTGGATCAAAGAAATCACGTCGGAAATTGCCACCACATTTAGCTCCTTCTAGCACCAAAAAGAAAAAGAAAAAGAAAAAGAAAAAAGCAAGCCGGTTTAGCAGTTCGGAGGAATCAAGTGACAGCGATCCGGACTTTCTTGGCTAGCTATCTCAATGGTGCTATTTGAGCTATTTTACAATGTTTTCATATCACTAAATTTGAAGAGAAACGGAAAACTCAATCCTAATAATTTAAAAATTACGAAAGATTGTGTACAGCAAATTGAGTGTAGTTTGTTTTCTTGTTTTTTTTTTCCGTTTTTCTAATTAATTTGCATTTATATGTACAGCTAGCTTTGTTACTCGATTTGCGTATTTATGTAGACGATTATGTATTATTCATCTGTGATAAATGTAAAGTTTGTTGTAAATAATCGACGTGACGAAATTTTCAAGGTACGCTTATCGATCTACTCAATACACCAGATGGCGTTACTAAGTTCAGTAGAATAATTCAAATTATTGTGAAAGTGAGATTTTGATGACTTCTAAAGGGAATAAAGTTTCTTTTTGGTAATACTAAAATAAACTTAAAGAGGTTAAATTTAAGAAAATTAATTTACTGCCAATGAATGCATTTAAATTAGTAAACTGATTAAATTTAAATCACTTAGAGTAATTTATTTTGAAAAATAATTATGATTTAGAAGTATATGCACGCAACGAAGTCAAAAATTAATCCAGAGACCTCAGTGCTTTTTGTACAGCTAAACTAGCTCTTCGACAAATATCTTCGGCATCAACTCTTGAATCAAACAATATAGATCTTCCATCTTTTCCTATTTTTTTCCCATCTTCAGCGGGTCTTGAGATATGAGTGGTTTTGTTCAAAACTTCTATTATACTTGCTGAAACTGCTTTTATAATGCGATCAATATCTATTTCGTTCGGACCCTTGTCTCTTGTTGATTTACTTAGGGTTTTATGTAACCGTCGTGCTGTATCCATCACAGTTATCGAAGGTCCCTCCTCATCCTCTGATTGTTTTAGAATATTTACTTCGGAGATACTCCGTGCAGGTTTAACCACACATGACGATGGTCTTGTCAAATTACCTGTCAATTGACCTTCTAAATGACTTTCATCGGAACATTTCAGGTTGTATGATCTACTCCAAATATCAGCAATCATAGCTGAACAGTGGTATGAATAAAATATAAGCAACGGAATTGAAACATTAACAATTAATATCCAAGCAGTAGGTCTATAAACATTCATCCCAAAGTGCTCCCCATCTATTTCACTAGATTTCATTTGTAATGTCCGAAAGAGCCAGCAAGCAATATTACAAATCAATAGAAAAGTTAGTGGCGATCGACCAGGCATAGATCTCGCGTCGTCTGAGTTGGTTGTATGAAGTGAAGATGCGTGTTGAATAAAGATCGCTTGAACAACTGAAGCTAAAATAGCAAACACCGAGTCAACAATAGTCATGAAAATCATAGCTCTATCATTCTTATCCACTGCTGCTGAGCTAGCTCCTATTATTCTAGCAATATGAAAGAATAGCTGCCCTCCAAGGGCTATGTACAATAAAGTACAGTCAACTTTCGATCCTGCTTTTTTTCTGTACGTTAATTTGGACATTTTGAACATTGTAAAAATTAATCCAGCCAAATTTATTAAATTTAAAACAAAATCCGTAACGAGATACACTTTTTGTGATTCAGAACTTTTTGATGTATTGTCTAATGTTAGAAATATAATGGTAACAGCTATAAGAGCGGCCAGAACAAGAAGTCCACTTATTAAACCTCCATGAATTTTTCGAAAATCTATATGAGATATAAGGTGAGACGACATATTTGACGATCGCACTGTAAGATTTTGCTCGTTTTGACAATTAATAGCAGAATCTTTTTTTCCCAATGTCTCAATAGTTCCATCTATCTTTTCTTTCAGAGACATTTCTACTTCACTTAGCAATTCCAGCATTGTTGCAGAGGCCAGAAGCGAATACTCAAGAACACAGGGAAACAGATAAGGTGTTGACTTGTTTAGTAGAGCTTCTTTTCGTATACAATCTGTGGATGAGTTTGCGGAATTTGAAATTAGGAGTCTCCTAATTGTTAGTTCAGATGAACCATTGTTATTATAAGACTGAAAACTGTGTTGAGTTTCCTCACATAAAGTCCTGATCCAGACGCAAATATTAGTCAAAGCAACATGCATAAGACCAAATTTAATAAGGTATCGACGATTTAGTAGCTGCAATTGAGGGTGTTTCACTAAAAAAAGTGTTTGAACGATTAGAAACAATAAATATAAGGCGTTTTGTGTTACAAATTCTCCTTGACCATGTTTAGGACAATTAGAAACCAGAGTAAAGATTTTTACGATTGCATAAACAATAGTCCCTAATCCAAACATCAATCCACCTATCCTTTGATACATGCTGGTGTGATATTCGTGACGATCTATTTCTTTATGGGAGTATAACGACGGTTCTAAAATAAGGACTTTTGGTTGTTGATCTTGTTGAATTAAGTTTAGTTCCTTTTTATGGGAAAAACTTTCTGATGTATCTGGCGTGTCTACATAGTTCCCACTAAGAATGTTGACGTATTAGGAAAATTTATCATTTGTCTTAATCTACCTAACATATCATGTCTGTTTTTATCAACAATCTCGAACAGAGTCTGTGTTCTACCTCTTCGTTCGGATTTATCTTTGACAATCAGCTTTTTTTGTCTACTAATTTCTCGTAACTCTAGCCATAACAGAAAAATTATAGATCCCATATACATGTAACAAAGTTGACCCTCTAGAGCGTATCTTATCTTGGCACTTGTATGTATACTCTCTTTTAAACTCAAATTTGATAATAACACAATTACAATTATAGAATACACCATCGTTCCGTCTCGAAATCTAGTTTAAAAGTTATATTTACTATAAATAATTCTTTTAAATAAAACATTAGTTCCTATATAAACGTACAAATAACAAATTCGTTTTAAAGTTTTTATTAGAGCCTGCGGATCTTTGTCCATGATTATAGGACAAGAATTATTTAGCTTATCTTCTAACTGCTCATTATTTAGGCGTTCAATGTCATGCTCGGTGTCCCCGCCTTTCTCCGGTAAGACCCAATTTATTTTTTTATTATCAGTAAAGTATTCTGCATCTTTTTTATCTTGTATAGCTAATAAGGCAATTTAGATTAAACTATTCTGAGATATAAATCAACTTACTTGAGTATGAATCCATTAAAATATCTTTATTATTTCAGAACATGATAATTTGTTAACAATTCAACCTATATCATACGAATAGTTTGTAAACTTCAAAAACTTAATGACATTTGTTTAAAAATTAAATTTTTTTCTTTCTATCGAAGAATATTACTAATATTGAAATAATTATGGCAAATAGTAAAAATGTCAGAAATAATACTAACACAGCTAGAGTAGTACTGCGTGTAAAGTCTAATGTGTTTTGGAGTTTATTCTTGCATCCTTCGGAGTGAAGAGCATAATGAACTTCGTCTCGTGTGGACGATAACGTTTGTAAACATCCCCGACCAATAACTATATTATCCAGTGGGCTCTCAAATCCACAGCAACCAAGCTGTCCCTGAATCCAGTCAATGACGCTAGGATTCAACGAATCCCAAACTTTTTTGAGGTCAAGCTTTAACAGTTTTAAATCTAAAATTGATACCATCTCGTTTAAAAACTCAATAGGAAACTCACGTTTATAAACTGATAGGTTAAAAAAATAGACACTCCTAATATGATGAGGAAATTCACCAGAGCTAACACAACAAACTGAAAGTAGATCTTGTTTCATTTTCGATTGATGAAAAACTAATATGTTTTACCGCTATTAAACATTCCCGGTTATTATGTATACTTCCGCAGCAACCGATTAAACCTAATATATACACTGAGATAGCAATGGCAAGCATTAAACCAAAGTAGATCTGTTTATAACAATGTGCTTTATTAGGTCATATTTTTGATGAGACAAAACCTTATGTCCTGTATAATGACGACCAAAATCGATATTAGCCGTATACGTAAAATATATAACGGAAGAGCAGCTTGAGATCTAAAAGCGAGTTAAATATTTTATGCTACATATAAAACAGAAGCTCACCCAAAAAAGGACATTTACGACTTTTAGAAGTGTGGGTAGTACCGCGTCTCTCATTTTTACTCAAAATAATAAAATAAATCGATTTTTTTGCAAGCTTTATTCAACTACAATATGATTATATGAACGATTTAAGCCGATTCTTCTATTGTATCTTGAGGGTAGTGTCTAAACTTCTAATTTTATAACTTTTCCAGGTTCGACGCCTCTATTGGGAAGCTTTATTCCTTCTCTGTTAACCATTGAGATGCAATCGAGAATTGGGCAAACGGATACACATAGAGTACAGCCAGTACAATCATCTGTCACGTGAGGAATATGTGTATTAGGATCAAATGTAATTGCTTGGTATCCAGAATCGTTACAAGTCATGTAACATTTCCCACAATTGATACACATATCATCATTTATAAGAGCAACGCTCTGCTGTTTGTTGTCAAGATCCCCGTAAGTTCCAATATGAGGTAGAGCTCTTCCAATCATACTCTGAATGGTTGGTATTTCATAAACCTGTTTTGCATTCTCAATATCAGTAGGAAAGTACTTTTTGTCAAGTAAGTCTTTTTTCTCATTTTCTTTTTTCATCTTTTCTAGTCGCTCCTTGGCATAGTCTCCAAAAAACGGTATGGATAAATTTGTCATGATTTTCGTTTTGCCTTTTTGATGTGGCTGAGAGGGAGCACTTTGCCCTTCCCAGGATTTTGTATGTTCCAACGTATGCAAGTAGAGAAGTGTTTGCAGACCCTGAATATAGTCAGTAGCTAGAGTAAAATCCTGGTTTTGAACAGCGCTACAAATCTGAAGGGCTGAAGCTCCAGCATGAATAAACTGAAGGCCAACATCCGCAGAATCTATACCACCCGTTGCCAAGATAGGAAAGCCCGGTAGTGCGCGAGCAATTGCTGAGACGGCACGAAGAGCAATAGGTCGAATAGCATTTCCAGAAACTCCTCCATAAGTCGTTCTCTTCTCTTTACCAACTGAGGGCCAAGCCGAATTATCATATTTCAAATGCATTAAACCGGATACAGTATTAGTTGCAGTAACACCATCTGCATTTCCCTCTTTAGCTGCTCGAGCAATAGCAACAATATCTGTTATATTCGGAGTCATTTTTGCAAAGAAAGGAATTTTGATCGATTTTCGGACCCATAAACATATATTCTTTACTAATACAGGATCTTGACCACATGCCAAACCCATACCTCTCTCTCCCATACCATGGGGACAGGATAAATTTAGCTCCAGTAAATCGGCGCCAGCTTTCTCAGCCATCTGCGCTAGTTCAACCCAATCTTGTTCGTTATAACTACACATTATCGAAGCTATTATAACTTTTTTAGGGAAGTCTCTTTTTAGTTCAGTAATAGATCGACACCAATATGCAGCAGTTTTTTCACTTATCAACTCAATATTTAGAAAAGAGCCTTGTCCTGGTCCATAATTGTGCCCGCTAGTACTACCTCGAACAATACGTGGTGAAACATTTGTTACTAAATCTTTATCTAATCCAAAAGTCTTGGTTAGAGCGAAACCCCATCCAGCCTCAAAAGCGCGTCGAATCATTGCTGAAGTTGTAGTTGGTGGAGCACTTGCTAGACCAAACGGATTTTCAAAGGTAATACCACATATTTCAACAGATAAACTGACTTTGTCAACATCAGTATAAAACTTAGGTAGCTCAGGAGACTCGGTAACAACTTTTTTACCTGCGATTCTTTGAAGATAACGATGCATGTTCCAAGCAGCGATTTTACCATCATTAACACTTTCAACAGTTGTTTGAGCTATACCAGCCAAGTCTCCTCCACAAAATACATCTTGTTCACTTGTAGTCATTGTTTTATCGTCAACAACAGGTAATCCCCATCGATTCAAATTCAAAGGGCTAAGAGCCTTTGTGATTTCTTGATCAAATAAACCAGATCCAAAAGCAGATATAATATAATCAACGCGTAGCTTAACTATTTGGCTATCATCCTCTTCCCATTCGTTAGTATCTGGATTTTGCACATTTCGATGAAATTCTAGACTCCAAATTTTGTCTCCTTTCCTTTCTACTTTTTTAGGGAGTAGGAAAGGCATAAACTCGCATTTCTCCTCCTTTGCTAAATCCATTTCCTCGGGTACGGCTCTAATATTAGTAAACCCTCGACGAAAAACGACAAACACTTTTTTAGCTCCACACCTTAGAGCTGATGTTGCACAATCAAAAGCTGTATCGCCAGCTCCCAAAACTACAACGTTTCCTCGTAGAGACGGCAATTGGGAATTGCAAGAACACATCCCTGCCTTGCTAGCAGCTGAAACACGGGGAAGAAAGCTCTTCGATGTGTAAAAACCATTTTTCTCTGATAGTCCTTCGAAAAGAGGAATTACTTTTGCGTTTGGCAGACCAAAACCAAGAAATATAGCTTTATTTCCACTTTTTTTAAGACTATCAAGTGTTAGTCCATTGCATGCCGAAAACGGTTTATTCAGTTCGACTTTTACGCCTAAATCTTTCATTAGTTTTATTTCAAAATTTACGGCATCAAAAGGAAGACGGAATTGAGGAATCTCCGAAGAGCTCAAACCACCCACAAAATCGTTCTTTTCATAAATGACTACGTTCGAGTAACCAAGTCTTGCCAAGAAAGTTGCACAGCTAATGCTTGCTGGTCCACAACCAACTAAAGCTATAGGCTGTCTAAAAGAATCATCTAGATCTTCCAGAGCAGGAGCAGCAGGATCACGAATTTGTTTCAAATGCATCTTTTTGAAAGCTTCAACAGCAAATTGTTGTAGCCCTCCTATATTTATGCCACCCTCCTCACTAGCTTCTAGATTGCAACTGCCAACGCATAAATCTGATGTTGGACATACCATTCCACAAGTTAAACCCAATGGATTATCAGATAAAATTGCCTTTGCCGCTCCATAATAGTTCTAAAAGAATAACAAAATGTAAATCAAAGTCTACGCTTTAACACTTTCAAGACCTTGAGTATTGATTACACTATTCTAATCATTTGCGCTTTGGCCTACTTTTAGATATGACGTTAGCCGATATTTCGTCTTTAAAATGTTACTTACTTTGTTAGATATCATAGTTATGAACGTCTTGATGTCCAGTTGTGTAGGGCAGCTTTTTTGGCATGGTGCGTCAGCGCATTTCAGACAACGGGAGGCTTCTTTCAGTGCTCCCCTTTCACTTAGCGTTGTATGCTTAATATCATCAAAATTTTTATTTAATGAATCGCACGTTGAACAATCCTTGTCTTGATTTCTTTTCCATTTTTTTTTAATCTTTTTTGTGTCATTGCTGGGAACATAATTTGCGTATTTTCTAATTCTTGGATTTAAGGCCAAAATATTCTAAACGAGATAAATATATTTCATTTTATAGGTAAGAATGCGTTTGTTACATATATGTGTTATACTTACTTCTATATCAGGCGGTTCCTTACTCAAAAGCATCGTTGTTCTGTTTCCCTTGAACGCTCGCTATCGACTACTTGTCAAGTTTAAAGATGTCAAGGTCGGTTCATTAAGCGCCATCTCCTGGTACTGACATATAAATTACGGTACAAAGATCAATCAGTCGAGATGAACTTTACGTATTTACCCTTAAATAATGCAAAAATACATCTTTTTATTGACTTGTAGTTATATTAACAATAAAAAGGTTAACCAAAAAGAAAGAAGATTTAAGACTACTAACAAAAGTTAAACAGAAGCCAAAGGATATTCAAGTTTGTGAAGGAAAAACACCATCTGGTAAAGTCGAAATTTTGACGAATTCAAATGATTTTATATCTTTCCAAGAGCAAATAAACTCGTTGAGAACTTTCCAGAATTGATCAGGTGCTTCATGTATTAATCTACACAATGCTATACAGTCAGATTCTGCCGAATGAGCGTTCTGAATATCCTCTCCTGTTAAAGTTTTATAAAGACTCTGAAAGGAATAGCTCTTGTTATGCACTTGTATAACTACTTAGAAGTAATAATATTCATCATATTCGTGTTTTACATTTAGGGCACAGGATCTTCTTTGTTTCTGCCCAGAGGCCTTGCTTTCATTTTTCTGGTTAATTGAGTCTAATGTAAAAGATATAAAATAAAAGCCATATCATTTAAATAATACAATTGACAATACCGAATAGGGATTGGTCAATATTTCTTGCTCCGTGAAATGCAGATGGCTTAAAGTCAGATTCCTTGTTAGATTGATTATAAATTTTATTAAATATCATTAAACTGTCTACGCAAATGAGATCTTCTGGAAGTGATGCACCAATGTAAAATAATTCAGTTTTAATTAATTTGAAGTCGAATCTAAAGATTGTAGAAGTCGAGTAATTTCTTTAGATAAGAAAACGATATTAAAGAAGGGGCAACCTAAATCCGTTGTGTGCTATTAAGCAGACAGGAGGCAATTGATTAGCGATGAAAAGCTTTATCAGTTCCGCATGGTCATTTGAAAATATTTTTTTATCGTACAAAATATCATTATAAAGGCCTAGAAAAAAGTAGTGTTTAGAATTTATCATTTAAATTAACTTATCAATATGAATCTCACCGGTAAGGTTTGACGCTTCAAAAGATACATTTCTCCGGGGATAAACACAGAAACTTAATTTGTCTAAAACTCTGAACCAGTTACTATCAGCACTCTTGATAAATTTTACAGGTATTGCAATTGCACAGAACTCTATTAACCTTGGTCGATCTTAAAAACAAAGAATATTGCATTAGGTTTGTAAAGTAATTGAGAAAAACCTAAATCTGTTGCTTCCAAATCTATTACAATCATGGTGTTAAATCGAAATTGGTCCATAGTTTCATAAAAAATATATTAATAGTAATTTTTTTAGTAGGGATAACAGATTAAACTGTCTGCTAAGTCACATGACATACTTGAAAAAGTTCGCCAATTAGATAATAGATGTCACCCTTGCATTACGCGCTCAATTGGAAAGTGATTTATTCTATAGCTTCCTTAAAAGTGTTAAAGCAGAAAATATGCTAATGACTCGTATCCTCAAAAACTTTAGAATAAATCAATAAAACTTTGTTCGTTGCACATGTATCGTTTATACAAATATATATATATATATATATACTGTATATTGGAAGTGTTTTAATAAAAGTGTTATGAACAAACTGTCGGCAGGCTACGTTTGCCGAAAGTGGTCGGCATTGCGTTTGAAGTGAGCTTATATCTAGCGGAATTTCATTAGACGTCTGAAAGGTGTTTATATTTACAAGCGTGGCCCCTGTTTAAATTTGGATTAAAACTCTTTAACTTTACCGTTTACTTGTCACAAAACACCCTAGTAAAAGGTGTATACATCTGCTCTTTTACTTTAACGCCTTTACACTGAATAAAGATATATGTTGTAACTTGATAAAATTTGGCGCTAAAAAACTTAGGATGACGGCACGAACTGACGTCATTCCGTTGGCGCCGATCAATTTGGCGGTTTGTTTAAATCAATCTATTTGTTATTTCAGTGTTTTACAGACCGTTTGAAGGATCTACTGCTCTCAGCGTGGTGTTGGGACTCAATTGGTTCATTGGTGCATTAAAATTTCCGCAGGCAAATTATATTGTCTCTTTTGTCCACGTTTATTGTGTATGTGGTGCAAAACGTCTAATCACAAAATACTATTTTGCCTGCGGTTGTATTTTATCTCGATATATATAATACACTGTGAGCTGTAAGATTGTTTGCATTATACAGTACAACTGCTTTCTTTCAACAAAGCTCTTTTCAAGCAGAAAGTATTACGTCTACCTTATGACAGCGTCTAATTTTGCACAAGGCTTTAACACTGACACAAAGACTACCTGCTTGTTGTAGACTTTCCACATAGTGGAGTGGTAAATTCTGACTAACGGGTATTCATAGATCTAGTGTCCGCTCCCTAATTGTCTCTGGTTATAATTATATATCAGTTGAATAATGAGCAACTGTCTATCCAATCACCGTGCTCTTCACTTCACGCATGCGCAGTAGGTGACTTAAATAGGCTTAGTTGGCGAGTTCACGCGTCGCAAACATCGTTATTTATTCGTTGTGCTACAAATCGCGGATAAGTTAGAGCGGAAAGTGAGCGAAACGAGTAAACGAACTTTGTAAATACTTTCACCGACTAAAAGGATGAGAGAAGTTCTATAAATTATAGAGACAATGATGAGTTCTCAGAATATCTGCTTCTTTCTCACATTTTCTTTGTGTTTGTGGTCGAGTTTGTCCAAAATGAGATGGTTCGTACTTGTATTGTTTTCCATAAAAGCTTTCGCTTTGTATTATTTCAGTAGTAGTTTTACATTTCAAACTGTATTAACTAATTTCAAGCGCGTCAAAGAATTTTATCGAAACTGCGCAAAGTTTATAAACTGCGTTCATGAAAAAGTTTTATGTCTTTTAATTAATTTTAAACTATTGCGTTTGTTGGAATCTAGGAATGTTGTGGATAAAATGCAATTGCTGAAAAACCATGAAATGTATATTCTCGGAACAACTCCAATGTGCACGTATATCAAAGGTTTATCACCTGGACAAGTGAAAATGTGTCAGTTATATCAAGATTACATGCCGAGCGTTAAGCGAGGCGCAATGATGGGAAGAAATGAATGCCAGTGGCAATTTCGAACGAGTCTTTGGAATTGTTCGTCGATCCATGACGACGACGACATATTCGGATCAGTAACGGACATACGTTAGTATAATTAAACTAATTTTCTTCTACATTGAATTCCCACGCACCCCAATAAATAACTATTACCAATTTTATGGCTCTTTTGGAGGATCGATACCATTACAACTGCGTGTTCTTTTATCTCAGTCTTGCGTAATATAAGCAAACATAAAAAGCATAGCTGCGCGTAAATTGTCAAATCGCTCGTTGTAACCGCCCCGAGTAAAACACCTGTTTGTAATGTTATCTTTGCTCCAAGAACATTCTACAGCTTATATTTTTTTCATACAGCCAGCAGAGAAGCTGCGTTTACTCATGCAATAACTTCGGCGGGTATCGCACATACAGTTAGTAGAACTTGCGCAGAAGGAAGATTATCAAAATGCCACTGTTCAGAAAGAGAAAGACCTAAGCATCTAAAGAATCAATGGATGTGGGGAGGTTGTGGAGATAATATTGATTTCGGATACGACTTTGCTGTTGAGTTCATAGATATTCGTGAGACGGAAAAGAACCATCCTAGAAAATCTAAGGAACTCTCACGCATGCTCATGAACGTTCATAATAATGAAGCCGGAAGATTGGTATGTTTATCTCATTTCAAATTCTTTTGCGCGTGTTAAAGGTGATCAATTTCAAACTGATCTTTCAACTCGTCGGATTTACGCTGATGGAAAGAATTGGCTGTAGGATATTGAAAAATGTTTGTAGCTACAGTTGTTTGCCACCGGCTATATATGTGCGAATATATATATATATATATATATATATATATATATATACAGTATATCATATACATACTATATATATGGGTGCATGCTTGTGTTATACATTATATATTGTATATATTATACTTAGAATTTTATAAGCATGCTACTTTCATACGATACAAGCAACACATTTCCTGTATATATATAAACGATATATCAACTGCGCGTACCAATAATTTTTGTCCGAAAGCACCCGCTCCTATGGCCATATATTTTAGGGTCACTCGGTCGTATTTCACTTTATGGGCTTTACTTTTTTGAACAACTTAACCTTTTCCCCACGAACCCATTTATCTCCCCTTCCCATTTATCTCGTTGATGACTTTGCCAAGCTGAGGCGATGATTGGGGAGGATAAGAAGAAATTCTTTCTTGATCATTCTTATCATCGTACGCGCTCATCAACTCTCTAAGTAAACGTATTTTATATTTTACACTTTCAGGCCGTAAAGAATCACGTTAGAATCGCCTGCAAATGTCACGGAGTTTCAGGATCATGTAATGTTAAAACTTGTTGGTTTCAAGTTGAACCTTTCCGAAGTATCGGTGCTCGTTTAAAAGAGAGATATAAATTTTCTACCCACATGCGATTCAATAAACGTGGAACAAAACTAATGCCTTCCCTTCCTTCCTTGCCGAAGCCGACAAAGGAACATCTTGTCTACTTGCAGGATTCACCTGACTACTGCGACACTGATTTATCTAAGGGATCTTTAGGGACGACTGGAAGAAGGTGTATAAAAGGCGACAAAGGAACAAGCGGGTGTCGAAAAATGTGCTGTGGTAGAGGTTATAAGAAAAAGTTGGTTAAAACAACTGTTAGATGCAGGTGTAAATTTCAATGGTGTTGTTTCGTCAAATGCGATGAGTGCTCCAGGATCAACACGGTCTATGAATGCAAATAGGACTGCGTGCTTTTCTTAGTTTTTTTGCTGTGCTTGCTCTTTGTTTCAGTTTGTAATGTAATACTGTACATACAGTTATAATACATCTATTATTTCGAATAGTAGCGCCATCTGTCGAATACAACTTGTTTGCGAGTGGTATAGTGTTTGTGACTCCAATATAATAATTTTTATATTTATATTCAAGTTTACAAAGTAACGTTATATTGGTTTTTTTACAGCATATACATAAATTCAATTTCAAATATACTGTATATAAGTATATGTTACTGGCAATAATAGAGACTCAGCATTATCATATAATGCCTACACAATAGGGGAAACTACCCATGAAACAGATAAAATACTAAAAAATTTTAAAATGAATACATTACTAAAATATTAAAAAGACCGTGGCAATTTCATAGTTTTACAATTGACTTGGCAGTGTTTTGATAATAATTAGTTCGCCAGACGTTGCATCATTTTATACTTTTCCAGAGATCATATTTCATATTTATATCATGATGGCTTTAGTGATTACTGTTGAATTGGCTGCAAGTTTACATGGTTACAGTTAAAAAGTAGATAAGATATGATATCTTTTTCACCCACACACCTTTTGCTAATGAAAATGTAACTGCTTGATAAATTTGTATATTGACTTATTCAAGAGGACAACTCAACTTGTCAATTAATTTCACTTATCATCTAGGCATTACATGATTCGTCTATTTGCCGGTAACATATTTAAAAAGGGTGAAAATGGTCATAGCGAAAACTTTTGCTGTAAATACAATTTTGTAAGAGAAGTATTTCGTCGATAAAAATTATTAAGTGTTCAGCTTTAACTGTATTCTAACTCTTTCGCGTTGAATATTGTTGATGTTACTGTATCTGAAATACTTTCGGTTGAGTTTTGCTGCTTCCACTTTAGAAAATCAAATATATATTTATATTAAATATTGGCATTTTGAATTTTGATCTAAAACAATTTTTTCGCCAAATATATTATTTTTTTACCTGTGTGATTAATATTATTGATAAAACTGAAGATTCGCAATCAAACTGTGTGGAATGGAAAACGAGCCTTAAAATTCCTCGTTAGAGGATGAAATAAGAGGACGCTTATTGCAATGATCGTGATCAAGAACGTCCAAAAAAACAGTCTGTCAACAACTTCAGCTAGGGCATGCCACTCTTTGGTATAGTCCTCTTCTGCTTTTTCTGCGTCAGGCTTGTTTTCGGATTTACGGACGTAAATAAAACTTGTTTCCTTTTCGGTATTTGTAGAAGATGATGCAGTACAACCATTTAAGGCAATGATAGGAACTTGTTCATCTGTAACATCGCATTCGTCTCTCAAAGCTCTTATTGGGCTAGACATTCGATGGAATTGCCGTTTATGACCAATATTATTTCTTTCTTGTTGCTTGATGTCGAGAGGAGAGCAAACACAAAAGAGTTTAGCCAAAATTTTTAAAAATATTATATTGAGGCATCTTGGGACTGGTCTATCGGTGATAGCATGCAGATTAAGTACGAGAACTGTCAATACCATAGATAATGTAGTGACCGCCATCGTACAAGTGAGATATATACCTGTAAAGAAAAAGATAATTAAACGATCAAATTCGCATCATCTACTGGCGTAGTATTGCAGAGGAACGTGCGATGAATGAAGACGACGAGTGGGCGAAACGATCCAGAACAAGTATTTACACGGTAAATAAAGAGTGGAGACTGAGCGGTGAGAGATAAGACATCTCAATAGTCAAATCAATCTCCGCTATAAAAGACTAATAACGGCGCTGATCCGACGAGAAAAGTTGGTCAGAGAAGCAGAAACGAGATTGTCGGAAGCCGGACGTTTCCTCCGGGGATACCCCGTCAAACGATCGTCGCGCATGAGTTGACAAGAAGGCTTACCTAGGAGGGGAATGTGGTCAGACGTCTTGGGAATACTGTCGGTGACGTTTAGTAGAAAAATGCGGAAGGAGAGGAGGACTACGACGCCAATTTGAACTTTCTGACCCGGGGGGCAGTAGAAGATGGAAAGGAGGAGAATACTGGTGACCATTGATGGTAAAATGACATTCATTACGTAAAATGTATAACGTCGTTGCATTCTTATCCAAAAAGCGATGTTTGAAAATTTTTCAGTAGGACAGCATTCATAGAAGAATTCGTCTCTCCAAACAGTTGTATTTAATATTTCCCACTCACCATTCTTCTCATAACTGTCTAAGTTTACGATATTTTCCATATTGGTCAAATTCATTTTGCTTGTATGGTAGGACCAGGCACCAAAAACCAGTGAACATTGCTGCTCATCAAAAGGAAAATAGGTGATGTCTATCTCGCACATGGTCTTGAATACTCCACCGGGCTCCCATCGAACTGCCCCAGTCTGATTAATGATAGCGCGAAATTCCCGATAGTCACCGTAGATCTCTTCCGCTCTGCATGTAAAGTTATATAAACAAAACTATCAAGCGCGAAATAATGCATGCAGATACGAATTGACAGACGCTGGTTCCCTGACTCTATATTTTGGTGCATATTCAATTATACAATAGTAAAGTCACTTCTGTGAACGTTTTAAGATATACGTGTGTAATTTAACGATTTTCTCACTGAAATACGGACCACGCCTATTCAAGATTGATCTACGCCTCGTGGGAATCCCTTACGAAACGCTCCTCTTTATTGCCTTCCTTCTTTACTGGCAAGTGTTATCATTGCGTTTACTTTGCAGGGTAAAAGTGACGGAGTGGCGTCATTCCAGAAGAAATGAGGTCAAATAGGAATTTGCTTAGACCGGTCTTATTTGAATTCTCTGACTAATGTCGATTGCTTTATATTCGTATACGTGCGAAATGCGAATTTAATACAATACCAACCCATTTATAACGGCAAATTCAGGAACCTATAACAAAAAAGTTATTAAACTCATTCATAAACTTTGATCGCTTTTATCATCATTTTACCCATAATTTTTTTGCTTCAATTACAAGTTCATCTAGATTATACTCGGAAGAATTCCATTGTAGTCTTTCGTCAACCCACTCCTGTTATTGAGTATAATTGAAAAATGTGATAATTTCAATATTATATGGCTGGTTCGTAAAAAATTTAAAAATATCGTCTGGCACATACAAGGATTAGCAGTCCCGTGGCTGTCAGGATTTGGCTTCTCACATCCTGAAAAGGCAACACTATTACTTTGAATAGGTATAATGACAACGAGGAAAGTAGTCGCAAAAAATATTCATTGCACGTCCGGCGTCTTATATAGACGCTTTTCGACGCCTTTCTATTAAGCCTATACGGTGTGTGAAGCGAAACTCGAAGCTATAGTATTTCGAAGGGAGGGAATCACGAAAGGTGTCGTGCGCAAATTCGAGAAGCGACTTAATTCGCTCGTAAAACTAGGAAAACTTTACGAACACTCAACTATAATTGCTACAGTATTCATGCCTAACTATACTCTGTATCGAGTGATGAGAGTTACCAATCGAAATATCGGCTTATCGATGAAAAACGTTTATTGTGCATATTTCGTTGCATGCGCGTGCAATTGATTTTGAAAACAATACATGTTGTACGTGTTTTATATACAGAGGGCCGTAGTTTATCTTTTCGCATATTTCCGAGTGAGCTTTCCTTGTTGAAGTTCTAAATAGAGGAAATCTAATACACTTGTAAATTATGTTCATATGCTTAAGAGCTGCGGAATTTAGTCAATTTCGATTATGGAAAAAGATACGTGCTTTTCGGGCCAATTACTGCATCTACAATTCTTTTGTCTAACATCTAGACACGAACCGTTTTTTTTTGAAAAAGAGGAAAATGAAAGAGCTTTTTTTTAAATGTCAAGCTAACGTTGAGCCGGACAGTGGTCACTGCCGTCCTCCGGCAATTCGATTTAGCTGCTCTTAATTTCAATATTATAGAACGCCTCGACCGATTGCACTTGGCAGAAATCGCTAAAAATAATATTATGCTCAAATCGACGCCGTTCCTCGTCAAACGCGATTCGACGTTGGCAAACATCGCGCTTCTCCAATAAATATCATTATGTGCTGAACGTAGAAAGGAATAATTACCAATTCCTGCATATGAAGCAAGGAGAACTGCAAAAAAAGAAATTTTATAAATCTTTATAACGGTATATAAGGTGCTTTTGTTGTATGCATTAGATATAGACTTTAGCACTTACTTGCATAGCGACTGGTACCGTTTTATTACTATCGATCACAGGTCTGGCACTCGGATTGTATTCCGCGAAAAGATAATGAAGAAGTCTTTCTTCGTCCGATCTCCTTGATTTTACTTCTTCCGCTTTTGTTGCCCCTAGCCAACAATTTTTTCAATTACACTTGACAAACGATGACGCAACTTCGCTTTTGATCGATTACATTGAAGAAATTGTTTATAAAAGGAGTGCAAAAGAGCGTTTACACTCTTCTCTATTAACATATATAATGTCTCCGATTCGCCGGGCGTCGAGAAATCATATCGATTATGCTATCCGCGCAAATTACACACTCTTTCTTTTCTATTTTTTCTCTCCCTATCATATATACTAATATATATATAGCGGGGAGTGTGAGCCGCTTGTTACTTGCATATGATAAATAAGACATATAACATAGGACAAAAACAGAACACATAGTAAACTATATTTATATGCCATATATTTTATAACATAAAAAAGAAATATATATATATATCTGCCTGATATGTATATATATAGTTTATTTCGTCTTTTCTCTATGTATTTTCAGAATGTATTGTATATATTAATGTATAGTTTTTTTTACAGAAAGGGAGAAAGAGACAGAATGAGACATACTGATAGACATGATCGAACCGAGAGAATACACATAAATGCATACTATGCATATTATATGAAGTGTATATGCCGTATACGTACTCTTAATATACATATTTGAGAGAAGGAATTCAGTCGTAACTACCGAGGCAATTAAATGTGAATAATTAATAATTGTCGGATACAGATAAGACGCAAGTGTTGCCGACGAAACTTATTGATGGTGATGAGTCGGTGATTTAACGATCGAAAAATGGAATAATTCTGCATATTGACCAACGCCGAATGGAAAAACTGAAACAAAACTAACGACTGTATCGCTTTTATACATTAGACGCCCTGATTAAACATCGTCTGGTTTTCTTTCACTGGCACTTCTGTAGGACTTCATATTAGAAAGTTGTGAGATTGCAATCTTTTTATACCACAAGTGGTACAAAGTTACTGAAGTTAGTGATGCAAAAAACTGTCGTTCAATAATACGTCGAACGTAATTAATGAAAGGCAACATTTAGCTAATTGACTAGGCATTTGGGTCAGTAAGTCATACACACTTATGCTTTTTTTATAAGTGTTTTCATAAATATTTTTGCTATGCGAGATATGAACTTATGAAATATGTGTTGTGTAAGTTAGTTATAATTTCACAATCTGATTAGTGTCGAGTCCGATTGATTACGCCAAACCATTCGATTTCAATTGCTCAAGGGACTATGAAGTTTTGCAAAGTTCCCTTTATTCCATCAGCCTCAACCTTTATTCATTTTATCGATTCTTATAATTTAGCAACATTAAAACATTTTCCTCTAGCTTTCTTTTGAAATAGTAGATTTAAATCATCGCTTTCTCCAATGGAGCTATAACTTTGCTATGCCTATTTCTTAATAGAAACCGCTATGGTGTCATAGAATTCTTCTCTAGATTTATTGAATGTTCTTTTGGAACTTCATTGTAATATTACATTTATCCAGAGAATCGTAACAACCTAAAGAAGCTTCTGGTACCTAATTATGAATCTAGATCTTATCATCCAACAAATGTTCGTATTTGTGCACGTATAAATTTTGCGGTCTATGACGAATTAAAATAAGAAGGTATCATTAAAAGCTACATCTTACACTTTTATGAACACATTATTTTGTTAACGATCTCTCGTACATTTTCATCGGGACATACGTAATAAAATAGACAAAAAAAAACAGCCTAGCCAAACACCAACCTTTGCTGTATATTTCTACAGAGAATAAGCATATCCAACACCAAAGTGAAATGGAGCAGTACATATTATTATGATTTATATAAAATAACAGTTTATTTCATAATTGATTTTATCCTCAACACAATTTTTCCGCAAACTTGTCAACGGATATTGTCGACCGTCAAACTGTAAAGTGTTATTCGTTTGCGCTTTCTAGATGGTGCTGTTGTTTACCATGTAACTCTTCCCACAAATACGTGATAGCTTTACTGCTGTAGATGGCGTTTTATTTTAGACAATATATATATAAACTAATGGATGAAATGATTTAATATCAATTTTATGTTTAAGATATTTGATTAGCGCAGTGTCTTAATTATTTAGAAAGAGTAATTCTGCCTTCTTTTATCTATATTGATTATTCTACAATTTTTTCCTTAAATTCTGTGGGATTATAACGGCCGATTATACAAATATCAGTATATATCACTTTATCAATAAAAAATGCATTATTTATGAGTAGGCGGATAGCAATAAGTTGGAAATTTACATAACCTAAAGGATGAATAGCTCCTTCATATTTTAAATAGACAAAATTTTAATTTTTGAAGATTGATCCCCATATTACGGCATCAAATTTAACTTCATGGGGACTTTTCCAAACGAGAATGAATATTTTGGCAAATTTTTTTTAACAAGCGGACAGATATGTGACTGATGCTTTCTCTTTTACAATTCTAAGACAAGTAACTATCGAATTTTCTTTAATCGTCCGCTAACTGGCAGAAAACATATAAGATTCTTTTTAGAATCCCAGATATAGAGTTTTAACATATTTGAATTTGCATTTACTGCAAAAACTTTAAAATCGATCGGAGGAAAAAAATTATTATCGACTATTTTCTAGTAATTATTATTATTCCATAGTTGACTGTTATAATTGAATATCAGACATATAAATAGTATAACTATAAGATCATCTAATAAAAATTGATGATAAACTTGATGAAAATGTTTCACTCTACTATTTGATGTAATCTTTTCCTTATTTTCATTTTGACCTTGAAGTAATGCACTAATAGCTGTGAATTTTGTGCAAACATACTACAAAATAAGCTATTAAATGAGAAAATCAAATTTACGGATTAGCTTCCTCTCTTTAGGGAGTATCATGAATAGAATTATTGCTATAAACTCAATATTTAAAAGTATTGTTAATATTTGAAACTAATTGTGTTTTTCAACGTAAGTTTTAAATTTCCTGTGAATAGCCTATTAAAAACATAAACGTAAACTCACAGATCTTATGAAATATTTATTTCAATTCCAATCGAAACAATTGCAAAGTTTTTCATTATGGGAGCAAATTTGCGCAATTTTTATGCTATATGTCCTGTTACAGTATTTATATACCGTATATCATTATATATATATATTAGTATATATTCAAGGAATAGATACAATAAAAGTAATTCCTATAAAAGAGAAAATGGTCGATTTTTATGATTGAAAAGCAGAAAAGTATCTTGCTATGACTAAAGATAATATGAAATTCAACAACGAAATTGTAACATCATTTATTTACTGATCAAATGGTAATATAAATAATTGTTTTTTAACAGTAAATCTTTCATCGATTTCTATGGGATCAACGGTTATGAATTGCTGTCGAATCAATCCTCGTAATATTGTCCATCCCTTATGGCTATTTGAGCGCTTGAGAGTTTTCTCATCAAAGAATCTCGATGACATACAAGCTAATAAAGTAAATAAGCAAAATGAAGCTGAAAAAATGAAGGGGAACTTACACAAAAGTTTCCTATCTACTGCTATTGGATCTTTCGTTTGGATGACATCCAATCCCATCCTTTTCTTCTTCCCTATAGAAAGTTATTCACTGAATAAAAAAATATCAATATTTCTTAATTATTAAAACAAACTTATTATCACATCAATAAAATCTCTATTCCTAATTCCGTAATAGTCCAAGGTAAACTCATCATCTAAAACTTGACCACAATATAACCAACCCGATGCAGACGATAGGTCAGGACCACCCAAAATGCTAACTTGCAGCTTACAATCTCTTATTGTACTTTGTCCACTTACTGTAATGTTGTAGGTTGACGAGTCGATAATTTTTATTTGAATGTTTAATAAATTTGTCGGCTTATCGCTTAAAACCCGAACGCCTACTGTTGGTAGATGCGGTAAAATCTCATTCCGATGGAGCAAGTGCGCAACAGGCATGGAATCCTTTTAAAAGAAGGTTTATAAAATTAATAAATTCAGTGCAATCAACAATACAAAATTAAGTATAGATTATGTCGATAATTAATCTCTTTTTCTTACCGGAATCCATTCGGTTGAGCCTATATATCTTCCAGACGGTGCCAAAAAGTAATAAACAGAACAGTTTGTCTGCATGTGTTTATTGGTTAGGAGTGTAACATGCGAAAAAGAAGCCAGCCCATCCTCGAGTTCCATTAGATAGGGCTCTGAAGATCCTATCCTCACCTTCAATACTTTGAAAGATAACATTGACAATTTTCTTATCTTCTGATCCCTTCTGCGTATATGGAGCAGAGGGATGGACTTTTTGTCTGTTAAAATGAAATCAATCGAACTATCGCTTTCATTTATTGTCCAAACTATCAAACAATGTTGAGTTAAATCCTCCGCTCCTCGTTTTATTTGTGTAAATATTTCATCTGAGGTCCAGTCTATTGACAATTCCATTTGACGATTAATATTCTTCTCTTCATCTGTGACTTCAACCTGTGTATATTTTACGAATTATAGTTTTGCTAAACTAGAATTTTAGTGTATAAACCTTTAGGAGATTGGCACCAACTTCTGGGAAAAAAAAACATTCAACTTTAGATCCACTTCTTTTATCAGGTGAACAATGTGGTAGTGGTTTAGAAAACTGGAATGCTAATGGGGTGTCTACCGGACGGGCAAGGACAAATTGTGTACATGGGTTCATCAAAAAGCTTCCAACATCTTTTTCATCAATTCGTATGTGGCAAATACAAATATGGTCGTGGGCATTTTTTATAAGCAATTTATAAGTGGAGCCTATTCTCAGCAAGGAGAATCTCTGAGAGGGAAAAAAATCGATAAATAGAGAATCCTTTAGAATACATGAAAATAAAAATATTTTTTTAAGAATTATTTGTTGATAATTGAACTAACCTTCTTATTTTCAGTGTGAACATCGACCCCGTCTATTAACAAATCATAGTAGTTGTTATTTTCTACCGTAGCCATTTTGCCTGCAGGTTTTGTTGAGAGAATGTGCAATTGCAAACACAACTTCGTAATTCTTGTCACGATTTTTTATTAAAGGTTTCGATTAAAATAATATCACGAAGTGTTCATGATCATCTGTATCAAATCTATCTGTATAAATGCAGTCTAACTTACATTATCATAACTGTAATCAGAACCGCACGAAAGAACTAAAATCAATATGTTTGTACAGTGACGCCTGTCATCGTCTTGTCTTGAAATCCTCGTTGCAAGACACTAAAAAGATTTATAAAATGGTAAGATTTTCAAATTTATTTTAGTCAATCAAAGACAAGCAAAGTTTTAAAATTTAATAGGATGGTCGATACATGCGTCCCATAAAGAGGATGGAGCCAGATGACTTATGACGAATTGCATAAAGAAAAGGATGGCAACATCGAATTTGAGGAGGCAAACACATAAGCTGAAGAAAATTTTCTTATCAATATTATTAAATATAGGAATATTGTGATAAATTACTTGAAACTCAATTCCTGTGGCGGCGGCCGCTTCAGTTCCTTCTTCATTTACTTCTATGAATGATTTTTGTAATATTTCGCTCAAATATAAGTCCTGTCTTCCATTCATTCCAGAGAAATCAGCCTTATTAATCTCAAAAGCATCAACCATACCAAGATTCTTCAGAGTTGGGATAAACTTTTGTTCAAAAGAAACTTTAAATTTAGGAAGATAAATCTCAACATTCTCTACCCGTAGGCTATGTACCATTGTGTTTAGAATTTTTTCATCAATCTCCCTTTCCAGTGTAACATGTCCTCCTGTGCAACGCGGAAGCATGATAATCATTGATATTTCATTACCCTTGTAGGGTAATTCTAATAGCTGGACATCGTATTTGGAGTCAAAACCAACTCTCAGAGGCTTTGTCATAAACATCATTTTAACAGGAACTTTCTCCTTGTCATTTATGTAAAAAGTATCATCGAAAGTATCTTTTGGATTAAATGCGGAGAGCCAGTCTCCTTTAAAATGGATAGCATTAATTAAAACCATTGCTGTATCAACATTTATGGATCCCTGTGAGAGGAAGTCTTTAATTTTATCATTTGTCTGATTTGCCACCCAAGAATTTATGGCTTGACGAGCCCCTTCTAAATTCTGTACGAAATCCATAGTTTCTGATTCAGCATTGAAAAATGATTTAGTGTTTGCCATAAAATTATCTAGAAATGAGTAATCTTTTCCAGCAAATAAACGGCTGGCTGATGTCAGACTGCACCCCTCTCTGTTTGTGCTTAAAATTTCTGTAGATAGAGCTGCCAAATTCTTATAGTCATCAGGAATTGAATCTATTTCCAACACTTCGCCAATTTGTTTCTGGGTGGCTCCTCTTGCTCCTAGATGAACCATTGCTAAGGCAGTAGAAATTGAGAAAGGTGAAAAGAATATGTTTTCATCTGCCTTCTCATTAACCATTTCTCTCCACAATTTTAAACCGAATTTCATATTAGCATTTGCAGTCTTAGAAAAATCCATCTTGAAATCTTTTAGATCGACGTGGCACACCTACAAAAAAAATGCTCTGCAGAGTGTACAGATAAATGATTGTAGATAAGGCTACAGCTCTATACTATCTTAAGTGGTGTAAATAGAATCGCTGTTTAATACTATAATGAAAGTATCCTATATATTTAACAGATTGTAAAAAAAATTGACTAAACTTTGTATTCTGTCCAAAACTTTATAAAGTTACTGAAAATGATTTCGCTTTAATCTAAGAAAATTTTAAAGCAAACAACTGATAAAAATGTATCCTTGACCCCATATTTAAAATATTCCCATCGGAAACTCCAGGTGGCAGTACTTTCAGAACTAATTACTAAACAAATATAAAAATCGCTAGATGTCGCTTATTGTCAGGTGTAATATTGTCCACGGTTCAATGGATCATTTCAATGTTCTCTCAGATGAGACATACATACTGGGAGAATATAAATCGCTCAGTATAGGTTTATCTAAATCGATAAAGTTAATAGATAAGGCATATCATACTTGTGCTTGAAATACAGCTAACAAGAGTGGTTCAAACGTTATGCTGTATATTGACGATGAAAAGGGAATCGAAAAGAAGGAGTTGTAGTCAAGAGAGTCTGAAGGGCTTGAATAGAGCGATTCGCAAAAGTCAACGCTGCTATTCCCAGTTGGAATTAGTCTCGCAGAACCCGAATTCACCTATTCCACAGCAATACATCAACAACCGGGAAAGTAGAAGGCGGAACGGGTAAGTGTAGTTTGCGCCATCTCTAGAATACGACTTACACCTGTAAGATCACTGCAAAATTACATCTGGTGGCCTCCATAATATTGAGCTAAGATAAGAATTTGCTATCTACACTAAATATTTATGGATATTAATTCCTTTGTTCATTTAAAATTGATCAGTTTAAAATTTCAGTCTGCACCGGCTATAGTAAGCTAACTATTGAGTAAGTTTGAGAAATCAACCAACTTGTTTTTGCCCCACTATAGCACTAGATAAGGTTATGTAACAATTTAGTTAGCGTGCTTTCGGTAGTTGTCGAGTAATGGAATTAAAACTAACATGATTAATACACCTAGACGTAGGTAAAGTGTTCTCATTAATCAGAATCCAGATTTGTACCTGCCCACATAGGAAAAGCCATAAACTATCTGATTCACAGAGTAGGGGAAATCCTGTGCCATATTTGGAAAATAGATCTTTCTTGTAGAATGTTGATTGGCTCTTTCCGCAAATGGAGGCTATCCGCTGTAAAAAGTCGATATTTTCTATCTAGATTACTATTTTCAGTCCCCTAGTCGATTTGGAAAGGGATCAGTGGGACAAAATGCGACCTGAAAGGGCCGTTTCCTCTCCGGCTGTCAATGTCATCAGTAAAGTTCAAAAAGTCTGCACAGAAAATCTAAGAGATTTAACAGAAAAAACCAGAGCCGGATGCTGTGTTCCAGTTGCAAAGCAATCTGTTAAAGAAAATCACCGTCCACAATACGTTCCTACTACTACTACTACGCCAAATCGTCGACCAGCACCCCCAAGTTATGTTTCTCACAATGAACCTATACGTGACATTTATGACAAAGAAACCGGGAATAAATATTCAAAGGGAAAGATTCTCGGCAAGGTGAGATTATTTTGCAAACCAAGGAACATATGTGTTTTCGTCACTGCAACACTTGTTATGCTCGTTTAGCTATATATATGCACACGCTGTATGAAAAAGTAGGCCAATCCGGCACTACGCTTTATAAATAACTGGGTCGATTCGGCTTTTTTGACGGCCTATTATTTTATAAACAGGGAGGATTTGCAAAATGCTACGAATTAACCGATTTGAAAACTGGAAAATTATACGCTGGTAAAGTGATTGCCAAAACTAGAATTGCAAAACAGAATCAAAGAGACAAAGTAGGATTTATCATAACGTATTTTTTTTATATAATCAATTATACTCAAACATCCATTGTTTAGTTTAAGAGAGAAGTGGAACTCCATAGTTCGCTGAAACATGAGCATGTCGTTAGATTTTACAGTTGTTTTGAAGACGATGACAATGTTTATATAGTTCTGGAGAAGTGTTCAAAAAAAGTGAGTTTTTTTTTTAGTAAAAAAAAATATGTATACAAAAACTTCATTTCCTCTATTTTTTTAGTCTCTTATGCACGTTTTAAGACGTCGGAAAAAGATTACGGAACCCGAAGTGAGATATTATATCAAGCAACTGATGAGTGCCATGCATTATATTCATCAGCGAAGAATTATCCATAGAGATTTAAAGCTTGGAAATATGCTTCTAAACTCTTACATGTCGCTAAAAATAGCTGATTTTGGATTGGCTGCCCAACTTCGATATGAAGGGGAAAAATTACAGTAAATTCTATTAATTAATTTAAATCTTATCCTATATTTTAGTTTAAATTAAGTCATTGTTTATTTGCCGTCTGCTCAACATCTGTTTTGTAGAAACAAAGCAGAAAGATTGATATCAGTATCTGTGTCAGCTAAAGGTCACAAAATCGCGTCAACTTGTTTATCTTGTAGCGAATTAAGTTCCCTCGCTAACAGAGTTACGTTTAATGTTATTTCTTTGTTTAATTTATATTTGACTTAACTTGATGATAGTTTAATCATTAATTTCATGTTTCCAGAACTGTTTGTGGCACTCCAAATTATATTGCTCCTGAGGTACTAAAACGCACGGGATACAGCTATGAGGCTGATATCTGGGCCATCGGATGTATCATGTTAGTACTTTTTATATAGTTTATTGTCTTTGACTGGATAAGGCTTTTAAAATCAGGTACGCACTTTTGGACGGAAAACCTCCTTTCGAAACTCCCACGTTAGATGAAACGTACGAAAGAATTAAAACAAACAAATATTATTTACCTCCAACATTGTCGTCGGAAGTCAAGTTACTCATAGCAAAATTACTTTCACCTGAGCAACATTCTAGGCCCTCGCTAAAGGAGTTGGATGGAGACGCATTTTTTTCGTCTGGATATGTTCCTCCCATGCTTCATCCATCAGCTTGCGAAACGGCTCCTCACTTTAATATTTCCAGTATCAGAATTAAATCTGCCCCTGCTTCATCTAATCACTCTCACTCGAAAACTATTAACTCCACTATTTCCCAAACACAACAATCCACTGTTGAGGAAGTAAGTAAAGTACTTTACCATGCCTTATTTTTTATCATATTGAGTGTGTTATCAGACAAAGCAAATCAATGGCTTTCCAAGTGAAACAAAGAAGTCCTGTAATCCTCAAAGAATATCTCCTTCTCTTAGTCTCACTCCACCCTCACCAACGAACAACATAAAGGCAAAATCCGTAGACGATTTCTTGAAAATAAATCGAAATAATGATATGGCTGTACCAATTTTACAAACGCCAATTTCTATTGGAGCGAATGACGATGCTCACGATTGCCCCAAACCTAAAATGCCGGAAGCAAATGAGAAGCCAGCTGAAAGTCTACCTGTAAATCCACGACCCGATATCATGCCTATTAAACCAGCTTTGGCGGTTAACAGCAACGAAATTTGCTACAGGTCATCAAGAAGTATATCGAGATCTAGGTCTAGATCAAAGAGCCCTTTTCATCATAATAGTCGAGATCGCAAGAGTTCATACAGACAAAGTGATTTAGGCTATGGTATATTTTAGACATGTTTTATATTCGACTATTGACACCTATATTCAACAGGTCTACTATCGCAGTCTTCTTGGAGTTTACTTAAAACTCTATCAGATTGTATTGAAAAAATGCCACTCAAAGGAAAGACACCACCTGCTTTAAAAGATACACGACCGTTATGGGTTACAAAGTGGGTGGATTTTTCAAATCGATACGGTTTTGGGTTCTTACTTTCTGATGGCTGTGTTGGTGTCCTCTTTAATGATTTAACAAGGGCCGTCCTAAGTGCGGATAAAAAGTAAGTTAATTCACGTCATTTTTTTTGCGTTGTATGTGAGGATACTGGCCTCGGACGCATTAAATATTTTCTTAAGGTCATTGCGTACAACTTATCTTTTGTGTGGGCTGAGAATGATAAACATAACGAATGTTAAAATATTTCTTTTAACCGCAGATTGGCTCACTTGAATGATTTATCAAACGAAATAGTCGCATTTGATCCGTCTGACCCACCTACGGAAGAGCTTAATTCGAAAGCTTCTCTATTGAAATTCTTCTCTGATTATATGGATAAATATTTAATACATGGAGGAGATGTTCTAAGGAGTGGAAAAGATCTTGAAAAATCATTGTCTAATCCAGGAGTTTTCATGAAGAAATGGTTCCGAACACCTCTAGCGATCGTAATGATGCTTTCAAATGGTGTATTGCAAGTTAATTTTTTTAAGGATCATACAAAGGTTGTTGTTACACCTCAGGAAGGGAAAAGTTTAGTTACATTTGTTAACTCGTCAAGACAATGCACTAGTTATAGTTTAAGTCAGGTATGTTGAAAATTAATCTATTCTGAATGATTTTATTAATCTCTGAATGATAACAGATTCAACAATTTGGATGTGATTCTACCTTGCGAGAACGACTTATTTATGTTCGACATATGTTGCAAAAGAGTCTTGACAAAAAGTCTATGAAATAAGTGATATATAAAAACTATTTTTTTTAGCTATTCTGTGATTTCTAAAAAACTGAGCTTATATACATTTGTACCTAGAATATCAGCTACATACCTATCGCCTGTGATGTTTTTCTACATCATAAAAGACTGTCTTTCAGTTAATGTCTTTTCTAACAGATTATTATCAGTTTACTAGTTTTAGAGGTAATATAAATACATGTATACTTTGAAACACAGTATGCATATGTATGCAATTTAAATGTATATATACAGTGTATGTATGATAGCTTTATTATTTTGTAAAAGATATTCACCATGTATGCTATATTATTCTTGTGTTATAGTATTTTATATCGTTATTTCTACGAATTTATGAAAGTTGTAATGTTTCATTTTGCAAATGATAAATTATAGAAACAGCAACAATCGAAAATAAAGCCAGCTTCGTTGAAAAAAATCTTTGAATTTTATACTGTATGCACATAGTATATGCACTTATAATGAGTTAATTCTGATAAGCAGCCAGAATAGGATTTCTTTCACTTGACAACATCTGTTCTTTTATTTTTGCGTTAGCATACACACCGGATTCATCGTGCCAAGTGTTTCTTCCAGTTCGTCTATGATTTGTTACATCTGTAAATTGAGATATGCAACGTTTACGAGCTAGAGTATTTAAGACATCTCGAGACTCTGCTGTACTATCACATTTTTCTTGGCTATCTTTACAGGTCGCAAAAGGATGAGGAGATTTAAAATCAGTTAAATGCGTTGTTTCCCAATGAGTCTTATTATGTCCCTCGCTGTGTCTCGGTAAACTTTCACTTCTGTAAGTTTAAAGGGTTATTAGAGATTAAGTGAAGTATAAAAGCTGAATACTTACTGAAGTGTTTGGTTCATTCTATGAACGTTGTGCTCATTTACCATTGGCTGTCTATTCTGTTGATCACTAAACTTGGATTTCAATTTCAACTGTTCGCACTGATCTTGGTAAGTTGTATTTGGAATAACCTGAGAAATGTTTTTATATAGTTTTTGGTAAAATAGGGATTATATCCACTCACATCTCCTTGAAGGCTTCCTAATCTTTTATACGTTCCTAATTTTAAGTTTCGTTCATCTCCCAAACTTATGTTATAATCTTTGGGCTCCTGCTCTCTGACTTGATGCCTAAGAGAATTTTTTTGAGGATTGCTTTCAAGTTAATTATTCTACTTACCAATTGGATACCATAACTGCTCTTCCATAATTGGACTGGTCAGATCGGAGGTGTAAAGAACCTTTTTGCTCCATGGCTCCAGGAAAAAACGTTTAGTTTAATAGTTGTTATATATTCCTCTCCTAGCAACCGATAAATGTGGTTTCTATTCCAAATTTTTATTTGGGTGGGGGCCAAGTTAATACAGTGTGTATTTTATTTAATCCCTAAGGGAAGACTACTATGATGTAAATTGCTTAAATATATTATGGCTTTCACTAGCATCCGCAGGCCATATCTCCTTGAAGCAAGGTTGTAGTCCATGCGCCCTCTTGTGGAAAATAGTATTTATAAAACACGTTAATCGCTATAGGTGTAGGTGGATCTCATTTCTTACTAAATTATAGATGCTCTTCACTGTTAGCTAGTAAATTGAATAACTCAACATGGCTTCGTCTTCTCTTTCAAAATACTGGAAAAGGAAAACAAAAATTAAACTCCTTCATTTCTTCCTCAATCTCTTATCCATTGTTGCAGGTATAATAATCATTCAAAGAGGTTTAGAGATGCTCAACTTTTCAGAAGTATAAACGTATAAGTTTAACAAATGACAAAATTTTTACTATTTCCAGTTGTTTCGATAACAAATCTAATAATTGTGAATAAAGTGAAGGTACATGAAAGGGGCTTCATTTGCAATGATACTTCGTTACAGCTACCCTACAAATCTTCCATCATAAATTCAATGGTACTCTTTCGGATCTTATTGATAGTGCCAGTTATTTATGTGAGTATACATTAATTATTCACTTTTAATAGTTAATTAATGGAATTGTAGCAGAAATCCCTTAATTAAATAAATACATTTAATATAGATAATATATCTATACAATATTTATAACATCTCGTGATCTTGATACTAATTAAACTTTGGGAAAAAACTAGAGTAAATAAGTAATATAATATCTAAATTTAATCAATGTGAATTATAAAACTCTCTAATACTTGTTAAGTTTATCTATTCTGTGTATTCGCCACTCTTTTTACAAGCTTATAGGCTTAAGAATTTATTAATTTTAGGAACATTTCCTTTCGGGTATAAATTCCTCTGATTAGATTCTGCGTAGATGAACCGCTGAAATTTGCTTTTGATAAAATGCAGATAATATTCATTGAATTTATCGAAAAAAGAAGAAAAGAGGCGATCTATTCGATTACAATGACTTATACCGTTTATATTTTTGGATTATCAGTCCTCTATGCCACAACAGAGTTAATTAAGCGACTAACTGGTATTCTCAGACCTTACTTTTTTGATATTTGCAAGCCAATTTTACCTTCAAATTCTTGTCGGACTGGGCTAGTATAAATAAAGGATTCAATATTATTGAAATGTAAATTATTATTATTTTTTAAATATTAGAGAATACATTTTCAACTACAATTGTTCAGCTGTGCTTAACCATGAAAATGTCTATAAAATAAAAGGTTGATATTTACAACAAAATGTATATATATATATATACTGTATACTAATAATTTATATATATATATATATATATCGTATAATGTACATAAAATATGTAGAAAAGTAACTCAATTAATCATAATTAAAGATGCCAGATGTTCCTTTCCTTCAACACATGCTGCTTCAAGTATCTATTGTGCTGTGTTCCTAACCGTAAGTTATATGGCAAACCTAATCTTCTTTAATTATCTGATATGAAAAATATTCACATTACAGTACTTTATCCAACTTAAAGCAAACAAAAAATGGCCGATATTATTTAAGGCGTTTTTGCAAATTGTTCCAATTTGCTCCGCTGTGGCTTGTTCCTTTTCACGAATTGCTGATCATCATCATCATCCAGCTGATGTTCTTGCGGGCGCTTTATTGGGAATCTGCATAGCTATTTATTTTATCTACATCGTAATTGTTTAATATATTTATTACATGAGCACAAATGGAGGATTCATATTATATTTAATGTAGTTTTTAAACTTTGATATGAATATTAGGCACTCTCTCAGTTTTGTTCATGTTATCAAGCAGTCTTTTGTTATTCAATTTTTCATTGAATTTTTTTCAGAGATTACAAACAACAAAATACTCTTTACAAGAGAATACTCTCGATTCAAAGCCGACAGTTGAAGGAATACTTTAAACTTGACTTTCTTGAACTTTGACAAACAGTTTTGCTATCCTTTGCTGACTCAATAATCTCCCAAATTAAGTAACAAGCAAAAATCAAAGCGCTTATCGTCTTGATAAAAGAACTATCGTCACAAAACGGACGACAAGATATTATCGTTCTACTGAATTTGTATTTAAATAATATAGTTTGGCCTAGTTAGGTCTTTAAATTGTTTTCACTTAAAATATACAAATTAATTTTACTCAACGGAAAGAGATACTCCGACAAAGTTTATTCATTATTCAATAAATCTCATTAATTTCGATTAAATATCCGCTTGTAGATTCATTTGACATGCTCTTTGAAGTGCATCAACACTGATTTAATGGTATATTTGCAATTTAAGTTGCTCTCACTTTGCTTAAACTACAATTAGTGAATATTGGAAAAATGAAATATTATAGATTATTAATTACTGCTCTAACGTTTCTTCTTATCTCTCTTAATGTATTCCTACTGAAAAAGCTGTTTTCACTTCAAAATGCAACTAATTCTCTAGACAAGGCAGTATAAGACAAAGAAGCAAACTGTTTCACAATCGTGACAATTGGATCTATAATTAAATATATCGAAGTTGTATGCGAGCGCTTTTAAGCACATCTCTAAATTTAGGAAATCTACGACTATTTATGGACTGTAATTGGCTTTATAAATGAAGACTACATAAAATATTTATAACTATAGTAATTATACACTTTTTATCTTAAAAGCAGAACTAAAAAACATTTTAAATGGATTAAAAATATATTTCGTAATTTTGCATTTAAATTTGCTTTTTAAGCTGTTTTTAATATTTAAATATTAATCATAACGTTATCTAAAAACTGTAACGCTTAAAAACGAATATTTATTGATAACTCATAACTAAAATTTGGTGATAAAAAATGTAAATATCTCCAAGGAGGTGGTAGAATGTACAATTATACAAATTTCAACAATAAAAACTAATCACTATAACAACAAACTATGACTTTTATATAACGTTGCCATTAATAAATTGAGATAAGCGTTCATAAAGATGGTAAAGGAAAAAATTATGCATTTATACTTAAGACTTAACAAAACTCCCTGCATGATGTCGAAAATATAATTGAATAATTACCATACTAAGGAAAATCTCACATGCTGCATAGGTTTTGCCACAATGTTTGAATAGATTAAATTGAGACATTAATTAAAATAATAAGTAGGGATAACATGAAGTTTAAATGTGTAAAAACAAAGGATGAATAGATTCTAAAAGCAAAACCATAAGGTTAGGCATTGAACAAAAATAGAGTCATAAACAAAATACTATTTTTAAGCCGTAGTTTAAGTATCTCGTTTGGTTAAAATGTAAATTTCCTCAATCCAATAATATTTCTTAATGTGATAACTTTTAGTACAGTGAAAGGTTACTTAATATTGATAAAAAATCTTAAGCAGGGCAATAATACTTTATTTCCTTTTAACAGATCTTAAATTCTTCGAAATTCGATTGTCCAATGTAATCATAAACAAACATAAACTTGTTTTCAGTCTTCATACTCTATTCTCCCATCGAATGAATAAATGAGAAATCTTATTAGGCAAGAATTACAATGAGTTATATTCTACTCTATAGTCTATATAATGAGTATTTAGTTTCATAGCCTTTACAAAATAAATAACCGGCAGACATAGCAAATGATCTAGCAAACTAGCTATTATCCATTACTTCAACCATCTAAGACTATTGCTGCACTTCAAAACTTTCCAAGAGTTTATTCTGTCTCTAGGGTTTATTATTGTTTAATCTATGATGATTTAATTAGAAGTAAAATCTTTTTTATCATTTGCTGTAAGCATTTGTCAATTGCATATTGATATTCTTTAGTACAGTTTCCCTTGTTTACACCTAAGCTTTGGTACTGTTGCTATTAATGGCTTCCTTAATCATCAAGCTAATGTCTTTAACATTGAATATGTTCCATTTTTTTTTAGTTGTTCTTTATAATCAATAAAGGTAAATGTTTTTGTATTTGTAAACTTATTGTAAACTGTCAGAAATCTAGCTTAAATAAATATTTTAATATTTTCTTTGGATATTTCCTCTTTATGAAGCTTTACTATTCCATCTTTGTACTTGATCGATTTTCTTGGTATTATTGCTAATTCTACAAAAATTTCCTTCAAAAGAATACTTTAATAACCTATAAATACAGTTGATTCCCAAAATAAAAGATATTTCCTAGTATTCATGTTTAGGAGATTGTCCAGCATCTCTAGTCAATATTTTAAAGAATGAAAGCCAATTTAGTTTTTGTTTTTGTATCCATCAATGATAGTCAGATATATCAATGATTACATTAGACAACCAAATAGCGAAATAGATTAGATATAAATTATAATAAATATGCTTATAAATACTGTACTATTGACCGGTTCAAGATTTTTTACCTTTATTATATTTCTTCCCTGTATGGATTTCTAACGCTTACAGCTTTTTTATATTTCTCCTGATCTTTAATCACTTCATCATAAGCAGGCGGTTCATCCTTTTCTTCCAACTCGTCTAGTTTTTCCTCTTCACTGGCAACTGATCGGAACATTCTCTCCTGAGCTGACTCTCCAGATAGCTCGCTATTCATTCGTCTATTCTGGTAAAAGAATCTCACCATAAACATAATGCAAGAGATCAGCACACAAGCAGCTACGATGCTTCCAATGGCATAGATCACAACCAAGAATGTTCTCACTTCTGTTTAAAGACATCAGTATTCAGTAACTAGTTCACATCGTTTCTAAAAACTTACTTAATTCTTTGGCAGTGTAATAGCAATAAAATAAACGAAATTTGTTGCCTTTTTCTGACACTCTAACAACTGTCTGATGAGCACCACTGAACCTATTTGTATTTATATTCTCGTCAACAGAGGTTGATTCCTGAACTTCTACACTTGCACCCTTCACATCTTGACAATTTGAACCTCTATATTTCATTAGGAAAAAAGGTTTTGAGAAAGAGAGTACCATAGGAGACGATCCATCTGCTCGGCAACAATATTCTATGAGAGTATTTGCGTTATAAGTGCCGTCAGGAATAACGCCCGATGTTTTTTGATAGTTTGGGACTAACGGATTTATTAGGGGGGCTGTATCATCCCAATAAATATATCCTTGAAAGAAATCCAAGGGGCATTCTCCTTTCTTATAAATGCAATAGGTTCCTGGAGAAATAATGACTATGAAAAAGAAAGTTTAGAACTATGGTCTACCTCTTGGCCATTCAGGGCCTTTTCCTACTTGAGTTTTCATGCAGAATTTCATGGTTATTGTTTTGTGAACTGAATTGTATTCCTCCGAAAGACTTAAGTTTTTCGAAGTTGAATAACCATTCACCATCCTGGTCCTTGATCCAGGAAGAAAGCCAATCGGACAACCTGTTTTAGGTTCGGGTATTCCATAAGTCCCTTTAGGCCACTCGGAAACTGTACCAAGATATTACTAAACTACTAAATAATACACTATACTAAATTCTTACCACAAATTGCAGACTGAATCGATATTAAACAAATTGATCCAAAAATCAAGAAGTTAAGCATTTTTACCTTGACAAACTATGAAAAAAAGCTTTTTTAGCTATATAATGTATGTTAAATGAAAAACTGATTTCGTCAAAAAATATTTAAGTCTTGATTACGCACATCACATCCCACTAAAATTTCACCCACAGAACATTTGAAAGACTCACCTTTCAATATAATACTACTTATTTAAGTAGTTTGATCTTTAAGACTGTTTTACCTTATCAGAATATGATTACAATATTGATTTTAAGGATCTAATCAGTTATGGCTCTTTTAGTAGGTTGTTTATTTATTTCTATTCCGCTTCCGGTTTGCTTGAAGTAATGCCATCTGGTAGCAAGATCAGACCAAAAATATTGATTTCATTGCCGAAGTCAATAAAACAAAGATTTTTTATGCATTCCAGTATTGAAATTCGATGTGCTAATAAAAAATGTTCTTGGCAACGGAAGTTACTTATATTGATGAAAATTTGACTGTTGAATTAACTAACTTAAGTTATCATTAATAATAGTAAAAAATGGTTTGTAAACAACTTTGCTAAACTATTTATGTACAAACATTCTTTCATCAACTTTTTATAAAAAATTCGCTATTTGTATACATATTTTAAAATTGTAATACGGTGCCGCGTTAAGTGTCAATGAAAGGGGAATTAAGACGAAAGGATCGACCAAATGTTCTTGCAAATTAATCAATAAGTCGTTCGTAGCAACCATTAGTTTGACACTAGGAATTTTTATACAACGTCGAATGGCTAAACTATGACTTTTGGCGTTCAAACAAAAATATATAATATATTTTTATGTTGATTCGATTAGAAATAAACAATATACAAATCGTTTATTCTATATGAAGTTTTTTTTCTATAAATGATAATTTACTATAAATTTCAAAACTTATCATGCCAAAATTAGGAAGAAAGGTAATAATTCTCAAGTATGTAATAATTTGTAAAGAATCTTTTCTAATTTCATTAGGACGACAGGATGCAGTTTCAAGGAGCAATGTCTGATAAATATACAACTCGACAGGCTCCTTTTGGAACCGTCGATACACCACAGTTCAGAGTGAAAATTATTGGTGGAAAACAAGTGACAGTTTTAGAACCAAGAAAGTAAGCTTATTATTTTATCAATCGTGTGATAACTTTAAGCATCTTTTAATCATAGTGGAAGTACTTCAAAGCCAATTCAAAGTTCGTCTGTTGTTGCTCCATATTTCACTGACAGCCCTAGTCCCAAAGTTCCTCCTCAGTTAGATTCTATATCCTCTAAACCGAATCACTATGACCCTAGTAAATGGTCTACACCTGGGGTCCGAGAACAGGATACTGAAATCAAGCCTCAATCATTCAAAAATCCCGAACCTATCAGTTCGAGAAATGTATTCACTCCTCACTCTGTAATACCCCCTATTGTAGATCTTGAGCGCTATTTGCCAACCGATCGAAATCTACCAAAAGAATCTATTAAGTTGACGGAAGTAAGAATAATTTTCAATTTGTAATAATTACTTGACAGATATATTTGATTAGGTTGAAGAGTTGGAATTACGCAAGAGAATTCGCCAAGATTTAGTAAATAGGGATTCCAAAACACTTAAAAACATATATATGGAACTAGTGGAAATCGATCGAATGTTAGAGGGATTTGTAACTTTTGAGGATCTTAGCTTCTGCTTGCTAAAATCTGGAGTAAGCTATTTTGTTTTAAAATATAGATATATACATACTGTGTCTAATCTCAATTATTGCAGTTACAAGTCAATGCAACTACCCTTAAGCTAATATCTTCGCTATTTATTAGACCACACACAGAGAACTTTGTAAATTATGAAAAAGTTTTAGCTTTCATATCTGCTTCAATGAAAGAAAATATGAAGTATGCCTTTTCAACAGTTATAAACTCGAAACTAATTGACGCACTTTTCTTTAGACCCTTACAGCCGGAACCAGATAGAGATCGGGTAAATCCATCTGTTTATACAAATCCCATTACACACGCTTCAGAAGACTTTAGGTATAGTTAATATGTTAATCCTTACTTAAAATTCACCTTACATTAAATATTATGTATGGAGACTTATTTCTGAAAGAAACTCTTATAGTCCTAGGAGCAGTCGATTTCCTTATGGCGAAAGAGATAATGCAAAGCTGTTGCGTTTAATTGAACAGCAAATTCTCAATTCAACTGAAGATATAAATTTTGAAAGCGCATGGCAGGCGTTTCGAGCTGCTGATCCCCAATTTCGAGGGAAACTCTCCAAGCAGCAAATTATTGAAATAGCAATGCGCTGTCGATTACCACTCCAACTTTCTGTTATCGAACAAATTCTGAACAGAGTGGAGAAAAGCTATGGCCAATATGAGTAAGAACTAGTATATCTCCTTTCATCATACAGTTACATTTAATTAAACTATTCAGTTGGCAGCAATTCTTAGAATTTATTGAAAGAGTACAACCTTTAAAAACAAGCCTACATATTCCGGAAAGCAAAAAGCCAGTCGAATATGTGAAACATATACCAGAACCCAGTAGAAATTGGCCCGAGTCTGATATTGCTATCGAGCGAAAAAAGCCGGAAAATTTTCAAAACTCTAATTTACAAACACAACAATTCAACTTTCAGGAAGGAAATCAGAGTCTCAATTATAAACCTGAGTCTTCATATGAGGTAAAAATTGTATAATTCTAAAAATGATAGTCAATGAGCTTATTAATTCGAGTAGAAAGGAGACACTTTGCCAGCGAATCAGAATGCAGAAACTTTAGCGGATCGCTTCAGTCATATGAACAAAGCCCTTTATGACTCGGATATCGATAAGACCGGATACTTAACATCTGATCAGGCTCGCTGGATTGTTGAACAATATACTCAAGTGTTTAATTTGGGTATAAAAGAGACAGATCAAATTGAAGCCCTACGTAATTCAACTGCACAGAATGGCCAAACTGATATCGCAAGGCTTATAGATAGTTTGGGTACTGTTCTATTTCGATGATTTTTCTAAAGTTTGTTTTGTATTTATAATTATCGTTTAACGTTTCAAAATGTGATATATGCTGTACGTTTATTGTTACAATTTTAAAACTGCTGAGTTTCCATCTTCCCCTGGATTTCTTATAGCGCTCTGTTGTTTTGTTTAAAAAACTTAATATCAAAATTAAAGTGGCCAAAAATATTTTATACTTGAGCTTGCAACTTTCTCTCCTCCATTTCTTCTTTCTTGACCGTTTCTTGAGCTTCACGCTGCATTTTTTCCAATTTTTGAAGAGTAATTGACTTTAACGGTAGCAACTTAGCTTTGCATAAGACTGGATTTAAAGTTTCCTCCTGATACAGTTCTCCTTGTTGTGGTAGTATTTCCTTAATTGAAGACATGAGCGGGTTTTGTAAGTTTAGTGATATTTATCTGTGAAGAAAGTATGTATAAAGCCGTATGAAAGCCGTATGTTGTAAATATAAAAAATAAATCACTTTTTACCTGTATTTCAAACTGTTTTATAAATAAATAAAGATAGTAACTATCTTAAATTTCTTACTAACAGATCATTAAAGTGAGAGGAAATATGTTAGGCAAAATATTCGTTAGAAACGTTAAACGGGTAAAACATTTTAAAATAACCAATCAGCGTCAGGTTCACTCTACACAAACGCTCCTTTCAAAAAATCAAACAAAAATGGAGACTGAAGGATAAAATTTGCCTACATCGTCTTTTGTTGTCGACTTATTAGTTAATTTTGACTCTTCTTTACTGATATTTTTAATTTTAATCTGATCGACGGTGGATAAACTAAGATCCGTGAGTTTCATATCAAAGCTTCCGCTTACTGTATTTATACTTGGATGCCAATATAATGTTAAATCTTGCAAGTGAGATCGCTTGAAGTTATTTACTGTATGAGTTTCTTTCAATGAATAATTAGTAGTTAAAATTTATGATATATATGTATATATACATATAAACATATGTATCTACATAAAGTTGAGTTTTTAAAGCTATACCTGAATAAAGTGCTTTTCGAAATTCTATTTTGAAATGTTATCAGATTGTAAAATATAAAGAAAAATGGATAAGAAAAGAAGGAAAAAACGACATACACATGGATTGAAAACAGTGGAATTAATGAGGTTTGAATTGCTTTTGCATATACTCGAATTTTAATTTGTAAACATTGCAGAGGTCGTGCTGGATATGGCTTTACAATTTCTGGTCAACAGCCTTGTGTTTTAAGTTGTGTTGTTCCCTCGACTCCTGCTGATAGAGCTGGATTGAGAACAGGTGACTTTCTTCTTGCTGTGAATAATTTGAAAGTAGCGGATTACGAACATGACGACGTTGTAAGACTGATTGGATCATCCAGTGGTCTCCTTGTCTTGCAGATTGCAGAGAACTATAGTCTATCCGATTCTTCAGATGAAGAACTTACTAGAGATAAAAATTATCCTAAAGGAAAACTTAAGCCTCGCAATTTGACTAAACATGACAAAGAAAATCTTCTCATGAATGTCACTCATGAAGATTTTTTGTCGCATAATTCAAGCAGCTCTAAAGAAGATACTGTTAGATACAGACGTGTAATACACTCTTCAAGAGAGGGAAAGAAGCATACAATAATAACTAGACAAGATCGTCTAGCACCTCGAGCTTATCCAGAAAGTTTGGATGATTTTAGTGACATAGCTGATGAAGCTTATCATTCAAAAGACGCGTCGAAATTTACCAATCAAATTCATGATTTGTCAGCTATTCTTTACCCATCTCTACAAGAAAATCACTACTCAGATGATGATAGAGAAGATAGTAATCCTCCTTTTTGTGAAGTTCTTGTTGGCTATATAGGTTCAATAGAAATGCCAGAAGATGCAATGAACGTCGCTTCGTCCAGAATGCAATCCATCCGTAATGCCTTAAAACGCTTAAGATGCGAATCTAGAGTTCATACATTAGTTGTTATTCAAGTGGACTCTAACGGGGTTCGTCTCAAAAATGCAATGAGACAAGTAATGGTTACATATCCTGCCGAGAACATAGCTTATAGTGGTTCATGTCCCGATGATAAACGATTTTTCGGTATTGTTACTGTGACTCAATCAAACTTTGATGCGAGTTTACTTAATAATAGTTGCCATGCTTTTATGATTGATCCTGATATGCGATCTCATACTGCTCATATGCATAAGGCTAAAACGTTTGGCATAACTTGTGTTCCACATCCTCGAACTCAACGTTGTCTGCAATTTCCAAAAACAGCAACACCTATAATGAGAGAAATTTCTAAGCTTTATCGAAAGAGACAACAGAGAATTGCTGCAAGCGATAAAAAAGCTGAAAGTTTGGTCTCTGTAAAGTCCAAAGGATCTTATACTACAGATTCTACAGAAAGCTCGGGTTTTACTTGCTCTCAGCAGTCAAATAGGTACTACAGATCTGTTGACTCGTCAGAGTCCGATGTTTATTTAGGAAATTGTAGAGTTGCCAGTACAGCATCAAGTTGCACTAGCACGGACTCTTCAGCATTCTGTTTCAATAATCGGGAAAACATAAAAAGTGGTCAAATAGAACTCGACTCTCAAAATTCAGCGGAAAACCTTAGGCGACATGCACTGAAAATAATGCAAACTCGTGTCAAACAGACAGACACCATGACAGATACAGAGTCAGTGAAATCTAACGAATCAAGAGCAAAATCCATTAATTCTTTCGGAAACCCTGATGGCGGAGCAGGAGAAACAACGCCCACTTTTTCTGCACCTCCTCTTCCACCAAAAAGTGCAAGGTCAGATTCAGAAACTCCAATGGCTCCAAAGCTTCCTCCCAAACCGCCATCCCTTGGTCAGCGCCCACCATTACCAGAAAGAAAGCCTTTTATTCCACCAAGAAGACCAATAACACCGCCCCCAATACTTCCCGATCGACCTCAATCAACACCACCTCGTTTTGTCGAAGAAATAGAATCAAAACTTACAAAGTTAGATCTTGTAAGTGGCAGAAATGAATATGAAGAAGGAAAGAAGAGAAAAGAAAATGATAGGCTGAATAGATCTGGTTCTTTCAAAATTCCAATGCTGAGCAGAAAAAAGTTATCTTTAAGTAACTCCCATGAGGTTTGTAATAATTCTTTGCTTACTTTTTCTATGTATAGTTTTTTTCAGTCTTTAATGTTTGCTGATCAAGAAGTTCAAACTTCTCAGCCCGTAGGTGAAGGAGAACCTAAAGACAGGTTTGAAAGCCGATTCAGTGATGGAATAAGTAATATGAAAGAAGAATTGGGCAGGGTAGCCAGTTGGGCTATCGGCTTTGATCGACTACTAGCAGATGAAGCTGGGATGATGATGTTTTCGGTAAGATTTGTATAAATTGCACTTAATTTCAAAGCTAATTATTGTAATTCATAGAAATTCTTGGAGAAGGAATATAGCGACGAGAATATTATATTTTGGAAAAAGTGCGAAGAGTTTAGAACAAATGATAAAAAAGTTGATGTGAGACATACTTATATTCAATAATAAAAACAAACTAAATATGCCCTACAATTAGCTAAAACAAGAAGCTCAAGAGATTTTCGACAAGCATCTGTCAAGTACAGCTTCTCTGCCTATAAACGTGGATTCTTTTGCGAGACAAGTTGTTGAAGAGAAGCTGGCAGGTGATGAAACACCACTAGACGTCTTCAATATTCCTCAAAAGCAAATATACTCTCTCATGAAACAAGACAGTTACCCAAGGTTTATTAAATCAGAGATGTATAGACGGTGCGTTGTTGCAGACATGCAAAACAAACCTCTTCCATTATCTGGTCCAGCTCCACCCACTCCAACATGCTCTGACAAGCATTCAAAGGTATTTTCTTTCCCTAAAATGAATTTGAATATATGCTTTAAACATCAAATAGATAACAAAAAAGACCAAATCAGCGAATGGATCCTACGGAAGTGTTAAAACCGATGATCAAGAAAGTAAGCGACGAAGATCTTTACTTCCATGGACTAAATGTAAGATGAAGATAGTTTTTCTTTTCATTTCTAATTTCTGCTTTTACAGCCAAAAGCGAAAAGAAATTAAACAAAGACATCGGAAAGAATAAAAAAACTCTATCCGAAAGTGACTCCAAATCGAATTTGTCTATTTTAAGCAAGCAACCATCCAAAGATCATCTACCCCCTCCAAGCCCTCGTCTTTCAAAAGGCCCTGATGTTCAGAAATATTGTAGGATCATTTTACCTGATCGGTCGACAACTGTGCTTGACTCCCATAGTGATCAGTCTCTTTATAAAGCTGTATGTTATGTTTGCGATCGCAGAAAAACTGAGATGTCTGCTTTCGAAGCCTATGAACTTGGATCAGACAAGGTTTTCACACAAAAAAACCTCATAACCTAAAAATTTAACGAATATTACTTTTCAGCCAATAGATCTTCACAGAGACTTAAGTGATTTCACGGCCAAAGAAATTCGCATAGAAGAGAGAGTAACTTTCACAGTTTGCTTAAATACTGGAAAAGTATTCGGAATGAGAGGACGACCTGAAAAATCAATTAAAGATACCTTACGTCCAGTTCTTCTAAAATCCGGATTAAAATTAGACGGATTAGTTATCAATATAGTATGTAATTTTAATATTCCCGAAACTCTTAAATCATTAAATCATTTTGTGCATAGGTAAACAATGATAGTCTGATAAACCACGAGAAATCTCTATCCGTACTGAACAGGCAGAAAATAATAATTCAGACTATGAATGATTTTGCAGGTTAGTAAACACCAATTAAATTTAAATTTTATTGCAAACCTATTGTCCGATATCATTAATATTTATTATTAACTTAATAGAATGGGGCGGCGAGTTTCACTACTTTAAAGCCACATCTAATGGAAAAATATCCGCCACTGCCATGCAGTTAGAGGCAAACAGGATTGACTTTGAACTTCAGCAATTAAAGGAAGGAAAGAGCAACACAATACCAATATTCGACGATCAAGGTGTTCTACTGTCGGAAAAAAAAGTTATTATCTATTTTACTTGAAGTTCGTGTACTAATTCAGAAATTTTTAGGATTCTGTAAAGCGTGAAGGTAGACCTAGCGGTGGAGGTTTTTTCGGATTTTTTCGAAGGACATCCCTCGAAAATGGGGAAGCCGTCAAGGAATCGAAAAAAAAAACTCGTCATAGTTCTCAAAAGTTTTCAAGTATAAAAAATGCAATCACAGGAAAAGACAAGACTGAAAATAGGAAATCTAGGGAGAGCTTGCAAGCCATTGACAATAAATCAGGCTCACTACAAAATATTCAAAGTAATCCAAAGCTGGGTAAGTTTGATTTATAACATTAATATTATTTTTTGTTAATCCTTCTCGTTTCAGCCGGAAATCTCTTTGAAATGATTGAGAATATTCAAGGAAAGAAAATAGAGGATCAATGTGGACCATTGCTTCAAATGGACCTTCCCGATTTCTTGAGAAAAACTCAATCACCTATTAGACGAACAGAATCTGATACTTCCATTGCTATAAAATCTAGTATTGTTAGCCCCTCACCATCTTGTCAAAGCATACCTAATAATGATTGCAGCTTTACATCAGTTGTCGTTCCCACTCCAAACACTGCCCAAACTTACTTTTCTGGTGGTCATTCTTGCCCTGAGTCTCCAGAACTAAATGAATCATTGATTTTTGAAAAAAAGACAAAAATTGTTAAAGCGAAACCAAGACTTCCTCCCAGATCAGGCATTTCAAAACCATATGATAAAATCAACGGGGACACAAAAGGCGACAACGAAATTGGGGAACTAAATTTGTCAGAATTAGAAGTAACATTGATGGATGAAGATGTTCCCTTGAAAGATTCTACTATGACAATGATAGAATTAGATGATCGTGACCTCAGTTCGCCACCTCCCTCTCCAACGACTCATGGTTTAATCTTATGTGACTGTAATAGCGACGAATCACCACCACCCTGCGAAATAACAACCCATATGCTAGGAGCTTCGTCTGAATTTACAGATTCTCTCTGTATAATTTAAAAACAGTTTTAATATATTGTTAAATCTAATTTTTGAGTAGAAATACAATTATTTCATACAAATCTCCTGAAGTTGTGATTTTGCTAAAGAAAACAGTTAATAATATTTTTGGATTGCCATTGCAACCGCTGTGTTATAATAGTCCTTTAAGTCTACCCATTATAATTCTATTTATTGATAATCTATTTCTATAAAAATTCAGGTATTAATCTATGGAGAACTGAATATTCTTATGTAAACACAGAATAAATGGTGTATTTTTCACATTATATTGACTTACAGGATATAATATTTTATTGAAAAATACATTATAAGGGGAAATAATGAAATATGCAAAATTTCCATGAAGTTCTAGGTAAAAGTATTACTAATATATATAAGAAATATTGTTTGGATAGTGTATGACTTATTTTATTTTAGGGAAAATTAATTTTATAAGACGCTCAATTAAAATCTCTGTTGATCGATATTTGCAAAAAAAAATGGCTATTGTAAAGATGTCACCTTTGTCATGGAAATGATTCAACTAAACAATTAGTATGTTATTTTTAAAAAAATTTCTTTATTGTACCACGCACCAGGCTATTTTAGAATATCAGCATTTCCTGTGTTTATTTGAATAGTAAAACAAAAATGGCGCAAAATGATGAAGATCTCTTACACAAATGTGTTTTTTCAAATGACATAAAAAGTCTAAAAGAGTCTGTAAAATCTTTTGCTGTTGAAAAAAAAGATAAACATGGTATTTTTATATTAACATATTTAATTCACCTGACATGATCGTTTTTTCTAGGAAACACAGCTTTACATCTTGCTGCTATGTTGGGTCATAGCGACTGCATCGATATACTATTGGCTAATAATGCCCAAGTAAAAGTAAAAAACTTACAGGGCTGGACTCCACTGGCCGAGGCTGTTAGCTATGGGAGTAGAAGAAATGGTGAATTTTTTATTAGAGTGCTTCAAAGGATAGTAAAGAGTTTATGAGAATTTGAAGCTTAACGCTCAAATAACAACAATGTGTCAAATCTATATTTATGCTTTCAAATGAAAGCAATGTAATTCCTACTCTTAGTTTAATTCTATATTATTCGCTAACAATTTTTTTTAACTGAACATCTTGTTTCAGTAACTGTTTTGTATAAAGCATTAAAAGAACAATCGCGAAAAAATTTAAATGAGAGAAGACCTGTACTAGTAAAAGCATTGGAAAATTTATCAAACTTCTACTTAGAGGTCAAGTGGGATTTTCACAGTTGGGGTTAATTACCAAATTTATCATAGTTTTCAACTCTTAACACACATTCGTTTTGCAGTTCCTTTTGTTTCGCGTATATTACCTTCGGATGTCTGTAGAATTTATAAGAAAGGGTGTTGCATACGGTAAAATTTATTGTAAAAATGTAACTATCATCTCCAACTTTTAAGTTCTATAGATTAGATACAACTTTGGTTGATTTTAATGATATGAAATGGGAAAGAGGAGATATCTCTTTTGTTTTCAATGGAAATATTAAAGGCAGCAAAAATTTTACCATATTAGATAATAAATTAAAAGTGTATCAAAAATTTAAACATGAGGTAAGTTAACTGAGCAGATAGAAAAAGACTATAAATTTGTTGTACCAACTTCCCTTTCGTTCTTGAAAAGTCTAAGTATTGTTTAGTCATTAAAACACTTGATTGTAAAAATAATCAGTTACTTTCTGTTGCACGCTCAATATTATTAAAAAGTTATGAATATATCTTATTAAAATAGCTTTCCTTTCATAGGAAACTGAAGATGAAACTCAGGACGATATTGATATTTTAATGTCTAGCGACATAATTTCGGCTCAAATACCCACGAAAAATATCACGTTTTCTCGGCTTCAAAGTGGCTGGTTTGTAAAGCAAGGAAGAACAGTATGTTATATACATGAAAGAAACTTGTTCTTTAAATAACTTCAATTATTTTCATAGCAATTAGTTGGACAATTTCCTGCAGATTTTTATTCCGTTCAAGGGTTGACATTGGAGCAAAAAAAGAGGTTTCTTAATTTATCACATACTTTTTACTTTTCTTACAAAAAAACATTATCTATAGACGCGAACATCTCTCTCCTGAAGACTTGCAGAAAAATAAGGCGATTTTGGAAAGTTTGAGTAAAGGAAACGTTATCGAAAATCACGAGGTTTAATTATAACTTTGGCTTTTCTCTAATTGACAGACATCTAATTTTAGATACAACGAAGGCCCTCCCTACCAACTCCAAAGAAGGCAAATATAAGTTGGGAGGACTATATTAGAGATGGAAACCCACCTTGTTTAGGTAGACCTATTATTTGTAAAGACACAAAGAAAACATTCAAGGCCACTCTGGCAATGGTAATGTTTAAGATACATTGAAGCTAATCTAACTGTCTCTAAACTTTTTTAATAGAGTGAAGAATTTCCAATGACCGTTGAACAGTTTGTAGAAATTAAGTAAACTAACATATGATAAAGTATGATCAATAAATTCCTTAACAGAGTTCTCGACGTATTAGAAATTGTTGCACCTTTAAAACAGTATAAGAAACTGAGAGAATTTATGGATACCAAATTGCCTCCAGGTTTTCCTGTAAAGATTGGTATTATCTATTTTATCAACAATGAACAAAATCATTTAAAATTATCGTTTTTAGAAATTCCAGTCTTTCCGACGGTGACTGCCAAAGTAACATTCCAACAATTTAAATGGGACGATTCACTCGCAGAAGATCTCTTTATTATACCCAACGAATATAGGGAAGATCCAAACAGATTTCCTGAACTATAAATTGTACAAAGGACTTGCATGCACCGTCCATTATATTTTATTTCATCTTTTAATTGTCAGTTTATGCACTAAAAATTTAAAAAATTGGTTTTTATAACTTTATCAGCAACAATTGTTTTATTTGTATGAATATAAATAAAAAATTATAATTACGAGACTGCATATTCATACGAACATATGCATAATTCAAAACATATTTGTTCAATAAGCTAATATTTTAAACCACACGCTGCATAGCCAGAACCATTAGGAAATTTCTTGCATTCGTTGAATTATACAAATATCTAAATTACGTCTCATATCTTTACATTTTCCTAATTTCCCAGCGAGACAAAACAGTTCATTTTTTTAGAAGTGACTGATCGTTTTTTTTAAAAACTATTGATTTAGCAAAGAGAAGAACAATTTGTATTGGGTGTTGTTCGTCGTAACCAATCCTGCACATTTTTCGCCTTGTCGTCATCCACATGCTGCTCATTAGATTCCTCAGATGGAGTCTTTGCATTACGTGGCTTTTCATCTTCAGTATCAGCTATGTGGCCTTCATCGATGTCATCAAGAGCCTCTCTATCAGCGGAAGGCTTAACTTCACTAGATTCTGCTTGAACATCTGCAGGTGTCTGCTGTGTTGTCGTTTGATGGAGAGACGAATATTGATCGGAAACTGAGATGTTGGACATAAATGATATGGTGCTACAAGCTGAAGGGGTTCTTGAGTGGCCCAAGTGTGAGTAGGCAATCGGGAAAGGTCTGCAGGCTGAGTCACCTCCGTTTGTTTCAACAGTATGTCGGGAGTTTATGTGCTGTTGGATCTCTTCTTCGAAGGATTTTACCATTACCTCATATTGTGATCTGGCTTGTTGAGTTAACGCCATTAATTGTTTAAATTTTTCATCACAACCTTCATGATTGAATATTCCTACTACAGAAACAGGAACGAGTTTAGAACAGGCTCGGCCTAATGCCCGTCTACCTAAGGCAAAGACGATGGGTAAGTTCTGCTCTCGGCACAATTTTATTATTGAATTCAAAGCATCGTCTAATCCTCCTGTAATATAGGCAATTACTAAAATGAAAAAAAATATCTTTCAACGAACCTTTGCTTTGAATCCTTTCTAGATTCGGAGAAATAACAACGCATCGAATTTTTCCAAGTTTTAAATGTTTTGTCACTTCTCGCAGACCTAGTACAATACGACGTTTATTCTTTGCTTTTGTAGGATCTTTTTGATATTGTCTATCTTGAAATCTAACTAAATCTCTCAATAGATCTGTTACACATTCGTCTATACTTGAATCAAGCACATGGGTGCAGTATTCACGGAAACGACGTGAATGAATTTTTTGAAATACGGCTGCAGAAACATGACTTGAGTTACTTGCTGGAGTGGGGGAAGAAGAAAGTGGAGACATGGGAAGCGGGCTTGTTTGGCTTACTGGAGAGTCACCAGCACTAATCGGAGTTGGTAAATTCTCCGTAAAATCAACACTTGATGATCCCTTCGATTCTGAATTAGCTGTGCTATCTAATTCAACTTCGTGAAGAGCAATATCAGGCATTTCTCGGGAACGTTTCTTTTCCTCTCTTTCCTTAAGAATAACTTTCTTTAGAGCTGAAGGCTTTTTTGGTCGAGGATTTTCCCTCTCTTTACCCCGTTTTATTGTGGGAGCACTAGAATCAAGTGGATTTATTGCCAAAGATTTACTTGTGTTTGAACACTTGGTAGATTTACTTCGTTGTTGAACGCCAGAAACTTCAACAGTCGGTTGAAAAATATCTGCCAACATTAACGGTTGCTGTGATTTCTTTGAACTGTTGTTTGTTGTGGCATTAGCTGTAGTTGATGTTTGTTGCCCGTTATCACTAGTCTCACTCCTGTTGTTCTTCTGTTGTTTTTGTTGGGTTTGTTGTTTCAAAACTTCAGTCTCTACCAATATTTCGGCGTATTCCTCCTCCGCTGCTTTATTAGCGATCATTTGTCTTCGTAGCCTTTTCTGCATTTGTCTAGATTCCTTAAGATTATTTGCATTTTCTGAATTTGGTGGCACGTTTGTGCTTCCTTGTTTTAAGACCTCACTGTAGCTGAGTACAGCAGAAGAATCATTACACGTCGATTCTTCTTTCTTTTTTAACCTCTTAGGCTTTTTGCCTATTGGTGTACATGTTACAGAATTTTCACTCGGACCATAGCGTCTATGCTGTGGAGATGAGTATCCAGAATCAGAATCTTCCTCTTCTTCTAGTTCTTCCTCGTTTTCTACCACGTCGTCCTCATCGGTTGTATAACCTTCACCTTCTGATGCTATCCAATCTCCTCGAAAATACAGAGAATGGGGCTTTTCTGCTAATTGCATATTTGCTATTTCATCTGCAAAATCTGTCTGATTCGCTGCATCGGCAAGAACTATTGTTCTTGTTTTCTTAGGTTTTACGATAATACCTACAGGATTCACCCCCCTAGAAAAGCCAGATTCGTTTTGAACACCAATGCTGACGAGATTAACATCACGATTTGACTTTTTTTGTTTCTGCATAATAAATAGAAAATAAATAAATTTAAGTACATAGTTAGAAAATACTGTAGAAAAATCGTCGCAAAAATATCAATAAGCCTATAACAAAAAGGTTAAAGATAGAATGAATGTTTACAGAATGTTTTGGTTACTCATCTAAGCAGCGAGCGCTGTTGTAGCTACGGTCAAAACATAGATCTTTTGCTTACAGACGACTAAAAAATTAGGTCATAAACAGAGAGAAATTCCTCTCATAATAATCTAATCAGTTTAAAAATTTTATAAGGCGTGGTCAGATCAAGAGGATTTTTAGCAACCTTAAAAAAAGCACGGTCACTGATCGATAACGCGATAACGAAAAAATAAAATTACATTAAAAACTATTTTTACCTTATTGTTATTATTATTATTACTATTATTATTTGAAGTAGCAGGAGTTATATTCCGACTAGAAAAGGGCGCCGGCATGTAGGGTTGGAAAGGAGATTGAAGTGGAGGCGCCTGAGAATAATAGGTATGAGGTGAAGGCCTAATAAACGACTGTGAAGTAACCCATGCTGGAATCACCAAGGGATGTCGTATCGGAGGAGTTGAGTGCATATTATGATGTAGACCTCTGGTCGCCGGTCGGTTCATCATCGAACCTACAACATGTGTTACATATAATCGGCCTGTTTTCGAACAGTTGTTCATCATAATCTATCGACATTTTTCCGGTAGACATATACACAGCAAAGCTGCTGCCGAAATATATTTACCGTAGGCCTCTTAACACGCTAAAAAATCTTATATCTTGCTTTTTTATTTTATAACGCACCTAATTGTTGATTAAACGGCATTGACACATGGTTATGCCTTTGTCCTGCAGACCAATTCGTTGAAGGGTCTGGGACAAACGGGTAGCAAGAAGTGACGTATCCAGGCAACTTGTTTAGATCCGAAGTTGATTGATTCACTGATGGTACAAAAGCTTCGGCTTCAGCCGATAGGACTGATGGTATCTGTTTGAACAATTCAGTTCAGTTTTCAAGCTAGTTCAAATCTCTTAAAACTAAAATAGATATCCGATACGTTTCAGTCGGCGCATGTTGGCAACCGAAGACCAAACATGGCCGAATAAGTATAACATCGAATAGACAAAGTCAATATCTCCTCTCCAATACCTTATTCGATCCACTATTAAATTCTGCCATGTTTATCCTTTTCTGATCATATCCACCATATTTCTTTCGCGTTGTTTCGCCTTCAGTCCTCTTGTCTTACCAGTTGCTGTACGCGCATGTGTTGCAAACAGGCGGCAGCACTAGCGTAAAGCAAAAAAAATGGCGCTATCATTAATATAAATGATCATTTTGAAATTAGCGCCACCTGAGGAACCAGTTTTCAAACATAAATCACGTGACATTTTAAAGCTATCCCACAATGCTTAGATATCTCCAAAAGAAGTGGCGCCGCCTTCAAAATTAAGGTAGAAGATCCAAAATATAATTTTTCGATGATCTTTCATTTATTATTTCAGATCAAATACGAGATCAGCATAGTTTACATTTAATACTTTATGTAAATGTAAAAAGTATTCGGTAAATATAAGGTTTTTGTGTCTTTTTTTGCACGTGCATTCATAATGTATGAGCTGCCTTTGTCCTAAAAGAGACTGTTCATTGTGAGGTTGGTGCTAGCTGCAAAATGAAAAGAAAAACGTTCTGCAGGTACACATCAGCCCCATTGAGTCCAGTTCATAAACATCTGACGAAACACAGATGGAGATCTTAAAAAAAAAATGATTATCAGACACTGGACAGGTTCTCGTGCATACATTTATATTATTTTGTCTGCATGATAGAATCTGCTCCTCTGCCTTTTAAGCAAATCTTCAAAATATCATTCGGTGAATGAATTACATCCTAAAAATACATTTATGAAAAGTATTTAAAGGCTTAAATAAGATACAGCTATCGATTGGTCATATAGAAGAAGTATGCATGTCACAACTCAACAGGTGAAGAAACGAATGGCTTGGTAAGACTTGTCATTTTTCCTTAAGTTAAACAAATGATAAGAAATAAATTAGGTATTAGATATGAATGAATAGAACTAAAGAACTAATCTCATTAGTATATTTAATTGAGCATTCTCTGAATCATATAAGACAATGGAATTACTCATTTGTCCAAGTTTCATGAATTAAACTAATGGAAATGGTAGGCAATATATACTAATGTATATATATATACATATGTATTAACGAAATGTATTAATTTTATCAATTATTCAATAATTACTTGTAATCATTTTGGAAACAAAGGATTCTCGTATGCAATGGAAGAAAGAAATGCTTTGAGAATAGAAAATTACCTTAGCTTATGTAATTTCTTCACAAGCATTAGTTACGTATAATCCATTATTGATTTCATCAATATGGCAATGTACCTGTCCTTTAACAGTGATTTCTCATGGCAAAATATAACTTCTCTTTAAGTTCTAATCATTTAAAATAGTAAATATAGTAGTTACACATAGGCACAGCTGACCGAAAAATCAATTTTTCACAGATGCTTAGTATATTTTATTTCAACATGTTTCATCAATAAAGATTAAACTTTGAATGAAAAAAGTATCAATATATTGACAATATTTATTAGAAATCTATTAAAAAAGAGTTATCCTACACAATTAGTAAAACTTTCATCACACGTCGTCTAAGTTTTCAACAGCTTCTCTTAATAAGTTCTCTTTAAGAGTAGCAGTACTTTTATGAGCTGACGCCTTTGATTTTTTTAAATCTGATCGAACACTTAATTCTCTTGATAAACCTTCGGGTGTTGAGTTGCCCCCATCATTATCAGAAAAAAGGTCCCACAGCCCTTCTAGAACTTCGGCTGCTACAACACTACCAGTGTTTTTCGAAATCAATCTTACAACAAGCAAACCATCTCGTCTTAAATACGAGTCAGAAAATCTCCGCACATGAGACTTTTGTGTAGACGTAGAACTACCTACAGGGTATAACTGCTTGAAAACGTATTCAGATTGCGTAGGCCAATAAAGTAGTAAAATTGACCAATATATAAAATTAATAACAGTTATGATAGCGATAAAAACAAACCAGGCCCATAGAAAAAGAAATAGTTTTTCGTTGAATAAGTTAATAGGCAGAACGCATTGAACAACATGTCTGTGCAATTGACCCCCTTTTTTCCTGATATCAAAATAACAAGCTGCAACTCTTGGAAATAATTCTGAATGATCAAAATATACGGGATCAGTTTCTCGAGATGTTATAATCATATTCACAAGTAATTTAAACCCGTGATAGTGAAAAGGAGCTTGTAAAAAGAAGTCTAACAAAAATATTTGCCCAATTGCATTTAAAATGTATAAAATCTTGACAAGTAAATAGGAGCCAGCTAAATAATTGCCCGCACTTCTGGCGGATGTTGTGCAGCAGAACACAGCTGAAGTATGAAGAGAGCAACATCTTGAACGAGTCTTAAAGCTAGCTTTTGTTCTCCAAACTCCCAAATATCGTTCTATCTGTCCAACCATATATCTTACAGTTTTCTCCCTGTGTTTTCGAAAATGGTTGGTATGGAAAAATATTTCTAAACGATCATTAGTGATGACCTTTAGTAAAATACACACTAAATATTTTAAATGAAATGACAATGTTTACCTTATATCTGCGTAAGAAGTCCTCTGTCCGGCAATAGCAGCATCTAGAATCGCTGCCACGTTAATCCCTGATCTTTTATATAAAATTCTCCAAATACCGTTGGGCAGAGACATGAGAACAGCTTGAAAGAGCAGTATCAAAGGCACCCACTGGTAGTAGGACACTCGATTTTTAGAATTTGGATACTGAGGAAGAGCTGTTTCAGATGGATCTAGTCTGTAAGTACTTGATACCCAACAAATACTGTCAGCATATCTTTTGTGAACGTCTGTAAATTCAGCAGGCGACCAACAATGAATTGGATCACCCACGTATTGTTTTCCAATTACTAATAGAGCGAATACTACTAATAAAAACAAAGAATGCCGCCTGGAGAGTCTGTCTACATAGTCGTCGTCTACTGTTAGCTTAGCATCTCTAAAATTAAAAATAAATCTCAATATTCTCTCCATGTTGAATCATATTATCCTAAAAATTTGTAAAATATTCCCAGTTAAACACATGTTTCCAAATGACTGCTGCTGAATGCTTTGCTGGAAATATTGCGGCTTGAATGCAATAGCACGTGTATGCCGTATTGACTTTTGAAGTGCTTGATGTATCTATAATTAAAAGCTATTAAATTTCAATTGATTAATGTAATATTTCAACTTCTCCTGAGCATCATCTTCATGGTGAATAAGTAGAATCTTTCTTCTGAACTAAAGGCAATAAGTAGTAAATTTCTTTATATAACAAGTAAACCTAGAAATTCTATTCTATATACCGAAATTATAAAAAATTTGGACTGTTTTTCAAATTAAAAATTAAACTTATAATCAATGGATAAAAGCTCTTAAAAAAGAAATTAAAGGTGTTAATTTATACAAAAAAACTCATACGCATTCTATATCCCCCTATTCTGTTATCAGAATAGAAATAGAAATTCTTTATTAAAGTTTACAGGCAAAAATTTATTTTGGATTTATCAAAAAGGATCTTTTATAACATAACTAAAGAATTTGCGTTTAACTTGAAAATGGATGGTTGTAATCAATTTAGAATAAGAACTATAATCAGGTGTTACAATTTAAAAGTGCTTAAATTTTCCATCTACAATTGATAATTATTCATAAATTTTACTATTTTCTATATTTTCAGTTAATTTACAAACACTATACATTGTACTTTAATAAAATAAATAAAAGAGAGGTAGGGTAAAAGTAAATATTTTATTTAAACGACTTCAACTTCTTCAAATTGAATTGGATCAAGCTTTATTTAACAGAAGATTATAACTTCACTATGAAATAAATTTAAAACTTCAAACTGATCAGTTTCAATTAACCCAGATTTTATTAAATGTATCGAATTAAATTTTGAACTTTAAACATGTAGCACCAAATTTTACAGTGTATTTTTTCATTAAGTATAATTTTTTAATGAAAAAGACTACTGTCAGAAATTAAGCATTCTAGAGTCTAGGAAAGCAGACAGAGCGGAAATCTTATTTGAAAATCCATTTAGATAATATATTGCAGAAACTAATATTCCGAACTTTTCCAATTTTCTCTGGCTTTTAGAACAACCAGCCTTATTAAGAATAATCCAGCTATATAAGCAAATATACAACTGGCAACTTCGAAGCCCCAAGAATAACCTAGGTGACCCTCCACCCAAAAATTTTTACATTGAAGTTTTCTGGCATTATCACCAAATATCATACAAACAACCATAATCAGCATACCTAATGAATTCAAAATTGAGTGAAAATAAGTATTATAAATTTAATAAATTATTTAAACTTTTCCTTCAGCATACCTGTAACAATGAAAACGATAGGTCCAGCATAAGACAGACATTTTTCTCCTTTTCCGACATCATCGCTGCAACAGGCAGTTCTGCAGCACCAAATAAGAGCCAAAAGGATAAAAATGATAGTACCAACTATCAAAAGAATGAGACTAATAACTGCTAGGACTCTAGCACTAAACAGCCAACCTATAAATCACAAAAAAGCTTATAATTGTTGATTCATCGATATGGATAGGGTGAATACAAAAAAAACTTTTCTAATTTTACCTGGAAGAAGCCATTCTTTCATGGAAGAGTAATATTGAGATTCCAAATTATGACAACCATTGTATAACTTATAAGGTACATCATATTTATGATAATAGTTATCAAAGCATGCCTTAAAAAGGCCCAAATTTAAGAAGTTGTTTTGATCTTCATCATCTGAAGTTAACCAATAGTCCGTCGCTAAGGCTATCACATGACAGATTATAGACAGAGCAATTAAGAGAGCGGATAATCCAAAGAGAACTGCAGAAGACAAGCAGGAACAAATTCCCCCGCTATTCGCCATGTTTTATTTGAATCTAACTCATAGAGTTAGGTAGACCTTAAGCTATTTTTAGTTTTAGGCAGTCTCGGGTGGCGGCGTTTTGCTTTGTTGGTTCACGCATGCGTATAAAAGGCTAAAATAATCTTTCTTTTTAGAGTTTATCCTCATTACAATTCCAAATTTCTTTAAAGCCGATTCACCATTCTGGAACTTTTTGTTTAGTTTTAGAAGAAACCATGAGGCTTTTATTAATTTTTGTTACAGAACAAAAGTTTCTGTATATTCCTTTGGTTAAAGTGAAATACTCTACATTCCTCACTAATGCTAAAAAGCATTGGTAGCCTATGCCGACAATCTTAGAGAACTAGTCTATTTATTTCCGGAGATACTGTTTGAATTATTACTCCACTTCGGGAGAATTTATAATGAGACCTAAGCAGAATTATTTACGTTTTTTGTGATTAAATGTTATATTAGCATATTCGAGTTTTTAATTGAAATTAAGTATTTTATTGATAAATGAATTATTTAATCGAACTTATATATATCATATGAAAAGTAAGTAAAAACTAGTCTATTATTATTATCACTGAAAACCGAATTTGTAATTGTTTTTAGCAAATGTTAAAAAATTGTAATGCATTAATATTTTCTCAATTATTCTCTCTAAACTAGGTGTAATAGAAGCGTGAGACCCGAATGATTTTTATAAATGATTTAAAGTATTAAATAATTCTACTCAGTGATTATCCATGACCTAGGTTTTATCAATGAGTATAATATTGTATGAGTACCTAGATTTTTAGTTTAATTAGAGCACTAAAAAGATATAACAACTTTGTATTCATATTTTTTATAGAAATAACTGTCATAAAAAATATGCATATCTATTATTTGATTGGTCTTTACTGCGAATGTCAGATGGATATTACATATAATTAGACTAGACCATGAACCCAAAAGCATATTTATCTTTTTGATTGTTGACTTTAAGTCGCCTATAATTTTAAACATTGGCCTCTAAATCTCAAATTTACAAAGACGTTTCTGTAGTAGTGAATCACTACTAATATGCTAATATAGATCGGAATAGGTTAAGTTGAGTTCATTGTAGATGTTACACATCTTTTAAAAGACGCATGTAATTTAAGCGATCTATTAATACCAATTTTTTTCTGATATATACAGCACTTACAAGTTTTTTTTTGTTGAAGCACAAGATCGATAAAGGACGCACAGCCTGTTTAAATTGTTGCTTTACTATTAAAGGCCTATTCATAACAGGGTAGATCGACCACACCTCCTCACTAACAAATAATTTATGCAAAAAGCAAAAAATAACAGAACAATTTATTTTAGAAAAGTCAAATAGAAGAAAGATATTTTCATGAAAAAATTCTATTATTTTTTTTTTTAAAAAAAATTTGTTTCATGCCATCAGAAAACAAAATAAACTATCAGTACTACTACGAAGAGGCTAAAGTTTGATTTCCTTTCCATAAACTTCTGACTACTATATACTATTGATACTAATGACTAATTTCCATGCTTTTGTATCGACTTTAATAATCGAATGTTCTCCCTATAGTTAATCATCGAAATCACTGGAAAAATGTTATAACACTTGTATTTGAATAAATTTACATAATCATGGGCGATATTATAGTTTGTTGACCTTCACTACCTAACAGGAATTGCTGATTGGATGAAAGAAATGGAATGTTCGAGAATGACACGTGTTACCCACAGTGACTATTAAAGCCTGAGGTTTTGTTAGACGAAATACCTACAAAAATCTTCTCCTTTATAGTCCAGCTGATTACTTGCGACACCGAAACATGAAACTGAAAGTCAATTCACCAAACGTTCGATACACGGATGAGCATATTGAAGCCGATTATGTTTACAGAACAACTAGTATTGATCATATGGATGATCTTGTGGTTGCTACCCCGAAACAAACAAACTATCAGTTTAGGACAAAGACTGCAGTCCCAAAGCTAGGTGTCATGCTAGTAGGATGGGGTGGTAACAATGGTTCTACTGTAACGGCCGCTGTTCTTGCTAATAAGCACAAGATGTCTTATATGACTAGAAACGGAGAGATCAAAGCAAACTACTTTGGCTCCATTACCCAAGCCTCGACTGTCAGCATGGGATTTGATTGTGATGGGTAGGTAAATCCTAAAAAATTATAGGACATTTCCCTTATAGGACAATTGAATGCATTAGCCAACTTGTTCTCCTTGGGCTTTTATGTATACAAAAGGCATATACTGAAAAGAGTTAAATGGTTAACAATAGAATATAGCACTTCAAAAAATTATTATCTTATCTTCTACTGCTACAAGTTGACATTGCTATCACTTTTTATGCTTTAATATTTCTTACGTAACTTATCTCAAGAATATTGCGCTTTATTATAACTAGAATTCAGAATTTATACTGTCAACTTTGAACTAAACTTTTCATATTCAAAGTCCTAAACTTGAACATTTTATTTCAGAAACGAAGTTTACATACCAATGAAAGACTTACTTCCTATGGTTAATCCAGACGATATCGTGTTTGATGGATGGGATATATCATCTGCTAACTTGGCTGAGGCTATGAAGAGAGCCCAAGTGCTTGATATTGAGTTACAAAATCAGCTAAGTCCTTACATGGAAAAGATGAAACCACGACCAAGCATCTATTATCCTGATTTCATTGCTGCTAATCAGTCAGATAGAGCAGATAATGTCATTAATGGAACAAAAAGAGACCACGTAAATAAGATACGTGAAGATATTAGAGAGTTCAAGGCTGAATCTGGAGTTGATAAAGTCATCGTTTTATGGACAGCCAATACTGAGCGTTTTTCTGAAATAAAGCCAGGTCTGAACGATACTGCAGAAAACCTTTTGCAAGCTATAGAAAACGACGAAGCAGAAATTTCCCCATCAACTATTTTTGCTGTAGCTTGCAGCCTTGAAGGCGTTACTTACATCAACGGCTCCCCCCAGAACACATTTGTACCCGGTGCAATAGAACTTGCCGAACAGAAAAAAGTATTTATTTCTGGAGATGACTTCAAATCTGGTCAAACAAAGTTAAAGAGTGTGTTGGTTGACTTCCTAGTTTCCGCTGGAATTAAACCTACATCTATTGTGTCCTATAATCATTTGGGAAATAACGACGGAAAAAATTTATCCGCCCCACAAACTTTCAGGTATAATTTTATAATACAAACTGTTTTCAGAGTGCATGCATCTTTTCAAATATGCAATCTTTATTGGGTCATTTTAAAATTTTCCTTATTGATGCAGATCAAAAGAAATATCAAAATCGAATGTAGTTGACGATATGGTAGAATCATCAAGAGGAGTGTTGTATGATTCTGAAGAAAAGCCAGACCACTGTGTGGTTATTAAATACATCCCAAATGTTGGAGATTCGAAAAGGGCTATGGATGAGTACACTTCTGAGTTGATGATGGGGGCGAAGAATACACTAGTTATTCACAATACTTGTGAAGATTCAATGTTGGCTTCTCCATTAATCTTAGATCTCGTTATTATTGCTGAAATCTGTGAGAGAATAACATTTAAAGTAGGAGATGAAGATTTTCAAAGATTCAATCCTGTATTGTCAATCCTCAGCTATTTATGCAAAGCACCTCTAGTTCCAAAAGGGACCCCCTTAGTTAATGCTTTATTCAAGCAGCGACAGTGTATAGATAATATCTTCAGGTAATTATTATTTGATTAAAATTAAATTTTGAACTGAAATCTATTTCATTTTTCAGAGCATGCATTGGATTAGATCCAATCAATCATATGCTCCTCGAGTATAAACATGAGACAATTCCAGAAAGGCATATTCGTCCAGCAAATGAAAAAGTTGGTCATATCTTATCAAGGGATAACTCAAGCAGCAGAATCATTGGACATGGATTAATTAACGGTTAAGGAAGAGTAATGAAATCATCAAAATAGGAATTTTTTTTCTGCAAATTGTAAATGTTTTTTCCTAAGTTTTTCTTTATGAAATTTGCTTAGAGTAGCAACAAGGCGTAAAGTACAAATACAGCTCTCCACTTAAATGTTTTTATTTATCTTTTTAACATCTAATTTTCTATACTTTGATTTAGTTTCAAGGAGATTCCAAAGATTTATGTTTTAAAGATCTACTTAAAATGAGAACTCTGTGAAACAAAAAATTTTTGATGAAATTTTGTAATAAAAGTATCTATTAAAAACATGTATATCCTTTAGTTTTTTTTCATTTGAATATTCAAGTTGCTGTTGTAGATATAAGTCTTAGAATAGAAATGCAAGTTCGACAAGAATTTAAGCTGTCATTGGTTTTTTTCCCCAATAGACAGTGATGACCCCTATCGTTTATCTTAAAACTAAATATACCAGAGCGGAAATTTACAACTATGTTGTTATAAAAACATTTATTGCAACGGATCATATGTTAATTACATCCTCATCTTCGCTTAAAAATTCAATGTGTTTGCTTAAAATTTTGAACAGATGATATTGAAAACCGAAGGTCAAGAAACCAAAAACATGTCCATAAAGTTTACTCTTCAAACTGTTTAATGATATCTCTGAAGTACTGTTTTTTTATAGTCATATATCATTATTAAAATAAATATTATAAAAGTCAGCTTAATAATTAATACGGACTTGCTCCAATAGCTTTAATCTATTTTTCTAATTATAGAAGTCAGTTACGTAAAATTAATTTTTTGGAAAATAATTCAATTACGTATAAATCACAAAAAGAAAAAGATTAATTGGCAATAAAACAAGGCTAAGATAAGATGAAAATTTTTTGAAATGGAATATTTTTGTTATAAAGTAAACTTTAAATTGAATCAAACGATCTAATATTTATCGTTCTTAAGTGAGGATGTTAAATTAACGAACTGAATGTGATTACATCTAAAATAATACTAGCGCAGACACATTAATTCAGCAATAGAGAATTTCTATTGAAAAAATTGTATTTCTATTTATAATCGTACATTACTTAAATTTGGAATAGTTTTTATTACCTTCTTATCGTCAAAATACCAAGGGCTAGATAAACTCTTTGAGTTTCACAAAGCACTTACCGTTTGTAACGTTCAATTAATCATTGCTTATTCTACTTAAAACAAATTTTAATTAATACCTTCTGTATAGAGATTGTAACAATAAATTTCAATAATAATGTACACGCGCAATTTAATTATTTTATTACATAATCAATAATATTCAAATAGGATTTGCTGTTATATGTTAGGCAGATTGGAGAATAAAAAGAAATATTTTGGACGTTAAACTGTAATAGATTTAGTATGTAATTCGTGTTAGTCAAATAAAGGGTCATAATATGGTTGAAATTGTAATATTTTATGCTCTTGCTCAGTTAACCTTCAGTTATTGATCAGCCCTAATCAAAAGGCAATCCAACAGCATAATTTGTTATTAGTCAGCTGTATAATAGCCTTTGAAAAAAAGTTTGAATCTTTTGTTTTAAAATACCCATACTCAAGGGAGCCTCTTAGTGACTATGGAAGATCGTTATATCCCTTATCAATCTCTAGTCTTTGATCTTTTATTTGCTAGTTATCCATTCAGTTGTTGAATATTTTAAATTGCATTAATTGAAAGAGTACCTGTAAATGTATTTTTTTTTGATTTTTTTGTATTTTTTTAAGAGAAATCGATAGATGGCACTTAAAGTCTATTTCAATTTATTAGTGGCTTTTTTTCGTTACCCTCGGGATATAGTTATCTGGAGCAACAGGCTATACACAATTTTGTCATGCGTATAACTGATGAAGAAGAAAGTTTGAGTAAATGGGGGCTATTTACAAAGGTTATCCTCTTTCGTTACGATTCACTTCTCATAGACTGAATCGACCTTTCATGATATTTTTTAAAAAAAATTTGATGTAATTATCTAAAGATTTTATTGGATATTAAATTTGGGTTGTTGAAAACTGTCATATTGTCTCTTTTCGGAATTGAAGCCTGAAGGGTCGTTTTCAGAGGTATAGCTCACTGGTCTTTAATTTGATTCTGACCTATTTTCTTATCTCTTTAAGTGAAGCCAATCGTGACAAATAACAAACAAAGTTTCTTTAAAGGCTTATAAGTTTGACCAGCTATAAAGTTTCACCTGAAAATTAACATAGCTAAGTATTGCTATGTAGTTTTAATATAGCATTCACATATTTATCGATAGAATAATCAAGAATGTCATAAATCAGCAACACCTTGTCTTAATGGGTGAGCGTATGTCGTTATTATCGACCTTTAAGCGCTACACGGTCATTTTTCTATTACGGCAATTAGCGGTTGTAATGAAATACTCGATCGATATAGGCTATACGTTTCCTACTTAACATTGAGAATCCATCGATAACCTACTATATATAAGTAATTAATTTAATGTTCTATATAACTGTCAATATATTTAATAATAACCGTCATGTTGTGAAATTTACTTGATCAAGGGTTGCCTTTTATTAATTTACTCTCCTTGTATAAAGCGGGAGTGTGGTGGCTGTTTACGATCATTAATTTCTGATAAGTGTGTTGTTTGCCTCGTTTAGTGGCGAACGCTCCCTGCGGCGATGTAATATGAGAAGGCATCTTATACTGTGTTTCAAAGCGTAGAAATTTTCGTTCTTAACCACTGATTTATCAATCCTAATTACTTTTTGGTTTATTTTTAAAATTTCTCTTTTATGTATTAATATATACATTGCAAAAACAAAATAAAAAGTAACGCTAATCTGACTCGCACATATCGTTGTCCACAGTTTTAGCATCACAAAGTATGTCTTCTTTCGTGCGTTTGTATTTCGTTCGCCGATTTTGAAACCAAACTTTAACCTAAAGTAAATCGTTCCATTACTTTTAACCTATTACCTAGTTAGCCGAAAATATCATACATTTCTTTTTTATAATTGTACCTGAGTTTCGGTTAAACATAGATTGGACGCCAGCTGCTTTCTTTCTTGTCCCACGACATAGTGGTTTTTTTCGAAGGCATGTTCCAATTGCAGTAGTTGAGACGGACTAAATGCTGTTCGTATTCTTTTCGGTTTTCGGTAAGGTTGCAAAAAATTCAAATCTTGCACTGCTGAAATAGTTCATCAAACTTTAAATAAAAAAATGATTTAATAAACATTGATCATAATTGTTGTAAAATGATGCCGTGGCGACTAAGCGATTGTTTGACAAAGTTTAGCAGAGTGTTTGTCAAAGCTCTACAAAACACTCACGCTTCTGGCAAAAATCTTTCGACCGCTTTATTATTATGTGTCAATTTAAATTACCAGTATGTTTACACTTTTAATAGTTGTTAGAGGCCGTTTAAAAAAATTCCATGATCAAATTAAAAGCAAACTTAAGTTTTGAACTCCTACAAATAGGAAATAAACGATTTAACACAGGCAGCTGAACAAACTAATGAAGTTTGTTGTTTGTGTAAGAAAAATCAAAGCAAAACAACTGCGTGAAATCTATTTCAATATTTTACCAATATATTGTAATTCCCAATATATGTAATAGATATGAATGTTTGTCAAACTCATTTACCTTCATAGAAAAAAAACATTTATATTTATTACTGAATAAATCTGATTTTATAACATTCTATCAAAAGTTTTACCTAATTTTTGTTGAATATTACCAAGAGCAAACTGCGAGAGTGGGTAAGTTGTTGGAGGTATGAGCCATGAGCCAGAAAAAAGATTTCGGTCGCTTGATAATGTTCTCATTATTTCTATACTATTAACAGCCAGACTTCTTCTAAGATTCGCTGAATAGTATGATGGAAACACTGGGGAGGCTGTTTGAGCTGAGGCAGACGAAACAGGCTCGTTTCTTTTTTCAACAGTTTCATTATCTTTTCCGATTATGGCGTCTATTGTAAAAGACTTTTGTTTTTGTAATACGTCCAGTTTCATACTTAACAAACACTGTACTTTAAGAGCACTAAATTGCTTTTGAATTGAAGGCGGAAATTGCTTGATTGCGATTGGCTGTAAATTCTGATACCTTTTTGCATCATATAGTATACATGTAAAAGAATTTTAGTTCTCTTTCGCGCAAACTCGTAAAAGAAATCATTTTTAAGGAGCCAATCAGAATCAGTCACGCTGTTTGCTGCTTCTTTTAATTATTTGTATTACACTTTATCGTAAGTTACTGATGTCTTTCTCCGAGAGTTATGCTTTACGAATTGAAAACTAACCGGTGCAAATATTTGAATTTCCTTAATCAAACTTTTCGTTTAAAAATACCTTACAATCTCCAATTTCGCAAATTTGCTGTACCCTTACACAATTAATTGTTCCTGATGCATTTGTAGTGGAGACAGTTGGACAGGGAGACACAATGTAATAAAGACATTAACAACTACTTTTAATATGTAATTTCTTTATTTTAACTGAAGATATTAGTCATTCATCACTTTAAGGTTTGCTATATTTTTAGACTCACAAGTTATAATATAAATTAGATTTGAATAGAAAAATTCATTAAAAAACACTTCAAATATTCTGTTGCAGGTCTAACTTTTGCAGCAGAATATTTTTTAAATAGACAAAGAATACCAACGTTCCTATTACCGATTCCGAATAAGATGAAAATTTATTAGTTTAAAGTATAGTAATTGTAAATTCAATTTGTTATTCAAATTTTGATCTGAACCTCTTAACGATGTGCCAATTCTGAAAATGTACGACATGAAGAAAGATTTAAACCTGTCATATGGGTCTTGTTTTTAAATAGATTGACAAAAGTAGTAAATATATTTGAATGGGTAAATAATAAAAGAGGAAAATTATTTACAAGAACTATCGGAATGTACTTCGGCGGCTGAGAACTGCAATAGAAGGTAGGTTGCTAATTATCATTGGCAACTACGTGTTTATGACCATGGATCTGTTGCTCAAACTACACAATCATTAGCACATCCTTACAGTTTATCTTGATTTCGTCTACGGCGAAAGGAGAAGAAATAAAAAAGTTCAAGTAAAAAATTCTTTAAATTATTCGAATACTGAATACGCCAGTTCGAAGGCGTCTTTAAGCAGCAGTTCCGCCTACCGAACCAGGATCGCATTGTAGCAGTCGAACAATTGATGGGTCACTTTTAGCGCCTTCAATGAATTCTTCGAGGGAGAGTTTTCCGTCTTCATTCTTATCCATTTGACGGAATATTTTATCCGTTCTCTTTTCTGGAGTACTCTCATCTTCGGGCATTTTCATTACCGATCCGACCATTTTGTATATAGCCTGATAAAATAAACAATAAGTATTTTTTTACTTATTGCTATTAGCTAACCGTTACGATTTCAAGCATTTCCTGCCGAGAAATATATCCATTACCGTCCAGATCATACATGTTAAAAGCCCATCGTAATTTTTCATCCAGCTTTCCTCTAGAAGTGATACTCAGAGCGCATATAAATTCACGGAAGTCTATTGTACCGTCTCCGTTAGTATCAAACGTTCGAAAGACATGTTCAGCAAATTTTGATGCATCCCCATATGGAAAAAAGTTCCCATAGATTTTTTTAAACTCGCTAACAGTTAATGTTCCACTGGGACAATCCTTTAAAAAGCCCTTATACCTGTTAAATATTTATATAGTAATATATGATTGTCAAGTTTAATAAGTAATGATACAACCATTCCTTTATTTCTTCATCTGAAAATTCCGTATGCCGTCTTAAATCTTCCAAGTCTTCTGGCTTTAGCTTGCTACTATTTTTATTTCCCATAATAGTACAGGCAGAACACCTACAAAAAGAAATTTTACTAAAGCATTTAGATTAAAAGTCAACATGCAGCGACACCTGCTCTACGAACGCTGCTTGTTCTATTTTTTCGATTACTGAAATTTTAACATAAATCTGTGAATAACAGATGAGATGAATCATTATTAGAATTGTATCTTCTCTCTTTATTAATTTCATATGAAAATGCTCTGAGAAAACGATTCTTAAACAAATTAACTGATATAATTATATAATGAAAGGAAGGTATCAGCCATCCGAAAGAGAAACGATTCATTGACATAGTCTTCAGTAATCACTTCATCTTTTCCATATATAATTATTGATTTTATATTTAAACAAAATTACCTCTTTAAAGAATGAACCACCCAATTTGACAAGCACTTCGAGCTAACGGCAACCGGAAATGCGGTCAACGACTGCGAGACTGCGATTTTCCTGTCATTTACTGCCACCTACAATCCCCTTCACTTTCTTATACTTTTTAAAAATTGCAACCTTTTTATCCACAGATGCTTATACTTTACTGATTTTTATAATAATTCAAAGCAGATAAAAAATTTGCATTTTCTCAAGATAGAACAACCTAATATTTAAAATTTGATTAATACAAGAAAAGTTTCCAATCAAGATTCTTTTGAAAGAAACTTTTATGATTATAATAAACAAGGAAAATTTATTTAAAGTCATGAGTTTGCTAATAAAAGTTTACGCGATCATTTGCTTTCAGATTCAAATTTGGCGCTAGTTATGCCATTATGCATGCCGAACGTCGGCCTCGTTTCAATTTGCCATTCCACTTATATTTTTTCTCCCCTCTTTCCAGTTATTTTACTTGCTTTTTTGTTTAAAATTGACCAAAATCGGGATTTTTAGCATGCAAAATACTAATAGACATTTTAGAAATATTTTGTAAAAAAAAATCGCCAATTAAATTTCTCTGAGAGAAGAAATCAATTAGTTGGGGAGAATACATAGGGCGAATGGTTGTTGAATGGAGTGAATGCTCACACCCAATCTGACAGGAATAATTTTTATGGCAATGCCGTTTTACTGAATCGAATTGTTATTCGTATTGATTCCCCAAGAAATTAGTGACTGTGGAATATTATCTAAGGCTAGGACAACTGCAGTTGGCTGCAATAACCACGCAGTCCGCGCCATTCGTATCTTTTCATTGCTAACATGGCGTGTTGCCTCAGCGAAGAGGCGAAAGAACAGAAACGAATTAATCAAGAAATTGAAAAGCAGTTACGCAAAGACAAGAGGGATGCAAGAAGAGAACTTAAACTACTTCTCTTAGGTCTGATTTAATATGAGTGCGCAGTTGATTGTTGTCTTGCCCTAATCTAACCGGCTCTGGTTGCTGATTCCGCCATTTTGATTGAATAGTTCATATTTGTTTATAAACGTTCCAGTTAGGTAACTTACGATTGTAGAATGCTATGTTAACTGGAATGGTCCTCAGGTTTTTTAATACCATTATCAAGTTTATAAGTCTGAGATAAAGAGATATTTTGCGATATTTATCCTCCAACTCCCGTCCAAGTTAACTTTTAGTACTTATTTAAATGATTCTTTTTTGCAGGTACTGGCGAATCAGGAAAAAGTACTTTCATAAAGCAGATGCGAATTATTCATGGATCAGGCTATAGTGATGAAGACAAACGCTCTTTTATCAAATTAGTTTATCAAAACATTTTCATGGCAATGAATTCTATGATACGCGCTATGGACACACTGCAAATTTCTTACAAGGATCCGGAAAATGAGGTATGACTTTTCTCTAAATCTGTGAGGTCTAGGGATTGTGTATTGTTTGGTTATGTCAACTTATGTGATTGTACATAAAAGAAGAGAAACATTTGAAGATGATAAATAATAGCTTTGTTGGAAATATCTTGCGCCGGTAAAGCTTCAAGTTCAGTTTAAAGCTTTTACGCTGCCTCCGTACTTATTTATTGATTAGTTAGTATCTGAATAAAATGAGGGCGTGGTACTGTAATATGTTGGGTGTTGTAGTGTATGACTATGTTGCAGTTGGTATTTCAAATATTCATTAAATCTTTTTATAGTTGGTAAAAATAGGTATTAACCAATGGAATTTTGCCAGTTAAACTGTTGTACAGTATCGGCGAATGAAGATTATTGTAGATTACATAAATAACTGTAATTATTTGAGTGTTTGATTTTTACAGAGTAGGCGTGGTTCGTATTTTCTCGCATCACTGAAAAAATCATAGGCAACTATTAAGTACCCTACCTGAATAAACACTTAAATTAAGTTGCTATAGCTAGTGATTCATAAATCGATTTAATTTTGCTATTCCTTCTTAATCGACGCAAAGCGTATCAAACGAAAAGACTAAGCAACATTGATTTGACACGCCCGTTCAATTGTTTATGCTTTAATTTATAATTTTAAATTTTTACAGCAAAATGCAAAGAAAGTTCGAGTAGTTGATTACGAAACAGTGACAACTTTCGATAGAGAATACGTTGAAGCTATTAATAAGTTATGGGCCGATTCCGGAATTCAGGAATGTTATGACCGTAGAAGAGAGTATCAATTAACAGATTCCGCCAAATAGTAAGGAAACCCTTATAGCCATGAAACCATAATCATCACCTTTTGTTTTGAAACAGTTATTTAGATGATGTTGATCGAGTGTCTCAACCGACCTACCTTCCTACTCTGCAGGATATTCTTCGAGTGAGAGTACCCACAACGGGTATAATCGAGTATCCATTTGACTTGGACGGTATTATATTTAGGTAAGACATAAAATAATGTCAAAATATTGCAAATATATAGCATTTACTGAAACAGAATGGTCGACGTCGGAGGTCAGAGATCAGAGCGTCGGAAATGGATACATTGTTTCGAAAACGTCACATCTATAATGTTTTTAGTGGCGCTTAGCGAATACGATCAAGTTCTAGTTGAATCAGATAATGAAGTCTGTTTTTTAGTACTTATATAGACTTTTTCTTAATTAATTATTTTTAGAACCGTATGGAAGAATCGAAGGCTTTATTTCGAACAATTATCACCTATCCATGGTTTCAAAACTCTTCAGTCATTCTATTTCTGAATAAAAAAGATCTCTTAGAAGAAAAAATAATGTATTCGCATCTTGTCGATTATTTTCCCGAATTTGATGGTAAGTACTGACTCAGCCAACTGAAAGATTCCTTACTGTTCAAAAATTTCCTTGTTTCATTTGACAATTGTTGTATCATTAGGTCCTCAGAAAGATGCACAACAGGCTAGAGAATTTATTCTCAAAATGTTTGTCGACCTCAATCCGGACCCGGATAAAATAATTTACTCGCATTTTACTTGTGCTACAGGTTTGCTGAAAGGGAAAACAATCTTTATGTGTTTAATAATATCCAAAATCTTTCAGACACAGAAAATATTCGTTTCGTATTTGCTGCAGTCAAGGATACAATATTGCAGTTGAACTTAAAAGAATACAATCTTGTGTGACACCGCCTGTGGCCTTTTCTGTGTTAGGCACTAAACTCACAAGAAATGATATATTAATGTAGTGCGTTTTAAAATAATGACAAATTGCGTCGTCTGTTGTCGTTTCTAGTCGAAGCAAATCTCAAACGTTGAATGAACGGAGTGATTTTTTTTAAAATAATTTTTATGAATGGTATACGTGTTTATGGAATGAATGAAAAGGCATGTGATGATGAATTCGTAGCTGCTACTTTGTGCTTTTGTACTCCACTTATAAATGTTAAAATATTCGACGTGGGTCGAGCAACTCTGCCTGTATGAAAGTGACTGTGCAATATTGGTCGGTCACACTATATACTTGTAAGAATTTATTCAATAGTCGATGCTTTATAAGGTTTCGTGTTCAGAAAAAAAGAGAAGAATAAATTTAATCCTTCAATAACCCAAATCTAAACCATCACCTCGTTGATTCCTGGCTTCTCTCTATACAATCTATCGTCTTCAATCAAGCTGTCATCCTTTTGTAATGATATGACTGCATCCGAAAAGAGCCCGATCGTTACCTAATATTGGTCCCGTAATTTTATGACCTTTGGAATGTAGTTCCCGAAAGACATCCAGCTGAGCACAACTTACAACTGATAATTCACCACCATGAATAATGAATAAACACAACCCAAACTAAACTTGGAGCGTCACTGGTTTTTTGAGGAGACACGCCTAATATGCTAAGTAAAATTTGTATGTGACCCTGAGGTTGCATGTAGCCTACCATATCACGAGGTCAAAAGTCGCATATTATTTAAAATACTATAACGCAATAACTTAATAGTTTATTTAGTTCCAACATGTTTTGAAATCTCTTATGCTTAAAATTCAGATATTAAAGTTTGTATAATGTATATATATATATGTATATATATATATATATATATTCTTTTGAGTAAAGACCTTCCATCTCGAAAGCCATGTGATAGAATTTTTGTTTGAGACACGCATTCTTCTTTAGAATTTATTTGACTTAAAATATCTTACATTTGTCAAACACAAGTTATACAAATCTTCTCATTTTCTTGCAAAATTAATGTTATTGTTTTCAATAACTTGTTTCACTATATTACCCGGTAACTCATCATTCACACATACTTTCATCCAAATGATTGCTCGTTTTCCTCTTCCTCTCATATTAAAAAAGAATATTTACAAATATTAGACAATGCAGTTCTCATTTATACACTAAATTTCAGCCAATCTAACCTAACAGGCTTCGAATTGAAGATCATCTCTTAATCTGGCTCTTCTATATTTAATAAATTTTCAACTATTTTTGTCAACTAAAAAAAGAATTCATATAAAAGAAACGATTCATTCATTGATAAATTTACTTCCTTTCAAATGCTATCATCATTGAAATAGTATTCCATGAAAGCTATTTCTTTTACACACATTTCAGTTTTAGGTTTACAAAATCTACAGTTTTAACAACTTCGCCAAACACCTATATGGAGTTGTAAAATAACATCTGGACTACAATATAACAATTCATTTATGATTTTAGTAAGATCGTTGTATTATACCTAGATTATAGCAAAAGAAAGATTCATGAAACACAGCCAGGATTCTTTAACTTTTGATTATCATTAACTGATTGATGGAATATAGAAGTTTTCACGAGAAAACAATAGCTAGTTGCGCAAAAAAAAAAAATCATTTCTGACATTTTGTAAAAACATTTTATAACAAGATATTAAGACTTTTAATAACATTTAAAAAATTATTCAAAAACGTCAAGGACTCATCTCAGCATAATCTATTTCTAAGTAGTAGCTGAATCACATAAAGCAATATTTGCAGTATTTAAAATGTTTCGTATACTATAGGTATACATGTTACTCAGTGGAAGTCAAGCAGAATTTGAAAGTCTACTAAGACGTTTCATCTTTAATAGGATATAGCTTCAAGTGAAAATCTTCTGTACGACAAGATGAGGAGACGTTATAGCCTCCTTTAGTTGTCATCTGCAGTTGAACATCCTCCACCTAATGAAAAAGAATTAAGATGAAGTGTGACAAAACTCAATCGTTTAAACTTACGGAAACACCAATTTTTTCTTTTGCAATGTCATTTCGACCAACATGAACGGTGTGCTGAAAGTCCTTTGGTAGACTAATCATACTTTTATCAATTCGTTTAGTTGTAACCTAATGATAGAGAATTGATAGCTTCTATAAAAAATAAAAAGATGATTTTACATAATCTGAATTCCTAGTCTTCCAGCAGCTATGGAACAGCGAAAGTGATGTCATGTTAGGGAATCTGTATGAAATTTATTGAAAATTGTTACTTATATATATATATATATATATATACAGTATATATATATTAAAGAAACTATTCAATGTTTACAAAATTTAAAATGCCATAGAGCAATTTAAATTTATAGTCAAAAATCTCGAAACATGCAGTATATGGCAGTTTAAAGTAGTTGAATACTGACCATTAACTTTTGAGTTTATAATATACTGTTTTATTTTGCGGAAAACTTATCCGCTGGCTTGCAGTAGTGTATAGTTTACTTCCGTAAAGGGAGGCAGGAAACGGAAGAAGAACCAGATTATATATTTACATATACTTATATCAATTCCGTGAGATGGAGTAAGCATCGCTCGGAAGTGGTGTCACCTCTTGGAAACAGAGGTAACTATTTTTAAGATGGCTGACATGTGATGTTAGCGTCCATGTGAAAATTTCTCTTTTTCTCTCTTTGCTACACTATGGATACGAAATAGACAAAGTCAAAACTGTTTATTATTTGCACCATAACTGATCCACGGCAATCTCTTGTTTAAAGCCTAACTATACTTAGTTTTTTGAGGTATTTGCATGCAAATCAGTCTGTGCTATAAATAGCCATTGTTGAGGTGCTTTCATTTGCCGAAGTACTGGAAGATGAATACTCCAAATATGACTCCTCCTGCACCACCACCATCATCAAACGGATCGCCGGCAAATATGAAAGGTATTGTCCGATTTGCAAAAAAGTTTCTTTTAAGTTGTAAGGTGCTGTTTGGTTTTAATAAAAAAAGTATTATGTACGCATTAACTAGCTGTGAGAAATAGATTCATTGATACCTATATTTGATATCCCAAAAAGTTAAAACCGTAAAGCTTGAAGATAACGAGGTTTTATATTAGCTAAAATATTTGAGACAATAACGGAGTAGAGTTTGAAAACAGTTGTCTATCAAGCTATAGAGTATCTCTACAGACGTACTTTGACTTTCGAATGTTGACATTGTAAAAGGTTTTCGCGCCAGAAGCGATGTCACGTGATCAGCATCCTCACGGGGTCGATGTGAAAATAAATTTTTTGTATGAGTGCATTCTGCATCGTAGGCGACAGTTGGCAAGGTGAATTGAAGATGATTCCAACATCTGCTCGGGTTTCTCAGTATATGCAGCTTTGGAATGTTTTCAATTTTCATTTATCAATTCCATTACGCGGTTTGCTATTCGACGGAGAGCTGCTTGTAAAATTAACCTAGTAATATCTTGTATAAAAACACGAAAAGAATACTTGATTAAATAAGGATGTGATTTTCTCAATTTTAAAAAATTATAAATATACGTTTTTACAGCGCAAATTGAGGTGATACCATGTAAAGTCTGCGGAGATAAGTCTTCCGGCGTTCATTACGGAGTAATTACTTGTGAAGGGTGTAAAGTGAGTTTTGTTTATTATTTCTGGCGTTGCATCTCTCCAAATTCTCGTCTAAATGCAGGGATTCTTTCGGCGAAGTCAAGCGGGTCCCATAAATTATCAATGCCCGAGAAATAAAAACTGTGTGATAGATAGAGTAAACAGAAACCGATGCCAGTATTGCAGACTGCAGAAATGTATAGCACTTGGAATGTCGCGTGATGGTAGGTTTATTAAAGCAAAGAAACTAATCTCTATGTATATATTTTGTACATAATAAACACAGCTGTAAAATTTGGAAGAATGTCGAAAAAACAACGAGAACGCGTCGAGGATGAAGCAAATCAAATTCGTATGCGATCTTCATCAAATAATATCAGTTCCCCAAACGGGCTTCCCGATTATTCAAACATTACGTCTATCAGCCAATCGGGGAATAACAACGACTTTTACACGGGGTACAACTTTCTATTTTTTTTATATTGTTAAGTTTTGACAATCTTCTTTTATACAGCGCTTCATACACCCAGTTAACTATGACTCCAACAAATGGTGCTTTTATAGCCTATCAACCCGGCCATCAGCCAATCACATATGCCTCTCCTGCGCCTAATGACGGCGAACAAGTTTCCTCCGAAGCGGTTACTTTTCAGCAAACTCAGTGTATAAAACCTGAACAGATGGACTTGAGTAAGTGTGGACAATTTCAATTTTAAGACAAACAATAAACAATTTCTCATAGGTGTCCTGGAGAAATGCTTGCTCGATGCCCATACGCGAACATCATTATTAACCGAAGATATAGAGAAAATAAAACGAAACACGAACACAACCGTTCTTCGTGACGTCAAATTATTAGTATGTAACATGTAAATCGAATATAACAGTATATAAACACCTTCCATTACAGGATCATGCTCAATTATGGGCTGAAATTGCCGAGAAATTAACTAGTGCTGTTCAGCAAATAATTGAATTCGCCAAAATGGTGCCGACATTTATGAACTTTTTGCAGGATGATCAAATTATGCTACTTAAAGGAGGTTTGTTTTATACTATTGTTCACCACTTAAGTGTAAATAAACGAAAATGTTTTTTTTTTCTTAGGAAGTTTTGAAATAGCTTTGTTGCGCTTAAGTAGAGCCTATGATGTCACATCAAATTCCGTTATATTTGGCGAAGCTTTTGTCCCTCTGGACTGTTTTGAGAGTTTAAGTAAGTAACTAACCTAAAAGGAACAATTTTCACTGTTAAATTTTGCCTTCTCTCAGCGAAACGAGAAAAAGATGTTATGAAGAAGATATTTACCTTCGCAAAAGATATAATATCATTGAACCTAACGGAAAGTGAATTGGCAATTGTCTGTGCTCTGGTTCTTGTTGAATCTGGTAAAGAAAATTTGTTTTTCTAATTTAAATCATATTAAAACATTCTAACCATGTTCTTTCTGATTATCTTCATTAGATCGCCCTGGAGTAAAAGACAGTAAAGCTATTGAACATTTGAATATCCAATTGCAATTGGCACTTCGAGCAGCCTTGTCTTCTTCTCATCCGAACGAAGAGGATCGAATAATGGAACGTTTGAAGGAATATTATAAAAAATTACACGAACTTTCCGCCTTACATATTGAAATGTTAGACTTTTTTAAAACTGAAAATCCGGAAATAGATTTCCCTGCTTTGCATAAAGAACTTTTTAGTCCAGAAGGTTTGGATTGACCGTATTATTACTCTTAGGCTGAATAAAGGGCAAGATTAGCTGTAACAAGACAAAGAACTATGAAAATTTGCCATTTCTTACAGTTTCATACGTGTAAATACATACTACTCTATCGTACTGTATGTGTATATATACATTACATATATATTATGTTATACATTTAACATATATGCGTCGAATTATACGTGTGTGTGTGATTGCGAAAGTTTATACATATACAAGTTTGTTATGAATTTTATTTTTGTGTTCTTATGTCGATGCATTTAAATTGAATATCTTTCAAGTAGATGTACATTCATATACTGTTTATGTATAGTCCTTATACATACCTGTATATATGTATTATATTTGAAAGACAATCATTTGTCGTCGATTAGGTTTAAGTTTTTTGTTAATTGCTACTATTTTATATTGTAGGCGGAATATTCATGCTGCATGCAAGAAAGTGGTATATTGTTAAATGGACATCTATAACAAATATAGATATTTAACAATATTTGAGGAAGTATACATAAAAAATGTATATAATTCTATTCGTGCTTACTAATAGTTTCAACTATGACATAAGCTGAATGATATAAAAATATATATCGATATCTTTCAATATATCTATATATAAATTTATATATATATATATATATATATAAATAAAGAATTTATAAATTTCCAAGTATCTACATATACAAAATATTCAGTATACAGTATACGCTGTATACTGTACAATAGCCAATATACTAATATTATTTATTATATGCATATTAATCCTAGTCATTCCTCACTCTTGAAAAATATGTGTCTATATACACTTTAAAAATATATAGACATATTATTTGACTGACAGTGAAAGAAATTTTTGTTTTGTTTTCATTTTTGATTAACATTCTCAACGTTAAAACACCTATTAGGCTTCCTAATTCACAACAAACCATTGATAACTTCAGATGGCGCTCTTGGTCCTTCCAGGGGGCGTTGTTAAGTACTGTAAAACAATCACTTGACTCGGATCGAGTTCGACGGATGGATATAAACGCCAACATATTTGGCGATTTTAGAAGGAAATTATAAAGAAATTTTGGACTTAAATTGTTTTATCATGAGCGACATACTTGGGAAAATTTTTGGAGGCAAGGACAAATCTGACAAGTCGCAGAGAGGGTCGGAAGTGAAAACGGAAGGTAAAAAGGATTCACAAACAAATTCGAAATGGCCAGAATTTTGTACGTTTTTTATAGTTCTTTTTATAATTAACGAGTAGGTGAAAATGTTATCAAAACGCTTATCTTATCGCACTCTTCAAAACTGGGCGTTTTTAATAGAAAACTCTCTTTAATCAGTGAAAATTCCTTTTAGCTTTTTCTCCCAAAGCTCATTCGTAATCACGAAACGACTGTAGGTGGTCATTTTTTGCTGCTGCTTTCCATCCTCGCGTCGCGGCAGCAATTTTCAGTGCGAAAATCGTACGTCGTTGACCTAGAAATCGATGCCGTTTCTTTTTCGCTATGTAAAATTCTACCGAAGCACATAGCTAAAAATACTCGTTATATTCGTATATACTGTGAATAATATCAAATATATTTTGTACATGTATCCATACAAAGTGTACATATAGTGTACATACAATACTTTGTGTTTTCAATGTATAGCAAAGAATAGATAACCAAATGTAAAAAATTCGAGCTATCTACTGAAATAAGATATCAACTGAATTCGGCGGCAGCGCTGTTTGTCTTGTCCTTAACTTATCGATTTCGTCGATGTTTGTTAGTTTGTAATGTGCTGATATAAGGAATACCATAGATGCAGCGTATACTGTATCAAATTTAAATTTACATAATACTACAAAAAGGTTATATATACTGCATATATATGTATATATTAGTAATATATGCTTATATACATTTATTGTACACTGATACATACAAATTTTAGATTGTTATTAAATTAGATAGGATAAGTCAGATCATGTAGTTATATTTGTAATATTACATAGCTATAAATACATTGATAGATACTGTAGGTGTATAATATCATATTATACTATGCTATGTATTAGAATATATAACTATAGTGTAGATGTACTATATTTATTTATATATTTCAACTATAAATATAAATAAAAATATAAATATAAATGAAAGTATAAATATAAATATATATAATATACAAGTATATATATAAATATATATATATGTATATATATATATAAATGTATATATATATATATATTCATTGCTTATTTATCAGTTTAGTTTATGAATATTAGCGATTAAGCATTGGCTAATGGTTTTGACAGCAGCTATATTATGCAGGCACGTATATTCTCCCTTTTCTTTATAGGCTATGGCTGATTGTATGTATATTTGAGGTTTTTCGACAACAGTCCGATTTATTATATGTAGTTGCCTTCCAGCCATCTCCCGGTTTCAGCGTAAGGATAAATAAATGTTATCTACAAATCCACAATAATTGCGGGCGTAATTACTAATGAATTTCCTTGTATAATTGACTTGCTTGTATATGTATGTGATAAAATATTTATAAAAAACCAATCGGCAGCAGCATCTGTTAGTTTTCTCGGTTAAAGCACCATCTGTTGATTGTAATTAAGCTCGTTATGATTCGATCCATTCTATTGCAAATATATTAATATATATATAATTATAATATTATATTATTCAAATAATATAATATACAAGTCATGATATTTATATCTGAAATTGAAATATATATACTCAGTATACTCGTATTTTCAGTAAATATGCTGTATATATTGTTTTTTTTTTTGTAGTCCTTTGCCTCTCCTACAATGAACGGACTTTGAATTTAACATCTTATTTGTAATGCATTATTTAGGGAGCTGTGATTTGTAGTTTACTTAAAAGAAATCAACCGAATCGGTTCATTATATATTACCCTATCGAGTCTTTCCCCAAGTCCTCTCTTACTTTAAGAAAAAATGTATTGCAGTAACAGTGCTTCCAGATGTAGGAGTGAGGTAAAACAACACCATTGATAAGCTCATTTGTTCGTGGAACATAAGTAAAATATTTTGTATATCGCAAATAATAACTTGGTAGGTCAATATTTTATTGATAATACGTGAGAGAATGTATTAAAGGGCGTTTCCTCAATATTTTATATTTTCCCTTTTAACAAATTTTGCTTTCAAATGTATTAGATTTAACTGTAATCAAATTAAAAATTTCAATGACCTCTATTCAAGAATGCTTGATGCTAACAAGCCATCTTTCTATCAGTTCGAGTCGGAATACCATTCGGTTTTATTGCGGTTCCCCTTCGCGTGCAATTCGTAACTCGTATACATTATGATAATGGACTATGTAGCCACCCTAATGTTATTCCGCAGCCATTTTAGAAATATAACGCTTTTCACCTTACGCTCCAGAAATTAGTTACACAGGAAAGAGGTTGAATAATTAAAACTTACTTATCAAAATTTATGAAACATAAATTTTGAAGGATAAGTAACTAATATATATAAGATTCATTGTCGAGAAAGATTAAAGCTCTTGCTATAGGTCGGCGTAGTGATACAGTGTTTGTGGAATCGAAAAATTTGCTACTTCGCAACAGTCGCCGTTAATTATTTACTGAAGTCTAGTTTTCGCCCACTTTCTGAGTGATTAGTCTACATAACACGCTGTATTTTACTCGTTCGGTAAAAAGACGATGGGCAATGCAGCGACAGCGAAAAAAGGGGACGCAGAAAATGGTAAGATTCATTAATAAAATCGACATCATTAGATAGAATCGGAAGATGTTCGTATTTCGCCCAGTATAATCGTTATTCTGATCTTAATTTCTTGTGACATTCATAGAGAAGATCCTCACATTGTAGGAGGAATAATCTTTTTATTCAATGTCGAAGCTTTATAAATATATTAAACCGTTATCTTTACTATCTATTTACAGTTAAACAATTCCTGGCACAAGCAAAGGAAGAGTTCAACAAGAAGTGGGATGAGCCGGCACAGGTTGGTTATATCTTTTCCAATAATAAGTTCAGTGACCTCGAAATTTTGTAAATATTTTGCGAAGAGCCTGTAGTATTGGTCGAATTGTAAAATTCTAAGCTTTTATGCAAACACATACAGCCAAACATCGTTTATTTTTCTGAAATATATGTTTTGATAAGTGTTTGTATCGGCCGAAATTATCTAAATTTAGATCCGACCCTCATGGCATGGCCTGTAAACTCTCTATTTCAATATATTTCTATTGTCTGCTGTTTGAAGTGCATGTTTTCAGTGTTGATCCATAGAGATACGAGGGTTAAAATGGCTGATACAGAGGAAAATGAATTTGAAAAGACGGTGGATTTTATATATTTGCGAGAACTAAAACCTTCACCTGATTTTCAGAACACAGCAAGCTTGGACGATTTCGACCGTATGAAGACTCTTGGAACAGGGTCATTTGGCAGAGTAATGCTCGTACAGCATAAGGCTACCAAAGAATATTATGCCATGAAAATACTCGACAAGCAGAAGGTGGTCAAATTAAAACAGGTTGAACATACGCTTAATGAAAAGCGCATTTTGCAAGCTATTACGTTTCCTTTTCTGGTGAAGATGGAGTACAGTTTTAAGGTAATACTAACGACAATTCTTACTCAACTATTCCACATCTAGTAATAATACCTGTATTTTTTCAGGACAATTCGTATTTATATATGGTACTTGAATTTGTAACGGGTGGAGAAATGTTTTCCCATTTAAGGAAAATAGGGCGTTTTAGGTATGTTGAAAAAATTGAAGATTCGTAAATGAAATTGTATATCAACAAAAAAAGTCGCCTTTTAAAAGCTAATTTGTGTACAAACGAACTATATTTCAGTGAACCTCATTCTCGGTTTTATGCCGCCCAAATTGTTCTCGCCTTTGAATATCTTCACTCGCTGGATCTCATTTATCGAGATCTAAAACCGGAAAATTTGCTAATTGATTCAAAGGGTTACATAAAAGTAAGAAATGAAAAATCTTACTGTTTCTTGTCACTTTCTTTTCTCTTGCGCATGTGGAGAAAATCTTGTTTGTTTAATCAATTTAGTTAGAAATTAAAATGTTAACTTCACTGCTTGACCTTTTTTGCACCCGAGAGCTCTATATATCTTTGTTATTACCATAATTTCAGTGAGAATCAAACTCGTTTTTACGCCAATCAAATTGTTTTGGTATTGGAGTATTTACACAACCTCGACATAGCGTACAGAGATCTGAAGCCTGAAAATTTATTATTCGACATATGGGGTTATCTAAAGGTCAAAAATTCGGATGATTAATTACTATTTAGTAACTGAAGAAAGGAAAATTTAATTTCTGTGATATTTAGCAAAATTTTAGCTTCTGAATTATTGAACTTCATTCAAATACTACTAACGTAAAATATGATTTTTGTTGTGAATTCTAAAACTGATTAGTGTGCCAGTCAAAATAATCAGTTGCTTGCTCTGAAAAACCTGATTTTCCTGCTATTCCTTTCCCTTTAATTTTCGATTACTCTGAAAATGTTATCTTTATATATTCAATCTGTTTTTCTTTATAGGTAACAGACTTCGGATTTGCTAAAAGAGTTAAGGGTAGGACGTGGACATTATGCGGAACACCCGAGTACTTAGCCCCAGAAATTATTCTGAGTAAAGTGAGTATCATTATGGCACATTGCAAAGCATAAAAGTTTACTTTTTTGTTTGTTTATCTACTTTTCTTTAACAAGTAATCTTTTTCGAACGCATTGTGAAGGTTGAATAAAGGTGCATGAATTTCCACAACTAACAATATTCAAAAATAAATTCAGAGTAGAATTTGATGGATAATAGTTCTTTTGCTGTTACACTTTGCAGCAATTTTTCTTTATCTGACATTATCATACATTATGGATTAACTATCTAACTTAACTTGCTTTCTGTCTTCACTGATCACAGTCTGGAACAATTCTATTGAATGGTTAGAATTGTTCAATACTGATATGAATTGTTAGGAAAATCCTTCCTACATTGCTAATTCCCACAGGGATACAATAAAGCTGTCGATTGGTGGGCAACTGGAGTTCTTATTTACGAAATGGCAGCAGGCTACCCGCCGTTTTTTGCCGATCAGCCAATACAAATATATGAAAAAATCGTCTCGGGGAAAGTGCGCTTTCCTTCCCACTTTTCTCATGATTTGAGAGACGTACTGAGAAATATGCTTCAAGTAGACCTCACTAAACGTTTTGGAAATTTGAAAAACGGTGTGAAGGACATTAAGGAAAGCAAGTGGTTCAGTAACGTAGATTGGATACAACTCTACCATGAACAAGTGGAGGCACCTTTTAAGCCAAAAATCAAATGCGCCGGGGATACTAGTAATTTTGATGATTATGACGAAGAGCCTTTAGTCATAGCGAAAAGTGAAAAATTTACAAAAGAGTTTTACGACTTTTAGACTTAACTTTTTTTAGCACATTGATGAGTATATTATTAATTGTTAGCAATCCATGTTGCCGAAGTGTTAATATAACCCTTGTAATCAAATCTGGATGATTGCTCATTTGCCTGAACCTTCACAAATTGCATTCGGAAATAAATTTAAAAATATTGCAGTACTTGTTTAGGTGTTAATTTTTACCGATGACATTAATTTTGTTAAAAAATAGGGTTACAACAAAGCTGTCGACTGGTGGGCTTTGGGTGTTTTGGTGTATGAAATGGCTGCCGGCTATCCTCCGTTCTTTGCCGATCAACCTATTCAAATTTATGAGAAAATAGTTTCCGGAAAGGTGCGATTTCCTTCCCATTTTTCGAATGATCTACGGGACTTGTTGAAGTCTCTACTGCAAGTAGATTTGACGAAGCGCTTTGGAAATTTGAAAAATGGAGTCAACGACATAAAAAACCATAAATGGTTTGGAACGACGGACTGGATAGCCGTTTATCAAAGAAAAGTTGAAGCCCCATTTGTTCCAAAGTGTAAAGGACCCGGAGATCCGAGTAATTTTGATGATTACGAAGAAGAACCTTTGCGAATATCAAACACTGAAAAATGTGCTAAGGAATTCGCCGACTTCTGAGTCGCCAAATCATGCATGCAGCGTCGTCTTCAGCAATTGACACGTGTTAAGAACGTCCTTCCGTAGTCTTCTCTATTTAGGCGTTTTAAAGAAATGTTCTTTCGTTTTTACGTTTCACGTTTGATTATGTTGTAAGCTGTCCGTAAACAAGTTCAATCTTATGCATACACAGACATATATATGAACATATATATTTATATATATATTTATATATATATATGTATCTGTATGTATAACATACATATATGTATATGTATATATATGCTTATGTATATATATATATGTGTGTGTACTTATATATTTCTAATTTATTTATCAATTTAATAATCATCGATTTTTCAATGATCAATGTGTGTATTTTGTACGTGTTGTAGGCTGTGCTAATTTGTAGAAAAGATTGTATTTCTTTATAGGACGCTCTTGCGATGTCGTTGACGTGATATGTCAGTTAATACGTGAAAAATGTCGATAAATTGTGCAGATTTTGTTTTTATCTTAACAGAAATTTATTAATTTATCTTAAATAATATAATACATTCGACATTTGCTATTGTTTTTAAGATATCATCTCTTAATATTCCAGTTGGCATTTGTGGCATAATGACTTTATCTTCTCAGTTAATGTAGCTATATTTTGACGGAAAAGGGTCTGATTACTCATATCTATTGGTTCGTATCGTGACAGTAATTTTTTTATTTGAGTTGTTATGCCCTCGGGGGGCCATGGACAGTATCTAAAAATTATTGGTAAAATAGGTTTACTGAGATTTTCTGCAAGAAAGATATCTTTGGTACAGCTCTCTGTCTGTAGATATTTTGGGGTTACGCAGCATATCACTACCAAGCAGGATTTCATATGCCTTTGTAGGGCAGCCTGAGAATTTTCAGATGAGTTGTCTTGACTCTTGTTTATTCGTGAGCTAGAACGTTGTAGTGTCATTGTTGGTTTAATATCACTACTACAAATTATGTTATGCTCTTGTAATATTTTTTGTAATTCTTCAACGTTTGATTGAATGTCCCACTGATAGCTCAAAAATACTTTATATTCTTCCTCAGCGTCTATTTTTCTTGATTGTAAGGCACTCTGATACTCTTCCAGCTTATTTAATGGCTTTATCCCATCAGATATTTTATTTAAAAAGGCTTGCTCGAGAACGATACCCGAGACGAATCTAGTCGGCTTAACAAAGTGCTCAAGAACATCCATGCTCTCGACATATGGCTTGCTTCGAAAATCTATTGCTGAATAATCACCTGTCGTAACATCAGAGAAGAAAATAATAAAATATTTCCATCCAATGAAAAAATAACAAACCTAATACGGCTTTTAGACAAGGTCTAAGATTTTGCCATGTTTTGGCAAACAGACCTGAAACAATTTTCTTCCCAAACCATTCAGCCAGAAGCAGTTCATTGAAAACAAAAGGAGAAGTAATTGCTTCCTCCGTCAGAAGGACGAAAACGAAACTAGCGTATGCCATAGTTGGCCCATTGAGATAGAGAAATTCATCTTTTGAAACTCCCAGCTTAGCATGATGAAATACCTGTATTCCTTTCTTCATCAAATCTTGCTTGACACAATGAGCCAATCTAATATCGGAAGGATCGTATATGATATAGATAGTATTTTGCTTGGCCCTCTGCATTCTAGCTCGTAAATGCCAATTATTGGGCATCTTATGTTCCTTATCTAGAGTTTGTAAAATATGCTGCATTATTTTTTTTCTTACAGGTCGTGAATCAATTCCTAAATGATAGATCATATCATAATCCGTTAAAGACATAAGAAGAAAACCGTCGATCATAGCTTCAGCTAAAGCCTGACGATAGAATTCTTTAATTCCAGCATTATATAACCACTCTTGAAGATCATCAATGGTCCACTCATTAATTTTTTTTGTGAGGTATACACCTGTCCATTCTGTATTTGAAGTAAGCGGTGAAGGAGAAATTCTAATACTGGCAAATCTTTCTAAATTCTCCATTAATTTTCCAACAACTGCCGACACTTTTTCTGCAAATGATTTGTTTACTTGATCCTTACCGGTTAAATCAACGCCAACAACATTTTCAAGTAAAATGGATAATTCCTTTAGTTTCTCTAAACTTATGTCGCTCTCAATACTGGATAACAATATTGGAAAAACATGAACTGAATCTTTATTGTGTCTTTTTCGCTCAAGGATTGTTTTAGCTTCAAATAAAGAAACTGGACAGGTTAAATATGACTCCGATAAAATCACTAGGCAAGCTTTACATCGTTCAACAGCTTCTAATCGTTGAGATAACCAACTAGGAGAGCCGGTAACCCGTTCATCTTTATCCAACCAAAGGTCCTCAGCTAAACTATTATCTTTCAATTGTCTAACAAGTTCAACGATAAACTTTTTTTCTGGATAACCAGCATCAGGTGAATATGAAACAAAAATGGCTTTCTTTTGTCGTTTTTTCGATTTCTTCTCATGAACTTCGTCCATTCTTGGCATTGTCAGTAACCCTGACAACGCCTGCTTAATATGTATATAGGTCGTGAACGGGGGTTAGGAGTGTATTTTACTCCCTAAAATTGATCAAAAAGCACTGGGGCCTAAGCAAACCACCATAGATAGTAATATTATCATTTTCAATTAGCTTGCATCAAAAGAAGCATTTGTTGTCACCGGAGAAAAAGGAAATTTGGCCATTCTATCTACCTCCCTTCGTCATAACTAAAAATCTATAAACGTCGGCGGCGCTCAGCACCCCCTCGCTGCATCACTAACGCGTACAGTAACGATTATTTAGTAAAAATTGCCGAAATTGCCTAAATCGACTAAATTTAGGTAGCGGCGCTTCATCTTTACTGAATATTACAGGTATCCACATTTTGTTTTTCATACAAGGCACGTGTTTCCCGCGTTTGGCGCCTATCTGGAGCAAGTTTAAAAATATTGTAAAATTAACAAATTCAGCAAATATGGCGTCGCTTTTAGTCACTCAATCGATGCGTTCTGCCGTCGACGCGCGCTCGCGCGTTTTGCTAGCTGAGACAAAGAAACGCTCAACGCGTCCTTTCTTCAGCTCGCTGTAGGCCTAATTCCCTTAATCCTATCATATTTTACAGCTCTTCTTTCCAACGTTCTTTTTCTATCTGTATGGCTAGTGCTACCGGGATGCCTGCTCCTACTTCGTCACAACAAACTTCCTCATCTGCCTCTTCCACAAATGGTCATGAACAAATGTTCACAGTTGAACAGATCGAACTTATCCGTCGTCTACGAAATTCTGGTATGACCAAGGACCAAATACTCAGCGCTTGGGATATTTTGGATCGCGTCGATTCTCAACTCGGACAGGTTTACAATATTCCAGTTTCTTATGCTAATCAATTACAAGCCGCCGTAACCTTGATGGGAGTTCAAAACGCTATACACAGTACTTTACAACAGCAGCAAGCTCAGCAACTACAACAACAGCATATACTAGACGCTTCGAATGCTCGACAAGTTCGTAAGCGTTCGGCAGAAAATGCAAATTTAACTCCAACAGATAACTTGGTCACAAGCGCAATGTCTCAAACAGCCAACGAACAACCTATAGCATTTTCAAGAGGTGCTAATTCTGAATCTCAACCTGAAGTCAATATCTCAAACTCAAACGGAGCATCTTCCGAAACTCCACAGTCAAATCAAACAGAAATATCTAATCTCCTACAACCACAAGCTATGACCGCCCAACAACAGATGCAGCAAATGCTGCAATTACAACAAATGGCTCAAATATCCAACGAAGAATTTGAAAATAGTCAAGAATTGAAAGAGTTTTTAGCGTCAGTTTCTAAAATATCATTAAAATATGAATATTAAAAATAAGTATACTTTCAGTCAGGGGGAAATTAAGTGTTGCGAAGAGATTAAAAACTTTGTTGTTAAGCACAACATTAAACAACATCAAATTGCTTCTCTCGCTGGTAAATTATTCTTATTTCAATAGTAAATCAATTTCAAAAATATTAATTTTCAGGACTAAGTCAAAGTTATATCAGCCGATATTTTAGAGGTGATCCAGTTGAAATGTCCTTACGAAGTCGTCGAGCCATTTATAAATGGTACTTAACGTTTAAAGACTTTCCCGAAGCAATTGGACCAGCCGTAAGCATGACACTTCTCACAGGAACTCCCCCTACCAAAAATATGTTGGGACCATTAGAAGCACAGGCAAGTCAACAGCAAAGTCCAAGTGAATTTACATATCCGAAACGTGAACGCTTTGTGTTCAGACCATGTCACATTGAAGTATTAGAAAGATCTTATGAAGCTGATAATTATCCATCAATAGAGAAAAGAGAAGAAATCGCTCGAACTTGTAATGCTACCTTAGAAAGCATGGCAGGTCGAGCAGTTACAGACAGAGAAAAAGTCACAACGCAAACAGTCACAAATTGGTTCGCTAATCGAAGGAAAGAGATGAAAAAAATTGCTCGAGAAGATACTGATTCTTTAGTCAAGCAGCGTGTTCGAAACAAACTTCCATCCTTTTCAGGCAATGGGTCTGACAGCGTAACCAATTCCCCTCAGCAGGTTACAAATTATTCATCTGAAGAAGTATCTACTGAGAAACCTTCATCAGGGAAAAGTCAAGAATTAACTAAAGAACAAGAAGAAGAGATGCAACAACGAGTCGAGTTCGCAGCAGTGAATCAAGCAATACTCGCCTTATCGGGAACAGCTCCTATTATTTTGAAATCGGAAAGCAACGATGAAGCTGAGATGGAATTATCAGAAAATTTAAAGAATTTCGTTGAAAACGATTCCGAAAACAGGGAAATATAGATTAACTATTATAGTTACATACTATAACTTTAGTATGTTGTTTAGCATTCTATTTAAGCATAATATATATATATATATATATATATATATATATATATTTATATATATTTGATATTATATTTACATATATATTGATATATTATGTGTTAGTCGTTGAAATATACCAAGTAAAAAACGTTAGTTTAGTATCACCAGCGTTTCTTTGAATTATTTAAAACTCTGTACTATATATATATCATTATTTTTGTATGTATCATACATAACAAATATATATAGTATGATTTTTATACTGTATATATAATTTTATGTAATAATTTTTATATTTTTATATAGCGTAGTGTATATATTATATAAACGAGCATACTTCCATTCATTCGAATGAGATCCGTTTAACACTCTTATTGACAACATTTAACAATGGGCATTAGAATAATAATACTAATAATAATTTTAATGGTAAAAATAATAATGATAAAATAAGATTATCAATAAATAATAATAATAATAATAATAATATAAATAATAATAATGAAATTAGTAAATGATAACAGCAATAATAATGTAGAATGAAATGTAGATATGATTATGAAAAAAGTGAATATGAGTATGAATAGAAAATAAAAACTACTTTATTTTGGTCTAAGGAGACAGTCTTGGAACAAAAATGAGGCAGCAGCTGGCGCTTTTGAGTATTCGCAGTGCAGAAAATACATTTTATAAGCGTCTGCTGAGTTTGTCTTAAGCTGCTAAACTCAACATTTTTTGTAAATAGAATAAGTATTCATTGTCTTGATTCTGCATTTTTAATCGTTTGGGCTCGTACGTCGCTCTTCTCTCATCTTTTTATACATAGTAGAATTGAGAAATCGGGGATACGAGTCTCTATGCATCAGAGTATAAATTTGTAATTGAGCCTCGTCGAACGTGTTTGGAGAAGGATCAACCATATTTCTGTTAATAACTTCTCGCACTCTGGAATCTAGGCTAACCTCTTTCGGCGATAATATCGAAATATAATCTTCGTATATTAGTCTCGCCTTCTCCTCTACCACCTCTGGACTATTTTCTCGCTTTAATTCTTCACATGCGAGCCAGAAAAGCATATTTTCTTCGCTGTATTCTGACCGTAAAAAGTCTCGGAACACCCTTCGACCCGCTAAGAAGGAGTTACCACACATTTATATATATATATATTTATATATTTATGTATAGATATATGAAATTTAAAAACTTATTGTTTTCTAAAACTTACAAGTACTTGACATTAATGAATCGAAAGATTCTGACCAATTTCGAATTTCATCAACTGACGGGCTGTGACATTTATTATGTATTATGTACATATTATGCATAACCGTATAAAATTTTATACTTACGGATAATCGTTCTCTGCGAGATTGTCCATTTGAGTTTTATTGGCAGTTGTTTTTGCATCGTCACCGTTTTTTACTGTCAAGCTTCAAGTAAAAAAATGCGTTATAACGTCCGCATGCAAAAGCTACCGACGCCTATCGGTGACGCAGACAAACTATATCCTATTGATTTAATTACTATAGCAACTGGGCTGCATTCGCACACGTTCAACCTCATCGATATTTACGTCTTTTGAGTGTAACAGAAGCTATATAGACGACAACGGTCCTTAAATTTTTTAAATTCTTTACGATATCTTCCACACATATGTACGCGCGTACCACAACCTTGTCAATGTAATAAGTACCTGTATGTACTTAGTATATAATCCAAAAACAAGCCAAAGTGAACAAATTAAAATTTATACTAGTACATGAAGATGTATATACTTTTATTGAGGAAGAAAGGGAGAGGAATAATGATATATCTTCCTTCGCCTTAGTATGTTTCTCTATGTACAATACATGCTTATATATAATATATAGATATGTACAGAAATATTTATTTAATTTATATACATATATGTGTATATATAGTTTTTCCTTTACCTCTTTCAAATCGAACCTGTTTTTGTCGATGTAAAAATGGCTTTCCTATATTAAACTATCCTATAAAATGTATATCCTGGTGGCCTATTAATTGCCAACTGAGGATGTATCTATAAATGTCCTCGTACGAGATTCTACATATGTAGACTGCACGTAAGCACCTATACATGGAATATATCATAAATACTGCATTTTGGCAAATATATTTACGTGCCCATGCCAAAACTGTAATAAATATTAAAATACACACACATATACACATATATATATATATACTGTAAATGTTGTATATACATCCATTTACGCTACAACCTGTATATATGTAAAAATTTTATAGTTTTTTAAATACATTTGTTCTATATACACAATATATCTACATTTATACGTACACTTACCCACACTATACACACATATATATTTATCTTTTCGTCGTACGTAGAATCTCTAGTTCTGCTTATTATACAGTACATATACTATATACTATATATATATATATATTTATATATTTATATATATATATATATATATATATATATATATATATATATATATGAAAAGCTACGAAGATAAATACATACGAAAGCGTTTGTTTCATACGCATGTTAAGATCCCTACATGATTAATCAATTAATCATAAAATAAACTACGACTATATACAAGCGAAATACAGACTCGTATTCATATTCTTACAAATATATAGCAGTTGATATACGTCTATGTCTATGTCTATGTCTATGTCTGTGGCTATATATGCATAAGTATATATATATGCGGACATATATATCTATATATTTTGATATTAAGATTTATCAGCCTAATATATTTATTACTTACTCGCCGTCATGAACACGTTTATCATTCGATGACACCATGCAAGAGAACATGGCCCGCCACTTTCTCATTAAGTCCCTATTTTACACACTGCGCATCCTTCTGGACACTTTTCACTCTCTGACTACAGGGCGACGCTGGCATAACATTAATATGCCATAGTGCCATCTATCGACTTTTCTGTTACTAAATTCAAATAGACTTACCAAGAACAGCTGCAACAGCAACACCAACAAAAACAGCAGGTTTTAGAGCCTCGTTCGGAAGAGGGCGAGGGAGGAGGAGAGTCGGTTGTGCCGCATTGTTTAGCGCTATTTCGTAGAGCACAATTTTCACTGTCTTGAAAAGTTCCGACACCTGAATTGCTATTGCTGCTGCCGCTCACTCGGGCTACACTCATCTGAACGATAGTGACGGAAGGAATGACAGAACGAAGTAGGCGATTGAAAGATGTAGTAAGAATTTCATGCGTCATATGACGAGCCATAGTTTACTACCCAAGGCCCGACCATGTCGTATATACAGTATTAATGAGAAAATAATTTTAGTTCAACCACATCCTTCATAAAATCAACGTCTGCAATTATATTCCGTTGCTTAGATTTTCTTTTTTCACGAGGAGGGGAAACTATAACATTTATGTTTCTAACCAATTATACAAACTATTGATACTACCGACCTCTCAGAAACAACAAAAATCATTGTCAAATTACGTAAACCTATAAAGAGAGCCAACGTTTCCGTTGCGGTTCAATGCAGTTGGTTATGCAGACTCCACGCCATATTGAATTTGTAAAGCAAGGGCGCAGCACTGTAAACGCGCCAGGTGCTTTGCAGTAACCGACAGATGGCGGTCTCTATACTTCAAATTAGTAACTTTACAAATGTATTCTGAAAAACGACTTTCGACTCTAACAATTTTATAAAAATCTTAATTTTTATCTCCTACACAGAATAAAACAAAAATTCTCAAGCAATCATCCAAACATTGGATCTACCCTCATCAAAGTTATCAAACCAAAACAAATACTAAAAATATACATGTTCAGAACTTGTCTTAAACTGCCAGAAAATGAAAAAGTATAATTAAGGATGCCAGTACAACAAAATATGTTGATCCCTTACAACACATTTACGCGGCTAAAAGTTTAATAAAAAAGAACACAATCACACATTTTCTTCATCGTCCTCGTACTTTCGCTTAACCCCCCTTGGCTCTTCTTCTTCCTCAGACTCATCCTCTTCATCCTCGGCTTCGGGGTTTACTTCGAATTCTTCACCTTCACTATCCTGCTGTAAAATAAAAAAACAATAAGATTTGACAAATTTTAGCTAAAACGTATTTACCTCTATTCCATCTTTCGTAAGATATTCCAATCCAACCTCATCATCTTCATCTTCCACTTCTTCTTCATCTTCGACATCTGAAAGAGGGAAAATAAGAATTAATCGTTTATTTTCAAACAAAAATTCAGTTTACCCTCAGCTTCTTCATCATCGTCTTCCTCTTCATCTTCGTCTGCTCCCTCTTCTTCATATTCCTCATCATCCCTGTCATATCCATCTAGATATTTTAATTGAGGTAACAAGTTGAAAACCTTCGTTCTATATTCCTCAACAGTGGTCACTTTGCAGTTAAACACGTCAAGGTTTTGGAGATTTTGGAGGTGCTTTAGCGGTTCTAGTGTTTCAATCTCTTCAAGTTTGTTTCCAGATAAATTAAGATGTGAAAGTTTGGGACAGCCTTTCAAATGTTCTAATCCCGATGATATTCGATTGTCACTCAACTCGAGTTTAAGCAAATTAGGCAAAGCCGGAAAACCCTTTAGAGTGGTTAGACCACTATTGATTAAAGACAAAGATTCCAGATTTTTGAATTCGGTGGTCAGACCTTCAATACAGGTGGCTCGGCAGTCGTCTAACGTGAGTTCTGTTATCTGCAAGATAAGTTAGTAAATTAAAAATTTGAATGTTTTTAAAAAAACAGATGCTTTTTATTCGTTAGATCAGATTTGTACTTATAATCATGGGATAAATTCATAGCCCAGTACGAAATTTCATCATTTTGAAAATTTTGCAAATGGCGGGAAGAGTCTTCAATGGACTTTGATGGAACCTAATAAAAAACGTGCATCTTGCTGCCTACCTGCAGTTGACGTATAATAGCATTATGAGGGAGCGTAATTAAGATCAGTAGGGATACTTGGGGCACCAAATACCTCTATTTCGTTACATGCATTATTTTGAGAGGTAAAAACCGAACCAGTTTGGCGCCATATTTGATTTCTGCAACGGGTATTATAACAGATATTATGAGCTTTAACTTCTTTGATGGATATTACACTTAACATTCAATCTTTATTTTTAAATGTAGTAGTGTAGAATCCTAAATGCTGAAGCAGCGCGTGAAATTTAGCAGGTTTTCCTGACATTTTATCAGCCGGTTAAGAAAGCCGGGAAATAATTCAACTTGGAAGAACTCCTCACCGCACAAATTTGCTAAGATGGAATATACTTACGTCCTCCGCCTTTCTGCCTCTTTTCTCCAGCTCTATCCGTTTCTCCATTTCGCAAATGCAATCTATGTACGTCGATCGCAGTCCAACACGAAATGAACAGACAGCCACAGTTCGCCGCTACAACGCGCCAGATCGCATTGCCAGCCTAGAGGGGTTGAGGCAATGCTCAATTGCTTTATCACGCTGCGCTTCATTAATATGCATCACTTCTCTGATTGGACAATAACATGTAGGTCTATTGTACGTCGATACTGTGTCTTCTCTAACTAGGTTACGAGAAAGTACGACGCTGACGTTTACTAATATTTTTGAGATGTACAATATAAAAAATTTTCTCTGTAAAAATTCAGTCGAATAATCTCAAAATGGAATTTTATTTGGATTGTTTGTGAGGAAAATTTGAATTTTGTACAAAATATCTGACTGGCGTAGGCGTTTTAATATTTAAATTTTGCCGCCAATTTTCCGAAGTACAACGTGGTGGCGTTAATGTATTTCCGCGCTAGAAGCATATTTCCTCTTTCTTCCTAGGAAAAATTCTCTCGATTCGGCTAAATTTGTGTGCTTTCTTTACATCCTTCGTGGTGCTGTCATGACATATAACAGAGGATTTTTAAACATGGCAGACCTGAAGGATGATAACGCATCGAGTTGTGTAGAATCATCACAGGTCATCGAATCTTCGTCGCCCGACTCTATGTCGTATAAAGGTTTGTATACAAATTTTTATTTATAATTAAACTTGTTTACAATTTTAAATCATATCTAGAATCTGTAGGATTTATTAAATTAGTTGATCACTCACTAATAGGAGTTGGTGATTAATCTGTATTAACTAGTTTTAGTGCTGTTTATCATTCAATGTAGTTGAAGTTTACAATATATAATTTAAAGAATTATTGATCTAACTTGTTATCTTTATTTTTTTGTTTTTAGTAGTTTCTTCAAATGGAGTTGATTACAATCTTGAACGGCGGAAAAAGAAGAAGAGTATGTTCGAGAGAATATTTGGTAAATTTACGAAAAAAAAACGCTCCACAGAAACGTATGCTGATAAATCTCAAATCAAAACAAGCCGTAAGTCGTTTTCACATATATAATTTTTGTTTTGAAACATTTAAAGATTTCTTAGTGTAATGTTTTCATTGCAAAAATTGTGGTGTTTAGATTTTTGAGACGCCTGTTAAATTTTTATGAATGAATTGAAAGAATTAGAATTACATCTACCTTTCATTATCTTAAGGTGATAAAGATAAACCTCTACCTCATGAAGATGAAGTGGAAGCAAATTCACAATCTCCTATAGTAAATACAATTAACCAATCTTCAGTAGGAGGTGCAGGTTTAAAATGTATAAAAAATAATTTAGGTCCTTTACAAATGTCAAATAATGAAAGTGAGTAGAATATTTTATATAGAATTTTAAATCAAAATGTATACAGTTCTGTATTTGAAAGCTTCAGCTTCGTCTGGAGATTCTGTTGTACTAAGTTTACCTGTAAAGCGACCAGAAACCATGGCTGGAAAAGGTGCTATGCAAATGCCTGAGGTATCTTTGTTTTAATTAGTAAAAATGACAACATTTTTTATTTTGAACATTTTATAAAGGTTTTACAATGTATTTCCCCGACTACGCCCTGCTCAAGTTCAAGTCTGCATACAAATGTACAAAAACAAACTAATATAATGGATTCCAAGTTATTAAAATGTCCAATGAAGCAACCAATACCTGTTCCTCCTCCCAAGATTGATGACACACACGCCCGATCTATTACTTCCAATGTCACAAGTAAAATGATTACTTTTTTACTCAGATATGATGATAAAATTCAGGTGTTTTAATTTAAAATTTTCTTTCAGCTACAGAAACAAGTTCATCTTCGATCCTGCCGAATCAACCAGTTTCTATTATGGTGAAATCTACAAAATTTCCTCGAACTAATGATATACCCTCAAATCCAGATGCTCAGAATTCGCCGCATAATTACGATGAGGTTCCTACACATGAGCCAGATAGTAATAAGCAGCCTAAACGTTCTGCCATGAAGGGGGGTAGGTTAGCAGAGAGGAAGAAACTCATAGAACAAAAGCATCATGAAGTAGTTGTAGCAACAAAAAATGAAAAAATAAAACCAAAAGTTGCTCCTAAACCTAAACCATTTAACCCTTTAAGGATTTCTAGTGATAACAAGGAAAATCTTGTACCCACACTTGGAGATGTACCTTATGAACAAGATAATATTCACACTAACGGCCGTATGTAGCTGTCTACAACAAATCTATCAAGAATCATTTTTATATCTTACAGAATTACTCACTATTAAAATTGAGAGGAAAAATAGTTTGAATCGTCTCCTCATGCAAAGACCTGGGAAAAGAGAATTGATAGAAAGGCATATCCTTCAAGAGTCATCAGAGTCTGATCGAGCAAAAGTAAGGGAGGATATTGGTATTCAATTAAATAGGCAAGTCGTAACATTTCCCAGTTTTCTTTTAATTTTCAAGTGTTTTTTATACAGGCGACTAAGTTTACGTCCGACAGCCGAAGAGCTAAGAGAGAAAAATATATTACACAGTAAGTGAAGTGTTTTATAATTTGTCATATTTTAGTACGATTTAGAAAAGACTTATAATAGACTTAATATACTAAAGTATATATATTATTTCAGTTCAAACAAATGAACAACGTATGCAACAAATTGAAGAGACAAAGAAAACATTAACACGAAAAGTATGTATTCACTAGAGAGAAGAAAACTGTTAATAAAATTGTATTTCTAGCTAAGCTACCGTCCCTCAGTTGATGAGTTGAGGCAAAGGAAAATTATTCGTTTTAATGATTATGTAGAAGTGACAGATGCAAATGAATATGATCGGCGAGCCGAGAAACCATGGACAAAGTTAACTGCGAAAGATAAGGTAAACTGCTTGTGTTATAAAATTCTCATTATTTAATATTATTACACCCCTTCTATCAGGCAATTATTAGGAAAGAATTGAATGATTTCAAATCTCAAGAAATGAATGTTCATGAAGAAAGTAAAAGATTTACAAGGTTTGTTCATAATAGTATAATTCAAAAATATATTTAATATCTTTAATAGATACCATCGGCCGTGAATTGTTTTCAACCTGCTTTATATGTTGATTATTATATTTTAATTGACTGAATGGTAAACTGCAACATGAAGCAAATATTTATTAGAAAATAACTCGTTGAGAGAGTAGCATGATTTAATCAATACATTTAATTTATATCTATAAAAAATCACTTAAACATGGGAAACGGAGTTTATATTTTCTTTTAGAATGTTTCGCTTATGCATATCTCTGTAAAAGTGAAACTAAAAATAGGGTTAATTATACAAAAAACTCACCTTAGTCTATGTGCCCTCTTCCTCTTAATTGTATTTTGGTGGGGTGAAATCAGGAATGTCAACTTGTGACTGATATCCTCAAAATTTTTCTTCAGTTCAGTCTGATAGTCCTCTTGATCAGCCATTATCAACTTTTCATTTTGCTTCAAAGCTTCTTGAGACTTTCGAACAAAATTCTTGAAAGCTACCCTCAGCTTATTATGCTGTTTTGTTGGTACAATTAAACCTTGTGCAAGCGGTTCAAGGAAAGTTTTTGCAATTTGCATGGGTCCTTTATTGACTGTTGCTCCGATGCATCCTTGCAAAACCATTTGTAAATATTTCACATCTATTTTCGATGCTGCACAAGCCTCTGTCAATTGATTAACTTTATTTTGTACGTCTTCGATTGCTACCTCAATGGGTGTTAAGTTCATCTACAAAACAGTAATTAGTTATTTTGTTACGAATAAGAATATTCTGTACTTCTTGCTTTAAGACGACTTTTATTCTTTTTTTGGTATACGGGAATGAATTTTCACATGTCAGAATAGTTTTTCTTTTCCATTGGTCAGCTATCTCGCCGTGTGCTTTTCCGGTTGGTGTAAATGGTGTAGAGAATACAAATCTCCCTAAAAGTATACGAATAGTTCGAAAGAATATATAGAATATATGCTATATGTGACGTACGAATATTAAAATTTCTTTGAAACGATGACTTTCTTTGCAACAACTCAAAATCTTCAAAAAAAGGTTCAACGTAGGTAATTTGCAAATACATCTACAAAATAACATTTGTTAAATTTGTATAATGCTTCAACTACTAAGATATACTTTATTAGGGTCCAAATTTTCTCGGCAAATTTGATTTGAATCTTTCAATATTTCAACTGTTCCTCGACCAAATTGAGCCCCAAAGAGATTCTATTTTAGAAAATTTAGGAAAAGTAAATTGTATGAATAATTTATGCAAACCTCTAATCGTTGAGAAATTTCTGCCAATCCTGTGAACGATCGCTCCTTGTAAATATATTCATCACCATCTATCTCACCGAAATTGGAGCCATAAAACCCAACTCTAAAGTAGGTTCCAAAAGGTCGCTTTGTTAACTAAATGTAGAAAAATTAGCCTGCTATATTTTTTTCAGTTTATAACTTACAGAGGTATCGGTTAAAATTTTGGAATAGATTTGGTTCAATCGTGAATGAAGTTCGCACAATAGATTGTAATTTTCCTGAGACTTTAACAATGGTAACATGATTTCACAGATCTCGGATTCTGCCTCGTGTAAAGATGCCTGAGGATATACATTCGTATGAAGATAGTGTGTATACTAGATAGAATATGTTTCATACCTTGCGAAAAGCATCAGCGCAGTTTTTAAGCAGATTTATTAATCCCGTCTCTGAAAAGTCTTTTCCTGTAGCTGAATCATCAAGAGTCAAAACGTCATCAGAAATGAAGCTTTCTTCGCTAATATTAGAACTCAATTTCTGATAAAATAAAAAACAGTGCAATAAATTACGCAGATGTTTTTATTTAAAAATTAATACTTGAAATGCAACACATCCTATTGGTAAATAATCCTTCTCCAAGTGGGATACATTGACTAAGTACTCAATTACTAAACCGGAGGCATGAAGGTAACATTCTCCCTCTTCAGCAAATTCTTCACGCTAAAAGAAATTTCTGTAAAGTTTATCAGTTTAACAAAAAGAAATACCTCAGCATGCTTCACCGCCAGACTCAATAACCAAGTTAATCTTAGATGAGGAGACGTTTGATAACTGAAAGCTATTCTATGCATCAGATCATCAAGCATTTCAGGATCATTTTTGACTTCTTTTAGTTTAACAGTATTAGTAATAATACTATGAAGGACGAAGACGAGGTCCTTGATCTGAAACAAGAATCCGATAATATATTTTAAAAAAATTATTATTCTTTACCTGATCGATAAAAGAGGTAAATTGCATATCTTCATCACGGTCAGCGTACTTTAAGATTGTCTTTAAACTTTTTCTAAGAGCACCCTCGTTGAATTTTCCTGTTTGACCGCCAACAAGAGAACTTAATGACATGGTAATCTGTACTTTTACTCTTGAAAAATTCTAAAATTATAAAATAGCATTAGATGTTACCATTATAGATATAAAGTAGTTAATATACGAACATTACATATGTCAAAATTCTGTCTCATAAGTACATATATGGAGGCGGAAGCTTGGGTTCTGACAACGTTTCGAGAGGAGCAGCAATGTTGTAATAATCGTAAGCAAAGTTCTCCGCAATGTTCACCGTCTTCAAAAATCAGTTCAGGATACTGGAATTAGGATTATAATCAGTCTATGAAATTTGAACTTTGTAATATCAGAGAAAAAACAGACTTTACAAACTAATGAACGCTGTAGTTCAAAGACACATTTTAGAGAAGTTGTACTCTGGTTTATTGACAGGCAGTGGAGGATACATTTAAGAGCAGAAACCGGTATATTTTGCTGGCTCTCACAGCATTCTATAAATATATCCAAGACGTCAAGAATGACTAGCGTTATTTCTGTTGCCAAATGACCCTCTAAATGATTTGATCTTCTTTTACTAGTAGAAGCAGATATTTAATGAATAATTTTAGAAGTCATTTTAAGAACTTACAAGGCTCCTGCATTCCAAAAGTTCTTATCTTTTCGCCACCTAACATCATCTTTAAAGTAAGATAATGAGTCAGAATGAATACTTATATTCGAATGTTTCCTTCGCAACATCATATCTCTTGCATTTCCACTACCGATAATTGCATCCTCAAGTTGATTTAGGACAGTTTTTGAACTTTTGCTTTCATCAGGTGAGAACTGGCCCTGTCATCAGATGAAAAATTGTATAGTATCTAGTTCTATATACAAAAACTATTGAAGTTTGGATAAATATAATATATTACTTCATATTCGAAAATGCTTAGGCATATTTTCAATACTTCTATGAACTCTCCTACTTTAGAGGTGGAAATATACTCGCAAATCCATGCTTGAATAATGTGTTTATCAACTGCTTTTAGGATGAAAATTAAGCATAATAATAGATCTCTGGTTTCGGCTTTGTTGAATTTATTCATAGTATTAGACGGTGAGGTATGCGAACTTGACTGTTTGCCGTATAATGATGACTGAGATATAAATTTTTCTAATACTTCTTCAGAAAGTTCTTCATCCTTCCGCCGATAGAGACGGCTTGAATGATTAAGTATCATTGTAAGAATTGGCATATAAAGCGTTGCAACACGGGAGCGAATATTGGTTTGATTTAAACGGACATTACTGTCATGACTAGCTAAAAGTATTTTTAAAAGCTCAATTCCCAATTTAATTTTTGACGGATATCTGTAAGAAAAAAAATCCATTAATACAACAAGAATTGATAAGATTATTTAAAACAAACTCTTGAAGAATAAGAGAAAAATGAGATAGAACAAGACCAACAAGAAAATGTTGCTGGCGAAACTCCTCAGGCATCTCAAAAAAATTTCCTTTTTCGATTAAAGTGCTAGTTGAAGATCGAGTAGATATGGAAGAAGAGCTACAGATGCTTCCGCAGGGACTAGAAGGAGGCGATGACATATACCAGGATCCTGCAATTCTTTTAATTTAAAAGCATTCCAATATATAAATAATAATATGTTACCAAAAGGTAAATTTAAAGCAAAATAGTGCTCATGAAGGCATATAATTTTCAAGAATTCATTCCTCAAATCAATAAAACAACTGGTGTCTTTTGAAGATTCATCAGTAATCTTTTCACACTATTTTTAAATATTAAATAAGATTTCTATCATAATGAATTTAAAATAAAACCATTGAAAAGTAGAATTTTATTAGCTTCATAACAAAGAATCGATTCATCAAGGAAAGAGAATCTCTGATAAAATATGCCAGGCTGGAATTTAATTTTCTGACATCAATCTGAAAAGAGTTTAATATTAAGGAATTCTAGCCTTAGTAGTATATTAAATTATAGGACTTAAACCTGATGATCTTGAACAAAAATTTCTGCTATTATTTCCTCAACTAGTGATTTTAAATCATCAATGTAAGTCGATGAAAAGCGCAAAAGACTTTTTCCAGACATTTTCGAATGATGAAATATATCTTCTGCCATACTTTTAATCTGTGAGAGGGAATTAATAACGTTGGAAATGCGTAAGTAATGATTACCATTAATTCAAAAAAAAACCAAGCCGATTTTATGATTAAAAGCCGTGCTTCATTTGTTGATTTTCTCCAAAAATCAACGATTTCTTCATGTAACAACTGGAAAATACAATATTTGTAAGCATTTATTGAAGTTATTTTGCATCTTACTTTGGTTTGATAGTAGCCTTGTGGGGAATTTGATGTTTTCTCTTCTAAAAAGATTGTAAAATCAGTAATTTAAAAATTCAGGTGGGTCTCACCTTTAGAGTTTGATTTCCCCGAGATGGATGCTTTATAGTAGACATAACTTTTCAAAAGATTATCTTCTTTACTACTCAAGTCTTTCTCAACTTTTAAAACAATTCTTGCAATAGTTTCCAAACAGCATAAACTTATGCTCACTATCAGATAAAATTGGTTAATATCTTAAATACCAATGCTATACATACAAACATAATTGACCATTGATCACTGGCGGATGTAGGAAAAGAGATATTAGCTTATTCAGTACAATAGGAAGAAAATGAATTAATTTCTTCAAATTTGCATTAGTCACACTATAAAGAGTTTCTTTTAAGTGGCGTTCAAACGTTGAAATATCTCCATTATATAAACGTGGTAAAAGCCCATTCTCTGCTTTTGAATATATATCAAAAAAGCGATCAATATAATTATCTTTAGCATAGACTGATGTTAATGCATTGATAGAAACAATAAAGATTTCTTTTCGATTATCAATCCATTTGACGTTCGGTATATTTGTTAGGCTACTTTCATTTGGGAAGCAAATGCATAGATTAGCGGATGGTTTTTCTGTTGTCATTGGTAGAAAAAAGTCACCACTTTTCAATTGACCATCTCTCAACAGGGGAAGCCACTGAAATTTTTAACATAAATCTATTATTTGTTAAATTGGACAAGAATGAAGTAGCACGAACCGTGTACCCAACTGGTGTCTCCATTTGTTGTCCATCCTCTTTTCGCCTACAACTGACGTGAAAAGCCGTAAACAATAGAAAATGTAAGTGTGTTAAATCTGCAGGCAATTTTATTTTGATTTCGTCATTATATTCCGGTGTTCGGTTGTGGTAGGTAACTGCGGTATATGCTTCTCTTTGGAATTTCGATGTGTTGCTCTTTCCAAAAATATTTGGTAGAGGTTCATCGCAACTTCCTGAGAACAATTGCACCTTGATTGTTAAGTTCTGATAGTTCCTTCCTCGATTAGAAAAGTTTAAACTCTTTGGATTCACGAAAAGCAAGTTGCTGTATTTAACAATTTAAAATTGCAAATCACCCAGATATCAACCTAAAATTTTTATACCTATAGCTTGTAAATGGTTGCATAACATCTTCACGGGAAAAGTCTGCCAGTTCCCTGCTTACTTTATACGGTTCAATTGGTTCATTTGGGAAAGGTTTCACGTGTAAAAGGTCGGGTGTCAGTGAAAACGGTTTTACTTTTGGACAAGGTTGAATATCAAATTGAACGCTAGCTTTGATTGGCTTCAACTTCTTTGAAGTAATAGTTTTTGTTGTTAATAGCTCGTTTAAGTATTTATACAGCTCATCCTCATGAAATTTATCTGCCTCCTGAGCAAAATACGGCGAATCAAGATTATTGAATGAATATAGGAAATAATTATAAACTATTACTAACAACTTTATAGAAACTAGATAATTTAACAGTTGAAGGAGTAAATGAAGATAATAAATCACTCGTTTTTTCTGTGGAAGAACTTTCGTAACTGTGTAATGATGAAGAAGATTCAAGTCGCCGTGACTCGAATCTCTCCAATGACGCATGACGAGTGGACATTGAAGGTTTTTTCCTGCTCAAACTGTCATACTGTGTTGAGCTTGCTCGTCTGTTTTCTTTAAATAAGAATCAATGAAGAAAAAATCAGTTGAAAAAATAACAAAATGCCAAACCTAGCGGAATGTTAGAATCAAAACTAGTTTGAATAGTTTTTTTTTGACAAGAATTTATCACAGTGCTCATCGATACAGCCGTCCAACCAACAAGCTGTCTATATTTACCCAAACGCTCATAAATATTTCGTATCAGATCAGTAATCTTTGCCTTATTCTAGTTGAATTTTAAACATATTATTATAAACATCTTAAATACATTATACTATAAATGGAAGCTAACTTTTTCCTTTCTGTAGCTGTGTAAGGTTTCTGCAGTCTCAGTAGAATAGAAGATTTTTTCAACCTAGTTAATTAACAATTTTACAGTATTAATATAATTATGAATTGAAACAGAATGTCTTTAATACTAACTTTAAGAACAATAAATATATCTTCAATGCCTGTTATTAAGTTAAAAATACAAGACGTCACCATTGTAGACAAATCAATCCTCTGATTATATCTCAAAAATGGAAAGACGTCTGAATCATTTAGATCAAAATAAAAGTTTTCAGTGATTTTTTTTCGTTTGCGTGCATCATATAAAGCTACCGAGCCAAATATTGGCTCAACATCATTGTCCATTTCCATGGAAGAAACTCTCAATAAAATACGATTGATATCTTGAAGATTCTTAAATTTCGGAGGAATTGTCTTAATTTCAGATGGATGGTCATCCTACAAATTTAAGGCCTTATGATAGTGAAATTTAATATATAAAAACTTACGGAAATGGAATCATATAAAGTGAAAACACACCATTTCCTGTTTCTCATTCTTTCTTGTCTGTTTCGTTCATCTATATCATCAAGAGAATTTTGCTGAAAGACTTCATCGAGAAGACCGTCCGATTCCATTAAATCTAAGCTTGAGTCATCCAAGCTTATTAGTGAACTTCTTGCACTAATACTGATTTCTTCTTCGAATTCTTCCTGTTCAGCAACTTCGAATTCTTTGATTGTTTTGGAAATGCTTTCTGGATCAGCAAATTGTCTTGAAAAATATTCATAATTCCGTCGAAATATCTTAAATTCTCCAGAATAAAATTTGAGAAGTTCATCTACCCTGTCGTTTATAGTTTCATTATAACAAGGATCTTCAATCGTCCTAGAGGAACTAGACTCTAAGACAATTTCCCAATCATCATCAGGAATTTTTAGAACAGAGGCAAACGATTCATCAATGTTGTCCTGATTTTCATCTAAAAAGTTTTCATAGTTCCATGGCATGACAACTGGATATTGCACATTGCTATTGTTCTTGGGTCTTTCATTTTCTTGTTTAATCCTGTTGGAATCTTGAAGGTATGCAGTCGATACCTGTCTCCTAACGTCAGCCGCCTTTCGGCTAAAAATATTTTTTTTAGTGCTATTCCTTTTCCTACATGATTCTAATATACCTGCTCAACTTTTTGGCGAACTCACGCTTCTCGGTCGCCATCCACAGGAAAAAACTTTTCACATCTAAATTAGTCTGGTCACCTGTCACTCATATTTTTCTCAAATAAAAATATACAGTCTATTAGGTTACCACTTTATATGCAAAATAATTGTTTCGTCACGTGACTCAGTCAGCCAAGATGGCCGAGCGACGGCTGCTGTGGCAGTTGGAAAACGGATAAATCCTAGTCAGAATTTCTAACAAATGCGATATCCAATGTTATTATGCCCTCAAATAGAGGATAATGAGCAAAGAACTGAAATTAAAAAGTCCCGTCGGCGCGGAATCGGTCGCTTACTCGTGGCCTTTTCCGTCTCATCCGGTAAGTTTCACCAAAATGACATACCCTGAACCACCCGAAACCGATCGATTAAATATTTCTATATTTATACATAGGACGGGAAGACATGTGAATTAATCGAAACTCTAAGGTAAGCTATATTTGAGAATTCTTGTTTTTATTGGGGTCGTCTGACCTAATTATCATGTAGTTTATGTTAACCCTTTGCCACCCACCGACTTCGCGCCATTTCCTCGCCAACTTACTTTTCTAATTTTATATAGATGGGTCGGTAAAGATGTTGAAGAATTAAACGTGGTGACTCGTAATTTAATAAGTGACTGTGATATTAAAAGGTAAAATTCCCACATTTTTCACTGTAATCTTTTCTAAATATGCGTGTTATGCAGTTACGAAAGCGTTAAAAATCTTTGTGATAGATACAATAAGGCAATCGACAGAATTCTACAACTCGTTAGTATTTTCATTTCGTGTTTACGCATGTAATGTCGAACTATTGAACTTGCAGAGGAAAGGCATAGCCAGACCATCGGGTACGCCTCTAAGACCATGCAATGGGCTTCTTAAACATATTTTACAACAATGTTATGTAAGAGCAGTCCTAGAGCCGGAAAAACTTAATCAATACGAGCCGTTTTCACCTGAGGTACAGCAAAGGTGCCAGTAGACAGAGGGTTAATTCAAATAAGCTGGTATAATTTACGAGTCTGTTATCCTAACAGGCCAACAAACAAACACAGATGTCTATCAAGCAGGCGTCATGTTAATGTACTGCAGTCGACAGCTGACTGAATTAACCCTTTGCTTACTGCGAAAGATAATGTCTTAACTTTATTCACGCCATGTTGTGTTTGAATAGGTATACGGGGAGACGTCATACGAATTAGTAGAACAGATGCTCAAATATATCAAGAAAGATTTTAGCGACGATTGTTTATTTATTGATCTCGGAAGCGGAGTTGGGCAGGTCGTACTGCAAGTGGCTGCTTCGACAACTGTTAAGCGCTGCATAGGAATTGAGAAGGCAGAGTATCCTTCCTCGTGTGCTATAAACATGCAAATAGAATTTAGGAAATGGATGAGTTGGTTCGGAAAAACATTCTCCGAGTTCGAAATTATCCGGGGTGATTTTATCGACGAGCAGTTTAGAGACTCCATTAGAGAGGCCGAGTATATATATATATACTTTAACATAAAAGAGAAACATGTATTAACTAATATTGTTGAAACAGTGTATTGTTTGTGAACAATTTTGCTTTTGGTCCCCGAGTAGACCTTGAGCTAAAAGAAAGATTTAACGACATGAAAGAAGGTGCAAAGATTGTATCATCGAAAGCATTTTGCCCATTGAACTTTCGAATTAATGATCGAGCGTTAAAAGGTTTATTGCTTAAAAATACTTAAGGTTTATTTAATTTAAATAATTTCAGACGTAGCATCTATATTAACTGTCGAAGAACTAACTCCTATGAGCGGTAATGTGTCTTGGACGTGCAAACCTGTTACTTTTACTTTACATACAGTCAATAGGTCCATGGTGGGTACAGAAATAATTTAGAATAACGATTTTAATAAATCATTAAAATATTTAACTGATGATACAGCAAAATTATATTAAGTTAATTAATAATCTTCATTTGAGGAAACATTTTCATCATTGTCACTCATGAATTCGTATATGATATGTATTTTTTTAATGCATATTATATATTTCGTATTTGAGTGTGACTGCCAGTATAAAAGATACATAAGTCTTTGATAAGGGTGAAAGTTTACACTGCCCGCACTGGCTTAGTATTTTCATGATTCATGAAACTGTAAATGTGTTAATTAATAATTGATTATTGATAAATGAAATGTAAAAATTTTAATAATGACTGTTTCAGTTGGAAGATTATTTCAAAGGGTTAAAAAATCCGTCTATGAGGGTAAGTGGATTATTAATGAGTAGGTTTTTGTTTGATTGAAGTGTTGATGAGGTGTGAGAGATAATTTAATACACTGCCAGGCGGGCATTTATGATGAATAATACCGTAATTGAAAAATTGCTGAAGAATGCTTGAAATACGGTCATTTTCACTTGTCATTCATCTCAATCTGTTGGTCATTTGGCAAAATGTTTAGTTCTGTATTGTAATCATTTAACAATATCAAGCAGGAGGAAGAAAAGATTGTAAGAAAAGACAGAAAAGGCAGAGTGATAGGATCTTACACGAATGGAGTGAAACTTAGCGGGCAGGTAAACACATAATTCCAATTCGGTAGCTAATATTTAGTAGTCGTCTTAGCTTAAATTGTCGTGAGAGCCTAATGTTCGCAATGTGTAGGACAAAAAAGGATATATAAGTATATTGTTTGGCTAATTGAAAACGCCGACAGGTTGGCGAAAAACAAAGTAATGGTGATAAGTCCACATCGGAGCGCAGATGTAGTACTTCATCTACAGACGGCGCAAAGAACGACTTATTCGGCCCAACTACCAGAAGACAATGGAATGAATGGGTTCGGTCAAATACTGCCTGCCAGCCATCTTCGAATGAAGTGAGCTATATTTCTCGTTTAATACAGTAATCGCTTTGGCTTGGTTTGTTTATTGTCTGTCCTTGTAATATACTATTCTGGTCGATTAAATCCTATTGACGAACCACTGCGAACACTGCCGTAATTATTCCACAAAATCTTGTAGCAATCTCTCATGGTATCCATTCTTTGCCATATATATTTTCCATCCCAGCTTTGATATCTATTCAAGTAGGAGTTTGACAACTGAGGATCTTTGAACCGCAGGGTAGTTGAGAGTGTTGGTCGTCTGAGTCTGTCTGTTAATCTTTGCTTTTTGTCATCTACATTCCAATTTTTCTTTAAACGTAACTGTGCAGGAGAAAAATCCAGTTGTGGTAGTTGAGTTATAAACACCCGATGAGATGATAGATTAGCAGGTTTATAGTACCAACTAGCTGACGAAGAACGACCGGTTGGCATAGTGTTATGTTATGTGTCTACAAGCGTTATGGATCCCGAGAGCTGTCTATTGATTTTCTTTGTGTATAGTAAAGAGATTTACCTTCATAGGCTTGTTAGTTGTTGGATTTAGTTTTTAGCTATTACTCATTTTCAATAGGATAACGAAAGGCAGGAGAACGAAAACCGTAAAAAAAGAGAAAAGAAGGATAGAAAGCGTTCTCGAAGACGCCCGCTCCTCACAGTCGCTAGTAAGAAAGTTCAGGCAAATGCCCAAAAGAAAAAAGCTTTGGGAATGGATGCTTTGAATCTTTTTCACAATCATACCCTAATGTCTTCTCAAGGCGGTCAACAACTGGATTCTTTTAATTGTAAAGTTATGACAAATCATCTGAAAGATGCCCAGTCGGCCCCAGCACAAAAGGAGCAAAATTTACCTTCCGTTGCGGTAGTACCTACCCATCGACCAGCCATTCCGGTAAACCAAAATCTTCCTCCTGAACTAGTCGAATCTATTGATCAGTTTTATGGTAAGTACAAAGGCATAAACTAAAACGTTAACTATAGCTTGACAGTACTTTTATAGAATCACAAAGACAGCAAGCGGTCGAATTTTTCAAATATGCTCAGAGTGAGCAGTATGTGGAAGCTGTAGAGCAAGAATTGAAAAAAGAGCGCGAAAAAAATAATTCTCTTAAACAAACGTTGCAAAAATTGGAGAAACAGAGTGAACTCTTAACAAAAGATGGTTTGGATAAATTGAAAAGTCGATTGTCAGAGGTAAGATGTAATAAGTGTCTTGTCAGAACCAACTTAATATTTAAATTGAATGAATTAGTGCCATGTTAATGCTCAAACCCCTTCCGAATTCTTGAGCAAAGCAAAGGATATAGTAACAAAATTCAAGTGCTTGAATCAGAAACTGGATCAAGAGCAACAAACAGTTAATAAGCTTGATCAAGAAAGAATAAAATTAGTAAGTCAATGTTCATGCACTATTATTATTATTATTAATATTATTATTACTTAATAGTTGGAAATGCGAAAACAAGAGCAGAAGAGTATTGTATCATCTGGAAATTTGGGTTTAGACCAGAAGCCTGCAATAAATTCTAAGCTGTCAGCTGGTAATCCATCGTTGGGAGATGATCATACAAAATCGCAACGAGAACGGATAACAATGAAATTAGATATCCGTCAACCAGATAAGGTGAAAGTACTTGGTGCTAAAGCAGATACAAAAGCTAAGAAAAACCCTCAAAATTTAACCCTTGTAAATGACCCTTATTCTTTCGTTGATTCTGAGACAACCGTTACAAAAGGCAGGAGTTCTGTCAAATCTGATCTACCTGTTCTAACCCAGGCTCTCTTGGGAAAATCGCCTTTAAATAGGATAGCCTCAGCGACAAAACGAACATCGACTTCACCCATCGATCCGCCACCGCCAATAAAAGAACAGAAAAGACCCAAAACAAAGGATGCACCATCCAGACCAAGTTCTTCGTCTAGTACATTGTCAGCAGACAGTAACCCGTCTGTTCCGACTTCTCCTAGAGCTAAGCTTCTTCCCCGATCAAAATCTGATCAAGATCAATTAGTTGATAAAGTTAAAGACGCACTTTTGCCCCACGATCGTTCGAAACCCGCATTCGCTCCATTAACAAATCAATCAGGGACATACTTACCACCACCACCTCCGCACCATCCCCATCCGAATATCATGCCGCTATTGCCGCCTTTTTTTATTCCACCGTACCCAAGCAGTTTATCTTCATCCTACACTTCGGTAGCGAAAAAAAGTAACGGTATGATAAAGCACCCCAAACAGTCACCAAATGGCTGGGAACAAGTATCATCAGGGCTTGATGTATTATTTGCAGCCTCATCTGAGAGACCAACAAGTTCTCCGAATGGTGAGGGTTTAAGTAATTCACTCGGATCTTGTAGCGTAGGTCAGTCCCGTAGTGAAGTTACTGACCAAGATAACGATAGCACTAAGTATGATAAACACTTCAAGAAGAAACTCTTCATGCGACAACGGCAGGCTGCAGTTCAAAATACTAAACAAGCAAAGTTCAAACCAAAGGGTAAGGATTATCCTCGGGAAAGTGACGCGACTGATGTAATTAGATGATTACTTTTAAATCGCGTCGGTTAAGTGCCATGATCAGGGAGAAAAAAACAATGTGTAATAAGGTAGCAGTTGTTTTTTGTTTTGTTCTTTTTCATGTCTTAATGTATAAGTTTTCAAGTAAAAATTACCATGAGACGATGTTGTAATTGAATGAAGATAAATCTGCACTTTCCCAATTTTGGTTAATTTATTTTAGTATATGATATATACATTTGTATATTTTTTACCGTTTTCCATTTTAAATTGTATTATGAGTCTAATACAGATTGATTCAACTTTGCCTTTGTTTATAAACATGTAAGTGAAATCTGGACAAAAGTAAAATACAATATGGTGAAAACTTTGTTTATATTTGAAAATAAATCTCCTAAAACAGTGCAAAATGTACTAAACAAATATAATCAATAGAGTTTACAACTAATCAAAAGTAAGATAGATAACAAAAAGACTGTAGCGACATCTGCATGACACTTTCTTAGAGCATGCGATTGCAAATGTCTGTCATGGCAAGAAGGTTTCCATTTTTATATAAATTTTCAAAGTCAAATTTTCTAAGTAATATTTGCAATATAATTTTAAGTTTTGAGACGGTTGACAAATCTTTTTATAGCAAAGTATCAGTGTTAAATTTCGTTAGCTTCTGTAAACTAACCAGTCTTTTCACCCTTACCGACATTTTTATTTTACGCCACCTGCAGACTAGAAGCTGCATTAATTGACCTTAGTGGAACATTACATATAGATAATGAGCCTACCAGAAATGCAGTATCTTCATTGCATAGGTAATATTATTAAACTTTAACTTTTTGCTATCAATTTTTATTCTCATAAAAAATGAAATATTCTTAATAAATATATCACGTTGAAATAATTTATTTAAACAGACTACGGGAAAGTGGAGTGAAAGTGAAATTTGTAACTAATACAACTAAAGAATCGCTCTCAAGTTTATATAACCGTTTGATTAATATAGGATTTTCAATTGATAAGAATGAGATTTACACTTCATTGACGGCAGCTAAAAACTATATAACAGAAAATAAAATAAGGCCTCTATTGCTGTTGGATGATGATGCGAAAAAAGACTTTGATGGAGTTGTGGAAACGGAGCCAAATGGGGTTGTTGTTGGTCTTTCTCCTAAATCTTTCAACTACGATACATTGAATAAAGCATTTCGCCTACTTTTACATGGCCATCCATTGATAGCTATTCATAAAGCTAGATATTTTAAGAAAGCGGATGGTTTATATTTAGGGCCTGGACCGTTTGTATCTGCCTTGGAATACGCTTCGAACGCGAAGCCAATTCTAATTGGAAAGCCTAATGAATCATTTTTCCAAGAAGCTCTCAGTCAATTGAATTGTCAAGCTAATAAAACTGTTATGATAGGTGATGATGTACACGATGACCTTGAAGGAGCGTCAAAAATTGGAATGAAATCGGTCTTAGTGAAAACTGGAAAGTATAGAGAGAAGGACGAATGCAAAATCCCAAATTTTCGGCCAACCTGTATTGTCAATGACTTCTCCGAATCTGTTGAGTGGATTATTGACCAAAATTTATTATAATTTCAATATTGATAATATTATATTACTATAGTAGAAAGCGAAAATATGGCGACGATAAGTGGTCTATTCTCAAGTCAAGGAATTTGTGTTAAAGTTATTCATAATAATGGTGAAAGTGTTGAAAAAAATCCAGCGTTTAAAAGACTCATGTACCGTTTGAAAAGGTTTGCAGCTCTTCAATTGTGACTGCTATCGAACGCTATTGTTTAGCTTATATGTTGATATTTTAATCTGAGTTCCACGCTTTGTTAGTTTGTGTTTGCTATTCTATTTGTCCAACGATTGCCTGAACCTCTTATTGACTTTTCTTTTACTTATAACTTTTGATAACGCACATGAATTCGGATTCACGTTCCTCTGTAGTTCGTCTACGTTTTTATCATAGAACTTTGAGTTGTCCACTTCCGGCACGTTCATACTTTTCGGATTTAAATTATCATAGGTGAGTGGGAAAAATCAATAAACCCTCATTTAGTTTACATAGGACGACGATATTCGAGGCTTTGTCTAGAGGAATCAGCCATAGATTAATCGATGAACACTGTACATAGATACTATGCACTTTGGCTAACAGTTTCTCTCAATGGCTAATCGCTATATATTCCTAACTGTTCAACCAAAATTTGTTGAATCCAAAAAAAGTAATCAATACGCTTTTCCAAAGATCAACAATCATACAGAAAGAAAATCATGCAAGATTCTGAAAAAACGAAATTCACACTTTGGATATTCTATCTCCGTATCTATGTATGGAAATATTTGGCCCTATCAGTGAGTTTAAAATATAGATGGCCTTACTGAATTAAATGTCAAAAAGTGAAATTATATTAGCGATATCTATCCAAAATTCTTTCTCAATTCTCAAAATTCTGTGTCAATCGGATGAGTCGCTCTACCACGTAAACGGAATGTTATATTTAAATTGTAAACATGTGTAATATATGAAAATCATCGTTTTTTTCTCCATTTTAAAAAGTTGGATAGGAATCACTTAGAGACAGAGAGGGAAATTACGCTCTCTAAAACTTATCGACTTTAGCAGCTGCTCTGTTCAATATTCAATTGCAGACTATCCGTTGTTTATCACTATTCTCTTTTTTTTATTTTGAGTATCTTCTGCCTTTCTACATCTTTTCAACTTTTCTCAAAAAATTTCTTATGACAAATACGACTTGTCGTTCACTCGGATTAAGAAAAAGTCTTATTGGTTGCCTTCCATATGACAGCATGATATTAAAGTTCAGATCGGATAAGGACGCGCCCAAAAAACTACCAGAGATTACGTTGGAATGGACAAGGTATATCGGCAGAAAAAATAATCCTTGCACACAAAAACAAACTATAGAAAAACAAGGATAAAGTTAAGAAAGTTAAATCAATTGAAATGCGCTTGGTTAAATACTCAATAGAAATCAATTTCGATTTTTTTTTAAAGGTCTATTGCTTTTGGTGCTTTATTGCCAATCATCGAGTTAGCAACGCTGATAATGTGATATTTTTTTTTGCATTTCTCTCTTCTAATGTTTCAAATAGCAATAGTTCACCCAATAAACCTATCCTGAGTTTTTTTCGCCCCTTCCTCTTCCCCTCCCCCCCTTCCAATTTATTGATGAAGTGTTTTTCGGAAAAAAAACGGCCAACTATATTTCCATTGAGCATCGTTTCATCTTATAGGTTGAATATTTTTCTTATTTCTTTTCTTTATTATGTTAAACGTTTAATTTATTGTATTTACAGGCGTATAAGTAAATTGATTTTATCGATACATCCGTCTATTTTAAACAATAATGCGGTTTTGTTTTTCAGTGCTACAACGATTCAAACAAGAAACAGTACTATCTGCCATGACTCATTTAACTCATCGAATAAATTTAACGATAACGCTAACCCTACCACAAATCGTAAAACGTTTAAAGGCTTCTCAACTACAGAGAAACTTGAAAGCAATGAGACTATTCGAGGCAATGGCTTATTTAAGAATCGTCAATTGTTGACATTAAATTCTTGCAATCATAATACAAATAGCGCTAATTTGTCGCCGTTGGAAAGTTTTGCTTCACCTGGACGAGCTCAAAAACCTTTAAATTCAGAGGAAAAAACAAGCTATTCTTATTCCCATTCTACGGCATATAGTAGAAAATTGAACACGCACCAACAAGTTTCCTACAAATTGAATTCTTCAATGGGATATTTGGATCCAGTTTTTGGGGCCTCTTCACAATATCAACAACGCGTACAGGAAATAGCAGCGTTACAATTAGAAACCATAAAATGGGAAAGATCGAAGAAATTTCGAAGGAAAAAAGATAGTTTATTGTAAAAAGAAAGAAAGAAAGAAAGAAAGAAAGAAAGACATTAGTATAAAAAATATTTTCAAAGTTACAAACTTTTTAGTAATTAATTTAATAAAATTGATTTGAAAGTATGTCATTAAATCTTTGAAACGTCACCGAATTGTAATAAATAAAACCAATAACACTTTTTTTTTAATACTTGGGTAAATATAATTTTATGTTACATTGACAAGAAATAAAACATTCTTTAATCGCTCTCGGAAGGATAAAGCTACTATATAGCTGAATCAATAAGCTTTTATTGTTCAATTCCTCAATACCCTCGGTCACGCAAATAGCGAACAAGCCTTGAAACTAGACTGTACGCGTTACCAAGTTGAGCATTATCACATAGAGAAATTATTAAGAGCTTTGAGCCTTTACAAATTACACATGATCCAGATCCATTCGTTGACTTTCCTAATAGTACATCTCTTTCTTGTTGGACACAACTAAACCTCTTATCGCCTATCAATAATTCTTCAGCTGAGTCAATGAAAGCTTCGGATAGACGGAGAACGTGAAGCGGCTGGAGAGTTTTCAAACATTCTGTTCCTGCCCAACAAGAGCCGTCAGTGAGTCCATAGATGCCCGCTTCTTTCAGCCAACCTGTTACCAAGAGTGAATTTTCAATATAATCTCTCCAAGCTGTTGGCATAGTGAGTTACATCGCTTCTAGGGAGTATTAACGATATAAAATATGAACGAGCCTTCAACAGTCACGTGCCTACGTACACGTGACCGCCAAACTTTCAATTATTAATTATTCATATAAGAATAAGACTTATTCCTCGTGAAATCCCTTAATTTATTCTTTATTTTATTTATTCTCATATAGACGTCAGTAGTGGTTGATTTATGTCGCTATAACGACAATATATGCAGCTTAATTAAAAAGAGAGTCAATAATTCAATAAGTTTTTTTTCAATTTCTTACTAAAGTTAGTAAATATTTCACTAATACTTTCTCTATTAATAATAATTATGCAACTTTTAAATATTTCTTCTTTTCATACTTAAAATAATTTAAATATTTGCTTTTTCTTTTAGGGAAAAACAATGAAAAAATGTATTAATATAAAATTATTGTACTTGATACTTTTTATAACAAAAGAAAAAGCTTTGTCTGTAAAAATTTCCATACTTTTTCATGAATATATTGCGAAAGTATTGTATATATATATATATATATATAAATTTACGGTACTTTCGACGATCTTGTAATTATAAATCACTTAAGCGTAATATAAGAAGCAATGCCTAAAGTTATTTTACTCTTTGTATTAACCATGAAGACGATTACCTGAATGACGTCATCAGGTGCGCGCCAAAAACCTTTGTTTGCCGCCAAAGACAAAGACCGTTGTTTGACGCATTTCTTTGTCAATCCGCGAAATATCCGCGAACAGCTGCTGATATCGGTTCCTGGTTGCCATAGAAACGATTTGCGCGGGCTTTTCTCTGTCCGCACTCGCTATTCTGTAGTCAGTCCAGCTCCATCATCAGATGCAGTATGCTGCAGTCGGATTTTTTTAATTTATATTATTGTTACTGGATATTAATGACAACATCTCAGGATAGATAATGGAGTAGTTTAGACCATTGTTAATTGGATATCTGAACAATTATCGATTTAAGAATATTCATTACAGTAAGCATGTGACTTTTTGTTTCTTACGCAATCTGATAGTACTCTTACCTTTTAACACATTACATTCATACTAATTGGTAAGAACATACCAATTGGTTTGATAGAAAAGATTGAATCTCCCTAAAATGGAGGGTTATTGTGAAAGAAACAAAGGAGGAGAGCAATAAACACGATGTGTTAATTATCGATTCGAAACAATGCAGGAGACTTCTTTGTTCTCTTTATTTTCATTAGTTACAATGTATGTACGCATTCTAAAATAGAATGAAGCGTTATCTTTATCTCCATAAAAATAATCTATCAATTAAAATCAAATTAGCATCTTGACTTTTTAATTTTGATAAGAAGAAAGACTTTTCATAGAAAATTCAATTAATGATAAATTCATTGCTATATACTTCCTTATTTATTTACTAGCTTTATATTTAATCTGTTAAAATGTTTAGAATAAATATTCTATTCATAAAATTTAAATTTTATTTAATTCTTTATGCTGCGTAAATATTTTTCTTTATGTTTATCGCAAAAGAATAAAGATTTAGTAAAATTTTCAAATTTAAGCCTTTAGCTTATTATTTAATATGAAACTTCGTTTAAACAGTTCTAAATTTTTATTTTTTACATTATTTATTAAGAAAATTTTAAATTTAATATTGCCGCCTTTGTGTAAAGCGACATCTAGAGTTCAGAATAATTTATATCCACTTGGTGTCGCTTCTGTAGGAATAAATTATAAATTAAAATGGACTTTTGCACTGCCCTCTATTGGTATTCGAAAATATTATGTAAACAGTAGATGGCTCTCTGGTCGGTCTTATGCTGCGCCATCTAGTATACTTTGTAAAAACTGCCTCTGTACGAAGGGATTGTTGAGCTAGATTACGCTATCCGTCCTCCGAATTTCAACTTAAAAATGTAATAAAATCTAAAACTTAAGCAATAACAAAGCCACTAATGTTGTTAATTAAAGAAAATAGAGATAGGTATATAATTTAACATTGTGCACTTTAATGATTTCTAACGTCCGTCATTCGACTTTTATGTTATTCTATAGAGCCGTTGTACAAATTCATTAATGAGTAATATACTGATTAATTATAAGTCATCTCCTGATGTATATTTGTCATATAATGTATATGAGTAGAAAATTTTCTTAAAAACTCAGAAATTTAAGGAACCTAACAATTTTCCTCATTTTTATCATACAGAAACGAATAGTTATAGAATTATGTAGTTTTTTCTTATTTACCTATTGGAAATATGAATTTTAAAGTATTATATTATAGCAAACAAAGAGTTTATTAGGATTTAACGCGACATTTATTATTCGCCAACATATCCTAAACAGTCCGACCAACGAATGTAGACAGCTCGTTCAAGCTTTTCCCGCATGAGAGTGTTTGTTGTTCATATTCTATCTATTCAATAAATCGATTATTACAAAGATACGTTGAAGTTTTATAGAAATTACCAAGGAAAAAAACTATTTATATATAAATAGTATATATATTTTAACAATTAATAAAATCAACTTAATTTTCTTATCAAACGAAATATAGACGAAAACTAGTTTTCATCAGCGTCAGTCGTTTTTTTCCCCCTTACATCAAACGAGAGTTTTTTGTACATTAAACAATTACTTTAAAAACTATACAACTTATTCGAAATTACTTTTTTTTTATCAAGACATTCAATCGAAGTTGATAGATTGTAAAGTTTTTTTTCTGTAGTATATGAAAGGGAAGGCGTTCGTTTTGGTGGGAAAGAAACACTAAGAGGAGAGAGAGAAAACACCAATACATACTCTTAATTATTTAGCTACAGTTGAAAGTGTCTAGCACAAATAGAATTTTGAGTTTTATATGAATTATTCAAGAAAAAATTCGAGTAAAATTGAATACGGAGCTTGTCATTATCAGGCACGAAGTTTTTATGACATCATGCGGAAAAGTCGTAGGATTATGAAGTTTCATTAAGGCTGCGTACATGTATTCTGGGTGTAGAAGCTTTAACGGATCACAATACTTTGTACATTAAGGAAGTTGGGACTAATTCAAGATATAATTACCGGGACTTCTATATTAGTATTTTCATTATAAAAGTAAAAAGTTTAGTTATAAATTGTTTTTGAGCACAAAGTGAACTTTTCATCTACTTCTGACATAAGCAAACCGGTTGTATATTTGGGACAAAAAAAATCGGGGTGACGCTATGCACAATCACGTGATGGAGACGCTATAGCCAGATGGCGTCCTTTCACGGTGCCTCGAAATATATGTAAATAAGGCACGTGCACGTCAATGCTGACACCATTATTGATTATAATAGAGTTTTATGATTTTATCTCTTTAATTTTAGCCATAAATACACAACAACGTACGTGAAATTGTACTTAATCACGTGTTTAAAACCTTTTCATTTTTCTTGGCAGTTTGTACAAAAACGAAAGAAGTGAATAAAATTTTCTAATAATATGCCCTCTGACCTTTGAATAATTAACAAAGTAAAGTTTGTAAAGGGAAATCTTTTAATATATATTTCTAGTGAGAAAAAACTTGAAATTACAGAGTTACAAAAAGAAAGGCGGTCCTGTTATAGTGACTAAGAGCGTTGAACATCTGTCGCCAGGAAATTTCCTGAACAGTTATAGAAAGGGCACCTGCCATGCAGCGCATGCGTTGGAATAAGTGGTTGGATGAAGATGGATGCTTTTTTGAACACAATGCCTTATATGGAAAATTTTGAATGAGCGCCAACCGTTGTTCTTTGTTGACGGTCCACTGCGTTTATGATTCAAAATTCAAGTTCCCGGACAAAGAGATGCTCTACACAAAGACGCAGATCCAGGTCTGGTGAACGTGACATCATAGGGAGGTCAATTAGTGCGATGCCTAGGAAATTACAATGACAGAATGACAGCAGGGCGTCTTTTTGGCCATGAGCTAGACGCCCACAGAGTGACGCAACTTCCACACGTGTCATGCACGAGCCAGCCTCTATAGTTTCAGGAACCCCTGCGGCGTCAATATGTAAGAAGGAACTCATGTTTATTTCTATGCTTTCATGAAAAAAAACCTAGTTCAAGTAAAATTCATGCAAAGAAAAAGGAAAAAAGAGAAGGCGTGGCAGATGGCTGGTAGAGCACGTATGACGCAACAATAGCCTGTTAAGAACAGATGACGGAGAAATTCAACCATTCTAATCTCGTAATCAGATTTCGGTTTGCCTTTTCGGCAAGTGTGTCTGTCTTAACAGTTTTTTCAAATTTAAATAAAATGGAAGACAATCGCAGAATCTATTTATCTCATATTGATACGAAAAGTCGACAAGCAAACAGAGTCGTCTGTCTCGTGTTTGAACAGTCGGTTTTGAAGTATCCCAATACTTTCACGCTACCTTCATATTGCAGTTAGCATTCATTAATCCTGTAAAGAGCTTTTTCCTACATAATGCGCCCGCATTAGGGATCGTCTACTCTTCTATATTTATCCACAAAAAATTAAACAACTGCTCCTTAGAACTCTTTCTTGGCAGCTAAAAGAAATCGTAGCATCTTAGCCCCTAATTTATAAATTCTGTAACGACTACTAATTACATTTTCGTAGGATATTGAATTTCGCTGCCACTAATAACTATGTTTCAAACTTTTTTCCAATATATTTATTTAATAATAGTGATATTCGGTAACTTAAAAGAGATAGAGACAAACAGGGGGTGGCCATCGGCGCTCAGTAATGACCTTCATCATGCACTTGGGGCGATCTAAATGCTTGAAAGGGAGAACATTGGAAGCGTGAATTACGTCATATTACTGTTATGTTCCTCGCAGGTGCGAATACAGGTGATTATTTTCTAGCGAACAGTTCTTTCATCTTTCACTGAATATTCACAAATTTTCCCTCGAAAACCCAAAACAATTTTTTATGCAAATTTTACTTTATAAGTGATTTTACGCGTGGCCATATATAGCTCTTAATCTTGAACACAGCAGATGACGTGTTCACTAGTGCAAGACGCTAGCCACGTGCCCCTTTTTTTCCTTCTAGGCTGCACCTGCTTCCAGGTGCTCACTAGTAATATAAGACAAGGGTCGTCAGCGAATACAGTCACCATGACGATTATCTATCGCGTGAGGAAGAAGCACGTGAATAGTTAATCTCTTCAATCTCGGCGTGCAATCCCCGCGACTGCAATATCGCAGAGAAATAATGGGTTAAAGGTCGTCATTTAACGAGACCCTGTCATTTGAAGGCAGTACGTATGGAAGGTTTGAACAGTTGTCAAGGCAACAAAAAGATTGCTCGGGGCTATATTATCGATTTACAGTTTTATAGTTTAATTAAAATTATCTCGAATTGAAAACTTTTTCCATTAGAGTGTTCATCTTTCAAATTGTAACAGTTAAAAAGGTATAAATAGTATAAAGCTGAACTTAACACGTATATCCCTCATTTTATAGGTTACTAAAGGGTGACACATTTGTATGCGTTCACGAGTGCCATGGGAGCTATGGCCGGCGTCGATTTCTGGTGAAAATCCGCAATGAAAACAAAACGTCGCACTTGAAAGCGGCTGCTGTAGTCTCGGTTCTTAAGTACTACGGCGCCAACTCTACGTAAACAAAGAGCATGGCTTTTTTCTTCTTTCCTTAATTCGTTGATTGCGTCATGTAACATCTGCCCTCAACTTGTGATATATTATTCCTCTTCCCGATCAAGGCCATCTATCGGGTCTGTGGCCTATGATATGAGCGCTCCCTATAGGCAGATATGATCGTTAAAAAGTTTGTTGTTGGTTGAAATAGTCTGTTATAAATGATAATAGTTGTTATAGAAATAAAGTAAATGGGTTAAAATCTTGCGAATCAACAATTTTCAACTTGATTGAGCTTGTTTGCTTGTTCCTGCACTCTTTGTAAACTCAGATAAGCGCTTGTTGAAATTTATAAAGAACTGTATGAGACTTCGATTTGGACAAAGTCGATAATATGACATCATATCGATATACGAATAACAAGTTTCCTCTGACACGTATAATTGAATGTTTTTCGAACGATAACGGGAATCGGTGCGTGGAAGATTCGCAGTAAAGTTTAGCATTCACAAGGGAAATCAAATTCTATAGCTAAGACAGTGACAGATGAAAAACGAACAGTTTACGCACACGCATCGTTAATAATTGGATACGTGTGATGTAATGTGTATTTTGTATTAAAATTTAAGAGCGAATGTGATTTTTTTTTTACTTTCAGTAAGTTGTTTATCAGTTATTGTAACAATGCCTGACGTAAACTGGCATAAGGACAAACATATTTTGGCTTCTCTCCAAAATTGTTCGAAAAACTATTTAACTTATCTCAATAAAATCATTATTTATCCTGAAAATATAGATTTGTATGCGTAAGATTTGCCAAAAGTATTTCGCACTTCATTATCTATTTGATTAGTTTTCTTCTTTTTTTGGCAATGAACATAGAAAATTTAAAAAAAAAAAGAAAAAGAGAAAACAACATTGTAATTTTTTTTTCTTTTTTGCTGTTCACAAATTATAAACCGACGCTAGCAGCCATGTCAACTGTCTGCGTTATTGATTGGGCGTCTAATTGTCTGCAATATACATCTAACGCTGCACATACAAGGATTTCAGCGTATACTGTTTAGCGTCAATGCGTTTTTTTTTCCATATACCGTTAGGTAATTTTTAGTTAAAACTAGTAGGAAAATTTATGAAGATGTATGAATATAAATAAACTAAGTGACTAATAAGATATTACTCAACAAATGATTTACTCTACAAACTGTTACTGTATTAATTAAGATTTCGAAATTTCGGTCAATAAAACGACTTTAATGGAACTGTTACATCTGTTTATACATATACATACAAGTATAATGTCAATATATTGTATATATAGGTGACATATTTATATTTTGCTAATAAATATTAAAACGAAGATCTTGTTGAATTTTAAAGATAAGCCTGCTGTACAATTAGAAAAGATATATACATTATAAAAAACAAGTTGTAACTATTGATTTTATATCGAAATAATAACTACCGTAGTAATAATGAATAATCTAATTGCTAGCTTGAACATATTTCTCAAATATATTGATAATGGAATAAACTATTGTTAAGAAAGACGACTTGTATATATGTCTGACCTCTGAATGACCATTGAACGTGAGACAAACAAGAACAAACGACTTGCGTAATCCCCGCTTTGCTTATTCGAGTTTTAGCAAGGCTATGCGCGGATTTGAAAGTTGACTGTAGCTAATGAAGTCGTTCCAAAATATCAAAAATCTAGAGGTATTACATCACTAGTGTGTTAGCAAGACTTTTTTTCAAGTTTCAGAGACTATATATGAACTTTGAAGGGGAGCGGTCAAGAAACGATTAAAGTTGAACAGCACGCGAAATAGAGGTTAGTTTATGCCGTCACGCGACGCGGACACGTGCTAGGCAGGTGCAGAGCATAGAAGAAAACAATTGGTCCTTCTAGGCAACGCGTACACATATATACACTTATATAGTATAAATGTGTACATCAAATAGGGAGGCAGGTGCAGTTTATTCACTCAACCGTATCTAATAGCAGTGCGCGGAGGCGTCTTGCTTATTTTTTTCCCTCTCTGCCCACCTTCAACTGACTGTGTATTTATAGTCTAAAGCCATATTAGTGCCGTTTAAGTAAACTAATACATCTAGTTAAAAAATAGAATTCTATGAACATTAGTAGGCTTTATCAATTTGCCACTGAATAATTGTCCGTTCCTGGAGTAAAGTAAATTGCATAGTAAATAGAAAGAAACAATCGAAAAAAGACGACAGAGGCTAATTACCGATAATTACTCCTTCTCTAAAAGTTAGAGACGAATAATTGGACCGTCGTTATGGGAGATTATTTGGATGTGTCAAAAAATTTACACACTATGTTGTCTATACATAATACACTCTAATTACTCACTTGCCGGATAGTCATAGCACATGGTACTAGAATTAATCATCCGAACGCGTGAACGCAAATATAATGAATAGGCTAACGCTACTAAGAGGAATTGCAGACGAAAGAAACCCGACACGCAGGAATAGATTGCCAAAGGGCACGCCGACTTAATTGCAGTACCGAAGCCGTTCACGACACGTGCCTAAATATGCATACACTAGTTTTTTGGGTAAATTCCCATTTTCTATGCGCTATATGATGAATTCAATTTATAATGTATAATAGTTCCACTTATAGCTTTGAATTTGAGAGAACGATGTCTTACAAGTTCTGTCGTTCCCGTGGTAACGACTTTCATAATCAATACGTCATTAAACTCTCCACACGCGCCGCTTGGAAGGTTGCCAAACTGCACCAGATGCGCTTGCTCTCAGACACGCCCCACTTTCTGACAATTCAAGCGTGGCACCTGCCTAGAATAGATATAAAATAGACTTTATTAAAATTACTTATAGGAAAAATTCTATTAACTTAGGCTTTTCTATATGATAAGAACAGGATTAATTTAAATATTAATTCAATTTTCTTGTATAGAATATTTATTTTTTAACCAAAATTTCGGCGGAACTTGTTGTCACCTCACTTATCATACTATAACATTGTGCTTCCGCGGTTTTAGCAACATTTATACACCTTCCGCCCTTATAATTCTGCTCGTAATCATATCTATAACGCAAGTCGGAAGTAGAAGAAAACTGCTTTGTAAGCCAAGGTTATGCACGCGCTCTTGCGCTGCTTAATTCCTCATTTAATAGTTTTAGATAAAAACTGCTTGATTGTTCACACCATCCATAATAGACGAAAATGAAAGCGTGCAAGCGGCAATTACCATCATTTTCACCGGCCACTTCAAAGCGACTAGTTGAGTAATCTACGCTGACTGTGAGCGGGAATTGAACGGGTCTGGAAAAAACATATTCGATTAAACGTCCGACAGGTGCGTAATAAGACCAGCGAAGCTTGACAGGCAAGAGGAACAAAGGATGGCAGGTGCCTAGAACTTTTCTAGGCAGGTGACGGGGTCTAAAAACGCATCTGTCGGTTGTGTCGTCGTTTTCCTGTATCAATAACGATTATAATGTGACATCAGCATTTCGGAACTGATTATTGTTCGGTAGCATTCACCAGTGGGCTTACATAGCGTTATAAGCATATTTATAAATTAATACATTAGGGATAACCACTATCATTTAACCCTAAATCGATCGACAGATGGAGTTAGCGGTCGCATTAATTCATGACTCACTTATTTCCGAAGGAAGGGGGGAACTGGATTAGTAAGCAATCGATAAGATGAGGAAACGCCTGACTCACGTAGTCGTCTTTTCCACCCAAAATTACATAGTTAATAATAAATCTACGCAAGTTTTAAGATATTTTATTAGTAAATCGTAGATGTCGCCACTAATCAGAAACAAAACATTCTAATCGACAACTTTTAGTTGTAAGTTCTATCATAAATTACTGAAATATTGATTTATATTGCGTAACTAAAAGACAAATAAAAACGAATAAATTAATTTTCTTCTATTTATTTTTTAAAAATTCACATCGAACATAAATCCAAAGCCCGCGTAAAAATTCTCCTTTTATCAAACAGCCAATAGGCACTATAGACGGTATGGATTGATGCTGATTGGACGAGAGCAAGCTATAAAAAACGCGAACGACTGATCATCAAGCAGTATCCTGGCCAACACGAGACGTTTTCTCATGTTTTAAAACTTGCCGTTTTTATTGTTTTTTTATACCCAAAACTTTTGGATATCTTTAATTTTGGCAAATGGTGAAAATCATGTCAGGCGATTTCATTGATCAGATCTTTGAACAGATCAGTCGAATGGACAATTCTAAGGTAATTTTCGGTTCTCAAACGGTAAACGAAGATTCATCAACGCCTTATTCGGATGCGACCAACTGCAAAAAAACAACTTCTCACGTTAAACGGCCGATGAATGCGTTTATGGTTTGGTCGCAAATTGAAAGGCGAAAAATATCCGAGGTCGCTCCCGACCTACATAATGCCGAAATATCGAAGCGCCTAGGAAAGCGATGGAAAACTTTAAACGACGAAGAACGACAGCCTTTTGTAGAAGAAGCGGAGCGTTTACGTCTCCTGCACTTGAAAGAGTATCCAGATTACAAGTATAGACCGAGGAAAAAGCCAAAGAGTTGTGCTCCAGAAAGTAAACAATCGCAGAATAGCCATCAGCTGGCTACCGTACAATCGAAGCAAAGAAAACTATCCCATAAATCAGGTATAACAAAACCATATAAGACCGTGCACAAAGTGAAGATAGACGACCGTCTCAAATCTTCTGTACGAGAAGCGCCTATGCCAATTACGATAGCTGCTCAACTTCCAACTTCTCCTACATCAACAGCCACACCAGACTCACCCGACTTTTATTCACTAGATGAGAGCCCTGTCTCATCACCCGCGTCTAATGCAACAAGTTCATCCATATGTCCTCCACCAATGTCTGTACAGGAGTTGCAAAACGCTACTCTTGCTAGCCTGACGGCACTTCCGGCTGACGATCTGTCTCTTGATGACTTGGACAACATACCAATCAATGACGTTCTCGGCTGGCCCGGTTCAGAATGTGGAGATCCTACATCTACACCTACAATAACTTTTGCTGAGATGACGCCTGTTGGTTCAACTTTCGACGACATTGTCAATTTAAATCCTCCCGGTGTCAACGACTGGCTCGACTCGATTGCTCATTGAACGCTATTTTAATGCGTTTTGAGAATGAACTCTTGTAAAAAAAATATCCCAGAATTGAAAAATTCTTGTATATATATCCAGACTTTTGCAAACATGCAACAAATTAAGACTGATTTTTCTTCTGTCGTCATTTTTACTTATATTTTTTATACATGAGTATATAGGCTACAGGACGCACAATATAACAGTTCAGGTATGTCTGTATATGCTACAAAATTTTTCTACGTGTCTCCTTCACTCAGGCAATTTCGCCCGCAGGGACCTTTTTGATACGACTTTTCTATAATTATCGGTGTTCACCTTTCTAACATTATCGTCTAATTTATTTTAGTAGCCGAGCGCACTTGTGTACTCCTATTTATACGCTTGTTTGTTCGTCATATACGCCTAAATTTATTTACATATTTTTATATATGTAATAGTAGTCGTAGGATCTTTTAATAATGAGAGAAAGGACGTGGGGCAGTTTCCGACAAAAATGCTTGCCTAATTTATTTTAGACGATGTTTACTTTTTTGTACTCGTGACGTTCAGGGTTCGTATTGGGCCCAAAAGCCGAATCAGAATATGTAGCCTGCTCTGCAAATGTGTGCAGTTTCAGTATTTCCTTTTTCCCTGTTTTTTTCGTGTCTCCTTATATACCGATTAGAGAGATGAGAGAATATTTATGTATGGATTTATACATATATACAAAATTTATACACAGTATATTGTATTATATGTAATACGTACATTATATATAATATAAATATATTGCAGAATATTATATGCTTGAATGTTGATGCTTTTGAATACACGCAATGTTTATTTGAATATTGAACGACCCAAACTATTCTACTAAGCCTGACAGCTTGGCGCCATTCGACGTATAGACGCCACTAGGCAGTGACAGGTGCAACGTTTAGGCCTACTGCTTCACGCCAAAAATTTTAGGAGGCGGCGCGCCAAGGAGTGTAAAGGTGGTTAATAAATGCCAAATAAGGTCCAGTTGATCATTTGCTTTGCATTCCAAAAACATTATATAGAGGTATAATTCAGTGAATCGACCACACAAAATGTCTGTCTGCGAGAATCTCAGTATGCTAGCAATCAGGCATGCTCGGTGACATAACGTGACGTCATTTCACCCAGTTTAACGAAGGCCTAGATGTAAGCAACTTGCACCTGCCGCTGAGGAAAGCATATAAAAACTGTAATCTATAGATATTTGTATGCAAGCCTATATGTTAAAACTAGTACCGAAACAGGACTTACACATTTAGGCCGATCCTGTATCGCTCTCACAAACACATCAAACAAACCGATATCTTCAAAGCAATTACAAATTTAACGTAGCAACACCGAAAAGCAATCTTGCACGCGTAATGCTTCGAAGGCACATGTTTAAGTTCATGCACGGGCAATGTAAACAAAAAAATCTAGGTCAAACAGCAATATGGTTGGACAATTGCTTTCATAAGAAGATATATGTCAATTGTTTAAGACACAAAGTAGTAAACAGGGTTTTACCATTAATTCGAGAAAAAAATAACAATAACAATTACAAAAGTGATAAAGCAAGGACAATTTAACTATTGATTAAAACACGCTACGGCTTCCACATTTTTTGCAGCTGTCAGATAACGATAAGGGATCTGGTAGCCTGTCTACAACAAGCCTGTTCGAGGCCTACAAGTTGGCTATATGCCAGCGATCAGCTGTTTTACGCGACTGAAATATACACAGCTGACTCAAGTACAATACGTAAACATGAAATTTTCAGCTATCATAAACTAGACCAAAAAAACGTATGCAGTACGCACAAATTGTTTATTTAGCTTTGTAGGGTTTGGCAGTTGGCAGGCCAGTCTCATATCGTTAAAACCCCTGCCTCTTCAAGATAGTACGGTTTACTTCATGAAAACCACTAATGCTTCCCTTAACACATAAGCGTACATACTTCTAAGTATCCTAATATACATATATACATACGTAGATCTACTGTATATACAGTGTATACAAGTGTGTGTATAAACTTGTATAAATCTATATATAAACTATATACATAGTACGTAGAAAAAATATATATAACAGTATATTGGCCCTACCGAGTGGCCGACCGACCGCCTGCCTTTCTACATTCACCATCTGTCGACGATTTCAATACGACAGCTGCAGGTCCTATGTCCCAATTCGGGCTTATTGAATATTCCGAATTTGGACCGAATTCAAACAGAAATACTTTAACACCATTAAAATAACACTTTTAAGAAGGATAGCAAATAAAATCACATGAAAGCTTATTGACAAACGACCTACTAATTTAGCGAATAATGAAAGCTATAAATGGTTGGCGATTGATTAATTAAAACTATATAGCATTGTATAGTAATTTATATTTATAGTATTTATTATTTCTATTTAGACCCCATTCATTAGGTAATTAATGTGCCGATGTCATTAGTATATTTCATCTGAAAGTAGCAAATTTGGGTGCATCGACCTTCTTTGAGTCTTTGAGTATTTTATAGCTTGGTTTTTTTTTAAAATGCTTAAACTTAAATGATCAACGGTCGTTTAAACGACTTCCTATATAGGGTGGCTCGGGCTTATCTAGGTCGTCGGTTATTTCAAAGGTCAGAGGCCACACGTGCATTCCAACTGCGTCCCTTCTACCTACATCTTGCGCATGCGCTTTTCTATAACAGACTAATTCATAAGTCTTCGCGAAAGAGAAATTCAGAAGGAGGAAGAGAGAGAGAGTTAGAGGTAAAAAGAATTATTTTGAAGCGTGTGAGCACACGTTTAACGATTGAATAGGAATTTCCTGTCGTTCCCAGGCCAAGCCCAGTACATTTTATTACTATTATAGGCCTATAATACTCAACCAACCAGCCTCAAAGGTGAAATTTTATATATACGAAACTCGGCAGCGGAACTGACCGGTAGTGAATTACATACTGATACCATTTACGCAGCATGTCTCGCACATACATCTATACGGCCCTACTATAGATTATTCCTTATTTGTAAGGGTGAACTCGTTTAACACACTTTACTTTCCGTTTAGAAAAATCTCTCAAGTAGTAATTACTTTAAAGAGAATATTGAATTTCGTTGCTTTCTCATATTCAACAACGTACTAGTCCTATGCAAGTTTGTTCTGCATATGAGGTAATCCCCATATACTATGCGTCAGTATGAAACATCAGCCCCAGTTTGTCATCGTCTGACTCATCGTGTTACTCACGAGGTGGAGCCCTCATCTAAGTTAGGTCGGTTAACTGTAATGTGAATTACAGATACCGTGAGAGGGCATTCATACGCGTATAGCATCCTCATCAATTTTCAGCACGTTCATTTTCCGTTTTAGCTCAATAAATTAATTATACTTGTTTTCCGTAATTTTTTACAGCATACTATAATACAACTTAAGCCATTGTATCTGGTGGTTACTGTAAAATATCAAGGTCTTGTCGTATAATTTATGGTCCTGTTTACCATAATCAAATAATATATCCAGTGATTTCTAGAAGTTGTACAGTAATTTTTTTCTTTTTAAAACTGTAATACAAAGTCATGAAAACGAGAGGTCATAAAATGGATTATTGAAGGGAAAATGGCTGCTTAACGCAAGCCATCTAAAAACATTCAGGAAAGGGGGTATGGGAAGAGGAGAAATCTTGGATATATAAACATTTTAAATATTTTTTTTATAAAAATGAATGAAAATAAAATATATTTGTATGCAAGGGTGTAAGACCACGGCAGCAATGGGCAATATCGATTAGTAGTGCCGTCGCCTAGACGGGTACCAGTCATCTCCAATACAGCAATTGCAGTTCGTAGTGCAGGAGAGAGAACCAAATAGCATGCGGTGCGCCACCACTAACATTAGCATAGAGCTGTACAGTAATGACGCGCACGGATCAAATAAGGATAGGCACATTTTCTTCTTAGACAAAAGGATACTCAATCGGATGGGAATGACCAAGGCCGAACGCTTGCCATGTGACGTTTAGACGCCGCTACAGCACGCCGTAGTGCGGCGGCAAAAATGAAGAACGCTATCGGCGGCGTCTTTTCATAATGGGCAAGAAAATTCAGTGTATAGGCCGCTATGGCATGCAAGGAGTTGCTCTTGGAAAGGGGAATTTCGCTCGGGTTGAACTTGCTCAACATAATATAACCGAAGTAAAGGTTGGTATAGAACACTGTTTGCAATGAAATATATGTAGTCTAATTTTTTTTAATCGGGTGTAAACCTCCATTGAACAATCTGTAACGTAGATCTATTTATCATTTGTATGTTGTTTTTCGCATATTATCGCTCAGTCTAATTTAATGCGTGATGCTACTTGGAATACGATGACTTATGAAAAGTAAATGAGTAGGAGATATTTCATAATCATTCATCTCGCTATTTAAAATAATAATTATAAAAGTAAAATTTCTCCTTTATTTCATATAGCAAAATTTAGGTCCTCTAGGACACTCGAAGACTTTAACTGTTGGAATAATTTTCGTTTAGGAAATTGCAACCACCAGTATCACCTAAAATTTCTTCAAAAATATTTTTTTCAAAAATTCGAATTCCTTTCAAATTCTTAGAAAGGCAAATATACTTTATACATAAAAAATTAATAGTAAAGCAAGAAAAATTGGCAAACCAAACTCTATATTTATTTTATATTCGGAGTAGATATATTCGCTAGCCAAACGAATCAGTTTCCATAGAGACGAAAATATGCAGGTAGTATTGCTTGAGCAATCGATGTCGAGCCGGAGGGAGGACGGAAACCCTCAATACGTCGTCACCAGTACGCCTTTTCATTTCTCATCAACCAGCACTTTATATCACACAGTGGGCGAAAAATCTTTAAAGCTCGCCTTTAAAAAATCGACGTTCTGCTAGCGACCTGAAGCATGCTTTTACATTTCAATCATATTACTACTCGCAAGAAAATTGCGAGCCTTCTTTCCGAAAAACGTGAGCGGAGTAATCATTAATTTCTACAAAC